AAATCCTCGCGCGTCAAGGTCGAGGATATGTCGCTTAAGCGTCTCTTCTTCTGTTGGCGTGAGATTTCGACAGTTTGGAACCATAGTGGCGCGAGAGCTAGTTCCATTCAGTCTTGTAGAGAGTTTCTGATGTTGAACACCAAAAGCTGCAGCTGCGCTCCGTTGGCTCCGAAATTGACCAGATCTGTAGGCATTAATAGCAAGCTCGATTCTGCCTTCTTGATTATCTAATAACATGTCTTGTTGTTGAGATATTATAAAGGAAAGATGATGTTTACAATGCCAAGGAAAAGTGGCGGGTTCGGTGGTGTGGCCGGCTCGCTAATAGATTACGTTATATCCTCTTAGAGTAGTATATAGTATAAAAAGATATAGGAAAGTCTAGTAGAGTATATAGAATTTATAAGTAAGTATTATTACTAAAAGAGAGAGAGAACTTTATATATTAAGGGCTAGAATAAAAGTTAAGGTTATATAGTAGTAGTATAGTACGTAATATACTAAATAGAAGGACTCTAGATAGAGTAGATAAAGACCTCTAAGAGGGAACTATAATAGAAGCGGCCTAGGAGTTTAAAAACATAATTAGTATATTACCTAAGAAATAATATAAAGTAGTAGGTAGAAAGTAAGAATCCTTTAGAATTTAGAAGCTTGAAAAATACTATATATACGCTAGAACTTTAAATAAAAAAGTATAGCCTCTCTAGCTCTAGAGACCTCTTTATTATATTAGAGAAACCTTAGTAGTCTTAGGGGGCTTTATAGATACTAGAGAGGATATAGAGAAATACTTAGGAGAAATAAAAGATAGCTACTATAGCGTATTTGTCTACTAAAAGTTTATCCTAGATGCCGTATATAGTCTTAGACTCTTATATAGGACGAAAATAGTATAAATAGGTAAATTTCCTTCTACTATTAAGTATAGGTTCTCTACAAGTATCTTATTTATTCAAAATTAAAAAGCTGTTCTAATCTATTTAATCTATTTGTAATAAAAGTTTCTTTTAGAAGTATCGATAACTTATCAATTCGATTTCTTATATTCTCTATAAATACTAATAAATATAGATTTAATAATAAAAGTTAAAAATCTAACTTATAAGTAATAATATATATAATAGTGTTAGGTATATATAATATGTAATAGTTATATATATAGAGAGATGTTTTATTTCATAAAATTATCTAGTAATAGCTACTTTATAGCTTATAACGGCTATAGCTACAAGTTCTAGCTACACCGTTGCGTCGCGTCGCTTAATACGTCGTTAATTAGCTAAATATTTTAAGTTTAGACAACCAAATTAGCGTTAATCAGACAACTTTTCTACTACTTATATCATGGCTAAAATTGTAGCTAGAAGCCTGCTGAAACGGTGGAATAGATTAGCAAAGTCATTTATCCTCTCTCGTCTCTATCCGAGAGTAGTATTCTTAACAAAACGGGGCATATCACGCGAGAATTAGGGCTATAGAGTCCGTTCTCACCTGAGATTGGTCGGCTCCTTCTGCTTACGGAAAGCCCTCAGGGTCCATCGCGAACGTCGGCGATTAATAGCCTTGATAACGACGATCAATAGGGCGTTTCGAGGCGCACGCGGATTAAATGTCTATACTGTATCTTTTCCCAGCTTGGACAAGCGGTTGATATCCTTGACAATAGCGATGATCCCCGGGATCGTGCTGACTGCCCCACTTGGGACGTGATTGATGTACAGCTAGAGTTATGGAACTGCTATAAGAACGAAGCCAGCGTTCGACTGAAAGACATCGCGTTAACACAATGATGCGACTGAAGATCAGCCATCTGGAGTGATATCAAGATGAATCAAAGTCGAACCAGCAGGGCGGCAGGGGAAACCTTGGCTGCCGACAGCAAAAGCGCCGCAGAATCTCCCCTCAACATTACAGCATGCAACATTCATTGTCGTTGCTTTTGTTCAATGCTCTTGGACCCAGGCGTTTCGATCGATCAAAATGGCATATATTGCTATGCCGAGGGATTTGGCGTGGCGCCTGGCACTGACTCTGGATTATCTCCAGGCTTGCAGGCCTCGCCCAGCATAAAGCAGCAGACCGCGGTCCTAGGGCTCAGCGGCGTCGATATGAGGAATTCTCCCACCCTCACGGACGTGACTAGCGCGCACGACTGCAGGACTTATGAAGGCAGTATGCAGTCATTCCAGACCTGCTTTCCTGCATCTTTCAACATTTGCCAGGGTGTGCTCAGAGAACCTTTGGAGAGCGTCGTGGCTGCTGGCTCAGCTTCGTCAAGTGCCCCTGCATCAAGATATCAGCAAGCTACACTGCAATCTTGCTTTCGATGTTACGACCACGGCTGCAAGGGCCGTAAATTTAGTTCAATCGAGAATTATCGACGTCATGTCCGAGAGAAAAGCATGACGAGGAGATATACCTGTATTCTCTGTTACAAGAGCTTTACACGCTACAGCAATTTGATGATACACACATCACAGAAGAAATGCACGGCGCTGAGAACAGCGGCATATAGTGAACAGGGCATGCTTGGAGGCATTGTGTAACGTAGACTAGTCGGAGCTGAGTCTGAATGGATGTACTCAACACTAGCAAAACATGAATCATGGTGTGAAGATGCATAGTGCAGGGGGAATGGAATCGATGTCGTGATACTCAGCCTACATGAAGTGAATCCTCCGGTGCCGACTTTTCCATAGCGTGATGGAGATTTTGAACTCAAGCCGAGGGCGTGAGAACTGCTTCAGCAGCGAACCAGCCATCTGCATTAGCTTGCGTAGGATCGTCAAATTTACGGATATCTTGCAGCGTTCCCGAGCTGCCAACAGATCCCATGATGACCATTTACCCGGCAAAGGTCTTGGACGGATCAATAATGTACAAGCCATCACCATATCTGCGTCCTTATCGTTACGCGATAGTTCACATAGCGGATCATGACGCATCAATTTCCAGATCTGACACGCTTCATTGTTGACACCATTCCCTTTGTGATTGTTTGCGATGGAATTAATATCATCCGCTGAACACGCACGCACGTAATCAAGACAGAAGATCCCCAGCGATATAGCTCTGAGCTCTACCAAGACATTCGCGGACACTGAGGTCTCTCGTGCAGCAATAACCCGGCCGCCTGTGCTCGAGTGCTGCACCTGGGTACGTAAACAATGTTTTTGCGGCCTGGCAGCAGGTCACTGTAGGTGCTGATCTTACTCGTTCTCGGTCGTCATAGCTCAGGTGCATCAATCCCACGATACTGTATTGAAAGATGGGACGCGAGAGTGTAGACGGTTCCGATGTACTGCGGGCGACACTAATGAAGGGCGGAATACGCGGACGGGCGGGGCTAAGACGGCCCGCAGTGGAGATAGCGCAACAATAGTCAACATCACTCGACCGATAGAAACGTCACCAAATCTGACGATCTTGATCCCCGACAGCCGGGTTGTGTGCAATGTTGCCAGCATGGCGAGTTTTCGCGTCAGCAATCGAGATTGTTTGGCATTGAGTGCGATACGGAAGCCACTATACACGAATTGATGCGAATAGGCGAAGCACTGTACACGCGACATCAACCAGGCACGATCCGCGCCACAGCGAGTCATTTCAAATATTCGCCACTCCATCTTGCAGCAAGTAGATAAGGAATCCTCGTCTAGCGCCGTCTTCAGTCACCGCAGATGAGCGCTGGTGTTGCTTCATTAGTGGCTGGGAGGGTTGGTCGTGGAGCCTATCGTGCTTGCTTGCGATTCTGAAGCACGACAGAAGACTTGTCACACCCTCAACGCCCTTAACACACCCACGACACTGAGCGTGGCGGAATACTTCAACATGACCAGCTCCATTAGTCATTTCTTTAGAGTAAGGAAGGGATGACGGTCTCAATGACCAGATCTCTCTATGTGTCCTTTGTACATCTGAGCGAACTTACATCCTTTATCGGATAGTATTCCGGCTTTGATTACAACACTGACATTTGCATAGCCGATCCGTCCGCTCCCAAGAATCTCACCTACGTACGTAACCACCGAAGAGTCTTGGGGGCAGAAGTGCCAATGCATGTCGACTAACTGTACAAAGTGGTATATGGAGTTCGGATCCTTTTTACGCAGCACCGGATCCGGATTCATCTATGCCTTCAATTTATCGGCGGTCTATTACTACTCGATGCGACTCGAAGAAGAAGTCGGGCATGCAACCAATAAGAGATCCACATTTGATATTATTCTTACGGTATGTCCCTAATCGTCATGTACCGTGCCTGTGATTTCAGCATTCTCCTGGTTCTCTTCCGTATACACCTCACCAAGGACAGGATGTTGAAGATATCCGGGTCTGAAGATGTCATCGATCGATCTATCTTGCATCCAGTAATCGACTCGCGACCAATCCACGCACTGATGTGGACTCGAGAAATTGCCGAGGGGCACAGGCTGTTTGTGACCCCAGCGCATAGTGATTGGGGTAAGGTCGGCGCGGCACATAACGCCTTGACGAAGCGTATCGAGGCAGTGCTCCACATGAATTTTTTGATCTTCCAATTGTGCGGTGGAAAGCTCAGGGAAGTATGTCTCCGGCCAGAGATTTCGATGAAGGTGCTTCTATGGCTAAGGTCAGACCGGAGTTTGTCAGAGAAATCACGAGGTAAAGACCAACAATACAGTGTAGCTCGTGCATCACTTGGGTAGTCGCGTAATATCCGCCGTCCGGCAACTCTACGGCAGAATCTTTCCTTGCTGGATCAAGAAAATCCAGCTCTTCTAAGCTGAGACGGATGTTGGAATCTTCTTGCAGTGTTAGAGCAGCGTCGAAATAATGGCAAGTCCTTTCTCACATTTTAAAAGATCATGCCAGGCTTGGTCCAAGCCAGGTCTGGGCTTTCCAGCATAAGGACTGCCACCCGGTCCTTCTCCAGGTCGGCGCTCCATGAGATACACAAGTGGCGTATCATGCGGCATTTGAAAAAGTGCTGGCGCTGTCAATATGATTAGCTAAGACTCAGAAGCAGCAGACGAGAGACTTCAGACCGTCATGGACTTGGCTGATAGAATCATTGAAGCGAATGTCATTTGTTTTCAAGGCAATCGTTGCAGCGGTCGTCCAGACAATTGCTACTGTCAAATGGAAAATTGATGCCCAGAGCCTTTGTTGGGAATGACGCCGCGAAGTTTCCGGGTGGATTATGCTGTCGCCCTGTTCAGACTTCTCCAGGAAGACTTCTTCCTCATCGCCTGTACTGATCTCATGCTTCATGCGTAAGAAGGACATTATGAATTTCCGCGACTCGTTTCACTTTCAGGAGATTGAGTATGATTTTGATATTGTGACTTGATGAGCTCTTGGAGGGTCTAAGATATTTCAATAGCGCATTTCGAGGATCCTGTTGCCCCATAAAAAGGCGTGCCAAAGCGATGAGCGATCTCGTGACATGGAACTTTGACGCAGGGATGTGTACTAGCAGAGCTATGCTCTAAATAAGAAACCTGGAGCAGAGCCGCTGATAAAGCAGGTACAAAAGGACGTTGCAGGAGGACGGTGCAGAAGGATCGTGCAGGAGGACGGCACAGAAAGACCCTGCAGAAGGACGGTGCGGAAGGACGGTGCAGCAGGACGGTGCAGAAGGATTATGTAGATCAGTCTCAGCGTTAAATCTTTCTGATCTTACGCTGCACGATTACTGAAATCGCGCCACGCAAAGGATCTTGCATATCGTCCTGGGCATTCTTGATTGCTGCGAGGAAGATCAACATGCCATTACTCAATGTGTCCATCAGAGGAGCCTACTTCGTGAGCACTGTTCTCCAGAGACGCATCGCGAATGACAGTGCATGCATATTGATGACGACGAACATCTTCCTCAGCAGTATTTGCATCGCTTGGACAAGTCTTCCAAGGAATGCACGGTGTATAGTGATATGTAGGAAGTGAAGATCTTTGAGCCCAGGCAACATAAATAGACCGCCGCCCAGTCGGAGATAGAGGACGAACAACCATCGTTTCATTAATCATTCCATCGACACTTCTTTCCATTCAATCGCTCTCTCGTCTTCGCAATCCACCAAGACATCAAGATGCAGATTACACAGGTACTAAGCGCCTCTGTGGTGCTCTTCGCCTACAGCGCCCTGAGCGCCCCGACTGTTGGTCTGAGTAGGTAGCGGTCAACAGCGTGAGCGTGAGCTAAGGCTAATCACATTTGAAGTTGGGATTCATGAACGCGAGGCCTCTGACGCCGATTCCGCGTATACCAACTTTGCACGCTCCGACGCTGATGCTGCGTACACCAACTTCGCACGCTCCGACGCTGATGCTGCGTACACCAACTTCGCACGCTCCGATGCCGACGTCGCGTACTCCAATGCTGCCCGCTCTGACGCAGATGTCGCGTACTCCAATGCTGCCCGCTCTGACGCAGACGTCGCGTACTCCAACGCCGCCCGTTCCGACGCCGACGTCGCGTACTCCAACGCCGCCCGCTCTGACGCCGACACCGCGTACTCTAACGCCGCCCGATCTGACGCCGACACCGCATACTCTAATGCCGCCCGCTCCGACGCCGATGCTGCATACACCAACTTCGCCCGCGAGGCCTCTGACGCCGATATCGCGTACTCCAACGCCGCCCATGCTTAGATCAACGTCCACAAGGTCTCCGACGCTGAATCTTTCCAAGCTGGACAGAGTTTCAAGCAGTTGTCCCAGCCGAAGCGTAGAAGGCGCGATATTCCTCGGGAATGAGCCCGTTCCACATACAGTCTGACCTAGGCAGACCCGTTTGTTATAGTCATCAAATCTGGGTATAGGTATTTAGAGAGAATGCGCAATCAACTTACTGGCCGCCTCTTCTATGCTTGTCTTTGTAGATGGTATTGTGTTCTTCAATGTGGTGTTCTTCTCGAGATGCCTTTTCGCCTATATGGGTAATCTACGCCTAGGAGGACATCAAGGAATGATCCTCGAATCGTCCGCTAATGACACAGCCCAGTCATCGCTACTCAGCTAAATGTCTCGATTACAAATAGCTGGCTCCAGACCAGAATCCGTTCGTGTTAATCTCCTCGTTGAGTTTGTGCATGGAGGAAAGGACAGTATCTTTCCTCCGCCCCACTTCCTATAGATATGCGTGTGTAGCCTGTTGAAGCACGGTAGGTCAGAGATTCATGTAGATAGATAATTCTTCATGTTGGGTCTTTAGCAGCAGTCGCTATCCAAATTACACTTTTCGGCTCGAGCTTCTGCGTATGCTTCGGTATTTCCAGATTGATATCTAGGTCAGCTAAGTGGATGGTCAGTCGCTGCGAAACCTCAGCATTTCTCAGCATGCCATTCGTCCCTGGCTGGCTTGCCCTGGTGTCGCCTTATCAGTCGTGTCAGTATCGTATCATGCACCATGGATGACTGCGACCGCACGATACGTCTAAGTCTAAGTGGCGGGCGCTCGTGGCTTTGCGGCACGTAAAAAGCCCTCGAAGCAATCACCGCAATCATCAGATATCAGGGCTGCTGCAGGTCCTTTCAACAGCATTCTTATGACGAAACACCGATGGCCGACTTTGCGTGCAACGACAACGCCTTCGGGCCTATGGCGAGTGTAAATTGTTGGCGAGGGCTTGATTTCACACTCTTCTTTGAACATGTCGTTCTTTCTATCCTGCCGTCGATTGCTCTTTTGGCATGTCTTCCTTTACGGATACATCACCTTCTTCGACAAGGTCGGAAAGCGCGGCCGATTCGTAGACATGACCTCAAGCCCGTGAGTACTCCCGAGTGAGCGTTGCTGATGTGAAGACACTCCTCATGACCTAGCGGAGCAGACGACCCTGGGATGCTTGACCGTCGCGCAATTCACTTGCCTTGCAGGTTGGAGTACTACAGATGGACTAAGATCGGATGTTGCCATCGCAGCTGCAAGCTTGGCCATCGTAGCCGTGATCGGAATCTCGAGTCTGTCCATGATTGAATCGGCACGATCGTTCCGCCCCTCCACTATTCTAATCGTGTACCTTCTGAGTACAGTTGCCTTCGATGCCGTCTTGACAAGAACTTTATGGCTTACAGGCCAATCGCTCTTCTTATGCATCACGACATCCGTGGGAGTTAGCATCAAATTAGTGCTCTTGGTTCTCGAGTCCCGGTCTAAACGTCAGACGTTGTTCGAACCATATCGATCATACCCACCGGAAGAACTCTCTGGAATACTCAGCACAAGCGTCTTCTGGTGGCTGAACCCACTCCTGTGGCTCGGATCTCGCGCAGCATTAGACTTGCACGACTTGCACTCTCTGGGGCCTCAACTTAAATCACGAAGTCTCGGGGTAAAGTTTGAGGTGGCGTGGCAAGGCACATTAAGGTCACGTACGCATCGCTTGGCGTGGGCCACGCTTCTGGGACTGTGGTTGCCCATCCTGGGCGCTGTAATTCCCAGGCTGTGTCTTACCGCATTTACCTTTTCTCAACCTTTCCTGATCGCTCGTATCATTGAATATGTCGCAAGCTCCTCATCGGAGAGTCGCGCGTCTGGATATGGACTAATTGGTGCAGCTGCGCTTGTATATGGCGGAATGGCGGTTAGCACAGCTGTATACAAACACCAGGCATTCCGCATGGTGACCATGATCCGAGGCGGTCTGATCACTTTGATATATTCCAAATCGCTACGGCTGGACGCCACAGCGACCAAGGACGCCAGCGCCGCAACCCTGATCAGTACTGATATTCAGAGCATTGTGACAGGATGTACAAACATACATGAGTTTTGGGCTGCACCGATCGAAGTAGCGCTCGCCATATACCTCTTGAAGTGTCGGATAGGAGTCGCCTGCGCTGCACCTGTGGTCATTGCGATTATGAGTGCGCTCGGAAGCGCAAGAATTGCAACTCTTGTGCACAGGCGTCAGAAGCAATGGCTTCAGGCCGTGCAAAATCGCACGACAGCTACTGCTACGCTGCTAACCAAGATCCGAGGGTTGAGAATGCTGGGACAGTTGTCTCACATCGCCAAGCGAATCCAGCACCTGCGGGAGCAGGAGATCGTCAAAGCAAAAGCGTTCCTACGTGTAGATGCTTTAAAAAATGTCTGCGCGAGTACATCAACTCTGCTCGCGCCAGTAGCGACTTTGCTCATTTTCGCCTTTCTGGTTAGCGATCCTCTTGACGGTGGGTTTACCAGTCCCACAGCGTTCTACGCATTGAATTTGATAGCACTTATGTCATCTCCTCTTGCTCTGCTATTGAACACATTGCCTGACTTCGCTGCTTCCCTTGCGTGCTTTGAACGCATTCAAAACTTTCTCGAACGGGAGGAGAGGCAAGATTATCGGTTAGCCCCAGAAATTGGGAGTGCTGTTGGTACAACGGGACTCCCAGGAGAGAGCGTCGAACTTTTGGTTGTTTCGCCTAACAAAAAGGTCAACACTCTTTCGGAGCATGCATACACAGCAACCATCGACGGAGGATGTTTCGGATACGACACCGAGGAACGCGCCATTCTCAAAGATGTCAACGTTCATGTTGTTCCAGGCTCATTCACTGTGGTCAAAGGTCCAGTTGGATCTGGAAAATCAACATTGCTGAAGGCGTTCCTAGCTGAGACCCGATGCTTCAAAGGGTTCGTCCAACTCCGGGTACCTAGTCCCGCATACTGCAGTCAGGAAGTATGGCTAAGAAATCAGACCCTCCGTGAAAATATTCTCGGAAACCAGCAATACAACGAAAGATTCTACAACGATGTCATCTTTGCGGTTGGCCTCGAGTCTGACTTGGCCGCTTTGTCACTTGGTGATCGCACGGTCATAGGAGCGGATACATCAACATTATCTGGCGGACAAGCTCGGCGTGTAGCGCTCGCGCGTGCGGTCTATGCCAGACGGCCTTTGCTACTTTTGGATGATTGTCTGAACGGTCTTGACAACACGACCAGGGCCAAAGTAATGCACAGACTCTTTTCTCGAACTGGCCTTTTGAGAAAGCTGGGAGGCACTGTCATAGCAACCAGTTCCACGGATGAATACAACTCGGAACCTGACTTATTCATTTTGTTGGACCAGCATGGTCGCACGCAAAGCCATCCTATTCCGAAGACACCTGCAGATCATGAACTGAGCAATTTAATCGAGCAACCTTGGCGGATGAACGGCGTACAGATGCTTGATCCTTCCGATGAGTCTTGTCAGAATGCGGATGCGGAGGCATGCCCTGGACAAACGTCGACCGTCTCGCCCGCTACAGATGACAGAGGCCAGACAGACTCCAAAGGAACAGATGCGAATTCACGAGTGTGGAGATTCTACCTGGGAAGCATGGGTTGGCATCATTGCGCCACATACCTGGTCCTCAATGCTTTATACGTCACTTGTACGCGATTCTCGCAGGTCTGGGTTGGCGAATGGGTTAACGCCTCGCAAGAGCGCCCAGGCTACCACACCAACGCTGTGTACGGCGGATCATATGCTGCTATTCAAATAGCTGCAGTTCTCTTCTTCGCAACGGTCCTGCTCTTCATCTTTCAGGTGATGGTGCCGCGCTCTGCTCAGAAACTTCATTGGATCCTGCTACAGACCACTGTCCAGGCGAGACAGCAGCATCACGACGAGACCGACACAGGTGTGACGCTCAATCGTTTCAGCCAGGATTTGACGTTGGTCGACATAGACCTTCCATCTCACGCCATAGAATTTGTCATTGATATCTTTCTGTGTATTGGACAAGCAGTCATCGTCGCTCTAAGTATCAAATACATGGCGGCATTGCTACCTGCCATTGTGGCGGTGGTTTATCCGATTCAACGATACTATCTTCGCACGAGTCGCCAGGTACGTCTGCTCGATCTCGAAGCCAAATCGCCATTGTTCAGCAACATCCTCGAAACCGCGAGCGGTCTCGAAACGATTCGCGCGTTTGGCTGGAGCGATAGATTCACCGAGCATCACCACTTCTTGCTAGACCAATCCCAACGCCCTTTCTACGCATTATTCTGTATTCAGCGGTGGCTAGGTGTTGTTCTTGCACTGATGGTCGCCGTTGTCGCCGTTTGCTTGGTAGCATTCGCCACTCAATTTCGAGATTTGACCACTGGCAATGCGATCGGAGTGGCTCTACTTAATGTCTTCAGCTTCTCACAGACTCTGACGCTGCTGATTACCGCTTATACGTCTCTGGAAATGGCCCTTGGCGCGATTGTGCGAATCAAGAACTACGTGGCTGACGTGAAGCCTGAAGACGATCCGTCTCAAGAATTACTGGATGCCTTACCGGAGCCTATTGAAGCAACTGCGATCGATCTCGACAATATCACTATATCATATGGGTGAGTGACGACCGAGTCGATATTCTCAATTTCCCAAAACTGACTTACACGATGCACTAGCCCCAGCGCTACGCCTGCGGTCAGCCATGTCTCGCTTTCCATTCCGAGCGGCATGAAACTCGGCATTTGCGGACGTTCCGGAAGGTGTGTCCCGGTATCAAACTTGAATCAAATAACGCATCTAGAAATGCTAATGTGAAAATTCGATCGCGCAGCGGCAAATCATCCCTCCTGATGGGTCTTCTCCGAATGGCTCCGATTACGCAAGGCAAGATCCATATCAATGGCTTGGACCTCTCCCAACTCAAAAGCGATGCCGTACGATCCATCTTCAACATAATCCCACAGTTACCAGTCCTGCATTCCGGGAGCATTCGATCCAATTTTGATCCCAGCAGCGCTCACTCCGACGAAACCCTGAAAACCATCCTCACAGAACTAGGTCTGTGGACCGTCGTGCTCGGCCAGGGCGGACTAGATGCGGACATTGAAGCCGCTCCCATGAGCCAAGGACAAAAACAATTATTCTGCATCGCCAGGAGTTTCTGTAGTAATGGCAAGAAACGGATTCTCCTCCTGGATGAATCGACGAGCAGTATGGATGTGATCACCGAGCGCACAGCAATGGATTTCATCGCGAAGCGTTTCAGCCAGCATACGATTGTCGCCATAGCGCACAGACTCGAGACAATCCGCGACTTCGACCGCGTTGCAGTGATGGATGCCGGAAAAGTGGTCGAATATGATACACCAGATGCACTGTCCGGGAAAATAGATGGGGCATTCAGAGCGTTGTGGGAGCATGAGACCGGTCGTCAGAATGCGCAGGCATGAGCAATAAACAGAATGACACCGTGTACGCAGCTCAATTCTTCAATTTCGCGGGAGGCTCCTTCGCGAGTAGATACTCACCCCCCTGCCAGGCCTTGAGAACACCATACAAGCCACTGAAAGGCCAAGTACTCCAAAACAGTAGAATCAGCCAAGCGAGCCACGTCGTGGCACGTTGCGCGTCGGCGTCAAGGTCGACTTTGACCTTGTCGTAGACATTCGGGAGATATTGGGCGCCATACTTTTGGCGGAGGGCATCATACGCCTTGCGGTCATAGATGGACCAGAACTCATCTTCGGTGTAGTAAGCATGGGCATAGAGCCATTTGCGACCTCCGAGGGCGTCGACTTTTTGCTCGAGGGAGCGGTTCTGCGCGAGAAAGCGACGTTTGTCACTGGAGCCAGGACCCCAGACGCCGAAGTTCATCATGAATTCCGGGGTGGACGGGTTGCCGAGATAGCCGTAGAGGCCGTGTTGGGAATCTGGTGCATCGCGTCTTTGTCGTAGGGGACAGAGCCAGAGAGGGTAGATCGTGAGGTTGGTCTCGAGCCAGTTGAGGAAGTCCGATGCGCCGTTGTAGGGGATGGCGACGTCTTGGATGATGTAGATTTTGGATTGGCCGCTGGCGTGGAGGGCATGGTACATGACGCGGGTATGCATGAAGCGGTCTAGGATGTAGCGAGTGATTCGATTGAAAGGGGTGAGGAAGTATTGGAAAGCATATTTTCCGACCCAGAATGCGCCGCGATCGTAGCGGAAGAGGTAGTCGAAGATGGGAATGAACAAGACGATCGGTTGTCGCGATTTGGAAGTTTGCCTCTGGACGTGGATGTAGAACCATGGATCATGGCGGCGGGTGTACTGCGTCACCACAGCCTTGGGCGGGATATGGTCGCAAAGCTTTCCTGAGCAGATGACGATTTCATTATGCGAATAGACAATGCCATCGAGGTAGTCGACCGCAGAATTGATGGTTTCCTTGCCCATCTCCGCCATCGCCGCGTCCATATTATCGAAGGAAGAGCAGGTGAGCTGAACATACTTCGCCGCGGGTCGAAGTTGAATCTCCAGCAAAGTGATGACTCCGAGGGTTCCAAAAGACGAAGCAGCGCCCCAGAACAAATCTGGCAAATGGGTCCGGCTGGCACGGACAGTCTCCCCTTTCGCGAGCACGATCTCGATCCAATTGACGGTACTGTCAAAGAATCCATGACGGAAAGAACTACTCTCGCCCGAAGTCCCGGAGAAACCTCCGCCGACGGTGATCCCAGGAAATTCCATGACGACGAGTGGAAGGAGGTTGTGCTCCAAGGTCGCCAGGAGGAGCGCATCCATGGGAACGTTAGGCTCGACGATCGCCGTCATGGCTTTCTCGTCGATTTGGAGGACGTTCTTGAGGCCGCTGGTGTCAACGGACTTGTCGGGAGTCCGTTGAGACGGACGAGTGCTGTTGGTGGAGCCATGGAAATTGCGGAATGGTTTTTGTAGATCATGAAACTTCTGGACTTTGTTCTCGATCACTTGAACGGCTACATTGTGTGCGTCCATGGTGGCCCAAGAGCGATGATCGCGTTCTGATCGCTACGTCCGATGTTGATGCTGTTTCGTCGATGAAGCATTCATCCATGATGCTAGCGTGCAAGCAACGACGACGGTGGCCCGTGCTAACGCCGTTGATGCTGACGGACAACACCATATGTTGCACGATCATCCCGGATTTGATCGGAACGCACAGATTGAGAAAACATCTGTGTCATCGTGATAACGATTATCAAGAGTCTGCGCAATGATGGTGGTTGTTCAAGTTGCAGCATCGCATTCAGACATTCTACAGCAGATTGAAGCTGGCGAACATCATCCCGTTCATGGCGTTCGACATCACGAAAGCCGATATCCTAAATTTTCCCAAATCTATCCAGAACAGCAGAACCTGCTGCGTGATTGAGCCAACCGCTCTTTCCTGCGCCGAGGAACGCCATCACAACCCAATTCACAAACCGGGCCTCGCCGGATCAATCAAGACAGGCATCCGGATATGCAAAAACAGATACATACATTAGGGCCATAGCATACATTACACTCTATCATTTCAAATCATTAAAAAAGTCGCGTACAGCTCATTCCTCAAAACTGTCGCGGCGGGCCCGGATTTAAGCTATCGGGATGCCTTGATTCATTCGGATACGACGCCGCCCAAGGCGAGGAGGAATTAAATCGCTCGCCCTGATTCGGTGTGACGGCTCCGCCAGGTCTATGTGCTGGGTGTACGTTGCCTTGTAGACCGACGGCTATTGAGGATCCGGGTGGTGGGCCCATGCCGGGGTGATAGCCGATTTCGTCATCATCATCATGTGTCGGCTTCATATCTCCTGTTAAGGCGACGCCGATTTCTGAGCGCGATACTCGACTCGAATTCCTGTACGGACTTGCACCGAGATACGAGTCGTCTTCATGGCTGTGGTGAGAGTACCCTTCGTGATCGTAGGGACTGTGAGAGCGCGTGGCTCCTGGATGATCTGGGTTGAGAAGTAATCCGGCTCTGTCGTCTTCTCTTTGGAATGTGTGTCTATTTTCTTTATGGTTCAGATCACTGGGAGGTTGATGTGAACCGAGCTCGGTTGCAGAGCCGCCATGTTCTGCAAGGGAAGGAGCTCCACTGTAGCCTGTATTGGTGGAATCTTTCCGGGGTTGTAGATAACTGGGATCATCTAGACGATGCCTGTAGCCAACGAAAAGCCATCTGAAACCTCTTGCGCTGGCTTTGATGATGTCCCATGGATTGAAGGCATCCAAGATTGCATAAATTCCAAACGGTCCTCCGAGATATTTTGGTTTGTCTCTGCTTAATGAACTTCCCGGCCTCATCGGTTGATCGTGATAAGAATGCTTGATACTGTATGGCTTCCAAGAATACGCGAAAAGATGCATGATGGAAAAGCCTGCCATCTCAATGCAGAGCATAACTGAAGGTATGCCGACCTTGATGTCGGGATATGCTAGACGGTCGCTCGGATGTAGGGGTCCTTTTTTCGATGATAGCAGGGAAATAACAATCTGTTGGTACGTTAGCGTTTCGTCCTCTAGCTATTGATTAGAAGCGGGAGTACTCACATTCTGCCAGAACGAGAAAAAAATCACCAGCTTTATGCTGAGGACTTTCAAGCCTGGTTTGTGATCGGCTAGAACATCCTTGAGCTGAATGTAGAACTGCACGACCATGGTCATGGCAACCGTGACGGATAAACATTCGAACACGACCGTCCAGAGATGCGCGAATTCGGGACTCAGCGAAGATTCGCAGTAGAGGTCCAATGCTTCAGTGATGACGGACACGATGGTGAAGAATACGCGAATGAAGCAGTATTGGAAGATTCCGACCCAAATGATCTAGCAATTCGTCAGCATTGTATTTCTCAAACCCATGAGATCCAGCAACATCCGCGACCTACATTAAACCAGGTCAGACCACTCCGGGGTTTTCGCAAAGGTCCTCTATTTTCTCCTCCGGTGCATTTCTGCAGATAGAAGAATTGCATAAACCAGTTCTTGGGCGTGATGGATCGGAAGAAGTCCTTCTGGTCGTGTAAATTATTCGCGACGTAGTTACACATGAGCGCGAAAAAGCTGGAAATGGCAAACGCTTCGTAGCAGTCACGGATGACTTCGAAGTAAACGGCCTGGCGCCAATAGAGGTAGCTGAGAAAACTGACGACGCTGTAGACGGGAATCATAAAAACGATGCGGATGATGTGTTTCTGTTCGTTGGGCTTGATGTAGTGTAACGCGTGTTGCGCAATCAGGAAGAGCGACATGATGACCGATATCAGTCCGAATATGGCGGCGAGGAAGAGACCGAAGTGGTGAAAGGTGAACCCCTTCCATAGTGGTGTTTCTGTTCCGTCCGCGTCAGGTAGGATATCGTTACATTTGGCCATGTTTGCGTCTCTTTCTGTGTATCATCGGCCTGCGGCCGGAATGACTGATCGTGCTCAAGCCAGATGGGTATGCGCCAGGTCGTCGACTCGACCGCGGGGATATTGGGCTCGGGTGGTGGAAGGTCTTCGAGGAATTGCGCTCGAGCGGTGAATGCGGCGCTCGTGCGCACTGGATTGCGCGGACGGTTGGTGAGCAGAGGCAGGGCGAAGCGTCGACAAGAAGCGGCGATTGAGTGGGGTCTGGCGCGATATGACAGTCGCAATGCTATCGCGAGTCTCGGCGCGATGATTATACACAGGTGAGTCGTCGCCCGAGGAATAGCAGTTGGTAGATGGCGGAAGTCGGATGTGTCGTCAGCGTGGTGCGAAGAGAGAAGGCGGTCGGCAAAGAATGGCTCAGCAAGGAGGTGTGAATTCGTGGTGGTGGTACTGCTGTGAGCTGTAGGTCTGCGGCGCGTGCTCTCATGTGCAGCAGTTCAGTCCGGCTCAGTTCAGTGCGGCGGCGGCGGTGGTGGTGCAATTCTAGAGAGCCCTGGAGGTGACGAAAGTGCAGGGCAGGGTGAACAGCCCAGGTGGTTGGTCGGCTGGCTTGTACATCAATCAGCGCAATGTCGATCACCTCCTCGTCGTAATCAAACAGAGGCGCAGTCGTTCATTCTTCCAGGGACGCCTCAACTACTACGATCTTACTACTACCACTACTGCTACCACTACCACTACCACTACTAACTACTACTGCTGCTGCTAGGAACCTGATCATCGTGAAGGCCACAAACATGTGCGCGCGCGCAAGACGAAGAGGGAGGGGATAAAGGTGATACGTAAGGGCACCAGGAACATGTCAAATTCGTCCCCACCAACCAACCAACCACCAGCAACGCCGACCGTTCGTACTAAAAAGAATCATCTACCTAGGTGGGTATGTATCTGGCGCGTACGCTCATCCATCGTCGTCACGGCCCATCCATCGTCGTCTACGCGCGCAATCGCAGACACGGACTTTTCTGATGACGACACGTCACGTGGTGTCCTGTCTTACATAATTTTCTTAATGTGTACCGTTTCGGGATGTGGACTTTTCTTAGAGGCGACGGTGGATTCCGCTGTTCGTATGCGGAATGGGTAGAAACCCGTGTCGGGTTACCTTTGTAGACGTGGTGACCAAATAAGGTGCAGCGCACATTCGAACATCATCGCTGCGAAAGAAACTGGACCTCCATATTGGTGTTGGTTCTTTTTTTGATATATCTCGAGATCCGCACAGGATATGAAGGAAAAGAAAGAAAGAAAGTCAGCGCCTGCCAAACTTATAAGTAGCCGTACAAATCGTATTTTGTCTCCCCACCCATCTCGGGACACGGCTATCCCAAAATCTACCGGACCACCCCAGATCTCTGTCCTTGAGATCTTGGTACAACCAGATTCTATTTACGCCTTCGGGATACCTGCGTGTTCGGGCTTTACGCCGACGCGCTCCTTGGCCAAGAGATCCACCAACAGCGGGCTCGGTCGGTTGTCCTTGCCGCCCTTGAGGACGTCTTGCGAGCCCTTGTACTGGTTCACTCGTTCGACGTATGCGTCGAACAAGTAGCTGCTGTCCAACGGGCCTCCCTTGGCCTCCGGGTGGAATTGTGTGCTGAAAATGGGTCGGGTCTTGTGGATCATGCCTTCGTTGGAGCCGTCGTTCAGGTTGGTGAAGTACTCCTTGAAGTCCGCTGGCAAAGTGGTCGGGTCGACGGCGTACCCGTGGTTCTGGCTGGTGATGTGGCACTTTCCGGTGCTCAAATCCAAGGCCGGGATGTTGTGGGCGCGGTTGCCGTACTTCATCTTCGTCGTCTTAGCGCCGATCGCAATCGCGAGCAATTGATGGCCGAGGCAAATTCCCATGATCGGGATCTGGCTGGTGTCCATCAGGCGACGGAGGTTGTCGCTGGTGGCGCGGCAGTGGGTCGGGTCTCCAGGACCGTTGGAGATGAAGACACCATCGAAGTGGTGGGCCGACTTGTGAATCGGGTAGTCGTAGGGCAAGCAAGTGACGCTCGCACCACGGGCCACAAGCGAGCGGATGATGTTCTCCTTGACACCACAGTCGATCAAGGCGACGTGGGCGGTGCCGTTGGGAGAAGGCACGTGGAAAGGAGCCTTGGTCGAGACCTTCTTGACCAAATTGATGTTGGCCGGGTCTTCGTAGGCCTCGTCCTCGTCAGCATCGTACTCCTCGCCGATGGTGATCTTGCCAAGCGAGGAACCCTGCTCTCGCAGATATGTGACGATTGCACGAGTGTCGACGCCCGAGATGGCGGGCACGCCTTCGCGAGCACACCATTCGGCCAAGCTCTCCACCGCAGTCCAGTGAGAGTATTGCAAAGCCACATCCGCGACGACGATACCGCAGGCTTGAATGTTCGGGCTCTCAAAGTACTTGAAGAGACCGTACTCGTCGCGGACATCGCCCGGCACACCGTAGTTGCCAATCAATGGCTGGGTGAAGACCAGGATTTGACCTCGGTATGATGGGTCGGTCATGGACTCGGGGTATCCCACCAGAGAGGTTGTGAAGACGGCCTCACCGCTGATGTTGGTCTTGGCTCCAAAGCTCTTGCCGTGGAAGATGGGGCCATCGCGGATGGTGAAGGTCGCACGCTCGAACGAGGGCTGGGTGGAGCGGGTCGACACTCGTGGCGCCGGCGCCCGAGGAGTGCCACTGACCAAGGTGGCCTGGGTTCTGGTGATTTGAGATGCAGGCTTCAGTGCTCGCGTCAAGCCATTGGTCATGTGCAGAGAAGAGGTGGAGGGTCGGAGGGACTTGGAGAGGATAGTCGTCGCCATTTTTGAAAGTATAGATAAGAGGTGCCTTGATGACGATAGCACCGAATAATCAGTTTACGGACGCCTTCCACAGGTGGTCCGAAATGTAATCTGTGGGAGAGAAGAGCGAAGGTCAGTCACAGGTGAGTGTCTTGGAGTGGTGTTTCTCGCGTGAGTCAATGCTCGCGTGTCCCTCAACGGCCACCGCATCACGGCCGATAGGGCATGCATAGCTGGAGGAAGGACGACAATGTCCGCATGGAGACATACCTTGCGAAGTGAAGACGGTGGGAGCAAAAGTCATGAAGACAGTTGTGACCGTGCAAAAAGATGTGTGGTGGTGATGAAGGTTGGGTGATCAGGAAGGAAGAAGCGAAGAGAAGAGAGTCCAAGGGTTTCGGGCGATGACAGTGGTGAAAAAGTAAAACCGGGATTTATCTGCGGAGAGAGATAGCGAATGGGTAGAGTGAGTGAGTGAGTACTGTACTAGGGAAGTGAGAGCTGTACAGTGACAGTAACAGTACTACAGTAGTATGCCCAGGTGTGCAGTACAGGACAGTCGCATGTGCCGATAGAGTCCATGCCTTTGGAGTTTCTTTTAGTGCAACCTTTGGCCCGCCAGACCAGACCGATCGGCCCAGAAGCGGCGGTGGGAGTTGGAGGGAAAAAAAAATCTCCCCAGGTCGGGTCCCTTGTCATCACTCTGCAGTAGTAGTGCCTATGTAGTCACCACCGCACCGCCATCACTCCTTCTATGCGCACACGACATTCCTCAAATTTACCTTATTGTTATGACTATAGTGTCCAGATACAGGGAGTATGTTGCAGCGGGTTGACATAGCATGGGATGGTAGTCTTTCTTGCTTGAGTCTCAGATTGAAGCTCGGGATCCCGACAGGCATAAAGGTATACACTGTATAGGTATACAGGCAGGGGAGGGTGTTGAGAGGGACAGTGATAAGCTGGCTGCTGCTGGAGGTGAACCGGTGCCGGGCCGGCAAGTGGGTGCTTGGCCCTGCGGAGAGGCCATTGGCGCTGCATCGGCCGGCAGCCTGACAGGAAAAGACCGGACGGAAAGACAACATTTGCTCGTGGTCAGCCCAATCCTTCATTGCACATTGGCTCTCTCTGGGCATCGATACACTCTCTCGGGAGACTTGTACCGTCTCGATGGCAGTCGGATCTCCCGAACAGCCGTGGATCCTTTGTTTTCTTCTAGGGTGCATCCTTTCGTCTATCAGGCATCCCTCCCACGAGAAGTCTCACCCGACCTCACCTCGATACTGTCTGTACACATTGGCCATCTATTAGGTATTGACCGTGATGACGGCGCAAACAGCCGGTCGGTCGATCGATCCCCAGACGACTGCGGTAACGCAGAAGATAAGATAACGGAGGTGCAAAGCAAACCTAATACCTAGGTAATGCCTTCCACCAGGGCAAGGTTCAAACTGATTAATATAGCCTAGACTCTGGCGCGATAAGCCCAGAAGAGCCTGTCATTGGCGGCAGTGAACCATGTCTGTCTCATGGTCTCTCCAGGGCTGGCCTCCTCCTCCTCTTCTTCTTCTTCTTTGTCTTTCTTCCGTCACCGACTTCCACCCGCTCCGTAGTCGCATCTCTTCCGGCCGACGGCCAAAAAAGATCTTTCAGGCCAACCTTGGAGCATTTGAAGGCTGCCCAGGTGTATGGGCTTCGCGTTTGCGCAGTCACTCAAGCACGAACTGTTCGCGCTTCTTATGACAGGTAGTTTGGACATCCTTATCTTTGCCTTGCTAGCACATATAATCATTCCGACAATCCTCAACACCCTCCCATCCCATAGCCCATCTTATTATTATGAATATTATCATCGTTACTGTCTACTGTATGTCTCTATAGGAAGGCGCAATAAGCTTCACCAATGTGTCCCGTCCTTGAGCCGTCAGTCGGGTACACTGCTACAGTACATGCCAGGCCAGCGCTCTACGTCTCTCACATACACGCACGAACATACCCAGGTACATGGAAAATGGGAAAAGGGTTCCAGAAGACGGACTCTGCTCTGGTCATCCTGTCGCAATGGCTTGCTGTAGCCGAGCAGGAAAGTCCATAGATGCTCGCCGCAGATCATTCAGTGCATCGTTGTCGCGTATCGTGTCGAATGAACAACCGCATCAATGGATTCTCTCCGTATAGGATAAACCGCCTGCCTGGGGTTGCATATTTGCCTTTGCCCCGTTCTCACGCCTGCCTGCATATAACGAAACCTACCTCCCTAGGTAGGTATCAATCAAAGTCGACTGGGAGCGTGACCGCGGAGGAGGACGCGCCGAACCCTAACAATAATCCTTTCCAAGGTTGCCCGACTCCCCGACAATTACCCTTTTCGGAATTTATGGATTCCAAAACTACCTAGTATCATAAATCCTGGTGGCATCGATCAAACTACAACAAGAAGCACGTGAGCCGGTTCATCACACCGTGTCGCATGTCATGTTGCGTCTATCCAGCGCGCTGTGTCCATTCTGTACGGCAAGTCTCCTGGCGAGCATATCGACCAGCTCGAAATCGATACCATGGCAGCAATTCACCAAGCGCAGCGCCTCTGGCCTCCATTCGAAACGCCAGCCAGCGCGGATGCAACTCTCGGCCAGAGTCAACAGACCATCGAGGGCTTTGCCTGTTCAGGATGCCGGTCCACGAACCCCGCCAGCTCGGAAATCAAGGAACAGTCCCTTTGCGGGCATGAATAGGACAAAACCTCCTCGAGAGGTTGAGATTGCGGTTTCGCGGCCACGGCTTCCCGCGGCGGAACGTAAGAGGCAGCTCAGAATGGCACCGGGAAAGGACAGACAAGAAAAGGAGGATCGAGATCCGATGAAGGCTTTGAAGATGCAGCGGCGATTGGCGAGCGTCCCCTATGGCACAAGAATGAAGACGAAAACGCAGCTTGTAGAGCGCGATAGCTTTGATGAGTTCGATCTGTTGGACGTTGTCAAATCTTCCATTTCCTCACAGGCTCTGCGGGGGCTTGTCGAGATCTCACCTACGCCAATCCAAAGACTAGCTATACCTGCCCTGCTGGGATCAGACGCCAGGCGGAGTCGAAGAGGTGCTAACGCTCTCTCAGAAGGCAAGAAGCCCATGCAGCAATTCCTACTAGCAGCTGAGACAGGATCAGGGAAGACCCTGGCGTACATCCTTCCTGTCATCGACGCACTGAAACGCGCTGAGGCAGCAGATGCAGCCATAGCGGCCAAAGAAGCTGCAAAGGAGGCGCCTCTTCCCGTGCATGATGAATTGGACATGTTCTCCGTCGAGGCTCCCAAGAACACCACATCACATCCGACGACAGCACGACCACGAGTCATCATTCTCCTACCCACCTCGGAGCTTGTTGCGCAGGTTGGCGCTCTGGTCAAGTCCCTGTCACATGCTGTGAAATACCGATCGGCTATGCTCAGTTCCGCCTTTACAGGCACCGTCATTCGAAGTCGGCTTTTCTCGACTGCCGGCATTGACATCGTCATCTCGACTCCTCATCTAATCTCGAGCATCACCGAATCTGATCCCAACATCCTCGCACGGTGCACCCATCTTGTCATCGACGAGGCTGATAGCTTGCTCGATCGTTCATTCAGTCCCATAACACAGGGAATCATCGACCGAGCCACACCCGCTCTCGAACAGCTCATCTTCTGCAGCGCGACGATCCCGCGGACCCTGGATTCATACCTGCACAAAAGATACCCGGAGACCCGCAGACTCGCGACGCCCAACCTGCACGCCATCCCGCGACGAGTCCAGCTAAGCGTGCTCGACATCGACAAGATCCCCTACCAAGGAAACCGCGACCTCGCATGCGCACAAACTATCCTAGATATCGGCAAAGACGACTCCGGCGCCGACACCGATGAAAAGAAAATCATCGTCTTCGTCAACGAGCGCGAAACCGCCCAGGCCCTGGCCAAATACCTCATGTCCAAGGGGATCAACGCCTTCGAGTTCAGCCGGGACTCCGACCAGCGCAAACAAGCCGAGATCATGGCCTCCTTCACCGGTCAAGCACCACCCGCTCCCAGCAAACGCGGCGAAGATTCCAGCAATAGTAAGCCCGATCGCTTCGCAGCCGGGACCGCACGACGATCATCCAATACCTCCGTCCTCGTCACCACGGACATCACATCCCGCGGGATAGACACCTATCCGGTCAAAAACGTTATCTTATATGATGTCCCGCATACCAGTATCGACTTCATCCATCGTCTGGGCCGAGTGGGTCGCATGGGACGACGAGGTCGGGGCGTGGTCCTGGTTGGAAAACATGATCGCAAGGATATCGTCAAGGAGGTCCGTGAGGGAATGTTCCGAGGTGCGGCATTGATTTGATGTTTCGGTCACGACGACGATGACGCTGCCTTGCTTTCGTGTGGTGGACAGACGGACAAGGAATGTACAATTTTATTCTTCGATTCTCTGTATAAATCCTGTATTACCGTTCCCCTCTGAAAGGCGTTGATCACAGAGGAGCAACACTCATTCGTGAAAGTTTCGGGCCTTTGGATCGCTCCGAAACCCCCAGCCGAGAAAATGCGCATGCTGTACTGTACACGGTTAAAAGCTAGAATCGAGCAGAACAACTCCACTTAATAATTCTCCTCATTCTGTTATCTACATTCTACGATCAAATCAGAAACCCATGTCGGTTGATCACACACTCGTCCCAAAAACGCCCCGTGAATAGATGAATTCCCACAAGGATGCCAAAGGAAAATGGAAAAGGATCCTCTCCCTTTCTCTCTCTATTTCTGACCCTCCACCTTGGCCAGATCCGCCGCGCATCGCCTCGTGACCTCCTCCAACATGCCGGCACTAGCGGCGAGAAATCCGAGGTAAGGTTTGGACGGGGAGAGCACACGCGAGAGATACTCCGGGTGGAATTGAACACCAACGAACCAGGGATGATCGGGTAATTCGATGATCTCCATACGGACGCCGGTTTGGTCCTTGCCGATGAAAGTCATACCCTTAGACTCGAGCTGTTCGATGTAAGCCGGGTTGACCTCGTAGCGGTGGCGATGACGTTCGTTGATGGATTCGTTCTGGAGGCCGTAGAGGGCGCGGAGTTTGGACCATTCGGTGTTGGGCTGCCAGAAGGTGGGTTTCAGGCCTAGACGCATGGTGGCGCCCATTTCGCCGGGGTTGTGCTCGGGCATGTCGATGATGATACGGTCTTTGTCGTTGGCGTCGAATTCGTAGGAGATGGCTTGCGGGAGCGGGATGTTGCAGACCGAGCGGGCGAATTCCGTTACGGCAATTTGCATCCCCAGACAGACGCCCAGGTATGGAGTCTTGTTCTCGCGGGCCCATTTGGCGGCGGCGATCATGCCTTCGGTTCCGCGTCCGCCGAAACCGCCGGGGACCAGGATGCCCGATGCAGTGCAGACGTCGTGCCAGGCCATGTGGAATGCAGCTGGATCGGTTTTGTTGGTTGCGGGCTCGAGAGCTTCAGCGTCGACGTTCTTGACGCGGAGTTTGCGACGGCAGAACATGGCTGCGTGCTCGAGAGATTTGACCACGGAACAGTACGCGTCAGGTTGATCGAGGTATTTTCCAACAAGCACGATCTCCAATTCTTCGTGTAAATGTTCCAACCCAAGGGTGAGCTGCTTCCATGTGTTCCAAATGCCCTGACCTTTGGCGACCAACGCAGGTGAAATATTGAGACCGTCAAGCCGCAGGTTGGCAGTCATCAATTTGACCAGACTCTGCTCTTCAAGGAGAATTGGCACTTGATAGGTTGACGGCATGTCACGCACAGCCAAGACGCTCTCATTCGGCACTTGACAGAAGCGAGCAACCTTGTCAATGGTAGCCTGCTCTAGCGGTTTCTCACAGCGACAGGCGACAACATCTGGGATCAGACCAGAAGATCGCACAGCCTTGATGGCCATCTGTGTAGGCTTTGTCTTTTGCTCTCCATGGACCACGGGCACGTACGAGACGTGAATCTGCATCAGATCGTCTCTGCCACATCGTCGTCGCAAATCGCACAAAGCCTCCACGAAAGCCATGCTCTCGATGTCGCCGACAGTCCCTCCGAGCTCCACGATACACACATCCGGCTCTTCTCCACTGTCATCCACCGGCACCTTGGCGACTCGCTCGATCCAATCGGCAATCTCGTCGGTGACATGCGGCACGACCTGGACGGTCTTGCCCAGGTATTTGCCATTGCGCTCCTTCCAGATAACTTTTTCATAAATTTTGCCCAAGGTGATGTTATTCTGACGGGTCAGGGTGATGTTGAGGTATCGCTCATAGTTTCCCAGGTCGAGATCGACCTCTCCACCGTCATCGAGCACGTAGACTTCGCCGTGTTCGCGCGGATTCATTAATCCAGCGTCGACATTGATATAGGGATCGATCTTGATACTCGAGACTTTGAGACCAAGGGTTTTGAGCAGTAGACCCGCGGAAGAAGCTGAATATCGAATTTGTGAGAGGAAGCTCTCACGGATCTACCACGATGTCGGACGACCGATCCGAGGGTGAATTTGACATACCAATAATGCCCTTGCCCACACCGCTAATAACACCTTTGAAGGCAAACAGTCAACCTTTGTCCCACCAAATTCCGCGCAAATTCGGGGCACAACTCACCTCCAGAGACCAGAACGTACTTCATCTTGACTGAATTCGAGAAACCTTGCGCCAGCCAACCTCAATAAAGAGGAGGGGGGAAGGAGAGAAAAAAGAAGAGAAAAGAAGCCGTCGAGCGCAGAGGAATTTTGCGGTGCTGCTGGGAGAGAGGGCACGCGAGCCTGTCGCGCGTGCACTAACGCAGGTACAGCGCGGAACCTTTCAAAAATTTAGGGTTGCGAAATGGCGGGCTGTTCAGCTTATCGATTAGCCACTTCTGCTATCCAGTCAGTATACGTCATGAGCGAGCGTAAGTCAATGTCATGACCAAACGATATCGAACTTTTGCTCAGAAGCGAGCGCGGATCACGATAATGAACTATTTCCTCGTGAAGGGATCACATTGCTCCCGTAGCGAGTCGCAAATTCCTCGAAAGGCTCGTTGGAAATTGGACATGCCATGGCTTCCAAACAGCGCTCAAAGCTCATGATAAAGTACAGTAGTATACGGTCATAGAAGAACAAAAAGGACACATCCCCATCATAACAGCTATGCTAAAGGCACAAACATTCGTAAATCCTCTGTGCAAGATCTCACGTGTTCCGAGTCCGCGAATGATGTGTCAGTACAGAAAGAAAGACTCTGCCAACCCCATTACCTGCCTCGTCTCGCTCGTTTCGCGCCCGTCTGTGGCCTCTGCTCGCGCTCCAACGACCGCACCGAAGCCGCTCCTGAAGACCTCGCATCGACACTCCCGTCGCCGGCCACACTATCATCGTCGTCTTCCATTTCCTCGTCCTCGAGATCGTCCTTCCCTCGTCGACCTTTGGACGAGTTCTCTGAACCTTTCTTCACGCCGACGATGACACCTTGCGTGCGGAGCGCTTTGAGCAGTACACTGCTTGCCATCATTCCTGGGAAATCCTTGGCCGTGTATACGGTGAAGACCTCTGTGATGCAATTCGCCACACATGGGAAAATGGTTCCGGGTTTCATGTCTCTAGGTTCCACGCGCATCAGGCGGAAGCGCATGCGGTATTGTCCGATTGTGCGACAGCTCAGATCGGGAAAGACGAAGAAAATTCCTGGACGGCCCTTTTCGTCGTTGACCATATTAGGTGATGAAACTAAGGTGCCCATTAGTCGACGGGCGAAAGCTTGACCGGGATGGGCAGGTGCGATGTCGCTTTCGTCTTGTTCGGTGATGTGGTTGATGAGAGTACAATGTAGAGCGAGCATGCCCGTGTCGTCGGCGACGGGCGCACCGGTCTCGGATGAAAAGGTTTTGAGCTCGATGATGGGAGGTGGGTCGATGACTCGACGATCGCGCTCACCAAAGCCACATGCTCGAGCAGCAATGGGTTGTTGTCGAATTGTGAGCTGAAAATCGATAGGTGGTGGTTGGCTTATGCGAGCTTTGATCGGAGCGCGATTTGAAGGCCGTGGTTGGGTCGGAGGTAAATGGGCTGTGGAATTTGAGGATATTGTGGACGAGCCTTCGTCTGGCATCAAGTCAATCGATCGCTGACGATGAAGCCGGTAATCGAGACCAATGTTTGGAATCTGCGGTTGTCTGAAATATCGTGGACCTGTGCTCTCGCCGAAACTAACCATTGAAAGATCCCACAATCAGCTTTGGCATTCCTGCGTTCGGCAAAATCATTAAAGGTACTTACGCAGTCTGTGCTTTTGATGGCGTACTGCTCATCGGCGAGTGGTTCTGATAATGACGCTCAACCCATGAAGCTAGTTCGACCTGTTGTGGGTGCTGTCTTGTCGACTCCTCCAGCGGCAGCCTGGGTGATGCGAGGAGACTTGAAACTGCCATGGGACGAGTTGTCCTTGATATGGATGCTGACCGATCTGCACTTGCGTCTCGCGAATAGGTAGTGTTGTGGTGTGGCGCGTAGTCATGTTGGGCACGGTTTGGATATGCCGCATGTAACGGTGGAAGAGAGCGTATATGTGACTGAGGCGCGTGATAGCCGAATGCAGGGATATTGGCGAGATTTGCTTGATGATGATGACCCGTCATCGTGCTGGTGGAAGACATGTTGTGGGCGGAGGGCGAAGATGCAGCGGAGGTATGTTGTGTATGTGAGTTGGTCGATGTTTCACTATAGTGAGGCTTTGTGTGCTTGACCATATATGAGTTGCCTAATGAGGCAGGCGAGGGTGAAGAAGTTTATATGGTGAGGATGCAAGATGATCAAGTACCCAGAGGATCCTTGTCGCGGCCGCGGAAAGTAGTCTCAGAAAGGGTGCTGGTGTGGCAGTCACTTGAAGGAATGGGTTTATTATGCAGCTCCTGGCGAGAGGTTCACCCGGTGAACATTGAACATGGGGTGGTTTTGGTGGGTGTGGGACGAGACTTGATATAATACGGGACTTGCTCCGTGTGCCGTCGATCCCTCTCTAGGATTTGTGCGACCGAACCGCCGGGTCTCACAACAGACGTCTGGTCGATGGGTTTATGTGGGTTTGTGTGTATGTCGGCAGGTACGTTTATGTATCTGTATCTGTCTGGATGTGGATGGACGGACGCGTGAATGGGTGTCGATCTGTATGCGCGTTGTATTCTGGGTGCGCCGTGCAATGGTGGGACGAGGTTCGCAAACCAAGACGTAATAACAGATGGATGTATATGCGTTCGAATGAGCAGCAGCAGCGGCCACCACCACCACTACCACCACCACCACCACCGCAACGCAACGTGGAATCTCTCGAGGATGGTGGTCAATGTCAAGCAGGGTGGCAGCAGTCACTCGTCAACGGTACTAGCCTTTCTGTCTGACGTTGCCCACGAACGAACAAATCAAATATCGGGCCAGGGCAATTGAACGCATAGGCCCGGGACCAAAAGGGACGAACGATGACATGTGAGGTTCGCATGGGGCTCACGTGCGACGAATGGGTCGAAATGGGTACCGAAGCATCAGCACGGACGGTCCCAATCGCTGCTGCGGAGGACGGACTCATGGACTTGGACGGTATCAACAGCCTTGTCACTCTGGTGTATGCCCCGAGGCGAAACATGCAGGCGCCCATGATGGATATTTGGTCCTGGAGCGAACGAGGGATGAGATGGGACTAGTAGAAGGGGAAAGGGAACGTGCTGATGGGATAAAAATGGTGGTTTATGTGAGACTGGTCGGGGAGGGAAAAGGGACCGACACCACCATCCATCATCACTCTAATAAACCTCCAGCTACTTGGCGGTCATCACCGAAACGCGCTGGCACATTCTCCGCTCTGACCCAAACAGTGGCCGAGAAGTCGTCTCTTCACATGATAAGCCCATTATGCCGCCTGGTGTTCGGCGCCTGCAACACGCCCAAACGATTCCATCTGGGCAGTCATTTTACAGGAGGCCGAGTCGCGGGTGTGAGAAGCGCCACTTTCCACACAGTCATCGTCCGTGTCTCAAAAGATCGGGTCTGGACGGGGCTCACAGGGCGAGACATTGGCGGATCGGGCCCCTGAGTTCGCAACCAACACTGGGTAAATCGAGAGTGGCGTGTGTAATCACGACAACCATAATCGTGATCGAGTTTGATGTTATTTGACTCCAGGCACAGTTCTTGTGCAAGAGACCAGGCGCAAAGACCGCCAAAAACGGGAGCAGCTCGGGCGGCACAGTCTGTGCATGGGGCGCATGAACGAAGGCAGGATGGTGTAGCTTAATCTGTCATCATCGTGGCCACTATGATGATTAGTTGTAGCCACGGACGATGGTAGACATTCACATTGCACCAAGGACACACCAGCAGACGAAGAGTTTCACCGACGGGTGAACCGGACATAGCTCGGACGCGAGGCGGCCGTTGAGCTTGGTGCGCACAGCGGCAAAGTGAATCATGAGCGGGGAGACGACATTGACATGAGAGAGAGATAGAGAGTACCTAGGTAGGCTAAACTACGGGAGCAGCATTGGGGTCTACACTACACACTATACATCATACAATACAGGAAACACATCCCGGGCAAGACATGTCCCTATCGCCGTCGCCGTCGCCGCGGCCATTCCAATGTGATCATCCCTCTAGTGGGTCTCTAAATCTGGCCTTGTGAGGAAGGCACTGGAAGGGTCGGGTCATGACGATGATGAGACGAACTTGTCGGGATGTTTCACCGTGTCCCTTCCCTGCCGAACAACGACGGGTAATGGTTCGGCATCGTCTGCCATTTCATCATCCTCTCAGGGACCACACTGAAAGTTCGGACGAAGGGTGTATGAGGGAAAGGATGACGAGGCAGGAAGGTACAGTCGAGAGCGGTATCGTGTACCAATTGTTCATGTTGGATGGACGGATGGGATGTCTGCAGATGTGTGTCCAGTCTGTATACATAGTATGTATGTATAGAGTGAGACATCTGGTCGGCGTGCTTGGTGGCTTCGTTTGCGGCGTTTAACGGCCATTCGGCCCGCTGCTGGCTGGCTACACGCTACCGATGGTGCGCCAACCGTTTGAGAATAGAGCGAGAGAGAGGATAAGAGAGAATGAGAGCGAGAGCGTGAGGTAAATCGGGTGACGACTGATGAAGAGACAGGAATTGGGTAACTAACGGCGCATCTCCCGATATGCACTCATCGGATCAGCAATCGTCATCGTCATCTCATCAACAATGCAAATCCCTTTTCACTCATCGCCGGCTCGCCTGCCTTTGGTTGACTATCTTTTCGCAGTGAAAATCATGCCGATCATCACCATAATCAACAGCAACGGCCCCAACATGGCCTCCGAGTTTCTTCCCTGGCGTTTACCCATAATGATCATCACACCATGACGGCCTCGAAGATGGTTCATCACCTCCGCTAATAATATCGTACTGACGATAGAGGCACAGAGTAACGAAATCTCTCATTTTAGCGGAGAGGTCTTTGAAGAGCCATTTTGTGATCGGACACATGTCATCTCCTTTGGTTTTATGTCCGTTGCACCAATGTCTCATGTACCTGTTATATACTTCCAGTCGTCCAGGATGCGGCGCTACTGTGCACCGGCTGCCGTGTGAAGCGAGTCTCCAGCCGTGCCGCTTCCTTCGTACGCTTTCTAATTTCTCCACCTGGGCAGTCTCTTGAAGTACATGAGGTATACTGGGGAATGTGATAACAACGGGCCGAATTCATCTCGCTTGATGATACTGTCGCCCGAGGAGACTCGATCAACGATGATGCGGCAATTACGCGATAGCCGACGCGAATCGGTACAGCATAAGCGGGCGTCGTGAATCTGCTGCTGGTCCTGTCTGCCTGGACGTGCGCGGAAATAACATCCCGATACTTGGGAAGACGTTGGGGGAGAAGAAAACGCTTCAGGATTGCGCAGGGCGGAAGTGAGATCCCTTCCCGCCGGGAATCGGCCGGCTCAAATGAGATTGATGAGATTGATGCGATTGATGAGATTGGGCGATGACCGATGGGAACCATGGCACAGGCAGACAGCAATGACCTAAACAGGCAGGCAGCCCAACGGCAGACACAGAGTGAAATCATCCGTGGTTGCCAACCCGCTCTCCAACATTGTTATAACAACGAACATGGGTCCTGCGAGGAGCTGTCGGAGACGAGAAGCGGGCGACATGATGCAGAATCCCTGCATATCGTTATTATCCAGAGTCTACAGCCTGGTCACACTCTTCATTCATGGGTCTGACCTGGTTGGAAAACTGTCTGCATACCACTCATCAAGCCCACAATCCAGCGAATCAGACCAGACATGACGGTCACTCTCTGCAAGCAACTGCTCGCGCCCGTCGACGTGCATAAACAGCCACAGCATCCGATCTCCACCTGTTCCAACTTTCGCTCAAGGTGCGGCGCCCAGGGTCTTCGCCCCGGAAACTTTAATGAAGCAGCTTCCGTATGCTTCACACAGCGGAACATCCTCCTATAGGTAGGTCCCCATGAGGACATGCAGTATTGTGCATCTCCTTTGCAGGGCGACATCATGTTACATGATGCTGGATCTCAGACGCAAACGTCACCGGGAAGGATGCAAGCGTCCATCCGCGAACATGGCGACGCTCGTCAGCATTCACCTCAATACCAACATTGCTGAATTCGAAATCCATCGCCGATCCGAACTCTGTTGGAAGTTCACTCAAGCATACACGTCTCTGATCACGTACGGGACACTCACTCACTCTCCGGTCCGGAGTATTGCGGACCACATCCCAGAAAATATGGACTGCTCGAGCGAGGTCTGGATGCTGCACTTCATACGCTTGTCTCCACAGTCAACCACGTAGGAAGAAACACCGCCTTCCAATCCACTGGGAGCAGTCACTCACGGTGGTTTTCTGCACAGCACAGCGATGGCAAGCTCAATGCGGTTTGTTCGCAATGAATTGGTTGGTTGGTCAAGCGACTTTTCACCGAGCGCTGTATCCATCCACATCCGAAGAATTGTCTCAATTTGCCTCGCTGTCGTATCCTGCTCCTCCGCATTCGTTGATCCGGCACCTGCATGCAAGCCCAATGCTCTCTCTGCAGCTTTGAGGCCACGGCACGTTCAATTCCATATATGCCACCGACAACACATCCATATCCTTGTGTACTCCTCGATGCGTGGTCTCGTGCTCAAACCTAGCTCATAAGACAGTCTTTCGTCGGAGCCATAGTAAGTCTGAAAATTCATAGAGCAACGTACACCGCGATTCTGTCGTCAGTACGTGACTTCTTTTGTCATCAGAGAATGACCCAGCCCTGAATGCGCTCGGTTGTCACCAGGCCGTGTGACCGTCACACGACCGCATACACGGGTATCACTATCACGACATCTGGTTCAACGACCATTCCGGCGTCCGAGCATTGCAACGCCCAGCGCTTCTAAAGCGAAATGTGGTCGTGCATTATGCATGTGCTTTGGTCCGCCATGCCGAACTTGCACCGCAAATGTGGTACTGCGACTACGTCTGAGGACGAAAATCATTGTCTCCGTGATAGCAAACCTCAACGATGACAGTTGTTGTGTCATAATGACATTCTCACAGGGGCTCGTGAGACTCTTACAAGGGAGCATGCCCTGACAAGACTGGACAGTCTTTATCGTCACGGGCTCTCGACCACTTTGGCAAGAATACACGAGGATAAGTGGGTAAGTCATTCAAGGTGTATCGCAATCGAGAAACCTTCACAAAGCCAGCGTGCGCACACGGATGCAACATATCGAGAAATCACAAATCAAACCAAACTCCCCCCAATGCCATCAATCTTTGAATACCCAGGGCACCGCACTTCCTCGCCTCATTCGATCACCTCTCACACCACTTTGTCGGCAATGCGGCTTTATCAATTTTGTGATCACCCTCGGCGTTCGAAAAGAACATTTGCATTGCGTACCTGACAAATGCAGGTCCACCACCAAGACCTCTATCGGTGAGTCACCCGGGACGCCACAATCGGCTCTTGAAGCAAAGTCGTTAGCTCGTGTATCATTACCTCCCACATCTCATCCGACCAAGCCGAAGACAGGGCTGTTTTGAATAGGCTCACCCACACAAGAATCAAAGCTTTCAATACCACTCACTCGGCCCCGGAAATCCCATATCTCGCAAATCCTGCCCGAGACGGTAACGCTGCGAGGCACGTTTATGTTCCAATCTTGTCCCGAACGTGACATCCGAAATCTCCTTGACTTCCCGTTCGACTTTGCCAAGACGGCTCTCATCGAATGAGGATAGATCGCCACCGGATTGCCCACCACCATTACAATGATGATGGGGATGATGAGGATAAGCAGGAGGACAATCGCCATCTGATCCGTTACAGCGGGAGTGGCAGCCGCATCGAATTCCGTGGCTGTGATGATCGTGGGAGATACGGCCTGAATGATGATGATGGTGATGTTTTCGATATTTATCACAGCAAACTTCACCGCCACTACCACCTCCATGATGATGATGGTGTCTGCGATGAGAGTCGGCTGATGAGGATCTCCTCCTTCCTCGGTCGATCGTGTCCGAGAAGTCCTTTGCACGACCGAAATTTTTCAATTCTTCGACGGTCATTTTGTTGTAGTTCTTGAGTTTGACGCCCTGAGTTTTCTGCTTCTCTAGTCGCTTTTTGATCTTTTCGTTGGTTTCGTCGAGTGTCTCCAGACGTCTCTCGAGCCGGGAGTTTTGTTCCGAGAGGGCGATATCGTAGCGGCTTGGACGGCGATGGTAGACGGGGTAGTAGCGCGCCTGAGGAGCGAGCCAGTGGTCTGGCCACGGCATTTTTCTGGACCCGATGTGCTATCCTTGGAACAAGACTTGGATGGAAATCAAATGTGAGTGAGTGGGTTCAATGCGAACGATTCCAGGAAGTTGCGATTGTGGGTAAGGTCCGGACCAATGCTTTGTTCAGATTCCAATGGACGCTCGACAAGAGAAAGACGAGGAGAGCAGGAGGACAAGACGAGACAAGACACTATCTGGAAGGAATAATGCATTTCCCAGATGCGAACATTCCGCTCTATCAATGCGTGCTTCGAAACTGTCTGCCCGTCTGAACTTTGTCCACTATCCTACCCAACACAAGCCCCTAAGGACAAATGAGCAATTACGACAATCATTTCGTCTGGAATGTGCCGGGATGCGCGATCGGAAGCTTGCGCGGTGTGGGAATTTGAGCGTTCTGGAATGTGAAATATGCAACTACCCGTTCGAGCAAAAGGAATGTAAATCGGGAAACAAACAGTGACAAACGAGGACGGACAAGCGCAATGTTTGTGTACGTCCTTTTTGCGGCGCAGACGAATGATTATTGACCGCTGGTTCGGATGGACAAACATTCCGTCACTGAGGACGTAGCAAGCTATTTGCCTCTGCGTGAGAAAACGTGGTTTCGATGATGATTTGACATTTTCAAAATCAGAACAGGAAGTCATTAATTGCGTGCGTATGTAAAGGTCTGAAAACCCTTGCGGAACGGAATGCCGCCAGAAACAGCCGAGTTTGAGGGAAACAAACAAACATCAGTCCTCTCTGGTCCTGGTCCCAGGACAAATAGTACGAAAAAAAACCTAAACGCGCATTCCTTCCTTTCCCACGCAATGCAATGCAATTATATATCCATTTACTTCACATAGTCATCCTCAAACCCCTCCTCCGCGCCTCGCTGCGCCGAGGACTACTCCTGAAATTCCTCCGCATGACCTTCTCGCCTGCCTTCCCAATCGCAGCAATAGCCAAAGAGTTCTCCTCCTCGCTCTGTTGCCGCTCACTTCCCTCTCTTTCCTTCACAAGCAAATCCGCAAGCGCTTTCCGTCCTTTTCGCTCTGACTTCTCCTCCTCCGCGTCGATGAAGCGGTGGATGAGTCGGTGGTCGAGGATACGAGGTTCGTTGTCGTTTTTGCCCTCGCGGTCGGTCTTGGGCCAGTGGTAGCCGTAGAGTTTACTGTGGCGCTCGCATCGCGGGCAGGCGATGCGCGTTTGGTAGGCGTCGGCTTGGAGGAAATATTCATCGCAGTTGCGACATTCGACCCAGCGGTGGTGAACTGTGAGCAGAAGTGTGCGGCAGAGGGTGTAGTCTTTGGGGGTGCGTGGAATTCCACGCTTGACGTGAGAATCTGAATCGTCGAGGCCGGTGTCGGTTTGTGATTGTTCGATGCTGCGGACTGCTTTCGTTGGCAGTTCGGATTTTTGTAAACTTGAGAGCGGATTTCCTCGTGTTGATCTCCGTCGATCAGATGACTTCTCCGGAGATCGTAGCGGAGTGTCTTCGCGTGTCTGTGAACGGGTAGTACTTCTTGATATTGTCCGATTATTGTCTATCGCGGACTCGTTGTCCTGTACATCCTCCTCGCCACCTTTAGAGATCAACGACTCGCAAATCCGATGGGCTATTGCACCCGGGACAAACTCGTTCGATGTGACGCTAGAGGAGCCTGACGATTGATTTGACGACGAGTCAATGCTCTCTGTGGAAGACGAACTAGAATCAGGCTGCATTGATTGCTGGATCTTCCGCGGCCTTCCGGGTCCTCGCTTCATGGGCTTTGACTCGTCAGGAAGCGCAGAACGGATAGGCATCATGTCTGGAAGACTGTATGGATCTGCTTGTGAGTCGGTTGCGTTGGTAACTGTTCGAAGGCTGGAGTAGCTGCGCAATTTCTTCACTGATGGCAATTTATTAGGCTTGGTAGTCTCGAGGGAAGAAGTTGTAATCGCGTCGCACGTGCGTTGCGGCAATTCTTTCGAAGGTGAAGCACTTCGGGCGTCGGCGTGTTCGTATATATAATCGTCGGAAGGCGGACTCGGCTCTGAAGGAGATGCCAGATGATCGTTACTTTGATTTTCGCTAGTCGTCTCCTCCGGTTCTCTCGTCTTGATTGTCACACTTCTTATTGGTTCTGGGCGATCTGCGCTTCTTCGCAAAAGATTGACGATTTTCCTCAATAGAGGATCCTGCTGCATTTCCTCCTCGATAGGCGCTTCCCGCTGCAGCTCTATCCGCGGTGGATCGTCGAGGTCCTCCTCTGCGGGCTTCACGTTGTGCGCTTTGGGCCGCTTTGGCAATCTTCCACGATCGTGCCTTGCGGATGTCTCCTCGACAATGAAGCCACGGCCGACATCCTCGCGCTTTCTCTTGCTCGCATTGCTCGCTTCCGAGCACCCCCTCGAGGGCTGCTCCTCTCGCTTGACACTTGCTTTCTCGCTGTCTTCGTCACCATCCTCATGTAAAATCGGTCCACGCGGATCCCAACCATTACGTAGCAGCCGCTCACATGTTCCACATAGACATTCGCAATTGTCTTCTCCGAAATAGTCCATGCCATACACCACCGTAATCTCGTCTCCCACTGCGATGTCTTTGCAAGCAACAATGTGTATCCCGTGCGGACCTGTCGTATTCAACTTCGCATTTGAGTCGCAATCATGATTGGCGAATCTGGCCGGGCCGAGGAAAAGCGAGGGTCGTTTCCGCCGACTCGAGAGAACTATGCTGAAATCCGTACGACTTGACAATTCCTCCTCCTCCTTTTCCGTCATTTCCACTTGGATCCCGCTCAAGTACTTTACGACCTCGCCCTTTTTGATTGGTTTGCGCGCAATGATACAGGCCTCGGCTGTCTGAATCGTATATCTATTTGTGGTGCCGACCTCGAATGGACAATCCGGCAGATAAATGTTGACATATTTCCGCAAGTGCCGAACAAAATGTTCTTTCTCGTCTTCAGTGCGCAGACCTTTGTGGTATTTCGAGAGGCCGGATAATTTCAAAAGTTTCTCCTGTGCCGCTGCCGCATCTTTCTCTACGATTGCGTGTGTCTGTAACGCCTTGCATACATCAGCTTCGAGCACTCCACGACAGGCATGATAGTTGCTTTTGAGTTTGCGAATCGAGGACCAGAAATAGACCTGGATAGAGAAGACTGTCAGTATAAATGCGCCTGGTCGACTCCGTGTACACTCGGCTCAACACCTACCCGATCGACGAGTGTATCTGTAAGGATGTCGTCGTAGTTGGCCAATTGTGACAGGGTCAAGCCTCCCTTTTTGCGAAGAGCCTCTTCCAGATCAACGGCCCTGGGCGGCATATTGTCGAGTCGGGCGACTGTCGGCGCATAAAAATTAGGAGGTGCGGATCACGCGCCTGCGCGTGGACTCAGCAACCAAGTACTGGATCGACTTGATCCAGGTTGTGGAATGTTGTTACGATACACTGTCGAGATCGAGTCCAGGTCATGACAGGGAAGACGCAAGTGGCAGTAGCAAATTAATGTCGACTCTTGCAGTGCTGCTCGTCTTCCAGCGACATGATATTAGTTTGCGTGGTAAACTTGTAATGAGCGGCGATTTGTATTAGGCCTTGTCGAGTGTGAGGACAGCACACGCCGCAGAATCAAGAAAAGGGAAAGAAGGATGACAGCCGGGAGGACGTGTGTGCGCCGTGAGGATTCAGTCAGCGCGCGCACAACGAAGTCTGAAAGAACAAGTTGTAGGTGAACGAATCGAAAAGAGTGGTAGGCCGACGACGGGATGCATGGAAATGCGCTTCCTCCACATATGCGCGTGCGCGCCGGTTGACACGCCAGCCAGAGGGGACAAGGAGGGACGATTGATGGCACTTGGGGTGGTGCAATTTGTCCAGCCACCGAACCGAGCAGGGAGGCCCCCATCAAATTGCGGGCGGATTGCGTAGCGAATCAATGAATGCACGTCGACTCAACCCTAATGAGTGAGAAGAGAGGACTGGCATTCCCGTGCCTTTCTCCGCAGTCTGCGCTTCCCTATTGGCTCACAAGCAGAGAGCGCAAGCTACATGATCAAATCACGACTGTAGAGACATTGTGCGACAATTCGATATCGGGCATCGTCCATTGTCAGACTCACGGCCAACCGCATTGTCAGTCGTGCCCATTAAAACCTCAATTTACCTGGAAAATCCCTCCTTGGAGGAACAGAGACAAACATGATTCAATTAAAGGTACCATGCCCATCCTTGGAGCAGGGCACAATGCCATTCGAATGGCCCATGAACTGACAATTCATCCTTCCGATCGTTTTCAGACCATGCTCAATGTCATCGACAACTCTGGCGCCGCCGTCGCCGAATGCGTCAAAGTCCTCCGATCCAAGCGCGCCGCCAAAATTGGTACACGAAGAAATACCACAACTTCTCCCGAAATCCCATCAGCTAATAGGATTCCCCAACAGGTGACCGGATAATCATCGTCGTTCAAAAACAGCGCAATTTCGGCCCCGAATCAGGACCCGGAGGCTCCGTGTCTGTGGGAGCCGCGAACAAAGTCCGACGAGGTGACGTGCGACATGCGGTGGTCGTGCGAACGAAGAAGAAGTGTCAGCGACCGGACGGAAGCGTGGTGAATTTCGACGACAATGCGTGTGTGCTGATCAACAAGACGGGCGAGCCAATTGGGTCGAGATTAAACGGTGTGGTGGGATCGGAGTTGAGGAATAAGAAGTGGAGCAAGATTCTGAGTTTGGCGCCGATGCATCTGTGAGGGACAGGCATGGCAGTGGAAGGGACGATGGGAAACAAGCTTGGATTGGAAAGGAGGTAGAAGGGTGAACATTTGTATCGAAGGACAAGTTCAGCATTTGGCGAGGAGTTAATGGAGTTTTGGAACGACCATGGACGAGAGATCTGTGTGGATGGCTTATCGTGCCATCAAGGACATCCACGTGCTGTACCAAAGTCACGGCACGTTGTTTTGTATATCAGAAGAGCGTCGCCTCTCATGTCACATTTCTTCGCATCACTTGAACGGTATCGCAACAGCACGAGATAATCTCATTCCATTGCCGAATCAGTGAAAGGCGATCACTGCTATAGCTATGATAACACGCATCCCACATGCCAGCAAGACGCGTACAATCTTGTGTTTACTCCCAAACGCCTCGCTAAAACAACACGGGCGGAACACTTTCGCCCTTAATCAAACGCGCCGACTTATCGCAAACAATATCCTGCCCGCTCAGGATTAACTCTTGTGAGATGAGCTTGGGTGGACCAGACGGCACACGCAAGACCTTGCGCATGACGCACATCTCTCCCAGGCTGTCGAATGGGCCCCGAGAATCCGCTCGATTGGAGGAGACATTCTACTTCTTCGAGTCGTCGAGCGTTGACCAAACATGCTTGCAGCCTTCGCAGACGTAGAACAAGGCCTATCGTGGTCGGTCAGTACGTGATGACTTTCGAAAGAAAATTCAGAGGAAGCAGCGTGTACGTACCATGCCGGTTTCTGCGTTGCGCTGTTGACTTTGGAAGAAGACCGCGCCGTGGTGCTTGCATTTCTTACATTCGACCTCATCAGTCCAGGGCAGCTATACATGATCAACCTCGGTCAGCATACCATGCATAGACGAGGATGAAATGGCGAGCTTGATTTAGTCGGCATGCGGATGATGTTTAGGACTTCTTGTGGCTTGGTTGGGAAAGTTGACGCTCCATTGCTTCCGCGCGGACGTCCTCCTTGCTGGCAGGGCCATCCGGATCCGTGACCTCGTAAGCCAGGCAGCGATCGGTAGGTCGTCCGCACGTTGGGCAAAGCACCTCTTGTCCGCACATGGTACACATGAAAGGTTCGAAATCGGGTGCGTCCAGCATGCCATCGTCCTCTTCCTCATCTTCGTCGTCGTCCATGCTCAGGTTGTTGAAGGCAGAGGAATCGGGGTCACGTACCGTGGGATCTTCCAGGACGTCGTCAACATTGCCGGGCGTCTCGGCAATATCTTCCTTGAGAGAGTTGCGGTAGATGCAGGCGGTGAGGGACTTTTCGATGTGGTGGCAGGTGGAGCATTCGAAGACCAAGGTCTCGGTCGCGGCGTCTTCGTGAGGTTGCAACATGTTGGAGCTACAAGTATGAAAGTCAGCGATAGAGAATGAGACGGTCTGGTCAAGGGAAGAATCATGTACCATTCGGGGCAGAAGCGAAATGCGACCTTGCCAGTGTCCTTGACGATGGCCGCGGCGGGGTCTTCAACGTCGTAGTTGTCCATTTCGTGTGGTGTTGATATTGGTATCGTTGTGATGAGGGGAAATACGTATGTAAAGCGGTAAGTATATGCGGTGTATGCTTGTTAAATGCTAGTGTTGCGGTGCAGTTGGTAAGTGGTGTGAGTAATGTTCGCAACGGATGTTCGGAGAATTGAGCGCTGGCTGGAGGGCTTTATGTCGAGGTGAGGAATTATGTTCGCAATATATTCACATGGAAATGGGAATATAATTCATGAGAGGAATCTGGGGGCGGCCCTACCCGTCCATCCGCCGACGCGACGAGCCGCTTCGACACATGACTCGCGCCCGAGTCGCTACCACTTGCCTTCTAATGACCTCACTAATACCTTCTCAATGTAGTAATCATAGGTATAGACAAGAATGTTATAACATAGTGTAGCGTACTTGATTTCAGGATCTCTTCATAGTCAGAAATTGTGCGAGTATTAACACCGAGATGACTTTGTTACATTTGGGGACGTCAAAGCTTGTATATAGATCAATTACCACTTTCCACATGTTGCTAACGTGACGTTAGACTTCCATTGCACTTCGCTTTTGTTACATCGGAACAACATCACCACTCCGAATAACAAATTTCGATGGCTTCTCTCAGGACCATTATCGTCACCGGCGCCGTAAATCACTACCCTTCCCATTAGACTTATTGACGTCATAAATTGACAACATACCTCCAGAATCGAGGCATCGGCCGAGCAATCTGCCAGACTCTCCTCTCCGATAAAACCATCGGACCCGTGCATCTCGTCGCGACATCCCGAAATGGCGACGACTTCGGCCTGACAAGAGCACACAAAGACCACGAAGTCTCGTATGCGAAACTCGACATTGCCTCATCGGACAGCATCCACAACTTTGTCGAATCGTTCAAGAAGCAGCACGACCGCCTCGATGTGCTCATCAACAATGCGGGCATCAACATCAACGCCGAAGACACGCCCGCCTCGGTCACGAAGACACTGAATGTGAACTATCACGGAACGTTACAGGTATGTATACATGCATCGATGATAAGCGATCTATCACAATCGACAAGATTCCTCGAATTTCCTAACGAGCATACCATGACATGACCAGATGTGCCAAGCCTTCCTCCACCACCTCACTACTACGCGCACCCATACCTCACGAATCGTAAATCTCTCCTCCGTTGCCTCCTCTCTCCGCGCCTACAGTCCCGAAGTAGCATCACGTTTCCGCAGCATTGCTTCGCAAGGAACTCTCAAAGATCTTGAGCAACTAGCACATGACTACGATGCAAGTTCACCCTCATCCGCGTTTGCCGAACCACCCCGACGCTCGTATTCAGTCAGTAAAGCGCTCGTCAATGGATTGACGGCGATTCTGGCGCGGGAAAATCCCTCGATTTTGATCAATGCGTGTTGTCCTGGGTGGATTGATACAGATATGGGTGGGATTGTGAGTCCGCGGGGTACGAGGCCGCCGAAGACGGCTGAAGAAGGCGCGCAGGTGGTGCTGCACCTTGCAGTGGGTGAGATTGGGGATGTGAGTGGGAAGTATTGGGCGAATGACAGTATCAGAGCGAAGGGTTTGCCGGGGGTGAGGGAGTGGTGAAGGAAGCAGAGTGTATTAGACATCAAGTATGTAGAGTAGAAATCGCGCTGCGTTGAAAATGTATAATTTGAAATTATTTTCCGTGATCATTATAGAGAGAAGTACGAGAGAACTAGCATCAGAAGACAAGAACAAACACCACTCCAGAAAAATACAAAAGCTCAGTCCTGTGTGCATGCGCAGACTCAAAAGCAGAGAGAGAGAAGTGGCACGCGCTCCAATCCAGTAGACAGCGTCACCATCTTCATCTCACATCATCAAGATTCCTCTTGCGAGAAAAGAACAAGAAACAATATAGCGACCAAAGGCATCACAACTCACGATCATGAACAAGGACCGTCCAGAGAGAAAGAATCGAAGAGAGCCTTGTCCTCGTCATCATCGTGAAACCATAAACCCGTCACGCCAACGCCCTTCACGGCGCCGTCAACGACCCTCCTAGAAGATCATACTCTTCACTGCGCTCCGGTTCCGGTGACCGCGACGCTCGCTCATGGGCGGCGTCGACGGGCGAGCTGTATCCTTTTCAGGCACAGGTGGTGCCATCGAGACCGGTCGACGAGCAGGGACGTCTTGGATAAGCGGCGATGAGAAAGGAGCGCCTCCCAAATTAGGAGAACGAATCGGTACGGGAGCGATCAAGGATGGAGAGCCGAAGTCAACGACGTCGGTCTGGGCCGCCGACATTTGGGGAGAGTCCTGTTGAGGGTGTTGCAGCCGAGAGGACTCCTCCTGCTGTCGTTGCCGCTCTTCCTCCTTTTGCTCTTTGAGGAGTTTCTCACTCTGCTCATGCTCGGACTTCTCGCGAGCGTGCACAAGGTCAACCCACTTCAAGCCTTTCTTGTCGGCAGATGCAGCGGCTGCAGCGGCAGCGGCAGCAGCAGGGTTGCCGATGACTTGTGCAAGCTTCTCCATCCAACCGGCCTTGTTGGCGGTGTTGTCGGCGTAGAAATCGATGGTCTCACCGTTGGCGAAGCGAATGCGGAAACCTTCTTCGACGTAGGCATAACCCTCGTCTTCTTCTGCGAAAGCCGATTTTCTCCTACGGCTCCGCCCACTTGATGTGTTGGTCGTGGCTGCAACAGGATCTGCGACGAGAGTGCTCTTATCGTCCACGAGGCGAGACGCCTTGCTGAGATTGATGACGGCACGCTTTTGGTTAGTGTGCTCGTGGAATGCAGTCAGACGCACGCCTTGCAGGCGGAAGAAACGTCGGCGCCAGTGTTGGCAGTCACCACCTTGTTGACTGAGGTAGCCTTCGTGAATAATTTCAACATTCTCAGTGACGGCCTTGTCAGCGCGATTGATCTCGCGAACAGCAGCGCTCATGCTCTTCGGCATATCCTCTTCGACTGCACCCTTAGGACGGGGAATGTAGAGAAGCTGGACTTGAAGATTGCCAATGACGTATGGAGGACGACGAATGGGAGGGGCATTTGTGCCACGCTTATTGCGGACACTGTTGATGACGGCGGCGTCCTTCTCCAGAGCCCATTCATTGTAGCAAGGGACGTTAATGGTCAAGGCGCGACCAAAGCAGTCCTTCTCATGTGCACGGAGATTGATGTAGGCTCGTGCGAATGAGCCATTTTCAGTGCTGACGAGTTCGTGGAGAAGGTCCCATGCGGTAGGTCTCACGCTTGCACGTTTGCGTATCAGATCTTCCTTCTTTTTGCGTTCCTCGGCTTCTTGGGCCTCGCGCTCTTGGCGCTCCTTCTCGGCTCGCTTCTTCGGACTGCTGAGGAATCGCGAGATGGCGGCACCCTTGGATGGGGACTTCTTCGAGGGTGAGGTGGCTGGCTGTGCAGCTCGTATAGGCTTAGTGAGTTGTGTGGTCAATGTCAACTGAAACTCTAGGTCGTTGAGGACTACAAGCTCAAACTCCTGTCCGATGGAGGCCGATCTGCCCATCTCAAGATCCGCAGTGGTGACGCAGTGCAAACCGTTGTCCAGCGTAAGTTGGAAAAAGGTACGCTCGTCCGAAGGAAGCGGCAATTCGAGATCTTTGATTCCGACGACTTTGACAAAGAGGCGACCTCGCTCAACATCCTCTCCGACTTCGTCTTCGAGGCTGCTGGTGCCTGCAGCAAAATCTTCATCAACGACGCCAAGGGCACTCTTATGTCCAGGCATAGGAGGCGCAGGCTCTGATGAACAAGTGGAGATGTGTCGCTGACTTTGTCGGCGGGTCTTACCATTCCAGGGCTCGGTCTTCGTAACCTGCTCGCCGCTGGGACGCCTGCCTTTTGATGCAGCACCTCGAGAGCTGACCTTTGAGGCTCCCTCATGGGAGAGAGCAGTGGCACTGCTCTCGTTGGAGAAAGATCTGTTAGAAGCGACCACCACCTTGGTATTCTGCCGGGTAAGATATCCTTTCTGCGAAGCGAGTGTTAGAATGTACTCGATGATTTGGAACAGGTGGCAAGACTTACTGTTTGATACTCGATGACTCGATCGAACTCTCGGTCAAGTCCCAACTCTGGGCCCTCTTCGAGGGTAGGCACATTCAGGTTTATGTCAACCTCCTGGCGTTGATATTGTGAGTCACCATGGGGAGTTCCGTCACCCTCGCTGTACTCGTCATCGTCGTGTAATGTGTTGTCTTGTGCTACATCTCGTGCAGGCATCTCGTGCTCTCGGTCAACCATGTATCGCTGCTCAGCCATACCCATGAGATCAGCTGGTGTAGCAGACGGCCGAGTCTTCAGCTTTCCACGTGTCTTGATAGTAGTGCGCCGCTCTGGAATCTCGATGCTGACTTCTGGTTCCACAGGACTGACAGGCTCAGGTGCCGGGATTACTGACTCGGGAAGCTCACCCTCCTCGATCGCAGAGATTGCATCATCATCTGCACGATGAACGACAGACTCCGGTGTGCCAGGAAGCGAGTATTCGGCGCCATCGTAAGTGGGACGTGGCAAATCCTTGTATGCTGGCTTTGATTGAGTTGGCGGTGGGAGAGATGGAGCAGTTGAGGTGATGTCCACACTGCGTGTGGCTACTTCGGAAACAGGAGGAGGTGAGGCGGACATGAATTTGTTGATGCCAAAATCATAGTCGCCAGAGCTGATGAAAGTTGGAAGACCTGGGAAGTCCTTGGCAGTGATGGATGCAACGCGTGGTTGGGAGTAGTCTTGAAGAGTCAACAACTGCATTGCGTCCTGAAGAGTCTCCTTTCCATCAGGAATATCTAGGGTGCTCTCTGCATGCGCCTGTAATTCAGTGCTCTCTGCCTCGGGCTCGACAGTAGAGTACCGAGTGTACTCGGTGTCATCCTCGTTGCTTCCAACGGACACTCTGTGCCGCAAGACTGAAGACTGGCGCTCAAGACCACCGAAGCTGACATCCACAGGAGCTATCGCAGACATGTCGAATTCATCGTCATCGACAGGCTCCTCCTTGATGAATATTTCCTTCTCGATCACCGTCGTCTCCTGAAGGTAAGATCCAGGGGTGTAATTGGATGTCTCTCGGCTGGTTTCACGAGATGGGATTGGCTCGTCAGGATGAAAGTCCGCCATCTCTGCGTAAGTCGGACGAGGAGGCGAGTCCTCCAGTGTCGAGTCTTCGTGAGTCTCTTCGATATCAAATCTCCGGCTTCGGACTTTGCGTAGGATGCTTTCGCGAGAGATCCGTGGAGGAGAAGTTGTGAATTGCTCCAAGCCATCAGCGATGGAGTCATCTGCGCCTTGGTCTTCATTGGATTGGGCTTTTGCGTGCTCTGGCTCATGGGAGGTCCGCAAATCCGATTGAGCATCCGCCTTAGCTTCGACGTCTTGGGAGCCGCTGCGCTGAAGTCCCATGATTTCCAAGCGCTGGTCCATGGTGAGTGACGCACGAATCATCGGCGACTCCTCTCGGCTGCCCAATGCTCGCCTGGGAGGGGTCGGTAGACCACGTCTGGCATTAGCAGCACGTTCCGCGGCAGCATTCAGAGCTGAGAGACGACGCTCGCGAAGCACGCCGGGAATGGGCGGAAGCGGGCGGGACTCGCTATCAGAGACCACACTCTCGGTACGGCTGAAGTTACGGTGCGACGATCCAGATGGGCTAGTGAAGACATCATCGTTCTCGTCCACAAGATCGGTTCGAGCGTGATCGGGAGAGACGCGCGACCACTGCTCTGGAAGAACGACTGGAGTCTTGTCTGCATTCTCAAGATCATCATCAAAGCTATCGTCGTGCTGTTCCATAGAGCTTCCTCGCTCGAAGCTGTAGTCATTGTCGTCATACTCTTCAGAGTCCCAGCTGCCTTCACGCGATTCAGATGCGGAGATGGAGGGTTCTGGAGTAGGTTGCTCATACTCGTTGATGATGGGAGGCTCTTCGCGGAATGTCACGCTCTTGTTCTGGCGCAGACCTCGAGGTGTCAAGCGGCGCTCCTCGTCATCTGACCATACTGAATTTTCCGGGTCGTACAGGGCGCCGCTGAACTGACTTGTACGTGCTAGTGATGATTTTGTGGGAGAAGGTGAACCTGCAGACTTGACAGGCGACGTGTTGACCGAAGACGGGAGCTTGCCCGGAGAAGTGTGAAGGTTGCGAAGCGGGTTGTTCTCTTTTCGCAAGCTGTCGTAACGTGTGAAGCTATTGTTCGCCAATTGTTGGCTGAGTGGTCGGTTGGCCGCCGGTCTCTCCACGATTGGGACGCTCGCCGGATCGTATACAGCCTTACTTTCCATCGCGAAAATGTTGCTTGTCTTGACTCGGCTGGCCTGTTTCAGCTTTTCAATGCTAGCACGACGGGTAGGCGAGATGTTGCTCGCTATTTCTGCCTGTTCTGGGTCATTTTCGATGTCGTAGCGATTGGGTGACATGGCGTCTTTGATGGACCAAAAGGGCCGTGGTGAAGTTTCTTTCGGGAAAGAATTCTCAGTATACGGTGATGCTTCGCGCGATACGATCATTTTCTGTGTAGTTGGAAGTCATCTGTCAGTGATGCTCAAATGCGACACGTCCTGGGTAGCTGCTGCCGCTTCCGCGATCGCGACTTACCTTGGTGGCTTGAATGTAGGAAGGAGAGTTGCGTCGTCGCTCCGTGCTGCCAATCTCGGACAGCGGTCGCGAGGAGGCCATCTTGTTTGGCGTAGCGTTATTGTCGGTCGCGCCAGATTTGCTGATGCGCAACGGCGGAACCTGGGAGGTCGTCGCCATCAGTGTTGGCGTTCACAATGTGAATGATGCGTCTTGTCGCTCCTGGTAGGTGAATCGAAAAGCGCACGGCGCTGGAAAGAATCGAATTGTTCAGATGATGCTCAATGTAGTCGTGCTTGTTTACAGCATTGTCCACTGAAACGAGTGTGGTGTAGACGCGCAAGTAAGGAGATGACCGGGAAAGCGACCAAATGGTGCGAGGAGAGCGGTGATGAAGCGAAGGGACCTTTGGAGATGTTGTTTTCCTTGGTCGTAATTCAGACGAAGAAATGATATGTAGTAGTAGCAGCTCTGTAGTGAAATGCCTTGCTTGCTGGTGTATGTATGCAGCACCAGCTCAACCCGGAAGTATTTTGTGTATGCTATACACAACTACCCTGGCTCGTGAAACGGTTGAGTCGGTCAGAATTGGCGTATAATTCGGGCTGCCGGCTGTATCTGGTGGCATGACCCATCAATTGCGCTGCCATGACAACAACCGCCGTCGTCGGGAAGCCCCGCATTGACAAAGTCGAACAGATCGATAACGGTTACACGCGATATCGACCTGCATTAGGCCTCCGACATCATGCACACAATTGAACTAGACCGCCCTCATTAATTCAACTCCATGTCCCTCCGTCAATGACGTTGCTGTTCAGCGATTGGTCCAAGATGAGATGAAATGGATCCTTTACTGCAGCAGCTGTCCACATTCGCAACGCTGCATTAACGAAGAAGAAGTCTGGAGAAGGTCACCCTTCTGCTACGTTGCTCAACACTATTTTCTTTTTGAATTTCTGCTTCGGCTTCATGACAACCGCCGTTGAAATACCCAACGTTCCGACCAAATTCGTTGTCATCTCGCATACCTACAGCGCATGGCGCCTCCGATAGTGGCTGACTAGTCCCAGCATGTTTCACTTTATTTTGAGACCAGTCCCCGCATTCGATGGGATTGGGATTGAGTTTGTCGTTTGGGATGAAGCACTGCGAACGGGCGAGCTTGGATGTCTTGCTATATAAGAGACAAATGGTACCTGCCAGAAGGATTATGTTCAGTCGTGCCTGTAAACAACTGTGACAAGATATATAAGAACCGAGATGAAGCAGGAAAAGTGAGGCACGTCATTGAATGTGAGGTCTGGATGATGAGGATAACTTTTGGCGGACCATCAGCGCAGCGTTTTCTCAAACTCCATCACTATCGGCATATCAATCCTCCCAGGCGCAATCTTGGTCCAATCCTTCTCAACACGCCGATCGATATCCGGCCAGGGACCCAGCGGCGTAATTGCCTTAGGATTAATATCACAGTGACTCTTAGTGTAATTCTCCTTGATATGTCTGAAATTCGTCGTCTCTCTGAAAGCGCCATGGTCCCAATACAAGCCTTTCAGCCAATTATACAGCACCGGATACGAATACCGCAACATGCCGAGATTGCATTTGAAGTGCTGGACATAGACGACATCGAAGCGGATCAATGTGACGTAGGTCCGGACGTCGACTTCCGTCAGGTGGGGACCAAGGAGGTAGGGACCACCGTTCTTGGATGCTAGACGCTCGAGTTTGTTCAGCGAAGCGAAGACGGCGGGGATGGCTTTATCGTATGATGCTTGGTCTGGGGCGAAGCCGACTTTGTAGACGCCCGTGTTGAGAGTACCTTGGAGCTGGTCGTTTAGTGCATCAATTTCTGCTCGGAGTGGTTCTGGGTATAGTGAGATTGATTGTAATTCTGTCAGGATGAGGTCGTTGAAGGCAGTCTGCAAGTCCCGCAGCAACTCCGTCGATTCGTTGTTCACGATGGTGTTGAGCTTTTTGTCCCAAAGAACGGGAACACTGTATCTTCCTTTGTAGTCTTTGTCCGCCTTAAAGTAGAGGTCATGCATGTACTTGCTTCCGTAAAGCTTGTCTTCTGTCGCACCTTCATATGGGACAGCGTTCTTGACGTTAAATTGCCAACCGGGCCAGCCATTTTCGTCCCCTTTAGGGTATGGTTTGGTGCTGGTCTCGATCTCCGCGTATTTCTGCAATTGCTTCAGCTGGAAAATGATATTGGCGCGGTGAGCAAAGGGACAAAATAAGCCGACGTAGAGATGGTAGCGGCCTTGCTCTGGTTCGAAGGGTCCCTCAGGCGTGATCTTTCCATGGAACGAATCTTCAGGCCCTGCATGCCATGACGATGGCAATTCTGCTGCGGACATATTGGACAATGCTGACATGGAAGAATCTTCGATCACGGTGTTGATACAAATTGGATCAACAAATACAGATCACAATGATTAATGAATGATTATTCGGTCGGCAATGGCGGGCACACTTGCGTCATTGTAACCCCAACATCAACCCTAGTATTCCGCGCCGAATCGCATCTGGAAATTCCTCGAGCGTCCATCGGGAACACCACGGGAAGATCCCAGAATTGCCCGATGCGGAAATGCTTGATGCGAGAGCCGGGACTCTGATCGGTCGCAAGAGCACAGATGACTTATCACCGCAATCGCTTCTCGGATTACTCATTGATCTGTCTATTCAAGCGGCGGTGCTCTTTCTGGAGATGCCCTCGGAAGTGTAGAATGAAGCTGACTAGATATGATTGGTCATCAGCCACAACCCCATGCCATCGGAAAGGACGCGGGCAATCTCCATGGGATTTGAATCTGACCGGCAGAGTAACGCCGACAACGGGCCGAATCAGCTCAGGTACCAGAACATTGGACAACACATTGGCACAGCATCGACACAATTACTCCTTTTGCCAAACACTTGTACAGCATGCCAAGCTAAGCCACTGGCATAAGATTGAGCAAGTGCTTCCTTCGTGTAGATGTGAAGACTCTAATGATCCCAAGCCTTGGTGCTAGTACCTTCTCATACAGCCAAGAGATCGCCTACAGACAGCGGCCCGATTGATGCTCAGCTGTGAGCCATTGGATGGCGTACAGGGAGCATAATGAGGTGCCGTTTGTCCGTGGCGAGAGCCTGGTGTCGTATCTAATGCGCTGTCTACATGATGATGGACATGACGATTTGTCTTTCCCCGCATTAATCGCGCCTTGAGGATCAGGAAGCCCGGGGTGACCAGGGTAGGTACAGTCGCCAATGGCATCGACATATATAATAAGTTGGTTTCCCGACCTCATTCATGCAGCAGATCTCTTTATCCTGCAAGCGTGCTCTGGATGACATTGCAATCATGTTGAACTTCCTTGCAACAGTACTACTTTCGGGAGCATGGGCCGTCAATGGTGCGTAACGCGTCATTCAAAGTCGTCGGCATTGGCGCTGACATATATTCCAATAGCTCAAACGCCTACTGAGCGAGTGATCCCTACCCTCGCTCCACAAGTCAATGCAGCACCAAGTCTGACTCCAACAATTCACGATCCTACCGCGCCGAATGCTCAACGCTGTCCGGGGTACAAGGCCTCTGGCATTCACTACAAAGCCAATGGCTTCACTGCAGACCTGAACATTGCCGGAGCCAATTGCCAGGCCTTCGGCAATGATATCGCTAACCTCAGGCTGCTCGTGGAGTACCAGACTCAGGACCGGCTCAATGTCAAGATCTGGCCCAAGTACCTTAGCCTGGCCAACAGTACCCAGTACGTGCTGCCTACGGAGATCGTGCCAGCGCCCGTCGCTGATGGCAAGACTACAAACCACACGAGCGATCTGAAACTTGAGTGGACCAACGAGCCGTCTTTCCAATTCCGCGTGTCGCGCAGCAAGACTGGTGAGGAGCTTTTCTCAACCTACGGCAGCGTGATTGTCTTCGAGGATCAATTCCTCGAGCTCACGACCAGCATGGTCAAGGTCAGTCCGTATGATGCCGCGGGTGATCATTCATTATTTACTAATGGATTATCGCAGGATTACAACGTCTATGGACTTGCAGAGAACATTCGCGACTTCCGCTTGGGAAACAATCACACACAAACATTCTACGCAGTGGACGCCGGTAACACTGTGGACGGCAACGTCTACGGAACCTTCCCATTCTATCAGGAGACTCGCTACAACGTGGATGGCAAGACACAAGCCCACGGAGTTTATGCTCGCAACGCCCATGGTCAGGAATGGCTTCTCCGTGATCGTAAGATTATTTACCGCACTATCGGCGGTAGTCTTGATTTCTACTTCCTCAGTGGTCAAGATAAAACGGGACAATCGAGTGCTCTGGAGACGATCCGCCAATTTCAGGTTGGTTGTGTTGGTACACCAGCAATGCAAATGTTCTGGACATTTGGTTTTCATCAAACTAGGTATGCAAGATTACCATCGGGCTATGCGGAGACTTTACATCTGCTTCATAGCTAGATCTCAAACTTATTCTGATCTCGATGCTAACAATGTCGCGGCAGATGGGGTACGTTGATTCTGCTTGATATCATCCTTGGTGAGGCAGACTAACAATGAGGTCTAGGCTACCAGAACATCTCGGTGATGCGCGATGTTCTCAAGGGCTACAAGGATGCCAATATCCCCCTCGAAGCAATTTGGAACGACATTGATATCTACGACTTGTACAGGGACTTCACAAGTGACGATAACACTTTTCCCGCGTCGGGAATGAAACGACTCATCTCGGACTTGCATGCCAACGATCAATATTACGTACCAATAGTCGACAGCAACATCTATGTTCCGAACCCGAACAACGCAAGTGATGCTTACGCGCCATTTTCAAGGGGTGCTGAATTGGGCACATTCATTCGCGATGCAAATACTGGCAATTTCTACTACGGAAACAATTGGCCCGGCTTCTCGGTTTGGCCAGACTGGCTGCTTCCGTCGTCGCAGACGTGGTGGACATCTGAGCTGGTATCTTGGTGGCACAGCATTCCATTCGACGGTATCTGGATCGACTTGAGCGAAGCTGCATCTTTCTGTGCTGGAAATTGCGGCAATGGCCGACTCACCGAAAACCCGGTGCACCCTCCCTTCCTGCTCCCAAACGATGAATTCCAGACAGATTACCGGTATCCTGAAGGCTTCAACATCTCCAATGCAACTGAAGCCGCATCGGTGAGCGCTGCGTCGGCTTCGCAGGCATCGATCTTGAGCACCCGAACGCTTCTGCCGGTGCCAACCACGACTACACGAGGCCGTACGATCCCGACTCCAGGCGTTCGCGACCTTAGCTTTCCGCCCTACGTTATCAACCATGTCCAAAATGGCCATTCGCTGCTGAGAAGTGCCATCGCTCCCAATGCTACACACGGCGATGCCTCGAAGACTACGGAATATGAAATGCACAACCTCTTCGGTCTTCAAATCAGCAACGCTACATACCATGCGCTTCTTTCAGTCTTTCCCGGTAAACGTCCCTTTACTGTGGGAAGATCAACGTTCGCCGGGTCCGGTAAGACCACGAGCCACTGGGGTGGCGACAATACATCCACATTTGGTTCCATGTTCCTGTCGATTAGCCAGGCGCTCACCTTCATGATGTCCGGAGTTCCCATGTTCGGAGCTGATACGTGCGGGTTCGCGGGCAACACGGATTTTGACCTCTGTTCGCGTTGGCAATCGCTTTCAGCCTTCTTCCCCTTCTATCGCAATCATAACGTCAAGGCAACGATCAGCCAGGAGGCGTACCGCTGGTCATCCGTTGCGGAGGCTACTCGACGAGCAATCAAAGTCCGCTACAGCTTGCTCAACTACATGTACACTCTTTTCTACTACGCCCACACCAAGGGTGATACCGTGATGAGAGCTCTCGCCTGGGAATTCCCCCAAGACGCTTCCCTCCGAGGTACATACACCCAATTCTTACTCGGACCATCCATTCTTGTCACGCCGGTCCTGGTCCCGAACGCAAACACTGTCAAGGGAGTGTTCCCCGGAATCGGCCAAGGTACGCGGTGGTACGACTGGTACACTCTCCGCGAAGTCCAAGCCAAGCCACAAGAGAATGTCACGATGCCTGCACCGTTGGAGCACATCAACGTTCACGTTCGTGGTGGATCTATTCTACCGCTTCAGGCCCCACAGATGACCACCACTGCTACCCGGAAGAGCCCATTCAGCTTGCTTATCTCTTTGGATGACTGCGATGAGGCTAGCGGAAGCTTGTATCTTGACGATGGCGAGAGTCTCGTCCCGGCCGCGACGAAGCTGGTCAAGGTACGTCCTACAAAGTAATGCACATGTACACACGAAGGCGATATCGCTGACCATCTATACCTCACAGTTCAAATTCAGCAAGAATAGACTTACGTCTCACATCAACGGAACCTACGCCACCTCCGCGCCACTCAAGCAGATCACTATCGCAGGTATCAAGAACCGCCCACGCGGCATTCGTTTGCGTGTCGGCGGTTCGAAGTGCGATGAGCGCAAACTCGCATGGACTCACACTAACGATACGCTGAGTGTGAGCGGCTTGGAGAATTTCTCGAAGACTGCCTTCGAGGGAGCTTTGGACCTCCGATTGGTATATTGATCAGTCTGGCAAGGTCACCAGAATGAAAGAGTGATAGCTGAGTAATCCGAAAAGTGGTTTTTAGTGATGTGCCAGCCGTAATCTCGCATACATGAAGACACTTGCGTACCACATGTCGCCCTTTGAGCTTTTATACTCCGCCAATTAAAGCGGCGTTCCATCAACGTGGCTAGCCTGCGTGAGCTTTTGTATTACCGTTCATATAGGTGATAATAATCGGAAGAGGAAGTGCTATTTTGCGAGCAAATCGTGCTGTTCAATTTCAAGGCTTCATCACGCCGGGGTATCATGTCTATCATATCAATACAAGGAAATCCAGATCGACGCCAAAGCCCACATCCTGACTGCATTTCCGCTGTGATCAATTGTATTGGCTTCCCAATATTCTTTCACTGTCGGCTCAGTCCAACCTGTCGTGCTGTTCAAACGTTGGTATCAAATGGGCAGAGGTTCGATCTTGCCGTGATAATGTATGACGCGGGGGTTATCCGTCGCCCTTGAGTTGTACACCGGCACGTATAGAACGGCTGTCAATATCCCAGTATCCAGTACAGTGGAAAGCACATTCCACGAAGAAAGAAAATTTGTGTAATCAGTACTGGCCGAGAGGGGCGAACGCTCCATAGCTCGCGTTGTGTCCCATGATATCCAGACCAGGGCGAGTGTCGCGGATGCCAATATGGAGAGTAGTGCAGTTCGGAATGGCCACTGTGAGGTCTTATGTTAGCATGTCCGACGCTCGCATGATGAACGTCTTTCCATTTACTGACCGTGCTGGTCCGAAATGAGGAGCATACAACAACCAATACTGCGAGTAGGTACGCAGCTAACAAGAGTACTTCGAGGACCCTGCTGATGTCCGCAAGTAACCCGCTTCTACCTGAGTAGGTGATCCACCGAGATCCTTTGCTGGTATCATAGTGTATCGAGTTGTTGACATCCATGGCCCGAACGACGATGTCCAGAAAGAGAAGTCCAAATAGCAGTCCGGAGGCCCATTCATTGAAAGTTTTGTATCGCCTCCGGTGAGACAGGACGGAAGTGAATGTCGCTGCAAAGCATGTAATGGCAACGAACGTCATGAGTCTGGGCACGAAGTAGAATAGACCAGTGAATGTCGCGAAAATCGGCACTGAACGGGTAGGAAGACGAGTCGACTCCGGCGACGTGAACCAAAGGCAATTGGCAAAGACCAGATAACTTTTCATCAAATATTAGAACTGGATCAGGATCACGGACTGCGCAGGCCTGTTACTCACAGAAATGTCGTAGTGACAGCGACGTTGAACCAAACTCGGTGAGAAACATCATAGACCTTCCATGACTTGAGCAGCCAGAGGGAGCCAAGCATACAACATGCGAGCACAGGCAGCGCGATGAACCTGACGATGAGCACAGCGACGCGAAATTTATCCTATGTCAACGAATCAGGTCAGCATCGTGGCGTTCTCCGCGGATGAAACTTGACACACATCGAATAAACCCTCGCTAGACATCGCGGCGGCTCGGTGTCAACATTAAGGAAAGTCGCAAACACAATGCAGGTTGAAAGAGAGTCTGAGCGTTAGATAACCACGGATGAGAAATGATCGTGAATGGAAGAATCGTGAATAACACAATAAGATGCTCACAAACACCAGGATGTGTGCAACATATCAAGACTCTTCATCCCACGGTCACAAGCCACAATGTTCCATCACCATCATCAGAGAGGGACACCTCCATCATACAGTACTGTGCCGCATGCGCCAAGCGGGATAAGATTTATCGATCAATCTTAATCCCGCTCGCTCTTAACAGACATCCCGCGAAGGCCGAGGGATGCTCAAACCAGGAAATGTGACGTTGTTGCCGATTTGTGATTGGCGCGCATTCTCAAGGTGACATCGGAGGATAAGCTCGAACCGCACCTGGAGGCAATGCGCGCTTGGAGATGCAGGTCCACGGGATGTGGTTGTGAACTAAGATTGCGACGAGGCGCAGTTTGCTCCGGCCACGCCCGCTTGAATCTAGTAGGATGCACGCGCCCCTTGGATGATAGTCATCGTGGCATTGCAGAATACATGCGCAAGAATAACCCGCACCACGAGGGTGTTCTATCTGCAAGAAACGATTCTCAAATCGCGATAAACAATAGACATTATCAAATTGATGGGCGCGTCGCGGAATAACCAAGTCTTGTCCATCGATCTGCCAGTCTGTCAGGGCCAATTCCAAGGAATGCCGCTAAATTTAGCGTGAAAACGGGTCGATCCCGCTCCATCACACTGAACCAAATATAGCACACGCGCGAGGGCCGACCATCCTTTCATCACCTCTTGTACGGCCGAGGCGCGAACAACAAGGTGACCAGCAGCACGGACTGCAAGATGATCTCCAAGATGTACTCCGAACCACTGTAGTCGTAGAACACATCGTAGTTGAACTCGTCAACATATGTGATGGGATGATCTTGGATGTACAGTTGCCAAGCGTTGAGGATGATCTCCAGGATGGTAATCGCCAGGAGAAATGCGGCAGAAATAATCAGAGGTGGCTGTGTGAAAATTGTCAGAACGAGTTCATAGATCGGAGAGCATTCAGACCGCCGATGACATTGTTTGGCGATCGCAAACAGAGGACTCACATTGCGCGTCAGAAATGTCGCCACTGTAGTCACTATCATGGCGAGGAGATAAACCGCATAAAACGCCATCTGGACACCAGAGATCTGCGATGCCCAGTAGGCAATTGTTCGCCTGAGGGCCGATCCCTCGAAGTCATTGTCGTAGTAGGCTTCTGTGAAACCCTCGTTGTGGCCGCGTAAGCCAATGTTAGCAATGGTCAACGCCGACAGCACAATCACGACCGCGATGCCGAAGAACTTGGTAGCCTGTCGTCGTTTGGAGCTCGACAAAGACACGGTAGCGAGATACACCACGACGGCGAAGGTGGCTACTCGAAAGATGAGATCAAATGAGTTGGCGAATACGTCGAGAATCAGAATGGGTCTCCAGGAAGACGGATAGCCATACGAGCTCTGAATCCTAGCGTAGACGACGCTGTCGGCGATCCAAAATGCGAAAGATCTATCCAGAAAATATTAGCGCGATCCACATGGAAGCTGAGCGCAACGGCATGCATACATAAAGGTCAAGACCACAGCAGCGTTGTATGTGATCAGAAGCGATAGCCCAGCATCTTTCCATCTCCGCAGTAAACATGTTGATGCGACTATGCAGACGAGGAGGACTGGCAATGCGATGCAGTGCACGATGAAGGCCGCGAGATCATAATTTGACTAGCGAGCAGAGTGAGTCAGGATTGCGAATCGTCGAACGTCTCGCGACTTTGAAACGTCATGTAGCAATAACGTACAGCAAACTCCAGACCGTCTGCCATGATTGAATGACTGTCAGCTAGGGAAAACAATAACGCGCTGCTTGGGATGCGTGAGAAGGAAAAATGAAAGAATTCGACAAAGATTGCAGAGATCAAATGAGATGTCCTTCAAATATCAGCGCGCAGGCAGGCATGCGCGCTGATATTTGAATTTTCAATGACTTCGGCGCATGCCTCGTACACATGTCTGAAATAACCATGGGTCCTTCGTCCCGTCTGAGCTTGTTGTCATTAGAGGATGTGACTGAGAGGCACAGTAAGCACTATCACGAAATTGCCCCAAAAGCGACCCTAAAAAGTGACCAAGGCTGCAGCCATCACGAGCGCGGACCACCCTTTACGGTGCAAGCTAATATCCATCCGCCGCAATTCGGCCAATGACGATGGACATTCGTGATCACTTGCGCTTGACGTGAATATCACTCTGCTTCCACAGATTTACTAGGTCGCAACTCAGCAGCCGTGCGTCGTGACGTCTTATATGTCCAGACGTCGAAGTGGATTTGTGCTTCGAGGTCAACCGTCACAACGCTCCGGCGTGCTCTCGCTTCGGAGCAAGCCCCGCAAAGATCGTCGAGGTTCTGGTCGCTCCTCATCCCATTCTGGGTGGCACATCTTTCCCAAAGTCAACAAAGGACACAGCTCGAAGATAGCTTTCTGAATGCAGGAATCAGTAAGACCTGCTCAGGTCATGGGGCGTTCCGATGACTAATCTGAACACTGTCATCTCGGATGATCAACAGGGTATTAAAATATGAACTCGTTCTCATTAAGCCATCGAAGTGCCTTGTCCGATTGAATCGACTGCTGCACATCATAAACATTACATACAAAGACAGTTAAGTACACAACAGATCCCACTTGGGCCAGCCACAGCATGCGTGTCAACGAACGATCATTGCTTCAATGGCCGCGAGGGCGCAAACAGGAGAGCAACATAAACACATGTTTGCAAAATGATCACCATAATCGTCTCGATCCAATTATACTGCACTTCGGCGAAGTAATCGAAGTTCTGGTCATAGAAGGCATTGACGCTCATTGACCAGGCGGAGAAGACCAGGTCGAGGACGGCGATCAGTAGGAGGAGGAGTTGGGCGCTGCGCAGGGGCCACTGGAGCGGTACCGTCAGACAACCATTTTCTCTGCCAAGGTTTCATGCGAAGCGACACTTACATTGCGTGTTGACAAAGAGATCACGCCGACGACCAGTACGGCGAGGATGTAGAAGGCGTGGAAAGCCACCTCGACAGCACGCTGGCGCGCTCTCCAGGAATGTGTTGCAGCGAACGGGTCGTCCCTGTAGTAGGAGACGTCGGAATCATAGACAGCGACCTGCTCGGTCATCTCGACGTCGACGGTGTGTGCACGGATGCCAATATTCGCGATGAGGAGGGCAGACAAGACGACGACAGCGAGGCTGGCGAAGATCTTGACCACTCGCGGTCGTCCGGAAATGGAAGCGAAGGTGAATGCAAAGTATGCGACGGCGGCGAAGGCCGCGACTCGGGCGATGTCATCGATGGCGGCGCAGACGACGTCGAAGATGTATAGTGGTCGCCAGTCGGAGACGAAGTTTCTCTCGCTGTAGGTGTCGAGTTTCGATGCGTAGAGAGCATCGTACACGATCCAGAAGATCTGAGAACTGTTCTCGCATCATGGTCAGCGATGTTTTGCGTGATCGTTGGGCAAGACTTTCGTCTAGGATGTGTCCGAACATCAAAAAGGTCGCAACGGCGACATGGTAAGTGATTGTCAGGTTGCGACTGAGGCCCTTCCAGTTGCGAAGGAAACAGGTGGAGGCCGCGGCGCAGGCGACCAGCGCCGGCAGCACGAGGAAGCGCACGATGAAAGCCGCAAGATCGTAGTCCGTCTGTGCAAATCCGTCAGATGTCAGCCATTAGATCGAGAGACCATCCAGGCTGATGATGGTGAAAGATTGTCAACGTACGTCGAAATGTAGACCGGCAGCCATGGTTGCAGAATGATATCACACAGATAGAGGGCAGGGGAAAGGATCGACACAGCTACAGTCCTTTCGAAGGGAGACATTGTAGGCTATATACACCAGGCGGCACAACCACCTAAACATGTAACCATACCAATCAGGTAGCATCCCGATCAATCATGTGCATATATTATTATTACCTCGAGGGGCGCAAACGACCGGAGCTACACAGCCTGCAAGGTCCCGCTGGATGTTTTGCTGTGCCGCAAATTCACAGCGCCAACCAGCTCGAACAATCATCCCGACTCTCCTTTCTTTCTCAGGCCGCCAGCACTAGACCGGAGAGCAGTCCAGCCAATAATACTTTCGTTGGAAGTAATTGTTCGTGACATGCGACAGTACTGCGTAAATTTGATGGCGGCCTTGGTTTATCGGGGACGCACGCTTTATCGCTCATGAGATGCATGCGACTGCTCGCACTTTGTTGATATCTTGTTACAAATTACAGCTATGAGTGTAATGATAATGATGAGGTCCAACCCGGCGAGGCACCTCCTGTCCATTTGACACTCCATTACACGATTGTAGGGATGAACCGATCCGAGACGAAGTAGCGAATCCCAAGCGCCCAACAACAAATACCGCTGCGCTGCCAGTTCCTTCCCACAGATCGTAGTCTGCGACGAACGCTGTGCTTTTGCTGTCTATTGTACAGTTGCAGCACCTGCCGCCCACTGCAATCACCCTGCGCCACAGGGCACATTGCAGAAAAATCCGAGCGACCTGTATCCACACGCCAAGGAAAAAAACACGAGATTAGTAGTGCGCGATCTGAGCGCGTCTAGGACAAAAGGAAATGGGTAGTTGTAAGCAAATTGGTAATCGAGAAGAACACAGCAGATACTTCAATCGGAGGAAGCCCAGAAAGTGCGCCAGAGAAACTCGACGAATCAGACAAGATGGTCACGGCAGAAGGTCGGGGTATTCGCCGTTCCAAAGAACACCGGGTTGTTGGAGACGATGCCAGAGGCGTGATGTGGCCATATTTCAGGCCTGGTGGTGGAGGAAGGAGCTGTGCGGAAGAAATGTAAAGTGTTTTTGCAAGACCCGAGAGGGCGATCATTGCTGATGCTGAGCCCACATCTCTTGGCCCCGCAGCTGGTTGTGGTAGTCGATGGGGCCAGTGCTGTGAGGACGCTGGACGCTCGGCTGTTGATAGTACATCTGACCGTTTACGCCGTTTACGTTATAACCGGCATTTGGGTCAGGATAGGTGTAGTCGGATTGCTGGTTTGCTGTGATGCCGTTGTGTGGGGATTGCCATCCCATGGCGCCACCAATGTGAGGGCTGTTGTTACCGCTTCCTGGCGGTTGCTGTCCATTGTTCGTAGGTGGCTCCAGGATCTGAGGAGGATTGTATCCCGCAGTCGGGTTAGAGGTCATCGTCGATCGTCCTGATTGTCCGTTGATGGGCATAGTGTATGCTGGCGATTGAGGGCGCGAAGTCGGCTGCATCTCGGGACGCAGGTGTGCTGGAACTGCCATACCACTGCTGATGGCATTAAGGTAGTAGTCGGAAGGTTGTCTCTGGAGTTGAGGGACACCGTTGAGGCCCGTGGCGGGCGAGACGGATGACGGGCGGTCAGGGTGTTGTTGGTGTGGCATGGGCGATTTACCATCTGCGGAGTACTCATTCTCCTCGTCGGATCCTCGCGATCGTTGACCAGCCATTGAGACTCGTGAAGCTAGTGCTGCAGCTGTGGCAGCTTGAGACTCCTCGATGGTGCCTGTGTGGTGGTTCTGGTGGCGCGTCAAAGTGGTCCGTCGTGTGAAAGTCTTTTGACAATCTGCATATGGGCACTTGTAGGGACGCTTGCCAGAGTGGATGCGGCGATGACGTGCAAGAGAGCTCGAATCCGAGAAGGGCTGGAATTGATTAAAGTCAGCGTTTATGCTTGGATTTCATCGTCTCGAGACCAACCTTGCCACAACGCTCGCACATATGCGGCTTCTCACCGGTATGCACACGCGAGTGCACCGTCAAAGCGGAACGTTGTATGAACTGCTTGCCGCAGCCAGGATGATCGCACACGTGCGGTCGAACGCCCGAGTGGATGCGTTCTGATGATTGTCAGCTTATCCTTATGAGCACGAACATATCCACGAAACCCTACCGTGACGAGCCAGATCACTTCTTCTCGCGAATCCTTTTGAGCATGTCGAACAAGCAAACGCCTTCGGTAGACCACCATTCCCAGTGCTTGTCCGCCCTTCCATCGGACTCTGCTCTGCCTGTACAGCCTGTTGTACAGCTGCTAGCGGTTGTTGTTGTTGGTATTGTTGGTCTTGCGGCACACTCTGGTGATAAGAGTGTTGCATCATGGACATGTTGTTCTGCTGTTGGATTTGGGAGGGCGATGGATATCGAAGGCCGTTTGTCAATTGGGATGCGATCTGTTGGTGGTATGCCAAGTTTTGGGGGGTTTGTGAAGAATATCTCGATGATTGCTCAGACGTGTGAGGAGAGCCGCCGCGTTCAGATCCCGTCTCAGATTTTATCCGATTGGCACCATTCGGCACGTAGAGGTTCGGCTGGGTGTAATGCCCAGGATTCGCCATCTCGTGGTTCATGGTGCTCGGGTGAGGGACCTCGTACTGCATGGCTCGCAGGGAGTTCGGGGCGGCTGTGAAGGGAGTCATCAGTACCGAAGAACTTGTCGACGTCTGTGGGGGCGATAGTCGCGTGCGCTGAGTGCATGTGCGAAGTGTGAAGCCAACGGGGGCACTGGGCGTAAGGGATCGTGGAAAAAAAGTCAAGCGATGCCGTCGGATCGTGTCGGTGAGCAGGCGCGAGGTGAGGTATGATGTACTAACTTGACAGAAAATTTTGAACGGCAATGCACGACCGTGTCGAACTCGTCTGTCGATGGAGATAATACGGCGACGATGTTCGGCAGCCGTCTCGAACAGTGCTGCAGACGCGTCGTTGCGTCGAGGGTGATGATTATGCGGTGGTGAGCTTGGATGCTAAGTCGCGGGTGGTCTGTTCGGAGACGAAGTACGGGAGGTCGTGCGTCGCGGTCACAGCGCCGCTGCACGAACAACAAGAATTATTCCCGAGACCAATCTACACCAACCCTTGTCAGACTCCTATTCAAACATTTCCGCCAGCACCAGTTGATGCAGCATCGCGCGCGCCGTCTGTCCGCGATGATAGAAGAGTTGATGGAGAAGGAAGATGGATAACCTCGGACACGGTGCGCGTGTATATTCGTGTTGGCGAACGGAGAGTCACGCGAAGATCGGAGTCGCGTGTCGGGAGGCAGTATCAAGCAGGAGACTCACCTATGGTCTGAAGAGGAGGCTTGCGGACACGACACGCGGATGGTGAATGCAAGACGAGACGAGCCAAGATTAGTGAGGAGGATAAACGAGATCAAGCAATTGTTCGATGAATCTTCCTCATGGGTGAGGGAGAGAGTTTCGTTTCGTGATGCAGGGGCCAACAGCTTGGAAGAAGTTCGCTCTTGCTTGGGCAATTTTGAGTCCGACGGGCCAGGCCGCCTTCCGTACGCGCTAATCTATGAGGCGGCGAACAGCCAAATTCCAAGGCACGCAAGGCTATCCTGTACCTACCTAGGTAGGTATCTAGGTACCTAGGCAGGTATCATTTGTTATGTATTGTCGTGTATCTCCCTCCCATTGTACCTCTGTCTCATTTTCCGAGCAGTCACTTTTGCCTTCTCCTTTCCACCCTTGTATTGGCCCTGAACAAAAATCGCTGCAAATGGCGCTGGTTTACTGTAGCCATTGCAACAAATGCGTGCATGCAGTGTACTGGAATTTCGTCAATCGCATCGTTTCCTGTTGGACGTATGCGGCAACCGGTTCCACCGCGGCTATATCATTAATAATTAAATCTTCCACGCCATCGAGCCTCCTGTATCAGTCTCCTGTCTGGATGACATGGTCTCGGTTGCTTGATTGTGGCACAGTACACCGATTGAAGCAAAGCGTTTGCATCGCACGCCAAGCCGTACGGATATGGATGTCTGCATCCAAACGTTCGTCGCTGAGTCAAAAAAGAATATAAATCAGTGGCAAGTAGGCTCTCCACGAAGGATCATCCTCAGGAGTCAAGCGATGGAGTCATAACAACTCCGCCGACAAGGCGCGACAAGCCCATCATGGTGGTGCTCATCCCTTCGGGCCAACGTCCAGCGTGCTAGCTCTCTCACTCCTATCTAGGTACCAACAGACGTATTTTCTCGCGAACACTACATAAAACAGCAGAAAGCTTCCTCGTCTCACACCATTTCTTGTATTCGCAAACGCCCTCGCGGTTGTCGTATGTCGAGATGGCCAAGCTTCGTCGTGTGCCCGATTTGATTACTCGATCGACACAGCGGCGACCACCCTGTACCCCTTTTGGCTCAACAGGAGGATGCCATGGACTCAACGAAAAGATCGGCCACTGACAACGACCAGTATAGATCCCACTTGTGAATAATGCAAGTTCATCAATACAAATACATCAACTCCACCTAGACATACTCCAACCTTCATCAGCGAAAAAAACCCCCGCGGCAAATAAAATAAAACCCAGGCGTTGCAGCTCCGGTACCACAGCTCAACCATATCTGCCCAGGTTTGATAAGAAGAACAGCCCTGTTGGTCCCATAGAGGAATTCACTGGCGCCGATCGTGAATGGGCGCTGCATGTCCCGATGCTACCGGCCCCGGGGGGGAAGATCGCTGTCCGTGCACTATAGGAGTCCAAGGCAGGGCTGCGTTGCAAGGTTTCGCCCTGCGCGCTGATGAGATCGACGCCCTCCGAAAGTCTTTCAAACAGTACAGTATGATGGGATGACGAGGTGTTGGAAGGCTATGCTATTGTGTTTGAGTAGGTTTGGAATCTATTGATGCTGTTGTAAAAGTCTGCGTGCACCGTATGGCTTGGACTCGTCCGACGGCCCCATGTGGCTCAACGATCAATTTATTGGCAGGACAAACTCCCCGAGCACCTGCAGGAAGACGTCGATGGTGCGATCCCGCAGCGTGTCGAAGCCCAGCTCAAATTGGTCATCGGAGGTTTCGGACGGGCGTATGTGATCCAGCACTCGCCTGAAATATTGAAATCTTTCAAGGTTGGAGCCCAACATTTTTTTTGCAACGCTGCAGGATGACGGCATGAGTGTCATTAGGTACACCTGCATCTGTGTGGACTCTGGAGCTGCACGCTTCCGTTGGGGTTAGATGTGGTGTCTATAGGGTTGTATAACCCTACCACTCATCTGCCCCAGGCCTCGAATGCACGCGTATGCGTTGCCTGCGCCGACCCGTGACAGGCGGAGGGGTTTCGGTGAAACCCGATACCAAAGATCGAAGACTGATGACACGAAGAGAGCAATGCCGTTACTGCATTGGAAGTTCGATGACATGGCCATGACTAGATTGTGTTTTAAATTCTGCCAAAGTGTGCGAGTGCACTTTTCACGCTGCTGTTTTTGCACCTGGGACACCGGCTGAAACGTCGACATCTGACACCCGAATCCAACACGGTGTGCCACGCGGAGCTCCTCCTTTGTCGTCGAAGAACGACGCCCGATCAAGACAGTACGATATTTTGCAGTCTGAGCCACTTTCTCCATACACGTTCCACAAACTCAAGCCCATCACGCGCCAATGCCGTGCTTCTTGTGGATGTCAATGACCTTCTGGACCTCATCGTAACTGCCGAGGAAGATACCGCTGCGATCGTGAATGTGCTCGGGAACGACCGTGAGCATGCGTCGCATCTTGCTGTCGACAGCCTGGCCACCAGCTATCCGCAGATCGTCAGTATTATTATTCATTTGAACGCCGTGAAGAATATATCGAGCTTACCATTTTCGAAAACCATCGCCATGGGGCCGCACTCGTAGAGAATACGGAGCTTGCCCTTTGGCGACTTCTTGTCCGCAGGGTATGCGAAAATTCCTCCGTACAACAGAGTGCGGTATGCGTCGGCGACCATGGATCCGATGTAACGAGCAGAGTAAGGCTTCTCGGCTTGCTTCAAACCGTTGCACCACTCCAGCACCGGCTCTTCCCAGTACTTGCTGTTTCCCTCGTTGCAGCTGTAGATCGATCGCTTCTTGGGCATTTGCATGTTCGGGTGGGTCAGGATGAATTCTCCCAGAGCATTGTCCATGGTGAAGCCGTTTACGCTTCCTCCGTTCATTGTGAGGACCAGCTGTGCGGACGCGCCGTACATGGTGAAACCGGCGGCCACCAGCTCAGTGCCTGGCTTGAGAAGGTCCTCCTTGGTTCCTTTGGCGTCATCACCGAGGCGGTAGATTCCGAAAATTGTGCCGACAGACACACCGGCGTCGAGGTTGCTGCTTCCATCGATGGGGTCACAGGCAACAGCGTAGCGGGCGTCGGGGTGTTCGTTGAACAAAATCACTTCCTCTTCCTCTTCTGAGACCAGGAGACGGACACGGCCGCACGACCGCATAGCGGCGATGAAGATGTCATTGCCGATCACGTCGAGCTTCTTCTGGTCATCTCCGGTTGTGTTGGCGGAACCGGCGAGACCGGAGAGGTTGATCAAGGACGCTCGGCGGATGTAGTAGGCGATCGATTTGAAGGAGAATTGGAGGGCATGGCATAGGAGACTGTCGACGACACCAATGGTAAGCTGAACGTCACAGGAAGAGCAGCCTTGCTAGGGAAACTTACGTGAAGTCACCAGTGGCCTCTTTGTGCTTTGACTGTTCCTCACTGAGATAACGCGAAAGAGTGACGATCTCCGTGTTGATCTTCTCGGTGCTGCCGTGGTTCTTGTCGGCGCTCATTTTGATATCCGGTGCTGTGTTATTGTAGGGTGGTCCTGCTGGGACAATGGTTCAGGTCGAGATATCGGGAGGAGCAGTGAAAGGAAACACGACACGGTTGAGTTCGACACACAGGAATATTGCAAGGAAATGAAGGATTTGTGATAGTTCAAGAACAAGGAAATACATTCGGAGACATTCCTACACTTATTATCGTTCCACAGCCAGCCACGCCTGCTCGAGGGACGACTAGCAGCAGATCGTAGATGGGACTGAAAATGCCGCGGTAATCATTCGTCAGAAGCCGCATTCACCCATGGTCTTGAAGCCTATACAGCCCGAACGGCAATGCCAATCGCTGTTCGCCCGCGTGGTCGTGTGCGACTTTCCCGCCCACGGCCCCGCGATGCCCCGCTGCATGGTCACATGTGTTTTGTCAACAACGCCGGAGACTCCTTGCGGCATTGACGTCCCAGGGTGATTTCCGATTTCCTCCGCGACAGCCCTGGAGTCTTTCGCGATAATTTATCTCATGGCTTGCATACAGGTGCGTTTTATTGAGGTCCACATCAATGGTCGTTACCCAACCTCGGCGGCATGGTCAAGATTATGTATCATTTCAGAGCCGCGCATGGGCATTGTTATGTTTGGCATCCCGCGTCATCTTGAGAGCGTTACATCATTCCCATCCTTGATAAACAAGCGATCGACTCTTACCCTTCCCGCGCGATTCACATAAGACTTGATTGAACGATCAACACTCTGCGTCACGGCGATCTTTCTCAGGTTGATCTATGACAGGTCAATTACAGCGCTATTATGACATTGACCAATTGGATGTTTCGTTACGATCGTGATATTCATTACAAAAGCTTCCCAAATCGGAGCCAGCGTGGAATTATGACGGCTTGTCCACAGACGTTTCGTTATGATCCACGTTTCTTCGCCTGATACAGCTGCTGACCCAAGCCCTATGTCATTGCCTTCAACGATGGCGATGCACCTGTACAGCCACAAAATCCTTGGTCGACCGGTGGCCTGCCGAAGATCTTTCACTGATCACCAGCAATTGGCGGTCACGTATGCGGGCTCCAAGCTTGGCGGGTGACGGACACGCTGCAGTCGAGGGATCTCCATATCATCAAAGCTCGCGTGGTGGACAATATCAGAATTTGGGGATGAACATCGGCGTGTTCTTCTTCCACTCCTGATAGTCCTTGCGGTCTCCGTAACGCTTGTCGTATTTGTCTTCCGAAAGAGGAACGCCGCTCACCTAGAAGCTATCAGTCGTCTATTCCGTCACGTATATCTCAGATGCACAGAGATAATCTTACCTTGAGTAATAGGAAGGTCACAAATAGAGGGCTGACGGCAGCCATGCTGATGGCACCGGCTCGCGCAATGGCACTGCCGCTAAGACCGACGCCCGCTTGACCAACATTGCTCACTAGGACTCCAGCTGCGGTTGTAGCAATGCCGGTCCAGAGTGTGCTCTCACCGAAGTAGTTGGGGTGTCGGCTCTTGCTCCAAAGACCACGGGTCAAAAACTCCTCGCTGTGCTTCTTCTCTTTCTTCTCCTTCAACCATTGAGTTTTCTGCGCATCGGCAGTCATTTCAAAAGAAATTCCACCGACGTAGAGGAGGACACCAATCACATCGGTGACAGTCACCAAGGGCAAGGCGGCGAGCGTAGTGGCAGGGATACTGTTGATCGCAAGGACGGGCATCAGGCACAGGGAAACCCATGTAGCCTGTGCAAGGAATGCACCGAGGAATTTGGCTGGCGAGCCACGGATCTCATCGAATCGGCTGTCCTTGCCCTCGTCGCCCGAGATACGCTTGAACAAGAAAGTGCCGAGACGCCCGGCCCAGAAAGTCACAGCGGCGCTGAGCACGACCTGTCGCCAGTTCCATGCGCTCACGCCGCCTTTGCTGGTGAGACTCTGAAGGAGACTGGGGTATGGTGGTAGAACAGAGCCGGGAGCTGCAGCGAAGCGGGCCCGTAATGTAGGCAGATAGAGCGACAGTGCCGCGCATGAGATGTATGTAATTGAACCCGACAGATCAAAGAAGCGCTCTGTTTGAAACGCAATAGAAGGAATGGCGGTTGCAACTTGGAGACCGAAGGCTAGTCCAATTGACGGGACCAGTGTGCGCAAGAAGGCATTACGGAAGTTAGTCGACCGAAGTAAGCCATTGATGATGGAAGCCATTCTTGCTGCTGTGTGTGCTCTGCAAAAGATGAAAGTTGGAGATTATTAAGGCTGTAATAAGATCTTATATGGGCGGAAACTCAAGCTTGACATGTGAGACACACGTTGCTGGTTGGTAGACGCGACAGCTCAAATGTATGACGACATTCCGCGGATTTTGAAGGACAGAATTCCTCCGGCTTTGATGAAGATTTCACCACTCAACGTGCGATCCCTGCATCAAGTGAACCTTTCTGCCCATCACACCGGACTCTGCGGGATTAGATTGTACCGAATCCGTACCGCCATGACACCCTCAAATCTTCACATGGATATCATCACACCGCGCGCTGCCGATTCCAATTGGGAAAATGCTATTGTGCGGCATAGGAGCTATGATGATGCGCATACTTCAGCGCGCGTCGGTTTCCCACATTCGCGTACAACAGTTGGGCAAGTACTGCCCGTTTGAGCCATGGTAGAAATACCAATTGCCAATCAATGAAATCCCATCATTCCAGTCCGAGTAGGTCCACATCTAACAACACAAGAAGAGACTCTCAGTCCATTATCACTCTATCCACTGGTCCTCATGGCTGGGCTTGGGATGCTGCCTCGCGTTCAGCTGCAAGCCGCTTCTCGTCTCTCTGCTGTTCCAGCTGGTGAGCGTATGGGCTCTTACGTCGGAAGTATTCGCCTCGGTAGTAGAAGATCCACACAGGAATGTTGAGCCCGATGGCAATCGCGCAAAGAATGTAAGTCGGATAAGCTAGCTGCCAACGGGATCCGGGATCGATGGCCTTGTAGAAACGGGTCGAGTATAGAGCAGCTAATCCAGCGAGGAAATCACGGCAGAAGCCATTGCCTCCTGTTGCAGAGGCCGAATATGGACCGTATGCGGCGACCATGTAGTCAATTGTCGCTTGGTAAATCGCACTGGAGGGATGTCAGCTGTGCGATCATGATACGTTGAAATTGTTCGAGGGCTTACTAGTTTGCAATTCCGATCATCACAATGAAGAAAAGCGGCGCAATCCAGTGGACATCTGGCGGACCCAGCGAGGTGAACGCAAGTCCCAGAAGGCCGACAGGAAGCAACATCCCAAGAAATAGCAGAGCCTTGAGGCGATGCTCTGGAGCATACACGTCTGGGTTTGCCCTCACCGCCGCTCGGTCGCGAGTGTAGAGATATTGGTAGATGGCCCAGCACATGACATAGCCAATCAGTAAAGCGCTGAATGAAAGGCCGATTTGAATGCCGGTGAAGTTCCATCTCCCTAGGATCATCGGGAAGGATTCGAGCCCGGTAAAGATCAGCGCATCACTGAAACCGCTGAACAAGGACAGCCAGCGAACGATGGGCTCAGTGACCAGGAACTTGTATGGCCGGAACATGACCCGGCACGACTCCTTCCACTCGAGACGCTCGCGGAAAGAAGCGCCTTTGGCCTCCAGCGGACCGACAGCGTTGCGATTCTTGCCGGTCGTGCGCAGACGTCTAGCTTCACGATCGAGAAGAACCTTTGTGTTAGTCTCTGGCACGAATAGGTGCAGCAACTGCGTGACGCCGCCAAACACGAGGGACACCCAGAACACCCAGCGCCAGCTCATGTATTCTTGAATGAAGCAGCCAAAGATAGGACCGAGGACACTGCCGCTGACAGAGGAGAGGACCACGAAGTTGACTGCGTATTGCTGATCAGCGGGTTGCCACATATCTGCAACCATACCGAGAGTCACAGAGCCTCCAGCAGAGGAGAGACCGCCCAATGCTCGGAAAGCAACAACGACACCAAAGTTGGGCGCCAGAGCGCATGGAATTTGACAGAGGTTAACGAGGAACAGGGAGCTTTGAAGAATCCATTTGCGGCCGAGCTCCTCTGACCACGGCGCCCAAGCTTCACAACCGAAGGCGTAAGTGATGAGAAAAGCGACTTGACTTAATCTCGCGGTCCACTCCGAGATGCCGAACTCGAGCGACATGCCACGGATGGCATTTCCGATCACGGCGGCGTTCCAATTCATCGACAGCTGCACCACGAAGATGACACTGATTGTCGCCCATTTCTTCCAGGTCGGGAACGCAAAGCCGGTGGCATAGAAGGCATTCTCCTCCGTGATGTAATTTGAATTGGCATCAATGGACGGACGGGACTTCTCCGATGCGCTCAGCGACCATTGCCTTTCTTTGAACAAGCTGTTGCGCCAAGATCGCCTTCCGCTATCAATGGAAGGATAATGCCTAAAGGATCGATCAGCATGCAGTGGAAGCTGTACAGACAAGCTGTTTCATCTCAACGCCTGAGAAACTCACATCATGATGGGCAAGAAGTTGTTCGATCTTGTGATCTTCTCACCACGATCGATGTTCTGGTCTGGAAAATACAGGCGAGTCTTTCAGCCTCAGAACAAGAGGACGAAGATGATGCGAGACAAGCGACAAGACGATCTGCGTCGCCTTTTATATACGTCTTGGTGCTGGTTATGCACCGTATCCAACACCCGCGGAAGAATAACGTTGTGTGAAATATTGATGTGCGCTCTGGAAACCAATAGTCAGGAGAACCACAGAATGGAAATACTGAATGATTAATGCTCGTTAGGACGTCAGTGCCGTCTGTGATGCGGTCGGGGGCTTCGTGTGGTCATGAACACACAAGTCTGCGAGAAGTATAACCGATCGATTTCCATCTCGTCTGCGAGGACGGCAAAGGAGAACACAAAATCTTGCTGCGGCACAGCGTTCCCTTACTGGCAATGTCGACTATTGGCAGTATCGACTACGGCGGTGAAGACGAGTAAAGTGCGAAGGTCTCGCTTATTGTTTCCCGCGCATCACGCTTGCCAGAAGATGAAGCAAGAGCAAGCGAACCTTGAGCACTCCCAAGTCTAGGGAGTGGTACAGATTTTATTGATAGTGATCATCTAGTGCACGCCTGGCTCAATTCGTATACCATGACGATGGCCGTATGGACCGTCAATGTCCGCATTAGGTTCTGCTCGGGCAAATCGTAAAGCGTCATTGAACGGATCTCAATCGTGGATGATGAACGGGGGCTAATGTAGCCTAGATCTACTTGTTCCGTGTCATGTGTAGCGGCTTGCCATTTTTACCATAGTCTGAAGCTATATTCTCTTGGTAGAGAGAATTAAAATCATGTACATAACATGTTTATGGCACAGCCGCATGAAGCAAATGTACATTTTGTGAGCAATATCGACGGAGCAATAGACGCAATGCAGTGCAAACTTTCAGCAATGGAGTGAGAATGGTCGTCAGCTCCATGTTCTCAGCTCTCTAGGAGAAAGGGCTGCTTGAAAGTCCGTCTACGTTCAGGAGTTGCTTCGAACGGATGCTCTTGACGTGCCACACATGCGGCTCATTGCTTTGCATTTCACTGTTTTCATTATCAGACTTTCGCTTCTTGCCAGCTCGCATGGGCGTGGCGAGTGGTGTCGCGGATTGCCGCAGATCAAGGCTAGTCAGTGGAGTCGCTGATGTGATCCGAAGTGACTGTGCTGGCGTTGCTGGAGGCGGCATCGTCTTGGCCCTAAACGCAAGGAGCTGCTTCCCGACTTCAAGCATCGTCGTAGAATCGATGTCAGATCTGTTCGCATGATAGGCTTCGATTCCAGTAAGGGGATTGAACAAAAGCTGCACGATTTTGTTGAGAGCGGCTGTATTCGGCACCAGATTGGGCTTCCCTGTGGCTGCAAAGCCAGGTTTGTGCGATCCAGAGGCTTCAATGACTAGGGCTTGCTTTCGAAGATATTCAAAGATCGGATCCGAGGTGCTACGATCAATATCTTTAAGCACGTCAGCGATAGTCTAACAAGTACGGAGTCCTCAGCATTTTACCCATGATCTTAGCAAAATTTGTTTTCGTCCTCAAGCCGCTTTGCAAAGCAAAGCTCATGGCCCGTCGGCGTAATGCCATGGTCTTCTGATCGGTCGATAGTCCGTCAAAGGATTCCCCGAGAACGCATCTTAGACACGCGTGTATCTTGGGAAGCCGTGGATCTTGAACGCCCGAGTACCCGCAGCAATGCAAATGCTGCCACCGGGTGCAGAAGTAACAACAGACCATGTCGTCCTCTTCTTGCTCGTGTCCACAAAGACAACGTACAATGTGCTGCTCGAAGTCGCTCTGATCAAAGCTGTCGCCATGAGCTTGTGCTCGTGAAGTTTGTATCCGAATAACTGTGGCTGGCAGGAGTTCAATCTTGACCTCCGACATGTTTTGTGCCATACACTGCGCTTGAGTGTCGCCTTGTGTCAGGATCTCTGGTTCCATCATCCCGCGCAGCATCTGTTTCATTCCAACATCGTCCCTCGGTGTTGAAGCAGTACCTGTGGCTTCTTTGCTTCCTCTGATGGGCACAGTGTAATGAAGTTCTGATGGTATCGCTGGAACCTTGTCCAGCTCTACCGAGTCTTCGACAGAAGGGTGCTGCAAATGCGTCACCTTCATCGTTGTGCTAGTCACGTTTAGTAGGTCGCCAATGTCACGGAATAATGTGTCTCCTCCATACCTATGAAAATTGGAATGTACTTTGTCCATCGCGGCAGTATTCATCGACCACCCTGCGGCTGTAGCGAAGACCATCTCGCGATCTGGCGTTTCTTCGAAATTCAGGAAATCGCACTTGACAGGGGCATTCTCATTGAGTAAAAGTCTCATTGACACGAATCGGGTGGCTGTGAGCTGTCGTCAGTGCAATGTGCATCTCTAAATTACCATGTTGAGCATACCAGGAAGATCAGGAAGTCGTGTTACCACTCGACGCATTTGTTGCATCGAAAGCATCATGGAAACTATTGATGCCTCAAGTGAGATGTTACACCCAGGGCTATCCAGATGCAAAGCCGCAGGCGTTGTGGCTCCGCTCTTCCCATCCTTCCGATATTGAATCGAAAACGTGTATGTCTCGATGACTTTCTCGCGATCGGTACCGTCAGCGTGCACGTATATCTGTATCGAGTGAAGCTGGGAAAACTGCAGTGCAGGAAATACTCCATGTTCCTGCCGAGACAGGTCAAACATGCGTCAGATAGTCAAGCTTGAAGGACGTACCATCCAGTCAAGAAACAAATCTGCCCGTCGACTGCGCTTGCGTTGCAATGCGTTTAGAATGATACGTGGTTTTCCACCGTAATCTTTTGGAGCCTCGCCATTCATGTAGTCTTGATACATTGGGGCTTGGTCAAGCGTGCAATAGACCAGTCGCTTGAAAGCCTTTTCATGGAAAAAGTTCCTGAATGGTCAGCATAATCCCGACTACCTTGCTGCACCGATGCAAACGACTCACCTTGTCCAAGAAAGCATACTCAACCCGCCATAAAGAAGGAACTGCGTCACTTCAAGACTCTGCTGGCGGTTGATGGCAGACTTTGTTCTGCTGAAAGACGCTGCACGACCATTCTGCAGGTCTAGAGCGACCATGCTGTCGCACCTATCGCGGTCGTTTGGGAGGCTCTTCAAGTTTGCTGATAAGAGGAACAGGTAATGCGACAGGGATCGACAGTGAAAGCAGATGAATGAGAAGCAGAATGTTGAAGATGTGGTGAATTCCCTACCTAGGTATTCCTGACACCTGTATGTTTCTGAGCCTTGTGCTAGTCGGGCATAGGCCACCATGCAACTTTTGTGTAACAAACATTTCGGTAGTTGATCTTGACAGCCCAAAACGCTTGTGAAAGGACATCACCGATCAACACAAATCCAAGGCGAGAGCCCAGTGCATTTTGCAAAACAAGTTGATCTGCGCAATTTTGAACGATTCACGCTCATCATATCAAGGACACTAGAGATGCTGTCGGAATGCATTTGGGTGCACGAATTTTTTCCTCATTGTGATGAGAATGTTTGTATGTTGACCGGCGACTCCGAGGCGGATTTCTCAAGGTCCCGGCCTCGTTGAGATTCCATAAATCAAAGGAGCCTTGGAAGTTTGTACCTGTCAGACTTCCTGAAACGGGATGAAAGCAGGGATGTGTTTCCATCATGAATATCACGAGAGCCCGCCGCGAGGAATACTGTTTTCGTTAAAAGCTTCGAAATCTCCTCAAAGCTCAAAGTAATCCGATTATTCGTCTATTAACCATTGCTACGCGCGGCAAAATTCCACGTCCTCCACAAAATGCTACACCTCCAGCGCGGCATTCGACCTAGATGGCACGCTGGCAGAGAGTAAGCAGGGATCTATGGGTGAAGCCAAAGCCGACCTACTTCAAGTTTCGGAACGTCGCTGTCATTTCAACCAGAGATTGACCACAATTCAATGCACAAATCGTCAATTATCTCCCAGCTCGCTCCAAACCGTCCAAGCTCTGGCTGATGCCCACAACGGGCACAACACTGTACACCTTCTCAAGGCATATAGATTGAAAAGGCTTCGGGACGAAAGTGGGATACCATTCGAGAAGATGATGTTCATTGGCGATGCAATCTTTCCAGGCGGGGACAACTACCCTGCCAAGCAAGGTGGCCTCAGAATAATCTGTATTAAAGACCTCGACGGGACTTTGGCAGTGATTGCGGCGATCGTGAACCGTTTGTCAATATAGAAACTGTAGTCTGGTAGACAAGAGCATTGTTGAGAGATGGTACGCTTCACCAAAGAATGTGACGTTGGAAACATGCATTCAATTGTCTCCAGCTTGATCTTCACACCCTCCTGGTTTCGCGGCGGTGTCGGTTTGCAGATGCGGAGGGCACGTCACGGAGAATACTGTACCGGTGGAGTCGCGGGTCGTGCTGCTTGTCTGCAAAGTAGCCAACTTTCAAATGTGCTGAAAATCGCATGATGAGTTAAGCGATAGGCATATGTGAGAGACAAGTCACATGGAAGGTGCTGATGTCCTGAATGACGTTATAAAAACATGTACAAAAGCCATCGGAGAAAAAGCCGTTGGCGCGCCCGCCAATCGCGTGCGTGGATCGCGCGTTTCCAAGTAGCGCGACTGTCCACCCTTGATGTCTTCACGTCTCTTTGTGAATATGGACACTCAGACTGTGGATGAGTGAGCACTCCGAACAGGCGCGTCGTCTTCTACGAGCTTTTGCATCCGACAGCATTCGACTTCAGCGAGGCATGACTTTCGCAGCTCGACTCGGACGAGGGAACACATCACGGCATCCCCTTGTCGACCAAATCTTTGTCTCGGGCTCGAATTTGTTGCAAACGGTCAAAGCACACTTCAACGTGGACCAGATGACGGAAAAGCTCCCAGGTAAGAATCCGTGAGGTGAAGAGCTGTTTCGACATCGCTGCAGCACCGTGCAGCACTTGATGCCACTCGGCTGTCATTCGCCCTTGCAACGAGCGTCAGGCATACACCGAGTTGGGGTCGGTAGCATATATCCTGAACAACTGTGCGAACAAGGTCAAGCGATGTCATGATCGGTAGGCCTAAAGTTGTCGAACGTGATGTATAGGCTCTTCATATTCAACAAAAGTCGGCATTAATGTGGTCTTCACGCTGCGAGAGCATCTGCTTGAGTATCAGCTCATGTGCACGTACAATGCATCGTCAAGACGACATTCCTTCATCTCATGTACTCGGGCTTGCTCCACGCCCAAAAACATTGTTCAAGAGCTTTGCAGGTATGTGCAAGACGGCCTCCGGAATGAGGTAGCCCGTCAATTTGCCTGAATGGAAGATTCTCACCACAAATCATGGATATCAGTCCCTATTGAGCCAAAAGTCGTCACTCGCGCTCGCAAATGGCAACAAATATTGATGAGACACCTTTGTTAGCTGGCATGATGGTTACCGGATCAAGAACAACACTAGTGTTTCACTTTGTTCTGTCGCTGAGGCTGGCCCTCTGCTTTTGCGTAACATCCCCCCCTTCGCAGCTCATCACTACTTCTGTTGGCATTGATGAGCTTCGAAGTCGAACATGCTTTTGCTGTTGTTGCTAACGTGACGCTCATTTTACGTGATATTCTATTCATCCATATCATGACTAGCACAATCATCATCGTCCTTGGATGAATTTGAGGACCCGATCTGTATTTTCCCATCGCACACTCACAATCTGGTCGCTTGTCACTATTGCATCGCGTGCATGGTGACAATACTGCCGACCAATATGCAATACAGTACGAGCGGCTCAGACGAAGGCAGTGATGCATACGCTCCAGAATCCAGAATCCATCACAATCTCGTCAAGGGCAACGTCGGTCCGAAAGCAGGCGATGGCCCAAAACTAAATGCATCTCCAGTGTTATCTCAACTGACGACCGACCCTTGGTCTGCGACCGAGACTCAGCACTCGGTTTCGCCCTCTTTCAGTGTCCCCTGGGCTTCTCCACTACTCACAAATGATCTCAAGTCGATAGAGACAAACGCTCTTTGGTCTGCCGATAATTCAGATATCCTTCACGCGTCTGACACTAGGCCGAACATTTATTGGTAAGAAAGTCATCAAACTTGCCTGACCCACGACTGATTGGTTCGTAGCAACAAGAATGGCCCATCGGAGTCTCGTATTAATCAAGACTTCAACAATCCACACGACGAGTCACATGGATCATCAATAGACTATCGCCACATTTTGACGTGGCCGATCAAGAATCGCAACAAGAACTTCAGCGACACTGAGTATGGTGAAGTGCAGTCTGCTGTGTCGCAGACCATCAGCGACCATTCCAGAATACCACATCCAGAGCAGACGAGCACTAGAGAGATAGTGTGGTCTGAGAGACAACACGCCCATAGCCTGAGACGTGCACTGAAAGACCCTGGAGCACAATGGGTAGAGTCATACAACGGTGCCTTGAAAATGCTCTCCGCCATCAATCCTGAGCATTACCAAATGCCATTCGGGGTACGTTCCTAGAGCGCTAGGTCCAGCTTCAACCTGAAACTAATTGTAAAGCAGAGTCGCGTAATCAACATGAAGACTGAATTTTCTGACAACATACTGCTATCCATCCGCCTTGGCAAGTATTCAGTGCTGCAGAAAGTTTCCGAACGAATCATGGAAGTTTGGGAAGCTCGGAAAGATCCAAAGGAAAAGGTTTTGTGTCTGTTCTCGGTCAACAGCAGCAAAAAGTACTGCGGGATCGCCGAATTATCTGGCCCTTGGGACCCGCAGATGGAAATTGAAGGGTGGGAGAATAGTGTCAACGGTCCGCGTTGTTCGGGGTGAGTCTCTACATCAAACGACACTTCTTCACCAAGGCTGACTTTATGAAGTGGATTCCCCGTCACATGGATCTTCGCCAAAGACATCAACTTCCATCAATTCATTCACATTCAACTGCCAAAGAGCGGAACTACGGTCGCGAACATGTGGAATGGGATGAATTTCGCCAGCGATGTTGGCAGGGCGGTCATCGAAACATATGTCAAGACGCCTGCAACGTCAAGCATTTTAGGCTTTCCACGGAACTACCACGAGAACGAGCATTTGGCTACTGAGCGCGGTTCAGGCCAGCGCCGTCCTGCACGCAGCACACGCGGACCGCGCAGTATCGCTCGTGAAGCTCCGCCGGCAGGACTTAGTCTGGTGCGAAAACCATACCGCTCCGAACAAGCTCCATCGCGCAATTCGCGTCGTCAAAGCGAAACATCTGAACATGGATTCCAATCAGGCGGTATGGTCGACACGTCGGCACCCCCACCTCGGTTTCAGCTGCCTGCAATAAGCCAAGGCACAAATTTAACAAGCAACACTCGGCCGTTTTTGTCTTCTCAGGACAATCTTCCGAAGGATGGCCTGTTTATTAGCACCAAAATTCATAGAGCTTCACCGAACAGGTACATGTCCCGAGCAGGCGTGGCAGATGCCCCTTTCTCGATGCTACCGAAGAGTAACACCGAGCCTGCTCTCCAACTTGGTGAAATATCGGACTCAGAATCGAGCTCGCCATTTGCGTCCTATCGACAGCTGAAGGATCACAGTCGATACACATTCGCTCGTCCAATGCAGAATTCAACTTCTGAAGCTACGCATGCCGGAAATGGACTTGAGCAAGGCCACTATCGTCGTGATGACTATGGTCTCGTTGATCATACAAATGGCGAAAGCTTCGTGGATGCCTATATGAGAGCACCATATCAGCTAACTCCTCCAATGCTTTCACCAGTTGGGACTCCAACTCGCCGTCCCACTCAACGAATCAACAGTTTGGGCCCGTTTGCTACAAGCGTAGGCTCAGCTTCAACGATGCCGGTTAATACTCGACAGAAGGAAGCCCAGTTGAAGTCCAGACTGCACCTCTTGCTTGCGGATAAATTCGCCGTCGACGGACGTCTTGCTGAGGGCAACGTCGAGCGACATGTTCAAGATCAACTCTTCGAGAGAAGAAAATGTCTCCTCCACAACATCCACGAGATCGAACAGGAACTGATGCATCCAGACCAGCATGACGCAGACAGTTTGTCGTTCTCTACTCCCGCTCGTCGTGGCAGCTACGTAACATCCAATGGCATCGCAAGCCCATCGGGTGAGATTTACAATATTTCGTCTATGAGTGCCACGGATCATGGACCTCTACATCCTGCATCAAAGAATCGTTCGGCACAGCTCTCATCACAAGACGCGTCCGCGCCTCCTGCTTATCGCCGAAAGCATGGTTTCACGCCGTCATGGGATCTCCGCATGGCCGGCGCCATCACCAAGCTGGTGTCCGGCTCCGAGGACGATTTTCCGTTCAGCGCCGATCCTGGTCTCGGGCCAGCTGAACGCAGTGTGTGGCATCCAGCCCGGGTCGTTCGGCCACGCACCGACAGCAGCCTCGGCATGTATCAAGATACCAACGACAGTGGCGGCATTTTCACTGGGGATGAATTTGATTTACTTTTCTAGCAGAATGATGGCCGTCACCATCGTTGTACATCCCTAAGTGCAGGTCATTATACCGAGCATCTTTAGCCATGGACTGACTATCCATCGAAATGGATCCACTGGATATACCACCTTGACCTGGTAGTTCATTGACGACTGGTGCTGCAGATCTGAGTTGCGGGAACCGCCTTCGGTGCATTGATTTTATCTTCGTTTTGACCTGTTTGGAGAGAGATTCGGTCGCATCGACGACGGACTGCCTCTCATTTAGGTTCTTCAGCAGGCTCTTGCCCCGCTGCAACAAGCAACGCCAGCATAATTTTCCGCGAGGGACGTCACGCATCACAAGGCCGCTGGCAGGTCGCGTTGGCAGTGAGATGAGCATGAATGGCGACAGGACGATTTTGTTAACGACCGGGAATGACGCGCAAGGAGGAGGGAACTGCTGTCCGGGCAGGACATATCCGCTCATCATTATCGTAATCGCGCTTGGAGGCGAAGCCCGCCGCTGTTTCGGAAGCTGCAGAATGCTTCATTTGTGCAAGGCGTCGCAAGCGCTGGCATATACAATAAGATTGGTACCAAACTGACCACCTTCTTTCGGTCGAGCGATGTCTATATTTTCTCCGTCGCCCGTGACTCGCGCTTGAATTTGGCGTGAGGAGGTGCTTGACATACTAGGTAGTGTGCCACCGGAGCCTAATGGCTTATTATCGGTGGGAGCCAAAGTGCATACAGATCCGTGGTTGGACAACGATTTATTCCCGAGGTTCCTGCCGAGACAGTGATATATCTCGGACCTGGGAATTATTACAAGGCTGCGGCAAAGACGGGGACCAGTGGCGGCGCATAGACTCGCGCAGTATGCAGCAGTAACGGCATATCTATGCAAAACAGGAAGCCATGTGAACGGCACATAAGACCTCCTACGAGGAACGAGTATTGAATGTGGCAGGTGTGCAGGTGGCAGGAGGACGCTGGCATCACGTTTCAAGTCAGCAGATAGCCCTGGGGGGTGTTCTTTTGGTCGCGGGCGTGGTTGGGATTCGCGCGACGCGACGCGATCTCTGCTTCCTCTCCTGGGTGAAATTTGGGAGAGGGAAAATCTTATTGATGAGCTCCAAAGTGAGCAAAGGCTGCGCTGCACAGGGAGTGTTGGGCGACGACACCGATCGATGGCGCATCTGTCCCTCTCTCTCTCTCACACATCAAAGTTCGGTCTCCCTCCATCGTCGTCATCGTTTTCATCACAGTACACGAGATGATGGGCATGGTTAATTTTAGTGGAGCAGACAAGCGCGCCAAACGCCCGACTTCGATCATTAGTGCCCAGGTGTGCGTGGATCCGCCTCCAGGGTTGGTGGTCGGACTGACAAATGACTGATGACTCCGGGCCAGGTGATGATGACTGAGCGAGATGCCTGCTGAAATGCCTGCCCACATGTCGGTTCGTCTGCAAATATTGTATTGCGTGCAGACAACAGTGTTTGGTGAAGACATCCGGACAATTGTAGAGATTTTTGGGTTTGGTTTTTGGAATCACGATCATTGTTGATTCATAGATACAGTACCTACTACGGCGAGTACCGACTTTCAGCTGGGTGGGCCAAAGGTGTGTGCGTGCAGTTGTTGTACATCCATGGTTTGCAGGTGCTCATTTGGTCAGATCATCTGCCGGGGCGTCACATCGTCGTTATTACAGGCCGGCCTCCAGCCAGAGCGACCGCGCTCGAGGGCTGTTTGGGCGTGCAGTCCAGGAGGGCGGCTGGAGCCGCTGTTCGCCTTCGCCGTCGTCGTCGCCCACGCACGCACGGAATGCACCTGGGCACACAGTCAGTAGATACAGTACTAGATAGCCCTGGAGGGCTTTTCGGTACACCTGCAGTTTCCGGGGCACACACTCACACTGCACAGTCGCACCCGCCCGCCGCTCGCTGCTACATACTAACTGTACTGCTGTTGCCGCCATTATTACTCCATCCTCGAAGTGTATCTCGCCTCGTCACCAGAGTTGTACCTCACTGTACAAGAATTTCCCATACTTCAGGACAACTCATTCACGTTCGAGTGTATCAGGACTGCAGCCGGATCCGGCCCAACTATCCTTTGCACCCTTTGGAAGGCCGCAAACTGTGCATGACACTGTTGCTGGCCGTCGACTACCCTCCTCGTTTTATTGCATGCCGGCTACAGGTGTCTGGGTGAACTGCCGACCTGTCCTGGTGCTTTCTCATCTCCTCTGACTTCACCCAACCGCCTGTCCTGGTTGGAGAGCAGGTGACGGATTCGACAACGCGAGTACCAACTTATCCACTCACCTTTGGCGTGCACTTATGTTGCTGGCTCGTCATCCGCATGTAACACTTTGCGTCACACGCACTCTCGAAGAGCGTGCCGGCCAGGACGCACTCCTCCAGTCTCAGACACGGTCCTTGACGCCCGCACGCGTGTCCTTGTCCTATCTGCCTCGAGCACTTCTGCTTTAGAACTTCACTCCGACCACCACTGCCTCGACCTCGCATATGGCCATGGAACCCCCAGGAAGAGTCGGCCTGGGATTGAAGTCCATTCCTCACCCTTCTTATGGTTCCGACCCCGTCCTCTCCACTGCTCCAGCTTCGCCTGCTGAAGAAATTCCTATTCGCCGTTCGCGAGCTAGCGCTATGAACGACTCATCCTCATCCTCGTCCTCACTGCCGCCGCAAACCACCATGGCACAAATCACATTTGGGCCGGCGACCCAACAGACCATCACCACAGTCACCACTACGACCACCGTCTCCCTACCACCACTGATCATCAGACCACCCCGAAACCTACTAGAAAGAGACCCAAAGCAGTATCCCCTAGCGTTCTCGCCGACGCCTCACCACATCAAGCGTTTCTGCTTCGACGTAAACAACCATCCCACCGCCTTTCACGAGGCTGAGGATCCGGAGGAGACTGATCGCCAATATCGTCATCTGCTTGCAAAGATCCACAATCAAAATGGTGCAATAAGGCAAGAGGATAGGGACGAAGGCGGCGCCTCTTCCATGAAACGCGTACATCAGCAGGCACACGATGGCGCAAGGAGCTCGGCTCAAAAGCGCATGGCTTCGCCGCCATCACTTGCGGAGGCGGTGGAGATTGCGAGTCTGCAGAGGAGATCGAAAAAGCCACGCTCCCGTCTTCACAGAACTTTCTTAGAGGCTCCTGAAAAAACGGTCGCAGGCGATCGATTCTCGGGTGGAGGAGCACAGTCGAGCGAAACCACACCGTTGACTCCGGATACTAACAGCGCGGGTATGAGTTCTCGGCTCGGAGGGTCCAAAGCCGCTGGGACGAGATCTAGAGAACCTGGCCATTCGACATCATCTCAGCTGCATCCACTCGGCAAAGACGATGTGGATATGCACGATATTGACCTGCAAGAGGAGGAAGATTCTCAACCAGGGCCACCCTTCTACAGCCATAGTAAGAGTGCGAAACGGCGCTTCGAATCCATCTATGCACCAGGCGCGACCGAAGATGCTATCGGAGCCACACCTACACCCCCAGTCATGGATGCAGACCTTGAAGCTGAAATGGCCGAGATGGAGCAGTTCCGACATCCCAATCGCCCGACATTTCCCAGCCTACTGCCGAGTTCGCAGCAGGACGCTAGCTTACCCAGCCCGAGTTTATCACCCATCACTGCGGCTGCTAATTTAGCTTCGCGGCAGAATGCTTTTGATGCCTCATTTGCTAGTCACATCGAGGGCTCTACCGGCGGGGGATCGATCATTGATGCGGATAACACAGCTCGCGGTGGGAGCACCGACCCTCTAGACGCCGACCTATTCTCACGATCTACGAGACAGCCATCGTCAACCCAATCCGGATCTGCTCCTCGGCATGAAAGAGGTACATCGCGTGATGGCCCAACGATCATGGACATTCCGACAATAGTGGACGCGTTTGACAGCATGCCAGAGGCCATGCAGACATATCTGATGTACCAGTTCCTGAGACGCTGTGCAAAGCCGACGCTGCTCATGGTAGCAAGTGTCGTCAACCCAGCCCTCAAATGCGATCCTTTCAACATACTCCCACCAGAGCTCAGTCTCAACATCGCGCGTTTCCTGGATGCGCAAAGCATGTGCCGCGCTGCGCAGGTGTCAAAGCGATGGCGAAGGTTGATCATCACTAACGAGAAAGCCTGGAAAGACCTTCTTGAGAGAGATGAATTCACGCTGCCGGTAGATGAAATTAGCAGGGCGGTGCGTGAAGGCTGGGGTTGGCAGCATCCCGGTATCAAGGGGTATGAGGAGGACCTCAGCGCCGAGATTCCACTCTTGTCACCGGATGCTAGGGATGATTCAACTATCAGCGACGACGAGCTCACGGCCTCATCCTCGACAAACTCACGCAGTATGAAAAAGAGGGCGAAAATATCAGGGTCAAAGAAAGCCAAGCGACGGACCGGCCAAGCATCCTCAGCTCTTGTGAAGCCGGCCGCAACTCTGCAGGCGAAGACGAAGCTCTCAAATCTGCTGGACAGCGCAAAGGGCGCTAGTGCCTTTGCGCATGCCGCCACCGTCGCGATCCCGCACCCCTCAATTGGTTTGGACAGCCTGCGTAACATGCATCTGTTCAAATCTTTATATCAGCGTCACTACTTGATCCGCAAAGCCTGGATGTCGGAAAAAAGCAAGCCAAAGCATCTGGCGTTTCGGGCGCACCACCGCCACGTCGTGACCTGTCTCCTCTTCGACAGCGACAAGATCTTGACCGGAAGTGATGACACCAAGATAAACGTGTATGATACGGAGACCGGCGCTCTTCGCCGACGCCTCGATGGTCACGAAGGCGGCGTCTGGGCGCTTCAATATGAGGGCAATATGCTGGTATCCGGATCGACCGATCGCACTGTGCGGGTATGGGACATTGAAGCTGGTCGATGCCTGCAGGTTTTCCAAGGCCACACCTCTACCGTCCGTTGCCTGGTCATACTGAAACCCGCTCAAATTGGCACAGCAGCTGATGGCACTCCGATCATGATGCCCAAGGAACCGCTCATCATCACCGGCTCTCGCGATTCCACCCTCCGCGTGTGGAGACTGCCGGGTCCTCACGATGCCAACGTTACACAGAATGCTTCTCCGATCACTGAGGGTGAGAACCCGTATTTCCTGCGAACTCTTGCCGGACACCATAATTCGGTTCGGGCCATCGCTGCTCATGGTGACACGCTCGCATCAGGATCATACGACTGTACAGTGCGGGTATGGAAGATATCTACTGGTGATCTGGTGCACCGCCTTGCTGGTCATACCTCCAAGGTCTACAGTGTCGTCTTAGATCATGCCCGCAATCGCTGCATCTCAGGCTCGATGGACAATTTCGTCAAGATCTGGGACCTCAACAATGGAACCTCGCTCTACACCCTCGACGGGCACACATCGCTTGTGGGCCTCCTCGATCTCAGCCACGACCGGCTGGTCTCTGCGGCAGCGGATAGTACTCTTCGTCTATGGGACCCCGAGACTGGAGCGCCCCGGGCCACACTGTCGGCGCACACTGGCGCCATAACCTGTTTCCAGCATGATGGGCAAAAGGTGATCTCTGGCTCGGACCGCACGCTCAAGATGTGGAACGTCAAGAATGGCGAGTTCGTCCGGGATCTCCTCACCGATCTCAGCGGTGTATGGCAGGTCCGCTTCGACGAACGTCGTTGTGTGGCTGCTGTGCAGCGCAACAATCTCACTTATATCGAGGTAAGAAGTTTAGATCCCTTTGTGCGGTGAATGGTCGGCTAACTCTCGTACCTATAGGTCCTTGACTTTGGTGCTTCTCGCGACGGCATGCCTGAAAGCGACCTCGGCCGCCGTATTGTCGTCGATCACCGTGGCAATGAAATTGAAGACCTCGAGATGCCCGTTGACATCGACATGGTCGCACCAGCTGCATGATGCGCTTTCTCAACGCTGAGGGCTTTTTGCGGGAATCTTGCCAGCATCTCCACCGCTGCCCATCACCAATCACATCTATTCTGCATCACCCGAGAATATACACGGCAAGTGTTTCTCCGGCTGTCTCTTGTCTTGGACAAGTCTCGACTTCTCTTGTTGGACGCTCATCATCCTGCGTTCAGCATTCCCTCCAAGCATTATCATCGCGCACGCGCGCGCACGACGGAGTCCGGTTATTATAATGATTGATATTTCTGTGGATTACCCCTCTTGTCTCGTCTGCGAAAGCCTCCGCGTGTTCGAACATACGGTCGGCCCCGCAGAAACACCGACAAGAGTTCTTCCTGATCCCTCTGCATCTGTTTACATTCGCGAGGGAGTTTTCAAACGTCTGGTTGTCATTATGAAGCATGTCGGGAATTGTCTTTGGGTGATATCCCGCTTTATGTGCAAGGAAAGGAGTTTTGTTCGGGAGCAATTTTTGCATTTGTTACGCGTGTATAGCGTCTTGACCGATTCTGGTCCGGTCAGGTCTGAAGATACCACTATGGTGCTGTTGTTGATGTTATTGACTGAATGTTACTCTCTGGCATTTTAAGTTATGCGCCCTTTGTTTATCATGCTGCTGCTACCTGAGGACGGAAACTTTTGACTTCACGTGCCTCGCAAGATTTGTTTCTTGGACGGAAGGCCTCGATAACACCCCGAGCCGTTGCAAGGAACCACTTACGAACTTATGAAGTAGAGCGCAATGGTATCCAAAAACATCGACGAAAGCTCACTTCACACATTCCACACAACATCGACCTTGGAAATACCGCAGATATCTGTTTAGGGTTGTGATGACCTGAGTACGAGACAGAAAATATTTGACAGGGCAAGTGTCTGCGTGGCAAATTCGATACCTGCCTACTACCGAAATATATAAACAGCCTAAATTATAAGAAATAAGTGCGATCAGATCAGGGTGTGTATCGTCGGAAACATTGTCCTTTGCACGACGGGTATATCATCCAACGCCTTGGAAGACAAGCTATCCGAACACGCAAACCCGCCGTCATGGCCTCTCAAGCAGCGACCGAGCCTCTGCTCCCGAAGACATTCACCGATGGTCTCCCGGTGCCGAAAATGCTCGTCTTCGACCTCGACTACACGCTATGGCCATTCTGGATCGATACTCACGTCCAGCCTCCCATCCGAGCGACCGTACCCGGCGGGTTCGAGATCCGCGATCGGAGCGGCCGCGACCTCGCCTTCTATCCCGAGGTTCCGGGCATCCTCCGCGCCCTACAGGACAAGAGCGTCGTGGTCGGCGCGGCGTCTCGGACGAGTGCGCCGACTTTGGCACGAAGGTTGCTCGGTCTCCTACAAATCCCAGGACCGACGAGCGAGCGGGACGGAGCGGGCGATGCATCGTCGTCGTCACCAGCACCATCGATGTCGTCGACAACGGCAGCAGCAGCGGTGAGTTTCTTCGACCACATGGAAATCTACCCGGGAAACAAGATCGCGCATTTCAAGCAGCTGCAGAAGAAAACCGGCTTGGCCTACGAGGAGATGCTCTTCTTCGACGACGAGAGCCGCAACAAGAACGTGGAGGAGTTGGGCGTCGTCATGTACCTCGTGCAGGCCGGCGTGTCGCGGAGCGAAATCGATGCGGGCATCCTCAGCTGGAGGAGGAGAAATGGCCGTACGAAGAGGGAGGGCTAGTCGGAGAAATTTCTTCGCTCCTGTGCAGAGCCGTTGAGGGTGAAGTCTAATCGTCGTCCTCGCCCATTGAAATACGACCTTGATTCATTTTTGTGGTTCAGCATGGCGGTCAAAGGTCGTTCTGCATAACGACATGTCGGTTGGTCAAGGGGATGAGACATGTCTGCGCCTTGCACGAAGGCGGCGAGGAGAGTACCTTGCATGTCGGCGTCGACACCGACCTGCCAGCGCAACAGATTCTTCGTCATGCACGGCCCTCTCATAGAGATATTCACCAGGTCTTCAGATCGGATGCTTTGATTGCATTGCGTGCGAAAGGGGAGGTTGGGCAGCCCGTCTGATACTCGAGCTCACTGTGGTTCTCACTCGCAAACCAGAGCCATTGGCGCACACCGAAAGATCTGTCCCGTGGAGATAGCTAGCCACGCTCTGGCATGTCTGGGCGATGGCTCGCCACTTTCGAATCTGCATACCGCTCGGAACTATATCAACCGTCCAGCTGCTATCGTCAGGTCATGCCGCCACAAAGGCATTCAATACCCGATGGTATGTCACTGTCGATACGCTCCATCGGTCCTTGGTCCACAAATGCTACGACATCCTGAACGGCTTCAGATACGATGATCTGAGAGGGCAGAGATGCACGAAGTGAATTTGGTTCCCGTGCCAGATCGACGCCCTCGCGCGCGATGCACATGCAGAAACGTATTGGCAGTCTCCTGTACCAAAGATTTCAAAAGCCCACCTCCATCATAATCATCGTTCTCACGGCCAAAACTCCACGGAGCGACGATATGCACGCTGCGCGACATTTCCATGGTCCCCAATACGATAGCCTGCTGCAAGAAAGAGCAGCATTGCGTCACGGGATCGGCGCTTACAAGACGACATGGCGATCTCGTCTGGATGCGCCTGCAGCTCTGGGACGAGGAGATATTCGGTTGAGAGGAGACGCACCTCGAGACCTGCCAACGCATACATACATACATACATACATACATACATACATACATACATACATGCATACATGGAGAGAACCGAGCGGGAAAAGCCGGTCGGGGCCCTCTTGAAGAATCTTTTCACGTGATGGATGGATGGATGGATGGATGGATGGATGGATGGGAGAGTGAGGTGATGATGGAGGGAGGGCATTATCCTTGTCCATGTGGGATCGACGGTTTTTCAGTATGGCGCATTGCGGTGACCATGGGGAAGGTGTATGACCGAGCTACTGTTGCTGCTGTGGGGAAGTGTAGTTGACGGCGCGGTTGAGTACCGGGTTTCGCTGCTTTAACAATAACTACTTACTGCTCATCATCTCTCGGAGATGGAGAGTATATTAGATTACATGCATCGTGCATACTTACCGCTCTTGCTAGCTGATATTGAAATGAGGAATTTCGCAGAAGTACATCGCGGTGTTGAGGTGTAGACTACCTAGGTGCCTGAGAGAGCAGCACTTTCAGGGACCGCTGAGATGCAACAACGTGACTGCATCGAAAGCGATGAATGGATCGCGACGTTGTTGTTTTCTTGTGCAGAACAGCTCGATTCTCGCTGCGGATGTCCTCTGCATGCATCGTATCTCTATAGCCTGCAATTGATCCGTGAGGAAACTTCCGGAGAGATTGTCTCTGCAAGTCATGAACCTTGAAGCCCTCCCCCTCATCTCACCTCGAACTCGAGCGAGACTATGATCGGAGACAATGTGGGATGCACCGTTCTGTTCGGCGATCAACCAAACGAAAAAGAGGATACGCCGAAATCATAAGAGCGGTCAGAGAAGAACGGAGGAAACGAGCATGACGGTCGGTCCGCAACTCGAACGTCCTCGACGCTGCCAGTGGACACTTCGCCACGCGAGGTTCGGCCGCTCTCGCGTAAGGAAAGACACCACGCGGTCGAGAACTTCCCACACGCGACCAAGAACGACGGTCCGAGGATACAAGTATGTATATCGAGGGAAGAAGCGCCGACTCATTGCACATAGTCTATCGAGATCGCCGTCGACTCGCCACGCGAGGGCGCGCGCCATCATGTGAGGATGGCGCCGCCTGCACTCACGACGGAGGGACCAGGAGGAGTCACTTGGCAACTTCTACATGGAGATGTCTGATGATGGAAGGAAAAGTCCCCGTCGCCCGTTTTCCGGAGCAAAGACGTCGTCACGGAATGCCCTGTCGTGACCACAGCAGCAGCACACGTGTGCACGGCCCGCGTCCGCACCGTCCGTGGTGTGTATGGCTAGCTTGCAGACAAAACCACTGTTTGGTCGGCAGGCGCCAGGACAGAAAACTGGACTGATGAAGAATTCTGCGATGTATATACTCTGTGCGACAGGAAAGTTGTTTCTGGCGCACCGGCGTCGTTGCCGGATTTGGTCTATGGGAAAGATTTGAACATTCTTCGTCACTGGACGATGCATGTGCGCATTGGCGGGTTGGTGAGAAGAGCAACAGGAATAGAGCGGCAACATCTTGCACTGACGGCCTGGACTGTATGTGCGTTGAAAAGCAATGCGCGCCGTCCCCCTGCGTCATTGGAGAAATGCACATTCGTAGACAAGTCGCTGCAGTACACTTTAGTACAGTGTACGCAGGAGATGCAGTCGTTCACCGCTTCTCGCCCTCGCGCGCGCGGAATGCAGCCACGAGATTCCGGAGGACACCAGGCTGCATCTGGGTTAGGGTCGGTCGGACTTAGTCCTCATAGGGCAAGCAAGTGGCGGCTGCACGTAACGTACAGTCTGGTATTGTCGCGAACTGTGCTAAATGATTTCTGGAGACGGATGCCTCTGTTGCGCGCGTCGGCGAAAGAGAAACGGGCAAAAGGTCCCTCCCGCTCCTTGGTATGAGATCCTAAACGATGCTGTTCTCCCGGTGGGATTCACCGTCACGCGAACGGCGGAATCGGGCATGGCAGACACGTGAGCCGCTCGGCTTACTGATTTTTCTCATCTTCGTCCAACCGAGCACGACTAGATTCGCGATTCTGAGCGGCAAACTTGTTGGCAGAGAATGAGCGGTGGGAGCATTACCAGATGCGCACAAGAGCCCGTCAAGAAGAGTGTTCCTCCTGTCACAGGATCGCACCTGTCTCGTCGGCGACTATCTGCAACTGGCGTTCCCTTAACACATTATCCCACCGATCCGAGTTTGGTCGCGAATCCTCCTCACGTGCTAGACATGTCCTATGAATACTCCGTGCTGCATCGGTTGCTGGCTCGAGCGGTGATCCTTTGGTTGAGCCGTTCGTGAGGAGTTGGATACGACCATCCGTCATGAAGGTGGCTGGAGCACGTGATGCCGCGGGCCACCGACGTTACCGGACTTTAATGGCGTTTGCAACTGCTGAGGGTCCTGGACCTCCATCTGACCAGGACGTGCTCGAACGGATGCTCAGGAGGCATAGCGAAGACTGCAGAAATTTTCTTGCAGATCCGTGGGCGTATGGCCGTGATGAATACAGCCGTCTGGACAGCTGCAACAATTCATGGTATTCAACCCAAGTAATTACAGCATTTGAAGGTTCCAATTGAAGTTCGGGCAAAAAAATGGAACAGGGTCCACCAGCCAGCCCAGAATTAGGGTAATGTAGCGTCGTTCGCGTTTGCCGGGGATTGCGCGAGAGCGTGGCAGCTCCGAACGGGTTATATCCGGCGCCGATCTGCGGGCTGACGAACCATTGAAGATACGAGACAGCGATGGCGATATCCTGGAGATTTGCGGTGGCTGATGACAATCGAGATACTGTGCCATTCGGAATCTATATATATGGGCGTTGCTATTGCGAATCATACGCTGGTCGCCGTGTGTTGTGTTTCATGTCGTGTAATTATTTCCTTCAAAGGGACGGATGCCTGCATGCGGCCCAGCAAGGAATTATTCAGAGGGCAAAGTGCGCCTTGATCCTCCTCCATTGATGTGAACGATTTGAAGCGGTTTCATCGTCGAACACCCTGGCGATCCTGTCCGTGTCTTCCCAACGTGAACCACGCTCATGCGTGAGCGACCAACGGAAATCGTGTAGAACGCTCTCGTTCATCGACTCAACTTCTGCAGCGTGGAAGCGTGGGGGTGTCAGTAATCAAATGAAACCACCTGGGCATGTAGGCACTTTTCGGCACCGATCGCACCAGATCGATGTCTGCACACCGGGCCCGTACAACTGAGTTACCCTGTACTCATTGTACTGGGTAATGATGATGAATCCCTACCTAGGTAGGTATGCAGAGAGGCTGTGAGGGAGGTACGGCATTGCGCATATCGTGGCACATGTGTGGACTCGCTTGGCTCGTTCATGACATCCGTAGTATGTGTACTATTATTACAGTCACTTGAGGACGTGACTACTTTGTTCTCCTTCCTCGTACAGTATACGTGATCACTCGTGTCACTGCAAGAGGCATGGACGAGAAACGATCCCTCTCTGCCCAGGGAGAAATAGATTGAGGATGAATGGGCGTGGATGGGTGTGTGCGTATGTGCGTGTGTGTGTGTGTTGCACGTTGCAGCAGCCAAAGCTGCACCTAGAAGCTAAGCCCCTCCTTTGATTGGAGTGGGCATTGGTGGGTCCCTGCCATCTCTTCAGTAGCTGCATATCGCTCTACTTCACCGCTCATTCCTCCCTCCCTCTCTGCCAACACGCTGGGAAGCCAGGGCTTTTCCCTCTCGAGCTGTTTCTTGCTGGGCGGGCCATGGCGGCATGGCTGGAAGTCCGCTCGCTTTCCTTCGCTCCCGTCGCCCAGCATTGTTTTTGTATACACTATTACCTTGGTGAGTATCGATACCATGGAATTTATTGTTCCCCACCTGGGCAGTATATATCCCATCATCACCATTAATGAATCGCCGCCGGTCTATGGGTTCCATGCTGCAGACCACAAGGCGCCCGCATGATGTACTTTCATATCGATTCCAATACCGTATGATCAGATCGCTTGGCTGGGATCGCATTACCCAGGTGGCCCTGGAGGAATCTTTCGCATGGACGGTATGTGTTGAACTAACCTGACCGTGGAGAGCGCCGTATGATGCACGCACGATCCAAGGTCGGTCGGTCCTGTTGGCGCGCGCTCCGCCTGTATCCACTTCCTTACATACGGCTATTCTGCACATATCAACGTCGTTACGAATCTCGTCTCTGTGGTGGTGGTGACGATGAGGTAGGTTAGAGGCGCCGGCACGCATCCGATCAAGGCGCACCGCGAGAGGCCGTCCATGCAGGTGGAAAGTCCGTGTTGTCGTCGTTTCATTATTACCTACTGTGCCTACCTACTACCTACCTAGTTTTGTATGTGATCACCTGTTCGCCCATGCTCGCTGCTTCCTATAGAGTTGGGACCATTTCCTTCTTCTCACCACCTAGTACCGTCGTTCCGTTTGCTCTCCGCCGTGCGATATTTGTGGGCTTCCCCTCTCTCGCTCTCTCTCCACACACAAAGAGGACCGTGATAAGCCCTGGGCCCGCCTTCTCGACTACCCGCCCTCGATTTCTCTCTCCCACTTCGGCGGTGAGAGACTGAAAAGGATAATCTTTACCTTTTCGCTGCGGCCGTTCTTGCGTCTGTGCGACCACTTCCCTCCTCCTAGCGATTGCTCTACGCCGAAGCGCCATCCACTACTCCCGCCTCGTCGTTCGTGCGCACGCGCTGATCTGACACTGTCGCGCCGAGCGCTGGAAACCTTCCTCGATCTTCAACACCATCCTCACCGACGCCATGGACGCTTTTGACTTTGCTTCCCATGATCCCTTCTCAGATTATACCGGGTCCGTGACATCTCCGGATCAACATTCACAACAACAACATCAACAACAACAACAACAACAACAACAACAACAACAACAACAGCAACAGCAACAGCAACAGCAACAGCAACAATCACATCTTTACTCCCACTTCATTTCACAAACCGCTGAAAATCACTGGAGCTCGCTTACCCTCGAAGCCATTGAGCACGAGGCCGCTATCATGTCGCAACAACAGCAGCACCAACAGCAACAGCAACAGCAGCAGCGTCACACCTGCGATCACCAGCACTTTCACTCACTACCACAGCAATCACAGTCCACCTCGCAACCGCAGTCCCAGCTATCACACGCAGCATTCGCCAACGCCGCGTCAAATCAACATGTACAGCAACTGCAGCAACAGCACAACAGGCTGGAGGGAGCCAGGGCGATGCAGGCCGTCACCCTACCGGGTCACAGCTTGAACATGGACTACATGAACATGCAGGTGCTTTCAAATAACTGGCATTTCCAAATGGGTGCATCTGCTGCAGCGGCCGCTCAGCAGCACAGAGCGCAGCAGCACGCTCAGCAACAACTTGGTGTATCGAATGGGAACGCTCTCAACATGAACGCTTTCAGTGTAGCGCCTTCTTTCGGGGCACAGTTGCAAGCGTCACCTATTGACTTCATCCCGACGTCCAACGCCGACAACTTCATTGTCACCGCCGGCATGGATGCTGCCAACTTCATGACCATGGCCGGTCCCATGGACTCGATGAATGCGCTGGCCTTTCCACTCAACGATTACACCAACGGACTAAACTTCTCGAGTGCCATCAACAGCGATGCTCTAAACCAGCACGCTGTCGAGTCAGCAGGGTCCAGTCTTGCTGGTGGTTCACCCACAGGTACTGCCGTTGAAATTCAATCGCTTTCCGACAACGAAGGTTCATGGACCATGGTCAACTTCAACAGCCACCGACACTCCATGGACTCCCTCGGCACCGTCTCCAACCCGAGCCAAAACCTTCACATTCGCACCCATTCCGAATCCTCCAGCTCGGATGGTCCTTATTCTGAGTTGTCAGGAAGCTACGAGGAGATTCCTCCTTGGCCTCTATCATCACCACACGACTTCCATAACTCCGCAGAGTTCCTCGATGCCCAATTTCTCCAACAACAGATTCAAGGTCTGCAGACTTCCAGTCAACAAACGTCACCGACCCAATCTCTTGCCGTCAGCCCTGTTGCTGGTATTGTTTCATATCGATCGTCAGGATCTTCATCAACATCACCAACATCGTCCGGCCCGACCTCGCCGCCACTCAGACGTCGCAAGTCCCCGCTAGACGGCAAGACTACCAAGTCCATCATCAGCAAAAAGACAGTGCCTCTGAATCCGCGCAAGGACTCGACCGGAACCGAGAAGAAGGTCGGCCGCAGACGTGGTCCTCTTCGGCCGGAGCAGCGACAACAGGCCCACGAGATCCGAAAGCTCCGAGCCTGTTTGCGTTGCAAGTTCCTGAAGAAGACTTGTGACAAGGGCGAACCCTGCGGCGGCTGCCGACCAAGTCATGCTCGGCTGTGGCAAGTCCCGTGCACGCGCATGGACATCAAAGACATCGCGTACTTCATGAAGGACTGGAAGGCTGACTACGAGCGGCACGTGACCCTAGCCTTCAGCATCAGCAACATCAAAGGCTTTGGTACTCAGGAGCGAACGATCTACATCACTCACGGCTATGGTCACCTCCTGCCGATCAACGTCCGTGAGGTATATGTTCGTGACGAGGACTGCTTTGACATGGATTGGGTTGAAACCAACAACAGTGTCGACGTGGAAGACTTTGAACTGACAACTCACCGCCTGTCTGCTGGCCTCGAGGGTGTCAGCATCTCATTGTTGTCCGAATACCTCGACTGCCACCTCGACCAGAACTTTGAGGAATTCGTTGACGACCTGTTCGAGGGCACCAAGTTTCTGACAGAGATCCTCAAGACCGCGTACCGTTACTACACGAAGGAGAAAACGCCTTCCGTGCGCAAGGCCCTCAAGCTCATCCTTGCTTACAACCTCACCACTCACGTGACTCTGATTGAGGGTATCGGTGAGGATGAGGTATTCGACGGGAAAGTCGAGGACCCTCGATCGAGGTACCATGGGAGAATTCTCGCTCCCGTCATGATTAACTTCCAGGTCAAGGCTGCCCTCGCCGACATGTGGCGAGAGCTGCAACGCGACATCCTTGAGGAACTGTCGTCGTTGTACTCATCTGTCTACTCGGGCGACAAGCTAAAGAACTGGCCGACGATCTTCATGCTGGCCTCCATCCTGCTCGCGATCTGGGAAGAGATGCAGTTCGACGCCCACTACCGTGTGCCCGATGAGCAGGCTGTCAACAAGTTCTGCGAAGACATGGAGACCACTCCCGTCGGCGTCATCGTCGGTCTGTTCCAGGCCATCTCCACCAAGCTTCCAGGCCTCCAGGAATGGGACACTCGCAAGCACCATCAACTACTCGGCTCTAACCCTGCCATCTGCGAGGCCTTGACCGAGGTCAGAGGCCACGTCAACAAATACGGTAAGTTGAAACTCGAACCTCTAAAACCTCGTCCACAACTGACTTTGCAACACAGAATCCTACCTCAGAGAACGGCCCAGCGCAAAATTCGACCGCGACGACTTCGACTGCTTGAGCAACAAGTTCTTGAGCAAGCTCGTCATCCGTGCCAACTAGGAAAGGGCCCCTCCGAACGTCCAACCCGCCGCCACACAAATGTTTTGACCCCTCATTATTAACGACCTGCAAGACGATACAAGGCATCACGAGCCAATGACCCATAACTAAACCACATCACGCCCCATTCACCCACACGACCGACCCACGAAGAAAAATTCCTATCGACGACCATTCAAGAATCTGACGCTTTTTATGAGAAACTCCCATGTCTGATACCACCATCTTTTGCGTGCCTGGCTCGAGTCCTTGCAAACCCTCGAAGTCGTTTTGGCAGATCTGTTTCCATTTTGTTTTCTATCTTTTTTCACTTGGCATACCATAATCTCCTCTTACCATCTATCTATGTTTGTTTTTATCTTTTCCCATCAGCTGTTGGTTTGGGGGCAATGTTCTCCTTCGCAGAGCAGGTCCTGCTTTCCCACCGTCACCGGAGGGGATGAAGCAACCTTTGTGTCAGCGCTCCGCACTTCTCGTTAGCATACCGCATCACCGCCCGTTGAGGATTTGTTGAAGTATATATATATCACACGCTGATGGAGGACACGACTGATGAGAAAAACAGGAGGAAAAGATTGATTGAATGATTTCACGGACATCGGCGAATGAAATTTGAGACTGCCGCCTTTTCTGAAAGGCTTGATGATTTAGGTACTATATATATACATCACGTCTGATCACGATGGAAACATGAAATCTCTGAGTCTCGCTCCTGGTGTCCCGTCTCTCTTTCTCTCTCCTTCCTTTGACCAGATGGGCATCGGAACTTGTACGTCTCGTACATGGCTGACCCAACCCACCTCGCCTTCTCGTCCTTCCCCGCCTCCTCCCATGAGGGTCAACGCCATGCATATCATACACGAGCTTGACAGTCAATATACCCCTGTTCGGAAATCATAGGAGTAATTCTGACGACGATCCCGAAATGGATGGATTTCCTCTTCCAAAACAAGAAGTCATCAACGACGACGTCGGCCGAAAGAATAATAACAACAACGAGCCGTACCATGAAATTTCCTCTCTATATAAATGGTTCCTCGAATCACCCACGTTCTATCCTATAGACCCATAGGCTTTCTAGCAGAAGCCCTGTTCGTTTCTTTTCTTTCCCTTTTGGAAATCCATCCCTTCATTCTACGCACACCAACTCGCCTCAAAAGCGAGATCGCCACGAGGGAGAGAGAGGGAAAGAGAGACGGGGGTGAGCGAAAAAGGACGAAAAGACCGGAATAATCCATGCTGATGGATTTTTCAAATCCACACTCCACCGCTGCCCTCCCCCTCCCTCTACAAAAGCAGCACGGCACCGGCAACGCCCACCAGAGCGAAGACGCCGGCCGCGACGCCGTTCGCTGCCGCGGCGCCCCGGGCCGGGGTGACGGCAGGCGTCGTCGATGCGTTCGTCGGGCGCGCAGTGGAAGCCGCGGTGGAAGAAGTCGTCGGCGCGGCGGTGGTGCGGTTTGCGGCGGGGGCGGTCGCGCTGGAGTTGGTGTTCTGCACGAGGAAGTAGTTCGCGGCGATGGGCGCGTTGCCCACGGCGGCGGTCAGCGCCGTGAGGTTGTAGTTGATGCGGTTGGTGGTGCGGAGGTCGGTGTAGTTGACCCGGCTGGGCAGAGTGAAGTCCGCGGACGGTTGCCGGTACAGGTAGAAGGCGTAGGTGTGCGGCACGTCGCCGGCCGGGGGCATCGGGCCGCCTGGGGGATGTCAGCTCTTCTTGTTCGGCTTACTCGGCTTGTTTTGGTTCTTGTTCTTGTTTCTAATCAAGGTGGGAGAATGTGGGAGGGAGGGAGGGAGAAAGGGAGGGATGGATGATGATGCCTTACCGTATGGTGCGAGGGCCGTGGTGTTCCAGGTGAAGGAGCCGTTGGAGCTCTGGCGGACGCCGGTCTGGAGCCAGTGGAGACGAGTGGTGCGGTTGGCACCGAGGCCGGCCACGAGGGTGGCGTTGGTTGCGCTGCGGGCGAGGGCGAGGGGGATGGAGAGATCGACCAGGGCGACGATGTAGGTGCCGTTGGCAGTGCCATTGAGGCCGATGACGGGGGCGACGCTGGAAGCTGCGAGGGCGGAGGATGATCAGTCAAGGTTCGAAGTTGGATTTGATTTTCTTCCTTTCGTTCTCTGGGCATCAAGAGACGTGAGGATGTCTCTACACATACCGGCCTGGGTGAGGGTCTGGTTGGCCTTGATGGTCTGGTTACCGTAGCGGACGTTCAGGCTCTGGCTGACGCTGGGAACGTAGCCGACAGGCGATTGAGCGCTGGCCAGAGCCGCGAGGGCGACAGTGAAGATGGAGGTGAAGTGCATGGTGATGACGGATTGCGGTGTTGTTGATGTTGTCGATGATGATTGAGTCGGATTTGTCTCACAGAAATGCGATTACTTGTGGACAATATTGAGTATCAAATGTGATTAACGCGTCAAAATCGAAACTGTTGCTGGGCGGAACTTTATTATATATAGACAAATAAAATTTCAAATTCTGGTTGAGAGAGATGTCGTCCATCTTGCCTCTCTCTCTCTCTCTTTCTCTCAGAATCCCACCGTCGTCGCTTAGGAAGACCTTCTACAAGTCTTGGCTACTACAGTAATTTGCCTTTTCCGTCATTCACGCGCATGTTCCGCCCATGTTTCCTCCATCCGAAGCTTTTGGGATCCCAGCAATCCATGGACACCAAGCAAAAAGCACTTATAGCGCCATCCATCGCGCAACGCTGGAACGTGGTGTCTCTGCGATCGAAGAGGTCTGCGCAGCTGGAGGTGCTCCATGAACGAGCGGATGTCGTCAGCAGCCAATCAACTGGCGACTTCACATGCACATGGGGAATCCGGAGCTCGACTTCTGCTTCGAGACATTTACTAATTAAGAATCCTCTCAATGGGCGACTGGTGGCGTATTGCAACTGTCTCTCGAGGCTAGATTTTCGTTGTCCAGACTGCCGGGTCTGACGATATACACACGCTATATGAGATCGTGGCTGTATACCAATCGAAATCATGTGTGATGTGGATATACTGTATCATCGTGAGGGCAATGACGTGCTCGTGGGGCTGCAGCCCGATGCTTGCTTATTTTCCACTGCATTTCTCATCGTCTGTCAGGGACATGTCGTGATGCTCCCGGCTGGACATGCGGTCCGCCATCCCGTTACATTTCGATTGCTGTATTGCCTCAGTCTGAAGAGAAATGACATGCCTGAGTCGACAGTAATGTTAGAGGGATGCGCAAAACAATAAAGGGACGCGAACATCGAAAACGACGCCCTGCTTTCCAAGTCTCCTCGGCCTGTAGATCGAGTATTGTCATCATCACCATCATCATCGTCCGAACGTTCGCCCAAACATGCCCTAGTGTTCACTCCCACGCCTGGCAAGCCAAACACGTGCTCCCAGCACCACCGACATTCCACCACCTCGATCTATAGTAGTCATCACAGAACGAGGTCCGGGCTGAGAAAACGCCACGAGCAGTTCGACATGCCACCACCAACTGTCCCACCGACGGACGCCAGATGACATTGCGTCCAGACTGGGATGGAATGGGATGGGATGGGATGGGATGGGATGGGCGCCTGTGGAATAAACAATAAGCAGACATCGGAGGATCAGCCTCTTCGAGATGATGTCGTGATGCGAGCAAGCCTCTCTCGACTTGGGACTTGCGATGGAGTCGGCTGTGCAGGAACAACCAGCGGCACCTCCAGGACTTTTACAATGGGTGTGTTTAATGATAACATTGGTGATAGCAATGCGCGTTGTCGGGGGGTAGAAATGCAACGGGTATGCGGAGAAACACTTGCTGGATTTTTATCACCTACTTTTCTAAACCACCTGCACTCTAATTCAAAGAAGAAAAGGAGAACCCTTGCTGATAAATGAGCGATCGGATATCATCGGCCTACGTCACGAAACAATGTAGCGAACGAAGAAAAAAAAAATAGGGAATAGCCATGTCCAATGCAACGAGTAAAAAGGGCAATACTGCATCGATGGAGACCGAACCGGCTTTTCTTGCACATCGAACGCAGGAAGATGCTCCCACCAATCTCACGCCGAGCACGTGTTGCAGGGCAACGGTCACGTCAGAGTTCTCGACCGGCATGCATGGAAAACAACCGCCCTGCAGCGCTCCACGTGGGCGACCCAAAGGGAAAATCAGATCGACCGTTCCTCCTCTCCTTTCACAGATCGATCAAGCTGTTTCCCGCGGCGCCCTGCTGCTGCTGTGGCGGCCTCGATCCGAAAGGGTTATTGCCGCCAAGTCCCGTGGCGGGGCCGGTCTGCGCCGGGTACTGCTGTGGCGCCTGTACGTAGAATGGGTTGCTGCCTGTTCGGAGAGCCTCAAGGCGACCCATCGATCCCGCGCCTGCGGAGTTGACGAAGGTCCCGGGCGCCGTGTGCTGTGACGGGATGCGTAGGTCGCCCGTGTTTCCGAACGTGTCTTGACCCTCTCCTGTGGCGAGCAGGTTGTTGAGGCGCGCGGCATATGGGTCTTCCGCTTTGACTTGTGTTTGCTGGGCCTGTAGCGGCTGCTGCTGCTGTTGTTGTTGTTGGACCGGCACTTGGAAGTTCTGGATCGGGTTGGAACGGTTGTTGTACTGTTGTGCGGTCTGCTGTTCCTGGAGCGTCGACAATGTTGGCGCCTTGAATGGAGAACTCTGCTGCTGTGCCGGCCGCGCTGCGAATGGATTGTTTGAACCGGTCGGCTGCGCTTGCAATGCCTGGCCACCGTTGTTGTTCGACGCCCACGGATTGTTAGATCCAGGCTGAGCGGTGAGCTGCTCCTGAAGCGGCTGCGGTTGCTGCTGCTGTCCGACCTGACCATACCCGGTCATTTGCTGAGCCCATGGGTTGTGGGTGGCTTGCGGCTGAAGGAATTGTTGCTGTTGGCCGTAGATCCCTGTAGGTTGTGCTTGTCCGAGACCAACATTGCCATACGCGTCTTGGTAGCCAGTTTGCTGGGGCTGCATGCCCGTCGGCTGGCTGTATGCGTTGTTCAAATAGCCGGTAGGCTGAGGTTGCTGCTGTTGAACCGGGTTACCATACCAATCCACCGCTGCCTGCTGCTGATAGCCTTGGTTGAAGCCGGTCGGCTGTGCAGCCTGCGCCGGCGAGTCATCAAACAATAAATCTCCCTGCTGATCCTGCAGCTGACGCTTGCGGAGCTCCTCCTCTTCTTTGCTGAGCTTGATGGCCTTTGCCAAATCTTCGTCGGTCTCCTGCCCGTGCGAGCTCTTGGCCCGGCGCGCAGCCTCTGCTTCTGCTTCGTTTTTCGACGCCTCGAGAGCGAGTCGGTACTCCAAATCATTCTCGTCACCCTCAGCAGGTTGGCGCCTCTCCTTACGTCGAGGATTTTCGGCAGGGGCACCGTTATCGAGTTCGTTTTCAGTGTTGAGTCCAATGACCCGGGATTTCCATTGTCCTCGGTTTTGGCGCTCGGCACGCAAGCGCTCTTCATCGAGAATCAGCGAAGTAAGCTCCTTTGCAGAACTCCTGACTACACAGATTGTTAGCTTTTGACACGGCTCTGGACCTCTGGCTGTACCTACTAGCTGCTCCGACATCTCGGCCCTCGTCGTCCAGATGTATGAATTCCCGCAGAGTCTTGATGATATAGATGTTTTTCCGCGCCCAGGTCACCACCAATTCAGATCCCTCGTGTAGACAATAATCAAGGACCTTCAGACTCTTGAGCACATGTCGCCAATTCTTGCCTTTGTCGTTGAGACGTTTGTCGAGCATGTCCATAACATCGTAGAAATCCTGCGAGCTGTATCGTCCACAACCGCGTCAGCTTTCCGGTTACAACAGTAGGTAATCCTCCTACTGACCTGTTGTACGTTATCCTAGCGATCTCCGACATATCCGACCCAGAAGGCCCCCATGCTTCGTTGCTCGTCGCTGTTGACATGCCATTAGCTCTCCATCACCAGGGTGCATGCGCAGCCAGATCTTGGTGTAGAATCGCATACCATTTCGCACCTTCACCTGCACGCTGGAGTAGCCCTTTGTGACATTCTTGATACTCCGTACGACCCCCGACATTTTGCGACTCCGGAAGCGAGGTCGATCTACGCGAAAGTGGGATGTCTGTCAGACTTGGGGCGATGCGCGCACGGCGCAGCAGGTACCGATAAGTGGTTGAAGAGCGGATAAATGATCGTCGCGGCTGGATCTTCGAATTCTGGGCGCGATTGTACTCCTTCAGTGTTGCGCGTTCCGTGGTGGTATTCAATGGCAACTGGCGGTCTTCAGGCCAGCGCGAATTGGTGATGGCAGAAGCGGGATGATGCAACTCATGTGCGGCTTCGCAAGCGCGAGGACGTAACCTTGCCGTGCAGGTATTTTGTCCACGCGGACTGGTCCAGATAGATTTTACGCAACACTTAGATACATGGAAACGGGCGATACTCAATTATTCGAGCAAAAGTCTTACGAATCTGTCATATCTGAGACATTCACCGTTGCTCACATTGGAAAACATAGTGAACGTAATTCTGGCACCGTGCGTCACGCTCTATGCATTCAGTTCATGGATCTGTAGATGTCATCGAGGAATAAAATCACTCGTACTTTGTTGGCGTGGCTGGGTAATGCCGCCGGAAACAATGTCTGCCGCCACGTGCCGTCTTCTTGGAAAGCTGAGGTCACGTGATTGTGCGAGTACCCCAGATATCGGTGTCGGCCCATCTTCGGATTTGCGAAGTCTTGGCGCCCACACACCATCGCAAAGATTGACCATCATATGTGATTGAAGCTGTACGAAATTTGTGTCAACGACGACAAGAACTTTTCCCTTCACATCGTTCCGCATATCGACATCATGGTGAGTTACCGAAACGAGAACATGAGATGAGGGCTGTCAAATGCCTTTGCTCGCTGATCACTGTGCCTCAATTTGCAGCGCGTGAACAGTTTGCAGGCATGCGACAGTCACTCTCTCCATCATTGTGTCCGAGGATCAATGATGTGACATGGCTTGAGATATGACGATGGCCTTTGTGCCTCGTGTAATCTCTTTAGAGACAGAACAGTTAGCTGACTGTTCTTCTCAATGATAGCCTCCGAAAGCAGCAGGAACCAAGAAGGCCGCGCCAGCGCCCTTCCCGGCCTCCAAGGCCGGTGCTGGCAAGAAGCAGGCCAAGGTATGCACCACACTCTCCACTGTGATAAGAGTCGACCCATTGACACAACTGTAGAACCCTCTCATCGAGCGCCGCCCACGCAACTTCGGTATCGGTCAGGACATCCAGCCCCGACGCAACCTTTCGCGTATGGTGAAGTGGCCCGAGTACGTTCGTCTTCAGCGCCAACGTAAGGTCCTCAACCTCCGCCTCAAGGTCCCTCCGGCGATCGCACAATTCAACAACACCCTCGACCGTAACACCGCCGCCCAGACCTTCAAGTTCCTCAACAAGTACCGTCCTGAGACCAAGCCTGAGAAGAAGGAGCGTCTGTTGAAGGAGGCCACTGCTGTTGCCGAGGGCAAGAAGAAGGAGGATGTCAGCAAGAAGCCCTACACTGTCAAGTACGGTCTCAACCACGTTGTCGCCCTCATCGAAGCCAAGAAGACCGCCCTCGTCCTCATCCCCAACGACGTTGACCCGATCGAGCTCGTCATCTTCCTCCCCGCCCTCTGCAGGAAGATGGGTGTCCCATACGCCATCGTAAAGGGCAAGGCCCGTCTTGGAACTGTCGTCCACAAGAAGGTATGCGAAGCCGTGATCCTTGAGTGGCTGGAATTATGACTAATAAATATTTTCTAGACCGCCGCCGCCCTCGCCATCACCGAAGTCCGAAGTGAGGACAAGTCAGAGCTCTCCAAGTTGGTCCAGTCCATCAAGGAGGGATACCTCGAGAAGAACGAGGAGGCCAAGCGTCACTGGGGTGGTGGTATCATGGGTGCCAAGGCCCAGGCTCACCAGCGCAAGAAGGCCGAACGGGCCGAGCGTGAAATTAAGATCTAGATATACTCACAATGGGCGGTTTCAAGGCGTGTGGCGCTGGTATGAGCATAACTCTTTTTTGGAGGAACGGCTTGCTGGGATGTTTCAATGCATGTACGAACTTTTCCAAGCTTCTGGCTTTGTCATCCACTGTCTACACCGACTTTGTAAACCATCACTTTGCCCACTACCAGGTATGATGTCCTCTATCGACGACTTTTCATGAAGGATACACCATGGTCATGTTTCATTTGACCATGAAGCGTTGGAGGAATTTTGCAAAGTCAAGCGTCGCCAAGTCTGCTCTATAGTCGCAGCGCAGCTCCTACAGCACGGCCATGTGATCTCATGTGTCCCGGCTCCACAGCACATCCAGATCCAGCCTATGACGAAGATCCAAGCTGTTCCGTGCCCAATCGCATCTTCTCCATCGTCTCGGTCGCCTCCTGTTTGTATTCCTCGCGCCACCGACTCTGCGGCTGTCGTTCGTAAACAATGTCCCCCATCGTCCAGGTCATGCGTTTCCGATCCGTCTCCCAATCGACATCGTTGTCAGGGCAGATGACGTAGAATTTGCCCTCCGACATCTTCCGGTACAGATACTCCGCCACCTGCTCCGGCGCCCACGCACCCGCCGGTTTCTCCTTGGTGGACCCGCCGCCGGTCAGGCCGGTGAAGGTCCAGCCTGGGACGAGGAGATGCACGCTTGTCCGCGGGCTCGACTTGGCGAGGTCGAAGGAGAGGTGTTCCGTCAGGGTCTTGATGGCGCTCTTGCTGGCGTTGTAGGCCGGGTTCGAGGGGGGGTTGGTGATGCCTTGCTTGGAACCCGTGACGATGATGGCTCTCTGGCTGCGCTGCTGCGGCTGTTGGAAATGCGGGACGAAGACGTTGAGGCCGTTCACGACGCCGAACAGGTTGGTCGCGAAGATGGTCTGGAAATACTGGGTGTCGGTCCAGTCTCCGTTGGCGCCGATTCCCGCATTCAGGTGCAACAGGTCTAACTCCCTTCCGCCGGCCTCGACTTTGGTCTTGAGCTCGTTCCACTCGTTCAATGAAGAGACGTCCATGGTGTGGACCTCGATGTTGGTACCATCTGGGAGAGAGGTCTTGGCATTGGCGAGGGCTTGGGCATTGTTGTCGACCAAGATGAGATTCATCTTGTGCGAAGCGCACAGTTGCGCCACTGCGAGTCCGACGCCGGAACCTGCGCCGGTGATGAGGGCATTGGCGCCGGCTCGAAACACATCAGTCGCGGTGGACGGCATGTTATCGAAAATTGCGGCTCTGTAAATACGGGTGATTCTGTGTTTGATCGATTGCAATAGCAATAAGACGATGCTGAAAACTTGAGCAAATACCAGTAATATCTGTTCATCGTTGTTTCTTGAACTTTTACCATGTGTGGAGAGAGAGGATGACGTCAAATTCGCACCCACCTGCACTCTACTGCGAAGTCGATTCATCAATGTCATGGCGGGGAATATCCGAGTCCCTGAGTGATGAATTTGTATGGGCGAGACAGGCACACCATATACTGTGGTCAACCATCGGCCATTTGGACCAGCTCCGGTCGAAAACACCTAGATAAATGCATGCCCTTCAGAGTGATACGACAGCGACGATAGAATGTGAGATCTCCGCGAGTCAATCGCATTTTGGCCAGTGCAGAAAATCTACGCCTCTCGAACGCTATGGACAAACTGTACATGAAAGCGAAGCACGTGGACCCTGGGATCAGACGCGTACTCAACTCATATTGTTCGCGATATCTACCTGCGATCCGAGTCCGCGAGCTTCTCACGATGGGCAAAAAACAGCTTCATTTGTGGCGCACGTAAGCGTGATTCAATACTGTAGGTCAACACTCCTGCGCTGTCGAGACGCCTGTAGTCGAAGGTTGGCGTGCTTCTGGAATGTTTCGGTGGTTTGAAATGAGGCTGCTTCGTGGACAGACCAGACCAGACCAGACCAGACCGGGGGGTCAAAAGCCGGGAAGAAGGGTTTTGCCCATTGAAAGCGCCTGCACGTGCAGATAAGCTGACGAACACTCGTCGCGCTAGGAACTTTTTATTCCTGTGTATACTATCTAGTAGTAGGTATGGAGCGACGCAACGCACGCAGCCGGGAAACACTGCGCAATCCTGGCAACAACAGTTGCGACCCACAATAGTCCTTATTCATCATCGATCCCGGCGCGGGTCTGCCGCCTCAGTTCTGTAGCTTGATGTTGTATTATCAGTCGTTCACCGTTGCACAACTGTGCTCGAGAGCTCATAGCACCTCGACACCCTGAACTTCCACCAATCGTCTTATTTCAACGCCACGTCCTGGACGCACGTCCACTCCAGATCCTGGCCTTCGACACGGCCTGACAGATTCATATTCTTCGAATTGCGACGACCATCATGTTGAGCTTCCGCCGAGCTCTGCTCATCGCAGGCCTGCTGTTGACTTTCTTCCTCATACTCCGCCAGTCCCACCGCTCATCGAATGCAGCATACCTACAAGAGTCATCTGGCTCCTCGGGGAAGGCGTCAGAAAGAAAAGGAGGCATCGATACTGTAGGCAAGAATAGAAAAGGTGAGAGCGCGTTTGCCAAGGAAGATGGACGCAGCAGACAACCAGGCACACCTGCTCTCCAGGTACCGCTGGAGCAATCGAAACTACAGCCATTGAGGAAACAATTGGCCTTTGCCTACCCGTATCGTCCAGAGGGCAAGTTCCCTGCATACATCTGGCAGACGTGGAAATACGCTCCTTCGTCGAGCAAATTCGACGATTCGATGCGCCCAGCGGAAGCCTCGTGGACCGAGCTCAACCGCGACTTTGTTCACGAAGTCATCACCGACGATGTCGCCGCGAGTCTGATTCAGCATCTCTATGCTAGTGTGCCGGAAATTCACGAGGCATACATGGCATTACCGCGGCCTGTCCTGAAAGCCGATTTCTTCCGCTATCTGATATTGCTGGCGCGAGGCGGCATCTACTCCGATATCGACACGGTCGCGTTGAAGTCTGCCGTCGAATGGATCCCCGCTAGCATCCCGCGCAGCAGCTATGGTCTTGTCATCGGCATCGAGGCCGATCCGGACCGCCCGGATTGGCAGGATTGGTACTCGCGACGGATTCAATTCTGCCAGTGGACGATCCAGGCCAAGCCGGGCCATCCGGTGCTCGTCGACGTCGTAGCCACCATCACAGAGGAGACGTTGAGGTTGAAGCGGGCCGGCAAATTGAACGATCCTAAATTGCGTGTGATTGAATTCACCGGACCGGCGGTGTGGACCGATGCCATCTTCGATTTCTTCAACGACCCTGCGTATTTCGACGTGGAGCCTGGAAAAGGGAATATTACTTGGAGGCAATTCACTGGCATGACCGCGGCCAAGATCGTGGGCGACGTCGTTGTGCTTCCGATCACGTCCTTTTCGCCGGGAGTACAGCAGATGGGGGCTGGTCCCATCGATGATCCGATGGCGTTTGTCCAGCATAATTTCGAAGGTGAGTCAAAGTTCTTCCGCGCATCGTAGCGACCATGCATTTTCTGGCTCGAGTTGGCCGCCCCTGCGGACTATTGCTGACAGAAATTGCTCACAGGTAGCTGGAAGCCCGAGTCCGAGCGACACATAGGTGAATAGTCGGCTTTCGTATAGGCGAGCACGACAGCGGTGACCGGCTGCGGGATATGATTTAATCAGAGCTGTGGTCGTCAACAAAAGGACCCGATTGATAATCCTGCTGGCGTTTGTCAAACAGCATGCTTTTCTGGGCTGATCTGAGCATTCCTGCCGTCCATTCAAGTGCTGAATGGCGCAGGATGGGCTCATTCTTGGCGTTTTCCTTTCCTCATGACCCGCATCCTTCGGGACAGAATTGCTAGGAGCCACAGTGCAATCGAACATGAACCGTACCACCCTCGCGACCGATGCGAGCTTCGATCCCAGACTGGTCCATCATAACGCGCTAATCAAGGCCATGGCCCTCGCGCAAGAGTCTTTCACCATCTTCGCGCAGCTTGAATTTTTGAATCTTACCACTTGCCGTCTTGGGGTAATCTTCAACCCAGAACACGTATTTCGGGACTGGAATGCACGAAGACATCAGTGGAGTGCTTCACAGAGCTTTCTCGAGCAGGACCCTCAGCAGGTGCAGGAGGAGGTGGGGGCACCAGAGCGCAGAACCATTCCTTTGGCAACTCAACTCACCTAAATGTCCACTGAGCTCCGTCCGCACCCAATCCCGTGCGTTCCGCGCCGAGAATTCGGAATCCGGCTTTCGGACAATGAACGCCGCAACGACCTCGCCATATTTAGCGTCTGGCAGACCCACGACGCTGGCCTCGCGCACGGCATCGTGAGCGATCAAGCAGTTCTCGATCTCGAGGGGATGGATGTTCTCGCCGCCACGGATGATGATGTCCTTGATGCGGCCCGTGATCGTCACGTAACCCTCGGCATCCATGGTGGCTTCATCGCCGGTCAGCATCCACCGGCGGGTGGGGTCGGTGCTGTCTACGAGCATGCTGGCGGCCGTTCGCTCGGGGTCGCCCCAGTACTCTTTCATGACGCTGTACCCGCTCACCGCGAGCTCGCCCTTCTCGTCGAGGCCGAGTGTCCTCGAATGGTCGCTGGGATCTACGATGCGAGCTTCTAGGTGCGGCAGAAGCCGGCCCACGGTGTCGATCCGCTTCTGAATCGGATCGTCCGTTCTCGTCATCAAGCTGACGGGACTCGTCTCGGTCATTCCGTAGCATATGGTCAGCTCGTGGAGATTCAGAGTCTTGTGGAGCTTGCGCATCAGCTCGGCGGGCACGCTGCTTCCCGCAGCGATCCCAGTGCGCAGGTGTTCAAACCCCTGGTTCGGGACGGTGCCATCCGCGAGGAGCTGCAGCTCCGCGAGGAACATGGTTGCGACGCCGTACAATGCCGTCCCTCTGTACTCCTGTACGGCCCGCAACGAGGCCTCGGGATCGAAGACTTCGCTTGGGAAGCAGATCGCTGCTCCGTGGGTGGCTGTCGCCATGTAGCCCAAGATGCATCCGAAGCAGTGGAACAGTGGAGGAGGACAGACGACGACATCCGCAGGTGTAAGTAGCATTCGCGCGCCGATCTGCGCGCCGTTGTTCAGGATCCCGCGATGTGTCAGACACGCTGCTTTGGGCATAGAGGTGGTGCCCTGGACGCCCGGAGATGTTAGCTTTGACACACAAACAAATGTGTAACTCGAATCTCAGAGACTCACAGATGTGAATTGAATATTGACTACGTCGTCTTTGTGAAGCTGCTGATCAGGTAGCGCCTGCGAACCCGACATCTCCTGTAGATATTCGAATGGGATCGTTGCACGAAGCTCGTCGGGATCTATCCGACCCGCCGAATTGTCAACGAGGACGACATTTCGCAGCGTCGGCACCGCTTCGGACTCGATCCTTGAACCCGCAATTCCCGGTACGATGTGCTGCAGAAGCGATACATTGCTTCGCGGGGGCTTCCTGATGAGCTTCGTCTCCGTGCTGACGATGAGATGACTCGTCTCCAAGTGTTTGAGCGCGTTCACGACCTGGGTAGCGTTGAAGCTTGGGTTCAAAGGATTCAGTATCGCACCCAATTTGAAAACGGCGTAGGTCGCGACGGCAAACTCGATGCTGTTGCCGAGAGAGACGGATACACGATCACCTCTCTTGATGCCTATGCTTTGGAGACTTCGAGCGAGCGCGTTGGATTTCCGATCGAGCTGGTCGAATGTGAGCGTGGCTTGCTGGTGCCGTGATATGACGCTATGATGTATCCTCAGTCATTGTCCGTCGTTGTAATCCTCACCTCTACAGCTGCAAGACCTACGCGTTACGATCGCCGTGTCGTGAAACGATCGTGGCAAAGTGCTCGGGGACCGTCTGCTCGAACAATGGAGGCTACAATGCCGGTAGGTCGTCAGGTATGCATTGAAGGGGATTCCTCGATTGGTCGTATGTCTCACCTCCGTCGGTCCGAAGGCGTGAGCTTCGGTGAGCAACGACCGCGTCCATGTCGATCTGGGTCGTGGGCAAGCGGGGACCCTTCCAGCCAGGCGCCTCAATGGGAGGCCGTTGCCCAACATTTTCGACAATGGTTTATTGTTGTGTAATAAAACATGTAGGACTTCAACGGTGAGATCTAGTGGGAATTTCCCTGTGCTTCACATGAGGTTGCAGGGCTGGATGGGTTGCCAATGCTAACACTCCTGTATGCGTCCCAAGCCTGGTACGTATCGCAACGAGGAAGGCTTCCAAACTCGGCATGGTTGTATCCTTAAGCCGGAGCTCGACAAATTGGGCCGACTGAAGCCAGCTTTGGTTGGCCCACAGCACGACGATCCTTGTGACGTCCTACAGCCCGCTGCTGGAAATGATGGATGCTCGGGTGTGTTTTAATACCTGGTGATAATGCTCAGCCAATTCAAGGGCAGAAAGCGACCCCTCCACGCGAATTCCAACGTCGACGTCGACGCGGGGCAGTCAATCTCCACAGACCTGAATGTCACCAGTCACTGCACCCGCAGTGCGAGAACATGAAGCGCGGGTTACATCCAAGAGCAAATTACTGAGTACAGCGCTTCACCATCGAACTGTTCACAAATATCTGCTTGTAGTTTCGCAAGAGATCGCCTGAGTTGTTATTCTACGTGCGCCATTGCTCGCGTGCGCATTGCGGATCATTCTTGCAGGGTGTTGAGAGGCAGGACAATAATGCTCCTCGCTACCAAGCCACGTGCGGTCATAACCAGGTGTAGAATTCGGCGGGACGATGTTTCCTGGTTGGTTCATCTACAGCGCATTCGTTTTGACCCTCGCTTCTACAGCATCTCCGGACGTCTCTCAATGTAAAAAGTGTCGTGCCCATCGCGACGACTGCTCGCACTGTTACATTTCTCATCGCAGCGAAAGTGATGGAGAAAGGATTCGAATAAAGCAAACCAGTCTTGCTGGGAGGAGCTTTGGCTCCTTGATAACGGCGTGCTCTTCTTTGGCAGTTCTGGTCAATCAGCTATCAATCCATTTAATTACGGAAACACCTGGGCACTTTCCTGGTGCTGGATATGTCGCGGTGTGGGCCTTTGCCTTTTGTTACGTCGTTGTCTGCGATCATACTACAGAGGCAATAACAAGCATCACGCGCACGGTATTTCTGATGCTGCGTCTCTTCGACCTACTCGGGTCATGTCTTGGGCCCTTACCAGTTCAAGAGCAAATCCGTGTTGAGACTCACATCAGATCTGATTGGCCACTTTACAAATGTAGAGCTTGTGGTCATCACCGTGTCCATAGAGTTGCTCTCCGGGTGGAGCTGATTGAAGTACAGATGCGGCTCAACGTAGATGACTCGTCACCAGCGCAGCGCTCCCAGTGCAAGAAAACCCTTGCTGCTCACATGGAAAATCGATATGCACTTCGTCCGGGGTCGTTTCCTTACAGACATTCCAGACGAGACGGTTCACAAGAAGTAAGGCCCTTCACCTTTCCGCTCACCAAAAAATTGGAGGTGCAGTGCATAGGTGAAGAGTCGCAGTCACAGCGGCGTAGCTTTCGCAGATGGTATTTGCACCCTCGAGGCTCATCGGCAGAGCGATGAGCGAGTGCAGTTCGTGGCCAGAAAAGGCAGCTTGTGCCCTTCGGATCAGATGCAGATCATAAGGTTCATTTCGACGAACTTCAATGAATGTAAAATCTCCGTCTACATCGCCCAGCCGAACGCGTCGTTGGCGACACTTGGCCCTGGGCCGAGAAGTTGACGACGGGCCTGTCGGTCCGCACCAACCGCTCCGAGACATCCGAAGAGAGATCACGTTGCCCGTGAGCGATGCTTCGTGTTCTCGACATCGAGCTGGGCATGCATCATGATGGTGTTTTTAGTTCTCTCCGGGGCTCGGCACATCATCCTCGGCTGGCGCCGGAGTAATGCCGGCAGAAGTGCCGCCGTAGTGGGGACAAGAATGCCGAGCCATTCGGCGGCGTGGGTCGGAGGAGGAGACGCGTGTCGTCGAGGGGAGCGCTGGGGTTTCACATCAGAGGAAATATGTGTCAATTGGCCTGTTTACAAATGGACATACTTGTTGTGGCGATGTGAGTGGTGAATGATGGCTGGGTGGAATTGAGCCGAACACGTATACGAGCGCTTGAGGGAGCGGCCATGGTTTCCCGCTGACATTGATGAGAGTGCTCAGGGCTTCTCACGTGATGACACTTCAGCTGCGGGTGCTGATGACGGGGCGCAGGGACAGTTCAAACCCTCCGACGAGCTGTCCACACAGTGCACGTATCGTATACTTGATCAACTAGGCCAGGGTGTTTTGGTTGTTTTTTAACAACCGGCAGCGTGATGATACGTATGGCGGCGAAGCGATCATGCGCGATGATATCGTGTAGCCGTGTTGGCTTAGTTCTGGGCCATCGTTTTTAAGCTCGAACGCTGATACGAGAGCGATCATGTTGGGCTTCAATCACGCACCGATGTGAAACGAGCGTTTGCTCCTTCGACAGGAGAAGTGGCCCAACCTAGTCCCTCAAATTGACCACGGATGAAGATCCGCTCCAGAGTGAGCAAGCATGAACGTTCGAAGATGTCTGTTCATTGCGCCTGCACCAGTCGGCTCGTGCGGGAAGAGGATAAGGCGTTTGAGTTCCCTAGGACCAGGCTGCATTGCATTAGTGGACATGTACGTATGTTGTGCACCTCAGTGAGTGCTGATGGGGCTGACGTCGAGGCGGCAATGACATCGCGAACCCGGCGAAATAGCAGCCTTGGGGGGGGCAGTCCTCGCCCTAAAACGAGCAAATTACGACGTAGCGACGGGGACTCGACCAGTCACGAGTCGAATCCGGTACGATACCTAGGTATGTGTCGGTGTGAAAGATCCTCCTGGCCTGCAGGTCCGCCTATGCCACCTTCACGCCTGCCGTCCTCCCTCTCGTCCAGGGACACTGTTCGAAAGGATAGGGTGAAGTCGGTAGTCATTTCGTGCCTCGGACGTCTCGAGGGATCCAGCAGGATGGGACTAGACATCAGGTCAATGATGCCCAACACGCCCAACCGATGGTTTGAACAAGCATTGACAGCATGGCGTGGGATGTAGCGCAAACCAAATCAGAGACGGGAGGAACACCGTCGGAGTACCCAGGTGTGAACAGCCGCTTGATTATGGGGAATGAGGCATCTCGCCTGGACACAACTCAACCACAATCGATGGATCGCACACGATGGCGTGCGCGTGTGCATATCTAGACAGTGGTGCATTCGCCTCAAGCCAGGAAGAATTATTATGAACGGGCTTTCACACCCGACTTCTATTCTATGATATGATCGTCCGCAGGTCTCATCACACTTGAGGATACGATGAGACCAATCCAGAGGAGTGTTACATCCTTGCCCAGGTGGAGGCCAAAGCAAGTTGTGTTGAATTTCGCATAGGAACCTTGGAAGGGCGGCGATGACGTAGATCTATCTCTCAGGGTAAATCCTCAAGATTTGCACCTGCAGCTGGACACACATTCGCATCAATTAACGTGCATATACTACAGTGCGTCGAAGTAAGATACTCCCGATGTTGTCGTTACTAAAGAGGTATGTGTTTAAAAAATACTCAAGCGGATACTGTGCATACATACATTCCTTGCCATCGCCCATGATCACTCAGCAGAGAAGTTTACCGCCGCCGCTTCGGTGGCACTTCGCGGCATTGTGGAGTGAGTGGTCGCTAGGTAAAACCCAGGTAATAATATATTACAGTACAGTACATCACAGACCTGGCGGGAAAGTGTCATGTCATTTCCACCCCACTACCCCGTCCATTATATCACACCTGAACCAGATTTCCATCCATGGCATGTAGACCCTCGAGAATATTTCTCTCCCATCCCAATCATTTCAACTTCAACGCCATCCTCTTCACAGACAAAACCTGTTGGCGAACTCCAGCGATCCACCAAGACGCCTCTTCTCTTTCTCGGCATCAGTCCACGGGTCCTCATTCCAACCCACGCGCTGCGGCGGTTTCGCTTTCCCTCCGTCCCCAGCGGCGCCTGTTCACATCGCAACAGGGATCGGCCTGGCCTGCACGACCACGGCCATTGCTACTCCCAACATCGTTTCTCCGCGATCATTGCCAGGCGCGCTTAGTGATTGACTTGCTGCCCAAGCCAGATCGCCTCTGAGACGTTTGCGCCCACGCATGAAGGCACGAACGTGCTGAAGGTAAATACGCTGCTTCCTTCCTCCTCATATTCCACTCTATCGGAGCCGCTTATGCACTGCACGTGTGATCTTCACGTTGGGCATCAGCTCTCTCCCTCTCCCTCACATACACATCCACGTCGATCTCGGAGTCGACCTCGGAATACTCTAGCAGACGGTGGACGCCCCTGTGTCACCCCACAAGCATCTCACATAAAGTTTGCCGGATCTGGCGACCTCCCAGCTGACGACCATGTATCAGGCCACACAGATAGACCACCTACCTTCACCTCCGCTTCTACTTTACTCTTACCCTCTGACTTACTCGAGCATATCACGAGTCTCACTTGAGCCACTCCGGTCCTTCGCCATGGCCTATAGCGGCCGCGCCTCGTCGCCTGGCGGCCGACACATCAATCACTTCGCCCGCGGTTCTGATCAGACTCTTGCGGATCCACATCGTTCCTCACGACACAGCACATACACCATACCTCGCAACACCAACAGCGGCGTCATCCCGCTCTCGGAAGAGACCTTCATCAATATCCCTGCCCCTCGTGACTCGCGACCATCGGAACAGATCGATCACTACACCGGCCGACCTCGACGATCGTCCCTGCTTGACCCGCCATACCGCGGCTCATCCTCCTCAGCGACCATCGCACCAGCACAAACGACCGCGGGCCGACCGCATGTAATGCAAAGCCAGATTGGCCGATCCTCGAGCCCACCGAGATCATCTCGAGAAGATAAATACTATGTCATGCCCGCTGCACCTCAAGAGTATCGTGGAGGACACCAGAAGAAGTTGTATAGTCTGGGGAACGACGGACAAGCCCGGCTCGTGGCCGATGTCAACGTCCCTGCGGAACGGCATCACCGCCGCAGAGAGAGTGATGATCACAACTTCACATCTCGCACAAGTGGTGCGGATCGGGATCGTGGAAGGCACGGATATTATGCTTCCGGCAGTGCATCAAAGCCCCGACGCATGAGCATTGATGATGAAGAAGCCTTCTCGTACACGGACCCTGCGAGCATGTACCGCGATACCGAGCCACGTTCCTCTCGACCACGACGAGGTAGTCTAGACCGTGCCGGTGTCAGTCGTGAGCGTCCGTTCAGCGTAATTGACGCCGACCCGCGGCGGTCAGCCAAGGACCTTGGTCCACCACCTAGCACACGCGGCTGGGATAAAATCAACAGAACCACAAGGGATGTCCCTCGCGATGTAGGGACTTCTCCAAACCGGTCCCGTGGCTACACGGAAGGGGCGCATGGAGATCTTCGCGACACTTACACAAGAGCTCGGTCAAACTCTGCCGACAAGCGTGTGCCGACTCTTCATCAGTATGATGGCCATCATTATGAAGATAGAGAGGAACCACGACGTTACGAGCGGAGGGAGAGCGTCTCGCGCCCTGAGCGCCCAGACCAGAGCGTCGAGCGTCGAGGTTTCGGGATTCGCGGTGACTCGCGCAGCAACAGCCAGACTCGACCATATCGAAGCAGCGACGAGAGCTTCGATCAGGCCAGATACTCAGCGCCTGTACGCAGAGACACTGCCCCAAGTGACTCGACCGTTTACGACGATCATAGGCTCAGCCTTGAGAGAAAGGATCGGGAGCATGCCGAGCGTTTGCAGGCAGACGAATACGAAAGGCACGTCAGCCGGGATCGGCGCGACACAGATGCACGCAGGCGGGAACGCGAGGTCGATATCGATCGCGAACGGGAGAGAGAGCGTGCTCGGCAGTTAGATCCACCCACGGATCGAGGCGGGGAGCGGCCACCACGACCGCAGGAGGTCCGCGAGCGGGATTACAACCGTAAGCAGGACAGCCCGCAGCCGGATAACGAGGCTAGTAGCAAGCCAGGGCTTGTTCAGACAGCTGCGAGTGGTCTTGCCGCAGCTGCCGCATCCATGGGACTGGGCTCCATGCTCAATCGCAGCGACAAGCGCGACAAAGACGATGAACGAGAGGATCAACGCGAGAGGCGGCCCGATCGCACTGAGAAGCGCGAAAGAGACGACGTCCGCCGTCCGGAGCAGCGCTCTTTTGAGGAGGTCCCGGGTCGCAAGAATGCTGACCGCGACCAGTACCGGGATCCAGACCGGGGCTTAGGATTCGCGTTCGAAGCGCCCGTCGAGACGCAAAGGAATGCTCCTCCCTCCAAATCTGATCGTGACAGGACATCCGATCGGCCACATGATCCCCCGGCTGCGCATTCTTCCTCTCGCGAGCTGGACCGAGAGCGCGAGCCACGAAACGCGGACGCATCTAAATCTGCCATCGATGCTGATGAAGATTATCGCCGGCGGATCCAACAAGTTCAACGGGAGTTGGAGGCGGCCAGATCCGACGAAGCGAAAGGCTCAGGGTCTGATTCTGACCGGGCACGCCGGCGGAGAGACCGCGAACAGCGAGAACGCGAACGAGAACGTGAACGGGGCCCCGACAGTCGCCCCGGAACTGCCAGTGTGGCTTCTGCAGATGTTCGTGTCAACAAGATGGCTGCTCCCCAGCAGTACACCCGACGGTCTCTCGATGATGAACGTTCGTCATTGAGCACGACAACAGCAGCGACATCTGACAGCCGCGCCAAGCCGAGCATACTCGACCGACCCATGACTGACGAACCGGCACAAATCATCGACAACAGCATGAGCGATCGCCGCGAGAACCGTGTGCGGATCGTCGATCCGCCCACAGAGGAAGAAGACAAGAAGCCCAAGGGCATCCTGAAAAAGCCGACAGAGAAATTCCCCGATCATCCCAACGCGATGCGTGAAGGCGTGACGCCGTTGAAAGACGTAAGCATCACCCGGTATAACGAGTTGACGATATAGATCTCGAACTGACATTGTTGGTTGCTACAGGTCACAGCAAAGGGAATTCCACCTGGGGCCAAATGGACCAAGATCACCCGGGAGATGGTGAACCCGACTGCACTCGAAGAGGCTGGCGAGCGCTTCGAGGAACGACGCGACTATGTCGTCGTCCTCCGACCTCTGACCAAGGAACAAGTGCAAAAGCTCGCGGATCGCACGCGAGAAATCCGAGGTGAGTCGATCTCGTGATGAACCTTCACAGCACGGCTGTTTCCGAGCCCCCTTGATCTCTTCGATGGACCGCGACTGACATGGAGATTCCAGCGAGAGCCTACGAGGAATCCCGCAGCTCCCAGCGCCGCGAGCGCGACCACGACCGACGCGAGCGAGACGAGTACAGCGACGAGGACAGCGCCGATGAATTCAAGAAGAAGACGCCCAAGATGCTCGGCGCACCGTCGACGAGCGGGGCACCAGCGGAGGAGAGCGGACGCGATCGCCGACGAGAGCGCGACCGCGACAGGGATCGCGAGCGTGAGCGTGAGCGTGATAGGGACCGGGAGAGGGACCGAGAGCGGGAGAGGGAGAGGGAGAGGGACCGCGATTGATGTGACGACCGCGACGAGCGGCGAAGATGATTGCTATTCACGTTTTTGGGGGAGATTCCTTGTCTGTCTGCATCCGGACCGGCAGTCGAGAATCTCGGCGGGTCGGTCTCTGTACCATTACGCTCCATCGTCTCCTGTTCTTTTGTTATTCCCCCGCGCACATGATACCCCCCAACACACCAAAGCGCGGATAGAGAGGACAGGCTATTGCCTCACAGGTATCATCATGGAGCAGGCGCGTTTGTTTTTTGGTCGCAGCACAAGGCGTCTCAATCTAGTCTAGTCTACATCCATACATCGAGACGTAGACCGTCCCCGATCTCTGTTGACAGCTTGAAGGAAGATCCCACATCGTGCCCACCTGTATTCCGGCTCGATCCACCACCCAGTCGACAGTCGACATGTGTCGTCACCCGACACTGGACTGACTAAGAAGAAGAAGAAGAAGAAGAAGAAGTTGATGAGAGGGAAAGAGAAAAAAGGGGCCTCTGCGCCGGTTCCAATACGCAGAAATCTTGTAATGATAATCATACATGATAAATAACCAACTGCCCAGGTGGTGACGATGACGGAACGCACGTCGCGTCGTCGTCCAGAGGAACGACAACGACGACCACGACAACGACAACGACAACCAGCGGGATTTCTTATCAGCATGGGACATCAGTATGAGACCACATACGATACCAGACCAAGTGCGGTTCATTGAAATATTTCAGAGATTGTTGTTTGGTCCCGTCACTCCTATGCCTATGCCTATGTCTATGCCTATGCGTCTGTATGTGTATATGCCTCTGTATGCGTCTGTATGTGTATATGCCCCTGCATGGCTGGCTGGCTGGTGGGCGCTCTCCCCTCCATCTCACCTTATCCAGTCCAGTGCAGTAGACGGTGCAGTATCCGAGATTGTCCCTGACTGGGTGCCGTCCGGGCTTATACGATAACCAAATGACGCCCGAAAGAGCCCCACCACTGCAAGCAAGCAAGACGATCATGATGGACCCCTCTCTCCCTTCGAAGGCATTGCGGTTTGGTGCTGGTGGACTGTGTGTGTGTGTGTGTGTGTGTGTGTGTGTGTGTCCCTGAGAGATATGTCATCGTCCACCATTGGGAGTCTATTACTGTGGATACTGACTGAGGTGGTAACTACTACTACTACTATTATTATTATTATTATTATTATTATTATTATTACTACTACTACTGTGGGATTGATGATTGCTGTACCAATCGATCAACTCCCCTCTCCGGGAGAGGCTGTATACAGAGAATATATATATATACCTAGGTATACTGTAGGGTAGAGGAATATATCATGCAGAGGACATGGCATAGGGGAATCCACAGACCAGGTGTGGGCAGGACTGATGACCGGGCCATGACGGAATTCTCCTACTCTCCTCCTCCTCCCAGAGAGAGCTACTTACTGCTGCTGCTGCTTATCTGCCCGGTCGTGGACTTTTCCCGTCTGACGTGTGAGTTGATGGTGATTGTCCACCACCATCATCATCCTCACCCTGCAGCTCCTCGCTTATGGTTATTATAGTCCAGTACAGTATTAATTGTCTCTGTCGGCGGGATCATATCGTCGAGCTTGTCACATATCATTTACTTGCCGCCCGAGGGTGCTGCTACTCTTCTTCTGCCTTCCCTCGTCCTTTCTACGCTACCTCTCCCAGCTTCGTCCTCTCCTCCGCTTATCACTCTCACTCTTATTCTTCTTCCTCCTGCCGGAACTGGGCTCGTCCGCAGCTTCCCGGACCATGCCCCTCAGCTCGCGCGGCAATCACAGCGGCGTTTGAGACGCTGCACATAACACATACCCCTACCTAGGTAGGTATATAAGCTGGGCGACAAGCGACCACATTGCCCTCTCTCTCGTATCTTTTGCCGCGCAGTCCCCCACCGCCATCGTGTCCGCATTCGATTCCGGGTCGATCTACCTCCCCTCCGTGGTCTCTGGATTGAACAATGCTATGAATTATTCCTAGAACACCGCTCAAACCCAGCTCTCGGAGGTCCCCGACGCGGCCACTTCTGTCTCACATCATCCGAATACGCCTCCTCCGCGTTCAGCCCACCGCCGCACCACGTCATCCCGAACCGTCCATAGGTCTCCCTCCCCCTCCCCTCCGCCGCCATGCCGTCCACCGTCGTTCAGAACATCACGGCACGCTTCCACCGAGGTAGCAGCCAGAGTGCCGGCAACGACCGCGAAAACGCCCATCTGAGAGAGGAGGAGAAGCAAAAGCTGGCGAACTGGGAGGCCGAGAAGCGCCCGTTGGAGATCGAAGAGATCATCGTCGCCCCCGAGAAGAAGGTCATCGGTCACAGCAGCAAGGTCCTGAAGCGGAACGACTTTGACCTCGTCACCACGCTGGGCACCGGCACGTTCGCACGCGTCTGGCTGGTCAAGTTGAGCCAGCGCAAGAACCCGGAGGACCAGAAGAAAGTCTTCGCGCTGAAGATCCTGCGCAAGACGGACGTCATCCGGTTGAAGCAGGTGGAGCATGTGCGCAACGAGCGCAACGTCCTCGCCGCCGTCGCCGGCCACCCCTTCATCACCACCATGGTCGCGAGCTTCCAGGACCATGACAACCTGTACATGCTGCTGGAGTATTGCCCGGGAGGGGAGGTGTTCTCGTACCTCCGGCGCGCGAGGCGCTTCAACGAGCCCACCTCGCAGTTCTACGCCGCGGAGATCGTCCTGATCTTGGAGTTCCTGCACGGGACCGAGGGCGTCGCCTATCGCGATCTCAAGCCCGAGAACATCCTCATCGACGCCGACGGGCACCTGAAATTGGTCGATTTCGGATTCGCCAAGAAGATTGACAATCGTGGGTCACTCCTCCTTCCCCCTGTTCTCTGCCGCGGAAGAGCCCTCGGGGTTGAATGAAAAGCAGAAGGCTGTGTTTCGATAATTCCGCTGACCATCTTTCACCCTCACAGGAGAAACATATACACTCTGCGGAACGCCCGAGTATCTCGCGCCCGAGGTCATCCGCAACACGGGCCACGGCACCGCCGTCGACTGGTGGGCCTTTGGGATCCTCGTCTACGAATTCCTCGTCGGCCAACCCCCCTTCTGGGACCAGAACCCGATCAAAATCTACGAGCAGATCGTCGAGGGCAAGGTGCGATACCCCAGCGCCATGTCGGCCGACGCGCGGGATCTCATCGGCGGCCTCTGCACCGTCGACGTGACCAAGCGCCTCGGGAACGTGAAGGGCGGCGCGGCCACGGTCAAGAAACATCCCTGGTTCAAGGACGTCGATTGGGATGCCATGTACCACCGTCGCACCCAAGGCCCGATCGTGCCGCATCTGCGATCGAACGACGATACGAGGAACTTCGACGAGTATGACGCCGAGCCAGTCCACAGGGATGAGTACACGAAGGTCAGTCCCCACGTCATTCCCTGTTCCGCGTTATGGCGGAGAAAGTGCGAGCAGCGCGCTTTTGCGGTTTTTGTTTTGCGAATCTTCCGTGCTGAATCTCCCGATCGATAGGAACTATTCGACAAGTACGACCGCTCGTTCGAGGACTTTTGAGCCCCAGACAGATCAAGCCACAACCCTCCCCCATCGCATTCGCTCCGATGCATCCCCTCGCCCCTCTGTCGATACGGGTGTCAGCGACGGCGATGTCCTCCTCGGGCTGTCCGACACGCGAATGGCCAGGACCAGCAGAAGAGAATGCAGCGGCACGCATCGACCTATGACCCCCTCGGCAGAGACCCCTATCAGCTGTCTGTCAACTGCTTCGTCGAAATCATCCATGTCGATCCCGGAACGTCGATGTCGAGAGAATGGCTTGATTAGGCGCCAAACAGAAAAAGGATGTTGCGGTTTCTCCAATTGCAAGGCCGTCCAGACGTGGGATCATTCCGGGTGGCTGGCCCGAGAGCAGACTTGGCCGTCACGAGGACGTATCGCGCGCCCGCTCAACCAGAACACGACCTCCGCATCATTCCTTCCCTGCCAGTCCTACCGAGCATTGAGGAGTCTTCTCACAAGAGGACCCTCGCTCGGTCTGGCATCCCCTCGGCCAGAATCCTGTTCGAAACACCAGTGTGGGGCGTTCATCGACCCGCTCGGGAAAAACGCGGCCAAACCCGAACGAGAGAATCCTGCCGGGACGGCACTCACGACCGGACATACACAACGACCCGTAAGGCGATGGGTCATACAAGCTCCTTTGCACCTGTGGGAAACAATTCGCTTCGATTCTCAAGCGAGAGAAGACGCGGGGAAACCCGTCCGGACAGCAAAGGGGCACACCCGCTCGATCGATCGCGAGGACATGTGGATTTCGGGATAGACGACGATGATGATGATGATGACGATGATGATGATTTTCTGCCCCCTGAATGAAAAGAGAGCACCGGAGCCCCCACCGCTCACCGGAGACTTGTGAGACTTCGGCGGCAGCAGGGAAGCGCGAGGAAGGTGCATCTCCCGGGGGAGAAAGGGCACACAGGGCCGGTCGGATTTCGCCCGTCCGCCATAAATCTCTCTCTCCCTCTCTCTCTCTCTCTCTGCCTCTCTTTCTACCATCAGCGGTCGCGAAATGACCCCGTCCCCATATCCTCCCTACAGAAAAAAAAAGAAAAATGGGGGGATTTAATCGGCCTCCCTACGACGACACACGATAGGGTAGATAATCAACCATCATCCATAATAACCCATACCCCGTAACCCATGACACGGGATCGCGTCTCTCTCCGTTCATCATCGATCACTCGCAATTGTCTCCTACGCCGTTCCATGATGGACCGACCGACAGATAGAGAACCCTCCTCCGTCCGATCGATCCGGATCCGCGTGCTCATCGATGAGATCTGTTTTTTTTTTTTTGCTCTTTTTTTCCTTATTTCATGGCACCACAGCGGCCCCGTTCATCCACCCATTCCTCCATCCCCCGGGAGAAAAAAATCCCCCCCAGAAAAGGAAAAGAAGAGAAAGCCTTGGTGACGAGATTCCGACCGGGCTTCGAACCCGGGCACGGGGGCACGAGCGAGTCGCGTGGAGGGCAGGGCAGGTAGGGTAGGGAAGGGTAGCCGCGATCGTGTGTATCCCTGTGCCGGACTGGGCTGGGCTGGACTGGGCTGGAGATCCTTTCCATTGGTTGATTTCTCTGCTTTTTCTTCTTCTTGTTGTACACGGCGGACTGGTTTTCATACAGGTTGAAGGCCGCGCCGGAGAGGAAGAAAGAAGGAGAGAAAGGAAGAGAAGAGAAGAGAAGAGAGACACAGGAGGCAGTTTTGTACGTGGGGAAAACCCCCCAAACCAAGAGAGAGAGACCCCGGAACGCCGCCGCGATGGTGGATTTGTAGTACTAGTACATACAGGTGAAATAACCACAACAGAAGAAGAAGAAGAAGAAAACATTGCGACCCAGATGGCGGAGGGAAAAAAAGATCCCCGCGGTTTCGTGTGCGATCCGTCGTCGTACTCCTACTCCTGTCTCCGAGCAAACGTGATCGACATTTCCTTTCGTACAAGCACATGAGAAAAGGAGTAAAAAAAACAGTGAGACTCGTGGATTCGGGAAATGGCCGTGGCATGAGGGGGGCCTGGTCCCTCGGGGGTCGAAATCGCGCGGCATGATACACTCCGTGTTTTTATTTCATTTTATTTTTTTCGCTTTCCTCATTCCCGGCGTTGTCATTTGTCGTTGTCGTTTCGTAAATCCGGTGTCGGGGAGGCTGCTGCGGCTATCGGGGGGCCGGCCTGGCGGAATTGAGCGCGGCGAGGATGGAGTGCTAGATTGTGAGGACTGTTTTGGGACGAGAGGTTTTCCACGGAGTGGATGAGGCCGAGGACGATCAAGGCGAGTCGTGGCGGTGAAGGAGCTGTCTTCGTTGTTGCCATCTGCGCTTCCCCGGCCGAACGATGTAGTAGGATGGGATGGAATCATCATCATAGCCTGCCTTGGCCTGGTTCTCGTAGTTGACGACGCGGTGTCCGTTCAGCGCGCGCTGAAGCATGGTAGTCTTGCCTGTGATGCCATCCCGTTAACCAATTACTCCCATAATCGGCTTGCACATTCAATTCTCACTGCTCACCAGATAGTAATTGACTCCTAGTCCACGAGAGCTTCTGCGATAACTCATTCAGGCCAAACTCCTTCGCGCGTCGAGAAGTGGTCATTTGAGGCACGGACAGGTGCGAAACACTTCCATCCAACAGAGGCACGGCGACGAGACTCGTGCTCATGACAGGCATACCCTCATTCGGAGGCATAGCGGATCCGTCATCGAAATCGTCCCAGCGACCGACGACGCGACCTCGAGGACTCGCCGGCGGCGAGACCATACTGCGTGGAAAGTACGAGCGCGGGAACACTGCGTTGGCCTTGAGGTGCGAGTCAGGAAGCTCTTCCATTTTGCACTTCTCAAAGGCCATCGTCACACGCGTCTTGTCTGCCTTGTGGAAATTCTCCACGAGGACCTGTCTGCGATTCGGCACGAGCGGACCGCCGAAGATGTCCTGGCCGGCTTCGCCGTTGTGAGCCTCGGTGGTCTTAGAAGCTGGCTCGCGCGATGTGTCGTTGCGCCGTTGCTCCGAGGGCAACGGAGCGGAAGTCGACGCATGCTGCTCCGGCGTGGGCATCTGAGGGAACACTGAAGAAAAGTGCTGTGAGGACCTTGGGATGGAGAATTGCTCGGTGTGATCGAGAGAGCTCGCCGGTCTGTGCTGATGGAAGTTTGGACTGTACGAATATTCGGGTCCAGCTACACAAAGCAGCAAGTATTAGCGTTAACTTCTTCGATCAGTGGTAACAGAGCGATGGCGTGGTGTAGAGACAGCGAGACCAGATTGCAGATTATGGGCCTGGGATAGCAGCATCCGCTGCTACCAACTCGCCCAAGGATATCAACAAAGTGAAACGCTGGGCAAGTAAAAAACAAGACTATGGGCGAGATCTTTATCTGGAGATGCACCCACCCAGTTGTCTGGAAGGCGAACTTGAACGTGGCAGTCACACCGGGTGGAACATACCGCTAGCGTCATTCCCACCACCAGTATTGTTTCCATCTGCGTTGTGATGATGAGGTCCTGCATTGCCGGCAGCATCGTGAAGTGGTCGGTTTTGAGGCATACCCGGAGGTGCTTGCATGCCAATCATTGGTGGATTGGAGGGAAGCGGATATTGCATTTGCGGACCCGATGGCGTCTTCGCTGAGTTCCTCGTTGTGATTTTCGCCATTCGCCGCACTCTTCTGCTTCTCAACCTTGGGTCTCGGTTGCTGTTGCGCCAACTGTCAACAGCTCGCTGAATGAGACCTCTCTTATCACGCAACGTCGGATTCAACTCTGCAAGGGCCCATCCCACGCCATTGCACTCGCTCTCATAATGATAACGATTTCCTTTATACTGATCTTTCGGGCAGCATGCGCGAGGGTAGACACAGTTCGAGGATTTGAATTCGGGACTCAGTGAGTCGACGTCAACAGATTCGACATCGCAGCGCATCGTGTATTCCAATTTGACGCGATCGCGCGAATACTGGAACGCAATCCATTGGACGCCGTTCTCATCTTGTTTGACAACAAGTGGAGTCGTCGCGGGAATCGGGCCTGGCGCTATACTGCCATTAGTCTTCGTAAGATGGTCGGAGAGTTGCCCTCCCATACCTGGATTTGATGTAGCGGAGGGTGAGCCTTGCTGATGTACTATCGGCGATTGAAGCGTCTGGGCCTGCTGTTGTGTCTGAGATGGCTGCGGACCTGGTTGTTGATGAGGTTGTGGTTGGGGTTGTTGGATTTGGTGCTGTTGTTGCTCGAGCTGGACATGGTGTGCCTGCGGAAGTCGGGAGTTGGCCATGACTGGTGTTTGTCGTGGCATCGGCTGCAGCGACTGCTTGCTGTCCCCATTACCTGGCTGTTGGTGCATATGGGGCATTTGTGTGTGCTGCAAGTGCGACTGAGCCTGCTGTGGCTGAGGCTGTGCTTGCGGGTGCTGTTGCGCTGGGCTGTAGTGCTGTTGCTGCTGCTGATGCGATACCAGCATTGGAGATGCATTGGACATTGATCGATGTGACGGAGCGCCTTGATGGGTGTATTGCGCCTGCTGTGGTGGTGGTGGCGGCGGTGGTTGCTGCATCTGGTAGCCGTGATAATACATTGCGGATTGTGGTATAGAAGACATGGTGTACATTGACCTGCCGTGTGCATCGGTTTGTGGGGAGTGCATCGAAGCTGGTGAATTACTCTGAGGAGTTTGATAGCTTGAGATCGGAGGATACGATTGACGATTGATAGCCGCGTGAGCCGCCATGTTGTCATGGGAATCTGAGGCTTTGGTAAGTGGATATGACAACAAAACCATAGGATTACGAGTAGAAGCCAATACGGCGCAAGGAGAGATGGCGAGGAAAGTAGCATCAAACTTGACATACCAGGGGCTGCGTAGCCTCCAGCAGCATTGTTGTTGCTCACGATACTATAAGAGTTCGATTGACCTCCGTAGTATGTACCGTCACCCGTGTGCTGTGCGAGACCTCCGTGCACTGGTGGAACATAATTCGGTGCCTGCTGTGGCGCCAGGCCATGTTGTGCATGCTGTGAGAGGTACCCGTTCGATGACGAAGTATGCAGGTTTGGATGTGATTGACGGGGCGAATTCGGCCGATGTTGCTGAATGAAACCAGGTGGTCGAGGATACTGCAATGCCTGCTGTGGGAGGGCACGAGCCTGTGGTTCGGGATGAGGATGGTTCTACAAAGAATCCAATTTGTTAGTGAGCAGCTCAACAGCCTACGTGACATGATCACGAGAACGAGGATGAGGCATGGCTCCGGCGAGAACAAGGAATATCCCTCAGACTCCTGGCGTATATGTGCATGGCAAACACGTGAACATATCATTGTGGAACATTCCCGGAAATTGCTCTCCGCCACGAGGTATTCATAGCGTGAGTTGTGCGAGGCAAACCCGCCGGGCCTTGCTGTTTGTCATTCCGGTAGAAACGTCGATCAGATGTGATGTAGAAGCTAGAAGAGGCCGTGTCGAGGAGCCGGGTTGTCGTGATCCCGCGCGTGTGCTACCTGATCAGGCTAATTATACGGTAAAGGATCCAGGGACAAAGGACGTTTGTGGACGCCATCTTCTCGACGCTGAAGTCAGAGTCATCCCGGAGATAATGCTGTGTACAGCAGGAACCGATGCTCGGTGCAATATTGTGCGACGCACAACAACGCTATTGTCGTGCGCTTTGTCCAGATACCGACGCATCGATTCTGAGGTCGTCGTTGCATCCATGGTCCCCATAATGGCTCCAAAAATGCAGTCGGAGATATCACGCAATCCATGGCTGTTCGGCTCCGAAAGTTGCGCAGAATTTGAAGGCACACAGTGCTGTAGGCTCAGCCAGACTGGATAACTAATTTCTGTATGCTGGTTGTCGTCGAACAACGGATCCGATGTGGCTCGAACTTCACAGTGCCAGCGACATGGGGACAACACAGCACAGAAAAGAACAAGCGTGAAAATGCTGAGGTGTCTCTCAACCAATACGTACCATGTTTGTTGATTTGTGTGCTTTAGCACAGAGATGAGGGAGGCGTCCGAATGGAACTGATTAGTGACCGCTCACTAGCATCGAAAGGCCCTGGACAAATGCAAGGTAGTTCCTGGGTCCGTTGGCAGTGGCAGTTGTTGACACGATCAATCTGAGGTCGATGTCACGACTGGTGTGTGATATAACCAATGGTGTATGTAATTGTATCGTAAAGCGTTGACAGTGCCGCAGGGTGTCGTGACGGCGCACAGATTGACGACGTCGAATACGACAAGATCCAGCGGAGGTCGTCGACGTGGGAAATCAATGAGTGAACAATCCCTTCGTTCCGGTCTCGAATGGATGTATTAGACGAAGCAAAGGAGACCAGGATTGCTGAGCGAGCGGAAGATCGACAGAGTCGACACGTTCGAAGCGTGAAGTGTTGACGGTCAATACGATTCGACAATCGGTCCAAGTACACAAGACATGAAAGAGGCGAGCGATTGGTATTCGTGGTCCGATGAAAGCAAAGATTGTCCTGGGAGCGATGAGGGAGACGGCGATGTGCAAAAGTGAAGTCGGAGGAAGGAGGGCGAGGATAATAGCAGGCGATCACGAAGAGCAGTGGTGGTGGTGGTAGAGATGGTGAAGGTGGTGGTGGAGGTAGTGGTGGCGGAGAGAGTGTAGTGTGCAAGGTGTAATGTAATGACTGCTGAGATTGTCAATGAGAGGTAAAGTTTGCTTTCCTCTCTGCTCTGTTTGCCTCAACTCTCTTCTACTGTATACCTACCTACACACACACGCTTCGTCCCTCATTCGCGCACACGCGCACAGGCACACCCACTCACCTGTTCGTCCTCAATTAAAGCAGAAAACAATTGACTTCGGTTGGTCAGGTCGTACAGGACTAGACGGGCACACATACGCCCGCTCACATACAAACCCAAGTCACTAGTGATGTACCTCTGCCGGCAGGGGAAACAAACACTGCCGCCAGCTCGGCGATCTGGGTTTTTCTGGGAATTGCTTCAATCACTATGTACTGTAATCAAAACTTGATGAGCCAGGCGTGCAAGAGGTTTGACCGTTGCAAGAATGGTGGTGGTGCGTCGGAGGATTGGTGGGCTGACGTGATGGAATGCTGGAGCACATCAATCACCACCTGCTGTACAAAGTTAGCAGAAGGCTACTTTGATTAGCTGCAAACATTAAGGATGAGATGATGGAGAAAGGGCCCTCCGGTGGTGGTGGTGCCTTTGCACGCGTGAGCATGATGCCACAGACCGCACCCGTTCTATCACCAACCATCAGCAGCAGCAGCAGCATTCGTTTCAGCGTCACCGGAGGAAACGCACACCATCAGCAGGGACTGGACTCCGCTCTGGGATTCCTTCTTCTCCACCTACGCTCCTCCACTTCTGTCTGCTTCCTTGGCCTCCTCCTCCTCCTGCTGCTGCTGCTGCTGCTGCTCCTTCATCACATCACCAGCCAGCCAGTCACTCCGGCTCACCGCGCTCTCACCTGGCTTGCACTGGACAATGCCGACCGGAGACAAACGTCTTGTTCTGCTGTACCTGGACTTCGGGAGAATCCGACGGCAACGCGCTCATCACGCTTCCATCATGCGCGCACGAACACACCATGGCCGGCCTAGCTGCGGTCCTGAAATATAATGACATGCATAGCGAGAGTGAGGAGGGCGACAAAGGGCTGCACCAGCCAACCTCGAACGCAAGCCGCAGCTGACAACCGTCCCCCCGATGATAACGGGAGTCGCACTAGTGGGACGCGGCTGAACCTTCAGCAAGGATCCCGGATGGGAGACTCGGAATCCATGGATGCTTGCAGCAGCGAGGGAGACGTCCTGGCTTGGCGATGCCGCTGCAAGCACGCGGTGGTCGACGACGCCACGCCCGCCGATCCAGACGCCGGCGACCACCCTCCCATGATCCCTCCGTGCATCATGTACCAACTCACGCAACTCACAATGTGTGCGGCACAGCCTGTACAGCCGGAACGCGGAAATAAAAGCATATTCTGAGAGGGAACGGCACCCGACAGAACCGACGAACCTATGTACTGTAGACGGTGAAACTCTACTTACTTGTATTACTGCCTCGGGACAGAACCACCTACAGCAGCGGTCGGGAAGGTCCAGATGGTCCACCATGATGTCGGACGACACTTGCTGTCAAAATCACTCAAAATTTCCAATCACCGTCAGACGCCCTTGGCAGGCCATCTCACAGGGTATGGACGCATATTTACGAGTGAAATTCGTATAATCTGCGATGTGCGTTGACTGCACCTGCAAATTCGAGGACCAGCCGAACACAATCTATCGCCCTATTAGCTCACGTCACATTTTTCTTAACACAAAAGGGACGTGTCGCATGTCATGTCGTCGTGTCGCCTCACTCATGCACGCTTGTCCACATCTGGCCACGAGCACAAGTCGCTATGGCTCTTCCATTGACTTTTTCTCCGAGCGCGTGAGCAGGCGTACGCCAGCAGCAAGGCCTGGTACTGGACATAGCACTCGCCTTCACCTCGTTCGACTGACTTCAAGCTTCTGCAGTATGGGAAGCTCATCGCCGTGTCAACCGTCGGCATGGCTTCTGTACGGGATGCCTTCCCTGAGCTCAGATCAAGCGACGCTAGCTGACCGCTGGCTAACACCGCATGGCATGGCGAGCCGACGATGTCTTCTCGTCGGCGAGGGTCCTGTCCAGTGTAGCCTGTGGAGTTGCCCGATACGTCCGAGACGTATGTCGTAAACCTCGTACTGAACGAAACGGCTCATCTATGTGCGATGTAGTACGAAGATATGAATTTCCACTTGGGGGCTCTGCACCATGCATCGCGTTCATTTGCGGCATCAGCCCGATCTTGGCGTACGTTCCGAGGCTGCCAGCCCTCGCATACAATTGGCCGTCGCGCGTACACTCGAACCGATGCCTCCACGTCAGACTCGCTCTGTCGGCCCTGAAGTATCAATATACCATGTGAAGCTGTGGTAGGTCGAAGGATTCCAGTGCTGTGCTGTGCTGCGTCATGATGAGCATCCGTCTACCGTCCCACAGCAGAAAGTCACCAGCGAGGTTCCTCAATCCTACAACCACATTGCGAAAAAGCACCTCGGTCGCGGATGAAGCGATGGGAAAACCCTACACTAGACTGCAGCTACCACTAGCGTCGTCTGCAAGGCATTTCCCCCGAAATTCCGAGGGTGCACGGCCGTCGGCGGCGATCCCGCTCAGAAAGCCCAGTGACACAATGCCACACACACACTCACTCGCACGCACTCACTCACACTCACACTGTTTCGATCGTTGTGATGATGTCGGATCTCCGAGTCACGCCGACGATATTGCGAGTCTTTGATCACACAACGTCTCGACACATCCCAGGTAGCTGTCTACCTGCGTGCCTATCTGTCTATCCGTCTTGTCCGTCTGTCTGTCTGCCTGTCCATCGGCCTCTGTTCGTGCATCATGCATCGTGGGTCTGGACGTGTGCAGGCCGGATGACATGTCGGTGAGATGCGCCTGGCTACAGCTTCCCACAAGGCTTGTGACAACTAAATACCACTGACTTCCAAAGGAATGGCCTCATATGCTAGTCTCCAGTTCTGAACGCGGGGCATTCAATCGAGATCATCCTCAGCAGAGCTGTTCAACAAGATGGTCCCCGGGTACCTTTTCCAGGCGATTACTCAATCGCCGTTCATACTCGAGGAACAGTTGTCGCCAGGATGTTCGCAGCCACTTCTTAATGATACACGTACTAGGCTGGACACGTGGGCAATATAGCAGTCGTGCAACTCTTGTCCTTCCCAGGTACGGGTACCAAAAACCGGTCCAAGATTCAACGCGCCGCCACGGGAAAGCAGTCGGATCGTCAGTGGGGCCTTGCGAAAGGCGATACGATTTGATCCGTCGATTAATCCTAGAAAATTCGTGTTCAATGACGCCAACGCCGCCTTGTGACTCTCCACTAGCTCCGTAAACCTTCCTCCACCCGGGGCAAGCAGAATCTTTCTGATCATGAGCCCTCTTTGCTGTGCTATTTTTCCTTCCCGTGGCGTATAGCTCCTCGGCATGTCCAAGCGATGCTGGGCCCGGGCGGATGACATCCCTGACGTAAACACTGTATCAGCCACGAGCTGTCTCTCTGTCGATCGTGCACTTGCACTCAACTCAAAGGACCACTCTTAAGGCCGAGAGAATTGCCTGAAGACTCACGCCTGCGCACAGGAGGTGTGCGGTGCGCATCATATCGATCGGAGCGGTAGCTGCAGACTCAAAGCCAGACAGTGCTGGAGGTAAAATTCCTTACAATCAACTGGACGCTTGAGCGGGCAAGATCAAACGGAAACCGGCTTTTACCCCTGCCTGTAGTCCTAGCATCAGGCACGTCAGGTACAGGTACCTCACATACTTAAGAGACCTACATGTACCTAGGTACAGTACATAAGCGTCCCCTCCGCGGCATCTTGCTGTGGACTCCAAGGTCTGCTTGGCAATTGTAGAGTCATCTACGGGGGTCCCCACAGGGAGAAGATTACGGAGCAGTGTTCCGTAGCATTACAGGTCCTCTCACTGTTCACTGCACGCACGCATGCACGGTAGCGCGGATGCCTCCTACATATGATTTGCAAGAGTCAAAGCAAGCCCTGCACACAACCGCTTGATGGACCACCTCATACGCGGAGATGAGTCTGGGTCGGGAGATGCACAACTCTGCACCACGAATGATGAAGTCGCTGAAGTAAGTGCAGTGCATGTTCGCGAGATGAGATCGGAGCCGTTCTACCGTTGAAGGTATGAAACAACCCCCCACCGGAGCGGAAGAAATGCCACTCTGTTTCAGAATTTCAACGGTCTCCTTGGTGGTGGCGGCCGTTGGTCATCGCCGTTTTAGAGACTAAGAACGACAAAGGCCAGGTACCTTGGATGTGAAACTTCCTCCCTCTTTGAGATCAATTGAAGCTCTCCGTGTTGCTGGAGCCAGCATGCGTGGCTAGCTATTCGGGGAGCCAGACACGGCATAGACATAAGATTGTATCATGATGCAGGCCCGACACCAAAGATAAACGACTATTGTAACTCCACGGGTACACTGGGCGAGCAGCGATAAAGACACCACTACAGCAAATGAATTGAAGCAATCGGGGACTGTACCTGAAATTTGCAGCGGAACAAAATCAATTGGTTGTTGGTAGCTTTCGGGCGGGAACGTTGAGCCGCCGCCCGCAGCTCACACTCACCGCAGCCAATTTGCCGGTCACGCCTTGCCGGATCGGCGAACTATTGCGCTCTGGCTGGTAAGGAGGCTTTCTTACCGACAATGCCTAGGCATGGTAGACCCGCCTTGTCGCCATCGTCATCGTCTTCACCACGTACGCTATCACAGTTGCGCTGCTAGTCCTGCAATCATGAGTCTGTGAGTGGCCCTGTTGAGGTCGAGACCGCAAGCAAGACTTCTGCTCGACCTTTAGAGTTTGCGCCCTTTCACGCCTAGATCGTTCCCTATTACATCCCGGATGTCCCACCGGACAACATCAGATCATCCAATTTATTCCCATTGGCGGTTGAAGGTTTCTGATCGTTGATTGCAGCATGAACCTGTCCATGCTGTCTGGGCGGAAGAGCGAGAGTCATAGACGAGATCCTTTCGTACAATTTCATATCTACTTTCGCCATTCTGACAAAAGCAAATTCAGGGTCGCAGGAATCAACGGCCAGCGACGTACGTTAGGTTTCAACTCTGATTTTTCATTTTTCATTTGCTCCACTCGTTCTGAAGCAACCGTTGAACCGCCGCTAATCCGCAGCCAGCCGAGGCATCTTAAATCAGCCCTTTGACATTGACGACAAGACATCGCTCGCGGTTGAGTGGGTCGCTAATCAAGCAAGCAAGACCGCCTGATCTGCAAGTGATCCTTTGCACATCAAACGCGAGGGATCCACAACATTCAACCTTCTAAGCGATATTGCGACCAGTCTTCATGCTCCATTACAATTAATATCCGAGAACGATGCTGTGCTGTCAATCCGAAAATGCATCATCAGAGCCTTTTGCCACAGTGATATCGAAATGGAGCAGCGGACCTGGGCTGGAAGCCCTTTCGATATATGCCCCCGGTGATTTCTACATGTGAAAATGCGGCTAGCCCATAGCTTCATGTATCTCTGGCATGACCTGATTCACGAGCAAGAACTTCGTCTATCTCGGCCGTTGGACGCGTGCGATCGTTCACCTGATCGTCACAGTCAATTGCAGGGCCTTTTCAATTCTGAACATGCATTCTCGGCCTACAGATGACGAATTGCCGTCGACTTGGCAGAGAACGCAGCGTCGCAAACCCTCGATGGGGTGCAATGCTCTCGCTCTCGTGTGGTTCGAGTACGTTCCTGATCTGCAAGGCATTCCCTGAACAGACTCGCTCTGCCTCCATTTTCTAGAAGTTTTGCCCTGGTACATCCGGACAACAAACGTAAACGACCAACTGAGCGACGCTAAACTTGCCCGCATATACACGGCAGCCGAGTAGAAGCAGCGGCTTATCATGACATTGCCCATCGTAGTGTTGTCGAGCCCACCCCTGTCAGCATTGCCGTTCACAAGCTAGTTTCGCGATGAGCAATTGCATTGTTGAGAGAAACTCGGATCCGACAAAGATGCTGTCAGTCAGCCAGCCAGCACAGAGGGTGTATGAGGGTTATGGACCGAGATCACGGAGATGCCATCTACGGGCTGCTTAGGGTACAACCAAAACCCTACCGAGGTCGAACACCTGCAGGTTCAAGGTGAAAATCATCCCAAAACAGTACAAATCTTCGAGGCCGAGGGTTCAATAATGCTCTTGGGTATAGTGGCAACCTCTAAGAGGCGAACGAATGCATCTAAATACTATGAGTATGGCTGTCCGTTTCACCATGCCCACAAGGCTGAGATTGTGGGATAAGCTTTCCCTGACGCAGATGTGGACAGACATAGACATGGATACACCCCGCATGGGTTGGCTGGCTTTGTAAGATGGGTTGGCTTCCCAGGTTGGCACTGTGATGTGTTGGCTTTGTAATATGGTCGTCGTCATCGTTGCGCGCGAGATCTATTATACACAGTGATCTGACAGCGGCCTATATTGTCAGTGGCGAGGACGTGTGGAAAACGAGCATTTCAATCATCAACCAGACTGTGCGCTGAAAGATCGATCGAACCGGCCTGAGCAGTTGGGTCAACAAACTTCATCCCTACCCCGAACAGACAGGTCCCCACCAAGATGGGTGCAGACAAGAATAAAGACGCCGCGGCAACTCGGCTCGACTCGCTCTCCAACCACCTGCAGGTATGTCGTCTCTGATGTTATGGGGAGACCGGCAACGATGATGCGAGGATCGTCTGATGCACATCATCTCGCATCCGCTAATCGCCTCGAGGTCCTATCCTCCGAGGCAATTGCGAAACACACGTCACGAGCGGAACAGAGTCCCGCCCTTGTAGCAGAATCTTATCACCCTCACCGCTGCAGAAATTCAATCTAACTGAAATCCTGGAATCACACAGGATGAGTCGGCAGCAAGCAAAGCAAGCACAGTGGCACGCGAGCTCGAGGAGGCCTTGGCAGCAGCCGTCGAGGCCGGGAAGATACCTCACGCGGTAGTCTTCGCTACGAACACAGATGGCATGTGAAACGTACCCATCACATGTGGCGTTTTCGGTGGAGGTTTCAGCTAATCGATGCCGCAGGTACTTTCACATACAGCCATGCAAGTGGCCTGCACAAGTACACTCAAGACAAGGTAAAGGCCGATAACGAGAGGATGGCAACGATCAAATGCCCTGACAACAATCCAGGAGCCTATCACGGAAGACGCGCTTTTCATGCTCGCATCACAGACGAAGCTTCTGACTGCCATCTGTGCGCTGAAAGTAGTCGAGCAAGGCTTGATCGGTTTGGACGACGACGTCAGCCCACACCTAGCTGAGCTCGCTGCGCGTCCCATCCTTACCGGGTTTGACGATGAGAAGAAGAGTCCCTTGTGTGAACAACGCAAGAATCCCATCACGTTGAGGTGAGTCTCTGTCGAGCATGGTCCACGTGGTTTTTGTCTCATGTGAAAATGATGACCTACTCTGCTCGATGCTGACCGTCTGTAGACAGCTGCTCTCACATACCTCTGGCTCCGGATATCCTTTTACCCCCGAATTGATCAAGTATCTGACCCTGAAAGGCTGGACACCTGACAGTCCCAATGCCGCGACCATCGTCGAGCGTTATGACTTCCCCCTCAGCTTCGAGCCCGGAACGAGCTGGGGATACGGGCCGGGAATCGACTGGGCGGGGCTTCTCGTCGAACGCCTGTCCAAGCTGACGCTGGAGGAGTTTATGAAAAAACACATCTTCCAACCCCTCGGCATCACCGGCATCAGCTTCTGGCCGGAAACCCTCGGCACAGCCAAGGAGAGAATCCCGGAACTCGTCGTCCGCCGCGCCGACGGCACCTTCGGACCCAACACCAAGAAGACCCTGAACACCAACTCCACCGACTGCTTCGGCGGCCACGGCGCCTACGCCCAGCTCGGCGACTACCTCAAAGTCCAACGCAGCTTACTGGCCAACGACGGCGTGCTCCTGAAGCCCGCGAGCGTCGACGAGCTCTTCCGGCCCCAGCTCTCGGCGAAGCCGCTGGCCGCGCTGAATTTCTTCCGCAAACATCTGAGCACGTCGCTGGTCGGCGGTATCAACCAGGACATCGAGGTCAGCTACGGTCTGGGCGGGATGGTGTTCCTGGCGGATGACGTGGGACGGCGTCGCAAGGGCACGCTGTCGTGGGGTGGCATGGTCAATCCCTTCTGGATCATCGATCGTGAGGCTGGACTCGCTTTGACGGTGGGCTTCCAGGTCTTGCCGACGGGTGATGCGGGAGTCAAGGAGATGACTAGCGTGGCGGAGAGGGCGGTCTATAAGATGGCTGGGTTGGCGTGAGAAGCTTCCCATGACGTTGATGGACGTGGGAGTGGATATGGCACTCGAGAACAGGGGCGATTCTCATGGATCATTTCGCGTCTATACATACATACATTCATTACAGGACACCACGCCGCTCGGGAACCTCCCACGTAGTCCTGTCTGACCCTTTTCCCGTCGCGAAATCCCCGCCTCTTTCATGAGCCAATTCCCGAGGCGAGATTGCCGTCTCTATCAGCTCTGCCGAGCACCCTCTGCCCATGGCACCAGAACCCGCTCATCTCTCGGATGAAGCCTGTCCCTCATCAATACGCGAGAACATACATTATCGATCCTTAACCGAACAACGCCCACGAATGCAGTCTTGCATCTCCACCAATGCCAGAAAACCCAGCCCCCAATTTGCGCAATCGCAGAAACTCCCAATCTCCGTTCACGAATCGATACCAGGAATGATACGGCGGCGGCGAAAAGAAACCCGATCAGACATAGGGTGCAGAGACAGTGCGACCGCCACAGTCAGGAATGACCAATCCCTTCTTCAGATTCCGGTTATGATCCATCAAGCCCCAGTAAGGCTCCCAATTGTTCGCGGGGGTATCGAAGCGGTGTTTCCATTGCTCATCGAAAGCCTCGAACCTGTTGAATGGGAATGGAGGTCAGTGGGGGTGCTTGCGCATGTGGCGAGAGAGAAAAAGAAGATTGTTGTTTGCGGGAAACGTACCAGAAATAATTCGTGCCGTTGGTGAGCGCGGCGCATACCCAGTCGCTCATGAAGGTGTTGAGGTTGGCTATGCTCGCGACGGCGCCGTCGTCGCTGGTCACGCAGCCGTAGTTCGCATCCTGTCCACCGCAATGGTGACCGCCTTGAGTCGGCCAGCCGATTTCGCCAATCATCTGGAGGGGAGAGAAAGGGTATGGTCAGCATTGGGGATATCTCGAGCGGTGTCGATGTGATAGAACATGGTTGCCGACCAGAGGAATTTTGGGGGAGGGAAAAAAAAGACTCACCCGTTTGGGATACGAGCTTCCACCGACAGTACCAGTCTTGAGCCCGGGCAGGGCCACAATGCTCTGCCAATACGTCCAGGCCCAGCTAGTACCCTGCTCCGCCTTGACACCCGCGAAGAAAGGGTGAACATTGGCCATGACGATGTCCGAGGAAGACGCCAGGTCAGGGTTGTTCTTCCAAGCCTCGCCCAGATCGGCAGTGGAGACGGTCAATTCGATCTTCATGGTCGCCAATTTCGTGCGCACGGCTTGTAATTGCGTCGCGAGTTGTGTCACGGTGAGATACTTGCCGAAGAGGACTTCGTTGCCGACGATGATGCCTGCGAAGCGTGAGGAAGGGTATTTGTCGAGGATGCCGTACATTTGTTCGACTTGGCGTTCGTTGGTGGTCGTATTGCCGTCGAGGTACACGCCGAGCCAGACTTTCATGGAGGAGCTCATGCCGAGGCGGTCGATGGCCTCAAGGACCATGGCGGTCTGGTTACAATCTGTGCCGTAGAGCCGCACTGCAGGCGTCAATTGTGATAGGATTGCGATGTCGAGGGTGACGTTGTTCTGATCGGGAGGGTTGGTCAGGCACGCTGTGATTGGGTTAGCAAGACATGTCAGATGTGCGCATCGGTCGAGCCAAACGCGAGGCTTTGGTGGATGCTTACCTGGATATTGCGCATTCAAGGGAGTATAGTCCATTGTCGGGAAAACCTTGTGGAAGTTCTTGTTGCCCATGACAGCTTTGATCTCCCGTGTATTCATGTCCCAGAGACCCTGAGAGCTCCCTTGCGAGACCGTGACGCCACCAGAGTTACCATCACCGTTGCTCTGTGAAGCTTTCCTGCTACCAAGGACTCCACCGACGATGCCTCCCGCGATGGCAAGGACGACAATAACGGCTATGCCGACTCCCACCAACCAACGTAATCGCTTCTGCCCGCTACTTTGCTGTTTTAGCCACTCTGACTTTTCTTGATCGCGCGACGCTGACACCGGGCCGTAGTTGCCGCTCAGCGCGCGTGGGCCTCCTCCGAAAGCTTTCATCACTCCTGCTCCAGCGCCGCCTGCGCCAGCCGGAGCGGATGAAGCAGGCACGTGCTCGTTGAAGCCATCATCGCCATCATCGGCGATGTCCCTTGGGTCGAACTCGTCATACCCGTCGCCGTGATAGTAAGAAGCGCGTGGTAGTGATCTGTCGAAGCTTGATATGCTTGATCCTGCTGCGATGCCGGCTGCGCCCAAGTAGGCGTTCGGTGAAGGACTATACCGGTGTATTGACCGCGACGGCGAATGTGAATATTGTGGCCGTCCATCGTTATTGACGAGCGGCGCTATTGATGTTTGAGAGTCTCGTAGTTGATGATTTGCGGGCATGAGCGACATGTGAGGCGGAGGCATCGGAGGAGCTTGAGCGTAGTGTTGTCGGTCTCTAGTGTCATCATAGCTTGGTTGTGGAGAAGGGGACTCCATCCTGGGGTTATAGAGGTTGTCAACGTCTCGCAACGCGGGATGCACACTGCTCACAGATCGCGGATATCCAGAATTGATGCTAGGTGATCCGTGACCGTCACGAGCGAAGTGAGCATCGTGTCGCGGGGTCTGGGGTGTGAGCTGTATTGAGTTGGAGGGCGAGTGTCGAGCGGATCGCGATGATGGTCGGTAGGGTGGTAATGACGAGGTCGGAGGGTCATACAGGACGCCGTCATCTCGATCGTGGTACTCGGCGCGGGGAGCGTACCGCCTGTCGGACATGATGCTTTTCTTCCGGGCAGGCTGAGCACGAGGCGAGGGAACCCAACGGTCGTCCTCAGCGGTCGTCCGTTGGAACGTTTGTCTTGCAGAAAGTGGAACAGATCACGCTTCGTTCGGGTAGGCAGAGATTGAACAAAGCGCTCGTCGAGCGAAGAATTGCCCTGTCGTGCACAAAGTATCAATTTCAATGTACACAGTGTTGTTTGAGCAGGCGCCGGAAACTGGGAATGTCGAGAAGCCGCGGAAACCCCAGCAACAAAGCCTGTAAGTGATACACGAGCACAAGTTATCACCCGAGAAGAGATTGGTCGACTGGGTTGTTTTCTTCCCCGAGATTGTCAGCAACGGTCACAACTGTGGGCGATTAGAGAATGGCGAGTGAAGGACGATGGCAATGGTCCTGGAAGCCGGCCGCGTGGAGAGTAATGTGTATGGATGCGCGTTTGAGCGGCGCAGCAGGGAAAAGGCGTGGTCGAACGAGATGCATGCATGCGTGTACCCGCCCCGTCGTCGAACTGTCAATGAACGGTACGGGTGGACTTGTAGGGCTGCTGCTGGGTTGGTTAATTCGTCTTCCCGTCGTGTTCAATCATAGTAGTCGAGAATGGAGGATGCGAACTTTCGTATTTCTGGCAGCGGCTGTACATTAACAACAGTCTGCAACAAGAAAAGGCGACGATGATAGTAGCGCTGCGCCCAGAGGATTCGCCTCTCATACTTACGACATCATCATCACACACAGACGAGACGAAACCCGATGTTGGAGTCAAAAGCGCCGGATCCATACTAGCGTGGTCCTAAATATAGCTAGATCTGAACGGCACGGTAGCACCCAGCAACAAGAAAAGACAAAAACCCCAAGCATTACATAATCCGCAGAGAGGGGAGCGCAATTTGTACGGGCGGTCCTCTGATCAAATGTACTGCTCCAGTGCTGTATTGATACTGCTCAACGACAACATGCTGATGATGATCGTGACGGGCGCACGTTGCATCACCGTTCAGAAGAAGTCGATGAAAATCCCCGAACGATTCCTCGCCCGTCGCGCGAACGACACCGATTCGTACCCATGCGCGCCACACACAGCCCGCCCGCCACATGGTGTTCTCACAGCCCTCCCCGCCCCGCCACCAAGTTTCCAAAATTGCGCATTCGATACGGGGTCGGGTTGGATGCGTGCACATGATCAGGAGAGGGTTGACGATACCACCATCCTTCCACGAAAAGACTGTCTGCTGTTTGGACGAATTGACTGCGCGCAACTTCATACAGTCTCGTGCGGCTATGAGCGGAGAGCGTGAAAGCAGTTTAGACATCGGGTCCAAGTCTGCGTCTCAAACAGCGTGATCCAAGTCGAACAATTCCATCGTAAATTCATGAGAGACTACCTTTCCCATCGTACTGAACAAAAACGAAAAAACAACCATTACGCTCCCTGTGATACGAAACATGAGACAGCACAGAACAAAAACCAACGAAACCGACACTCCAAAACCCTTATCTGGGAAAACTTTCCGCGCCTTCCCAAATTCCATCGTAATCCTTTCTATCGTAACGCACCGCGGAGAGCAGTGTTATCAAGGGTTCCATGAGAGACCTCCCTTATGCCCGGGCGAGCCACTTGAGGACCTCCTCCTTCTCGTTCACAGGCAACATGCTGAGGACTTGAGCCACACCCTTCAGTCCGCCAGTCTTGTTGCTGCGCATGAGGGCCGCGACGTCATAAGCGACAGCGTCAGCCTTCATGGCCTCGATCTTGTCTGCGATTGACTTGCGGTTCTCCTCGAACCAGACCGCCACCGCCTTGTCATCGGTCGGGTAGTTGGGCAGCGAAGACCAGGCCTCGAGGGTCTTGAGGTTGGCATCGCGGTTGACGAGGTCCTTGGATTGTTGGCCGGCGATGCGGCGGAGCACGTATTCCTCGTTGAGACGGCGGCGGAGACGCCAGTAGAAAAAGCGACGGGCTTGTGCCCATTGTAGAGCCATGCGGATCGTGCCCTTGGCCTCCATACGCCCGGCACGGTCGTGCAAATCGGCGTATTGCAGAGAGATCTGCAGGTAGACCGGTAGTAGGAGATTCTCACGCTCCGTCATCTTGCGCTTGATATCGTTCTGTTGCTCGGCCGTGAGGTCCTTTGCCAGCGAGCGTGTCTTGAGCTCGCCGTAGGTCGGGTCGAGGCGGGCCATGGTCTCAAGCTGACGTTCCTTACGGTACTTGATGCCAACGATACCCTCGGGCTCGAGCACACCACCGCGGGATTCCTCGTCGGCATACATTTCCATGTATTGAGGGTTGATCGTGGGGTCGACGACGACCTGCGATTGTAAATTAGTCATGTGTCCACTCGTTCTTCAAATCACCCAGGTCATAACTTACCCAAGAACCACCTCGGAGCTCTCCATGCGGCGGGATGTATACGAAGATAGGCTGCTCGTACTTGACCAGCGCGTCGACGATGTAGGAGCCATACTTGAGAACCTCGTTGTACATATCACGCTGGCCACCAGAGAAACCTCGCCAGTTGGCAAGGATCATCAGAGGCAATTGTTCACCGTGGTTGAAGTCGCGGATTGCTTGTGCAGTCTTGTAAGCACTGTTCGGGTACCACACACCACCCGCCTCGTTGGTGACTTGCTCAATCGAGTCAGGGTTGGCGGGATCAGCGGGGGAGACGTTCTCCACGGAACGTGTCTCGACACCAATGACACCGACCGGAATGCCGCCGAGACGAGCGCGGCCGATGACGACGGTCCTGGCCCAGCCGCCGAGCGCCTCCTCAAAGGAATCTTTGTCGAACAGACCAGATTTGAAACCAGCATCGGTCTGCTGACCAGCAATAAGGTGACGAACGTCGTAAGGCGCCTTTTGTGGAGGGAAGAAGGTCACTTCACGATCCCAAGTGTCGGCTGAAGGTGAAATTGGCACAGGCGCGCCACGCTTCTCTGGTACGAACGAGAGCCATCGAACAATCTTGGACACACCAGCAAAGTCATCATTGGCTGTCATGTGGGAGACACCGTTCTTGTACATGATCTGGGTGCCACCGAGCTGGAGGTTGGAAGTGTACACTTCGCGGCCGAGAAGTTTGTTGATGGCGGGTGCACCTGTCAAAATGATCGGCTGTCCCTCAATTTGGATGGAACGTTGACCGAGACGGACGAGGTAGGCACCAATACCGACGGAACGGCAGGTGACGAGTGTCAATGTGAAGATATCCTCGTAGGCGCGAGAAGTCTCACCGGCGATGAGTCCAGAGCCTCGAAGACATTCAACACCAAGACCGTCCTCGGCACCAATGATGGTCGTGATCTGGTGGCGGAGCTCGCCCTCAACGGTGATTGGCTTGGTGAGGACGTGCTTCAGCGCGCCGTCTTCGAAACGAGCCTTCTTCTCTGGTGTGAGGTAGAGATACTCGAAGCCCGCCTCGGGTCTGTTGGCATCCTTCCAGGCGACAGAGAAGTGCGGAATAAGCTCTTCAGCCATACCGATACGTGCACCCGAGTTGGCCGACAAGTAAATCCTTGGGATACCAAGCTTGCGAGCAAGCTCGGAACACTTGTGAAAGAAGTTGTCTTCCAAAGGACCAAAGGAGCCGATCTTGTGGGTGATGTCGTTCGCGATAATGATGAAGCGGCGACCACGGGGATATTCGGGAGTCTTTGCGGTGACCATCCAGCCGACCATTCCGATCTGGTTGGCACCCGGTTCACGGTGGACTTCAGCCAAATTGTCGCTTTCGTCGATCACGAGTTCGTTATACTCGATACAATCTCCACGGACTGGCTGCTTGTCTTTCATGGATGGGTGCTGGGCCACAATAGCGGTCCATTCGTTCTCAATGGCTTGACGGAACAGCTCCGGGAAATCGTAGACGTATTGTGTGCCCATGATGTGTGCCTTGTAACGTTTCGGCTGGAGTGCGCCCTTGGTCTCGTAGGGAGTTGAGACCGGTCGCAGATGCATGGAGCCAACCTTGTTGGTACCACCGATGCTGTGGAAGAACCATTCGTTACCCTTTTCTGATTTACGCTCCTCGTAAAGCTCAACCGAGATGATGTATCCGGACGTGTTAGTGATGATGATGCGGATGGGCAGTGGTGCGCCTGTCTTGGGATCTGTGCAGATGATGCGGATCTCAGCACCTGTGACACGAAGTCTCCAGGCACGACGACCAAATCGATCGAGGAAGTTAGCAAGCGACTCTTCGAGTTTGCTGGGGTCCATGGAGAAGATGGCCGAGAAGTTGATGAAGATGTGGTTCATGTCAGAGTTGTTGTTACCAACGATTTCCATGGCATCAAGGATGTCAGTCATCAGTCGGTCAGCCTCGGAGATCATGTACTCGGCAGTTGGGATGTCCTCGTTCAGATGGCCAACACGAACCGTGGCGCGAGTGAAGTAGCGCTTGTCGGTTTCCGCATTCTTGCCGATAGCCTCGTACATGTGGATGTTACGGTTCTCGGTGAAAACCGGACGAATGTTGAATTTCGACAGACGTCCTAGTTCAAGTTGGAAAGCGAGCGCAGGCTCGATGTGACGAATGCTGATGTCCTCCTCATAAGCGGGACCACGGAAGGTGTAGTATCCTGGATAGGTGCCGTCCTTGTGACCGCAAATGAATGTGAGACGACGCACACGTCGAGCAATGAGTTCTTCGCGGTAGTCTTTGATGATCGGCATCAAGCGAGAGAGGATCTCGGCATCATCAGTGCTCTCAGCATCACGGATAGCCACATTGCAGACGGCAGTGAGCTCTTCGTCGCTCTCAGGCTTCGCCACTTGCGGACCACGTCTCTTGGACAGGTCGGCCGACAACGTGTTCCCTTGAGCGCTCTTGGCTGGCTTAGTTCCGACCAGAGGGAAGGCTTCTAAAACTTTGGCAAGATATTCATCGACTTCATCGAGGAAGGGCACTGGGACAACGGCACCTCGGCGGATAGGCTCACCAGATCCAATCTTACGGTCAATGTAACTCATATCGCTGATGGAGTGCACGCGTGAGAGTTGGTTTGGCCCAGGGGTTCCAGGATTGGATGCATGTGTTGAGGCGACAGGGAGACCGAACTCGGCCTCGCCTACTTTTCGGAGCGCAAAATCCCATGCCAGGACATATGGAGCTTCATCTGTGACCATGTAGTCGATCTTCTTAAGCTGGTAAGCACGGTAGGCGCGACGTGTGTAGACCTCGAGGGCAGCGAGAGACACCCAGGGGTCTTGATGGGCGAAAAAGGTCGGCAGCACATCGAAGACAGTATACTTCGAGTCGACCACTTCTCTGATGATGTCGTAATTTGGCGTACGGTGCTCCCATCCGCTCTCGCCATAGCGGGATTCTCGGACAGCTGAGCGGAGGATGTGCTCCATCTGAGCGCTGCGCTCCTCGAGAGATGGAAGAGCGCACTGGATAAGAACCTCACGAGCCTTCAGGGCGACCACAGCTACAGGTCGTCCCTCCAGCTCGGCGAGCTTCTGAAGCGAGGGGCGGAAGAACTTGGCAATGTTACCAATGCCAGGCTGATTGGGCTGGTATGCCTGGAGAATAGCAACGACGAGATTGTTCTTCGCATTGGCACGGGTGTGAGCGAGCACGGTCTGTACGACGCTCACGACCTTGTCCTTGTTGGCATCACGGAGAGCCAAGATGACCTCTTCATCGCGATTCTGACGAGCGGAGAAGATGCTCTCGACGGCAATGTATTGGTCGAACAGTCGGATGAAAGTGTTGAACTCGTGCACTTTCAGGCCCTCGCTGTATTTGTTCATGATGTCCAACAGTGGTGCCAAGCTGGTGCGGAGAAGTTCGGCTTCTGAGGGACTGAGTGCCTCTGCGCAGAACCGCTCGAAGGCTTTTTGGAGCTGCTTTGCAGGGAATTCGCTCTTGCGGCTGTGCGCACGCTCAACGATCTGCTCGAACGCAGCATCGAGCTTCTGAGGCATACGTGAGTGAAGCGCAGATGCTTTGAAAGTCCACTCGCCGTATGGCAATTCCGGATCACGAAGCACGGCAATAAGGTCCTTGAGCGTAGAAGCCATGATACTTTGGTTGTCGAAACCGCTGAGGATGTTCGATAGGACGCCGAACAGGAACTCAAATCGTTGCGTGATCTTGGTTCCAAGAACGACTGGCGGACCAAATTCGGGCATTGATCCGAGGAAAGGTTGCGCGGACTTGACCTTGGAGGGATCGTCCAATTGCAAAACACCGAGAACGTCTCCTGCTTCCAAGGTAGCGCCGGGCTGGAGGACCAAGTTCACCAAGCCATCCTCCTGCGCAACTAAAGGCATGTACATCTTCATGACCTCCACTTCGGCAAAGGTCTCGCCCTTCTTAACGTGCTCGCCGTTCTCAACAGTGTACTTGACGAGCTTTCCTGGAGATGGCGTCCGGAGCTGGGTGGGATCATTCTCCTGCTCGAGCAGGCAAGTCTTGCCGTCGACACTCATACGAACAGCACCGACTTCTTCCTTCCAGTAGACGTTGTGTGATCGTCCTCCGAGGAGCACAAGCAATCCCCCGTCGGAGAGCGTGCGGATGCTCACCAGAACCTTGCTACCGTTGATGTACAATGTGTAGCTATCTGCGCTTGAGCGCGTTGATGTGAATTTGTACTTCATGCCCTCGTAGATGAACTCTGTCGGGAAGACGATGCGTAGGATGTCCTTGCTCGGCACTTGACCCTTCTCGAGACCTGCTCGATACTCGCCGAGACATTGCTCACTGGCCAAATGAGCCTGGGTGACAGCACCACAGATGACTGCGATAATCGGGTCCGGCCTCTCTGCGGTCAATCTCTTGCTAATCAGCTCGTCGAGCCAGCCGGTGGTGATGGTGTTTTCTTCGAAAGCCGGTGTCTCGAGCAGCTTGATCAGGTATTCCACAGTTGTCCTGAAGTCACCACGAATGCTCAGCTCTTTCAGTGCGACGACCATGTGCTTCCTTGACGCTGTACGGTTCTCTCCGTATGCGAAAATGTGACCGAACTGTGAATCGGAGAAGTTGTGAATCGATGAAGCAGCTCCAACGGAGAAGTATCCCCAGACGTTGGAGCTCGATCGGAAATTCAGCTCATGCATGGTACCCGAAGAGGGCTTGAAGCCTTCACCAGGATCCTCGGAGGTGATACGACAAGCTGTGCAGTGACCCTTGGGTCTTGGTCGTCGCTGTTGTGACGCGCTGTCTTCCTTTTCGAAGTTGAAATCGATCTCGGTCGTAGTGTGCGGGTCAGCTCCATACAATAATCGAATGTCGCGAATGCGATGTAGAGGTAGACCCATCGCGATGAGCAATTGAGCAGCTGGGATGTTGACACCAGACACCATCTCTGTCGTGGGATGCTCGACCTGGAGACGAGGGTTCAGCTCCAAGAAGTAGAATTTGTCATCGGAGTGTGAGTAGAGGTATTCGACAGTACCGGCTGAGACGTAACCGACCAGTCGACCGAGCGCGACTGCAGCAGCTTCCATCTTGCGGAAGGTTTCTTGGCTGGCGATTGTGACGGGAGCCTCTTCGATGATCTTCTGGTGGCGTCGCTGGACGGAGCAATCACGACCAAAGATGGAAATGTTGTTGCCGTACTGGTCTGCAATCAGCTGGACCTCCAAATGCCTTGCATTGCCCGCAAGCTTCATGATGAAGATGGGCGATCCTGGGATCTCATTTGCGGCAGCCTTGTACAGGGCGGCGAAAGAGGCCTCGTCGTCGACCTTACGAATGCCCTTACCACCACCTCCTTCTGAGGCTTTGACCATGACTGGGAAACCAATCTTCTTGGCGGCTACCAGACCTTCCTCGACGGAGGTGACGCATCCTTTGGCGTAGATGTCCTCTGCCACGGTCACAATGTTGTTATCATCCACCTCCACCTCTTCGACACCAGTTCCGGACCATGGGATGCATGGCACGCCCGCGTGTTGCGCTACAATGGTGGACGAGATCTTGTCACCCAGTGATCGCATGGCCGAACCCGGTGGGCCGATGAAGACGATCTTCTTCGGTGACGCAGCGAGAGACTCTGGAAGCTTCGGGTTTTCTGATGCGTGACCCCTGCCAGATTGATCGTTAGCATGTCCTCTGTGGCAACCCGACCATCCGTCCCTCATCACGACCGGCGGCACTTACCATCCTGCCCAGACGGCGTGAACGTTCATGCGCTCAGCGATGTCCACGATGAGTTCCACGTTCGCGTAGTTGTTGTTGTTTGTGCCTCCGGGTACTTCGACGTACTGGTCAGCCATTCGGATGTAATCCGCATTGGCGGCCAAGTCTTCCGGGGTGGCCATCACAGTGAACTGGATGGCCCGCTCGTCGCCAAACGTCTCGTACGCCCATTTCCGTACTGATCGGATCTCTTTGACTGCTGCGATACCGTTGTTCGCGATCAGAACCTAGCAGGGTCATTGTCAGCTGTTGCGCCAGTCGTAGCTTGGATCGCTTAAACCCGATCAATGCTCGAGTCAAGCTATCGTCAGACACTTACACTTCCGATCACGGTATGACCATCGTGAGCGACAACGAAGTCCTTCAATTTGCTGGGCGGCGCTTTGGAGACATGGTTGCCTCCAACAAAATGTGGTGCCAGGTTATGCCTGGCCGCATAGCTGCTGGGTTGGCCGTTCGCATGGCCATTGGCTTGTGACGCCATATTGGTAGCCCTCTGCATGCAACGGTGGAGTGGCAGCTGCAGAAATGCTGGAGGAAAGCGGAAAACAAAAAAAAAGACAGATAGAAGGATGCGGAATTAAATCGAGTGACAGGTCAAGAAGAGGAGCTCTGTCTGATGACAATGTAGCTCTCGGCGGCCTGTTGCTGTCTTGCTGCAGTGTTGATTTCCAGCAGGGTTTCGACCCGATGCAAGCGATTATTAGGACCGGGTCTAAAATCCGGTGGGTGTGCTATCGTCGGATATCTAGAAATCGTGGGCGAAGCGGCTGCCCCACGCATTAATCGAATCTGTGACCGGCCGCTTGATTGAGCCCGCACGTTTGGAAGGGTCGATACTTCAACGGTTCTCTCGAACTACTCGAACGAGCGCCGCCGATGAACTGATATCGAAATGGAGACAGAATCGTTTTCGGAATTGCGAGAGGTGAGAATGAAATCGTGAGGAAGCCAGCATCTGGTACGCGCGGAAACACAATGAAGATATTAATACCAAGTTACATGTTGGGTGAGGTCTATCTACCATTGATCGTCACACCGAAACGGATGGGACATTCGTGGGGTACGTACCGAAGACTTACTCCACCTATTTCGCCCAGCGGAGAAGTATTCGGAGAGAAAATGCGCAAGGTTCCAAGGTTAGTTAGTTTGCACTGAATTTTGGCCCGGGAATTGAGTCTCCAGGGACTTTGAAAGGGCCCCGGGGCGTCACCACCGCACGTCAGGTAAGCACGGCGAGCTGAAAGGACCGATTTTCGAGGCGGTCCAATTATAAAAATACACCTGCTGCTGTATGGAAACTCCGGTGATCCTCCGAATCTCACAGAAAGGATAATCGCTTGTCATGGATCCATTCCTTCGTGAACGTCTCCCACGTCCTTAGATTTGTCCTGCGCACTGCGGTCCCAAACCAACCCAACCTCGGAGGATTTCTTTGGGGACGATACATTCCATGGGTGTTGAACGGTTGAGGGGGGGTCCAGGGAACGTGGCCGTGTGGTAGAGTCTAGAGACTTGCCCGCATTACCATTCAGGATAAGCGTTGCCGAATCGCATGGGAAAGTTCCGCTTCCGAAGTCGAATATGGGATCGGGGCGCTCGTTGTTTGCTTCCTCGCCAGGGCAGTCTTCTTCAACCGTAGCTTGTTATTACGGTGGTTTGCCCAGGTTCATGACTGTATATTGACAGCATGTTGACATCGGAGAGAGGCTGTGGATACATCATCGTGATCAACCAGGTCTCGACTTGCTGCACGACCAATCACTCCCATAAGCACTACTCACAGTCAAAGACCTTGACCTTTCAAAACTCATGAATAGTTCCAATAAATCTTGTGGCATCAATGGAAGCACAGCCGTTTGTCCTACATAGCTCCGGTGTTTTCCACCGCCTTTGTCCTTCTATTGAGAAACCATCGGACGGCGGTATTCAACGCTTTGTGAGACCGTTGATCATCTCAGCATCACCGCTGCTGCCGGCTCGTCAGGTCATTGGAAGCATGGACATCTATCGGGCCCCATCAATGGTTCCCACTAATCATCATCATCATCATCATCATCAATGATGACAATGAACCGGGCGGACGGGCGGAATGGGGGAGCGGAGTTCCTGCGATGGTGGTGCAGCAGGAGTGTCCCGTCGAGCCGTGCACGTCACGATGTACAATGTCACTCTTCATCGTCAATCTCAGAGCTTTCTCGTACTATACACAATACCACCATCCAATTTAATGATGGCGGGAGACCACAGACGGCATGTTGGCTCGGGTGAGCTCCGCCGCGCCATCCGACAGGCGAGTGAGATTCACAGGATCTTGATGGGACGATGCGATGACATGGTATCGCCCAGAGTAATAAAGAGCTTGGACTCCCGCCAGTCCTTCTGTTTCTTCTCTGCGGTGAGAAGCGAGAACGCCCGTTGAACTTCGACACGGACTTGGTGCCCACCGTTGCGGGATCGTTCCTCTTCCTCGACTCTTCTATATCGCCCGGGCCCAACGCATATACACCGGGGATGGTCTGCGTTCTATACGAACGCGAGTGCCATTCCAACGTGCAGAGCATGAGTCGGGATCACGACAACAGAGTCAGCAATGTTCTTTCAAGCTCAGCACTATATTCTGACACCTGAGCGGCTCTGAGTAAGATATGTCACAACGCATTGTCAGCGTGACGATCGTACAGCCCTGGAGTGTCGCCTAGCAAAAGGCTGTGTTATGCTGCCGAATCAGGGTACACGGCGGTCATGCAGCTCCCTACCCTCCTCCTGATTTGCATGGGACCATCTTCCGAGGGGCCCTGTATTGAGGCTCAACAATTTCCATCGGTGAGCTGCTCATCAACATACATACAGCTGGAGATTCAGGTAAATTGTTTCTACGGCATGTACACGGTCTCACACCGGGCCGATAGCAGCTAGATAATACTTTCAATAAACACAACAACATGTTGTACCCATCGCCTGTGTGACCTCATCCGAAATCTGACCGTGACACCGATTCTCTCTCACCACACGTACATACTGTAATCGAGGTGCGGTGCGCTCTCTCCTCAGCTCTCCGCCCAACAACGCCGATCCCAGAAGAATCTTCCCGCACGACTCCTCGCCCAGCAGGTGTGGACACGTATACCGCCGTTCGCTCAGAAGCGAAAAGTCCAGAACAAAATGAGGACTTTCCACACACGTCCCAGCGGGTAAGTGTTCGAACCTGCATATAAGCCAGCAGCGAACGTTCCAGATGGCGAGTGCCGTGATTACCTGCTTTGATTACTCCGGCCCTGTCAGCCCAGCGTCGAGCTAGAAGGGACTCGCGCGAGGGGGAAAGGCTGTTGGAGGCGGGCAGCTTACAGGAGTAGTACAGTAGGAGATGCCCTTTCAGAGAGCACACTACAGCGATTTTCTTCTACTTCTTCTGCTTCTTGTTCCTCTCCTCCTCCTCCTCCTCCTCCTCTCCTCCTCGCAGGTGGAGTGTCCTTTGTGGCGTGCCGAGATCTGGAATGTCGGCCACATCGATTTCGCGTGCCGTCAATTTCCGTAAGGGCGGGGCATAGGAGGGTATCGCAGGATTGGGAAAGTGTATGGATTGGAGATGCTTTGACTTGTGCACCCCAGACGTCACTGGCTGATTATGAGTGGGAATGAATGTCCCGTAATTGCCCTAGAGAGAGCATGGCGAGATCACATTTCGATCAGGAGCATTAATTTGCACGTGCGTGACCTCGCTCTGCGAAGGAGTCTAGATGCGAAGGGCGTCGCGGCGTGAGTTTGACTAATAACGGAGGTATGGTACGAGTGAAGCTGCTCAATGCATTTAAGCAATTTTGCACACGATATGGTAATATATGTGGTAATATACATATACCTAGGGATGCATTGGACCTGGGGGTTGAATTCGTCAATACTCATAGTCATGGTGGATGCTATCTGCTTGCTTGCCCGCCTGCCTGCCGTCCGTCCTGCTGCGTGGCTACATAAATAATACCTGCTGAGATCATACTCATCGAAAGAAAAGCGGTCGCAGCCATACTGCCTAGCCATTCCCCATTGCCTTTTTCCCATTGAATCTACAATCCCATTTCATCATAAAAAAAGCTAATAAAAACAACAATTCACAAAAGAGAAAAAATCCACAAAAGGCCATCTGCCATCCGGTCATCAGTACGTTTCGCCGACATCGCTGACCCTCTTGCGGCTCGGCGGAGGCAGCATTGCATGGCCGTTCAGACTGCTTCCACCGTCGAAGCCGCCCGTCGAAGCCCCGAAGTTCGAACTGGCGCGTTTCGTGATCGGGCGAGGGAGGATGCCACTCTGGCGGCGCGGCAAGGCGAATTGCGGCGGCGGGATCGCAGACGTCGATGCTTTCTTGTGCAAGACGTGGCTGCTGGTGCTGGCGCTGCTGTAGTGATGGCCACCTTTCCCGTTGGCGCCTTTGGGACTGTGGAAGGCATCGTCGGACTCGTTCGCTTTGCGCCGGAGTTCGCTTACGCTCGCGCTGGGGCGATGCTTGCGATGACTTGGCGGCATGGTGGTGGTATAGTTGCCGCCCATGCTGGATCGAGATCGACCCGGGTAGGCGGATGTCGTGCTGCTGACGGTGGTGGTGGTCGCGTCGCTCGCCGGGTAATGGCCGAGGTCGGCGGTGCGTGCGCCTGTCCTGCTCGCTGGCCGGGCAGCTCCCGCTAGACTCTGTCGACTGGCGGGGCGGGCAATGTGCGATGTTGGATTTTGGCCGTCTAGTGCCGATGGAGGACGATCGGGCGCATCCGCTCGATGGCCGACGACTGATGTTGGACGCGGGATCCCAAAGGAGAGCCGTTTCACATGGCTTGACCGTCGGCTTGAAGCCTCAGGGGCAGATTCTTCGCTCTGTAAGGCAGAAGATGACATACTGGTGCTGGTACGTTTTGAAGCACGGCGCACCGTCACTGACGAAGGAATGTTCTCGCCAGATGTGTAACCTGCCCGCGGCGAGCCACGAGGAGTCGTGTTGCTCGGAGTCGGCAACTTGGACCTAGCGTAGTGCACACGCTCCTCGATCTTTTGCATACGGCCGATAAGACCACGGATCTGCGACAAAGACTCTGTGCGAGACGTGCTCCCTGGCGAGGCATGGCTTGGACGACCGGTCCTTGCCCTCGTTGGCGGTGGTCGCATAGCACGTGAATCTGACGTGGTGGGAACGGTCCCTGCACTCGATGCGAACGAGCTGCCACGGACGTGCCGTGATGGGGCTCGAGAAGTGTGGGAAGACGGCTTCGGTGTTGACGAGTCGGGCACCATGGATCGCTTCCTCACCAAGGCGGGCGTCCGTTGTGGTGACTTGACGTGGACGGGCGCATCGGACAACGGCGGTGATGGCGGCGTGGCCATCTCTGATGTAGTGTCAGATCTTGGTGGAGGCGTCGAAGCTGTGGGAGACAAAGGCGTCATACCGCTCGCTTCGCTCAATGGGCTCCTTGCGCGCAACGAGTCCACAGCCAGCTGGGCGGGTTTTCGCGCTCGCAGGGTGGAAATCGTCTCTCCAGCCAGGCGAAGCTTCTCCAATGTGATCTCACTCTCCACCTTCAGATCACCTAGTTCGTCTCGAAGGCGCTGCGCCTCGATGCGCAATGACTCACGCTCCTGTTCGCCGATTTTGATCTCTTCGTCGAGCATGACCCGTTGTTCGATGGCGCTGTTGTATTTGCCCTCCAGATCTTCCAGGCTGGATTCGGTATTACGCGCCTGCCTCTCGTAATCATCATTCATAACTTCAATGTCTCGTAACTTCAACTGCAATGCACGTGTCGTCTCGCGCAAGGTCGTGATTTCCTTCTGTAGTGCATTCTGGGCCGAGTTGGCTTCGGTTTTGGCCTGCTTGTGCTTGGTCTTCCATTCCTCCACCTCGAAATTGAGCTTTTCTACTTGCTCCTTCCACTTGCGTTCGTTCTTCTCGGCGGCCTCGACATCTTTTTCTAATTGTTCCTCAAGCTCCTTGCTCGAGGCTTGAAATTCGCTGAGATCAGTTTCGAGCTGCGCATATTGTGTCTTGTACCATTCCAGTTGTTCTTTGAGGTCGGCGCCTGGGCGTAAAGGCGATGAAGCCATAATGTTGGCCGCAGAAGCGCGTTTCTAGCGGTGCATCTCTGGCCGGATTAGGACGTATTATATGAAACGCAAATTAATGCGCTAAGCAACCGGGAAGGCGTGCTGAGAGGGTTTTTGTGAATCGCTTGAGAGGGAGTGTGTCGGGGGAGCGGTGGGCAGCAGACGCGGATCGCGAATTTCCAAGGTTGTTGTCTCCGGGGTCCGGGTGAGGGGCGTGTGTCGTGGTCCGGGATAGGTGTCGTCAACGGGATTCCGGTTGGTCGTGGTTGTCGTCGTCGTCGTCTTCTCGTGTGCTGCCGTTGTCGATGACGGATCCGGATCCAGGCAGGGAGGCCGTCGGTCGGTGTTGGTGTTTGTCGTTGTCGTCGGATCAAAGCCAGCGGGCGTGGCCAGAAGAAGAAGCCCAAACTAAAGGCGGTCACAGTACGCTAATAGATCCGCTTGTTGACGTGGGCCGTCACCGTCGCCATGGCTGCGTGTTAGGGTACGGCGCGACCAATCAAGTGATACGATGGACTCTATAAATGTTGGAGGCTGCAGTGAAGGGGGAAGGACGGGCACGATGCGTTTCGGGCTGCGGGTCCCGCCAAAAACATCCAGCTCATCATCACTCTGGCACCTGCATTTATTATTATTACCTTCAAGGTGACTGACTTTCACTCGGCAATTTGACCACATCGGCGGCACGAGCTTTTCATTCCCCCTGGACGTTGGTTCTTCCCTCGTCATTGCGCACAAGCCCGTGAGACAGGGGAGCTGTGGTTCTTTTATGGATGAGATTCAGATGCAGAGCTGTGTGTCTCACATTGGACCATCGATTCATTTCTCGAACTGTCAGTCCCGCCAGACTCACCCTTATCCATCACCACCTTGGCACGCCTGAGGCAATTATTACGACGGTGAAGGTGGCGCCACACAGGCTGAACATCTGACGTCTCCCACCATACAACCGTGGAATGATACAGGACAGTTTGGCCCTTCGATGGGTGCTGATGCTGTGCTCGCTCTCCTTCTTGGATTCATGTCGCAGAAGACGCAATGCATGGTAGACGAGGCATGCGAAGAAAACTCCCACCGCCTTTGTGATGCCACGATTCATCAGATGGCTGGCTGCCCAGGTGCATGCATGGGGGGAGCGCTCTTGGTGTCTGCCCAAGTGTCTAGCCGATTCTCCGTGCGCGAAACACACATGAGGGAGACTTCCGCGTACAGTAGTGAAATGCACGCCTGCACCACATGGAGCCCAAAGTCTGGTGATATTGTTGAGTCATCACCCATATCCATGCAGGTGGATTGTAATAAGTGATGATTCCAGGAGAGAGTTGTCCCATCACGTGCCTGCGCGTATGCGGTGTTTCCTCTACCGTGGAGGATGGGCTGGCTGCAGACACAACCGGGCGAACATGCGGGCATCCGTCCAGCCCAGAGGTCAATTTCAGACTTCTCCCGGAATACTCGAAACACGTACATACTACATACATACTGCACTTCCGTCCAGGTGCAGACAAGCACCCAAGCTCGTTTCTCTCTGCAAGCTCCCCGGTCTGATGCAAGGTTTGTTCGATCTGGCGATGATGTTGCAGTGTCGCTACTAGGGACCTGGGTGGTGATGGGTTGGAAGGAACCCTGTCACGCCTGTCATCTGGGGGGCTTGGAAGTCTATCTATTCTGAACTCGGGATTGGCTCGAGTCGAGTCGCGTATGTTTGCACTAAACCGACATAGTTGCCACCGCGAGTGTTCCACGGTTTCTAGTAGTCACGGAGCAGTTGACCATACGATCGTGGGATTGTGACGCCGCACGAGACGGATGAATGATGGATGCATGCGCCCATGGACGTACACCACCGGCGCGCAATATATGCAATTAAGCGTGGTAGGGAGGCGAGCCGATGGTGGGAAATAGAACCGAGTCCGCATCGCCGCCCATGCTACTGTACTGTACTGTAGGAGATAGACCTCTGCCACGTCCGCTGTTGTCCACCTCCCTTTCAAGGTTCCCAAGGTTTTGCTTGCGAAATAACATCGTCACTCCTTCTTTTTCGGATTCTACACACGAGCTGGACCTCTTCTTCGGACTTCTGTTTTCTCCTTCCTCTCCTTCGTCTTCACCTCATTCGCATCGTACCTCTTTTTTCCTTCGGGCATCTCGTCCTGTTCTGTTCGGTTCGGTTCGGTGTTGCGCGGTTGGGCCAGTGTCGCGTCATCAGTGCGGGGCGACTGGGAATTTCGTGTGCACAAATCCAAGCCGCACAACATCAACGTCGCGTGCCTTCACCGCAGAGTCTCACGGGTCCGACGCCAACAGTGCATCTCTCGCGCGGCAGGTACATCGCGTGCGGAAAGCAATCAGCATACTGCTCTCATATCGATCTTTCATGACTTACGTTGACGATTTCACGGCCGCATAAAGAAACACATCTGGCGCAAGCCTCGAGCATCATTTCCAGCATTCCTTCTCCAGGCCCCTTATCCATATCCCATTCGCGCGGCCTTGGCAAGATATTCATATCCCGATCCCTTCATCATCATGGCAGATTTCGCATTTACACGTCAAGATGAGTCGGGCAACTCACTTGGTAAGTTTCCTCTGTTCCTCTATAAACACATCATCGCTACTGAAATCCATCCATGCGTGGACTGACCATCTATCGCAGAAACGACCAAAATTGTGCCTCTGACCTGCCATGGCCACTCTCGGCCAATCACTCACTTGTCCTTCTCTTCTCTCGACCCGAGCGCTAGCTCGACTCCCTTCTACCTCATTTCTGCATGCAAAGACAACAATCCGATGCTGCGAGATGGGCTCACAGGTGACTGGGTAGGGAGCTTCATCGGTCACAAGGGAGCTGTCTGGTGTGCTCGCCTTTCCGACGATGCCACCCTCGCCGCGACTGGATCCGCAGACTTCTCCGCCAGAGTGTGGGACACCTACTCTGGCGAGACGCTGCATACTCTTCAACACGACCACATCGTCCGCGCTGTGGCTTTCCCTCCCAACGACAGGCCGCAGATGCTGGCCACAGGTGGCATGGAGAAGAAACTCCGCATCTTCGACCTCTCGAGGACAGTGACTAGCGCCCACCCCGACAGCCCGAACGGACCCGTCCAGAACGAAACCCCAACCTCCTACGAAATCGGCGCGGACGAGCACAAGGGCGCCATCAAAAGCATCATCTGGATGCGCGATCCCAACATCATGACCACGGCCGCCGACGACAAAAAGATCCGCTGGTGGGATCTCCGCGCGCGCGAGGCCATCGCCGCCTACGCCATCGACGGCCTCCCCGGGTCCTGCGAGCTCAACAGCGGCTTCGAGGGCCACGCCGAAGGCATCGTCAGCGTCGCTGCGGGCAAGAACATTTACTTCTTCGACGGCGGCCGGCCCGGCCAGCTGGTCAAGCACATCAAGACCGAGCGCGAGGTCGCGAGCGTCGCGCTGAACGGCACGTCGAAACGTTTCGTCACGGGTTGTCCCAACGACACGTGGGTGCACATCTGGGACTTCGACGCGGAGCGGGAGGTCGAGAAGGGTCGCGGTCATCACGGGCCGGTGTGGACGACGTGTTTCAGCCCTGACGGGAAGTTGTACGCCACGGGGAGCGAGGACGGCACGGTGAAACTGTGGAAGTCTACAGAAGGGCCTTATGGCCTGTGGCGGTGATGGCGGCGAGAGGAATGGAGGGGGAGTCGCCGGAGTTGGCGCTCTTGTACCAAATCTTGTGGATCTCGTTTTCTCTAGCGTTTCCCTGGATTGCGGGTCATGTCACTTGGAGTCGTGTCATGGGACAGAGCATACCTCATGTCCGCCGACGTATGTACAGAAACAGAACGAGCTCCATTGTAAGCGAGCTCTCCTCGGCACATTAGGGTCCCGTTATCTGATCATGTGATATGTAGTCTCGCCGTCCAGAGGTGATCCACCACGATACTAGTCGGTATCGATCATCAAGTCGGCAACAGGATCGGGCGCGCAGTCCTGCCGTCCTAGTCTAGCACGTCTGCTGGGGCGCGCTTTCTCCAGAAGTCACATCCGCGAGATCGAGCGGAGGAAATGACAATGTGAAGTTGACAAAAGTGGAACGATCAGCCTGAAGCAGAAGCCGAAGCGGAACCAGACGTCAAAAGGCGGCAGACGGAGAAGAAGGAGAAAGGTTAAGGGGAAAGGTTCAAGTGAAGGGGGGTGGGTTTCAGGCCTCACACAAGAAAGAAGTAGTTTTTCCAATTCTGATACCAATCCAAGAGAGAGAAAAGAAAATCAGGTAAGGCCGACGTGTTGAAAACCACCCGTCCAATTCACACCCTGTGTGCTCATCAAATTCCCGTCAACACGCCACAAAACGCATGCAAAAATCTATGGGGAATCTCGCGAAATTTCCAAAGAGAAAAACAAAAAGAAGCGTACAAACACAACGCATCCCCAACATATTCCCAAAGCCCCGAATGCACAAAAGCAGAAAGTATAACCGGAAAATTCCAATCGTGAGGGATGGATGCACCGACTCTCGATGGGAACCTCTTTCAAAAAAAAAGAGGATTCAAAAAAAGACCTCTAACGCCGTCCTCGTTGCTGTTGCCTGTCTTACCTACGCTTCCATGACCAAGATGATTTCCGATTGAAAGTGTGCTCGATTGGAAAATGTTCCAGGATGCTAAACGACGAAAAGATTTCTAATTGGCGTGATCCAATTGGCGTGACATGAACTGTGTACTCTCATTCGAACCCGTTCTGTAGGGGGGAGATGTGTGTCTGTCTTGAGCTGTATGTATCTGGTGTATGCATGGTGACTGGTGTGACCGAGGGAGGTTGAGAGGGATGTAAACGAAAATCCAAGAGTGAAGATGCCGGTGAGTCGAGATGGGTATATGTTTGAAATGCAGCTGATGCATGGGTACCGCTATAGCCTGCACATGGTGGTCGTGCTGTGCGATCGCGAAAGAGAGATACGGAAGAGAGACCGATACGGGCCGTGACAACATGGCCTTTGTGTCCTCTCTGCCATGTCCGATCATTGCCGGAAGCCATAATCGGCATAGTCCATAGGACGGGGTTGGTTCGCATAGATCTCGCGGCCGTAGTTGCCATCGCCCATACTAGGCGGGAGGCCGGCAGAGTATTGGTGACTCTGTGGGTCCAACTGATTGCTGAAATCATAAACAGGTTGTGCAAATGGATTTGAGAACACCGTGTCTATGCCGGCACCGGGCGGCGATCGGTATCCTCCTGCGAGTAGGCCAGGCCGCGAGGCCAACCCAGGCGGCGGACCCGAGATGGCGCTGAAGCTTGATCCGTGCATGAGGCCGTAGTGGGGCGACATGGTTTGCGGAGACATGACGTTGTTTGCGGGCAAGAGGCCGCCGCCGGTCTGGCCTGAGCGCACTCCCAGTGGGTTCTTCGAGAAGCTGAGACGGATGCCACCCTTGACGCTATTGTGCAATGGAAGTCCGTAGAGCTCGTGCAGTGCTTTGGTCGCGTAGGCAATGTCCTCGAATTCGACGAAGCACATCGGCCCGTTCTGCTTGGTGCGGAAGCAGAGACGCTTGTAGCCGCGCTGTTTGGAGAATATGGATTTGAGTTCATCCTCGGAGGTGTCCACAGGGAGATTGCCCACGTAGAGCGTATTGCAAGGCGGGTTCTGATCTGCCGGGTTGACGGGTGGATATTGTGGTCGAGTGAAGTGAGGTGGTTGAGATCCGGTGGACGTCGCTGGCGACATTTGATTCGAGGGATTTGAGTAGGATGCTGTGTTGACGTTTGTTGACGCGCCTCTTGATGATATGATATCGCTCTGAGTAGGTGATGTTACTCCTCGACTTGAACCGTTTGTCTGGCTGATTGACAATCGGTTGAAAGATGACATTGGGATTTGCGGGCTCGTGCGCCGCCGCCCGAGAGGATTATGTCGCGCAAAGGCCACCGGGTCTTTGAGAAGCTCGCCCGTCTCTTCGTCTGCAAGGTCATCGTTTATGACAGACTTTCCGGTATTGTGATCGCTTGCCCCGTTTGTCAACGGCGACTGCGGCGAGAAGATATTCTGGATATGTGTGCTATTCTCGGGCGCAGGGAATTCAGGGATAACACCAGCTCCAGCACCCGCCAGGGTCGGCGAGATCCGATCTGTCGAGTGGAATGTGCTTTCGTAGCGCGATCGGGCAGTTGAACCAACTGTGGAAGATGCGCCTGAAGAAGCTGAGCTTGATAACGTGCGCGATGTCACACCGTCTACAGTATTTCGCCGCTCAAATACTCCAGGCATGCCACTGCCTTGAATTTCCACAATCATTAGAGCCTCCTTGGTAATGTTTGGTTTGCCGTTCAGCTTCTGTTGTGCGTCGAGGGCTCCAGAAGCCGTCTCGAAACGTGCAATGGCCGTAGCGAAGCCATTATCATCTGGGTTGGTTGAGCGAATAAAGTCGGTGTCGATCAGGTCACCCGCGAATAGCAGCATACTCCTGAGGGTCTGCTCGTTGGTGCCAAGCGGAAGGCGACGTATAATGATGACTGGCGCTTGTCGAGGTTCCAGTGTGAAGTTTCCATGATCAGACGATCCACTGTCGTAAACCGAGGTCATCATGCCTCGTGACGCAAGATATCGCTCGTCCGTTGGGCTGTTGCTGAACCCTGTGGTAGGTCGCCCATTTGGAAATTGTGAAAACATGTTCTGTCGAAAGGTTGTCTCGGAGGGTGAGGTCACTTTCGTGTGAAACGGGCTAAGCGATGACTTTCGAGATTGGACAACCGAACTGGCAGAATGAGCTAATGTGGATTCGCTCATCTCGACTCAAACCCGTTCCGTCGCAAGGATAGTGACAGAGCAGCACGTGTTGCGCGTTGATGTTGCGCGCGCCTAATCTCTGAATCGGTGAACTGCCAGAGATAGATAAGGCACTTGTTTGGTCGCGTTCGCTCGCGCACGCTTAGAACTTGTATGTCGGTGTTCACCGATATGAGGCGCCTTGCGACAGCGTACAGATGAAGCGGTGCCGACACAATGCGCTGGGGAGTGATGTGCAGCCGGCGCGTCGAGAAGGAACTTTGAAATATGCAGTCGCAATGCAAATTGTACAATATACACGTCCACGATAATGCAGTAAAAGGCGACAATGTCGTAGATGTGGTCGTAATGCTGGATAGAAAATGTGTGATGCAGGCGCACAACAGCCGGCCGGTTGGATCGATGTGATCAGCGCGCAATGCCGGAGGTACACCTTATCTTATGCTGAGTTCCGGACGGAAGATACAATAGGAACAAAGGTTTCTGATGCGCAATCGGAGAGAAAGGCGCGGCATGAGGAAGATGGGATGATGTGGTGTGGAAGTGAAGAAGTCCCACGACGTGGGAGGTACAGAAACCCAGACGAGCAGCAAGGATGCGACAGAACGCGCTCACTGTGCGAGAGAGGGACGATACTGTGAATGGGATGGACGGGTCCAAAAGTCGCAAACAGAATGTGGTGGAGGAGGAATGTGTGTGTGCGGGCGCGTGTGTGTGTGTGTGTGCGCCAGAGCGTGTGCGTGTGTGTGTGTGGTGAGAGGGAGATCGGGTGAGTGAGAGAGTGAGCGAGAAAGTGCAGGTGGTGAGGGCGAGGATTGCCGGCGGAGGGAGAGGATGAGAGAATGCAGGTGAATGATGGAAGCGTCCGATAGTCACAGTCACGGGCGGGCAATCAGTCAGTCAGTCAGTCAATCAGTCCGGCAGGCAGGCAGGCAGGCAGGCACCTGCGGGCAAGCAATCGGTTGCGCGCGCCCGATCAAAGAGGTGAGAGGGACATTTTTACTCACCCGCACGCTTACTTGCGGGCTGATTGACTACTTGTGAGCTGCGAACCGTCGTTGTGTGTGTGCGTCTGTGTGTGTGGGGTGGGTGGAATCGGTACGGCGCGCGCTGTACTTTGACGCATGTACAGTCCAGGACACACTCCTCAAATCAAGTCCAGTTCACGGTCAAATTCGAGTTCAACCACACCTGCACCACCATCAACAACTACTACTACTCCTGTACTGTACTCTGCATATACTTATCTAGTGAATGGTATTTCTAAGGCCCACGCGGCATGCGCCCTTGACCTCATAAATTCGACCTCCATCGTGCACGTTGACGTGATTGCTCAGTTCAAGGACAAAGCAAACCTTTTCCCTGACTCGGCCACTGACTGGTGTTCACGGCGCATACTCTCTGTGTTTGCGCCCTCGTCGCGCCAACAGTGACTGGACAACATCACACGCTGGCCTGACTACAAGAAAACCGCGATACGAAGGTCGTGTGTGTGCTGCTCTATCAGCGGTTGCACTTCTCGTGATGAGGACGATTATGACGCTGGTGACGAGTCGCGAGCACGAATGCTGATACCATTGGCCGGTGGGGAGAGGTTTCAGCTCCTCATTATTATTAATCATTATCATTACATACACAGCACCGTCATGGCTGCAAAGAAGAGGGAACGAGAAACACGCCGGTGCCTTAACTCCGTGCCCGGGTACGGACATTTGTGATCATCGCTACATGACAAGCGCACGCAGGATCCATTGGATGGTGACTGTCCTCGACAGGGTGTTTCTCTGGAGGATTGTCTTCCTGGGTGATTGTATCAATGACATCTGGAAGTCCATCCCAATCGCCTCGTGATTACGCAAGCTACCTAGGTAGACCATCCAGCCTGTATTGTGAGCGAACACATGTCTTAGGCTAACGAAACGATCATCATCAAAATTGTGGCAGCTCGGAAAATCTCCAGATGTTCTTTCGCAAACCCCCTCGATTTGCGCGGAAGCCTGGACCGTGCCCTCGATAAGCCGAAGCTCAAGCCTCTACAGAGGCACCCACACACACAAATTCGCACAAAAGCCGTTGTAAGAATATGCAAGCAGGGATGAGAAATGGCACTTGTGGTCGGACAGGCCGGATCAATCGAGGCCCACTGCCGGCAAGGGCTCTCTCGCTACACACATGTCAAGGTTGAACAGAGGGGCCCATCACTACTGGACGCCCGCGCTGAGAGGCGCTCGAATCTCGTGTCACACGGTCCGTTGGATGGTTCCACAGCCCCGAACATGGTGCAATGCTTTTCTCGTCCGAATAGACAAAAGCTAATCGGCCTCGAGGACTAATGGCATCATTCGGTCCTTGACAAGCTCGCTGTGCGATCGATCATGCAAGGTCGCTCCGGTAGTGCCAGAAACGATGTCCGAAGCTAAAACCATCGAGCGCAGAGGCAATCGACAATTTTAGTAAGTCGCATCATCCATACTCTGCTAGTGAACGGATAGTGGTCAAGTTCATGATGATTGCGACAGACCCCCACTTCCACATGGTTCCTGAACCACAGCTTATCGCAAGGGCGGTGGTACCATCCCTGAACGACTCTTTACATTGGCATCATGCGACGGCCATTCAATCGGCAACATATGACGAGGTGTTGCGCCGTACAGAGGCTCGGCCTCGAGCGATGACAAGGACCGCTGTGGATGCCGAAGAGCTTCTCAGCAATGTCGGAGGCCCCGCAGGTCTAGTGCCTGCTAATCTGCACGTCGAGCGACATTTCATGCATGCTCGCTTTCCCTCCCGTACCCGTAAAGCCCGTAGAGTTTCGTCCCGACGGCTCCAGAGTCTGTAGCGTGCGCAGCTGCGCATCTGACTCGTCAATCCTCTGGGAGCCGCTTCAACTCTAATACGCCAGCGGCCTGCGGGTGCGCAGCCTTGTTGAGGACACGGGCGTCCCCGGGTTCGAAGCGATACCCATCTGCGCAAAAGCAAACAGCTGCTGCATTCTACACTACCAAGGTGCATGTTCACCGGTCCTCGCAGTCGCGGAACGGGAATGTTATATTCAATATTCTTCGATGTGCTGATCCTGTTGTGGAAGTGCGGACCTACAAGAAATCAGGGTAGGGACGACGGCATGCTGGACGAATTGTCAAGTGGGCACTTCTCAATGGGTGTGGTCGCGAGAGGTTCGGGCAAGGCCTCCGATTCGTTGTCCTGCACGAAGTCACCCGACATTCGTTCTCGGCTCGTGCACCAAGTGGTGATCAGCCATAGGGAACAAGGATGTGCTTCTGAGAGAGTTCGCGGTTCGTGAGACGACGCCCTGCTGTGCGACCTCTGTCCCCGACATACGAGAGCTGCTTCCTTTGACCGGGCAATAGGGAATCACAATGTCGTGGTCGGCGTCAGCGTCAGCGTCCCCAATCTCATGTGGGTGTGCGTGCGAACGGGACGGCACATTCCCGATCACTACTACCCAGGCGAGAAACCTGCGTGCACACACATCTCATCTTGACGTCTTCCATCCTTGCCCATAAGCACAGCCAACTACTGCGCCAAGACAATCCGGTGGTCCCAGGTCCGCGGCGACTATTCCCGCCCTAATTCACTCCCGGTTCTGCACGCGAATAGACGAATTGCCGGCAGCGCAGCCCTGGAGGGAGGGCCTTTTGCCCCGTTGAGAAAAGGGCTACGGGTGTGTGATTGGAAATCCAGCAGCTGCCTCCACGACACGTGTTTGCCGGTGGGCTGCGATATCGCGTTTTGTATTACGAAGCATGTGTGATCGTCTCCTTCTTGGTTGTGATCGACGTCGGCAAAACATAATTCCGCCTTATGAGGACGATCCTTCTATTTCACTATGCTTAGGTCAGCGGATAATGCGAAATATGTAGTTACTTGCAGGTAGTATTGAATAAGCCTCGCCAAACTACACTTTCAATTATTCCTGATAATCAAGGGATTGGTGCCTTTTTGACAAGACGTGCCTGTTCAGCCACGCGATCATCCTGTCAATTATACAGACCGGACTGCTACACTACGAGCATCCAATGAGTCCCATTATAGTTCGTTGGTAGTGGCTCAGCGCAATCTTCGTCTGTCTTGTGGGCGCCTCGGCACTCATCGCAGATGTAGTTACACTCATCACCACTGTCAGCCCTAGAGACAACACGCCGAGCTCGAGTGTAGCTCTGCAACTTCTGTATGGGGCAAGCGAGCGCGACTTGTTGCTTTCCTCACGTCGAGGATGCGTGTCGTGAGGGACAGCATGACACCAACCCTAATGCGACACATAGCCCAAACCCTATCAGCCATCCCGAGTATGAGCAGGTCAATGACATTCAACTTCACGATTTGTCGTCATGGCACAACGTATAACGGGTACAGTATATGGTCATACACATCGTGGCTATCATCATCGGAGGGATATCAAACAAATATCGTCGTGTTGTAGTTCTGTTCGAGCGACCTGAGATTGGTGTGGATTAACATGTTTATCACGGTATTATCCTCAGGCGACAGTTCTCGTTCAATATCTGGACGTTGCGTCCTGGCAGCACAATGCGATGGCGTCTCACGACCGTGGTCGACTCGTGGGCACTTCCCTGCTGGCGCGCTGGTTGTTTCCACTTGCGGCCTGCCGCATCAAGACTTTGCTGTCATGTAACGCTCGGATCCCGGATGTCTTCTCCAGACCCATCTCACAGCCGGACAAGTCTCAGTATACGTATGTCTTGTTCCATCGGCACAGCGGCATGGTTGGTTGCAATTGTTCGTGGCGAGAGACGTTAATCGGAAAGCCATTATACAATGTGATGCGTGGAAGCGGTGTTCGAAAGAAGACGTAGACCTCGAGGTGGAAGATGAGTTTACCTACTTAGATAGGCATGTACCCACCCACCTAAGTAGTAAGCGGACAGGAGGTGACGCGCTGACAATGCCCCTGGACTTCACTTTTTAAAGGCCTGAAGAGCATCGGAACAAAGATCGGTACGGTCCAAGAAATGTTAGCGTATCGTGTGGATGGTCCCTCCGAGCGTTGCGAATGCCTCTATTACGTGGAACATGACGCTGTCCCTGACACACGGGAGGCCTACTTATGCGACCCGATCAGCCGCGGCGGTTGGGTAAAGCATCAAGGGTGAAGCCGCGCTATGCATCGGATGCAATGTTGTCACTACGATATCCCCAGTACAGATTCGAATGCCTTGAACACTCGTACCAACTTGTGGAGGAGCGCCGAAATCAGCGCGGTGTTGATCGGCAAACCGAATGACTGTTCATGTCAATGTATCTGTGGGCTCTCAAGAAGCGGACGACTGATGAAAACCAGGGTGAATATACGGCCGTCGAAAGGGCGCACGGAAGAACCCCGGCCAGTCGTTTGGATAACTCAAAGTCGAATGCTGCTTTCAATTTTATTCATGGACATCAAGTGCTGTACGGCGAGCAAGCCGGAGCCATTCGATTTCGACCTGCCAAGGGTAGAGCGTGAACAAATTTCGCTGGGTAGCCGCCAGGGTGATGACCACACTCGGCTCGAGACAGCTGCATCCAGAAGCCTGCATTGTACGTAGCTAGCATACGATCTTGACCATCCTAACTGCAGGTTCATAATCTGAAACTGCATATATCCTGTTCCTACCTCTAAGGGAGTGGTGCCCGACGCGTGATTTATAATTATTCTGTACTTCAGACGCGTGTGGGTGGGCGTGGACTGGCGGAGGAGAGCAGGAACAAACCTGGAAACTTCTGGGGGGTTGCGCTTAGAAGCACGGCCGCTACGCCATACATTGCAGCGTTATTCGTCGCTTACTAGGTATTGCTGTGTGAAAGAATTGAAAGAACCTTGGATTGATGGGTGACAGGCCGGGGAAGCCCTGGCAGCGGGCGGGACTGCGTCACCCTTCGGCCCACCTGCTTCGAAATGCGGATTCTCGTATGAAGAGCCTCCCAATCACGGGGAGCACGACGTCGTTCATCGTGCGTTTCATCGTCTTTTCCCTCCAGTCATCAGTCAGTAGTGGACGGCAGCAGCTCAGTCCAGTCCAGTGCAGTCGAGAAAGATATCCGCGCTCCGCTCCGGCTTCTGCTCACAATCCAACCCACCACCACCACCACTACTACCACCACCATCTCCACCACCTCCATCACTACTCCTGTTACCACGTCTCCCATCCTTCAGCTCTCTCCCAATCTCCTTTACGCACATCCGTAATCTTTATTCGACTCTCGTCTCTCTCTATCCGCCGCCTCTCGACTCTCGAACATCCCGTGGGACGGCTCCTCCGCATTTCTCTTCGCCAGGTCTGACGTCTGCTGCCCTTTCAGCAACGTTCACCTGTATATTCGTCCTGCGCGTGCAACCTAATCACTTCGGCTCCCATGCCTAGATCGCCATCCGTACAAAGCATCAAACCTTTGCTCTCTTGGGTTACTCAAAATTCAGCACGCTGCAGCTTGGAAAACTGATCTTGCCGCATCGACTCTCCCACCTCAGCCGTCAACAGTCGAAAAATCTCAACGGAGCTGCGGCAGTGTCATTCGGCTCAGGACGCCCGCACGACTAGCAAGCAACGCAGGATCCAAAACGTCATTGTACATCGCACTGCGACGGTGTCTCGCACTCTGCTGGCACCACATCCAGAATTGTCGAAGCGTTATAATTACATGAGAAGTTGCAACAGACAATAGGAGGAAAATCGTCGAGGATACAGGTGCACCCGACTACCTACGCCTTTCTCCCTCAACAAGCGGAGCAAGTCCTCCAAAATAATTCATAATGGCACCCAGCAAAGGCGTGGATTATACGCTGAACCTGGACGGTCTACCACAGCTCGGCCTTGCACAAACCCGTTCGGCCAATACTTCACAAGCGAATTCGCCCGGGGAGACGCCTGCTGGCTCAGGTCTCCGGTATCCACTAGGCAGTGGTCTCGCAGGCGTGGCAGCACAATCAGCCATCGGAAGGAACGGAGCTGGATCTCCGTCGAAGGAATATGGGAGCCGCTTGTTCCCCAAAAGGTATGTAGATAAGATGCGAAATGGGCCAGGCGTAGCTGACATCCACAGGGCTCGTGAAATTCAGCAGCAGGAAGGGCTTTCGCCGCAAATATGGGGCCCGCCACCGACTGGCAGTGGTCATTCTACGCCTTTGCGGGAGACAATCCCCGAGTCTCCTGGCAGCGACAGTTTCCCGGACTTTGATGCCGATCAAACAGGTCTGGGTACCAGTGTGCTAGACACGCTGCCACGGCGGACTCGGGCTGGCACAGTCCCATCAAGATTTCCAGCACCTCATTCTCTGGGAAGCTCGCAATCATCGGCGACCCGATCGGCTCGTGTTACACCTGTGCCAAGTCCTTTCCAAGGTGGTTCCCCACATAGCCTTCATGAGCCTCAGGGAATCAACGTGCTGCCTGCAAGCAATGCGACCCTGCTTTCGCGCCTGCGTGCAGGTTCTATGCCTCAGCGCAACAGCATTCTAGGCGGTAATAACCCATTTGGAAACTCAGTATTCATGAGCAACTGGACACCGATCAGAGACCGCGCGGATACCTTGCAAAGTATCAGGTCGTCTGAAGGTCCATCGTCGCCGAGAGACGGTCCAGTTGAAGGTGACGTGCGCACCTTGGACTATTTGGGACTCGTTGACACGCCACAATCAGCTCGCCCAGCCGGCTTGTCTCGATCGGATCTTGAAGCGCTCGTAAGTCAGCAAAGAGCCACAAGTGGAATGACTATTGCAGATCTCGCATCGCATAATGCGTTCATCAACAAGAACACTGCAAACCGATTTCGATCGTACTCGGTGAACGCAAAGGAAAAGTACGCCGACGTTGACGACGATGATTCGGATCCATACGACGGACAACAAATATACACAGATGAGGCTGCCGCGCAGGCCGCGGCGATACACGAGGCTGTCCGTCAACACAACCTTGACGTGCAGGCTTTCGCCAACTTCGCAAGTGCTAATCGTCCACGAGCGCGAACTGCCGGAGTGTTGGACTCACCATTGTCTCGAGGAATCCGCAATCAACAGTTGCCTGGGCCTTCTAGACTAGAGAGCAGCATCACAGCAGCAGATCTTCAAAATGAGATCGAATCTGATTACACCGGGTTGGCGCATGCCGTGCACACAATGAAGCTCGCTCCCAAAGGCCCTTTCGAGGCTGCCCTGGACCCAAATAACCTCGAAACTCCCACAAGAGCACTTTGGCTTGGCAGCATCCCTCCCTCCACTACGGTATCTTCATTGAACGTCATATTCGGACCATTCGGACCAATCGAGTTCGCCCGTGTCCTTACCCACAAAAGCTGTGGTTTCGTCAATTTCGAAAACGTTCAAAGCGCCATCGCTGCCAAAAATCAGTATAACGGCAAGGATATATTCCCTGGCAGTGGACCCATTAGAGTGGGCTTCGCAAAAGAGCAGAGCGCTTCAAATACACCTGGTGCAAATGGGGCCTTCCCATCGCCAAGCCCTGATCCGTTTGCGACAAAGACTCGTTCCGACGATTCTGCTCTCAGAACATCAGCGCTGCCGGTCGACGTCAATGCACAGACGGCAGCTGCTGCGCTTGTCACTCCGAGACTTGCTGATTTGCAGGAAGAAGTTTTCAGCATCGTACAGCAGTTCGGCGCGACTGCCGATGATCATCCTAGCATCGCAGAGAAACTCAATGCTGCTGTGAGCTTCAACGATTTCGTTGCGGAGATTCCCGTTGTTGCAGAGCCAGGTCACACTCGCGTCCATGATGCTCCGCGCCTTCGCGAAATTCGAAAGCGCATAGACAACAACTCCTGCAGTCCAGCCGAAATTGAAGGCATTGCCATCGAGATGATCCCCGAGATTGCTGAGCTCTCCTCCGATTATCTCGGCAACACCGTGGTGCAGAAGCTGTTCGAGCATTGTACCGAAGAGACCAAGGAAGCAATGCTCACAGAGATTGCCCCACACCTGGCGGAGATTGGCGTGCACAAGAATGGTACATGGGCAGCACAAAAGATTATTGATGTGGCCCGCACCGAGAAACAAATGCGTCTTATTGCAGACGCGCTCCGGCCGCACAGCGTCAACCTTTTCTTGGACCAATACGGAAATTACGTCATGCAGTGTTGCCTGCGCTTCGAATCACCCATGAATGGATTTATCTTCGACACCATGCTCAGCCGGCTCTGGGATGTCGCTCAAGGCCGATTTGGCGCCCGTGCTATGCGTGCATGCTTGGAGAGTCATCATGCCACGAATGACCAGAGGAGGCTCATGGCTGCAGCGATTGCGTTGCATAGTGTGCAACTCGCAACAAACTCCAACGGCGCGCTACTTTTGACCTGGTTTTTGGACACATGCACATTTCCGCGACGACGATCTGTCCTCGCACCGAGACTCATTGCGCACCTCGTGCACCTCTGCACGCACAAAGTGGCGTATCTAACGGTCTTGAAGGTCATTAATCAGCGCGGTGAGCCGGAGGCCCGCGATGCTATCCTCCGTGCTCTGTTTTTCGACGAGAAAACGCTTACAGACATTGTCAACGATCATTCCTGCGGTGCTACGCTCATCTTCAAAGTCTTGACAACCCCTTTCTTGGATGAAAACATCCGCTCCGAGTGCATCGAGAATGTCCGCAATGTTTTGCTTCGTATCAAGGCGCAGCCTTCTCAAGGCTACAAGCGCCTCATGGATGAAGTTGGCCTCTCAACTCGCCATGGCGCGACCCCGGTGAGCCACGAAGGACGTTCGAACAATGTTACAGTGCCGGCAAACGGCGCCGTCGCACACATGGACGCCACTCCTTCCGCGTACAACGGTCAAGGTTACGCTGCGGCCGGTCCACAGCACCCATCCATCAACCAAGGCGTGAACTCTCACGCGCAGCGCTCGACAAGCATGGACTCGAGCTTCGATCCTTATATCAATGGCTACACCCACAGTCCCTCAATGTCGCACAATGGCATGACACCGACCTCGGCCGTGCAATATCCGTTACAGCAGGCCCAGCCTCAAATCTCTCGAAATGCAGGCTTCTATCCCAACCAGAATGGCATGCAAATGCATTCTGGATTGCCATACGCCAATAATCCACCAGTGCAACATATGATGGACCCATATCGTCAGAACATGGCTGGTGCACCGATCGCGCCTCCTGGTATCGTTGGGCAAACCGGCTACCAACAACCAGCTTACGGAAATGCTATGATGGGTATGAACAACACTTTGAACAATGGCTACGGACAATACCAGAACCAAATGCCGCAATACTATCAGCAACCGCCAATGCAGAGCATCGGTCAGCAAAGACGAGGTCGGGTAAGCTCACACCACACTGACGAAATTCTCCTGAAAGTCAGAACCGAACACTAATATCTCCGCTTTCTTCGCAGCGCTGAACGTTCTCGCGTAACAAACCTCAACCCTTGTGAACAGCCAATCCGACGCTACCCAAGACTTTCCAATGACGAGCACCACGTTCTTTGCAGCATATTCGTATTCTATTTTAAGACCTATGATTATTCTTTCATCCCTTGTCGTTTCCAAACAACACGTTCTCATCCACCCGGCGATGCGATGGTCCTTACTGAAATGCAGCCCAGGAGTTTCCGTAAAAAAGACGGAAGGAAAAAAGGGGTGTCCCCGCATAGAGAAATCCATTTTTTCTTCTGATGTATCATGTTGTTTGATTATTTGATCATTCGCTCACGCGGCTGCTGCTGGTGATCCTGTGGACTTTCCCATTCTTTTCTCCCTGTCTGTCTGGTGGGCGTTTATTGATCGCGCGGCGTGTGGCTCGAGCGAATGATCTTGCCAGATGGGTGACATGGAAGGCAGGCCGGAGTGCACGCGTTTGCAATTTTCCTTCGGATAGCGGGATCTGGCGTCTCGGCGGAATGAATGGCGTTGGCGATTGGTTCATAGAACGGCGCTGTGGTTTCACAGCGTGCTGGGTGGTCCCGATGGTACCTTTTCTGGATATTCTGTACGCTTTACTCATTTCTCGACCTCGTGCCTTGAAATCGTCTTCACCCGTATGGCTTCTCGCCGACATTGCAAACTCGTTGTTCCATTCCATCGTGCTCGAGCCAGAAAGCCGCGCGACGATGTCATGGATTTGAGTACAATCCATCATGGACAAATAAATAACCCCTCCCTTACATGTTACAGTGTGTGATCGCCTTTTTCTTGACCATCTTCGTGTACGCTGCTGGGCTCGGGGAACCTCATGTACATGTCACGCACTTTCGCATTTCAAAATCGGTACGATTTGGGGGAAAGAGTATCATTCGCCTGATGTTCCAAACGTCTCGACTATATTTGCGCGCTGAGGTCAATTGTCTCACATATTTCTCGGCCCTCGCAACTCACGCTTGCGAACGCGAACCCGCTTCGATCCCAGCTCGCGATCAAAAAGATCGACGTCCATGTCGATCTCATTGGTGAGCTTGTGCTTGGCTTGTTGTATAGCCTCGAGAACATCGTTTATCTTCGTGGTGGTGTGCTGTGAAGTGGCTTTGACGAAAGTATCAATGGCGACTTCGTTTGCCATATACACGGAAGTGAAGATGGCGTTGTCTACCATTTCGTCTTCGAAGTATGAATTCGTCTCTTCACCGAACAGATCATCTGCGACCACCTCAGTCTTGGCAGTCTGCTTGTGTACAGTGTAGACACTTTTCGATAACCATCCGATCTTGGATTTCGGCGGGATGCCATCATAGAATGTTCTCAGAAAACGTTTCGTGCGTACACGAAGCGCCCCTACGCCAAGGTTGAAAACCGTGCAAATCAGCTCTCCATCGCCGCTCGTCTCATGCTTAAGTGTCCAATCAGGGCCATCGGCGAAGCCCGGCTTTACGGGATCATGTCTCAACGCCTCCTTGATGACGGCCTTGTTGCTTCGACACAGACTATCGTAAGTTCCGCAGAGCATCCAAGCAGAGTCTCCTGCATTAATCGCTTCTTGTACATTTGTTGCATCGGCGCTGTAGTGCTCTTGACGTACGACCTGATAAGCATAATGGCAGAAGTCTTCTGGACACAATTCCGAGGGTTCTGGGCTCTCGTCTTTGGCAACCAGTTGACGAGTCGAAGTATCACAGTCTTTCTCCGTGTCTGAAGCGATCGATTCGAGAGCGTTGATATCTGCAAAAATCGTTTTCCCACCTGTTGTTGCTCGCGAGTAAGGCCCAGTCTCAGTCTCCAAAGAGTCTGCTATCCTGTGGACGGCAGTGCAGGAAATCTTGCCTGCCCCAGACAGCATAGGAATCCCTCCACTTTCCACTGGGCCACTTCGCAAGTGTTGTCCCTTGTTCGTCAAGTGCTTTGATCCTCGAGATGCCTTTACAAGTGCGTTCACTTTTTGCTTTGCCTCAACGTCCCCTGAGGCGACCTTGTCCAGCAGCGGAATATTGTCAGACATTCCAGCATCCCGTAGAGCGTTCTTCACTTTAGTAAGGCGTTTGGACAAGGATTTTGCATCTTTCCGATCAAACCCATGTTTCTGACGCTGCTCCAGTACCCACGGCCAGTCGTGTCCAGCATCACGCCATCGTAGCACCAGAATGTCTTGGCTATGAATGGCCACCCCAGTATACGACGTTCTCTTAGCATGCGGGTTTTGGTCGACATCCCTAGAGCTACCAGAGTCTCGCTGAATTGACGCCGCCTGTGTTGGGGGCATTTTTGGCATACCTTGTGTCGCACTGGGCAATTTAGTTGCGTCAATGCCACCAATGACTGCGCCTTTCGTAGATAGTTCATTCGTCTGTACTAGCGCAGCTTCACCATTCCTAAGATCATTCTGTTGTGTGAATGGTTCTGGATGAATGGCATTAGGCCTCTGCCATTCAGGTGCAATTGAATCAGACACATCGGGCTTTTGACAAACTGCTGGCTCGCTGTAAGACTTAGGAGCATTGCTGTCGAGCGATATTGTAGGTTCACTACCATGACTCGTGCCCGAGGGCTCATCACGAGGATCTCGACCTGGCGTTTCGGTCGAGTCTGGGGTTTCCGCTTGCTCGTCGTTGCACGAATCAACAGACAGTGAGGTTGTTGGTGTGCCCAGGCTTTCGAACTGACCAACTTCCATGCTCTGCACAAGCGCATTTTGGTGGTCTTCAATATCATTGTCTGGATATTTAGAGTTCGGCGACGATGCTGTCGACAAGGACAAAGTTCCTCCCAAATGCTTCGAGTTCTGAGAGTCGGGCAAATTTTGGAATGGCCAGCCGAGCATGCTGCCCATGTTTACACAGAACCGATCATCGATCGTTTCCACTTCCCAATGATTGAATCGAACACAGATCTTTCGAGAGTTCGTGTATTCTGCCACGTCCATCGTTAACTTATGAGGATAACGAGCAATTATTTCTCTGCTAATAGAGGCCCGCAAGTGCTTGCCCAACTATCATAACCAATTTGTTCAAAATGTCGTAAAATTCCACGTCGGTAAAGGTACAGTGTACTTGTCGCTTTGAACCAGGGTGTGTTGAATCAGACAGTATAGCGGCATCTGAAGATATTCCGAGGGCCATGCAAGTGGACATCGAATGGATTTGTAATGATGTCTGCGAGTAGTGCTAGGAATTCGTGAAGGGTGATTTGCAGACCACGGCGCGAGGCCTCCGTCAGGTGCGTGATATGAAGCGACGGTAGACCGCGTCGATGTGTGTTGCAGTAGGTCGATGTGTCGAGAGATGTTGAATGCCGCCCTTGAGAATATGAAGGTAGATTGCATGTGACAGTGGCAGTCGCGGACAGTGTGTTGACGCAAAAAAGTATGGACATTGGACCTTCGACCGGGCTTTGTCTCGAGACCAGATACCGCAACCAAGGCCTGATTTGAGCTTGTAACGCGAGTCCCATGAAGTGTTCTTGGCTAGTGGTTGTGCAAGCTTGATCTGGTTGTGAGTTTGGAGTGACAATACAGGCTGTGAATTTGATCATCGGTCATTCTCGGCGCTCAGCTCGGCCATCAAGCCCCCGACATTTCGGCGTTTCTCGTCTTCCTCGAGCCTCGTCCTCACCAGCTTATCAAGCATCTTTGCCTTTTCTAGGACCGCATTCGTGCATGCCAAAATACTGACGCCATCGATTGGAGTGCCACCGAACTTGGCGATTTGACACACTTCGCCAAAGCGATTGAGCGAAACAATGATCTCACCCTCTCTGCACTGCTCTTCCAGCAGCGTCGCATCGTGGAGCATTATCGAGCCATTCTCGTAGTACGAGGTTGTGACGCAGAACGGTTGGTGTTGCATTTGCAACTTGACCGGCTCTCGTTCTGTGCTGGCGAAAATCGTAACCTCCTCGCCGTGAATTTCTACGTCAGGTCTTCTGAAATGAAGGAGCGCTGAAATGAGAGCGAGGCATGTTGCGTCTATGATATTCCCATCGTGGTCGAGAATATGTACATCAGCACGAATGTGGAAGCACTTCGACCCAGCAATGATACACAAGCTTTCAGTATCGAGTGCGCCAGAGCGACGGATCGTCTTCTCAAGGAGACGAGAAAGAATAACTTCCGTTTGATCCTGCCTGTGGAATTGTTCAGCACATAATTTAGGGATTGTACTTCAATGGATCGCGAGTGCTCACCGTCCGACTTCAAAAGCAGGACTGGCAATTGGGCTCAATTCCGAAGCTATTGTGAATATACCGTCAAACTTGCGATCGGTGTATGGAACTACAACTTCGGCCGATATTTTTACAAGCACTCGTGTCTTGCCTATGCGAACGTCTGCAACTCCGTACTCGTCGCCAAATGCCAAGTCGATTGATCGAAATTGATCGAAAGCTCGGCCATCGAGCCTTACATCCTCTTTCAATGCAGACAAGAGGAACTCTCGCTCGTTATTTGAGATCTCAGCTTCGCGTGGCATGTTGAGGCGGATGTGATGTTGTGATTTTCGGTGCTGTTGAATTTTCGAGGTCGACGGTACGTCAAAGTTCATCGCATGTGAAGATCGTCAGGTGCACGTGCCTGCCGTAGAGAGGCAGGATACATCCATTCCTGGGGCAAGTTGACCTGTTTTGTTTGCAAGAACAATTCACACCGGACATCACTCAAGCTGCTATAATCATACTCATATTTGAGCGATACCATGACGACCGCACATAGACCCACTTTCGATCCCGCGCGAGGAAAGGAAGCCGCCCGTGGCGAAGCATATCATCAGCGCCTGTTGCCTGCGCATAAAATCCTCAAATTTCGTCAAGCCACTCAAGGCGCGCCAGACGAGCAAGCTCGGCGTAATTTGCGCGCTGAGCTCCTCCGAGCCGAGGCAAAGCATTATGCGAAAAAAGAAGGACGCGAATACATTGAGGAAGAATCGATTGATGTGCCATCGAAAACGCTGCAGCTCGAAGATGGTCCAGCGTCTCCCGGAGGCACGAAGCGGAAGCTGGTAGACGGGACTTCAGGATTTGACAATTCCGAAGGCTTCGAGCCAGAGGAAGATTACGAGGCGAAGAAACGGCGCGTACTAGAGGAAACTCGGGACATCGACGCAGATTCAGAGTCGTCAGAAGAGTCGGATGAAGAAGAGTCGGAATCGGATGAAGAGTCGGATGATGAAGAAGCAGAATTACGTCGTGAGTTGGCTAAGATAAAAGCGGAGCGTGCAGAGGCCGCTGCGAAAGCCGCTGCAGAACAGGAAAAGAAGGATCAAGAGCAACGCGAGAGGGACATAGCGCTGGGAAATCCACTACTAAACCCACAAAAGGAGGACTACGGTGTGAAGCGTCGATGGGACGATGATGTGGTTTTCAAGAACCAAGCTAGAGGAACGGACGAGCGTGGCAAGGAGAAGCGCTTTGTGAACGACCTTCTCCGCAGTGACTTCCACCGCCGATTCATGGACAAGTACGTTCGTTGATATTGCTTCGACTATACAACAGCCTCCAGGAGGGAGTGCGAGCTATGTATTCTGCCCATTGGCGAGTCATTCGTGGGATCACAGTTTGGTGGTCGGACTTTGAGGTACCAATGTCAATGCGGGCTGGACGTCTCAACAAGAAGGATTCTAGCCGACTTACGCCGCCCACGCCCTATCGTTCTTCAAGTATTCATCGAACCAAGCCACGGCCTGAACAAATGCAGCCTCCTTGGCATACTTCACCTCCTTCTTGGAAATATCACCGCGCACAGCGAACCCATGTTCGACAGAGCTGTAGAGCGTGATTTGGTACGGGATCGTCATCTCCTTCAAGAGATCCTCGGTTTGGCGGCGCTTCTCTGCTGGGAAGATTGAGTCGGTTTCTGCAGCCTCGTATCAGCATAGGTCGAAAGTCACTTTGTTTTGGAGCATTTCCTTACCGGCAGCGGAGATTGACAGCGGGCCTGTCAACGCCTTGATTTCCTCGACATCAACGAAGCTGGGATGCGCCATGTAGCCAACATCGACACCTTTGCCGCCTGTCATGAAGCGCGCAACGTATTTGGCACCGAAGCAGTATCCGACTGCTCCAATCTTTTTGACACCTTGGTTGGTCTTCATGTCCTTGATCACAGCCTCAACGATCGGATCAGTTTGAGCTGGGCCATGACCACCGCTGGGCCCGCTCGATTTTAGCCACTCCATAAAGTCAAAGCCCGGTGGGTTGTTAAGACGGATCGGGTCTCCCTCGAACAGATCGGGCACGACAACGTAGTAGCCATTGGCGGCAAATTGGTCCGCGATCAGCTGAGCATTGATGAAGTTGTATCCAATCACATCTGTGAGGAGCAAGATGGCGATCTCGGTCTGCTTGGATTCGGGATAAGCGAAGTATGTATCAACTGCAAAGGCCGAAATGTAAGTTTGACATTTAACGTGTATTTGATGTTTTGCAAAGGTGCGCGCGTACTGTTGCCAATCTTCTTCGTCTCGCCCTTGGCTGATCCTTCGTGGGTGACACCAATGGTGCAGCACCTCGCTGGTGGGTTGGATGCCATTGTGTTCGAGTGGTTTGCTTTGATTCAATTTCGACTTGATTCAAGGATGAGGAGGGAGCCTTGGAATTCTGGAATGTGATTCTCTCAAAACATGACGGACATGATGCAATATATACTAGATCGTCGCATACCGTAGCTGGGGCTCGGTTCTCAAAATCGAGCTGACAGGCCCTACGTAATCCCAACAGCCATGGAGTGCAATGTAGGAATAGTCGCCCCCACTAGTCCCCTCCTCCTCGCCATTTTTATGTCCCTTCTCCGATTATGTCCGCCCTCCGACGGTTTTATGCCCAGGTGAGCAGCGATCTCGCAATGCTCAGCGCATTGTCCACGACGATCAATACTGAAGAAATGTACAGAGTGAAAATGTCGGTCTTTGAGGAAACGCTACGGAAGTACATCCCGATAAACCCTGATCGGCGTTCATCGAACCTAAGGTTGAGCGAACTGCCACGGTCGTAGCGCAAAAACATCATACTTTGAGAAGCCATCTGAAGCCTTCAATCGTGTCCATGGGCCATTGTCGCGAGGCTTTCAAATCTGGTAGCGTCAAATAAAAGCAATGCGGTAGCCCGGGATAGAGATGAACTTTCGTAGCGATCCCGTCTTTCTCCAAAAGCTCGTTGAATAGAAAGCTTTCATCACGGCTGGCATCCAGCCCGCAGATTTGGAAGTATGTTGGCGGCAGGTGCTTGTGGTTGTCTTCTGTCGGCCAAACCTGTCGTTGAAGTCAGCAGGATGATCGAGCGATGCACATGTCCTTCGCGTCTTACCATCGGCGCGTATAATTCGGATGTAGTATCGGGTTTAAGACATTGCAAGAAAAGCTTTTGCATGTCTGCAGAGAGCAAAGGATCGCTGCGCACTTCTTCCTGGTTCCGACTCAGGAGCCTCATGTCGTACTCGTCGCCGAGTTTGTGGCCATCAATCAGTCGACAAGAACCGCAACTATTCCAGAGGCCGGTCAACGGAGGCTCGAGCTTTTCGTCGCGCGCGAGATGGCTTAACACTACTGAGATCGTCGCGCCAGCAGAGAAACCGCCGATGATGAAACTTGTACGTGGATGAGCTTTTAGTTCTCCAAGTGCGTTCTTAGCAATCCACTTTAGACTGTCCCAGCAATCATTGATCCCGCAGGGAAATGGATATTCTGGAGCAAGGCGGTAGGCCGGAGCAGCGACTACTGCGTGGAACTGCTTCACGAGTACCCTTGCGATTTGTGACATCTGTGTTGGACTTCCCATAGCGAATCCGCCGCCGTGGTAGAGGACTATTAGTGAAGGTTCCGCCTCCTGCTGTAGGCCATCCTTCATGCGCCAAATGCGAATTCGAATCTTGTTTCCATCCCGCCCAGTCGCATAGAGATCTGTCTCCGTAACCAATGGATCTAGCTCATCCATTTCCTCAGTCAGAGACGTGAACATGCGAAGTCTCGAGATCGCAACATCTTGCTCTAAGGTGTCAATGCTCGAGGGTGGCCAGAATCTCCTGATCTGTATCTTCACATTCAGCCTGGACTGTGATTGTGATGTGTACGAAAGTATCGTACCTCTTCGTATTCTGGATCTGGTTTGGCAAGGGCAAGGATATCTTGCACAGACATCTGTGAAAAAGGTAGTGTTGGGGCAGACATGATGGCGCAGATGACCAATGCTTTCGCTTATCGTTGCAGCGACTTTGCTTGCTGGAATCTGTATGACCAATGGACATCAAAGAGGCGATAATTTCCAGAATCTATCGGATTCACAAGGCGAACAAGCTGACTCAATTCGCGGAGTATGCAGCTTGTAATAAGCTGGAGAGCGTGCATGCCGAAAAGCCCGGGAACCTTGGCGGAAAGACGCCGGAGCTTTATGGCTTCACGAATCGATGTAAGCGATCGACAAAAAGTCTCCGCATTGCCATTGCGCATGATGTACGGCAAATCAGTGTTGGGGTGCACAGTACTTGGGCAAATATTTGCATATCGTATTCGTCGTGCGTGAAGCCAACCACGGCACACGCTCCACATTCATCTGGTGAGGTGCAAGCTCGTTCGGCACAAACGGTTGCGCGGTGAAATGCAGTATTCGCCAGCGTTCTCGGACGCGTGCTCTACAGCGAGCATGCGTTGAATTGTCGTGCTGCTGTGATTTGGCCTGGCGCAAGTAGTCACGAAAAATGTGCACAATGGAATGAAGCCAATGCTTTTGTCACTCTGCTGATTCATGCTTGATTGACGTCGCGGATGCGGCCTTCTTATCAACAGGAGAAGGGCTGAATCCGCTGGGAACACCTCTCGCAGGTCTGCCCATGTCTCCATACGCAGGACCGACCCATGCGCCGAGGAGGCTGCTCCACGAGCAGCCGCCAGCTAAGATCCGTTGGATCAGTTTGTATGATTGGAGGTCTGCGTAGGGTAGTCCGGTCTTCGGATCTTTGAACTTTGCTGGCCAGCTTGTCAGGGCACATCTAGTCTTCGTGGGCGCCGGTGGTAGTAGTTGCTCTGCGCCACGCTTGCGCATCTTGGCGGTGAGATAGCGAAGCTCCTCAGACGTAAATTCCGGGTATGCGATTGGAGCTAGTGTCGAAGCAAGAGGTGTTGGGCCCACAAAAGTTTCTTTGCCCGCCTTTGCTGTGGAGCGTCGGATTGTTGTTATGGGATTTTCCAAGTGAGAGAATTGCTCTAGGATGAGTAGTGACCGCTGTGCCTGCTCCTCTATCACTGGTTCAGATGGTACAGTAGGCATTGATGGATTCGAATTTCTAGCTGAGTTGTGCTGCGGATCGGGCGGTGGACCTGTCTCATCAAATGAACCGGTCGACCAGTGGATTGCGTCGCCATGCAGGATCGGAAAGCTTGGGGTATAAAGCTGAGGCGGAGCAGCCAGCGACTGTGAAGATGAGTCCTCGATCTTGGTTGGAAGCGACTCTGACCCTGATTGCTGAGACGCATACGCATGTACTCCGTCCAGTAGCGTCTGCGGTTGTTGCTTGTCCAAATCACTGGAGTGCGCGTCCGCAGCCAAGGGTGCAACGTTCTCTTTTTTCAAATCAGTCGATTCCACAGGCGTAGGCTCCGCCTGTATCTGGGTCGGCACTACAGCCGAAAAATCATCTGTTGCTGATGCGGACGCGGTAATCGTATTAACATGCGGGATAACACCTTCACCGGCAACAGGGGCTGTAGCAGGTGTAGTTTCTGTTGGAGCTGGAGTTTCCGTGATATCAACCATCATCGCATCGTCGGTATTGTGGGCGTGTTCGCCTTCAAGCTTATCAGGCGTCTCGTCTATACCCTGTTGGTGTCCATGCATGCGCCCGATTTTGATCTGGTCACCCGCCCACAGTACGCTTCCACTCCAAAATTTGTGGATCGGTCCCTCTATTCCTCGTTTCCTCTTTGCCGCCAACTGTTCGTCTCTTATGCGCTGCCTCTCAGCCTCTTCGCGCTCCCAACGGCCGAATTCACGAGCAGTCTCTTTCTCCACCCTCATAGCTTTGGCCATACGCTCCTCCTTCGTCAGGTCTACACGCCTCTTCAACTGCTCGCGCTCCTGAGATTTCTGGGACTGCGTCTTTTGCTTCTCGGACCGTGCTGCGGACTCCTTCAGACTTGCATTCGTCATTTCCCGATTGTGCACGGCAGACGCTCGGCTAGACTGCCTCGTGGGTCCATCGAAATCCGCGGGAAGCCAGCCAGCTCGATCAGCCTTCTTCTTCGGTCTTGCCGATGCTCCATCTTCGGTCTTTGCATCATCCGCGAGTTTCACTCGTTTGTTACTCCTTTGCCAAGCTGGAATGCGCATTCGAGCAGCCTGCATGCGCTTTATCTTCTTAGCCTCAGCTCGTTCGGCACGCTTCAACTCTTTCTCCCCGTCCAAATCGTCTTGATCGCCATCCTTTGGTGGGCCGCCGTCCCCCTCATCGCTGGACGAGTCCATAGCCTCATCATCGTCACCCTGGTCCGAGCCTTCGTAATCGCCGACATCCTCCTCATCTTCAGCTAGCAATTCGTTTTGAAGTTCCTCGTCGTCAAGATTCTGCCGGAGCGTCGCATAAAGATTGCCAGCCGTCGAGCGTTTGGCTCGTGTGGCGATCAAGCCAGTGGTGCTGAGATCATCGCGCTCAGACTCAGAGTCTGATCGTTCATCGTTCGACATATTAATTCGCCAGGCAGTGGAGCTCAATTTAAAAACTCTGGTATTGGATAGACATGCGGCAGAGATGGGACAGTGATGCTGCCGGTGAGCGCATCGAGCAGGCTGTTTGGCGAAGAATTGAACGATGAATTGGCGGACGCGCAGTGGAGACGCGCATGATCGTACTTTTCCAGCTTGACCAAAATGACATACCCCAGTTCTTATCTGATGGGCGGAGCTGCGGCCCGAATCGCATCTCGTGCCGCTCACTCCCAAATGCGCCTGCAGGTACAGCTTGGAGATCAAATCATTTGGGATTCAAGAGCCATGTGCTTCTTCCGAGATCAACACAGCCACACAATAATCACGTGGAATGATAACTACACGTGCGAGCAGCAACGGTGGTTGTCGTGCGGCTGCTCAAATTGCTCAGAGCCGCTGCCGCATCATTGCTTCGATCCTTCAGCATCATCGCTCGTCAATTTGTGGCTACGCTGATTGAACGAACAGGCGATGCAACGAGTATTCCACCGCGACCATGCTACAGTGGGGTCTATTGTGCCCACTACTAATGACGACGCATTGTTTGATGAATGTGATGGACGACTACAATGGCAGTCTCCAAACGGAAACGCAGTATACGCACACCTTCGGGGATTGGACTCCGTGGCTTGCTGGTGGTCTCGGCGTGCCAATGTCTCTGCCTCATGGCTCTTCAATGCCGTCATGGATGAGCATATCTTCCATCGTCACACAGGTTTGCTTTGCTTATCTCCCCAGGGAATTCTAGACCAACCTCCCAAGTCGGTACTGACAGCCACGCGACATGTCTATTCGCCTAACGCTTGGCGTCGCATGGGACCAAGGTCTTGGCACAAGCCATTTCCGGTGCTCTGATCGGACAGACATCCCCGGACAAACATCGAGACCATCGGGCCAAATCGACGTACGAAGGGAGAAAAGAAGAGCGGAAAGCGAATTCCGAATGATACACGATATTGGAAACACGGGTTGTGGTTCGAGCTCGTCGACATTTCAAAAGTAGGTTCAGTGGACATCATTAATGTACTTTAAATTGACAATACATAGTGCGATCCATCCATCCATCGAACGTATAGTACAGGATTATTAGTATTTGGCGGCAAATGCGCTACCCCACAATACAAAACGCCGTAGATCCGGCCAAAAGGCAGCCCTCGGGCTTTCTGGCAATTCCCGAGTCTTTGCAATCTAGTACCACATCTCTACATATTGATACAAATCATGCGTGCATGATTGTGGACTCCTCGTTGCTTATTTGGTGGCTTATGCACCAGTTATCTCGAATGGCTTCAGAGACTGGAATTGAATCCCGGTCCGTGCTCGTCGATATTGTTGCTCGCGGGAAAGCAAGCTGCTCTGTGCTTTGATGATGGAGAAAGCCGAGATGCCCGCGGAATTGCCTGATACTATGGTGTCCTCGTAATTGTGTGATGAGAATCGTGGCATGCCAGCGAAATGCCGATGGTATATGCTGCCGGGGGAGTGTCAAATGTATGACGTATTCGCTTTGTGACGACCATTGTGTGTGCTTGAGTCATCATGTTGAGTCGCTTGTGCTTTGAAGTGGTTGATGTGTAATGCGCTTGCACTTAACAAGTAGGCGCTTGTAGATTGTCTCGTCTGACATGATTATGTTGTGCTGGCGAGGCGCAATAGGCAGGGTTGTGGCGAGCAAGTTGATGTCGATCGATGAAGTGGTGGAGGAGTTGCTGCTCCGTCGGCTTAAGGGCTTGTAGAACTGCATGTTGGCTGTTGGTTGGGAGAGATCTTCTGAAATACGACGAGTTCCACTGCGATTTGAATGATTTCGACGGGATACGTAGAACGCTTGTGATGTTTCTGAAAATCTGACGGAATGGACAGGACTGTGACTTAAGTATACTCGCAGATGAGCAGCAGAGTGCTAAGACACCGACGTATGTATAGACGGGACCACGAGTGGGAATAGGGCACTAAAAACCCCAAGACCTGGAGGATTGCTCGGACAGTGGCTTATCGCCGAGCAGCAAGAACGCCATAGCGCCATGGCGCATCTCGATTCCCATGTCTCGTGCATGACCATCTGGAGTTATCGGCATCGAATTGCGCTATCGCAGCCGGGTGACAGCAGGCAGCCTGGGTTGATTTGGTTCATCGAGCGGGAGTCCGGCAACGCCGGATTCAGCGAATAGCCTCTCACAGGGTCATATTTGTGCTCCATACTTCATACGCGTCACCAGCTTTCTCCGCACAGCGGTTTCATTTCGCCGGGGATGTGCCCCATTGTGATGGCTTTCTTGACATTGGTGTCGATGTTAGTCACTCGTCCGTCAACCGTGGTCTTCCAATATCTTAGGACCGTGCAAATTGGAACCATCGTTCTATCCAGCGCGAGAGCTATTATCATCACCTGAACAACCTCCGTGCTCTATGATTAGGTCCTGCTGATCGTGTGCGCAGGCACGGCAGGGATCTATTCGCTTGTGCGACCGTGCTACCGCCGAGCTTACGAAGAGGATGCATAATCGCCCATATCATGCATACTATGTCCGTTCTCAACACGAGGAGCAAAGCAGATGGGACTGCATATAGTCCGAAACACGAGAGGAATCAACTTGTCAACAGCGCGGCCTGCTTCACGGCCTTTCAAGAATGGCAGTGGAACGTCATGGCTGTTGTATACGCATTGCATAATTCATGTTTGGATGTTTCAGCCTGAGCGTGAATTGCAGCCACGCTACAGGTCTTGTCGTATAGCCATGGCTCGAGCTTGCGCGTGCTATGAAATAAATCGCTTCCAATCTGATACTGTGTGTTTGCGGGTGACGAGGGCCAGGGTGGAAATGGATGTCTCTGACTACCAACAGGGTGCAGTAAGACGGTGTGATGACACACTAGCCATGGATGCTGCGAACCTTCTGCTCCTGCTTTGCGAAGTTTTGAAGTATGACGAAGTCAAATTATATCTGCCCAGGTACCCAGGTGTTAATCCAAAGTGTCAATGAACCACAGCGGTTCCAGCGGGTCCATCCCCTGCCCCAGTGTGTTTGAATATGTCATCTGAGAATGAATGTTGTTCACTGCTAGGCCAACGCAACATACCTAGGTAACCAGCGTGCACAACATAATCGGCGTGCACATCATAACCACCCTGTCGAAAGCCTTCACTCTCCATGGGCATCAATCAGCGTACAAACATATCATGAACCATGCGGGTTCGCAGTCGATCACTGATCAAGTGCAAAACGCGACCGTCGCCGTTATTTCATCATCGGATCGACCAGCTGGAGCTCTCAACTTTTTGCCCCCGGCGGATCGGTCGGATTATCTCCGACTTGCACACAATTTACAGCGACGGCGAGTCGGCACTTGGCTGCCAATATCAACCATGAAGGTGCTCAAAGTTGTCGTCTGTGCCCAGATGATCTCCTGGTCGTTAATTATTGTAGATGTCTCGCAGTAAATCCTTTGTGTCGTTGTAACGAATCCACACGCGCAGGACGAACGCTTGCGATCGTCTCAGGTTTCTCCCTGGGAAATAAAGCTTTGCAATGGCTGCACGTCGCGCAAAAGATGGCTCACGCCCAGAATTGAGGGCGGAGACATGGGAAATGCAAAAAGAAATTGGATCGAACCTTGGCCTTGGTATGCACGCTGTTGCATGGCATTTATAGGAAGAGCCGAAGGCGGGGCTCGAACCCGCGACCTTGAGGTTGTCTCTTATGATAAGAGCCACACGCTCTACCGATTGAGCTACCCCGGCGTCTGAGATTGATGAGGAGGAGAATCCAGCTCGCTACATATAGCTCCTCAGTGGAGCCTCGTCTTTCGCATTGTCCCGTTCATCAGCGTAATCGTTAATCTAGGAACATGATGTCTGCTATTGGTGCTCTATTCGCAGTATCTTAAGCGGACAAGCAGTCGCGTAGAACAGCGATGACTGTTCACGCATCATTTTGGCGGGAAACTGCAGATCGGTGATCCTGAAGTTGTTCGACTCTGGAAGTGATTTGTGTCAGAAGGAGGTCGACTGGTGAAAATTCTTTGCACTCACGACAAGCAGATGTGAAGGTGTTGAAGGTGTCCCAATTTCGTACTGCTCCGGCAATGAGGACTTGGATGTCTGGTTTCATCTGGAACAGCATGCGCAGCGTTGCTACCAGCGCAGAGATGGCTTGCTTCTCATATGTCTGAGGCGTTTGATTGTCAGCAAAGTCGATCACAAAAAAAGAGATGCAATGTTGCTCCTCACAATATCAGCCCCTATCACCAAGTCATATGGCCAGGAAGCAAAATCCTCCTCGACCCAACTGCCAACAATGCCTCTGCCCCACCGAAATACACTAGACTGGAAATAGCTCTCGTCATGCAGTTCATTTAGGAACGCATTCTCCTTGAGCGCCTCTACCACACCCTCGTCACCATCAGTTGATGTGATATGTCTTGCTCCGAGGTGTTTGGCACAAAGCAGGGAGAGGAAGCCCGTTCCCGCTCCCAGTTCAAGGATGTTTTTATCTTTGACCAAGGATCGTCCCTCCTCTGTCAGAAGATAAGATCCGAGGTGTAGTGCAGCTTCCCAAGTCCTAAAGCCTGTGGTATTCGACCCAGATATCAAGTAACGTCGCTCCAATAGAGTGATTGTCGGCTCATCGTTAGACTCAGATTGACTTGACTCGCTTTCTCTGAGGCAAGTGAAGGTAACATACGTTTTCTGCTGTACAGCAGCGCTCTCGGTTGGAAGGTTTGAAGCTATCAATGTAGACAATCGTGTCATGAGGTCATCCGAGATGTCCTAGACAGCGTGGAGAGTATCAGATGTCGATGAGTTTCGAACACAAGTAATGAGTACCTTGGACTTGTCAGCACTTTGCAACATACATCTTCTTCCGGATCGCGAATCGAGCGTTCGATCTTCGTGACCAAGGGCTTAAGCACTCGGAACTGGTATCGCTCGGGGGGTAGTCTCGAGATTTGGTCAGTGTCGAACAGCTGCTCATATAGCCAACGCTGCACATCCTCTTCTTTCAGTAGGAGTGGGTCTGGCCATGCCAAAAAGTCAGGCTCGAGGCACTGCAAATATTGTCTCCGGAAGACGGCAAGACCGGCGTCCATCTTGGCTAGATTGATGCGAGATACACCCTTTGATGACAGTATGTACTACATCTAAATGATCAAATATCGATCACAGCTGTTAAGGTTGTGAACGCCCCTTGAGTGCTGCAAGCCATGGAGCCCTAACGATGTTGAAAGCCGTCCAGGCGCGGGCATAGAATTTGTTGAAGTATTAGGATTTATTGCCTCAGGCAATACATCTGCCAAGGCTCAGACCAGCCCACCAACGGAAAATCCGCATTGCTCCACACTACGAATCAAGGACACACGAATACAGCCGGCGAGCGCTTCATTATTGCTTCACAATCGACCATCGACAGACAAACCACCCATCATGTCGGACGCCCAGGTCACCTTGCGCACGCGCAAGTTCATTCGCAACCCTCTCCTCGGCCGCAAGCAGATGGTCGTGTGCGTATCGCCCTCCAATTCGACCGACTCGATGATATGTTATCGGAAAGAGCAGGCGCTGATATTCATAATACTTTAGTGATGTTCTTCACCCTTCCCGCGCCAATGTCTCCAAGGATGAGCTCCGCGAGAAGCTCGGTGAGCTCTACAAGACATCGAAGGACCAGGTGTCCGTCTTCGGTTTCCGCACTCAATTCGGTGGTGGCAAGAGCACAGGTTTCGCGCTCCTCTACGACTCGCCAGAGGCCATGAAGAAATTCGAGCCTCACTACCGATTGGTTCGATACGGACAGGCAACCAAGATTGAGAAGGCCAGCAGACAGCAACGTACGTCATACCGAGATGCCATGTTGAAAATATTGGATCTACACAGGAGACTATGGACGAGGATCATCGCTGACAGTGTTGCGCAGGCAAGCAAAGGAAGAACCGTGCAAAGGAGTCGCGTGGTACGGCGAAGACGAAGGGTGGAAAGGCCAAGAAGGAGAAATAGAGAACTCGCTCATGCTGCGGTATGGGATGACGGCGTTTCGTTTGCCTTCTACATGGTGCTCTCTACTTTCGACTTGCATGATCTGCTGCGAAGGGCGCACCAGCTTGGCGTTGATGATGCTTACAGTGTAGTTACATGAAGGGGGAATGAAAAAAACTTTCTATCATCACTCAGCTATGGCAATACAGTACATGACGCCAGCAACCCCCAGCGGCCTCCACGGGCATATGGCTATGAATCGGACAAATCCACGGAAATCATCGAGCCCGGAACAGATCTTATACGCCCGCTCTTCACACGAATGTCACGATTGGCGTGGTGCCCCTCACCCTCGCTATTTAATTTTAGCACGTCTGCACAACCGCCATGGATTTTGTTTCTCAGTTCTTGTTCCTTCATCTGTCATCGCTCGGTTGACACGGGCTCCGCCATTAGCCTTGACCTACGCGGAAGGGCAAACGGTACCTCCCTCGTCTTCCATGTTTGCTCTACGGTCCGGAAGGCGAAATGCAGATATCTGACAAAGGTACAATGAAGTAAGAGGTGGAACTCGGAATACCATCGGAACATACTAGTCACCTCGGACTCCGCGACTCGCGGAATAGGCCCATTAGTTAGGTCAGCAGGTTGCATCTCACAATTCCAAAGCGTCTGAGCTCTTCCATCGCAGGTCTTTTAGAACATGAAGGTATACGGCACTGCTCTGGACGCTGCTGAACCTGGCAAAACGGCATGGGGTATTATATCTGCATTAGGCCCACGTGCCTGTGACATCGTTACGTCGGAGACCTGCTGCTTAATGTTCACAGCGATTATTAGTGTAAGTGATGGACATATCGATTTCACGTGCGAGGAACCGCCGGAAAGCCGTCGTCGGTGCTATGACGAGACTTTCGTCGCCTTTGTTGCCTTGATTGCCGGATGCAATAATGCATTGGTCCCACTGACATGGCACCCGAGGGACATTCAGCGACCACAGTACATAAGTCCTGTTATTGCTGATCAAAGGGACGGTATATTTGACAACATTTCGGTACGCGTGAAATTTTCACAGTCGTCAAGGGCTCCTGCTGTCTTATGACGAGGAGGGAAGGCGACACGTGGTGGACGCGTAGCATATATCTGGATTACCCTTCGCTCAGTAGTAGCCTTCCAGGAACAAGCGTAGCGCGTGCATCGTCGTGGGCCATTATTATAGAGCACTCACGTTCCGTAGAGAATCGAAGCAGTGGATACTTTCAACGTGCTAGCGAACTGCTCGCAGTGCTCCAAGTGATCAGACATTCAAAGATTTGTCTCCAACACGTGCCGGCTGATTATTTGACTCGGGGTGCGTCTGATGCAAGCGGTGCGGACTTTGAAGGTTGGGTCCCATCCGAACATTCCAAGCTTGGCCGCGACTTTCGTCCAGCCTAACATCATTACTCAAGTGCTCCACTTGTGCACACTTGCTCCGCATTTGCATATGTTCATGGAATATCCCTGTTTCCAATGACCACAACTATAGGTACACTGACGATCTCAGCAGCAACCATAATGGAGACGCATTACTTTGCCAGGCACCACCACCTACCGCCGTAATGAGACCAGTAGACTCACGCCAGTGAAATTCACTCTCCATGCTCCCTCTTGCCGATATCGGTAGTGATGGACACCCCCGGCCTCGGCATTTTGGTTGTGGGAGGCGTTGAGCGATCGCGGAGCATCGTTCTCTACTCAGCACCGATGTACATAATGATGTCTGACAGGACTGTTGGAGTGGTTGTTCGATGTTGGCAAAATATACGGCGGACACGTACATGCAGCACTGCAGCCACGGGAGGGTGCCGTTGGGACACTGATGGTGGGTCCACTACGAGTTGCGGTCAAAAGTCGCTAGTATCCAGTCACGACAGCACGATTCTGTCTGCAGCCATGGCATTAGCAAATCAATCTGCGCAATGACAAGATGCAGCGGTCTCTGCGCCTCTTCAATTACATCCATGGCACTCTACAATTTCCCGATTGCGCCATGTTTCCGCCAGCACGCCGAGGAGCACGCCTTTGCACCGCATTCTCTCGATCGATGATGACCGATTGTCAGACAGTGCGCGAGAGGATGTATGTGTGTGCAATAAAACCTGTCCTGCCACGCGTCGACACCGACGATGTATACGCTCATTGCTGCACTTTCGCTCAGAATACTTGATCAACAAAGACCTCCTGATATTTGATCCAACTCTCTTGCCAAATATCCGAGCACACAAATCATTCGATATTGTAAATCCACTATAAGATTTGCCGATACTGATCGTCCGCGTTTGCACTATTTCGGCTCCGTCAGGCCGCCAACCTTATCGTCTTATCAACGACCGGAACAAGCCAGATACGGACACGCATTGGGTCGGCATAACCTTTCGGACGCAAGCCTGCAACAAGCCAGACCCTTGAATATCGCCGACTCTCGGGACGTTTCTGTATGTATCATAGCATTAGAAGACGCCAGAGGAGTTGAATTATGCATTTGAGCGACGTACTGCACATGAATTGAACTTCTTCCTCAACATTGCCATTGTCTTTATCCCCGAGAATTGAGCATCAATTGGCCGCCGCTGGACTTCACGTCTTGATCGAAGCTGATAATCATAGACAGCAGGCCGACGCCGCATTGGACAATCACAAACTTGTATGGGCTTCGGATATTGTTGAACATCGCTCAAGCATTCGATCTTTCTAGCTGCTTACGATCGAGTCGTCAAATTTGAAAACATCAGAGGCGTCTTCACAAGTCTCGACTCACAAACAATACCCACCACATCGCTAAACCGATCGCCACTCACGATGACTCAGCGACCTCAATTCTCACGTTCGAGTTCGTATGGACGCAAAGTTGTTCGACATAGTCATCATTCCTCAACAACTTCCATGAAGCTACAGAGTCCAACGAAAAGTACACACCATAGCGGCGCTAGGCGTGACGATCAGCGGAATTCTCATGAGAGCGATGATGACTCAGGGGCCGGTTTTCTTCAATTCTGGTGAGTGTCAAACTTGACTTGACGAACCTCCCTGGCGTGTCAGTCTGGCAAAACAGCTTGAGACGACGTTCTTGCTGCAGATGGACTTCTCTGGCTTACAAGGGGTATCAACACGCTACTGAAACGCCTTCTAACGACATTCATGACAGTGCCACATGTGAGAAGCAAATCGTGTCGCCAGGTCAGGCCTTATATTGCTCCGAGAGGTATGTGAACGAAATTGTCCCGGCGTATTAAGATGTCCCATTGACAGAACATCAAAGCTGTCGGAAACGCGACAATGTGCTGGACGAATACCTATCTTCACCAATGCCATCTCCATTACTATCACCATCGTCACCACTACACGAAATACCGCACTACCCGCACTTCGACATTGTCCCACAACGCTCTCCAACGGTCCTGAAACCATTGTCATTTTCTTTCGCCGGCTTATCAATGGCAGACCAAGGCTCACGTCAGGATCATGATCGTGACCATCGATACAACCCTCGCCAACTCTACGAGACGGCAAGATCAATGACATATCTCCCAAGCGATCATGTCTCATATCAGTCGACTGGACAGCGCCGCAACCAAGGGACGCGCGCCTCAGCCGATAGCTACATTCCGTCGCTCTCGCACACGCCGGGTTCATCTTACGGCACACTCAATTCAAGCTCATCATACCAGCTGCCACAGAGCTCTCGATTTCCCCAACGTGCAATGTCCTTCGCTGCTACCTCTGCGGAAATTGGCCTGTCGCAGCCGAGAACAACTTCGGCACTTTCGGAAGCAGCGGCGTCGGCACACATGTTACGTGATGCTAGCATGAAGAGCAGCGTCAGTACTTTGACATCATTCCGGTTCGTCGAGGCGGATAAGTCATCCTCAGGTGCGAGCATACGGAGCCCGGACGGAGATGAACCCGGGCCACCGACGGAGTTCGCTCACGTTAGCAGCTCGCTCCGCAGATTGTACTCTGCAAAACAGCCGTTAAAGTCGCCTCGCTCATGAGCGCTGGACTTGACGAGCGACCGCCTCTGTGAATCATGTTATTTTGTCGGCGAACTCTTGGGATGTTGTGGCATATGGATGCGGCTTTGCATTTTCGGAAACTAGGCATTGAAGCGGCACAGTGGGGACCTTTTTGGCGTACGGACTTCAAAAGTTGATTGAGTTGATCGGTCATGTTTCAAGGCATTGGAGATTGCATGGGGCCAACAGATGATGCAATGCTATGCGTGTTGTACATCTTGTCTGTCTAAGGTGCTGTCCGGGCTTCACGAACGATTTCATCTGCACCGAGTGCATTTTCGCCGACGCTCGGTAGCTTGCCCGATGCATTCTTTTCCACTGGCTTGCCAGATCCCTCGAGATCTCCCTCGATAATATCGACTTGCTCCACTTCGCCGTGCTCATTAAGCCCTTCGTGATCGTAGCCACTGGCCGCCAGTCGAGCCCGATCAATCCGTCGTCGCCAAGGCTTATACAGCACCATCGACAATCCACCAAAGACCAGAAAGGACCCGCAAATGGCACCACCGATGATATCATAGTTGTCTCCGGCTATGCCAACTCCCTCCCAGAAAGGACCGTCCAAGTCCGGACGAATGTTCAGGATCATACTCAGGAGCTGGAGCACGCCAATGACCAAAGCCACGCTGACGGTGACTGCGGTCAACACACATTGGTAGTAAAGCACCGCGATATTGTCCTTCGCTAGGCGAGCTGAGGTGTACAGACTCATCATGGCGGCGCCGTCAACGGTATCGAGTAGACACATTCCAGCCGTGAATAGAATAGGAAAGATCAGAATAAGCCAGAGTGAGGTGCCCTGTGCTGCCTCGATGGACGCGATGCCAAGCAAGGCGATCTCTGAAGAAGTGTCGAAGCCCAAGCCGAACAGGACGCCGACTGGGTACATTTTCCAAGGTCGGTCCACCAATTTGAAGACTCGCTTCATCAGCAGTGACATGCATCCTACCCCCTCAAATGACATGTTAGGCAACTCCTGGCCGCTCGGGGTCGCGATCGCCCGACGCAGCTGCTGTACCAGCCGAAAGAGAATGTACACATTCATACATCCGAGAATAATCAGGACACCAGAAGATACGGAACTTCCGATGATGCTCCCGACATTCTGAAACGATTCGAAGCGATCCTGGATTGCTGCTGAACTTGCCGCAACAACAATGCTTGTGATGATGACAATGGTTGAGTGTCCGAGGGAAAAGAAGGTGCCAACTGTAACAGGCTGCTGACCAGAAGCCAACAATCGCCGCGTGACGAGGTCAATGATGGTGATGTGATCAGCGTCAAGGGCATGCCGCAAGCCGAGCGTGTAGGCGAGGACGGCCGTAGAGACGAGTGCAGGATGAAAGCTAAGGACGACGCCGACAGATGTCCAGACAAGGGCTTGAACGATCAGCAAGAGGGCTGTAATCGCTATTGCAGGAGCCGGTAGTCGTCGGATCCAGGGTATTGTCGAATGCAGGCTGTGAGCCTTTTGTTTGAGCGCATGGTACCTCGTGCGGGTTGATGGCAATTCTGTGCCCTGAAACTCCATGTCTGCGGATCGATTCGTGTATACCCAAGCGAAGATCGCAGTCTGCGACGAAAAGATACGCTATTTCATATTCTCAAGCGCAACGAAGTTCGTATTTTATTCAGCGGATCATTGCCCCGAGTCAGTGAACATTTTGAAATTGACTTTGCAGCTTGCCAATACTGTCAATGCGGGGCTCACATCCCGCGCATTGGCATTGATAAGGATGCAGCTTATCTTCAGCGATTGAGTCAATTGTATTTCGAAATGCAAAGGCTGGCATTGGTGCCGCCGAAACCGAAGCTATTCGTAAGCGCATTTTGAACGGTGTGTGACTGTGATGTCTTTGCGACATAGTTGCAGTTGAAATCTTCTGCAGGGTCACCCGGCGTCTCAAGGTTGAGGGTTGGTGGCATAATGTTCTGCTCGCACCTGCATTAGCTGCTGTTGCCAGGAATGCACGGTCAATTTGAGACATGAGTGTGCTACATACGTGCTTAACTGCCAGGATGGTGAAAATTGCTTCGACGGCGCCGGCGGCGCCGAGCATGTGCCCGATGGCTCCCTTCGAACTGCTCATATTAATTCCAGAAGCAGATTGTCTGCCATTCTCACCCAGAAGCAGAGTCTTGATCGCATTGTTCTCTGCTGCATCTCCCAATTTGGTCGAGGTCGCATGAGCATTAACGTAGTCGACTTCCGCCGGTCTGATAGAGGCATGCCTCAGTGCGTGTCTCATGGATAAAAATGCACCGTGGCCGTCTGCCCGCGGCGCTGTCATATGATGGGCATCAGCAGACAGTCCGTAGCCTTTGATCTCTGCATAGATGTTCGCGCCACGAGACTTTGCGTGTTCTAACTCCTGTTTTCAGAATGTGTCAGTGCATTGAAGGAGCATGTACTGAATCACGACGTTGAGTTTACCTCCAGAATCACAACGCCAGCGCCCTCTCCGATAACAAAACCAGCCCTTTGGCGATCGAATGGGCGTGATGCCGCTGCCGGATTGTCGTTCCAATCAGTAGCGAGACTTCGAGCCCTGGCAAAACCGGCGATTGCCAGAGGATGGATGCATGATTCGGCACCGCCAGCGACCATAACTTTTGCATCGCCAAAGGCTATTAGTCTAGAGGCATCCCCAATGGCGTGCAGGCCTGTCGTACAGGCCGTAGTCGCAGCATGATTTGGGCCCTTGAAGCCGTACCTAATAGAGATGTGTCCGGCAGCAAGATTGATCAACAGTCTTGGAACGAATAATGGCGAGACTTTACGATAGCCAGCTTCGTGAAACGCAATCGATGTGTTGTAGGCCTCATCGAGATTGCCCACTCCTGAACCAATCGTGACACCAGTGGCTTCGAGGTCTTCTTGTTTCGTCGGATGCCAACCAGCGTCGGTCAAGGCTTCTTGGGCCGCAGCAATGGCGTATTGAGCAAACAAGGCCATCTGGCGCTCCTCGCTGGCGGGTAACCAGTCTCTCGCCTGCCATGCTCCATCGTTTTTCGCACCTTGCGGTACGAGTGCAGCAACTCTGCTGGGCAAAACATCGAATTGCGCGCCTCTCGTCGAGGTCGACACTAGACCAGATTCAGAATTTATGAGACGAGCCCATGTTTGCTTGATACCGGCTGCAAGAGGTGTGATGGCACCCAGTCCAGTCACGACAACTCTGTGCATCACTCTCCAATCGAGGAGAATCAAAGTTTTGATGGATACGATCGTATTGTCCTATTGACCTAACTGATGTGATCAAGTTGTTTGTCCAGCCACTGGTCACGCATGGCGAACTTGCGAGCGTGCGGTAGATCCCGGCATATGTATTCAAGCGCCCCAGTGGCGCCCCGACCATGCATTTACTCCTGGGCACGTATTAATTAATTATTTCCTATATACGAGAGCTCAAGCTCATCGCGGAACCATTTCTTTCTGTACACTGCAGTATTATTATTGAGAATTGCCCCCCGGACGTGGTGCCTGGGAGTGCTGAAAGTTTGTCACGTGACATGACCGTAGTCGCGCGTGCTCTGATGATGTCGCGCGTGAGGGACGTGTCGCGGGCCTTCCATTCCAATGTTCCATCAATACCAAATTCCTTAGGACATCGCCCAGCGCATCACGATATTCAAGAGCATCGCCAACATCTCGCGTCGCAATATTTGCCACTATCAGACTGCTCACCTCTTCAAATCTCTGTGCCACGATCCAGTGGCTTACACTTCACTGCTCAGTCCACTCATATACTGTCACAATGCCGCGACGAAAGCGCGCGGCCAGTCCTGCGCCAGTCGAAGATGTCGAAGAGGAAATCGAGGAGCTGGATGCCGATGTCGAGGGCGATTTGAGAGCATCTAAGAGATTGCGCTTCAATGAACCATTGACATGGCGCGCTGGCAAGGCGATTCCAGTCAGCGAGCTCTTGCGCCGATTACGGACATTGTACGAAGAGCTCCAACCGATGGAGCAATTGGACGAGGAGGAGCAAGATGCGAGGCGCTCACTTGCTCCTAAGGCGCAAGAGTTGGCCAGCTCAATGCTTCTAGGACACAAGGACAAAGGCATTCGCGCGTTTGCTATGCTCGGCATCGTCGAAATGTTCCGGATATTGGCCCCACATGCGCCCTACACAACTTCACAATTGAAGGAGATCTTCGGTCTTTTTGTCACATCGATAATCCCTGCACTCGCGACGCCGAGCGATCCTTACAATGCGCAACATCACAGCATCCTCGAATCGCTCGGGACCTGGCAGAGTATTGTCCTCATATCTGACATTCCAGGTTCTGAGCAACTTATAACTGATCTGTTCTCAAATTGCTTCGACGTGGTCTCAGGAACAATTCGCGGCAGTGGTACTGATCAGGTCAGCAAAAATGTCGAATTTCATATGAGCCAGATGTTGAGCACGCTTGTCGAGGAGTCTGGAACCCTACCATCCCCAGTGGTCGAGGTTATACTGGCACAATTTTTGAGAGCAGACCTGAGCGCCTTAGCTAGCAGCTCGAAGAAGGGAGAGCAGGCTCCGGCACCCCGGGAGCTTTCGTCGGCATACACCATGGCGCAATACACGTGCAATACTTGCGCAGACAAGATGGCGCGTTACATCGGCCATTATTTCAATGCTGTCTTGATCGACGCATCTGAGACATCTACCACCACTAAATCCAACAAGACAAAGCCGAAGCGAAGAAACCATGAAGACAGTGATGATGAGGATGACGCTGGTCTGCTCACGCCGCCTTCCGAGGAAGACTTGCAAGAAGCTGAAAAAGCGCATCGGCTTCTACGAGAATTATGGCGTTCATGCCCTGACGTCATCCGCAACGTAGTTCCTCAAGTTGAGGCGCAGGTCACTGGCGAGAATGTCAATTTACGAGTAATGGCGGTCCAAACAATCGGTGATATGGTTGCTGGCATCGGTGCCGCTGGTTGGCCGCCCTCAGTACAATTGGATCCGTCTGCACATCCGTCACAGAGCAGTCAGGAGTATTCTCCTCCTCCGCAGGATCTTGGCATCTTGCTAACACCCAATGCGCCACACGCATTCGCATCCGTATATCCCTCAGCGTATCAAGGTTTCATGGACCGACATCGTGACAAAGCCGCAGCTGTCAGAAGTGTCTGGGTGGCGGAAGCTGGACAGATAGTTCTGACTTCTGGCGGAGGCAAAGGTCTTGAAACGGAGCAAGAATCCAGCCTGTTGCGACACATTTCCGACATGCTTGTCGACCATGACGAAAAGGTCCGCCTCTCTGCTGTGCAAAGCATCGCACGGTTCAATTTCCCCCTGATAGTCCAGAAGCTAGGGAGCAACGGCGGCGTCATGGACGTGGGTTCCATCCTTGCAAATCTAGCCGATCGTGCTGTCGACCCCAAGTCACTCGTACACACAAGCGCACTTGAGCTTCTTGGGCGCATTTGGGGTGTGGCATCCGGAGCCATCGCTGAAGGGAACACTGTCGTGCGCAAGATTCTTGGCGGGATTCCTTCTCACATCTTGGAAGCAAGGTATAAAAACATTGGTAGCATTAACGTTACAGTACCACAAGTCTTGAACGAGTCCTTACTTCCTGTGGGATTTCCGCCCCTCAAGGCGAAGGCCAGCACGAGTGGTATCCAACGCGTGGACGGTGAGGAGAGCGCCATGCATCCGGATCGCATCAGAGTTGAACGATTGCTGGTGCTGCTACGAGACCTTGGCGAACGAGCACAGAAAGTTTTCTTCCAACTCCAGATTCAATCGGTTTCACGGGCTGCTTATGTGGACAAGATCCTAGAGCATTCAGAAATTTCGAACAAGGCTCGTGAGGGTGACAGCGCGGAATCCGCAAAACAAATCTCAAAGCTGATTGATGCTCTGGTGCGGGATCTTCCAGATCCAAAATCCGCCGCCGAACAGCTTGGGAAGTTTTTCAACTACCACGATCGACGCAATTTTGCGTTAGTCCGATTTTGCTATTCGGCCGAGAGTGACTACAAAAGAGTAGTGAATGCTCTAAAGGAACTTAGGAAACGACTGGAACAAGCACCGAGTGACGTTTCAGCTACCAGCGATACGGTCATTTCCTTCTTGCGCTCGGCATCTCTCCTGGTATACAACAAGAGTCATGTACCAGCAATCATGGAATTTGCTCGTACTGACCAACAGGGCCTTGGTCAAGCTGCGAACGAAATATTGAAGGAAATTGCGACGCGCAGCCCAACTGTCTTCAAAGCGCACGTCAAAGAGCTTTGCGAGACTCTCAAACAACAGGCGCCGACAGCCACAACTCCAAACGACCCCAGCGCAGTCGATTCTTTGAAAGCCTGCGCCGGATTTTCCCGCCGCTTTCCCAAAGAGATGCTCAGTGACCGCGATTTCTACAAAGCTATGGCCAAGATGGCAATGCACGGCGTGCCGTCAGCTGCTGCTAAGCACGCTGTCACGGTCATTGTGACTTCGGCAGACAAAAAGGATATGTATGTCAAGGACATCATGCAATATTGCATGAAAGGCTTCCAACTTGGCGCTGAGAGCTACACGTCGAGATTGGCTGCCATGAGTCAATTGCGATTGCTGGCAAACGCGGAAACAGAACGCTTCGACGAAGCGATCACTCAGATCGTAGCTGATAAGGTCCTCGCTCAGTCGCCCACTGCCGCTGACGAGACCGACCCCGAGTGGGATGACACTGTCAGCGACGATCTCGCTGCTAGAATATTGGCTTTGAGACTGCTCGTCAATGGCTTCCGAGGCAAAGCGATACGGGCAGAGACAGAGAAGCTGAGCACGTCTTTGGAGGATGCCTCGGTTCCAATCTTCAAGTTACTCAATACCCTGATAGAGCAGGCTGGCGAGCTCTCACAAGAATCGGGGGGCTCAACTCCCGCTCACTATAAAGCACGACTGCGACTAGCTGCAGCAAAGCTCATCCTCAAGCTTTGTTGTATCCGATCGTGCGATGCACTTTTCCTCCCCGCTGACTTCAATCGCCTTATCAAGATTGCTCAAGATCCTGTCGAACAAGTACGGACAGGTTTCAATGGCACTCTCAAGAAGTACCTGGGTCAAGGCAAACTACGTGCGCGATTCTATGGGCTTGTGTTCATTTATGCATTCGAGCCGATAAAGAGCGTCAAGGAGAATACCGCCACCTGGATAAGAGCTCGCGCCGCCGCTTACGCTCAACGACAGGAAGGCATTCTCGAAGGTGTCTTCCCACGCTTCTTAAGTCTTCTCGCACATCACGATGACTTCGGAACAGAAACAGACGATCTAGTTGATTCCGTCGAATACATCATGTTCTACCTGAAAAATGTGGCAACCGAAACAAATCTCCCACACATCTACAAGTTTGCGCAAGCGATGAAGGCCATGGGTATCCAGGACCGGATCGACCCAAACAAGAGTGAGAACCTATACGTACTTTCGGATCTTAGCGAAGCGATCATCCGCCAGTATCAGGAGATCCGTGGGTGGTCACTCCCTGTATTGCCAGGTAAACCAGCTTTGCCACAGGGTCTGTTCTCGCGTATACACAGCACAGCCATGGCCCAGGAAATTTCCGAGAAACGCTTCTTGCCTGAAGACATGATTGACAGACTGGAAGACCTCGTGAAATCTAGTGTCAAGTCAAAGAAGCGAAAAGCTGAGGGTGTTTCGACTCAGTCTGTGAAGAAGCCTAGACAATCGCTTTCCACCAGCCACAAGCCGACCTCGACGCGAAGAACGCCAAAATCGACAAAAACGCCCAAGCCAAAGAAGACGTCCCGAGATTCAGTCCCAGATTCAGAGAGACGGAAGAGCTCTCGTTCTAACCGAGCACGCAATTATGCCGAGAACGACGATAGCGAGGACGACGAGGAAATGGAGCAGTGGCAAGCCACAAGCGACGCTGAGTCGGCGGCTCCCGAAGATGCAGAGGACGCCGAGGACGCCGAGGAACGCGAATCCTCCACGCCACCGACGAGCCAACCAGCACCGCCGGCCAGGTCAGCTGAAAGGACAAGGTCCAAGGCAACAGCCACGCCTGCTTCGCGCGCCACTCGTGGGCGCTCATTGCGACAGCAGAAGCAATCCACCACGAATGCTGTGGATAGTGATAGCGATGGGCTTTCCAACCCACCAAGCGATATGGAGGACTGATCTTGATTTTTGTCCCGGCGTTGCTGGCGGCTGGGCCCTCCTGTTTTGCATTAAAGCGTAGTTTCTGAGAGTTGTGTTTGGCTTGTGATTTCGTGAGCGACGGCGTTGGGAATTCACCAGCTAAGTGAGCTCGTATGGTGAGATTGAAGGGCGTATTGACCATCAATACGTCAACTTCTATCATAGAGCCACACAATGCCAAAGTCATATGAAGAGAGGGAATCTTTGTAAATTTGGCACATGTTGTATGATAGCTTAGCAGGCGACTTTATTTCCTCGGAATGGCATGAAGCCTTGACAAGACGAGAAGACCAGTAGGCCAGTTTCATTCGCATATCATCGCGATATACAAGCTCGTTTAGTGACGGCATAATATACAATCGTAAAGTACCAGACCTTGGCCTGCGCATCTCCGCCCGTGACGCTCTTCATGCCTCCTGGGTATCGCCAGTCACAAAACGAATGAAGAATTATGATGTTCATGCACGCTGCTTCTCTGGTCGCTTCATCTCAAACGACAGATTGCACTTCCCTCGGACCAAGCACTGCGGCGCGAACCTGTAGTACGGCCGTGAGTTCCAGAACGAATTCCTGCAACACAACAATGTTCGTGAGGACGTGGTTGAGGCTAGCTGAGCGCACGCCGCTGTCCTTGTGCTCAGGGTCTGGCAACCCGTTGACCGGCAACGAGACCGTCTGCATGAGCACATCCGTCGTCGATGGGTTGTCCGGCGGCGGTGGACGGAATACAGAGCGGGGACCTGGAGAGCGGCTGGATCCGCGACTCTCATCACGGCGTCGTGCAGAGATCCCCGCTGGATGAGGGGATGTGGCTCGACTGTTCGGCTCGAGGCTCTCTCGACCTCGGGCCCGACTCGAACTTCGGCTTGACGACAGAAATTGCCCTGGGACCTCAAGGAAGCTGCCCTGGACGGGACTGTTCATTAACGACGGCGGCTCACTTGCTAAGATGTCGAGGTTGGAGGCTTGCAGCATCGTCTTGCGTACTGCTATTAATTGGTCTAGGTTCTTGATTCTCTCCCGCACACTTTCAAGCTCGGTGGCCAGCTGCTCTAAGATCCGGAACAAGGCGGGTGAGGATTGGTCGGTCCAGGCGGGTCGATGACTTGCACGCTTGAGGGAGAGCCAAGCGTTTTCTTCTTCACTATCGAGGAAGGATTGCCAAGGCCGGGTCGCACTGGTGGTCTCCTCGCTGACCGAATAAAGCGAGGGAGAAATCGCCGCCCAGCCATCGAGACGTATCTCTATACAAAGCGCCATTGAAATGAATGCTTGAGTCAATGCCAGATTGACGTCAACAGAGTTGGTAAAAAAAGTTCTGAGAGTGCTACTCATGCTTTTGAAAAGGCTGTCGTCGCTGTCCAGCAGGTACTCGCCTATATATGCTTGTGTATCGATGAAGCTGTTTTCAAGTGTTGCGTTCGTCGCGTGAGATGCCACTTGAGCCTCAATGTTGTGCCGCGCATCCTCGCACAATCCTACGTATGTGGTTTCGAGACCAAATTGAGGGTGCAAGGAAGTCGCCAGCAGCGAATAATGTTCAAGTTCGACCTCCAAGGCACCGATGGACCTGCTCGGGTCTGATGACTTGATGTTCTGAATCTTCAGCAAGGTTCCCAGCGCGTACTTTCTTTGTCGAGAGATTAATGTTGATGTGAGTTTGAGTGCGGAAAATGATGTCTGGCTGTTTTTGGAGCAAATACTGTTGACAATCAAGTCAAAAAGATTGAAGAGTATCGGTTCAACGCCATCGTTCGGCGCTTTGGGCGGATTAAGTGTCATCAGACTCTTCCGCCGTGTCAACGTAGCTTGTGAAGGAGGTTTTAATGAATTGAGATTCGAAATGCTTGCAGAGAGGTCAGCGCTCTTGCCTTCCGGGATTGCGAGGAGATAAGTGAGAATCATGTGAACGAGATCGGGGTATTCGAGGGATTCCAGAGCAGCTTGGAGATATGTGAGTACCGCCACAGAGCTACCGCCGTCGGTATCACTCGATTGCAGTAATGAAGGGTAAAGTAGCTGTTGCAAAAATAAAATCTGGAAGTGATCTAGCAAGGTCTGCTTGACGTCAGAACTACGAGAGTGGTCCAAGATGTCTTGCCAAAATGCCAAATATGACAGAAATGTCGCCATGTGGGCTTTGTGTCGCTCAGAGAAAGCCGACTCTGCTGTAGCACGCGTGTGTGTGGTCGTGTAGTCGCTCATGGCTAGTACTGCGGGCAGTGTAGCGTCAGGGTGGAGAATACTGAGCTCCCGGCTCAATTGACTATACAGAGCTCCCAGACCTGATGCCATCAAAGTAGGCAGATCACTCTGCACAATCCAGGCCTCCAACTCCTTGGAGCGACCTGTAGCTTCGAAGATATAAAGTAATCCTGTCCGGGCAAAATCGCCAATTCTACCCTCGTGGTGAACTCTATCGATCAGCAAATAACACAACGGGAAATCGTCCTTTTGCGTTACTCCAACAAAGTTGTTCTTCTCTTTCAAGACCAACTCTTCAAGCTCTTGTTTGACGCTAGATTGAAACCAGACCGGCAGAATCTCAGGCTGCAAGCGGATTTTCGCCGATATGGTGAACAATAATTCCAATATTGCGGTCTCTGTGTCCATGCCAATGAGCACGCTACCACTGTCCACTACTCTTCTTATCAGGCGCATGAGGCTTTTGGCGAATGGCGCGCTGGACACGAAATCCTCCTCTTCACTGTCGATAAGGGCGGCGAACGTGGCGATAGCGCTGCGGATAACAGGCTCATATTGACTCGCTGTCGCTGCGCGCGCAATTACAGCATAAAGCTGGCTGGTGCTTGCGAACTGAATGCATGAATGTGGGACGGGTGCGCGGGTCTCGTCACGCAGGAAAGAAGCTATCCTCTCCAGACACGAATGCAGCTCACTGAGTAGTGGTGCTTCATTTGAAGGGTCTCTTGGTCGGTTGATCAACTGCAACACTGTGTTGTAGACTTTTCGAAATTTGACGAGGCGAGCTTGTGGATCATTGGCGGGTGGTCGCGGGGCAGTCTTGCGCGATGTTTGCGAGGTACCTATCAGTCGTGATAACCAGTCCATTGTTGCCGCTCTGCTGTTGGGGATGACATGGGTCCAAGAGGTGTCGCGACTCGAAAAATACCTTGAACGCGTTCCAAGGGTGTCCGAGGCTATGCATGAAGCCCGCGAATTATCACCCCAGGGCTCAGACCCTCCAGGGATCTCTGGTCTGCTTGGGGTCTGCAGGTGGGTGGACCGCGACGATATTTGGCTTGATCCACTAGGCCGCAACGAGCGTTCTCTCGGACCTCATCACCCGAAATTTGTACGCACGCGGTGCCACGCACGATGTGCCCCGGCCGACATCGATGTTACGCCAGGGAACATCTCCGAGCTTAATCCACCGCGACATGCAATCCAGCTTTCGCCCGTACTAGAGGAGGCTGGCTCTCCGCACTTTTGACGTTGCCTTGTGATTAGCATCCATATCCGCAGGTACTGTACATATCTCACCGGTGTGTCTGGCGCAACGAGCACAGGGACATATGCCGCCAGTAACTGGTGGACCGATTGTAAGCGTGCCTTCTTACTATATCGATCAGCATTGATCTCAATTACGGTAGGATGTCACTTGATGAAATATCTTATCACTCTTCATTATCAAAGTTTATGTGTGCCGGTGAAGAGAAAGACGTCGTACGACGTGATTGAGCCCATGATGCTGGATCAAGCGCTGGATCGTGTCAAAGACGGAAGGTCGATGCGCCTAATGAAAAGGCTGAGTACAATGTGTGCTGGTTCGCGACTCAATAAAAAATACAAGACGATATGCCTTGCACAAATAGTGGCATGGATGCCTGCATGTCGTAGACATCAGAATTCGGGATGTACTCCGAATGTACCTAGGTATTGTATATGCTATCACACTGATAATCTGAGTACTTCGATCAGTGACCAACCGATTTATTCGGACGCAACAGAGCGCCCCGTCTTGGAAAAGGCAACGCTCGTCGGACAGAATCATGTGCTCAACAGCAAGGTGAGTGGGTGAGCCGCCGAGAACTTTCATTCGCGCTGCTGCTGCTGCTGCAACCGTAGACAGGTTTTGCGGCTTCGTCGCATCGCTTCCTGGCGCAAAGAATGTTCGGTATCTGCCAGCGAATTTTGAAGCTAACTGCGATTGCTGGAGCCCCTTCGCCAACACTCTGACACGTCAAACATGCTTGAGCATGTACTTGAGCAGCTATTCGCGAAGACCAATGTACTGCCGCTTGCCCAACGCAACAGACGTGGCGGTCACCGTAATAACGACACCACACCTTCTGAACAATTCGAGCATCTTCCACCAGAATCTGAGAACAGGTCATGATCACAGTAGCTCTCCAGCTGCCGACGTTTTTACAACGGGCGTTCATGCGTTTCGCTGAATAGACCATCGTCTATGCTGAGAACGATGATCTTGATGAAATATTGCGATGCATCGATACGCTTATTGAGAGACTTTGACATTGGCAGTGTAATCCATATTTGGGCTCGAAATAGATCGTCCGGATATCTCTCAGGATGAACGTGAACACGCATCACTGTCTACCTCAGGCAGTAGCACCTTAATTGCTCGTCGATGTAGTAATTTGTCATTGCAGTGAGCATCATGTTACCACGCTTCCTGTTTGGTTTCCCGTAATCTCTGGTCTTACAATTTAAGGCTAGAGGGCTGTAACCTTGATCGCAGGTTCGTTTGCAGAGCCTTTCGGTGCTCTTCCGTCACTGCCGGCCTGTAATGCTCGCTTCGTGTAACTGAGTCACTGCCGCATGCAATCTCGGCAAGCCGTCGTAAAATCTTGCATCAGTGTAGAGCCGTCTCTAGTCGTGACAACGCATTGGGATCCCTTGGTCCAGTTTACGATATTTGCTGTCGTTCTTGATCGCCTGAAGACGGCTTGGCTGCCTGGCTGCCTGGCTGATGATGAGGACGCCTGAGTTTATGGGCAATGGGTCGCGAACCACACAAAGACCGGTCAGAAAGCCACATGGCAAAGTTCAGTAGTTCAAACTTCAAAACGAGGTTTCTGTGGATACAGAAGGTAGACACATGGTTCCACATGGATTATTATTAGTGCACGTTCTCAATCTTCATGCCGGTCTGCGGGGGCGGCCTCAAGGCTCCTCCGTCAAGAAACAATCGGGGAGCGACTCGGCCGGATGCCGGGAGGCCACACCTGCCTTGCGCATTTTCTTGCATCGTGCCGCACGCCTTCTCCTTTGTATATGCCACCGGTGAGCAGTTATATTATGATGCGCCTATTCGCTTCCCATCGTGTTGCAAATCAGCATCTCGTATTTGTTCCGAGATCTGCTCTGTATTGCGCAAGGACTGTTCTCGACTCGTTGTCGTGAGTACAAGCTAATCAAAACGTCCGTCCACGGCCGATCGACAATCAGGGTGTGGCATGCTACTCGAAATCGCGCGAATTACACCAGCAAATCCCGACACGCAGAAGCTTCACCCGGTCAATGTGAGTGACTTGGCGTTTGTTCTTTTGATAAATGGCGAGACATACTTATTGTGATCAGGCGAGATTCGGGCCTTCTATCTACCAGTTGTGACTCGACCTGCCCAGAAATTCTGGCAATTTCGTCGGAATTGCGCAGATCACAGGACTTTCCTACATGAAGGATGAACAAGACCGATTTTCAAAATCACGCTGTGCAGAGCGATGCAGTGGATGTGTCTTCGGATCTTCAGCGTGGATCAGCCTTGAAAACATCTAGTTTTGCTGGGCATCATGACCAGGCAGCTTCACCGCTACATATGAGCGGGCTTACCCTACAGAAACACGATTCTTTCAATCTGGGTGGCACAGAACTCCGGCCGGCGGTAGACTCGCGTACCCCGTGCAGTAGAAGTCCGATGGTATTTGAGCCTAATAAGATACCGAACAAGACGCAGGCACCAGTGACGTCCTCACTTCCACTGGAATCACTCGCTACCTTGGCTCCTCTTGAGAACAAAAAACCAATAAATAGTGCGGTTGATACGCGAACTCAGTCATCCAGTAATCGCAAAGATCTAATCACAGCTGGCCCCACAGGTCATGTTCCGATGCTACATATGACGACAGAAGAGCTGTCCGCCGATTTAAAAAAGATCTATGGAAATCTTGCGAATATTGAGGCAAAATGTATCACCATAGATGCCGCTCAAGCCGCCGAGCCTCGTGCGCCACTCACCAACGAGCAGTGGCAGACGCTGATAGCGTTGCATCGCACCCTGCTGTACGATCATCATGATTTTATCATGGTAAGTGCAATACGAATGCGCCCTTGAATCATTCATTTGGCTGATTTTGTTTCAGGCTACTCAGCATAAGGCAGCAACTCCTGCAATGAACGGCTTGCCATTCAAGTACAGTATGCCTGCCAGGATGTGGAAGCACGGGATCCATGCGTTCCTCGAAGTCCTCAGACACCGAAGACCGGAATCTCACGATTACATGTTAGCTTTCATTTACCTCGCGTATCAGATGATTGCTCTTTTCCTAGAGACTGTTCCTAGCTACACGGACACTTGGATTGAATGCCTAGGAGATCTCGCGCGATACCGTATGGCTATCGAACCCGAGAAGGAAGCTCATACAGCCTGGGGTGGTGTAGCGGCGCGATGGTACACTCTAGCTTCAGACCGCAGTCCGGATGTCGGTCGACTGTACCACCACCTTGGGATCTTAGAACGACCCAGTCTTCGGAAACTCTGCTTCTTTGTGAAATCGCTGACTTGCTGGGTCCCATTCACGAATGCCCGAGATTCCCTAGCAACTCTTTGTGGTCCTTTCGTGCAGGACGATGCTGCTATCGAGCGAAGCGCCGGATCTCTTGAGGCTAGAGTCGTCACATTCCATGCCCTGGTCTGTTCCAACAAGGATTCGCAGACGGTCGGTCGGGTTAAGGCTGATGCTGTACGACTGCTCTCCGAGCTCCCGCTGTCCCTACCCAAGATTGGGCCTTATCTAGCGATCACTAACATTGGCAGCCTCTTCGAGCGTGGGTATCCTCAGAATCCCTTGTGGCGGCTCTACACGACAGCCTCGAACAATGCGAAATCTTCGGCACGTGGCGCGACATCTGTGAATGATGGGAGAATCGATCTCCTGTCTGCAAATACCTTCCAGGCGCAGATGAGCGACGCGCTCGCATTTAGCGCCGACTTCTGCTATAAAGCATTTGACGTGCTCCTGCATCCATGGGAAGATGAGATAGTATTGAAGGACAACCTCTCATTTGTTCACATCATGCTGGCGTGGCAGCATTCCTTGCACACACTTCGATCCTCCACGGACAACAAAAGCTTACTGGATGAACAATTTTGCACTCTCGTTGACCCTAGCAGGGTGTCTTGGGCACGATTGGCCAAATTCTTGAATCAGCTGGCCAAATTCCACCCTGTGAACGCGCGCATCCTCGCACATGGTAGAGATGGCAGCTTTCCTATATTGGAGCCCGCTCAGGCCCTGTCCGAGGACTTCCTGATTCGTGGTCTCATCTGGAGCCGAGGGTATCATCCTGCCGACCACTTCAAGAACCAGAGCGAAGACGATGGACGCAACATTGAGTCCAAGGCCACTAATAAGCTCCGAGCAGACCGAGTGCTATGGCTTGGGCTTTTCCTGGCGTTCCAAGCGCGATACCTTCACTACGACGAAGAGGCCAAACTTTTTTCTGCCAATGAGAACACTGCCTGGAAGGTCAGCAGTCATGAGGTTGAGTTGGTCGACATACCGAGATCCAGTGTCCAATCGCCTTCGATGACTGAGGACACAACAATGAAATCGTACTCGGGCAAACGATCAACGTCCTCGAGATCGAATAGCGAAGATGGGTTTGTCAAGGTCGCAAGACTGAGCCAATCGTGGTCACGCGGCCCTACGCCCCGAAATCCTCTGAACATACCCAAGCAATGGAGTTCCCGGGATGGTGCGCCTAGCTGAGCACGATATTCCATCTGTCTCGCACCATTTCACCGTTTCGGAGGCCGAATGAAGCTGTGAGCGCCATGGACAACTGCAAATGGGAACGCAACAATCGCTTCCAGTGGTGTAAGAGCGCCCTCCACTCGTAGATGTATTGCCTATTAGTGATTCATGAACTACTGCTTCCCTTTGGACTTCGCACCATTATGACAACTCTCAATTCATCCCCATGGCCCCATTTCCTACCATCAAAAGGCGAGACATCTACCTCAACGAATCCGTACCGAGCATACAATCCGACCCCCTGTGCACTCGACTCAACGTACGACAACAAGCCCAAAGCATCAGCCTTCTCTGCTCCCCACTGCATGGACAGAGCACCAACTCCTCTTCGCTGGAATCCCGGCCGTGTAGCCAGAACATGAAGATAAACATGCGCTTTCGCCCCGAGATGCTTTTCTTTCAACGCAGCGTGTGCACCCCTGAAATCATTCACCATCGCCACGTTCTGCCCTTCCGGCCCCCCATACTTGGCTGTGTCAGCCTCGACCCAGGCTTTCTCCTCGGCGAGCTCCTCCGGACTACGATCGTGTGGATATATACGCCATTGACTCACGCCAACGATGCCCTCGTAGGGATCTGACGCCGGCAGGGATGGGTCGACTACTTTGAAGCGGTATGTTCGCGAGGGGAATCGGGCTTCAGAGCGAAACGTCGCTGCTGTGGCGTTCTCGAGCGCGGCAGGCGAAACGCCGTTGGGATACCTGTGATAATTCGTGAGTGTCCAGAGGCGACGGATAGACTTATGAATACTGCAAAGGGGGCGACCGTGGCATTCACAAATTGATAGGATGCCAACGTGTTTTCGTTCCCATAGAACAGGGCTTGGGATCGGCCAGGGCGGGCTTGACCTGATGATCGGACACGAGAAAGCACATACATTAGACCCATGACTCCAGGAGCACAAGCTTCCTCCACGAGTTTGAAATACAGATGATACTGCGAATCTGGCAGTGGAGAGAATTCCAACGCCATGGTTTGAGGAGGTCTTCCAATGTCGTGCGTTGAGCTTTTCCACGAGTCCGAACCCAGAGTTTCGCAACTGTCCATGTAAGGGTGATTGATCAAATTGTTAGTTATCCTGACCGTCGTCGGAGGATATCTGTCTAGACTGTATGACTCAGACGGAGGCCGCCTCTGCCGCGACGCTCTGTGCCGCAAACAGATGAACAGGGCGTACTGTAAAAGGCTGACGACGACATTCGTCACATACATGTTACATGCTTGCCCTACATGCGATGATTTGCAGTTAAGTTTTTTCTCGGGTCGATCATCATCAGGCCAGCCCTGTCGTGGACGACCGACCTTACCTACCTTGGTTGATAGGTGCAAATCAGTAATGGTGATCTTCGAAACTTCCGAGAGATGCAGGCTGTGGTGCGTGTCTTCTGGTCCTCCGTACGCACTGGCAACCACATGTGCATGTCCGGAGCACGAGACAGTAGCGACGCTGAACGAGGACTAGCGTAACTCACCCGCATCGGAGATGTTGACGTGCAGAGCCACAGCATCGCACCGCTGCTGCCCGACGATGCAACCTAGCTTCAAAAGTCGCCTGATACCGACATGCAAATATCAGTGCACGAATCGCTTGGTGCCGATAACACACATAGTATGGTCCTGAGATGCAGACTGACCATCAGTGGCGTCACGATTCATGTTCCTTCTTCCGTTAGACGACCACATATTCCGCCAAACGGACCGGTGAACTACCGCGATGTTTGGTTCGGCAGGGACGCGTGAATTACAGTAATCACTCTGTTTCATCCACGAACTCGGATGTTGGTCGGGCTGCAACGACGGATCTGGACGTCATCTTGAGACACACGGTGGATGTCCTGGCCGGAGGAGAGAAAGCAACTTCGATCACACATGGCTGCTGCGAGCGCAAAATGAATTGCACGCTCGCCTTTTGTTCTCTCTTCACAGGATCACAATGTAGCACATTTCGGCTTTGTTGCTGCCAGTGTCAGGTCGAAAATGTCCGTCTTCCGCAGGAGAGAGGTATAATCCCGATCGTGTCGGTGGGCATCGTACTGTAGCTGGTGCCACGTGTTGGGCCGCGACAAAGGCATATCCATCAATTTGATCGTACAGATATGCTTCAGAATTCTTCGAGGCGATATGTACTTGCCGCCGCGTCAACGGGCTTTCAGTAGGTGGCTATCACGTGCGTGCGAGGACAGTGCACGTCGGGCTGTGATGTGGCTCAAGAGTTCGGCGGCGTGACGGACAATGCTGAGACGAGCAGACGTAAGTCGATTCCTGCACATCATCCTTGACACTGGAGTGATAGGTATCGCCCAAGTTGAACATTTCCTGAGAGATCCGACCTTTGCTGAGGAATAATCGTTGCATCCATGCGATGATATGTGCCTTTCGTCAATCTACCATTCTCGTGCGGTTCTCGGGGGATATCTACTTGGAGTGATTATTGCACAACTCTTCGTATCATGGACGGGTTTCCTAACATCCTGTTCGGAGAGGCGGGGGATATGGACTCCGACTGGCTTTCAGATGAGGGCGTGCATGTTCGTAGTCCCCGACCTGGATGTAAACAAAAATGCACGTGTCGTTGATCCTGTAGCAAACCTTGGAAGGAGACGCAACTAGAAATTGTCATAATTTACCCCTCCATGAGAAGAGATGGGCAGCCAGACGCCGGGCCGCCCGCTGACTTCCTGCCCAACTTGACGCACCCTGACGGTCTGGAGGCATCTGGTTGGGCAATCCCATCCTCCCACCTGATCATCATGAATCGCCGCTTATGGCTTCATGCACCATCACCACGTACAGGACGCACATGCGCGACCTGCGAGTCTGCGTCCTGCCACATGCATTCTGAACACAAATGCACGCGTTCTCAGTGACACACTCTGCTCGTGACTCTCCCGTATGCGCACATCGGCCCTACCGTATCATTTGGCGAGGAATTGGTTGGTCGGATGGTGTCTGCGCAACTTAATTTCTCTGCAGAATCTGTAGGCGGCTGCTGCGGTATGCCAGTTGGAACTTCCACCAGCAACCTGCCTGAATTTCCCTCGCAACATCCCATGCTCACCAATCCAGACCCATATCTTATACCCTGACCGTGAAAGGGTAACAACCACCACTGCTACAGTACATTTGTCCGCACATCTGTCTCACCAGAGGAGAGCAATAATGAGTGGTGTGATGAGTGGAAATGCCTAACGGCCTACCGAACAAAACTGCGCAGTACCGATTGAACCCGTGGAAAGACCCAGCTTTACCCGCGCTTGTTCCCTCTCCTGCTCGAACGCTTTGGGTGGCCACGGTGGGTGGTTGCCCTGCGTGTCATCGCGCGCTCCGTCGCCCGCTTCGCTTCTGTTCGCCTGCCCGCTATCTGTTGGCCACAATTCACTCCTCCTGTCACATTCTTCTTTCTTCATCTACATCATCGTCGCTCACCACCATCACTACTTGCTCCTCCCCTTCATTCCTCCCTTCTCTTCTATTCGCACCGATCTGTCCTCATCCACTCTGCTCGACGTGCGACCTTCTGCATAGGTCTGTAAAACGAGATTTGCCGAGTTCGCGTCGTGTCCGTCATCCGTGGACAGCAGATAGACAATCTTGCCCCACTCCCGGTCGCGATCTACCTCGAGGACGTCGCTTTTCTGAGCTTTTCACTTTGCTGGTTCGCTTCTTTTACCGGGACTGCATTCTGCCACTACTATTATTTGTTCCATCTGGCCATCTTCGGACCTCTTGCGCCACTAGGACTTCCTCAAGGCCCGCTTGTATACAATATCCGGATTTCCAAGGGACCTTCACAGTTCTTCTTGTGTGCCACTCATACTGCGAATACCCTTCCTCCAAAGGACTTGCTTGCATCCACCCGCCGGATTTCATTTCCATCTTCTGTGGCCACAATGCCGGACGCCGTTCGTCAGTGGTTCGTGCCAGCCGAAGGCATCGAGCGCCAGGTGATTTCAGCGGATATCCAGCGCTACCTAGGAAATGATGCGACCGTCCGTCCCGGACAAGGAAACGCCTCTGAGAATAACGTTAGTCCACTGTGGCCGTGCATGGCTATCGCTGCGTAGTTTGCATTATACTCATCCATCAGCAGGGCGTTCCCGTTCAAGGATACTGGATCAAAGCTTACCGCAATCTCACATCTGTATGTCGTCGCAGAGACGTTCCTCTTGCTCGTCATGTAGTGACTAATTCCGTTCAGGCCATGATTTTGGACTTGAAAGCAGATTCCGTACGATGGCGGCAAGAACAGCAGCGAACAGGGCCTAGAGGTATTTCATCACTGCGTCGAGCGAACGCGAACAATCGCAATATGGTTTCTGACGGGTGACCCAGATTACGCCGGTTCCACTACTTACAACGCATCCAGTGCTGGTCGGCCAGTGAATGCTCGTGAATCGCCGTCAGTGGAAGGTCCTTACGGAATCCCAAGCCGGGATAGAATGGCCTCCGATAGACTGTCTGCTGAAAGGAACCTCGGAGAAAGGATGCAGCTGGACCCACCAGTTGCACCGCCGGCTCGGACTCTTCCCACGACTGAAAGGAACTACCATCCGGATGGTCGTGCATATGGTCCATCCGACCGAGGATATCCACCTCCGGACAACAGGATGCCCTACCAGCAGGATGTGCCTTTGCCCTCTGCCTATGGACAACGCCCACCTGTCACGGCCCCCTATGAGCAACCTCGGTACGCACCCGAATACCCTGCAGGTAACGGACCTCCAGGATATTCTCGTCCCGGTGAACATATTCCTCCTGTTTCCAGCCCGTACGATTCCAACCACGGACCCAGACCGCCAGTGACCGGCTACGCCCAAGGCAACATATACGCTCAGGCACCACCACCGTCGATGCGCCCGCCGCGTGACGCTGGTTATCCTCAGCAGGAATACGTGGATCCCAGCAGGTATGCTTACCCTAGTCCAGCTACCACTGTATCCTCCATCGCCCGTGAGCCTGTTGCAACTCCTCCACAGCAACAACAGAGGTTCGATTGCCCCGTTCTCGTTTCTACCTGGCAAAGCCATGATACCAGTGCTGACCAAATCATTACAGTCCCTATCACAACATGGCGCCGAACCATCACGACCCTTACGGTGGTCGACGTAAGTTCTACTAGAGCACACGTGTGCATTCAGAGAGCACTCTGATCTGATGCATCCATGTGGTGTGCACAGCTATCATCAGATCCTCGGGAGGCACGCCGATTGCCACGTCACCGATTGGCATTCGTTCGGGCGTCTGTGCTGAAGACGCATTCGGACGTCCAGTGGACGCGGCACTTTCTTCCTTTCCCAACCGTCGTTGGAACTACTGAATTCCAGGAGTGGCGCCTCCGGACATAGTGTCTGCTTTGCTCGCTCCATTTCGCGGTTCTTGGGACTGGCTTTCCGCGAATGTTTTTGGAGATCTTATTCCCTGTCTTCAAGGCCATGGTGCTTCGAGCTTCTAGCCCGGTGTTACCCTATTGGGTGTGATTTATCATTACCATGACCTACATTGGAGCGCTGCGAGATCTGGTCCAAACTCACACTGATGGCTGTTTGGAACAATGGACCACTGCGCGCAGTGCCTTCGAACCAGGGCACCTGCATCTAACGAGCATAGACTTGGCTTGATCATGAAAGATCAGCCATGATGATTATGACACTTGGGAACTCACGAGATGATGTCCGGAGTTACCGAATAGAGGCACAGTCCTCATGTCGGTGCAGGAACACGCTGTCGAGGCTTCTCCATGAGCCCAGCCCGCCAAATAGACGGGACAGAATATCATGACTTAATTGCGATCATATGTAACTAGTCCATCCGATCGCACGCGATCCAATATACAGCGCAAATTGTTGTTGCATTGAAATTCTTGAATTAAAGGTTTTCCACACATCAATAAAATAGTCCTCAGCCAAGGTCTCCTTTAGCCATTGCCCCAACCCTATATCAACCCTATGCAGTTCCTGTGGCCGACTATTTGCACAGAGCCTTCAAGGTGTAGCATTCGCCGCATGACTTGCGCAACTACATCAAAGCACGTGCGATCGGAGGCCCGAATCTATTTTTCTTGATTAACTATTGCTTAAGTATGCGAACGCCGTTGGTTGTGTTCATCAACGACGGAGCGAGGTCCCGACTTTCGGGAAGCAGTCAGGACCAGTGAGTGGTACATTTCATTATTTGCAGGGCATGAATTTCTGACGAGGAGTTTCAAGGATGATCAAGTGGACTTTGAACCAACGTAACAGGAGGATGACAGGCTTGACAGCTTGGCTCGAGAGGTTGCTGCCGGACGAACAAGTGAAGGCATTCACAGTACTGTACCGACGAACGAGCCAGCTTTCGTTTGCTAATGAGAGACCCGATGCAGGGTCCACCTTTTCTCAGGCATGTTCGGGGACAAGCTCGTGTTTTTTTGTTCGGTGGATGGATTTCTAGGGCAAATGAATTGCGGAGAGAGCCAACCCTGAAGTGCGGGAGACAGAGAGGGGGCGTGCTAGGAGAGGCGAATCACCACTGAATACCTCCAGCTCCGATAATTGCACTGTATTGGTTACATATACCAGTGCTATTCGACACCGCCATTGTCCTCCTCCTCCTGCCGTGTATAGATTGATTCCTTCGAGATTGTATTCAACACGATTTGATTTCTCTCCTCCTCCATCATTCGATCATTCGGAATCTGTTCCATTCGACTCGAGACTTGCCTTGAAATATACGACAGTTACCGTGATCTTGTACTCCACCGCAAGATCACCACCGTTCGCTTGCGACCCCGCTGCAACAGCCACCGAGCTCGATTGAAAGGGGAATTTTGCGACGCTGCTGCGAAGCATTCTTCGGTCTTCAACCGCCTACCACCACCACGCCATAAAACAAAACCGCCATCATGAAGGGTTCGTCATCCGTTGCGCTCCACGATCAATCGCATTGTTGTCGTCATGGTCGTCTTTCTGTCCTCTTGCTCACCATGCGCCAGCTCTAATTCTCGTCGGTGGCTTCGGCACTCGTCTGCGGCCGCTCACTCTCACCCTCCCGAAGCCTCTCGTCGAGTTCGGCAACCGACCTATGATTCTGCACCAGATCGAGGCTCTCGCTGCCGTCGGTGTCACCGACATCGTCCTCGCCGTCAACTACCGCCCCGAGATGATGACCGCCGCATTGAAGAAGTATGAGCAACAATACAACGTCAAGATTGAATACTCGGTCGAGACAGAGCCTCTCGGTACCGCGGGACCATTGAAGCTCGCCGAGAAGATCCTTGGCAAAGACGATGCACCTTTCTTCGTTCTCAACTCGGATGTCATTTGCGACTATCCTTTCCAGGAGTTGGCAAAGTTCCACAAGTCGCACGGCGGCGAGGGTACCATCATCGTGACAAAGGTCGAGGAGCCGTCCAAGTACGGTGTGGTCGTGCACTCACCAGGTCACCCATCTCGCATTGACCGCTTCGTCGAGAAGCCCGTGGAATTCGTGGGCAACCGTATCAACGCTGGTCTGTACATCCTCAACCCCTCAGTCCTCTCCCGCATCGAGCTCCGCCCGACCTCGATCGAGCAGGAGACTTTCCCCGCCATGGTCAAAGAGGGTCAATTGCACTCATTCGACCTCGAGGGCTTCTGGATGGATGTCGGTCAGCCCAAGGATTTCCTCAGCGGTACCTGCCTCTACCTGTCTTCGTTGACCAAGAAGGGCAGCAAACTGCTCTCGTCGACCTCCGAGGCCTTTGTCAACGGCGGCAATGTCATGATTGACCCTTCGGCGAAGATCGGACAAAATTGCAAGATCGGTCCCAATGTCACCATCGGACCGAATGTCACCATCGGCGACGGTGTACGCCTGCAGCGTTGCGTTTTGCTCGCAGGCAGCACCGTCAAGGAACACGCCTGGGTCAAGAGCACGATTGTTGGCTGGAACAGCACCGTGGGCCGCTGGGCACGACTGGAGAATGTGACCGTCCTCGGCGAGGATGTCACCATTGGCGATGAGATCTACTGCAACGGCGCTTCAGTACTGCCGCACAAGAGCATCAAGGCCAACGTCGACAGTAAGTCCACTTTCCAATTCTTGGAACACTCTCGAGATGACCCGTCTCGCTTCACTGCAGTCCATTCTAGAGCGCAATTACTGACTCTATCACGTTCACAGGCCCTTCCATCATCATGTAGAAAAAAGATTACGATGGGTTCTCAGGATCACGTGTTGGAGAGTGGACGAAATCCCTTCTGGGCGGAGGCAGTGCGCTGTATTCAACAATCTCTTGCTTCGTAGACATACATTGGTACGCGATGAAGGGACGCTCCTATCGAGGCGTTTGATCAGGCATGTTAGCCACCGCAAAGAGGGAAGAGCGAAATAAAATCAACATTCTGTTATGCGAGCTCGTTGTCGTTCTCCTGGGCAGTGTCCTTCTGCTCCCGTAGAAGAATTCATCGGGAGAGTTGCGGAAAACGTCACAGTCCTGTAACTGATGACGTTCTATGCATACGGCTCTTGACGCGAATCCCCATGCCACATGTTGTTCGTCATGTCGGAATTCGTGATCGTGCATGATTGCAGTGACGGGACAAGCATTTTCTCGATTACAGAAGACACATGCAACCTTTGCCCTTGAAGTTTTGCACAGGAAATCACCTCGTTATCGACAGTAGATCCCCCTCACGTCGCTTCATCGGGCGAGCAGTACAGAACAGAACCGCTTATCAGCGCCTTGAGTAAGAGTGCATGTCATGAGGAACCTTTCCGGCGACAGTGGGACTGCTTGGTACATATATGCTACTGATATGAACGCGCAAGTCATTGGGAGTACCAGACCTGCGCGGTGATGCTGCGAACTTGTCCAGCCCGTTCCGAAGACTCCTCACGTTGTCTGTCCCGATCCTACTTCACGCCTGTCACTTGCCAACACATGTTTATTGCAGCAGGTAGGACGGCGGAGCCTATCCCAATGATCCCCGGCAGATGTCGCCCGCACGACACCCTGTTCAGTGACGCCAAGGTCATGTTTCCTTCCCACAGCAAAATCCAGCTTAAGCCGATTTGCTCAGGTGCTCGTCAACCCCAAATGTCTATCCGTAATCCAAAACGCCTCCCTTGGACGGATATGCATCATCAACACACGCCAGCGGCCAGCGAGCAACAACCGTCTTTGCACGAAGGGCAGGTTGAACCGAAGGGGACTTGTTATTCTCGTTGATTTGTCACGCATTCTGACATGGATACAGGCAGGGATCGGTTGCAAGGTTCCAAGGTTTTCTGGAACTGGGCGCTTCGATGACTTCTGCAGTACTCATAACCCGGTGACTAAACACAAGACGAGCCTTTTCCAAATCTTCCCTATCTGTAATAACACGACTAAAGGACAAATGAAATAAAGATATGCCTGCAGTGCTTGTCGATGGCTTCGATGGTACATACCATTTATCAATCAGATAGAGACAATTTCATATCAAAGGACGGAGAAGTCAGCTCGTGTTTGTTAAGCGGCTGTAGTCCCCTGTCCAATTTGACCGAGTCCTGTATCATCACAACCACGCACATGGCGGCTCCTAACCGTGTTGCAAGGAAAGGAACCCCAGAGCCGAAACTCATCATCGTCGTATAATCCTTTCTCCCATTCATGCATGCATGGGGTTTGTGCGGTACGTCGATGTACAGCTGGTCGCCTGGACGAACAGGCTGGCAAATCAATGTGTGGTATGTCGCGTGTGGTGCACCTGGCTTCGAAGTACTGTACATAGACAATTCCCATGGCGAGGAGAGGTATCGCGTGGTGATACGGCGGGCTGATAATAAGGCCGATTGGGGGGCGTTTTTGTGGCGGTTTGCTTTCGTCCAGGGGCCTGACGATGGCGTTTCAGGGCGGAACTGGGGTTGCGCTGGTCATAAAATGGCACTGTTGTGATGAGGTGGAGGAGCCGCGGAGGAGGTGCAAGCAGGGTACATGATGGGAATTTGTTGACGAACAGGGTTACTCGGGATGGGTTATCATCCAGGTTGTCATCATATTACCTGATGAGACGATTGACGGTGTCTCTCCCTCTCTCTGTCGCTACCTTGTCTCCCACGTGGTATACTGTACTTACAGTCGGAGCAAGACCTGAATCCATCAGAGAAATCCTGCAGGTAAACGATGATGCATGACGTGAGCAGGAGCATAGCGTGACACTGCGGAAGGCAGTAATCTGCGCTTCGTTCTCGCGAATGTTGCTCGTATGCATGCATGACGAGAGCAAACCTTGGTCAGTTACAACATGGATGTGTGTGTCACTCGTGTTGTCCAGTGTCGACACACCGAGGTAGATTGGCAATCCCTTCTGCGGCCGGTCCATCGAGCGCAGCAGCGATGACGAGCAGAAGCAGGGAGGGAAATCGCTGCCGACATCCAAGTGTAAATACATACATGTGAACATACATCATATAATGTACTCGGTGGCTGGCTGTACGAGAGTGAATCTGGACGGTGATGCCACGAGGGCATGAAAGGATTCCACCACGTGTGCGCGCGCGGCCGCCCAGTTCATCAGCGGCGGCGGGAGAAGGGAGCCATCAGGACTGAAGAGGGTGCGGCCTCCCTCCAAACGCTTGCGGGAGAGTCATCACACGATGCTTCCTGAGATTTGGCTGGGGCTCCAGGTCACTTCACGCACGGGTACCGCGGATTCGACAGCAGAGGCTCCCGATTGGTAACGATGCAGCCGTGGGAATGACAAGCGTGAAGTACGAGCGCAATGTCTTCGGATTACGCCGATGAGCACGAGTGTTGTCTCGCATCCCGAGGTGATTTGATCTTTGCAGAAGCTAGTACGTATTACATGGATTAAGGGATACATGAAAGTTCAAACGGCGAACAAAGCACAGTGTGAATAGCATCATGGCAGAACGTCGGCGTTTCATCCCTGTCAATATCGTTGTTTGTTGGTTGCAACCGTTGTCTGCCTGTGATGGGTAAGTAGCCTGTGTCGAAAGCATGTCCAAGGCAACTCGACCAAACATTTCATGTATGTACATAGTACCTGGTGGGTAAGGGAGAACACGCGACCAGGGTAAGGGAAAGAGGGCTATAGGACGGCGAGACTCTCTCGTTTCCGACTGCCAAATACATGCATCTGATTGCTTGTCGAGGATGAGTGAGAGCACCTGGGCAGGGTTTATAATTAGAAGAGTTGAACTTTGGGGTGACAAGCTTTGCGACAAAAAATTGATTAAAACAACCACGCCAGTGCGCCTGTTATCGCTGTCAGCGTCGCGGATAGATAGCCCTGCCTGGAGAATGGGGAGATGAGTCGTGTGCTCAACGCCACGCCCCGATGATCGAAGGGTCGACAATCAACCGTGTGCGCACACCACCCACAATAAAACTACCTCAGATCGGGTGAGAGTTGTGATTCATGTCCGTCTGTAGTGCCATGGGTGGGAGGCGACGCCGCGGCGGCATCTGTCAGCGAGCGATGTCAGGAGTAGACGTTCTCACCACACCTGGGCATCTACAGTACATCCTACTACAGTACATTCTACATCACTCCATCCACACTGTGGAGGGTGAGAGGATAATGTGTGCGTGCGCATGGACTGTGTGTTTGCGGACGGGAAACCGGGGATGGCATTCCGGATCACATAGACTACCCAGGTACTCTGCTTTGTACTGTAACGGAACAGCGCCCAGGCGGGAAGCCACCATCATGGCTGCAGCAATGGACTGCTGCATCTTCTACCGTGCCCGAAGAGACCGGCTTTCGTCGATGAAGCAGTAGCACCGACAGCAGCGGCGGCGTCGGCTGCAGCAACAGAAGTATTGGCGGTTGCAGCATAATGCACGGCTATGCACCAGGGAAAGGCGCACATCTCTTCTGTGCGACGGCACCATCGGCAGTCGGTGAGGGGCGGAAACAGGCGAGTGAATGTCCCTCGCGAGACCGATAACGCCGCGCATATGACATGGAGCACACATGTTGGGATGTATATCGTGTATTGTATCTTGTCCTTTGCTACGGTGATGTCATGTATTGCTGTCACAGTTCTTAAAGAAATACACGAAGGTGCTATACCAACATGAGGTCGCTTGCTTATGTTCGCTAGCGAAAGACAAATAGATTGAGGGCGTCCAATGTGAGAGAACATTTTACGAAGTTCTGGCCAGCAATTTCGATAGGGCGAACAATGCAATATCTCCACCCTCGACTAGCCGGTTTAGGCCGATCCTAACACCTGGTGATTGCGTTTTCCACTGCCTTTCGTCACCTCATCACGTGTGTAGCTCGCCAGCGGATCTCAGAACGAAAGGCAAAATAGATTAGACTGTTCGGCGGGGTTGCCGTGCCGTATAGATCGGCGGGCGCGGGTCGCCTGTGTAAGAAAGTCAGAATGAACGGCGCTCGTGTTTTCGCGCCACGTAAGCAGAACGAAACGACAAGATCCTTTCTGCATCACAGATACCTGCATTGTGCTGTGGTCTGAGGGAAGGTTGAAAAAGGCAGTTTCAGACGGCGGTGTGAGTTTACCCTTTCGGATTCGGAAACTGCCCTTCACCTTCCAGGCGCTTGATTGTGAACCTTGGCAGAACCCTTGTTCGGAGTGGAGCCTGCGCTGTCGCTCCTCCCATTGCCATCATCATCATAATCGTCATCATCATTGAATTCGGGTCGAGGCTTCTCCTGTTGGAGGAGTGCATGGGCAGTGCGATGCCTGCGTCGACTGGGACCGTGGCAGAATCACCTCCCCTGAAACGGACGGGAAGGATCCACCTGTGCATGCCCATTGCAGGGCGCCCAATGTACAGTGTACAGTAGTGCAACGCATGTATCCTCCACGAGGGTCGCTTGCCGAAGAAGCACGGTGATGTCTCGTCCTTGCTGGCACGGACATGCACGCACAATTGGGGGATGGTTATACATAGCCCTCTGCGTGTCGGAGTCGTCTGTGCGAGCCAGGCTGGCTTTCTGATTGCAGCGAGTTTTCTCCGTTTGATCCTTGTCCTGGAGGATCCAGACACGCACGGGTCAAGAATTGTGAGGCTCTATGATTGCTTTTTGAGCACCATCACTGCAGCTTGTACAATGCAGGCAGCATGCTAGCAACTGCCTGGTCATATTATCCCAGTGATCTTGCAATCGCCACATCGTTCACTACGGCTAGAACGAAGAAATTGTACGTATTGTTCACCAATGCCACTCGATTGATTACTTCGATCTCAAGGATACATAGGTAACAGGCTCATTTGAGCCGCCATCGAGCTTGGGCATTGATGGTCGTGACGGATCCTGCATACGGAATGAAGGATACGATGTGAAACAACAAGAACATCCATGGGCGGTCGATCTTCACATCATTCGCTTTCGCTCAGTCTACTCTTCCAGGTTTCGTTGCTGCCGAGTGGTGGTCATTGCAATTCAGGTGGCGCTCTACTTTTCAAACCCGGTCCGTTCGACCATGTGGACATTCCTTTCCTCCGAGTGGTCGAGCGACCCCGTAATTGCATTGTCGAAAAGCCTCCACCAGGGCCTGCCGGGCCTTTTATCTCGCCTTTCTAAACATGCTTTGACAACATGGTTCTCCCTGTGCTCACCAACATGATTACCATCATGTCATCGCCGTGAAGGAGTGCATTGTTTGCGCATTGTTTGCGCATTGTTTGCGCAGTGGCTGCAGGCGCGCCGAACGATCGCTCGAGCGGCGCGTCGGGGAACGTTGCTCGACCAAGGTGTGCTGCCCCGTCGCGATCGAACTTAATGAGTTAGTGTCAAAGTAGCGACTCGACCCTGGTCGCCCGGGCTTACGATCGCCGGGGGCCATGCGCCATTCGTGGTGATGGAGTTATGCGCGTGGAAAGGGAAAAATGTGCGGATAGGGAAGAAGAGGGTGTGCGTGTGGGTACTCACGTACTGTGCTGATTGATGAATATCGTGATGAAGACAACCTTGGAAAGTGCGAGAGCAGAGGGTGACTCGCTTCATTCATTCACGCACGCGGGCACGCACTTACAAGCACACACACACACACACACCCACACACCATCACTGCCCACACCACACACACACACACCTGCAAACCCATTTCTGTCCACGATTATCCTCCTCTTCTGGATGGCACGGATTAGTTGTGACATTGCTTGACGAGTGTATTGGATCACCCGGTGTGGAGTACTTGCTGCATGCTGATGGCGCTGTTGCTGCTGCTTTTCAATCACTTAATATTCACCTGTCCCTCCCTCTCGGCCGCACACGCTCGTCTTCCTCCACCTCTGTCTTTGGTGTCCATCCAACTCTTCTACATCTTCGTCAAAGCCGTCACCCGCTAGGCATGCGATTACCCTTGGCCGCTTGCGTATGCTGGTGTGGCACATATCTTCATATTAAGACAAACCCGTCTTGCCGCCCTCTCTCCAACCTTGTCACGCGAGCTTTCATCAACCTCTTTATCCCTCCTCACCATCTCTAATCACCATCCCTCACTTCCTGGCAATGGATGTTGCACTGCTTACCGCCGGTCATCATTCTGTTGCGCATAACGACTGTCGACCTCGTGCGCGACTGGACTGTTCGCTGCATTTTGCATCTGCTGTGATCCTCAAGACTGCTACCTACACACCATCGACAACGACTATGGACAACGGACCTTGCCTTTGCTTCCCATGTATCATCTCATACCTGGATGGTTTCGTGTGGCCCACCAAGGAGACACAGGTCTACCCACAGCTCCAACGGAAGGGATTCTCGAAGGCGCAACAGCGTGAGATCGCGGAAGAGTGGTATTGGGTGGCCATGGAGCGCGAGACAGCCGTCATGGACTATTTGAATGGATACGGGACCCTGTCGGATGGATGTTCGTGGCGGCGCCCTCCGCCGGGACCAATCAAGAAACCTATCTATCCAAGATGATGGCGGCCCTCCCATTTGCTCAACAGAACGCTTAACCACTGGCCACTTCTGACATTGTTCATCGCGATTTGACGACTTGCGCACGGCGATGTGGTCGGAATTTGTTCCGCCGAGATCCCTCTCTACTTGCGGGATCCTGGATACCCTCACCCTCGGCCCGCCCTGTCTGAAAATTATTGATGTCGCGAATCGCCCTGGCAGCCAAAACATCAGTCGCCATCGACTAGAGGTTTTCCACAGTATGCCTGTCAAACCGTGTTCCCGGATGGATCCGAGTTCCAGACGTCCCACTGCCCGTGGGACGTGGATCATCGTTCCGTGCGCCTCCCATGATTCCCGGACGGACTATTACGTCTTAATGGACAATCGCGCTCTCACACTCGCTTACATCTGAGCGCAATGGATGCCTCATCACCCACTTGCTGATTGATGACGGTGGCCTACACTAATTGCAACCACTACTCGACTTGCCGCTCGCCGCACCCATGCCAACCCGTACACGGACACCCTTTCCCGCTCCATTTACGGAAGGAGTTGCACATGGCGCCGTCTGACTAACCAGCCACGCCAGCGAATCGAGCTTGCTCGAACGCCCGCGGGCCGGATCAACTCCGGCTCAAGCTTATGCACGACAGATGACCCTAACCGTGCACGCGCCACCGATGGCCCTTTGCATCCCGTCGTCGCCGCCGCGCCGCTGAGTTCAAACCCAGATCACACCTGAGGTCGGATAGCAGGCGAATCTCCGAGCCGCATTGGATGATAGATGCAATCGCCCAATTTCTGGGCCCAGCGAACCGCTCGATCCTGGAGGAAGGAATTGTCCGCCCGTGCTGGATCATGTCGTATTCCAATCCTGTTGGCTCGCAGCGTCAACTCAGTCACATCCCTTGGAAGCTGGTCTGGAGCCAATGGTTGTACCTTCGCGTCGTTCCATCTCCTTCACCGCAAACATGGGCGCAACCACTGTCACCCTGAGTGAGAACGTCCCGAGCTATTCTATAACAACCTGAGATTTTCTGCAGTATTTGGACTCATTCCGATCTTGTGTGGGCCCATATTTTCATGACATCCAGCGTGTTTTTGCATGTCAACATTGATGAGAGCGGATCTCACGCAGCTGCACCGTCAGGCACCATGGACAGTATAGGCGCACGAGGCGCATGCTGTGCCGCACGCTCCGACCCTGATGGCGCTTTCCATCAGTTGGCATTCCCAGCAGCATATCCTCGCTTAACGATCGCAATATCGGGATGCGGGGTTGACCTTCTCGCTTCCTCCGCCGCGCTCGACTGTTTCCTACTATTCATCAATCGCGATGTTGATTGACGGGCGCGGATGTACACACTTCCATTTTTATGAGGTTAAACGATCTGGAGGCATTTCTAGCGGAATACTACACACTGCCATACTTTTATTAATATAAAACATCTCAACGTAACAATGCGGTGATGGCGTTCGCTTCCATAATTTCGCGACTTAGGATAGTGCCACCAAGATCAGATGGCCATGTACCTAGGTGTGATGCATCTGGCGCAGGAAACATTCCCTCGATCTCGGCGAGAATTCCAGGAGATGGAGCGGTGGGCCATTACGTGACCTCGATGCAGGCAGAGTTTGGGCGGATGAGCCGTCCGCTCGCGTGCGGACGTGGGCGAAAGCTCTGACAGTTTCCGTGCAGAGACCATTGCGACCCGCAACACTTCGCTTGTACAGTACCGTACCGTACTATTTTGGCCTTCTTCTATGATGACACCACAAGCAGATCGTCGTCGCATCTCATGCCCGCTGAAGGCTATCGTGGCGAAAATCATTCAAGTCGTTTAAGCGGTAGATACCGTAGCGTACGATCAGCAGCTGGCAACCAAGTGCGCGACACACGTCTCCCGCCCTTTGATGAAAATCGATCGGATCTCTGCGCCTTCTCGCCCTGCATTGTGCACAAAAGGCAAGGATCTTGGATGCAGCATGGCCCGTCCGCCATTGAATCGGAAGTGTGTGCAGTAATCCTGGTCGTCCATGCATTGGTACGCGAACAACACATCCACTCGTGCCACTTCCCATCCCTCCCTCAACGGAATTTCGGGCCGCGAGCAGAAATCTTTCCCTTGCCTGCTGCGAGTGTTGTTCGTCCCCCCGATGCTTACGCTCGTCTCGTCTCGTCTCATCTAATCCCCTTGCTTCGCCTGGGGGCGCCACTCAATTGCGATGGGCACCGCACAGACTTCTTCGATCCATGCGCGCGCGATGCAGCCATCGCCAACTCCCGCGAAAACTCTCTCTCGTGCCGACGTGGACGTGCACGACGGGTCATCTCACGATCGGAGTCTATTATGCCCACCAACAGCACGTCAGTGTGTGATATCCTCCTTTGTACTACGCGCGTATTACATGCATGATTCTCTAGTACCATCCAGCACGTACAATTATCGGGGAGTCGTGGCGTTGTTGGTTCCCACCTGGTTTCTTTAAATCCCAGTCGTTAACACCATGTCATCGTCCCGTTCATGCAGTCCATCGATGGTTCACTCTTTGCAGTCCACTGAAGCAAGCTAACATTGAGCAAATTCTCCATTTGTCTAGGCTCTGCAGGGTGAGATCCCAAGCGGCTCATCGATGTGAAGAGATGCTTATGTGTCGAGCACTATACAATCACTCGGGCGCAAGCATAACCCTTTCTGAGCAGCCATGGCTGCATTGTGGGTGGTGCGCCTCGATCAGGTCTCACGGAACGTGAGCACTAATCAACGTCAGTGCTGGACCAACAAGCGCGCCGCAGCCGCTTCTCACCGTCATGAAATTCCCGCAGACGGCTTCCACGGGGCACGACGGGCCTTGATCGTCCTCTACAAGTGTGAAATCGACGCCCATGCCCGTTACTTTTCCAAGATTGTTCCCGTAGTCGATCGTTGCGAATCCAATCTCGCCTCTTGCCTTTTGGCTAGCGGGATCTCGTCTTCCTAGATGGCGCTCATGCTGGGAGATTCATTCTTGCTCAGCCCTATGTGATCACTTTTTTGAAGTCTCACGAGCGTCTACCTATGTATGTTCCGAGGTTGTCGTCACAGACTCCTAGTGGTCGTTTCGATCCGCAAATCACGATCGTCATAATAAATGTCCGAGATGAGGCACACGCAAGAGGAGCTCGTATGTGTGTACATATCTAGTGTGCGTACACCCACCTTCGTGATTTGAAGAGTGTGCTGATCTTCTGCCGAATCCGACGACGGTACTCATCATCTGTTCCAAGCCGCCCTTGTACATGTGCAGTTTCCGCATTCGCCGCGACCTGTGTGTGAAACGCAAGCCCAATACAAGTGCTGACGACGAGAGCGTGGCTTGCACGACTCCCCCACCGTTTCAATGAATGGTCATACGATGGACTCTTCTGGCCAGAACGCCTCTGTGAGATCGGTGTCTGCAAACCCGCTTCCAGAATGATACAAGCTGGCCTGGAGCTATTGTCGTAGTCTACTCCCTCACCGTACGGGCGAACGAAGACATTTCGAGTGTTCGTCAATGTGTCTCCGGAGTTTGTTCCTGATACCTTCCTTGTCGCTACATCGCATGAGCATTTCGTAGCGGAAGCAAGTGTGCTTGACTGTGCCCCGGTCCAAGTGGCGATTGACTTTGGACTTGTGATGCAGGTCATTCGGGTGTCCACCAACTAATGCACCTCTAGAGGCCGAGATGCGACGCGATCCGCCCACCTACGCCCAGGAACCTCTAGGCTCTCGCACGGATTCATCTGAGCTGCTTCTCACGATGCAGTCTGTTGGCGGCACCAGTCATTCACGGTCATTTCCGTAAGGTAAGCGGTGCGTAACTGTGCTTGCTGGTTGCTGGGTGTGCCGCAATGGATGCGTGAGACGGGAAATGCGAGGGTCTTGGTCTGACAGCGAATCGATGTCATGATCATCGTCAGTGTGAATACCTATGTACCTTCTTCAATATTTCACTTTCTTGTGATGTGCGAATACGGAAAGTGATGAACAAATGTGCAGCTTCTCCCACTTAGTAGAACACCACTGATGGGGTACATCTATCGACATGGGCAGTACCTCAACAATTTCAGAGCACGGTACATGATGTGCTGCTCCAACTCAGCCCATATTCGCTCTGTCACCGTTGCATGATGCGAAGGCTTACTGTCCGAAGCCGGAGCCGGTCATGGTCTTCGCCGCAAAGGACGTTACCTTGCTCAGGACGCCTGCCCCAATGAAGGAGTTCCAAGCAGGCACCTTTTCCGAGAACCGAAAACTTGAAAGCATTCCACGCCACCGTCCAGAACTTTAAGATGCAACACACGTGCTCACAGCGCTGTTCCTCACGATGCCGGAGAAACATCGTCATTGCTGGTCTGCTGATTGACATCGTGCCAAGCACACCAGCTGATGTGGTGTTCCGGAAAATTGTCCCACCGAGGTCTAGCAGAAAGCCCTGAAGCAGACGCGCACGCAACGTGGCAGCAAAACGTGTCAGCTTAAGCTGATCTAGCCAGTATGTCATACACGTCGGTATAGTAAGCTGGACCAACACCAACGACACTGCCATTGGATGCTCGCGGGAATCTTCTGACGACGAAGGCCGCAGCACCAGCAACTATTTTGGGTCTCTCTCACCTTTGAAATTCCTCAATGGGGTTGTTCGCGGTGATAACTCACTGTGGTCCACGTCGATAGTGCGCTGCTCGCTTGTCTGTTCTGCACAACCCGCTCGACATCATGTGGGGTTCACCGACGACGACCGTGGTCACGGTGACGATGGTTCAGGCGCGCACAGTGCCACAGGAGGTCTGGCATGTGTTTGAAACACTACTCGATCATTCGCCGACCATCTTATACGTTTCCTTGATCCTGACGGCTTTGTTCTTTGGTCTCGCGCTTCCGGTAATGCCTCCTGAACACCACTGCCTCGCTCCGCGCGTGACGATTTCAGTCAATACCGAGATATAGGACCTGACCAGGACTGACATTGGTACACAGCTCTATGTTGTCGTCTATTTCTTCGCACCTACTCCGCGACCTGCGACGACTTCCGAGAAGCAATATATCACCGTGCTCGAGAATGGCGCCGTCTCCCCGAAATTACCCCTACCCTGTTGGCACGATGGCCACCTCGCCCTGAAAGAGATGGCGCAAAAGAAGTCCATTCTGCCTTCGGAGGCCTTTCAAATAAGTGAAGGAGAAGTCTTCATGTCGCTGGTCATACCGGCCTATAATGAGCAGGACCGCCTAATTGGTATGTTGGACGAGGCTGTGGAATATCTAGAGAAACAGTACGGGCATCACGGCACACCAAGCCGTAGCAGCACAAATGGGTCTGCACAGGCACATGGTCGTCAAGGTGATCCACGTCGCGGCTGGGAGATCATACTGGTGGACGATGGGTCACGAGATAAGACCGTGGCGGTCACTCTCGAGTTTGCTCGTCGGCATATCTTGCGCAGCAGGTTGGCGGCGGCAGGTCAAGCAGTACAGGCCGGAGCGCCGGCCGGAGCGATTCGCGTAGTCAGTCTGGAGAGGAACCGAGGCAAGGGCGGCGCTGTGACACATGGGATGCGACATGCGCGTGGGACATATGTTGTCTTTGCTGACGCCGATGGCGCAAGCAAATTCTCGGATTTGGGCAAATTGGTACAGGGCTGTGAACGTGGAAAGGATAAATTGGGTCGTGCTGTGGGCATCGGCTCGCGGGCGCACATGGTTGGCACTGCGGCAGTTGTGAAGGTGAGTTAACTTCCCCCGGTCTTCCCATATGGGAGCGACACGCACAGGACGGAAGCCTTCCAGAAGCTCGCGGCTCTGCCCAACTTTCACATCACCTCTGAGGTCCCGTCCCTCTTTCTGCTGCATCTGCACATGACTGACTCATCGATTTCGCAGCGATCTCTGCTCCGCAACACACTCATGCGCGCCTTCCATCTTTGCATCTGGTTACTCACGACACCCAAAGTCGCCAAGGTCAAGGACACCCAATGCGGCTTCAAGCTCTTTTCACGGCCTGCCCTACCTTATATCGTACCGTACATGCACTCGGAGGGTTGGATCTTCGATGTGGAGATGTTGATGTTGGCGGAGAGCGCAAATATCCCCATGATCGAGGTCCCTGTGGGTTGGAAAGAAGTCGGAGGCAGCAAATTGAATGTCGTCAAGGACAGCATCGGTATGGCGGTCGGACTGGCACTATTGCGGGTCGCATGGGGCACAGGTATCTATCGGAGGGACTGAGAATGGAATGTTTGCATAGGCCCCTAGATCGGAGGTATCTATCCTTTTGCATAAATTGTGTAGCCCATATCTGAAAAGCGTCTCGAAGGAAACGCCTGTGAAGCGTCAGACCAGTGTGGATTCTTGTTGCAGTGAGTATTTACAACATGGACTAGTTGCCTGGCGTCATTCTACCGAGGTCAGATCCATGAATTTTGTCGTGCTCTTCACGACTGTCGCCTGCAGGGGTATCCTTGGAAAGTCAAATTGAGGAGAAACAGAAATCAACAAAGGGTCGGTCCTGTATGTAACAACAACAATGTGGTACCGAGCCGATGGACCGGCTCTATCGTTCAAGCTGTCAGAAGCTTTCCAAGGGTCGCGCGGGCGTCAGATCCAATCCAACATGCCCAGGTGCTCTTGGAGGAGGGACAGACGCGTGTGTGGGCGCGTGTGCTGACAAGCAGACATAAAAGTAGACGCGGTGCCCACACTCGCTTTTCCTCCCCACCATCCGTCCCAGTACCCATCAGCCGATGATGACAGAAGGAAGTGGCATCTTTGTTGTCACTTTTGCATAACTCGTTGCATAATCTTCATCAAAGGCTCTCTTCGACAGATCAACAAGAGCAGCAGCATCATCATCATCATCATCATCATCACCACCGAACTACATGATTTCATACTCCTGGTCAGATCGAGTCACTGAAAGAGAAAAAAATTACAGGAAAGGGACGCGTCTATCATCGCCGCAGCTGTGTTCGTGCATGTCCCATCCCGACCAATCATCGCCCCGGATCACTCCAGGGAAGCTTGGACTGGGCCTGTCGTTCTGTGTCCCATTGACGCAATCCGGCAACCACTAAAACCTCCGTTACCTACCATTATTATTACAGCAAGTTTTTTTCGTTACTTTAATTTATGCCGAGCTCGCGACAGCTCTCCAACAAATCATTTTTGTTTTCTTTCTTGCGCCTCTCACAAATACGCTGTGTCTACCATCAGCGGCCAGAGGACAGAGCCGATCGCAGACCGTCTCACAATCCGCCTCGGTCTTATGCCCAGTGCAGTGATTGAGCAAGACTTGCACCGCCCTCAGCAGCATTGACACTCCTTCTGTTCGCGAGGCGGTAACTGCCGCCTGTCTCACGCCGCGTGTCGCTGCTCGCTCTATCCCCACCAGCCAGGACTCAGGCACCACTCGACGCACCCATCACCATGGACTCCAATTACCGCCCTCAATCACCAGACCTCTCCTCATACGCACCGCAATCACCTGATCTCTCGGGGTTCCAACCTCCCGACCCTGATATCGCATCTGCTCACACGTCGTCTCTCTACGCGGGTTTCGGACAGGATCCAGCCTTTTCGTCACATCAACCTCCAAGCTATGGTCAGCCGGCGGCCGGCAGATTTCAGGGCTCAGCATATCCGGGTGACAATGCCAACAGCCACAATAACGGTTTTCGAGGGAACTACCCTCAACAACCACCCACATCGATCCCACAGCTTCCAGAAGCTGCCTTCCAACAACAATTGCAACAGCAATCGTACCACCACCCACAGCAACAGCATCCCCAACAGTACATCTCACCCAATGTGATGGGACAGCCGCAGCAGTTCCTTCAACAGCAATATCCGCAGCAGCAGCAACCGATGTATCAACAACAACAATTCTTCAAACATGAGGACAACGACCCCGACTACAACCCCCACAGCGCGCCTGCTCCCACACCCGGCAAGCGAACCCGACGACCGAAACAGGAGCCATCGTCGTATGGCATGCCTGGTAGCAGCGGGTTCGGACCACAGTCCTCCTACGCCATGAACAACCACAACCGACATGGAATGCCTGCAGCACCAGTCAAATCCGAACCTCTTCCAGATCCCACGCTTGGCTGTCAACTCCGCACCACATTCCCAGTCGCCCGTATCAAGCGGCTCATGCAGGCCGATGAGGATATCGGCAAAGTCGCCCAAGTCACCCCGACTGTTGTCAGTCGGGCGTTGGAGCTCTTCATGATCAAATTGATCTCAGCATCAGCGATGCAAGCGCGAGGTGGCGCCGCTGCTACGACGGCAGCAGCAGCAGCGTCCGCGACAGCTCCCGGGACAGCAAAAGGCGGTGCAGCGGCGGCAACGGGTGGCTCCGGGCCAAAGAGGATACTCGTCCAACATTTAAAGAAAGCTGTGCTCGCAGATGAAACCTTTGACTTTCTACGGGAGATTGTGGACAAAGTACCCGATGCTCCGACGAAAGGCAAGAGAGAGGGAGCTGGCGGCGGCGTCGGAGGTGGAGGTGGTGCTGGGAGCGACTCAGAAGACGGCGGAGGAACAACGAAGGCGAAGAAGCGCGGCAAGAGACGAAAGGATTCGGGAGACGATTTTTGAGGGCAGAATGAATCCAAGGATAGACACTGCGAATCAAATGGAAAGAAGCATGGGCGATCATGATCGAATCCCTTCTCATGACGTGTTGACCTCTTTCATACTCCCATCTTTTATTGGAACATCTCCTCCGCTCGAATTGAAGCTGTATCGCAAACTGCGAGGTTTGATCGGACAAGTGCCATCAAGGATTGAGCAATCCCGGACAATACCTCCCTCTCCTACCCACGTTTCATCTGTGGACTGCCTCAAATATGAGCGTCTGACGAACACGCGCTCACTCGAATCTATCGCGACATCCTCGACCTCTCAAGATTTGCGCATTCAGACTGCATTGTGCAGGGCGCGAACAATCCAAGCCTGTCATTGGCTGCAAGCGCGTTGCAATGCGAACGCCTATGCAAGAGCTCAATTCCCGAGCACACAAGTACCGGTCACCACGAAGGCAGGCACAGACGACATTGATCGAATTAAAGAAGAAATCGTATTCATTCGTGAACCGGAACGTATTATTTGTACACCCATCTCTGAGACCACCGATTGCTGAGGACTCTTTGGGGATACTGCCATGCTCCAAAGCGGCGTCGTCCCAAGAACTTGTTTCGACCATGCCACCATGTGCAAGAGAGAATTAAAGAGAAAACTCGATGAAAATACCCGCTCTTTCATGAAACGTCACTGCGAGGAAGAAAGACAGAATGCTCCATGCTGCTCGTTTGCATCTATGCAAGCTGACCACGCACAGCGCCGGGAACCGCTAGGCTGCTGTGAACATCTGCGAAGAAAGCCGCCGGGTTCGCCTCGAGCTTAGCGATGGTGAAGCCGTCTCCGGAGTCAATCTTGGTGACGTTGTTCACGACGCCCGTCTTGAAGGGCCCCGAGATGCAGCCGACGCTGATGCGCTCGTTCTCCGGGCCGCCGGGGACGACCTTGGGGTTGGGAAAGGCGATGCGCGGGGGCCCGCTGGCGCCGCGGGCGGCTTCGTGGATGTGCGTGGCGGTGTTGGCCGGGGACTGGTAGTCGCCGCGGAAGTTCACCAGCTTGATGTTATAGCAGATGATGTCGAGCTTGCTGTTGAGCCCGAAGTTGTAGTAGCCGACGGCGCCCTCGAGACCACCGGTGGGAGTGGTGCCGTTGACGACCTGGTCAGGTGTGGCGCAGACGCTGAACTTGGAGGTGAAAGGGATCAGAGGCTGATCGCATTTCTGAAACGAGAGGTCTGTCAGTATCTTTCGCACCCGTTGGATGGTCTCCACCTTGGAGTGTGACTAAGACTTACGCGCCACGGGGAGCTCTTGAAGTTGACCGAGAGCAGAGCGTCGGGCTCAGCGGCAGGAGCAGCGAGGCCGGCAGCGGCGAAGAGAGCGGTAGCGGCGAAGAAAGTGGTCTTCATTTTGACGATTGTAAATGTGTTGGTTTGGTGGAATCGAGAAGGCTGTTCTTCTTGTCTAAATGTATCTTGTTGATGGATGGATGAGGATGTTAGACTCCAAACGAGACGTAGGGGAGTCTACTTATACATCTTGAGGTGCTGCTCAAATAACCATGTCATAACCATACTGTCTTGCCGGCGAGAGTGCTGCGCCATCTTGGGAGAGACAGAGCTCATCCGGAATGAGGTATGCCACGCCTTGGGCCTGGTCCTGATGGAAAGCATAGCAAATCATCCAACGGATCCAGCATCAATGGCTTGTCTTGGTATTGCCGCAGGTGTGCGGTCTCACATGGGTCGCTGCTGTTTTCCGCCTACATCGTGCGCAAAGTGAACGCGAAGTGTACTGGATACTGAACAAACGTTGACGTCCCAAGAGATTCAAGACGGAAAAGCTCAGCTCCGAGAGGCTGCCAATCCATGGCAGCACCATTTGCCAATGCTGGGCAGTGATCGGCAAATCTGGCCCCGTCACGCCCGGCGGCACTTCGTACAGGGCTGACGTCCAAAAGACTTTGGGCTAGAGACTCGATGTTGTGCCTCGTCATTTCACAGATTGATTGTTTGGGAGACTTTACCTGTCAATGCGAAAGAATACAATCGGGATGATCGATCCCGTTGAGGCGTTTCAGGAGCGAAGTCTCCATATTAGCATTTTCATCTCCAGCGGGAATACGTTTCTTACAAGCCTGTGAGCCCGATGTCGCTTTGTACATTATTTCAATCCGTGTCGGGTAGAACGCAGATAATCTGAGCAGAATTTCCTATCCTACTGCTATTACGCTGGCAAAGACGCGTGGACGAGTCTTTGGCAGACGGATGATGCCCTTGTTGTCATCAGTGTAGTCGCCGCCACCACCACTACCACCACCGCGGCGGAGCCGTCAACACCGCTACGGCCACGAGGAAGGGAGAAACTGGTCTCGCGCTACGTCCGGCGATCAACATTGCCAACATACGAACATGGCCATGAGGCTATAATGCTCGGAACTCGTGATAATCGACAACCCACTGTCATAGTTCGTCGCCCTCTTGCACTGCGCCGTATGCTTGGCATCGGGACGGTGACGAGGACGATGGGGCATGTATGCAAAGCAACGACTGCATTTTTGTCCATTGAGATTGGGAGATATGGTGAACGAGTGATGATTACATCATGTTCAGCCCCGCCCAGGAAAGAGTTCGAGATTCTAAGTCTGTCTCACCAGCACGTGCATGTATTGATGATGAAGCCGCCCTCAAAGGAGCCTTGCGGCTTCATTCGGATGAGCGGTTGATCCGTATAGGGCTAGCAGCATGGCACCGCTGGTCTTGGGACGTCCTGGAACGTGCAGCAAATTCACTTGGCTCTCCTGTAGTGTATCTACTGTGCAAATACAAATGCCCAAGCCTGGGGAAACTCCGGTTCTCATGATGACGGCGAAGACGCCGAAGAGGAGAACGAACATTGGCATTGCGTATGATGCCACGAGGCGAAGAAAGTCTTCTAGATCGAGCCTTGACGCCCCGTCCGGCGCCTTGGACTCTCGTCCAGTAGTTCCCAATAACCACGAGGAACTGCCGCAGAGACGGCCCATTGCCCCATTTCTTTTGCATCGTGGCGACCACGCTTCACGATTACGCTCTGCGCACACAAGGCTCTCTCCCCCATCTCCAAGCGCGCTGCCCAGACGACAAGGCGGTCTGATGGCCCTGGCCTCACTGCCGTGATTGATGAGTCCGGGGTAGAAGACTTGGGCAAAGCTACTCAATCTGTCCAGCCGAAGACTAACCAAATTGCTGTTTTTCCGTCACTTGTGACTGTGATGTAATGACCATTGCCGGGCTCTTATGATAACCCCTCGCATGTAGCATTGCTTTTTTCCTACATCATTGTCAAGCTTCCCGCTCCCAGGGTGTTGGTCTGGCTCGAAAGACTTTTCTGAGTGCAATCTACGTTCTGCACATTGACTCACGGCCGTACGCAGACGACATCAGAAAGTGAAACCTTGCATCTCGAGACAATTACAGAGTTTTACAGGAGAATTATGGTCGTTCATGACAACGGTCTCGATTTCGTTACAAAGATGCGTACAATTTCGTTATATATGACAAATTCGACTTTATGTGATCCGTTTAGATGCAATACGCAGATGCTGCGATGAAGCAAAAAAAGAAAGGACAACCCCGCGATGAAATTTACAAGATCAGACTCGCACCGAGAGTGGCGAATACGGCTGCAAGCCCGGTCATCCACAGGCCGGTGAAGTCGGTCGCTGGCATGAGCCGACCAGCCGCAGCATTCGGCGATGTCGAGGGGCTCGGGGTACCCGTGGCAACGACACCGCCATTGCCACCGAGTCGAGCCGTCAACGGCACAGCGTTCGTGCCGGTCGCCGTGCCAATCGCAGTAGCGAGGGTGCTGACACTGTGGCTGGTCGCGTAAGTTATCCGGGGCGGAATAGTCCAGGTGTTGGGTGAAGCGGTGACCACGTTCGACACTGCTCTGGCGACTCCTAAGGGACCAGCGGGCACGGGCACGATGTTAGATTTAGCAGAATCGTCTTCGGAAGCTTGCGCGATGCTGATTTGACCGTTGTCGAGATCGTACACGACATACATGCTCCGAAGAATGGCATCTCCGAGCCCACTCATGCCCTCCCCGTTTGGTTCATGAGGTTGAATCATGAAGAGACATGCTTGATTGTGCGCGTCGTACGCAATTGGCTCCTTGGTCTCAATATCGTAAGCTGGAATGATGAATTCACTGGCTGGGACCTTGATATGTACCCTGCCGCCGAACTCGAGGCTGAGAAAATCATTTGACGTGGCGTGAGCACACGAGCACAAGCCCTTTTCATCGACGAAGTCGAATACAGGCGCGATGATTTTTGCATAGATGTCGGCATCCAAAAACCAAGCGGCAGCGCCGGTATCGAGGATTACTGGCAAGCCGGCGTCATCATCGGAATACGCTTTGACGTCGGGCGAGCCTCCTGAAGTCAGCTTGTGCAGTTTGCCTGATACCGTGGCGTTCATTGCAGTCACGACACTTAGGTAACGATTAAGAAACCCAGGAGATGACCCCGTTGCTGTGATGTACTGAGGCAGCATGTTCAATGTGACCAGATTACCAGAGTACCGGCTGGTGTCGATGCCTCCAAAAAGAATGGAACCGGAGATATCCCTCTGGTCGTTCAGGAAAACGGAAAATAGTCGACTGTTGATTATGCCAGTGCTGACGAGGACTTCTGGTATGTTTGGATACTTCCCAGTTTCTAGTGAAGTGGCCTCCCCAATGTTGTAGCCGATTCCCATGAGGCCAACGCTGTAGCCTACCTTGCTTTCCGTCTCGGTAGCCAAGCCGAAGATCACATCCGAGATGGAAACGTCCCCAATACCGAAGGTATCCATGGCCAATGGACCAGTAGCGGTGGTACCGTCGCCGTAGAGTTGGTTGAAGGCAGGCGCAGGTATTATCTCCTTGTAAGTGTTTGATTTCGAGGGATTGAATGATCCGCCATGGCATGAACCTAGCCCTTGTTTCTGGCAATTTGGAAGAAAGGAAGCGTCGAAATAAAGATCCGATGATCCTGTATCGACGATGACGGTTTGTTCTTGAGGAGGCGAGCCTATCGTCACTACAACAGATTGTCAGCTGGCCCTCGTCAAGGCTGCATCAATTTCGAGGACTCTTACCATTCGCATAGTAGGCACCGCCATAGCTCCAGCTTAGCACATCGAACACGTTGGTGCCGACAGTCCCTCCAGCACGTCGCTCGAGCAGTGCGCTCCGAGCAAAGTTTGCAGTTGCGCCGTGGGTGTGTCTGTCTCGCTTTGATACTGAGATCTCAGGCAATATAGCAGCGGCAGAAACAATCAACAAAGGCGTCAATGCAAGACTCTTCATGATGCACTAAAGAGGACAGGGACCTATCGTCGTGAGGGTATTGAAAGACTCGAAGGAAGTTGTCGCCAACTGATTCGTGTAAACAAGACAGTTGAGGTCAACGAGATTGATGAAAGGGTGTGATTTTGAGAACTTGGCAAGTGAGGCCCACGGGTATTTGAATACATTTTGATCGTGAACGGCCATGCCGCCCAAACAAAGCAGTGATCTGAGGTCTCTAGAATACCAACGCATGGGTAGACCGCGCCGTATGTGGTGTTTCAGGATATTTCTAAAAGTAGTCGGCGAAGAGGCTGTGGCGTGCAGGCATGCGGCACGAACGACGGGACGCAAAGAGAGTCAGCGAGATCTGGCGGCTTGACCAGCACAACGAAGAGCCAATAGATGGGTGAACATACAGGTGATGAGATTCCCAGGGCAATACGCAACAGAAAACTCCTGTAAGCTTAATGAAGACAGTATATGAATATCGCGGTCATCGAAAGACAGATATCTCCAGAGCATAACGTGTAGTCATTGACACCCATGGATGTTTTCAGTCGGAGTGGACGTCCATGCACCGAGTTACCTCGTCCCTCAGGCACAAAAAGACAACCCTTGAAATCGCTCGACGAGAAAACCTGATTAGGACTAGTTTAATCTTAGCGTTTCTATAGTACGTCAGGGCCACGCTAGACGCGCGGAACAAGCGTCATCTTTACTTCTCATTGGTCCCGACTTCCTGTTGGCCACTGTTCAGGAAACATCCAAATATATATATATATATATATATATATATCGATCTCCTGTACATGCTGCGCCGAGCACTACGCCGCACGCTCCGGGGTTGCGTGCCTATCGCATGCGGTTTCGCGATAGAGACGAAGGCGTGCACTGCCTACATGGCTAGGAATACACTCCGAGAAGCCCATAGCCTACTCCGAGGGGCACAGCGGTCTGGTGGAGAAAGCTTGTCGGAGATGTGCGATTGCGACACACATCTTTCAAGCTCCGCCAGATGTAAGGAACGAGATGAGATCGGCCGCCAGGGACGAGGGTAATGCTTAATGGGCAGTAAAACCATGCGGCCACAAGGGGACCTGGTGGTTGTATCACATGTTGCATTTCATCGCCGCCAGCTACACCTCTTATCCGGGACCAGGATGATTCTGTCTGATATAGTATGGAGTGCAAGCACTGTCGACTCTCTCCACTTCATCTGTGTCTCCGGTTAGCTGCACCCGTTCTCGTAGTCGCTGCACGTCGTCGTGTGCTGGCGGAAAAAAGGTCACATGGATAGCAGGAAGGCGAGATTGCCATTGCTTTGCAGTGTGTCGGCGATGGCGGCCTATGGCTTTCCGGCCAGGAATCCCCAACAGTCGTGGCCTACGCCGTAATCCTGGCAGATCCTTTCTGAGCCACTTCACGGCACTTCCGGCAGCAGGACTGAAACACGGGCACCTTTGGTCTTTCACTAAGATAGAGTATCAGGCCGCCCACTGGAAGATGCTGCCACACGTGCATCATTGATATTGTCATACACTGGGTAGCGAGTGGGCCTTCTGCGGATATCATCTTGTTCTACTCTTTCTCATCCTGGTCGCTCCGCACGGAACATTTCCGTGTAAGGACATCGCAGATTGATGACGAGGCTGAGGGATTTTTGCATGTTGCGCATGGTCCAAGTGTTCTGGGCTATACAGTAGCGTCGTCGTGTGCTCCCGAACGCATGATTACGGAATACTTCCACTCTCAGGTACAATTGGGCGCGTCACCGCCTGCTTTGGGCCGGGGGCTCAATACTGAACCTCGGGGGCATTAGGAGCACTAGACAATTGACGTCCAGGAGTAAAGTTTCAATTGTTCTGAGTGACCCAGCGGTAGCTCTCTCATCACGTCTGTCGTTACGGTTTTGATTGTCCAGTGCATTTCATGGACGCTGCCGTTCGGAATCTGGTGAATGTGCAGGACGCACTTGTGCTCGTTGTCGCCGAGTATCCTCCTTGAGAACCGTTCGAGGAGTCACGCGTGATGTCTCAACCGGACGGGTCGCGCCCAGAGTTCGCAATGCAACAACGTCTGGGCGAGGTGACGAAAGAACCTTTCACGTTCGGCAGACGCCTGCTGGGACTTATCTGTCTGGCTACGACTGTGACTCTATGGACGGCGAGCAATTTTTTGGCTAGTGTACGCTCGTTCTCTACCTACATTGCTTTCCACAGCTGACACAAGTCTTGCCATAGACCATATTTGCAGACGATACATACAGCAAGCCATATTTCGTGACCTACGTCAATTCGACATTTTTCATCATTCCATTAATTCCAATATTAATTCACAAAGCATACAAACAGCCGGAAGAGCTGAAATCCTGGAGAGATGAGTTGCGCAGCCGAGCCGTCGGGCGGTACATGCCTGTCAGGGACGAGGAGGACGTCGAAGAGGAGGTGAACCCAAGAGCAAGCTCAGAGAGTGTAGAGGATGACACGCGGATACATCGTCGACCTTCAGTAAGGTCTCGTACTGAGTCCCAACAGATCGATCTTCAGGAGGGCTCTGCTCCACCTCTGACACTATACGAGACGATGCGACTCAGTTTTGAATTTTGTATACTGTGGTCCTTGGCGAATTACTTTGTCTCGGCATGCTTGCAATACACGACTGTGGCATCGTCGACCATCCTGACAAGTACGAGCAGTGTGTTTACGCTCGTCTTTGGAGTCATGTTCAAGGTCGAGATATTCACATTTCGCAAGACACTTGGCATCATGGCTTCTCTAGCCGGCATCATATTGATCTCCTCGATCGATCTTTCGGGCCGGAACAATGACGAGGACCATCGTGGTGACTTCCCGGAGAAATCATCACAAGAGATCGCGGTTGGCAATACTATGGCTTTGATTTCGGCTGTAATTTACGGCATGTATGCGGTCCTGATGAAGAAACGCATCGCTGACGAAAGCCGCATCAACATGCCGCTCTTCTTCGGATTCGTGGGCGCCATCAATTTCTTCCTCTTCTGGCCTGGATTCCTTGTGTTGCATTTCACGGGTATTGAGCCATTCGAGCTACCACCGGACAGTCGCGTCATGACCATTATCCTGTGCAATTCGTTGGCCAGTTTGATTAGCGACATAACGTGGGCCTATGCGGTCCTACTCACATCGCCGCTCGTGACCACTGTGGGATTGAGTCTCACAATTCCATGCTCACTGATCGGCCAGATGTTCATCAACAATCAGACGGTCGGGGTATGGTATTGGATTGGTGCGCTGTTGGTGCTGATTTCTTTCATATTTGTGTCGCAAGAGGACAAGGATTCCGACCAGTCACAAAGTGAAGCCAAACGACACGATGATTCGCCCCGTTCACGATCAACATCACACGGCCAGATCGCTGGAGAGCCTGCCGGCCTTTGACTATCGACCTTGCAGCCACCGACATCGCCGAAGGACGATTGAGTGGCTAGCAATATCCTTTGTCATGAAATGATACATGACATGAAGTCGCCTCCTACAAGAATTCATCTCTGCCGCATGACACAACTGCATAGCATCTCACTAACGGAAACGATCGATGCTCAATTAACAGAACGAGCATTCTAGCGAAGGCCACTATCTGATTCACTTCAGACTGACGAGAATTTTCTGTACACCCATCTATCATACTTCATCTAGTACCTTCTCGGCAGCTTGCACAAGCTTCTCGTATACATCCCGAACATATTTCTCTTCTGCCAAAGGATTAGCGGACACAACACGAATTGCATATACTCCCCCAACAAGAGTGGAAGTTAAGAAGTATTCCCGGCTTGAGTCGATGATATTGTAGACCTTCTCCGTCACATCGTTGGCGGCCTTGATGTTGGCGTCGTCCACCAAAGGCTGCACAGAAACTTCACTGTCTTGGTCAGGTCGTGGGTCACCTCCATCTGCGGCTTTGGTGTTCTCAGGGCGTCCTGCATTCCGCGGCACGACGGTCAAGACAGTTAACGCAAAATCTGGCGGAGACAAGATGCTGAAGATGTCGCTTCTTGACCGCACAAGATCAGCAAACAATTTTCCCAATGCGATGTGATGTCGGATATGCTCCTGCAAGCCTGCAACACCCCACGTTCGCATCACGAACCAAATTTTCAGGGCACGGAATCGACGGCCAAGCGGTATCTGCCAGTCGCGGTAGTCTGTCACCAAGCCGCTGTCCGTGAACTGATTCTTGAGATATGCTGGAGTCATCCCGAGCGTGTCCGTCAGATCTCGTCGTTTTCGCACGTACAAACATGACGCGTCGAAATTTGTCAACAGCCATTTATGCATATTCATATCGAACGAGTCCAAGAATGCCAACTGCTTGGAGAGGTGTTGGTATTCGGGCAGCACCAGTGCTGCTCCCGCGTAAGCTGCATCGCAGTGAATCCAGATGTCAGGATAGTCCTTGGCCACACCGGCAATCTCAACAAGATCGTCCACCGCACAAGTGCTCGTCGCGCCGATGCTGACAGTTAAGTAGTATGGGAATAGACCTTGTGATATGAGCTCCTCAATTTTCTTACGCAAAACTCCTCCCTTCAATGCATAGGCGTCTTCACGCCGCGTGCTCAGCTTCCTGATCCGCGTGCCCGCAATATTGGCCGCCTTGTGCGTAGACGAATGCGCCTGGTCCGAGCACAAGGCCACCAACTTCGCTCGAATCTCACACGATCGATCCTCAATCGCATCCGCGTCCACGACTCCCTCCCTCTCAATCTGTCGTCGAACATAGCGTTCTCGCGCAGCCACCACCACAGTGACGATCGCCTCGCTCGCCGAGCCCTGGATGACACCTCCGCCGGTCCCGTGAGAATGGAAAATCTCCGGCAGCGCCAGCGCCTGTGCCAGCCAGTCCAGAACAATCGTTTCGAGCTCCGTGACGGCCGGCGAGCAGATCCAGTTGAATGCCGGCGCGGTCAGAGCCGCGCTCCACAGCTCGCCTAGCATGCCCGGGTACGTGCTGCTGGCGGAGAAGAAGGCCATGAACTTGGGGCTCTGCCAGTGTGTGATTCCGGGCATGATGGCCCGTTCGATGTCCTTTTCGATCTCGGGCCATGCTTCGCCGTGTTGGGGTGGCGAGGTGGGGAGCAGTTTCCGGAGGTAGCCGGGCTCGATTGACGGCAGAACATCTCTGGTTGAGATTTCGGAATAGTATTTTTCAATCTCGTTGATCACGGAGAGGCCTGCTTTCTGGAATTCTTGGCCTGTCATGCCCAGGGGTGGTACAGTGCGGTGGTCCACGGTCGAGGGACGACCTGCACCCGAGCTTCTGTCTACATCGTGACTCGCATTATTTGTCGATGCCATTGTTGCTTCTAAGCTGCACTGATAAAAAATGCTTCTTCTTGTGTACGGATAATTCTATTAATGGCCTTCAATTAAAGAGTAGTGAACGTTTTCACGATTCGAAATAGAGAATTACGAAAGCTGCCGGATAATTAATCATACATCTGTGGTTTGACGAGGAGGGTCTGAGTCAATTCCGCAATGGAGCTTGGAGGCTCAAAACAGCCAGAGTTGCCCAATCCGGAGCTGCTTGTTGCCTCAATATTCTACTAATTTGCTGCCGATCGAAGTGGAGCGTGTGCAACACAATACAGCATGGAGGATGATCAGCACATGCAATGCGATCCGAACTTCATAATAATAACCTTGGAAAGTGGGACCCATTGACAACCTTGGGACCTGAGCGCGAATTCGTGATGACGTAGGTTTTGGTGTACAGTCGGGAGCTCCAAAATTATGATTCGATAGCCCGAGCGCAAGAATCAAGGCCGACATCAATCATTAACCTTGACGCACTCTTGAAGCTTCTTCGATTGCTTCATCAAGAACTCTGAATCTATTAAACGCTTGATAGAGTACTCCTCGACGTGCAAGTCAGCCCACCATGGCGTCCCAGCTTCGCAACTCCACGATGTTCACCTATCTGCCACCTCCGGCCGAGTGTCTCGCGATCCTCGTTGGTGGCGCTGAATTCCTCGTCTTCGGCCTCGCAGGGCTCGCCAACGCGCAAGAATTCGCGACAGCTTTCGGTCTGCCCGATCAGTCGACCAGCTCGGCCGACGAAACCGACAAATCTACCGTGACCACCACATCGACTCAGAATCGAAAGACTCAACAGGCACTGAACCAAGCTATTGCAGCACGAAACCTGTCCCACGGCGCGCTGATTTTGACGTTCGCTCTCTACCTCAGGGACCGTCGCGCCTTGGGCTATGCGATTGGATTCGGCTTCTTCACGACGGTAGCGGATTATTTGATCGTGAACGCATATGGTGTGCAGGCCAAAGCCTTGAATCACCTGCTCGGCGCGGCCAACTGCCTTGCTTTGGGAGGTTCACTTCTGTACTGGGGCAGGAATGACCCTTGGTGGTGAAAGCTATAGCAGACGAAGCAAAGACTTGACGATCATGGAATCCCCATGGGAATTTGTTCATCATGGCGATGTTCTACGTAAAGCGAATGTAATCATATGTCAAAATCACACGGCTCAGGCCACAATATGCTAGTCTTATACGTGCAGCTCGGCGACCTGTGCGTTCACCAATGCGCTGGCATATCTCGACTTGACGTCGGCGACCTTGGTCTTGATGAGCTTCTCGACAATTTCAGGGCAACGGCCGATGAAAGTCTTAGGGTCCGTGAGCGATTCAAGGTCAGGCAGAATCGAAGCAAAGTAGGGTGTGTTCCTGATGCGCTCCAAGAGATCGTTTGGCTTGCCTTGTTGCTTCACAACAGCACCGGCCTCGTGAGACAGAACACTACAGATGATCAGTAAAATACTCTGTAAGCCATCAAGGGTCAATAGCAGCTTACCGAATCTCTTCGTGAACCTCCTGTCGAGAGCTACCCGTGGCGACGAGAGCCATGATGATGTTCTCGGTCGCCATGAAGGGAAGCTCTTGCTCAACGCGCTGCTTAATGACAGCCTCGTTGACAACGAGTCCATCGGAAATGTTGTTCAACTGAACAATTGATTAGCTGATGACAATCTCTGAGCTTCACCGCCGGAGGCACCTACCAAAATCAAGCAAGCGTCTGCGCAAAGGAATGACTCCGGTAGCGAGATACGTCGAATAGCCGAGTCGTCCAAGCTTCGCTCCAACCACTGAGAGGCATAAGTCTGCTCGACATCAGCGCTGAAGTTGTGCAATTTACGGCCCAACGAGCACAGTCGCTCCGAACGCATCGGGTTACGCTTGTATGCCATGGCGCTCGATCCGATCTGATCCTTCTCAAACGGCTCCTCGATCTCCTTGAACATGGCGAGATGTCTGATGTCACCTCCAATGCGCTCGCAAGCGCATCCGAAAGCGCTAAGGGCGTGGATCACGTCAACATCGACCAATCGGGAGTATGTCTGGCTGGTAGAGATCTCAGCTTCCTCAAACCCGGCCTTCTTTGTGACAAGTTCATCAAGCGCCTCCACTTTGGCGTGGTCACCCTCGAAGATGGCGAGGAAACTTGCTTGTGTGCCAGTGGTTCCCTTGACACCACGGAACGAGCGGAGAACCTCGTCACGTTGGTGCTCAAGGTTACGAAGGTTGCGAAGAAGATCTGTGATCCAAAGACTGGCTCGCTTTCCGACGGTCACCAGCTGAGCTGGCTGGCCGTGGGTGTAGCCGAGACAAGGGAGATCCTTGTATTTGATTGCAAAGTCGCTCAATTGACTAATGACGACGACCAACTTCGAGATGGTCAAGTCCAGGGCGTCACGCAAGAAGATCTGGTCTTGTTAATCGATGAACGACTATCTCACACAGAAGGACAACTAACCAGATCAGCATTGTCCGTAACGTAGCTACGAATGAGGTTAGCTCTATGTTTTCAAACTGTGTCAAGCCACGCTCGCGACCATACATACCAAGACGTAGCACCCCAGTGAATGATTCCGGCAGCATCAGGCGCAGCAACACCATAGGTGTGGACGTGAGCCATGACATCGTGGCGACGACGTTTCTCCTCAACAGCAGCAGTCTTGAACTCGTCATCTTGGATCTTGACGTGGTCCTTCAGTTGTTGAATCGCAGCAGGAGTGATCTTCTCGAGACCCAATTCGTGCTCGGCCTCGGCAAGGTAGACCCAGAGTTGTCGCCAGGTGCTGAAACGGTTGCGAGGCGAGAAGATGTATTTCATCTGCTCTGAGCAGTACCTCGAGTTGAGGGGGCTGTGAAGTATTCGTTAGGAGGTTCTTTCATAATGGACAATGCTGAGGCGAATATAGTAGTTGTCGTCTGGCTGCTCGGGAGAATGGCACTTGACTTAACGAACTTTTGGTATGTATCATAGTCGGTGGCCATGATGAATGATTGTTATTTGATGCTGTTATTCTATCAGCAGGAGTACACTTTTGGGAGCACCTATGGTGAACCCACGGACTGCTGTGAACGGTTGGATATTTCGTTGAAGTGGTACCGGTTCTTCGAATGATGATTTGAACACTCCTCAGGTGTATTCTCAACTTGTGTTGAGCACCAATAAGGATCTCAGAATTTGTCGACAGACGAAGCGAGATCGGGACCAGTAAATTTATCACTAGCTAGTGCTAGCTATCCTGTTCAACCATGTCTTGCTTCCGTCGTAATTTTTTCCATGCATGCCGATAGCTTAACCCTAATCCGACCCTATCCGAGCAAAAGCAATCGTGAATAGTGGACGTTCACCACTCTTACCCAGATCGATACAACACGAACCCAAAGCCAGAGGCATTGCAGGAAGCATGAGGGGTTTCAGCATCATCGAGCTTCGCGCTTGCGCTGTTGTTCCACCATATCATCCACGATCTGAAAGATGCCTGTGACAATCTTCATAGTACCCTCATCGACGTTTCCACCAAAGCGATGTTGAATTTTGTCCGGATGCCAGCGCACTCGTTCTGCCTTGAGTAACTGTAAACGCGTGCGATCTCCGTCTGCTGGCACAGGCATATGCTCGAAAAAGGGCTCGATGTTGCGCTTGATGGCTGGCTTCGACGGAAGCACTGGCCATGGAATTCGACCTGCCACAGAGGGCTTGGACGCGTTGTCTGTCGCAGATTCTGTGCCGTTGGCGATGTTTGTCTTGAGTTCCTCCCATGCAGCTAGATACTTTGACCAAGCTTGAAGGAACTCCTTCGAGCCGCCATCTACTGGAGTAGATCTTTTCGAAGCACTGCCTTTGCGATCCTCAAAGTCAAAGACATACTCATAGTCGCGAGTGTTATCGTCCTCGACTCCAGCAAATCTCCTTCCTCCCTCTTCTTGTGCACGCTCCCAGGCAGCCCGCTGTTTCCGCCGAACGTACTCCTCTCTTCGCCTTGCAGTGTCCTCTTCTTCCTCCTTTCGCCTTTTCTCGGTTCTTTCCCTCTCCTTGACGATATGCGGATTCTTCTTTTCCCACATCTTGGTCTGCACGTACGCTGCGTACTGCTCATCGTTCATCTCCTCCAATTCACCCTTGGGCGTCTCCACCATCGGACGGGGATAGATGTGTATTGGTTGATTGTAGACACCCTCCCAATATGCCGCACCTTCGTCGTCTGCAAGCGCATCGAAGAGTGACTCTCGAAACGCTGTGGTAGAGTCGTTGGACGCTGAAGGATGAGGTTCGGTCGGTTCACGTGGAAATGGATGGGAGCCTTCGCCCTGATCTCCGGAGCCTGCATCGCTGTAGCTGCGAGCTTGTTTGTCACGGTCAGAATGCCGCGATGCCCTGTGTCGCTTAGAGCGAGACTCATGACGGTGACGTCGGCCAGGATCAGAGACACCCGATTTGAAGCGAAACTGTCCCCTTGCACGCGACATATCCTCATGCTCTCTCGAACGGCGACGTTTGCGTTCTGAACACTGCGCTTTCGATCGTGAAGTGTCCGAACGGCCATCATTGTGCATGTCAATCTCGTCCTGTAGACTGGCGAGGATAGCGTCATGGTCGATATTGTCACCAAGACTGTCCAAGCTGGCTTTCACCTCCCTCTTGCTTTCCGCCAGTGACGGCATGCTGGGCGCACTTGTGAACCTGTCTTGAGCGATGACATGATTCGCAGACCGCTCTCATATCAAAGAATGAGCATACTTCAATAAGCTCTCACGCCGTGTTTGGACAGAAATTATAGGTCGAGCAATTGGGAAAGTTTGTATCATGACCTCATTTTGTGATCGTCAGGCTTCAAAAGCTTGGACCCAGCTTCAGGTTGACCACGACCGTGAACAAGAATCAGCTCCACGACGTTACATAAAAATTGAATCCACTACGCATACTGCGCATACTGTGAAAAGATGGGAAATGCCAACAGGATGTCAAACTCCTCGGATGAAATGTATCGTTACTTGCATGTAATGTAAGCCATCGAAATACAACTGGAATGCCATCAAACCACTGTTCAGTTGTCGAAACACAATCATAATGCCACAAAACCCTTGCTTAGTTGTCGAAACGCAGTCATCGCAACCAACGCATTGTACAAATATCTTCTGGCCAATACTAGCACAGTGTGAGGGCGAAATCATCTCATGCCATGGACAAATTCTGGTTACATCAATCCATGTTCTCAATGCTGATCTCAACGTCTGACTCGTCGTCATCATCGTACTCGTCGTCGGAGTCAGTCCCGAAATCGTCCTCGAAATCATCCATATCCATTGCTGCACGGGCATGGATCTGGTCCAAGAGGTCGAGTTCCATGAGCTCTCTCGTCTCTTCTTCGGTACGATCGATGATGGCGAGCATATGAGCGCTCAACTTCAGCTCGACAGCTTCCCAAGGCCTGGCAAGCATTCCATTGACGACGCCAAATGTCCCACTTGCTAGTGTCTTGCTCATCATGAGAAATGTATCTGCATCTTGAGCAGGAATGGGTATGAGATCAGGGTCAGAGTGGTAGAGTTTCAGCCACTCCATCAAGTCGTCCAGATCGGTCCCATCGATGCCAAAGGGCGTCGTGCTTCGACAGATCTCCGCCTGAATGCGGACTTTCGGATCTTGATGATATTTCCTAACTTGTTTGCAGAATGGTAGGAGCGGCTTGAAGCTGAGTGTGTGACATGCTCTGAAGAGGAAGGTGTTGTCTGTGAACCATATCCCAATGGCCTCGTTACGAATCTGCCGAGATGTCCGGAGGAGTGGTGGTTGTCTAACTCGAACGAAGCTCCCATGCTTCCATTCATTGATCAGAATGGGCTCATCTTCGATCAGAGCATATTGCCATATCCGAGTACGAAGCTCAGGTGCAAGAGCGAGTAGCAGTGATGGTTTTTTGTTGCTTGAATTGAGCGGCTTGGTTTTGCGGGATCTTTGATGAGACTTGCCGCGAGTCCGTTGGACTGGTGTGCCTTTGGACTTGATCTTTATCTCAGCAACCTTTCTCTTTTTTGGCGCTGAAGCAGTTCGCTGCATGATGGGTGACAGGGACGATTCTGTCAGTCAATTCGGCCTCGACTGGCGAGACCACTGGAGCGTCTGTTGTTAATTAGGCGATGCGGATGTACGGGGAAGAGGAATTTGTAGAAGTTTGCAAATGGAAAGTCCAGATTGCAAAGTTTTGAAGAAGAAACCTCAATGTGGTGTTTCTGCCTGGAGAACGCGAGAAGTGACAGGCGTCAAAGGCTCATGCGCGGACCATCACGTCACCACCTGACACTTCGACTTAAACGTTCTTGCCGAGCTGCTGGTCCGTTTGCTTGAAGGAATGCTGGACGAGGAAGTTGAATTGGAATGAGAATGTGAAAGATCGAAATGCAAGTGCATATCACTTGGAGCAGCTGGAAGGTTCTTTCCTGGAAGGAACAAATAAACAATGCTATCAAGCCCAAGGGTATCATCAGAGTGAAACTCCTTGGTTGTACAAACCCAAATCCCGCTAACTATAAACCTCTTCCATGCATGAAACCTTAACAAACATGACGCCGACCATATATTCGTTTCCCTAAAGCGATGCACGTAAGATAAATTTTCGATCCCATCACCAACTATTCACCCACGGCTGGACTCTCAGCATGTCTTCTGCCATGCCCGACTTTGCTTCAACGCGTGCTGAACGCCAGAAATGCGAGCTGCACATAGTGCTTCGGTAGGTGTACGTAATGTGAAACCTCGCTGTGTGCTGATGACACCGATGGATTGCAAAATAGCCTTGCGAGGGTCTCGTGCAAAAATGTCCGGGTGAGCAATCCAGTCCAAGTTGGAATTTAGCTCAGAGTCAAGGATTGCCATCATCGCCGGATCGAACGAAACACTGCCGAGCGATGTCGACTCCTGTGCCCGGGAACTTGATGAAGGCCGTGTTGGCGAAGCTCTATTTGGCGACGAAGGCGCGCTCAGAGGAGCTATGATCGGGCTGCCCTTGGTGGGAGTCTTCGGAGTGGGTGGTAGTGCGACAGATGGCGGAGGAGATGGAAGAGAAGAAATGTTGACCTTTCCAAGGCCTTGAAGAATGGTCCTAGTTTCGGACAGCAGGTGAGTGGCTCTGGCACTCTGGCCTTGATCGATGAGCTGCAGTGCACGCGAGAGCATGTCTGAAGTCAGAAGTTCGAGACGCCGTTGAACAATGTATGGGTGAGGTGGTGTTGATGGTGTTCTTGGGCGGTTCGGCAAGTGAAACTCATGGAATGGGGATGAAGGAAGTCGATTGACAGCTAGGGTCGAGTGTTCCGGAAGTTGCACTCGGCTCCCATCACGTGTCAGATCACCCCAATCTAAATCAGCTTCTAGTAGAAGGACTTCCTCTGCGAGTGCCGAGCGATTTTCAGGAGGCTCAATCGGGCTCATGCCTGGTAGATTTGACACCATGCTCTCGAAATGATCTGAAAGGACGGCTTCAGTGATGCGTTCTGGCTGAATGATGAGTTGCACCAATACATTGCGTCGATCTCCATAGCGAAGATCGCCAAGTGCCACCTCAACCGATCTCCCGGGCACGTTCTTGGCTGACTCAAGCGCTCCGCTAACTTTGACAAATTTTGCAGGCGAGCCATCGGGTAGGCGCAGGCGAAGCTTGACATTTTGGTGTGAGATGCTTTGCAATGAGCCTACACAACCAGCGAGACAGTCGCGGAGCATATGCCATTCTTTCACGTAAGTATAGCTCGCTCTCGTCCGCTCTGAGACCCGGAGCAGAGCGTCTGGTGTATGCGTGACGCCAAGACCAAAGGTGTAGATGCCAATGTTGCCAGTGTCAGCCCGTGCCGTTAACAAGTCGATGCTGGTTTCGGCTGCGGCTGATCCTACGTCGCTCAGGAGAAAGACCTGAGCAATTGGATTAGACAAGCGTCGACGCATGAGAATATCGACGGCAGCGTTTGCACCCTCTATGATATCTGGTACTGTGTCCTGTTGCTCCAGTGGTTGGATTTGGCCCAGCTTTGATGACCAGCTGGCGGAATACTTGGTGGTCAGCGGTGCGAGAATTTTGCTACCGCTGTCGTCGCCGACTGTTATGATAGCCAACCTGTCCCGATCGCCGAGCAAGGACAACAGGAAGCGTAGAGAATCCCGTAAGATGTCCGCCTTGAACCCGTGCGCGGCAGAGGAGATTGGAAAGACAACAACAATGTCCATGGGACTATGAAGAGGGCGCATAGATACGAGTGCTTTATGAGCACCAACAGCTGTCTCGAGAGGCGGTGACTTCAATTTCAGAGGCACTTCCTCGACCGGCGAGTTCGCCGTCGTCTGCTGTGGCGTTTCTGCATGATGCTTTGTAGCGTTATTCTCGATCTCGGAAATGATCTCGTCCAGATCCATTTTGCTCAAGGAGAAGCGTGCTTCCCAATCGATGCTATTGAGAGCTTGACTCCATATTTCAAGATCCGCACGCGACGCGAACAGTAGGTGAAAGGCGGGAAGTTGGGGCACGGACAGGCCTAACGTCAGAATGTCATGATCGGGAACCGCTGCCACTTCCTCCAGATGCTTCTTGATCAGAATTGAGCCCTTGAGCACCCAGCGAGCGGCGGGCGCAGATTGCTCTAGACCATCCCAGACATGGCATGCACTCGCGGAAACCTTTTTCTCCTTGACGCAGATGAGCATCTCGGAGAAGAGGTAACAGTCAAGCTCTTGCCAAACTTTGCGATCCTTGCCAACTTTGATTGCTGATCCACGCAGCTTCAGCTTGCCGAAGTTGTTCGGATCTAGTCCGTGCCAATCGTCAACGCGCTGGAAAAGCTCTTCGCGAGCCCTTTCGAGATCCTCGATGCCTTCTTGCACGCTGGGGGTGTGCGCGGGTAGATTAGGCATTGGACTTGGCTGTAATGAAAGCTGTTCCTGCTTCGCTTGAATTGATGGCGAGATGAGGTTTGAATCTGGCAAGGTAGGCCAGCTGCTCTCTGCAACCTCTATCGTGACCATGCACGTGAGGCTTTGTTGGTATCGTGATTTAGTGATGGAAGGAAATTCGCTGCGCATCACTATTGTCGGTTCCTGAACAGGGAATCTGTCCAAGTCGTTTCGACCGTCAGACGGCAATTCTACCGCTGGCAGCTCGTGATCGCTGCGGGCATCCGCACGTCGCTGTTTCGGTTCTGTGGAGCCATGGGAGCCAATACTGCTGACATTCCTACTGTGCATATTCATGCCATCTTGGGACTGGGCGGCATCCTCGCCGTTCACCAACAGACTCCTGGTGGTCGAGCCGTCGGACCTCCGGTCCGACACTGCCTCGGGTAGAACCTCGGCCGCGTTCTCTGCTGTGTAGCTAACGGACGAGGTGGTTGACTGCGCTTGAGTTGGACGACTGCTTCGTCGTTGATCGATTGTGTCTTGTGTCGCACGTATGAGCTTGCGTAGGCTGTCATAGTCAACCTTACCGCCACGGCTGGTATCGAAATCCAGCGGCGCTTCGCACGTCGGACAGACAGCACTATGGCCGTCACGGACATATTCGTGCAGGCAGGCCTCATGAGAGATGTGCCCGCACGTCAACTGCAGAATCGCCTCTCCGCGCAGGATATGTTCGAGAGGTTCATCACAGGTCGCACAGACACTGCCGACGAATGTGCGCTCCCGCCGGTTTGGAAGTGTTGAGGTGAGCATGTTGTGAAGTACTTCAGATTGAGTCGAGCGGTGGAAATTCACTTCGAAAATGCCATGCCACTCGCCCGCATCTAAATATTAGATTTAAGATGAGCGGAGGTGTGTTCTCAATGAAAGTCGAGGGAATTCTTTCAGATCAAAGACTCATCGAAGTCGCCTCCCTCGCTGACAACCCTGGGCGAGCAGAGATCCAGGCTGTTACACATAAATTCCTTGTTGGCGAGTAGTCAGGCAATGCTAAATGTAGCTAGTCGTGTAGTATCTTGACTGTGTGTTATTAGACAGCGGGTATATCGGAACAAAGAAGTTGCGATGAAGTGTCTTTCTCTGGTAATGTACTTTAGAGAGTTCGTCTACTGACAGGCCTGTGAATGGTGGTAATTGACGCCGCTTTCAGTAGGGAGGACTACGCAAAAGCTCTCGGAGGAAGGTCTGGAAATTCAATGTGCAAGGCGCCTTGGATAGCTGAGTGGGAAAGACCAATTGATAAATCAAAGACCGCGATGAGGCCAGATGAAGTAGGCAGTCAGTCCGATTGTTCGGGTTTATTGTCGGATCTATTGTGCGACTTCCCGACACGCGTCGCTGATTGTACCCGGTCCCTGGCTGGAGTAATTGTTGTCAAGGGACAATGGGTTGTGATAGAGATAAACTGCAGACGTCAATGGGAAATTCCTTGACGGTCCTTCCTCGTAATAACAGCCAGGATATGTATGCCATGCCCACGATTCCTATCTCACCTCCGGCCGGGGTCGCTCGCAGTCGCTGAGGCGGGACATGGACTGTCACCAATGGTGCACAGGATCCACGCCGCTCCCGTCTAGTCAACATTCGGCACGAGCCAACACCCAATCCTACTTCACGCTTGTTTAGCTCTCGAGGTTATATGGCCGGTGGGCGTAGCAATATCTCCTCCTACAGTAGCGCAACGATGAGGGAAATCTGTACATCCCTACGTCCTAGGTGCACAACAGGCGTGGGCGCACATGCCGACGCAGAATCCAAAACTTCCTCCCAGTCACAAGTCGCCTACAATTGCACAGATGACGGGATTGAGCCAGTGATAAACTATCACGGCATGAACCAAGGTGGCCCTCGCACGTCCTTGTGGTATGCATGTGTACATCCGTATGAGCTTCAAGATGACATGCACGAATCCTTGGTTGTTCCGATGCCTTTGCACGTGTTCAAAGCTACTCAATTGATACAATTCTGCATACTGGTGATTGTCGCCTGCTGCTATCACGCGGACTCGTATTTGTAGTTCACCACACACAATCGGCTCCATCATGACGCCGGATGAAGCGAACAAGGTATCGCCCATATAGCAGGGACTGTAAGGGCCGTGTGTTCAGCCCGGTAGAGATTGTCAAGGGCACAATAAATCATCCAACATAGCCGACGTCGCGCACGACTGTGCGTGAATTCTATGCCGAACGGTGCGTGTTCAGCGAGGCCGTCTCTCAAGGGTGAGTATGCCCACGATCGTTGTATTTCGTGCTCGAGGGTAAGACGCGGGATGGCCTCCGCGCAGCGGCTGATCTTGGCAGAAGATGATAATTCACCTTGGTGGCGATGGGCTGTTACGTGGGCCATCTGGTACTGAGATTCACCATCACCACTTTCTTCCCATTTCTAGCACATCAACGACAATCGCGAAGACGACGCCAACGGGAGTGCGAGATTGCAGTACGATGCTAATCAGCCAAGTCAACCTTGAACGCCCTCCATCTACAATGCGAGAGTAAAGTGTTAGGTAACGTTGACCATGATCTTCGAGGTACATATATGTGCATATCGCGCGAGAACACCAATTTGCCAGCAGTGGCGGGCATCCACGAACTTGGGTGGTAGTGGACCATTCATTCATTCCCATCGTCCACCCGCCGCGACGCGAATACTACACACGCGTGGCGCCATTCCGTCGAAGGAGCCGATCACCCAGAGCACCCACGGCCGTCTGGCAGGACCTTCCGGCTTGGCCGGACATATTCTCTAGTGGGCGCGGATGCTGCAAGCATAATCCTGGCGGCGGTTGTGGCGATTCTTGCCATGTTTGGGCGTTATTCTCGTGCCGCGGTGCTCGTCGGGATGCACATAACATGTCTCGTGCCACAGCAGGGAGTGCTTTAGATTCATGTACGCCGGAAATATGATGCACGGTCAGGCGAGGTCTTGTCTGCATCGCACCACGCGCAATCCTCGTTGTGTGAAAGGATCTCCTTCCGTCATCGATTGCAGAATCTAGGATTTCTCCGGTCGATGTGCGGAATCGAGCAAAGTCAAGCGTTGGACTTTGCTCGGCGTCGACTTCGGGGAGGAAGATTGACCCCTGTGGCTTGCAACGACCCGCACAGTCTCGAAGCCCTAGCACACCACGCGAAATATCCAATCACGCAGAGCAGCGGCACGTGAGCATGATGAAGAAGGACATAAGCCCGTCTCGGGTTCCGACACCCTCATCATTCAACCATGCTGGGCTGTATCTAGGGGAGGACGGCGAGTGTATGTGTGCGATCCCTTGCGGTTGAGGCTTCGGACACCATTTCCCGAAGCATGGAGCGTGAGTCGTGCGCTCATCAGAGGATTCAAACAAACGCGTCCAGCAAGTGGTAGAGCCTCGTATGCTAGTAATACGGTAGGTGCGTTCTAGATGCATATCCATGTTTCCCATGGAAATGTACATCTCGCTACACATTTGGCAACGCCAAAAGGCTCTCCGCAAGACCCATGTGGAGGTCTTTGGACCGCCAGTGGCCTTTGCTTATTTCAAAATTGTAGCGTGCAAATTGAGATGAAGTGCAAAACGTGAATTGCGAGCTTCGCAAACATATCACTACACCACCATCATTCGACTGTGCCGCGGAACGCCAGTAGATCGTTGTTCAGATAGTCGGCGAGATAGTCAGTGTTGATCATACTGACTCACCCCATCTTCTGCTTGTCGACCTCGGTATGTCAACTGCGCTGCGTGCGTGGCATACTACAGTTTCGTTAAGCGAGTCCTACCTAGGATCGACTCCACCCAGGTCGGTCCGGGTAGAATATGTGAATTGCAATTGTCAGACTTTCATCGACGGTGGCATCTTCGGATTGTAGTGCGTTTACCATCCAGATGTGAACCCAAATGCTGCCCAGAGATGCACTAAACACTATCGTCCCTTCGCTGCGGATCATCAAAGCCAACCGTTGGAAAGTCTCCCACGGTCAACCCACGCACTCATCGGCCAAACCACGGTATTCCCACGAAGACCAAACGACACGTGAAATACACTGCAACCCAAGTGATCCTCTGTCAACAACACGTGCTTATAGAAAAGGCACCGATAGGCAACATCACCTAGTATATTTTGCATCTCTATAAGCCCAAATACCCTCTTCTCCGTTCTCGGTCGTGCAGCTCCGCACCACCGAATGGCGCAAAGAGCACGCCGCCGCGCTCGCCCACACAAGCATGTTTCCGTCCCAGTGGGAAATACGTAATATGTGCCGTCGCCAACCTTGCCATTCCCAAAACTCAAAATCACACTCCAGGCGTGCAACACGCCCCATTTGATGGTCGCAGGGCGCCATGCGCATGTATTCTAAAGCACGTGGGCCAGCCTCTCGTCCCAACTCCGTGGAAATCCTTGCGTCAGCTAGACAAACCTTCGCCCTCGCTAAAAGTTTCATGGCCCAATGGACAGGTTGAGCAGGGCTACAAACGCGTTTCGTACCTTGCATTGTGTTCCTATGTCGAGTCTGCTCGCTGTCCACGTCGGTTTAATCAACCAGTGAGAGGGATCTGATCGCGTGGGTTTCGTCATTGTGGCGTGAAGCATATGTATCAGGCCAGAGCTAGTCTGCTGTGAGACGGGACAAGAGCTGTTGACGTCCAACTGACGGCTCTCAGAGACAGAGATGTTGCGAGTCAGGAAGTCGGTCGCGTGGCATCTGGGCCTGCTATTAGGCTTGATTGACCGAGACATGATAAGAAGTGCGTGGGATAGCTTTCCTTGTCGTCCTACTATGCCGCGTCGTCTGACAGGGTAACGATTGCGTGAAGAAGAGCAGATCATCTGCTATTGTCTACTATGACGGACACAACATTCTGGTAGTTATCACCAAAAAGCCTCTCCAGAAATATCCAGAAGAGTTGTTGAAGTTTTCTGTTATACAGTAACCCTCTGCGCCCAAATTTGTACAACAAGTGGTCATAACGAACTGTGAAGAAATGAGCGCCTTCCCATTCTCCCGTTGCCCACGAAAATCCCACCTATAGAAACCGAACTATGAAACCTGCAATCCGTGTAACGCCGTCGTCCCGGGTATCATCTGTCGAAGCATAATGAAAAGTGCGCCAAATCCGTGACCGTCCCAAAACGATGATACATTGCATCCTGGTGCCGGCAAGCATGAAAAGCCAAACTGCGAGCTGTGCCAATTAGTGTGTTCCTTTATCGTTCAAGCACCAGTTGCGACACTCGGCTTGCGGCTCGCTGGTGCCATCATGCTCCGAGCAACACTGGCCTTGCGACTCGGTGCGATATTCTCCACGTCAGCAGCAGCGTCTTTATTTGCTCCCCCACCGAGATTGCTGTCCGATCCGCCGGTGCCGAAGATATTGCTGCCGCTGCGACCACCGAATGCCGATTGCATCATGCCCCGTATCCGGTTGTATTCGTACTTTTTTCGTAGCGGAACATATGTCGGCTGGTAAATAGGCGCTCCACCAAAAGCTCGAGCGATGCTTGTCAGAACGGTGTCTTTCTCTTCCTCGCTGTCGATCGGGCCCGATGGCATACTGTCGTCGTCGGGATTTGGAGCATTGGCATCGAAGGCTGCCTTGTGTAGCTTTGCTTGGTTCTTGCGCTGATACTCCATGAGCAATTTGTCATAGGGTCCACTTCGACCTGGAACAGCTCGCTTGGCACCCATGCTGTGGCTTTTGCAGGTCAAGCTGCGAGCACATTGTCCTCCTTGCGGTAGTTCGACACCGCATTGTTTTTCGACATCAACAGGCGGCTTCGCCTTAGGTGCTTTGGCTTTGAGATCATCCTTCTTCTTCTTTTTCTTGTTCGGTCCCCCATCATCTTCATCGTCTCCCGCTTTGCGCTTTTTGCTCGCCGTCAGACCTCCGTTCTTCAGGGCCGTCTTTTTGGCGCCTTCATCATCGTCGTCGTCACTGTCACCCGCCCTCTCTTTTCGCGCAGCTGCATCTCTGGCATCTTTAGCTTCCTTCTTCTTTCGCTGCTTCTCTTGCTTTTTATTCAGACATCCCTCTATGTGTCTGGGCATAGCATGCTTTGAGACCGCGCGCTTGCAGTGGTTGCATTTCAGAATGTCCGGGCGATCGGTCATCGGCTTGTTCGTAGCGAATGCTCTAGCCAGAGACCATGGTACACGATTCACCGATGGTCTCGGGCGACCATTCGGTTCTTTTGACTTTGCGCCTGGCAAGAAATGAGCATCACGCCAGAGGCACTGGTCACCTCGGGGGAGACATACCTCCATCGATCTCTGAGTTCCAACTCCCCGCGTTTTTAACAGTAGGGAGCTTTCTCTTCGCATCTTCAGCGATCTCTGCTTTGATGTAATGCTTGAGATCATCGAACAAGTGGGCTAGCGATAATGCGCCGTCTGTCTTGACAGACTTGTTGAGCGAAGGTGGCACTGTCACGTGTTAGTGATATGGCTTGCGGCGACACGCTCAGCAGGCTCACCCTTGCGAACGGCAGACACGCCATTCGGCGCCATGTTCACATATGCGAGCGAGCGAATGCGCGTTACATGCAACAAGTCTTATGCTGAAGACACTGTCGCATCGAAGGTAGTCCCGCATGACACGAGTAGTGAACGTTCTGGGGTATCCAGATGAGATGGCGTACTTGCCCGAGAGGTGCGACTCGGCCCGCGCCGCTCGCTGGTGCGCTCACGACTCACAATCGTCACTCGGCATTACTGAGCAATGTATCGCCCTTCGACATCATGTTCAGAATACCTGAGTGTCGTGCAAAATCAACAACGTTCTCAATGCGGTCTCATTGATCCCAGATGGCGTGGTCTTATACATTGTATTCCAGTGGCCCCACGTAATCACGGTGTGACACGGTTCCCATTGTCGTTTATTCGACATGGATGCAAGAACTAGAGCGTTCCAAGTCCTTAAACCATCATGCGTAGCCCTCAGTCAGGCTGCCCTGGCATTGAGCAGTTCTCAAACTCAAAAAGACACGCAACTGGTAGTCGTTGGCTTAGAAGACCTCAAGGCGAGACTCTCTACTATCATTAGCCATCCACACGCTCTTGATGAAAAGCTAGCGGAATACATCTTCTTTCCTCTTTCGCAACTACTCAAGGCGAGTCGTAATTGCTCCATTCGATGTCTAGAGCTGGTGTTTGAATGTCTCGCTTTAATCATCCAGCATGGTTGGAAGTCCAAAGTACAGCCGGAGTTGGCAGCTCAGTTGGTTATACTTTGTACTTTGATGGCAGACAAGAACCCGAAAGGCGTAATACCCGCTGAGACTACCAGTGAATTGCAGGTAGCAGCTTTCGCTTGCCTTTATCGGTTATTCGCAGTCCTCAGTCCAGCATCCGCAAGCAGCGATTTGCTTACGAAGGAGGCCAACATACCGCAGTTAGGACAAACGATCAGTGTCATATTGGACGGGATACAGCTCGGATCATCACGAGACATACAAACAACAGCTGCGAGGGCGCTCGATGCGCTCGTGAGCAACGTTGCGAGTTCTACCATAAAAACGGCTTTCCTGCCTGGCATTGCCTCTAGGCTGACGATTGTTCTTACACCATCCTCGGATCAGCGACGAGATCCACAATGTCTGATCATCTTGATTGGAATTCTCAAGGTTCTCATAGACGATCTGCTCTGTGATGAGCCACCCGCAAATACGACTGCAGCCAAGACTTTGACAGACTCAGGATCCAGCAGCGCGAAGAATCCTCTCACACCAAGCGAGCCTGACTGGAAAAAGAAAGCCTCGCAACAACTTGGACCAGCCATTGTCAAGATCATGCGTCTTCGATCTCACAGCAGGTCAGACGTGAGAGAGGCACTCGGTCGTCTTTGTTTGTCAATTCTGGAAAAATGTCGAATAGTTTTGGTCGAAAGTTGTCCTGTGGCACTGGAGTGTATCATCGCCATGTCTACGGAGAGCCTCGATAACGCGGTCCTTATCGGCCTCGAGATGCTGGTCTTAAGGGAGCCTGCATGCCTCGTCCTCCTACAGAATGCCACCTATAATTGGATACAACATTTGCCAATTCTATATCAGTCTGCTGATGAACAAGCTAAAGCAAGTAAGATGCGAGAAATTGGCATTGCCTACGGTCTGCTTGCCCGTAGCGAAATGGACCTGAGCTGGCTCGATAAGACCCTGACGGATGCTCTGCGAGACTGTGTTGTCATGACTCTTCATCCAGGCTCAACCAAGCACGTCGAACCACTACTCGAGTCGCAAATTCATTCTCTCAGCATCATGGATGGAAGCGAGGGGAGCAAGACAATGCAATACAATTCACCTTTGATCAAATACGCGGCGCAGAGGCCATTATTAGAATCGATATACAACGTCGCAAGGACAGTATCGCCTTCAATGTTAAAGTCAGGACTGGCTACATCTCTGGTGCGCTCCTTGCCTGTGTCGCGCGGTGATACTCAAATTGCTGTGTTTTGGCTCGCGATCACCACAATAGAAGCTGCACTGGACAAGGATCGAGAGGCCTCCGAACTGATGTTGTACATCGATAGTAGGCCACCAGCTGCTTTGCGCTCGTTGGAAGAAATGTATTCGTTCTCCTTAGGCGTGCTCACAGACGATATTGAAGAAGCATTCGACCCTCGCATGCACTCTTTGGCACTCAGGACCCTTGGCATGCAAGCTACACAACTCGCCGATGAGTTTCGCCATGAACTCATTGACGCCCTGTATCCTGTGTTGCATGCCATGGCAACACCGGATGAACAAGTCCAGCATGCTAGCTTGGTTACATTAAATTTGTTCACAAGCGCATGCAAGTACGGATCTGTCAAGGATTTGATCGTGCATAATGTCGACTACCTCACGAATGCTGTGGCTTTGAAACTCAACGCATTTGATGTCAGTCCTCAAGCTCCACAAGTCCTACTAATGATGATCAAATTAGCTGGTCCAAGTCTATTGCCATACCTGGAAGATACGATCGAAAGCATCTTTGCCGCTTTGCACGACTATCATGGCTATCCATTATTGGTCGAGCTTCTGTTCAAGGTTTTGAGCGCGATGGCAGAGGAAGGTGCAAAGACCCCCTTGCTTGCAATAGAAGCTGGTACAGTATTTGGCCGGGATGAGATAGGGACGAAAGAAAGTCGATTGATAGGCATCACAGATGTTGTCGAGTCCATAAGAACCCGGCATGAACTCCAAAAGAATAAGAGCGAAGGTGTGAAAGAACCTCATCCCAAGAAGCCCTGGGCCAGTGCAAAAGCGTCAAGTGAGGACAATGCAGATTCAGACGAAGATAATGAAGAACAAAAAGAAGCGAACGACAGCGATGGCAATCAAGAAGTACAAGCCGATGAAGCGGACGCGCCTCCTCCGGCTCCACGAACGTATAAACTCCTCCTCAAGATTGCCGACCTCACACAGCATTTCCTTCCCTCCGCCTCACCCTCCCTCCGCACCTCACTCCTGGGTTTGATCAAAACCGCCATCCCTGCCATTGCGCGTCATGAAAACTCTTTCCTCCCGCTGATCAACACGCTCTGGCCAGAGATTGTCTCCCGTCTAGACGACCCGGAAGCTCACGTCGTCGCCGCCACTCTCGACACGATTGTGCTGCTTTGTACCCATGCCGGCGATTTCATGCGCACGAGAATCATTCGCCTGTGGCCTGGACTCGTCGACATCCACACCCGCACGGCCAAGTCGATCCTCCAAAATACTCGAATCAAGGCCCCGGCAATGGGCAGCCGACAAGAGAGCCAGAGGCCCGCCCCGTCGACTTCGCTCATCCTCCGATCAGAGTCCCTCGCGCTCGCTATCCGCCGCATGCGAGTTGCTCGGGCAGATTATGTAGATGGCTCTGCTCGGGCAGTGTGGGAGGCGTTGGTACGTGCGCTCACAGCGATGGTGGAATTTACTGCTTTGTCGCCAGAGATGTTTGATGAGGCGCTTGCGATGCTTGAACCAGTGATTGATGAAGATCCTGATGTTCGTAAAGCGCTGGACCGTCAGAACGCGGACGCGGTCTGGCTTGCGAGAGTGCGGATGGGTTCGGAGATTCCGAAACGAACGGGCCTTGCTTCAGGAGGCCATCGGCGGAAATTCCCAAGCATCGTCCTGGGCATGCACGGTGTGCGTACATAGGATGATTGACAGTCAAAAACGATTCCTCCGTATTATTTCGACCTTTCCATCACTCATCATCTCCCATTCCCCGAATCCCATCCTGCATCAGACACCTCCAACACCCCTTCACCCGTTCCCAATACGTGACCGTCACGCTCTGTCTCTGCACCTCCTGCGCCGTGACGCGCAACTTCATCCAGACCATCGCCGTCCCTTTCTCCTCGTCGACGTCCGCCGCGATGCTCTGAATCTCAGTGCGATAATTCGGCGTGCCCTCGATGACCTCGCGATATCGCGTCATCAGCTGCTCGCGCGATGTCACGTCCGGCTGCGTCGAGTGCTCCACGTGCGCGGTGAAGTCCGGGACTATGTATCGCTCGAAATCTGGATGTGAGAATTGGGAGGTCGCGACTAGGTTGTAGAGGTGGAGCGTTATGGCTTCGAGCTCGAGAGTCGAGGTGGTTTTCGTTGGCGCTTCGGAGGGGCTGTGGGGACTGTCGATGGCGCTGCCGCCGCTGCTGTGGATGCTGCTCGGGCTGAGGATGTTGCTGGTGCCGCTGCTACTGCCAATGTGGGAGGATGCGCTTGGAGTGGGTGGAGATCGTGGCGTGGTGGTTGAGGTTGAGATATGTTCGCTTGTTGGGGTTGTCATTTTGGCGGAAATCTCCTCTCTTGCTGTGATTTCGAAATGATGAGAATCTCCTTGTCTGTGTGTCACTTGATGATTGGAATCACTTTCTTGTTTATGAGGCTTTGGGGCGTTCCTGACAATGGTCCTTGTAACGTATTGAAAATTCTATTCAACGAGAGTGCAAGGAAATATGAGCGAGAGAAATTCAACATGTCACACACAATGATTGCAATCGGCACGCGCATTTCAGTGTAACGGAGGCACAGGATACATATATACACGATCTATCACATACTCATGTCAGGACTGGCGACGCCGTCATAGGTAAAAAGTCTATCGGCAGCGAAGCGAATGAGCCAGGTCCAGCTGTGGGACGAGCGATGGAGCAATGGATCGAATCCTCCTCACCGGTTGGCGGCGGCCCGAATGCCAGCCAGATCGCACATGGTAGAACGCATCTTCGATCAGCTCGCGCACGTGAAACCGAGCCATGATTGATTTGTGTGTGAATATGTGCGTATGTTCATTGAGTGGACGATGCGATTCATTAGTCCTGCACTATAATTCTATAATTATAGCGATACCGCGCCCAAACGTGGCTCGTCCTTTTCAGCTCATGGAACAAGCGCGACGACCGAGATCATGGGGCGGATCCTTCGTCTCTATACCACCCCTAGTTCTGGGACCAATCGCACATACCGCATCTCGAGCTGAAGATATCATTCACAGCCAAATTCCGAATCTTACGAGTAAGGCCAGCCAAATCTGTATGATGAATGACTGACAAGTGCATGGCGAATGCTTTTCATGCACGCCTTGACTTGATTCGGTGATTGCCAAGGGGCACAGGGTGCGGTGCCGTTAAAGCCTACATTCACAGGATTCGTTTTCGTATGCATGACTGTACAGCACGGATGCTCGCTTTTATATACATGCCGGTGGAGATACAGCATGTGCCGATGTTCCGACTGAGATGCAACCACTATTGATATTGCATCTCGTGAAACCCAATACAGCCGAAGAAGGTAGTAAGACGTTGGCAGGAGTTTCATAACACTGACTCCAATCTTATGCCACTGGTTGTGGAAAATCTGTGGAGTCCAACATTATGAGCAACACAGGTCATACACAATCTCATCACACCTGCCGCATGAAAGTCTCTCGGAATACAAATTTGGCTACTGCATATCATCAGACGAGAATCATGCCGAGAAACTTTTCGCATACCCTCCAGGTGGACAGCGATTACAACGTTGATCACATCGATATTTGATGCCAGCCTTTCACAAACCTCAACACTATTTCGAGCAAATCCATGTCTAAGCCTGACGATGATTGTGGTGATACACAAAACCATTCGCTGTGTCGCTGACTATCCGAGGCGGTTAGGTCGCTTTGATGGTTTGATAATATGAAGAGCGCACAGCAGCTCGCTATTCCGAAAGAATGAAGGTTTGTGTTCATGTCGTAAAGTTCCCATCCAGTGCGCGTTGTTCAAGGCGGAATGTAGTTCCGCTGTCCCATGCTGCCACACAGAGAAGACCTTCTCGGCCCCTGCTTACAGTAGGGTTTGTCGCCAGGGTATGGGTATGTATACTGAACACTACCTAGGTGGGGATGTATTTTCAGCGAGCCCAGCAGAAGCACCAGCTCCGCCAGTCACTCGGCTCTTTCATCTGACCCGGGAATCAGCTGTGCTCCCTCGGCTTGGCCCTTCAAAGATATCTGAGACTTTGGTACAGCAAAACTTATCCCAGGCACTTGAAACTCGCACACCACAGCGCCTCAGGTCTCAGATGGACGTTACGGCCCTGCAGCAATGGCAGACACGCCTTGATGCAGGTAATTGAGCGATACTGTGCACGTGCATGAGATTTCCCACATGCGTGTTCGAACAGGGCAGAAACAGGAAACCGCCTCGGCTGAGAACCTGGGGAAAGTCTGGTGGAGGTGGGAATTCCTCGATGGACTCGAGAACCTCGAACTTCGCTGATGAAAGACCAGATGAACGAGTGCTTGGGTACATGTTGATTCATGGAGACAGCGAGATATCTGGCGATGAGACGACCCGATAAAATTTGAAGGATACAGTACAAACAAAAAGACAATTTTGCGGGCTGTAACGCTGTCATAGGTATCATGAGGAAAAGATCTACCAAATTTGCTTTCTTGGACCGGCGATGATGTGCACGATGAACGAAAGCGGGATTTTTCTGACGTCGGCTCCGAGCGTCCGTTCCCCCTTCTCTTTCCTCAACTTCGGCCGCGTGCACTGTTCCATCATCGTGAGTCGCGCCAACACGGGAATTTTGCAACGTCTTTCTCCCTGGTCTATTCCTATATTGGCAATTATATTTTCCATTCATTCAATCTTGTAATCATCATCGTTGTTCGTCCGCCGCGCGTAACGGGTCATCCACGTCGCGACTTGGAAATTGTTCCGACAGTTCTCACACATCGCCCTGCCTCCGACCCGTGACTCGGGTCATCTCCATAATCCGGTACGACTCACGACCTGAGAGCCTTCGTCGTGCATTCCATGGACCCTCGATCGACCATGTCGCCCGCATCATAAATCATACAGTCGCATCAACATCGAAAGCGCAAACGCGTCTAACCCAGTCAATCCATCACTATGGCGTTCAACTTCAACTGGTCGCCGCTCATCGCCGACACGGATCGCGTCCGCGAGATGCTCACCAGCGCGTTGAACAAATCGCCCAAGCCGCCTATCATCGTCGACGACATCATCGTGAATGAGTTAAACTTGGGATCAACACCACCGGAGTTGGAAATTTTGGAGATCGGCGACTTGGCCGAAGACAAGTTCAGGGGAATATTCAAGATGAGCTATACGGGGGATGCATACTTGACCTTGAAGACTCGAGTGCAAGCGAATCCGCTGCATACCTTCCTCTCGACCCGGCCTTCTTTTACAAGCCCACAGCCGCTTGCAGCGAACAGTAGCCTTACGATCCCCATTCAGATCACCCTCTCTGAATTTCGCCTCTCCGGTTTCGTCATCTTGGTGTTTTCGAAGCAGAAGGGTATCACGATTGTCTTCAGGAACGACCCGCTCGAAACGCTCAAGGTATCATCGACATTTGACTCGATACCTTTCGTCCGAAACTTCCTCCAAAAGACGATCGAGAATCAACTGCGGGTGCTGTTCATGGAGGATCTGCCGGCCATAATCCATCACCTGTCGCTACGCCTATTCAGCCCCGAGCATCAGATGACTCCAGAAAGCGCGACGAAAAAGCTAGAAGCAGATTTTCAGAAACCCCTGGACACATTCTCGAGCGATGATATTCTAGAAAGCGAAGCGACAGCTCAAGAAAGCGCGACTGAGCTATACGCCTCATTCTCCCAGAAAAGCATGCTCCGCTTAGCAGCACTAAGCGAGAGCCAGCGCACGCTGAGCTTGTTCACGCCAAGTATGAGGGACACGGTCTTTCGTGCTTGGACGCACGTATTACATCGAGATGAAATGGGCTCATACTCCCGAACACCCACAATCCGTCCAGTGACCTTGTCAAGATTGCAATCATCAATCGCAACGCCCACGGTGCTATCGTCAGCGGCCTCGCAAACATCAGATGGGACCTCACCACAGCAAAGACCGTCTCTGATCAATGTGTCATCATCAGCGTCAGTGTACAGTTTCGGCAGTGGAGCGCCACGGTCACGGCCGGGCAAGAAACGGAAGCACCGAGTCGTCAATCTGCGCAAGAGCAAAAATGCTGCGGAAGGCGACGGCTGTGATGACACGATGAGCCTGGCTAGTAGCTATGACGAATCTGCCAGCCGTAGTGTCACCGGATCCGCCGACTCCAGTGGAAAGCCGGCATCGACAGGTCCGACAACAATAGGAAGCGCGGTTCGTGACGGCGAAATCCACACTCCACCACGGAGTCCACAAAACATTAAGGGATCTCGTCACAGTGCAACCGGAATGTCCGTCAGATCACGCCAGGTTTCATCCTCAGGGTTGTCCCGTCCTGCCACACCACCACCGCAATCATCAACTTCCCTCCGCTTGACTTTGAATCAACTCGACCTCGACCCTACCCCTCGAGCGTCGACCGTCCTCCAACATCCAACGACAACCGCATCCGATGACATGGACAATCACGACACCATAAAACCCCTACGCCGCGTGCCTCCCCAACAACAACCCTGGCGCCACCACTCCACTCCATCTCGCTCACCCTCGCCGGAACTTCTCCGCCGCTCGTCCTCCAGCGAGAGTCACAACACGACCTCTTCCGCCGACCGTCGCCTCCAAACCCTGTTGACCTCCGTCCTCGCCGCCGCCGCCAACGATGACGAGCCGATCCTTGGCGGCGTGGGTAGCGGCGCCACCAGTCCACGGTACGCCGGCGGTGGCGGCATCCTCGAACAGGCCTGGATGCAGAAGATGACGAACGAGATCGCCCGCAAGGTCGCCGAGGAGAAATCCCGCAGCGCTTCCCTCTCCGGACCCGCAGGCCCAAGTAACCCACAAACGACGAGGCCTCCGATTTGGCGCTCGTCGCTGTCGGGAGCCTCGTCATATACCAATGTGCGCACAGCGGGTGAGGGTCCGCCGCCGGCTTACGCTTCTTGAGCCTGTCATGAAGAACACAAGCTTCGTTACTGCAGCCCTTGTGTTTCGGGAAACAAAACAGAACCTAGATTTGCGAGGGAACATGCACACTCCGAACGATGAGGCTGAAAGCGATAATGAATAAGACTGATTATGATCAATTGGAACGAGTACATACCTCCGTCTCGGCTTTTGGGGATCGGCGGGACCTTTCTCTCTTGCTCTCCGGAACAAAACAAATTTGCGAGAGACGCGGAGAGAGAGAGAGAGATTCAGGAGTCTTCTCACCTGTGACCGGCGCGTTTGAGAGATTTTGTTCTATTTTTGCTTTTGAATTTTCGCTAGAGAGATACCCTTTGTTTATTGACTTGTCCTGCTTTGATGTTGCCTTTTTTTCTCATCGCCTTCTCCTGAGAGGGACACGGGTTTTCTTTGAGAGAAAAGAACAATCTCATCTCTATTGCTGAATTAAACCTTTTCATCTCTATCGTGTTCTGCCTATCCGTTCTCTATATGTTCTTGATATTGGTCGGGCATGATCCGCGCTTCGCTTGTCCCTCTCGCTCGTCGGTGGTCGCCCAATCTCTCACGCCTTCCTCCGCACTTTTCCCACCCCGACGAGTCCGCTCACATCCAGCTCCGCCTCACCATAATCAGCATTTTCCTTCTTCTTCTCAGCCGCGACGCCCTCTTGAGCACCTTCGTGCTGCTGTTTATCCGCAGAGAGTAACTTTTCCACGGCGTCGACTATACTCGTTCAATGAACAGGAATACCCGCTAACGTCTCACGCGCCAGGGTTGGACATACCTTTGTCTTGGAAAGTCTGCTTCTTATCCGTCCGGCTGCCGATGCGGATGTCGCTTTGGATCCGCACGACGCCGCGCGCGTGCAGCATCGTCTAGATGAGATTCAGTATCACGAAAAGAAAGGGAGAAAGGTCCACAAGAGGTGGGGTTCACAAAGGGAAAACGTACGTGGCATTGCCCGATGACGGTCATGACTTGCTCCCAGGATCCCTCTATACAAAGCCGCCAGTGATCATGTCAGTCGAGAGGTAGTTAGATATGCCCGAGTTCAAACGTAGCAGAGAGAGACAGGATGGATGGTGCGTACCGAGGGTCGTGCCGGCGGCGTGCATGGAGTAGTTCACGCCGGCCGTCTTGAGGAAGCGTTGGACATGGGCGACTTCTATTGCATCGAACGGGAACGTGGTTTCAGACTCTGGCAACGAGGCATTTCTGGAACACGTCGAGTCTCAATCTACCTTGGGAAACCGAGGCGGTCGGCGTGCCGATTGGGATGAGGCAGAAATCTAGGAGAGACCGATGACATTACTACCGCGTCCGACGACGATGACATTTGGAGGTTCGAATCATCTATCTAATTGATCGCTCCGTCTCGCGAAGTCCGAATCGAGCGATACACACTCTCGCGGAACGTAACAATATAGGGATGGACGCAGCAGACAATGGGCGTCCTCCATGCTCAGAACATGTCGTCCTCCCGCGTGCTCGTATCTATGTGAAAGTCCCGTGACTGATGAACGACATACCGGCTGTGCATGATGCCGGGGTGGGCAGCTTGTTGGGGTCGGAATCGGCCATGGCGCGTAGGATATGGGCGAGCTGAGGAGAAGTGTCCATCTGATGATGATGAGGATGATGATGATATCAGAGACGGAGTCGAGATGATATGCTGTAGTGTGAAGCTAAGAAAGCCAAAACCCTCCCGGGCTCCTAAGACTCCCACCTTTCCGCGCACATGTGAAGGAGGGAGGCGTTAGGGTTGCCCACATTCCTTTCTTTCGCTCCAGCATGAAGAGGGCCCCACATATCACGGCCCATGGTCCATCATGGCCCGGGAGGAACGATGACGAGTATTGGGTGAGACAGGAAAGTATGCTGGACCCCTGTTTGACCCTTCATGTAAATCATGTACTCTGGTTCCTCCTCCTCCTCCTCCTCCTTATTATCATTACCTAGTATCCTCCTCGTACGTAGTGTGTACGTATGTCCGTGTATACCTACCTACCTAGGTACTCACGTACTCACTAGCAAGCACACATACATATATACATATCTGCAATTTGGGTCCTGTCTCGTCTGCGGACTTTTTCTCCTTCTCCCACCTGACGATGACGCGGTGGCCGTTTCTGCCCGACGCCATTTCTGTCTGGGTCGTCTCGTCTCTTCCACTCCACCTGCATCATGCACGGCCTTCCATAGTGTACCTACCTACCTAGGTACCTAGGTAGGTATATAATAGTCATACTCCAGGGCTGTGCCGAATGATGACTAAGAATTACGTAGAGGGGCATGAACCGCCTGCATTTGCATTTCTCTCTCAATGGTGGAGCGGAGCCATGCCCGGGGGCCGAGTACATGCCACAAGGGCACCATCGTGATTCTCTCCTCCAGCGACAGATCTGCACGTATTGTGAAGATTCAGATGTCTCTGTGAACTTCATGTACGGTAGGATCAACTTTGACTAACTCCACCCAAGCACATCCTGGGCCTCTCGGTGACGTCTCTCAATAGATTGCGCACTACGCTCTTCGATTGCTTCCACCCACTGCAGTCAACGTCACTTTACCCGCACATCGACCACCGACGACTTTCGGCCGGCTGTGTTTACCGACTGGTTGTTTCTCGGTCGCCTGCTCTGGAGACGTCGGCGAAATCTAGACCGGTCTCCCCGAGTCCTCTTGATTATGCGGTCATGACGACGGCGGTCGTGACAAGATTTCCGCGCTCGTCATCGAGGCAAGGTTGAGACGGTGATGCAACTGTACCCGTCGTGTCGATCATGGGCTCGATGCTCATAACAAAACCATCAAGATGGCCTGTATATCGCCACAAGCGTCGTCTTCTACCTCTCTATCAAGTAATCCCACACGACTCGTGATGTTTGTCAAGGTCTCCTATGTCGGTGCGTACCCACCGTACTTCATCATCGAAAACAACGATCATGGAGAGCATCAACCTCTCGCTGCCGAATGGCGAAAATGCATAATCGAATATCTCGACGAAGGCGGCGCCAACTTTATCTTCACCCTACGGCCCGCCAGTGATCCTCTCGACCTGCCTTCACGTCTCCGCGGAAAGCTCCTTCGTTTGCCTAAAAGCCTCCCACACGTCCTCCCTGCCGACGAGCAGCTCCAGACTTTTCGACGCAACTTCGGCAACCTCTTCCCTGTCGAGCACATCATCATCGCCGAGCTCGTCCGCGTCGACCACAGCGTCGTCGCCGCGCTCAACAATGGCCTCGCGCACATGCAACCCTCCACGAGACCGCTCCACCGCCTGACGGATCTTCTGCCAGACAGCGACATGGCTGGCCAGCTGATAACCGACATGACCACGGCGCCTGGCCAGACCCTCGTTCAGCTCAAACCGAAATGGCTACATCAGTCCCCCAATGCCCCGACCAACTCCCGCCGATGCAGGACCTGCGCGCTCCGCGCCTACCGCGCCGCAAAACGCGAGAGGACAGCCTCCGACGCGCAGGAAATCTGCCCATTGGCGCTCATCCACGGCGATATAACGATTCGGCGACATGCGTTCGCCCAAATCACAGCCGATCGCAAACTCCGCGAATACCTGGCGGTGGACGCACAGCCTCTACTACGGGAGCTACGCGAGTGTCAAGTCGACTTCGACGAGGCCGGCGTCCTGGGCGTAGAGAGCGAAACCGCGATCAAAAGTCTCTGCAAAGCGATGACCTTGCGGGACTGTACGCTTTACGTGCGAAGGAACGGCGAACAAGGCAGCGATGACGGAAGCGATGACGAGAACTACGCCGCCGGCGGCAGCAAACGTGCCGATGATGGCGTAGAGGGAGGGACCAGCGAGGGGGACTCGACCATTGAAGCGAGACTGGGGGATCTCGATCTCAAACTCCCTGGACGATTGGACTACTGGAAACGAACGGAACAGGATCTGGTCGATGGCGGGTGGTATACGAATGAGGAGGATGCGGCGCTGCGCACGCCGGAGACGATCTGTACGCTTTCGGTCGATGGCTCGTGAATTTGAACGCGCCCTCTTCCCTCTTCACGGGAGATCCAAAGCTCACAGAGGCCTTGGGTTTGAAACGGATCCTCATCCAACAGATATCATCATCACAGCCTTCTCGGTAGATACCCCAACTTGCGAGCAAACGTGAGAAATTCTCCGACTTGAGAAGCGGCAGGGAGAAGAAATAGCCGGAACAGAGATATCGCAGAGAAGACCAGAATAGAATGACAGAGGACCAAGATGAGAATCACGGCTCTCATTCTGCGGCGAAAGAAAACCCATCATGGAAGAGAGAAAAGAGCACGGACGACCAGAGCAGAACGGGAAAGATGAAGCACAAAGTCTTAATGATACAAACAGAGCACACAGCCCCACTATTCAAACAGGGCTGAATTCAAACCACAACCCCAAGAGCAGCAGAATACATCCGGAAAACGCTCTGCCCGCTCTCCGCCCGGCCCTCAAACCCACCACCACCACCGCGAGCAGCAAACCCACTCCCGCTGTTCATCGCATGGATGTCCCGCCCCAGGACCTCCTCCCGCAGCACCCTCTTCATCTCCGCCAGCGCCACCTTCGCCCTCAGCCCCCGCTGGATCGCAGCCCCGTCCTCCTCCATGAGCGCCAGCCGCTTGCCCAGGATGTCGCGGGTGTCGGCGCCCTTGCGGCCCTCGCGGTCCTTCTTGCCGAGGTGCGCGAGTCTGACGAAAGCCTCGTAGACGGCGCCGCCGTGTTGCCACCCGTCCGGCTTGCGGCCCGCGGGGCTCTCGCCGAAGGCCTCGAGGAGGAATTCCAGGTCGGCGTAGTCCTCCTCGATGACGGCGTCCGGGCCGACGGTCTCGACGAGCACGGCGTGGGCGTCGTCGAGCCGGTCCGCGCGGAGCAGCCAGAGGGCTTCGAGCGCGGCGTTGCGGTCGCGCAGGGCGTGCTCGTGTTGGGCTTTGGCGCGCCAGAGCAGCGGGGAGGGCACGGAGAGGTCGTGGGCGAGGAGGGTGAAGAGGTTGGTCTTGTCGGCGGGGTTGGGCTCCGGGATGACGCCGCCGTTGCGCAGCATGAGCGCGTTGAGCGCTTCCTCCCGCGAGTGGCGGTCGCGGAGGTGGAGGAGGACCCAAGCGGCGGTGACGAGGCAGTCTTCGTCGCTGTCTTCCTTGCTGGGGTGGCGAGAGGCGGCCTCGAGATCGGTGGCGAAGTCCAGCGCGATCTGGTCGAATTTGTCCTCGCTGAGGCGGTAACCTTTGACGTCGAACATGACGGCCAGTTGGAAGGCGAGGCGGTTGTCGGTGTACGTCCCGGTGATATTCTTGGCGTCAAATAGAGCCTCGAGATCGGCGCGGGTGCTCGCAAGGAGTCGAAGAAGGCCAAGGAGGACATCCTCGCGGTCGGCATTGTCGGCTTTGGCGGCGACATCCCAGCTTGGACGAGGGGTGACCTTTTCCTTGCCGTTGCTCAAGTCCACGAGGTATGCGTCTACGGCATCGCCACACGCGGTGGATCCACCATAGAACAGGCGCAGGGCAAAGCTTTGCTTCCACTCCCAGCCGTACCGCTCAGCGATGCAGAACTCTGCCGCACGATCCTCCGCGGCCTTCCCACTGCCCTTGACGGTACAGAAGTCGCCGGCGAGAATGCTGTAGATCGCCCGGATCGAATCGGTCATCTCCGCCCAATCGTTCCTCTCCCGCCAGACCTCCACCTGCCTCTTCATCGTGTCGCGAGCTTCGTCCTGCAGGGGGAGTTGAGCGACGAGGGTCGCAAGGCGGATGTTCTTAGCCTCGGCCAAAGCCTCGCAGGCGCCAACGACATTGTTCACCGTGAGCAGATGGAGCGCCAGTTCTTCCGCGCCGCGAGCCATCCGGGCCTTTTCCACAACCGCCGGCTTGAGCATGTTCGTCCAGTAGTCCCTCAGTGCGTCGAGGCGCAAGCGCTCTTCGAATCGCGCGATGAGCCCATCGTCCATGCCATCGAGCGCCACGCGGCCATTCCATGCGGTGGCGATGGGGTCGAACAGGACGGAGGCCAAGCGCCAAACTTCCGCGCCCACGCGGGACTCCTCACCGTCGTCCGAGAGGAAAGCATGGAATTGCGTGTCGGGCAGAATGCTCGCGCGAGGGAAGTCGTCCACCAGCTCGATCTGGGTGGCGCTCTTCTGCACGGCGAGCGCACCGCCGCTGACGCCGGCGACGGTGGTTTGCCAGCGGGCGAAGCGGATGTCAGTGTGCTCGCCGACCAACGGCTTGATGGCCTGCGTCATCTCGCCTGAGATCGGCGGAGCGGATCCGGGGATGCCGTAGACGAAGGTGCCGTTGTGCGCAAAAGAAGGCTTCCAGGAGTCGTGAAAGGCAGCTTCGGGACCGTCGAGGATTTGTGATGCAGACAGGCGAGTCTTCGCGTATGTGTTCTGTTAAGAATTTGATTTTTCAGCTATGTACTTTTTTGTGGTTTTCGATAGAAGGTTTGACTGGGAAGGAGGAATGGTGATTTCGGGCTTGGGAAGGGGGTATCTACATAAAGTGCAGGGTTGGTACCAATGAGGCACTGGCGATGTGGTTGCGGTACGCTTGACTAAACAGTGTTTCATCCTTTCTTTCCAAAATTCGTGAATAACCAACATGTGTCCTCCTCTTACAGTATCATTAAAAGCAAGGGATGGGGCATGAAGATGATCGTGCGCGAAATGATATCATACCTCGAGACCCTTGGCGGCCGCCGTGGTCCTTGCATTGCTCGTGCTGTTGTCTGCCCACAGCGAGTTGATCAAATCCATCGAGTTGCGGAAAGCTTGGCTATGACCAAGTTTGATGTCGTCGATCGGTTTCGAGGCCATTCGCTGGGCGCTCTTCTGACCTAGATAGCTTTGCTCGAATAAGCTTTGCTTGAATGTGCTCTGTCCGAATGCGTCGCCGGCAAGAAGGTCGGGCTGTCCATCACGCAGCTTCTGACGATCACGCTTCTGCGGGCTGATAGTCCGCTGAAGTTGATCTTCCCAGGATTCGGCCACGAGCTTCTCAGGTGACGCGAAGGCGCTCAAGGGCGCAGCAGTCGGCTTCAGAATGGACCGAAGACCCTTGGGCTGGGTCTCGCCGAAAGAGCCAGGCATCTCCTCGATGGCCTCGTCGATGGGACCAGACTCGGCGAGCATGCTTTGCTCATAACGCTCATACGCGCCGGGGGATGGTTGGCGCACGGCGCCGCCGGCTTGAACCATAAAAGGATCTTCATCGAAGCCGTCAGCCATCGTGCCATCTTGTTCATCCATGACGTCGTCTGAGGGTGGGTCATCATACTCATACTCGACATCGACATCATCCTCCTCATCGAAATTGCCTGGAACCCTTGGGCCAGGTGCTTGTGGTCGTCTGCGGATCTTGAACTCGAATGTGTCGTCAAGGTCGGCCGATCCTGCGCCGGCATCGATGCTCTGCATCATCTCGTCCTCTCCTGACGGCGTGGTAGGCACGTCGCTCAGAAGGCTGGATTCTTGCTGCAGATTGCTGGCTGTCACTTCGGTGTCATCATCCTCCTCGAATCCGTAGGTCGTGAAATGCTCGACAGTGAAGATCCAGAAGCCAGTCTTCTCATCGAAGCTCTTGAGCGTGGTGTTTGTCACGCTCTTCAACGTCTGAACAAAGCGGTCCAAGTTCGGCTGCTTGCCAATCATGATGGCCTTTCTGTTAGAAGGGTTCTTCGGCAGCACGTTCTCGAGGTAGATTGTACTGGGAACATTCAAGCCCTTTCCGCGGGGTGGCTTGACGATCGTAGTGGGATAGACAGTCGCCGATCGGTATTCTAGCTTGACGATACGTCCTGGAATGTCGTCGAGCTCGGTGTCGGTTAGGTCGCAAGTGCTGAACTCGATACGGCCGGTACCTGCCCTTCCAACCACAAACTTGGACACCTGTGAGAGCTGAGCGCGGGACATGCTCTTCAACTCCTTGATGGACGGCTTGGACCAGTATTCACCGATCTCGACCGCGTCGGCATTATCAGCAGAGCTTGAGTGGCGAGGGGTGCTGGCCCGGCTTGTCTGGACACCTTCTTGAACGGGCGCGAGGCTCGCCGAACCATTTGTCTGTTGCATTTCAGGAGCACCATTGGTCTGCGGGCGAGGCTTGGCTGTAGCACGGAACAAAGTTGGAGTGGGTTGATCCTCGTCCGCGTCCTCTGTGCGAACCAGAGCATTGGATGCGCTTGGCTCGGGAGTCTCCTTTGCAGCGGAGTTGTCGAAGCTCACCTTCTTCTTGAGGGAGGAATCCGAAGAATCGTGCGATCTGGATTCGGATGGAGGGCTGAACAAGTCAATGCGCAAGCTTCTGTCGATGTTGAGCTTACGCATGCTACCAGTCGCCAAGAACCTGCTCGATGCACTTCCCGGCACCGGGCGCAGCAAGCTCTCGCCCTCGCGGGGAGTCGAGCTGTCGCCCCGCAAGTTCTGCATGCTGATGCTCTTGGCAAGTCTACTGCTAAGATTGCTGCCGATGCTGCCGCTGGGCTTCAAGAGGCTGCTCGCGCCAGGTGTGAGGCTGCTCGAGAAGGATGAGCTAGGTGTGGCATACGAGTATGTTCCACCCCGGCTGAAGGAACCACGAGGGGTGTAAACGGGAGAGTTGAGTCTGGAGCTCGAAAGCAAGCTCGGAGTCTTGGACTGAGCAGGCTTTGCTCCCGTCAAAGGCGTAGCGAGGGGACCAACAGGGGTGGCCGAAGCGCCGAGCGATCCGAAAAGCTGCTCATTACCGTACGGAGCGATGGTCAGACTGGCGTGGAGCTGGTTCGACTGAGGGGTCTGGTTGCCACTCTGCCCGAGGCCAAACAGGGAGCTGTTGTTCTGTTGGTTTTGAGTGGACTGCGTCATGCTGTTGCCAAATAGCGAGCTGCCATTGTTAGGCTGTTGTTGTTGGTTGTTTCCAAACAGAGAGGAACCTCCATTGGCAGTGGCGGTGTTGTTTGTGTTGCCGAAGAGACCTCCGGCAGGCTTGTTTTGTTGCTGGCCGAACAGAGATCCGCCATTGTTATTGTTGGTGTTGCCGAAAAGACTCGAGCCTTGCTGTTGAGGCTGGGCATTATTGTTGCCGAACAAGCCGCCTCCGCCAGTAGCGGTAGTGCTGCTGCCGAACAAAGACCCCGCTGGCTTGTTTTGTTGCTGATTGTTTCCAAACAGTCCACCTGTAGTGGCGGCTCCGGCTCCGAACAGTCCACCATTTGGTTGTGCCTGTTGCTGCTGCTGCTGTTGTGTGTTTGCGCCGAACAGGCTTGTGCCGGCGGTGGCCGTGTTGTTGGTAGTGTTACCGAAAAGTCCTGTTGCAGGCTTGTTCTGATTGCCAAACAGACTACTTCCTGTGTTGGCGCCAAATCCGGAGGCAGGTTGCTGCTGCTGGTTATTGTTGTTGTTGCCGAACAAGCTGGTAGTTGTGGGTGCTGCGGCATTGTTGTTGTTGCCGAACAAGCTTGTAGTAGTGTTGTTCGTGTTGCCGAAGCCGCCGGTGTTTGTGTTGTTCGCACCAAACCCGCTGAGTCCTGAAGCAGGTTGGGCTGCAGCATTGTTGTTATTGCTGCCGAAGAGACTTGGGGTGGCGGTGTTGTTGCTGGCACCGAAGCCGCCCCCGAAACCGCCTGATGCACCGAACCCGCCGGTGCTCGCGGTGTTGGTGGCACCGAAGCCACCAGCAGCCGGTGTAGTGGTCGATTGGCCAAACACGGATCCCGCTGGCTTGTTTTGGCCAAAAAGCGATCCCCCGGAATTACCAAAGCCGCTCGTCGCGGTATTGTTAGCAGTGTTGGCTCCGAATCCGCCAAATCCGGTGTTGGCGGTCGCCGTGTTGTTGGTAGCACCAAAGCCAGTGCCTGTCGATTGAGTGTTGTTGTTGCTCGCACCAAAAGCGCTCGTGCCTCCGAATCCGGTGCTGGCACCAAAGCCGCCTGCTTGACCGTTGTTGTTACCATACTTGCGACCCTGCGCATAATCTTCTAGACGCAACTCTTCGAAAGTCTTGGCTTTGTACTGAGGTAAGCAGACGATGGATTGATAGGCGATGGTCTGGCCGGCCTGGGCGTCCTTTTCAGTCAGAGGTTGGAAAGGGGTTCCTGCCGTGCCATTCGTGGTTGCGGCTTGACCAGCTCCGAATCCACCGAATCCGCCTGTTGTGTTGTTGCTCGTGGAACCAAACCCTGTAGTGGTGTTGTTCGTTGCACCGAAGCCGGTGTTCGTCTGAGCGGTTGTGCTTCCGAAGCCGGTTGTGTTGTTGTTGGTGCTGCTGCCGAAGATTGAGCCTCCAGTGTTGTTGTTGGTTGACCCAAAACCGGTGGTAGCAGGTCGGTTGGCGCCGAAAAGTCCTATGCAAAATCAGTTCCCGGAACGACATATGTATCGTGAATGGTTGTGATGCTGTACTTACCACCGCCAGTGTTTGAAGAGCTTCCGAATCCCGAGCTCGCGGTAGTGGTACCTCCAAAGCCAGTTCCGCTCCCGAATCCTCCAGTGGTGTTGGTGTTGGTATTGGTGTTACTTCCGAAGAGTCCTCCACCAGTGGCCGCTGGTGCGCCGAAGCCCGACGGCTTCGCACCGAAAGGAGAATTGTTCGTTGAACCAAATCCTCCTCCTGCTGAGCCAAATCCACCCGATGTTGCCGTGTTACCACCGCCGAAGATGGAGCCGCTTGTGGACGCATTGTTGTTGGCGCCAAACCCGGTGTTCGTGCTGGAGCCGAATCCACCTCCGCTACCAAATCCGGTCGAGTTGTTGTTATTGTAGAAAGACATGGTGCCTGTGGTTGACGTCGCAGACGCCTATTTGGACTAGAGAAAATGCGCTCGCATGCGCTTTGATCGATTTGATATCTGGTCGGAGATTTATCGAGGGGGCGGTAATGAGAGAAGCTGCGCAAAACGCGTGTCAGTCGGTCATTTGTTCTTTCTGAAGCACTTCGATGGCCGCAACGAGGTGGACTCTAAGCTTCTCTTGATTCAAGGCGTTGTCGTTTGGATGGCAGATCGATAGATACGCGCTGCGGTGAAGCACTTACAGACCCGTCAAGAGCGCGTCATTGCTGGAGTAGAAATTTTCGCAATCGTGAATTGACTTGGAAATGGACCGTCAGTCGATCCCGTCGGACGATTCGGCGCGATTGCTGTGAAGAAGGTGATAGAGAGAAGGGGCGCGGAGACAACGCTCGATGCGATCAAATATATTTCACGCAAAGCACACGCGATGCTGGTATGCTGGAGGAAGATGCGCAGCGTGTCATTCCATAGCTCCTAGAAGCCGCTTTCGCGGAACATTTGTGGGCTGGGACAACCGCACGGGTGCGGGCCGTCAACCAATCACTGGCCGACGTGGTTGCTGCTTGTGAATCTTTCAGGCAGCTCACCAGGCACACACAGGCAGTAAAGTTAGTCTGCCTGGCCGATCGAAGTCTGGAACAAATTACTGCGTGAGTCACACCAATTGAGTCCCATCGATTCGATCGCACCGCTTGCAGGATTGCAACCCGCAATCATCTACTCACGACGAATGACAAAAACACCTACGTGAAGGAAGACAATAAAATGGACTTAGAGACTATTGAAATTTGAAGTCTGAATTTGATCTACGCAAAGAATTCGCTAATTGGATTTTTCGCTGATGTTATACCATTTTGGTACAGAGTTGAGGAGTTGAAACGGTGGGTTGGAGGGATACTCCTCGATTGCGCCCTCTCCGCAGTTGCCAGACTCCATTGGACGGCGTGTCTGAAGCGAACGGGTGATCCCTGCTTCTCGGCACGACGTCCTTTTATTTGTCTTTCTCACCGGTTGTCGATGAGGGCGTTGCGACTCTAGAGGCGCCGAGGACAGACGTATCTCCTTGAGGTGATTGACGACCACTGAATCGCTAGGATTCGTGAGGCCGACGTATACTGGAATCAATCCATGATCGGGTCGGCCAAGAGCTCACGACTCCACGTTCTTCGAGGATCCAGTGGTGATGCCAGGCAAACTGATCGGTCCAGGAGGCGCCGAAATATCAGGAGGTGGCGGCGCGCTGTCCGGCAACTTGATCATAGCATTGGGGTCGGCCTTGATTTTGCCAACAAGCTGTTCGCCACGCACGATCTTTTCCATCTCCTCTCTGTCAAGCGTCTCGTACTCCACGAGGGCAATCGCCAGACGTTCGAGAGCGGCGCGGTTGTCCGTTAGCAGCTTCAAGGCTCGAGCTCGGCCCTCTTCGACTAATCTGCGCACTTCGTCCTCGATCTTCTGCTTCGTCTCGCTTGAGAGCCTTTCGTAGTCGCTCGCCAGATCGACGTTGCCTAACGTGGCGGACATACCTGCCTGTGTGACCATGTGGTAGGCAGTGTTGGTGGCATTCGTGATATCGCTGCTCGCACCCGTTGTCACATTATCGGATCCGTAAATTAGCTCTTCAGCCATTTTCCCTCCCATTGCCATGTCAATGCGTGCCTCCAATTCTTTCTTGGACATGCTGACTCGGTCGAGTTCGGGTAAGAAGTGTGTCACTCCGAGCGCCTGTCCACGAGGCATGATCGTGGCCTTGTACAGCGGGTCGTTGCCAGCAGTAAGCATTCCGACGAGTGCGTGACCACCCTCGTGATACGCCGTCATGAGCTTATCCTTGGCCTGAATGACTGCACTTCGCCTTTCGGCGCCCATGAGAACTTTGTCCTTGGCCCATGATAGATCCGCCTCGGTGATCTTGGTCGACTTGTTTTTCGATGCATGCACTGCAGCTTGGTTCACGACGTTTTCCAGCTCGGCACCAGAGAAACCCGGGCAACCGCGAGCGATGATCGCTGGGTCCACCGAAGCGTCAGTCTTGACCTTCTCGAGATGATGCTTGAGAATTGCAATTCGGCCTCGAACGTCAGGAAGCGGGACAGAGACATTGCGATCGAAGCGTCCAGGTCGAACCAGAGCCTTATCCAGCGCCTGCGGGAGATTCGTTGCGCCAATCAGGACGATTCCAGTCGTCTGGTCGAAGCCATCGAGTTCAGTCAGAAGTTGGTTCAGTGTTTGCTTGGCGTAGCCAGGGTCGCGCTCATTTCGCTTTCCTCCAACGGCGTCGAGTTCGTCAATGAAAATGATGGATGGCGATTTCGCACGGGCAGCGGCGAACAGTTCTCGTACGCGCTTGGCTCCGACGCCGACGTACATCTCGTCAAACTCAGAGCCAGACATGTAGAAAAAGGGCACACCGGCTTCACCAGCGACGGCTCGGGCAAGCAGGGTCTTTCCGGTACCGGGAGGGCCGACCAGCAGGACACCCTTGGGGAGTTTACCTCCCAACGTGCTGAAAGAGTCGGGGTTCTTGAGGAAATCAACCAACTCCTGTAGATCTTCCTTTGCCTCGTCGCATCCGTGAACGTCACTGAAACGAGTCTTTTGCAATTCCGGTTTGGCTTCATTCGCACCTGATGCACCGCCAAGCTTCCGCAGCGGAGTGAACATCTCCATGCCGAATGTGATGATGACCGTGAAGATGTAGAGCGCAAACAGGTAGAAAAGCGCGGTCCTGAAGATGGCAAACAGAGTGGTTCGCCAGCTCTCTTCGACGACCACATAGAGAGGCTCATTCTTGCCGCCTGTCCCACTGCGAGCAGTAGCGACGCCAGATCCTCGACTCTTGGCCGCGACAGCCTGACCAATAGCCTGGAGCTGCTCGCTGCTCAATTGCCCACCTTGTCCGTTCGACGATGGTCCAAAATTGGTAGATCCGATACGACCAAGCTCTTGACCACCACTTTGCTCCAAAGCACGAGCATACGCAGCTTCTACGGCTGGATTGGAAGCATATTGACCGGTTGAGTGGCGCTCGACGATGATATGGGGCATGTTCTGGCGGAGAAGTGCTTGATAGAATGCATTTTGCGCAGTGGCGCTTCCGGGATTGTTGTTCGCTACCTGTTCGAGATTGGCCAAGTGGTTTGTGTTACTATTTGCGCCCCATGGAGATCGGAAGAGTGTTCGTCGCTGATTGAGGCCGAGAAAGGTTGTAGCGGCCGTTGCTCGGGAGTCGAGTGATGAGGCAGCCGATCGTCGTTCTACGGCAGAGGGCCGATATAGGGATGGAGCAATCGCTGAAGCAACAGAGTAGTCACTCCGCTGTTGGCGGGAAGGAGTACATCTCGAAAACGAGATTGGTGATGCGAAAACCGAGTCGTGATGTAGTGTCGAGGGTGTTCTGAATGCATTCGACCTCTGCGATATCGATCGAGTGGCGACGGTCGACAAATCTCTCCTCGCTGATGATCCCAGACGTTGAGACAACTTCGACGCCGCGGCGTTGACATTCGCGACAGCCGACGAAGACGTCCTGGATAATGAAGCCATCTTGAGAGCGTGGCGCTCGACGTGGCACCCCGAAACCCTCCCCACGATATTCAAGGGAGAAATGACCTTCAATAGCGAATGGACAAGGAAAATGTGCCTAAGGAGTGTATTGGAAACGTGGATCGGACTGTAAGGACATCAACTCATGCGCCGTGGCGGCCAGGCCGGTGATGAGCGCAATGACTGTGAGACAGCATCATGGACGGTTCTAGATAGCAAAGGGTCGATCGGACGCTAGGGTCACGTGCTCAACATCTCCGCCCATCGGAAACGGCCGAGGCGACGCCTGGACATGACGATACCACATAACCAATTGCACATCAAATCATGCATCAAACTTACAAATGCTCTTTTGATCTCATATGGTACGACGATTCAATGCATCAACAGTGCTGAAACGGCAAACTCAGAGAAATGAAAATTGATTGTATACATGAAATGACGAGACCACTTTTTGTTTTTTTGGAACTTGCTACCGTGCCACCGAAACCTCCGCATGTTTGTTCCATTACCTCAGAAATGCCTGCACAGAGTCCTATGATTTTCCACCCGACCTGGTAAAATCCACCTTGTTATACCCGATTGACTACTAGCAGAGTGTTTGCCAAAGCAGCGCGACCTGGTAACCCGCGATTCGATGGCTTCTCCTAGTAGTAGCCCGGGGGACTGGGAGTAGCATAGCTGCTCGGCCCCTGGTCCGACTTGCTGCTGTTGTCGTAGCCGTCGGAGCCCTTATCGGTTGGGTATGGGCCGTTGTCGTTCGAGCCTGGGCCCTTGTCAGTCGGGCTTGGTCCCTTTTCAGTCGGAGCTGGACCGTTATCATATGGAGCTGGGCCATTGCCGGTTGGGTTTGAGCCCTTGTCGGAAGGGGAAGCTCCATAGACAGGGCCATTGGTCTCGCATGGGGCAGTCTCGGTGATAGTCTTGGGTGGCTGACCAGGGCCTCCGATATCGCAGCTAGTGATGGTGACGGCGGGACGGTCGATGGTGACGGTTGGGCCATTCTCGTACACGGTGAGAGTAGTCGGCGGGAACGGAGGAGAGTTGTTGTCGCACTTGGTGACGGTGACTTCGGGTTTCTCGACGGTGACGGTGACCTCGGGCTTGTACTCGGTGACGGTCTTGGGTGGGAGGACGGGGCTGTCGATGGTGCAGCTTGAGATGGTCTCGGCGGGCTTCTCGACGGTGACGGTCTCCTTGGGAGCGTAGACGGTGATCGTCGGACCTCCTGGGCCGCCGGGACCTCCGGGACCTCCAGGGCCATAGACGGTGCAGTCCCTGATCGTCTCAGCTGGCTTGGTGACGGTGACGACATCACCAGGTCTGTCGAATGTGATAGTCACGACTGGAGGCGTGGGCCTGTACCAAGTGCAGTCGGAGACGGTGCTGCCAGGTCTCTCATCGGTGACGGTGACGGTGACGGGTGGTCCCTGCTCGGTGACTGTCTGGGGCGGGCGGATGGGTCCGACATCAGTGCAGCTTGGCGGACCTCCAGGAGATGGAATCACCGTGATGGTGACTGGCGGTGGGCCAGGCCGGTCAATGGTGCAGTCCGACACAGTCTCTCTGGGCGAGAAGACAGTGGTGGTAGATTCGGGAAGTGTCACCACTGAGGTAAACCCGGGACCTGCAACGGTCGAGAAGGTCGTCTCGGTCACAGTAGAGGCCTTGCAGGTCCAGTAGGAGCTCCAGCCGCCGTTCGGGCCCCAGCCGCCGTACGGGCCACCTTGTGGGCCTCCTTGCGTCTTGGAAGCAGTGACCCAGGACGGAGGCGAACCATAGCCATTCCAATCACTGGTTTGCCACGGGGAAGCAGCAACCGAGGAGGCGAGCATAATGCTCAAGAACAAGCGGTTGTTATCCATGATGAATGAGTAGGTGAGTGCAGAGTTGCAATGGCACTTCCAAGCAAATGATCAACAGGACTTGCGTGGAAGCTGTTCGAGAAGATTGAAGGGGGCTGCAAGGAAACGAGGGAGAGCTTGAGGTCCGGACGGGAGAAGAACGAGTCCGCTCTGCCGTAGGTCCAGCCTTTTATGTTTATTCTTGTCTCCGCATCGGATGATGATGATGATGTTCGAAATCATCGCAGAGGATGTACTTGCTTCGGACATCGGCCATCCACGGTCAGCTCCATCGCCCAATGCAGACGTCAGCTTGCTTCCATGTCGTCTCAAGAATATGCTGTGGAGCAGTAAGCTTGCAGAGGTCAGGATGTTGTTGTGCCCAATATGGTCGTGTAGCCGTGGCACGACATTCAAGTACCGCTGTACTTGGTCGGATTAGTTCGTGAATTCGACCACAGGGTTCACAAATGCCCAATGATGCACACATGACATTGAAGAAAACTGACATTGACGGATGTGGGGTTACAGTTATGGTGCCATCGCTGTGCATGAAGAGGCTGCCACCGAGGTAGGTGCGAACGATTTTGGGTTGAACATAGTGTCATAATATCGAACGCGGGAAATTGCTGGTCAGTGCATGTGTCGTCTTAGGTTTGTCCAGTGCAGCAGGTCATATTATAAAGTAAAGCCTATTCGAATCGAGCATGTGCTGTTCAACTCGAAACATAAGCTGGGTCTAAGCCTTGCTCGTAAGCACCTCGATCATCCAGCAGGATCGGCAAGCAGTGGAAGGTCAGTTCGGCCTCAATGGTTCGGCCCCCCAATGCTGACGCTCCAACCGGATGCATGGTCGGATGTAATCTTGAGCAGAGCATGCCCGCAGAAGCTTCGTCCAGATCCTGCGACGAGAGCATGATCGCCCTGGACAGCACGTGTAGTCTTGCGCAGGCACCACTTTCCACGCGGTCTTCTTGGCGGAACGTAAGACAAGAAGGATGCCCAATGCTGACGTGGCCGAAGCTCGCTCTGACCAGTCTGCGTGTTCTTTGGAAATTCGACCTTTCACGGGCCTGAATGAGGGTATGACCATTGGCTCATACACCGCCAAAGTCCGTGAGATTCCCGGGAGATCGCTCGCAAACAGGATTTCTACCCCATCGGAGGAGTATTGCCACTTTTGCATTTACTATTCCTCAGGTGCAAGCTAGACGAACACCCGATGTGTGAGCTTTTGTGGTCATGGTCCGTGGTGTTTCGTCCCAACAGGCAATGCAGTCGTCCCCGAAAGACCCCACAGGCCACAGCGTCATTAGGCTTGATAAAGAGAAACCTCGAACCACAAGCGAACTGTGTAATACCGCCAAGGCCCTGATGCCGACCTTTCCAGGCCTCGTCGATGTGCATCATCGCAGGAGAGCTTTCGGTCGTGGATGCTGTCCTTAAAGCCCCTGATCCGGCCATGTGAGGCTGAACCACAAGATGTCGCCTGACGAGCAGACCATGCAGTGCTCTCCGCTTTGAGATACGAAGCTGTGAGTGACCATGATCGAATAGCTTCGTGCAAAGTCCCGTCTCGACAATTTGAAATAATCTTGGGACGATGACGCCATGAGATCTACAAAGATCGTGACCTCGATCGTCTGAGTCTTGGGAGTTCCGGTATGCAGTGCGGAAACACGTGGTCCCATTCTGTGTGCATGGGACGACATGCATCAGGCCGTTGCGGGAAAGAGCCGGCGCTGTAACTAAGAGGAGTGAAGATCGAATGCCGTCCGCGTGTCGAGACTGAGGTCGTGCCGGAGTGGAGATTGTTAAGGTCGAAGGAGAGCGTACGGTTCAGCCTTGTTTGCTGGCGTGACTGTCTATCGGTATCCCTTGTCCTTGACAGTACTGACAGCGAAATCCCCTGGCGCGCTCATTCCGGTGGCCCAGGAATGGTTTCAGAGAGGAGACCTTCGTTGCAGAGTGGAGACGATGATTTTTCCTAACAGGGGATTTTCCCTTCCCGAACTATCGCGTCGAATTGAAAGATCTTCGAAAGTCCCTCGCTGTACCGAAAGAAATCACCAAGTCAGTCATGCCGAAAGCCCACAGAATTCATCATATCAATTCACATCCGCCGGCAAGGAACTTACCATAACTCCCCATCATCCCGCAGTTATTCTCATCACGCTTCCCCTCCGCCTCCGCCATCCACTCGCGAATCTTATCAATACGATTATGGTTACTGGGATGCGTGCTGAGGAACTCCGGCGGGGCCCCTCCTCCGCGCTCCCGCTCCGCCATCTCCATCCGCTGCCACAGCCGCAGCGCGGCGGCGGGGTTATAGCAGCTGGAGGCCATCATCAGGAGCCCGATGTAATCGGCCTCGGCCTCGGCGGCGCGGGAGCCGGGCAGCTGGAAGGCGTAGTTCAGGATGAAGCGGGTGATTCCGAAGTCGTAGCCGAGGGCGCCCGTCAGGCCGATCCAGAGCGGGATGAAGAAGGGCGCGAGCAGGACGAGTTGAGAGATGCGCTCAGCGGAGTGGTGGGCGACGTTGTGGGCGATTTCGTGGCCGAGCACGGCGGCGAGCCCGTCTTCCGTCTCGCAGATCCCCAGAATCCCCGTGAACACGAAGACCTTGTTGCCCGGGATCACGAAGGCGTTGAGTTGGCGCGGGTCGTCGATGACGTGAACTTCCCAGGCGGTGGGGCCGTCGGCGGCGAGGCCGGAGTGGGGGATCAGACGGTCGAGGACGCGTTTGACCAGGCGATGTTCGGGGCGATGGCGCGAGAGGATTTGCCCTTCGAACTGGCGGAGGGTGCCTTCATAGAGCTGAAGGCCCATCTCGGCCTCCCAGTCCGCGGGGACGACGTTGAAGCGTCGACGTCCGGAGACGGGAACGGTGTCGAGGTTGTAGATGTAGACTCCGGTTCCTGCGGCCGCGATGCCGCCAACTTCGTAGTAGAAGGTTGGCCGAGCAGCCCATCGACGAAAAATACCCGGGCCTCTCTGCTGGAATCGCTGGTATTGAAACGGCCTTTGATATGTACGCTTTTGAGCGGATTGGTGGATGTTTCTCCAGGGTATTCGAGGCCGTGTAGTCGTGAATGTGCGCGCAAAGGTTGAACCTGCGCTGATGCGGCTTGCTGTGAAGCTGCTACATGATGACTTCGAGGCGAACGTGAAGCACCCTGGAATACACGGGTGTTTCCAATAACGAATAGGCTGAAATGCTGACATGGAAATCACAAAGGCCGTCTTCTGCTCGAAAGTCTTGTCTAGTGAAAGTTGCGGCCGGGTCCCTTGTCGATGCGATGCGAACGGGCGTATTCTTATGTACTTGTATAATTCCCGGCAGGAGGAGAGGGAGCGATGGTTTGCAGCATGCGACAGGTCGGATCGTGAGATGACGTTGGTCTCGAAGCTTTGGCCCTGCCCAGGAATATCCACGCCAATCTATCGACATCCATGATTTCCACGAAGCGGCCTGAAGACCTAGGTGATAACAATGAAGGTAATCGAGTCGTTGCCAACATCTATCAGAATTATACCACAAAACAAGTACCACAAGTCACGTTCGTAATACCTGGAAGTCTGTTCTACAATGTATCTTTCCACGCTCGCTTGTGTCCTAGCCAACGAGACTTACTCGCGCAATGCACTGCACTGCTAATTCCTGATCCTCCAGCACAAACCTCCTGTCACGCGAGCATATCTCAAATGGACATATGGAAACAACTCTGCGTGTCAGGGAAAGTCTTCAATAAATGCTTCATCTATATCCATATCCATGAGTCTGTAATGTTTGGGCTTGTCCTATAGCAAAACCGGGTCGTTTTTTCATGCAAATATACATACAAAGATAGCAGTAGTAATAGCAGCAGCAGTGGGTAGTGGGTGGTATCCTCACACATTCGTCACAATGCCATCCTCGGTCCTCGTGCGCTCCTCCTCTTGGTCGTCCGCGGGTTTCAAATCGCGCCCAGCTCCTTCAGCTTCGCGATCAACCCGTCCACATCCTCGACCTTGCCACCGCCCTGTCGCGCCGGGGGTTCGGCGACCTTGAGCGTCTTCAGCCGCAGCGCGCCGTCGACGCCGTAGTCCGCCAGCGTCTTCTTTTCCAGCGGCTTCTTCTTCGCCTTCATGATGCTGGGCAGGGTGGCGTAGCGGGGCTCGTTGAGGCGCAGGTCGGTCGTGACGACCATGGGGAGCGGGGATTTGAGCGTCTCGACGCCGCCGTCGACTTCGCGGGTGACGGTGGCGGATTTGCCGTCCGAGGAGATCTCCACCTTGCTCGCCTGGGTCGCCTGCGGCCAGCCGAGGAGGCCGGCGAGCATCTGGCCCGTCTGGCCGCTGTCGTCGTCGATGGACTGCTTGCCAAGGATGACGAGGTTGCGGTCCTCCTGCTTGGTGACGGCGGCGAGGAGCTTGGCGATGGTGAGGGGTTCGAGCTCGGTCTTCTCCTCGACGACGTGGATGGCGCGGTCGGCGCCCATGGCGAGCGCGGTCCGGAGGATGTCCTGGGATTTACTGGGCCCGGCGGAGAAGGCGAGGATGTCGTCGACGGCCGGGTTGGTTTTGGTTTTGTTCTCGCGGATCCGGACGGCTTCTTCGATGGAGAGCTCGTCGAAGGGGTTCATGGAGTGTTTGACGTTGGTCTCGACGCCGGTGCCGGCTTTGTTCACTCGTGGTTTGACCTGGGTGGGAAGAAGAGGGGAGAGTCAGCGTGAATTTTGATGGCGAGAACCACCTCCGACACAACATGTTCCAGGATCGATCGCCAATTCAGACCCCAAAAAACAACAGCCTCCAAGGGAACCCCAACAAAGCGTGAATCAACATACCGCATAGTCAATGACCCGCTTGACCGGCACAAGGATCCTCAAACCCGACATCTCGTCGTCGGCGATCAAAAACTATCCTCCTCGTGAACCCGTAATCAGCAGCGCAAGTCGTGGTGGTAGAGGTGGTGGTTGTCGGAGAAGAATGTCGACAAGCGAAAAGACAGATCCAATGATGTAGGGAAGGATTTCGACTTCGGCATAGGTAGGTTCAAACGTTCGGCTGTGATGATGGCTGGCGGGCTGGCGGGCCAGAAAAGCATTGGTTAATGGGTGGGACGCGCGCGAGGTCGGCGCATTCGGCTTCGCCCTGTTCTACTCTTCACATGCTCCTTCTCTGCCCAGGTGCTCATGAGTTAATTAAGCTTGAGCTGCTTCGTCCCGAGCTATATGCCGGTCGATTGCTGCAATTTCATGATTCGTTCACGATGTCACATCTCATTGTCCAAACCGATCTTCAAACCTTACAATGACGGATATAGAGATGCGACTCGTCGAATATTTCCGAGACCATGTCAGACGGGAACTCTAACGCATTCCAAACAGGAGGTGCACGAAACTACGGCAGAACTAAGTCACATCCGACCAAAATGAGAAAGGAGAAAGCATTCGTCTCGACGTGATCATAATACAATTCCTGATATGGTTATCGTCGTAATCGCTGTTCGTGATTTTTATATTGTTTTTGGGGGTCTGATTCTTGACATTGCTCTCTCCAATGTCGGCAGAATGGCAAACGGGGGTGGGAGAAGACAACTGCAGGTCGAGAGTCCGAAGACACGTCTACACTAGCCCATCCCGTGGAGCGCGCGCCAAATCGTCTTCCGCTAACAGATTAGAAAAAAAAAAGAAATGGCGCGCAACACCGTCGTCGAGAGACCAGTCGATCTGCAACGCTCATCCGTCACCTCCTTCCAAAAGTCATCGCGACCATTTATGCGGCGGTGGCGGCAGGGGCCTCGGTCTCGGCGGCGCCCTCGGCGGCCAAGGTAGGCTCAACGGCGGTGCTCGGGTCCTCGTCCTCCTTGCCAGGGCTGTCGATGGCGACCTTGACGGCGATCTCACGACCCTCGATCTCACGGCCGTTCATCTCATCGCATGCCTTCTGCTGCAGCTCCTCGCTAGAGAGCGTGACAAAGCCGAAGCCACGGCCCTTGCGAGGCTCGTTGCGGGCTTGAAGCTTGCGAACCATGAACTTGGGGATGGGGCGAAGGGCGATCTTGGCGGCGGTGGGCGAGTAGTCCTTGAAGATCTCGAGGAGCTAGAAAATACGGTCAGCACATCAATCGCTTTTCACAAGGACTCGCTGCTGGAAAGACGTACCTTCTCCTCGCCGAGGTCGTAGGGAAGGTTGGCGACCATGATCTTGGTCTTGCTGGGGACACCGTCCTCTGGGGGACCGCGCTGCTTGCGCGGTGGGCGGGGAGCAGCAGCCTCGGGGACCTCAGCCTCGTTGGTGGTGTTAGCCAAAGGAGCGGCAGCGTCGCCCTCGGCAGGCACGGCCTCTTCTCCATCGGCCTTCTTGGCGTTGCGACCAGCACGGCCGGAACGGCCGCCACGGCCGCGGCCACGGCCACGAGTGGACTGACGGCGACGGGCACCGCCCTCTTCACCCTCGGCGTTCTCGTTGTTGACAGCAGCAGAGGCGGCGGGCGCAGCGGGCTCAGGCTTGCGCGCGAGCTGGACGGAAACCTTACGGTCGAGGATGGTCTTGCCGTTGAGGTCGTTGATGGCACGCTCGGCCTCGGACGGGGTGGACACGTCAACAAAGGCGTATCCAACCGGGCGGGTGGTGCGCGGGTTGGTGGGGATGGAGGTTGTCTCACTATCGATGCCATCAGTCATCCAACTCCTCCAAGCGTCCTCTCTTTTCCGGATGATCATGACGATCGCACTTACACAAGGTAGTCCTTGAAGAAATCCTTCAACTCTCCCTCAGTGGTGGCGTATGCGAGGTTTCCGATGTAGAGACGGCGACCCTCGGCGGCGCTGGCAAGGACAGCGTCGGTAGGGCCAGCGCTGCCCGCAGCGCCGGTGCTCGACTCATTCAAGGTGGCATTGGCCAACTGGTTGGTGACGGCGTCGGTAGACATGTTGTTGCGGTGAAGTTGATGACACGAAGCGTACTGCTAAGATGGAGTGGGATGGGAGTACTTTCGATTGGACGAGAAGTACTTCGTGTGGAGCTTGAGGGTAGACTAGAACGTCTTGTGTCCGCCGAAGAAAAAAATTGGTGGAGTTGACTTGACGAGCTGAAGATGACGAGGTCAGTCGGGATTTCCCTAGCGATCGAAATGGAACGACATCATGAGATGTGTGGTGATTGCCATTCCGCGCGCGTCACAGGATGTCGATCTGCGCGCGAAGATGACAAAGACCCATGGAAGCGGCAGCGCTTGAGAGGAGCAGCATCGCAGGAGATGACTCACGGAGAGTTGGGTTAGGCTAGCTACGTGGCCAAGATCCAGGTGGTGAAAGGGATTTGGGAGGGAGGTTTGCTTGTCGAACTTCTTTGACTTGTGTTGATGAACGGAAGAATCAAGGGAGGAAGAAGACGGGAGAGGAAATTCCACGGGCTATGTACGTATGTGGGAATTATCGCGGTGTGAGAGAAAGCTGGGGGGGGCGGCGTAACTTTTTTGGTCAGGGACAGCACACAGCGGCGGCGGCGTCAAGAACAGCAACAGCAGCAGCAGCAGTCACAGTCAATCACAGTTTAATCACACAAGACCCTCTAGTACGGTAATACAGCAAGGTAAAGTCCAGCACTGTCACGGTATTTTCCTGGATACAACACAAGACAGCAAGTGCAGGCGACACGCGAGGCAAAATCCGTGCGATACAAAGCAAGGGCGGAGTTTTGCCCCTACGGTCGGGAGTCTCCTGCCGCAATGTGGACAACTCAGGATGGAATTTCGCAAAGTCTTGGCAAGAACCTCGCCGCCTTCCCCCTTGCCCCTTTGCTGTTATTGCTTGTGATTACAGTACAAGGATTCCAAGGCGTCGTCGTGGTCGCCGTGGCCAGGTCGTCGCGTTGTGGACACCGCATGCACCAGTCCAGTCCCTCATCGCCACGTATGATGTGACACAACAGCGTATTCCTGCCTGATGTCCACATCATCATCGATGGCAATTTCCAATAAACCAGCTCTGAATGAATCTGTATCTACATACTTACTAGTTAGGTAGGTAGTCGTGATGGTGAAATGGGCGTCACGTGTGCTTCATGTACGGGCACTGAATGATTAATGCCGGAGAGCCTTTTCTGGAACCCTCCGACATCTGCCCTGGGATGGTGGAGACACCTGCAACCTGGGAATGCCATGGGCTGTCAATCACGCCCGGGCGGTCATGTCGACTACCTAGCTACGGTACAGAGGTGTGTCTTGTCTGGGAATGTACGGCAAGCACAATCCATACAGGTAGGTCCTGAGGCATCATAATGCGATTACGGCAAGGAAGCACACGACAACAAATTTGTCCCTCCCACGCTTGTTTCTTCACGGCTGCAGGGAGATGGGTATGAATCTCCTCCCTTTATCATCACCAAATTAAGCGAGGTTCTGGATGATCCCCATTATGGCTTGACAAATATGGCGAAGACCATATCACGGGGATCGATGCAAGCGCCTACGATGTCGACAGCCTCAATCACTTCGAACTTAATCCTCTGGATTATTATCGCTGGCTCGACCGTTGGACTGGCGCCCAGCGTGGTGACCCTCCGTGCACGAATCGGAAACTCTCCGCAGAGCCGCACGAACGATGTGAGGCCTGCCTGCCGACGAACGGAACTGGTCTCGACACATGATCTAGAATCTGGTCCTCAACGTCCGTCTTGTGACTGCAGTGTGGATAGTGGACCCGTTGTGTGCTATTCTCCTCGTCCTTCTCCCGCCGCCACTGGTTCGCAAAGGCACGAGTGTGGCTTCCCGACGGTGTTGTGTGGCTCATGCCCAGCGAGTGTACAAAACGTCGGTGAGTGCTCGCCGCAACGATCCCGATGTCGCAGTTCGTCACGTGTCTGGGTGAATTTCTGCAGGTGCTCACAGTTCACATAGGTCGAGTCCAGTAGTAGACCAACTTCAACGACGTCAGCGACATTTCTTATAGTTCGAGATAGACCGAAAACGCCCATACTGTGCTGTATAACAATATCATCGATCAGGGGCGAAAACATGATTCTCCAACTGTGTATAACCAGGTGGATGGTCGTCGGAGGAGTATCATCCAGGTCACTTATTATGTTGTCTATCAAGTTTTCCTTAGAATATAGGATCAATCCTCGGTTCATTGAACTCTTTTATGCCACAAAGAGAGATAGAGACGGAGACACTCTGACAATAATTGCTCATCGACGGACCATCTCTGATCGTGATATGAGAGATGTCGCCAGTACACATAGATGCGGATCGGGTCCCTTTCGTGTGACGAAAATGGTAATGATGATACGCATATTCGTATTGGCATAGGAGTTCGCCGTTGTAGCTGCTCGAGATTTCATGATCCGCCCGAACATCGGTCCTAACAATAATGTAACGGAATCACCTGGGCTGCCTATAATTCACCGTCGCGGCAATATTCTAGAACATCACTCTTTTGAGAATGATGCATGATACATTTACTGTACAATAATCATCTTTCTGCGACATCAGATCATCCAGCAAAAAACATTATCAAGAGTCTCACATCAAGGCTGCTGCTGCTGCTGCTGCTGCTGTCGGCTTCATGACAAGCTCGAGCGTGTGAGTCAATGCTCGTCACAAATCCTGCGCAACCTTCAAATTTCCACATGCTTTGATCCAACATGCCGGGCCTCAAGTCACGCCTTCGATCCCGACTGACCATTCCTCACTCAAAAGCGTCACCGCGTCGGCGCCGAAATCATCGAACGACCCGTCCTCTCGCTCTGCTCTGATCCTCTACGGTTCCGAGACGGGCAACGCTCAAGATGTCGCCGAAGAGGTTTCCCGCCTGACCGAACGACTTCGCTTCCAGACCACCTTGCTCGATCTCGACGCCGTGCCTCTTCGGGATCTGCTGCGTCCGACCGTCGTCATCTTTGTGATCTCCACGACCGGTCAGGGCGAGGTACCTCAGAACGCGCGTGCCTTCTGGAAACGCCTCCTGAGCAGTGCCCTCAAACCAGGGATTCTCCTTCGACTCCGATTCTCGTCCTTTGGTCTCGGAGACAGCTCATATCCGCAGTATAATGTCTCCCATCGAGCGCTGCATGCTCGACTGGTGCAGCTCGGTGCGCAATCGTTCTGTGAGCGCGGCGAAGGCAATGAACAGCATCCTGAAGGTCACAGCGCTGGAGTGCGGGAGTGGATGCTCTTGTTGAGGGAGACGCTCTTGGAACGGTTTCCACTCCCAACTGGAGTAGAACCGATTCCAGCGGATGAGTTTGTGGAGCCGCACTGGCGACTGGCACTGGATGACACCGTCTCAGAGAAAGTGCCTTTGCAAGACGACTCAGTCACCTTGACAGCCCCGTCGAAGTCTTTGGTCCCTGTCCATGGAGCCCATGCGGCATTCATCGAAAGTAACAGTCGCATTACAGCAACGGATCATTTTCAGGATGTAAGGCATATCGTTCTCCGCACCGATGAGCCCATTTCATACGGACCTGGAGCAGTGGCTGTCATATACCCCAAAAACTTCCCTGAAGATGTCAACCACTTCATCGAATTGATGGAATGGAGAGATATCGCGGACCAACCTCTACAGTTGGTCGCTGATTCCAATCACAAACACGGACCAGGTCCGCTATCTCCACTGCGCGCCTTCAACCTCTCCAACACGCGCCTCACCATTCGATGGCTCCTAGAGAATGTCCTCGACATAATGTCCATCCCTCGAAGATCATTCTTCGCCTCTCTCGTCTACTTCGCCCGTACCGACACCGAGGACGAATCCTACCAAAAGACCCGCCTCCTCGAACTCGCCGACCCAACCCTGATCGACGAGCTATGGGACTACACCACACGCCCGAAACGCACCATCCTCGAAGTAATGATGGACTTCACGACCCTCAAACTGCCCTGGCAATACATACTCACCACGCTCCCCCTCCTCCGCGGCCGCCAATTCAGCATCGCCAGCGGCGGCGCCCTCAAACAGGACCCAACCACCACCACAGAAGAAGGCGGCAAGTCCCGTGTCGAGCTCCTCGTCGCCATCGTCAACCCTCCCAGCCCGATCATCAAATACCGCCCCCGCTACGGCGTCGCCACCCGCTACATGGCCACCTGGGAAGCCGGCATGACCATCCCCATGGGCCTGCATCCAGGCTACCTCGCCACCTCGCCTTCGGACCTCGCCACGCCCGCATTGATGATCGGCCCCGGGACCGGCGTGGCACCGCTCCGCGCCCTCATCCACGAACGTCTCGCCTGGTCATCATCGCCATCATCGTCCCCACCTCCTCCTCCCCCCCTCGCCCAGGACATGCTCATCTTCGGCTGCCGCTCCTCGACGGCCGATCACTTCTTCCACGCGGAATGGACGACCCTCGCGATCTCCGCGGGCCTGCGACACTTCACCGCCTTCTCGCGCGATCAGGCATTCCCGCGGGAGTATGTCCAGGACGTGATCTGCAGGCAGGCGGGGAGCATCCGAGAGTTGCTCGTCGAGAGGGCGGGGAAGGTGTATGTCTGTGGGTCGAGCGGGAATATGCCCAAGGGGGTCCGGCAGGCGCTCGTGGAGGTCTTGTCCGGGCAAGCGGGTAACAATTCGGACGGGAACGATCGGGAGGAGAAGAGTGGTGAGGCGGAGGATGGATCCGCGACGCGGACTGTGACGGAGATCTCTGGATCGAAGGGATATATGACGGTGGAGGACGCGGAGGCGTTTCTCGCGGAGATGGAGAAGACGGGGAGATATTGGCAGGAGACGTGGTAGATTCTATGGAGAGGGAGGGAGAGAGAAAGGGGGGAAAGGAGGAGTTTCCCTCGTCGAGACACACGACCATCCTACTCTCACGCAGGAAAATGGCGAGACGGTATTTGGATGAAATGTAAATCCCGGCCCTGCTATCTTTCCCTCCATCATTCTTCCATCGTCCGAAATTGCTCAATACTCTCCCTCCTAGAAGGAAATCAATCACAATTTCGCCTCTCCACCGCCACCCTCCTCTTTCGCCTTCACCCTCCGAATCCTAAACTGCCACCGAGGAGCATGCAGCCTGACCTCCCTCTCCCCACCCATGTCGTCCCTGACGCTCTTCACGATGACGACCTCGCCCGCACTCAGCCCCACCAGCGTGCCCCGATCCTGATGGAAGAAGCCACCGCCATCGGTCGGGAAGACCTCCACAACCTCGCCGGCGCGCAGGCGCATGGGATCGGTCTCGTCGACGCTCAAGAGATGCGGGGGCTCGGCGAAGGCGGCGTTCAGCACGAGCGGCGTGGCTTGGACGCCGGTGAGGGACGGGACCCCGGCGGCCTGCGCGGACGACTTCGATTTGACGGCGGCGCGGAACCGCGCGTGCCAGGCGTAGACGCGCGGGAATCTCTCGGCGGAGAAATGCTCCCTCGGGGGCCGGAGTCCGATTAACCTGCAGGAAGAACATTGGGTCTCGTCAGCGATCGGCTCCAGGACCGGACGCCACCGCGGCTGGGGGATATCTCGCACTCACCAATCGATCGGCCAGACGCCCTCGAGGTCCGCCAGCGAAGGCTCCTCCGTGCCGGCGATCCACGGCCGCCCGTCGGCGAGCAGGCTCTCCAGGATGGCGAAGATCTGCTGCATGTGCACGGTGGCCTCCTGCCTCGCGGCGGGGCTGGCTTTGATGCCGCGGCCGCCGCCGAACTGCTCCCGGTCCTTGAGGAACTTCGCGTCTTTCATCAGGGGGTTCTCCGCGGGGATCAGGCGCACGACCTGGGAGAAGGCGCTCTCCGTCGACAGTTTCTGGAGCAGGGACGCCAGGCCCGCGTGCTGCGGGTGCGAGAGCCCCGGGTGCGAGGCCGATGCCGGGAAGAGGCTGTCGAGCTTGGAGATCATGAGCCGCGAGTCGACGTAGATGTCCCGCCCGATGGCCATGATGGGGGAGCGCCGGTATTGGATCCCTAGGGCGTCAAGGTCGGGTCGGGGCAGGTAGGGTGGTTGAAGCTGTCGGGGGTCAGTGTGTGGTTCCGTCTTAGGTCGTTCATGGTCGCTGCTGGATCGGGGTGTTGGGAATGATGGGGTTTTCCGCAAGAACGACGTACGCATTGTGCATAGGCGATGTTGCGCAGCGCGAGGTACCATGCTACCCGGCGACCATAAGGTGAGGCTTTGTACCAGTATAGAACGATGCCATTGGGGGCTTCGACATGTGCCATGATCTCGTCGTCGTTATGGTCGTCGTTGAGATCCCGATCGAACTGGCCTCAATGCGCCAGTCGTGAACGGTAGGATGTTGGAGGAGACAGAGACCAGCTCTAATGCGGGAAACGCTTGAACGGAGACTTCACTTTTGACTCTTGACGGATTCCAGGAAGGCGACTGAGGTGCGATTATGCGTGTTCCAATCCCTGACACATAGAATGTTGACTCGAGGACGGCGAAAAGATACTGTATTGGTTTGAAGCTAGAGGGACCTCGGCCATATTCTCCACTGACTGACGTAAAGGGCAACATCGCCGTCATTCACGCGCATTGTCGCCGCCAAACGTTTGCCCCACATGGACAGACTCGCCATCGTGTGAGCGGAATTGATCCATGTGTAATAAGACGAGGATGTCAACCAATGCGACTGGACTTTTGCATCCACGATACCCGGTGGAAGTCGGCATAGACGACTCGACCGAACAATGCTACGGACATATATGGCTGGGCTGGGCTGCAATGCGACAGTCGGCGCAGTTCGCGTACGTCAAAGGGTCCCCCTGCGCAGGTGAAGAGACAATTTGATACGGAACGCGATAGGAGAGGCTGAGATCGTCAAAGTTTGGCATGCAGCGACACATGGGCGTTAGGGTGTCTCCAACTCTCCTCCATGTTCATTCACACACGCGCAAGTGAAGCAACCATATCGACAGCGCATTTCCAATACTCGAACCTAGATCATCTGCATCTCGGATTGGGACGGTAAACACACCTCCTATTCCAAGCATCACAGCCACAGAAATGTCATCATCGCTCAAACGCAAAGGATCACCCACGATCGACGCATCAGAGGAATCTTCGAAACGACGATTCGCAGAAGCCACCGAAGGCGCCAAATCCGACAACGACAATGCTACGGAATCGCAGAAGGAACCGCAGAGCACCGACCTTGAAGCGGACGAAACGATCTCGACAGCGGGTTCATCGACAGCAGCAACCACCACCACAGCAGATCCCGTGACCGACCGATTAGCACGATTCGCCGCCCTGCGCGCGCGCAATCAAGCCTCCCGGAAATCCAACCTCCACGAAACCAAACACGAAGCGAAACGCGCCAGCACCGACCTCAGTCAACTCTCATCACTAAACCGCAAGAAAGAGATCGCCGCGCACAAGCTCCTCAAAGCAGAGATCGAAGACGGCGGCGAGGACTTCGAGCGGAAACGCGCCTGGGACTGGACGATCGAGGAGAGCGAACGGTGGGACGCGCGGAAAGCCGAAAAGGCCAACAACCGCGACAAGAACGCCTTCGCGGACTGGAGCCAGGAGGCGGAGAAGATCTACTCGCGCCAGGTCGGCTCCCTGGAGAAGAACGGCGGGATGGACGAGCGGCGGTCGGCCTACGAGGCGGAGAAATCCGCGGCGATCAAGCGCGCCGTGCAGAGCGGGGGGCTGGAGCTCGTGGAGACGAAGAACGGCGAGCTGATCGCGGTGGACCGCGACGGCACGTTCTACAGCACGGCGGATCAACAGACGACCTTCGCGGGCAACAGCAGCAAACCCTCCCGGGCGGCGGTGGACCGTCTGGTCGACGACATCAAGAAGGCGGAGGAGGTCCGGCTGAAGAAGAGGCGGGACCGGGGCCGGGCGGACGACAACGGAGGCGACATCACCTTCATCAACGAGAAGAACAAGCAGTTCAATTTGAAGTTGGCCAGGTTCTATAACAAGTATACGGCGGATATCCGGGAGAGCTTCGAGAGGGGCACGGCGATATGAGGGATGGTGGCGTTGTTTTTTCTTTTCTTTTTTTCCGCCGGAAATCGAACCTTGTCGTGAGAAACATTATGGCGTTCCTCTTTGGGTTGTGTGTTATCATTCGAGAAGACGGCGCACGAGCGATTGACGAGATTTCGTCATCATTAATTCCAGTGAAGGTTGAATGACTCGTTGGTCTTTGCACGCTGAAGATGGAACTACCTGATGATGCAGATGTATTTGGGCCGGCCTTACTCAGACTGCTACCAGGGTCTTATTGTCCTGTCTACTGCGAACATCTCGTTATCCAGAGGAGGAGGAGGAGTCGCAGTGAGAGATGCTACTCTTCATTCGCCCATCCATACGGATGTTGATGTTGCCCTCGGCATTCGACCGATGCCGCACGTGTTTTTGATCCGTTCAGTTCCCCGAAAATTGCTATACATACCAAACTGTCTCACATCTAGGATTCCATGCGGTGTAAGCTGGGCCGGACCAGACCAGACCAGAGACCAATCCCCTCGAATTGAGACCAACGACGACGATGATGATGACGGTGCCCCTCCATTTGTGACAATTTCCTAGTGCTGGTCCACCTCCGACCAATCGCATCTTCCCATCGGAGGCAAGGCTCCGTCATCGTCAGGTTCCACGGTTCGTGTGTCGGCGAGGTGGGTTGGAACTGTGCCGTGCCGTGCGATTGCCCCTCCTTTCCTTCTTCTGTTGGACCATTTGTCTGTCTCTCTGTCTGTTGTCTCTCGGGAGTCTGATCAATTCTGCATACGCCCACTTTTAGGAGTAGTGAACAGGAAACACACGCTCGGCTCTTTTACCCTTCAGACGTCAGGTAGGTACAGTCGGCTGCATAGAGCGCGCCGTCCCCAACATATTCATGTGTCCCTGCATTGCGCTCACCATACTGACCTCGTCCACCACCATCAGCGATTCAGCTATACGACAACAGTGAACCCTAACCACGACCGCAAGTAATCATGGCGGACGCAGATGTGGCCACCAAGGCGCCCGAAAGCGACGCGCAGGAGTCGCCGAGTGTGATTGCAGGCGACTCCAAGCCCGATCAAGGCGCGGCCAGTCTGGGAGTATGTACATTCGATTCGGGAGAGAAACCGTAGAATCCAGACAAAGACTGACCATATCACAGGAGCATTGTATCAAGGATCGCCCGACACGTAAGATTGCCACGCCAGTTCTAGGGACTCAATTCCAGGCTATGTCGCGAAGGCTGACAAGGTCATTTCTGAGTTCACAGCTGCGGGTGAACAACCGACCGGAGTATGAACCAACCCTGCCTCCCTCCATCATTTCGTCAACGATGTACATGCTCAGCGAGGGTATACTGAAGGATTCTCGTCTTCCAGGAAATTGCCAAATACAACGATGTAGAAGTGTACATCTCCAAGCCGGCCGACTACCCTCATTCGCCTTCGAAGCTGCTCCTCTTCCTGACCGGCGGCACCGGAATCCACAGCGTCAACAACCAGATCCAAGCCGACAGATATGCCGCCGAAGGGTTCGTCGTGGCCATGCCCGATCAGTCAGTCGTCCTCCCTTCCCTGAATCATACCCAACGGAAAATCCCAAAGTGACCCACCAAGTTTTTAATCAACACCGACTAAACCATGGCCCTCTTCACAGGTTCGCCGGCGACCCAGCCTCCTCCGCAACCAATTCCCGCACCGATGCCGCCGAAGAGAACCCCAGCGTGATCGAACAGATCAAGCTCAACATCGCCAGCGTCGCCAAGTCCTTCTCCATCGACATGTGGCTCGCGCGACACACGCCCGAGAAGGTGCTGCCCATCCTCCGCAGAGCGCTGAGCGGGATCAAAGAGGAATTCGCCGACGCCGTCTCGCACGGGGGAGGCGTGCACGCGGTGGGCTACTGCTTCGGCGCGAAATACGTCCTCCTCCTCGCCGCCGCCGCCGCCACCGACGCGAAATCCACCACCACCACCACCACCACCACGACCAACGAAGACCCCGCCAAACAGACCCCCAGCGACTCCCAGATCGAACAAGGCCACGCGCGGTCCGCGCCCGAGATCGCCGTCGCGGCCATCGCCCACGGCACACAGATCACGCTCTCCGACCTCGAGAACTGCGCCGTGCCGCTGTCCATCGTCGCGGTCGAGGACGACTCGCTCTTCCCCGACGAGATCCGCGAGGCGGGCGTCAAGGCGCTGGCGGAGAAGAAGGTCGAGCACGAGGTCGAGGTCTTCCCGGGGGTGCCGCATGGCTTCGCGGTGTGGGGCGATTACGAGGATGCGGGGATCCAGGAGCAGCAGGGGGTCGCGTTTGGGCAGCTGTTGGCGTGGTTGAAGGGGCATTGATTTCGAAAAAAGAAATTGGTGTGTGATCTGGGAGAATGCGATGCGATGCGATGCGATGCGATGCGATGGGGAGGAGAGAGAGAGAGAGTATAGTAGAAACCCTCGCTTTTTTTTCCTTCACTTTCTCTTTTTTTTGTTTTTTTCTTTTTCATGTTCGCTACTCGAGGCATGGGCGGCATGAACTCATGGGAGGACCGGTCCGTCGAACTTTTTGTTTGATTTTCCCCCTGTGAGAAGAAGGAGGAAACACTCAATCGAATTCTGAGATTGGAAGGGGAAAAAAAGAGGGTCTGATCGAAGAAGAATCCGACATGTTTCCTCTCCCTCCATCCCTCTCTCTCTCCCACTCTGTCCCTCCCTCCACGCATCCCTTGCACGCATCATGCCCAAAGCAAACAGAACCGACCAAACCATTTCAAACCCCGAGAGAAATGTTCTCAAATCAACTCGACGTCGCCCCGCCCGACCGCGCGTCGGACGCTCCTCCACCTCAGGACCCAGACATCGCCCCTGCGGACCTCCAGATCGGCATCAGCATCGCCATCGTCCCTCCCTCCCTCTTCCTCCTCCTCCTCCCCGGGATCCGGTAGGGATCTCACGCGGCAGTCCCTCAGCACCCGCGCGAAGACGGCGGCGTCCAGGTCCGGGCGGTCGCGCATCGACGAGGACGAGGCCCCGGAGGCGTCGTCCAGGCGCTGCAGCTGCGGCGGGAAGCTGGACAGGAAGCAGGCGGTGTGGTGCGCGGCGAGGAGGGCGGAGTGGGTGGTGAGATATTGGTGTTCGAGGGGGGAGAGGAGCGGCTGTTGGGGGTTTTTTGTTGTCGTCGAGGTGGTGGTGGTGGTGGTGGATTGGAGGTGGAGCGTTTGATAGTGGAGGGGGTGTCGGTCGATCTGTTATAAGAGAGAGTGTATGTGTGAGTAATCGGTGTTGAGGCGTTGTTTCTTTTTATGGGAAGGGTTGTAGGCAGCAGTCGAGAGAGAGAGAGAGAGAGAGGAGAAGAGAGAGAGAGGAGGAAGGCTGGGTTTCTTTTGGGAGAAAACTCCGCATTTTCATTGCTGATGTATATATATATTTACTACATCCGACTGTTCCTAAATATCTATGTCTATGTCTATATCTCTATATCTTGTTTCTTCCTCCTCGTTTCTCTCTGTATGACTCCTATCGCCCTTCGACTCTTTCATCTCTCTCTTTCTTTCTTTCCTTCTTTCTCTCTCTCTCTCTATCTTCTCTTGTGTGATGACACCATTTCCCATCTCTCTTCTTTCCCGCATTCCCTCATTCCCGTCTCTTATCACATAGTAACCTCCTCTTCTTATCCTTCTTCTCCCTCGTCTTCTTCTTTTTCTTCCTCTTCTTCCTCTTCCTCTCCCTCTTCCACTTCCTCTTCCACTTCCTCTTCTCCCTCCCTCCCTCCCGTTCCTAATCATCCCAACCCTTCCAAAAGAAGAAAAAGAAAAAAGAAAAGCAAAAAAGGAGAAAAGAGGGAAAAAAACAAAACTCACCTTCGCGATCCTCGCCCTCAAGAACCCCCGGAGTAAAAACCGAAAGCGCTCCAACTCGGTCTGCAGGACGACCATTCCGAAAACACCTCCACCACCGCCACCGCCACCACCTCCTCCTCCATCATCTTGATATCCCCCCGAGGCCATGCCCTCCAAGACCTCGATCTGCCCCGCGACCGCGCGCGTGCAGCGCTCGACCAGCGCGGTCGGGTAGGGGAGGAGTTCGGGCGCGACGCGCTCGTTGATCCAGGCGCGGGTGAGGGCTTGTTGGTCGAGGGCGCGGGGGTGCGGCTTGCTGCTGTTGTTGTTTCTGCTGTTGCTGTGCGAGGCGGAGGTGAGGTTGGCGGCGGTGGTGGGGTGGGAGATGGAGGTGAGGATGTCGGAGATGTCCATTTTTCTTTTATCTTTTCTTTTTTTGTGGGCTCGTTGGTTTGGTTTGGGTTTTGGCTCGGTGATGAGGGCTGCGGTCGTTAGTTGTTCTTCGATTTTTGGGTTGCTGGACGGGAGATGGGGTTCGTTGGGTGAGTGGGTGAGTGGGTGAGTGAGTGAGATGCGTGATCTCTCCGTCTGTGCAGAAGAAGGGAAAGGTGGGGTATATTACTGTGCGGAGTGTAGAGAGAGAAACGCGTCGCGTCCCGGCTGCGCGTGTCAAGCTCGTGGGAATGACGACGAAAAAGGTGGGGGGTGTATTCCATACGTGGTTCACGCGGAGGAAGCTGGAGAGATTCCAGCACCAGCAGCAGAAGAAGGTCGAGAAACAAATCCCATCACTACCGACCAAGGCATCATGGCCAAATCATATCTTCACTGGGAGAAAGAAAAGAGAAGTGGTCATAAGTAAAGTCACTGGGTATCCTTTTTTTTAGGTCTCACTTTTCCCTCAATAATACAAAATCCGTCCGTGCCATCACTCCATCCGGCCGATTCCATGTCCCCCTCTTTCCTTTCTCTTTTCTTTTCCCATCGTCATTAAAACGTCGGTATCATAATCCAAGGCAAAAACGATCTAGTAGTCGTTGTTGTTGTTGGTGTTGCTGCTGCCATAGGTGTTGCTGCTGCCGCCGTAGGTGTTGCTGCTGCCGTCCTGACCGAGACCTGCCTCTTCGCGCTTGGCGTGGCCCTTCTGGGCAATCTTCTCGTTGTTGAGGAGGCCGCCGGCTTTTTCCATGAGCTTGCCGACGGTGGAGTCGTTCTTGTTGTTGGAGTTGTTGTCTGCATTGTCGGGTCAGTATGGTTATGTCTACCATGTTAGAGGAGAATTAGATTGGGATGATACTCACTGGAGCTGCCGTAGGTGCTGCTGTTGTTGTTGTTGGAGCTGCCGTAGCTGTCGGTGTTGCTGCTGCCGCCATAGCCGGTGGTGGTGTTGGAGCTACCGTAGGTGTCGCTGCTGTCGAGGCCGGAGCTGCCGGTCTTGTTGTAGCTGCTGGTGGTGTTCTTTATCCGAGAAATCAGTCAATATTCGAGAGAATGGAGAAAGGCAAGGTCAACTCACCGAGTCACCATAGCTGTCGGTGTTGGATGAGCCGTAGGTGTTGGTGTTGGACGAGCCGTAGCTGTCGGTGTTTCCAGTGCGGCTGCTGAGACCGCCGATGGGGTTTCCACTGGCGTAGGTGTCGTCGGAAGAGGAGTTCAGACCGGTGCGGCCAGAGCTGCCATAGGAGTCATCATCGGTGTTGCGGCCAAGACCCGAAGTGGTGTTGCCGCTGCCGCGACCAGAGCTACCGTAGGTGTCGTCGGAGGAAGAGTTCAAGCCAGTGCGGCCGGAGCTGCCATATGTATCGTCGGAGGAAGAGTTCAAGCCAGTGCGGCCAGAGCTGCCGTAGGTATCATCGGAAGAGGAGTTCAAGCCAGTACGGCCAGAGCTGCCGTAGGAGTCATCGTTGTTGTCACGGCCGAGACCAGAGGAGGAGTTTCCTCCGAGACCGCCGGTGGTGCGGCCGGAGCTGCCGTAGGAGTCGTCGTCGTTGTTGCGCTTGATGCCGGAGCTGGTGTTGCCGTATGAGGAGGAGTTGTTGTTGTTGGTGCGGCCGGAGGACTGCGGGATCTCAGTCAATTATTTGGTCAGGTGTACAAGGTGTTGGAGCAACGATGAATCTGGGACTTGGGAAGGGAGAGGACTTACGCCGTAGCTGTCGGTGTTGCTGTTGTCGTCACCGTATGAGCCGGTTTGACGGCCTGGTGGTCGGTTTGGTCAGTTTGATCGACTTCTTCTTCTTCTTCTTTTTCTTCTTCTTTTCTTTTTCAATAGAGGGATCTTGTCGTCCGATGATGGTGATGATCATCTCTTATTGAGGGAACTCACCGGAGCTGCCATAGCTGTCGTCGTTGTTGTTGTAGTTGGACATGGTTGCGAAGAAAGAGGCGGTTGGGATCGGGTATATATGTGTGTGTGTGTGTGTGTGTTTTTGAAAGGGAGGAATGTGTTTCGATGTGGAAGTTGGAGAGGGAGAAGAGAGAGTCAGGTCGGACAGTTGAGGATGGTTCAAGGTCTTATATCCTCGCGAGCTCCGATCTCTCCCCGGGAAAACCGGTTGTTGGTCGACACGGAGGGTTGGAGGAGGAGCTGCCTGGTCTGCATTGACTACAGGTCCATCTCTTCTCTGTTTCCCTTTTCTCCTCTGACGACGAAAGCTTCCGCATGAACGGGGATCCCGATCGAGACACACAGAGAGAAAGAGAGAGAGAGAGAGAGCTGGGCTGAGCTACGACGCCAACCTTGGGAAGGGGTTTGGTCACGACACGCACGAGTCGACTAACACATCTCCTTCCGGCCATCACACAGACCCCGCGGAGGATGATATCCCTTGGAATGCCCACCTCCAGTTGTCAAAGACTATGATGAGAGTGACACGCGAATGGCGTCACTGGGAATGGCGATTACGAAGGAGGAGGGGAACGACGAGTAGGAGGAGGATACAGGTCATTGGCCGATGCCATGGTTTTTTCTTTGATTCTTCTCTCTTTCCCTTTTCCTTTCAGCTGGCCTGGTCAGGTCACGACATGTGATTATGATGATGATGATGATGTTGTCGGAAAGAGGGGTGGATCTGTGTCACCGGCGGCGGAGGAGATCGACAAACCATGATAGCACGGTATGTCATGACCTTCATCATCATCAATGACAACACATCTGCGGAGACGGCATGGGATGGGATGGCATGGGATGATCCTCCGAATGGATGGCGTGAGTCCTGCGCTGTGTTGTACTGTGCTGTGCCTGTGCTGCATGGTACTGGCTGATGAGCCGAAAGCTGTCGGGATCTGCCTTGTGATATTATCATACATAAAAGGGCGATGGGTGTATGTATGTACTGTATGTATGTCATGCCAATGAATTTGTGTACTATATGTACATTGCAGTTGGGAGGGAGCTGACATCGGGGTCTAGATGCGGTAGGAGGAGAACAGACGGCAGGACCCTCCTACTACACAAGCAATGGCTGTTCCTATGTTGTGGCTGTGTCCGGTATGTCTTTCTCTACTGCCAGCTTACGCGCAATCGATCCACGATCTAGTGATAGATGGCTTGGTGAAGGAGATGGAGGAGAAGGAGATTGGAACGGCATTCGGCACGAGGTTTGGCTGTCTATAGCGAGAACGCACAGTGCAGGGAGGCGTGCATCCAAAAGCCACATAACTAGGTACAGTAGGAGGAGATGCCGTCGAATGCCAGCCAGCCAGGGCGGGTGTTTTGATGGGCGCGAGTCAAGATCCGGGGCAGTGCAGCGACAATTGTAATAGTAGTAGTAATAATAACAATAATAATAATAATACAGTGACAATAATAATAGGGCCTGGCCGTGAAGAACCCTTGGAAGAACCCTTGGACAATGCATGAATGCGTCCCTAGGTATGACTCTCTCTCTCTCTCTCCCCCTCTCTTTCCTTTCATTCCTCAAAAAAACAAAAGCATGTGCCGCACGCCCATCGGACCCACAGCCAGCGACACGCTTGAACCGCGCCCATGTGGCCCGACGAAGGTCACGGATTCGGCAATGCAGGTGTGGGTTTTCGAAGCTGGAGAGGACTGCACTGGTTTGGTTTGGTTTGGTCTGGTCTGGTCTTTCTCTCTACAGCTGTATAGCACCTGCAGGAACGCTTTGCCCGATCGATGGATGGTTCCATGGTTGTTCGCCTGTTCGCTTGTGAAAGTCGCAAAACCCTTGGAAGCTTGAAGCTTTCTCCGGGGCACACGCACCCCTCGTACGTTCATTCATCGCTCTGACGTCAAAAACGCGGGACAGCAAGCACCTGGGCAACCTGGGCAGTCGTTCATCCAACCGACAGTCCCCGACGTTTCCCCAGCCCCATTTCCAGCCCGCCTGCCCGCCCTGGAATGGTTCATCATCATCCATCATCATCATCATCCTTCCCAATCTTTTCTCTCTGCCGATGCGCCAGAAAAAAAGCCTGCTTTCTCTTCGGTTTGGGGAATCGTCGTCACGAAGGATCGTATCCACTATATACTGTACAATCAAATCATCGATGGAGTTGGCACGTCCGTACCGATCTCTCATCAGAGGCTGTGAGACGACGTGATCCACGAGGACCTTGGAACCTTGGAAATCCCTCACTCGTTCCAGGCTTGAAGGGAAACAGAAACACCGCCGCCGTGTCCAGCTGCCGCGTCAGTGACATTACGCAAGCCCGGTAAATAGATTGATACTGTACCCAGATTAATTTGGAATTAACCTTGGGAGGTTTGCGTACGCATACGCTGGTCTCGCCCTGCACCGGTGACATCGTGGTCCTGGTTAGGGTTACCCAGGCCCAGATGTCATCTTTGGGGAAGAACAAGGGCAAGACGGAGCAGCTGGACATTACTGTCGCAATCGTCGGTCGTGATTTGATTAGATTTGTACCTCGAGGATAAATCCCTTCTCTCACATATCATAACGGATGTCTTTCGCTCGCATGGGATTGACCCAAGGGACGGAGCGTTTTGTCAAAGGTCACTCTCCCACGCGGCTGGAATAGACACAAGGTGACCCCTCGATTCGTACTCATTGGCGCGCCGCTCAACAAACACGGCAGCGACGACATTGCAAAACCAGCACATTCAAGACGCTGCGTGTCGGATCATATGCAACAGACACTCGATAGCGGAGCAATACTGGACAAAATCTTGTGAATAATAAGCCAACGATCATACAATTGTACTCATCTGTTTTGCTGGTCGTTATTATTATTGTTATTAGTACTGACATCCATAGCAATAATGTTCCAAAGCCCCGAGCCCCGTCGTGAGAGCTTCGGACCTTGGCGATTGTGTGTGTGTGTGGGTGGGTGTTGGTGAGCAACCCGTGGACTTTGTCGTGATGCACTCACTGGTGATCGTTCGAGAACAATCCGAGTGGGAACAACAGAATTACCTAGTGATCGGAATATACCACCCATGAGCTTCGTCCCGCCCTTCACCTATCTCGTCGAGTGCTCTCACAGACTCCTCCCGTGAACCTTTTGCCCCGCGATCATGGGATCCGACGCGTCGGAGGTGTACGTGGGCAGCATCGATCAGGGCACCACCAGCACTCGCTTCCTCATCTTCGACAAACAGGGTGAGATCGTCGCATCTCATCAGGAGGAATTCCAACAGATTTATCCCAAGCCGGGGTGTGTGTAATCCCATCATCCCATGCTCGTGCACGATGGGAGCGATCCAGAATCAGACCTGACCTTCATCGACATCACAGCCGACACGAACACGACGCCAACGAGATCTTCCAGTCCGTCCAGAACTGCATCGAAGGCGCGGTGAAGAAATTCGAATCGGACGGCCATCGCAAAGGCGCCATCAAAGCCATCGGCATCACCAACCAACGAGAGACGATCGTATGCTGGAACATCAAGACCGGCGAGACGATCCACAACGCCATCGTCTGGACCGACACGCGGACGGCATCCATCGCCCGGGAACTCAGAGCGAGACCGGGGAGCGACAAGATCAAGGACCTATGCGGCCTCCCGTTCTCCTCATATCCCACCGTCACCAAACTGCTCTGGCTGCTCAAAAACGATGAGACGATTCGGAAGACCTACGAGGCGGAGGAGCTCGCCGTCGGCACCGTCGACTCTTGGCTGACCTACAAGCTCAACGGCGGTGCGCGAAACCCCGTCTTCGTCACCGATGCCTCCAACGCCAGCCGCACCATGCTCATGGACCTTCACACCGTGTCCTACAGCGACGAGCTGTTCAAGTTCTTCTCCTACGAGTTCGACCTCCACAAGATCCACTTCCCGAAGATCGCCAAGTCGTCCTGCGCGGAGTCCTACGGGAGCATCGCCGACGGGGCCCTCCGAGGCTGCCCCATCGCCGGCTGCCTGGGCGACCAATCCGCCGCGCTCGTCGGGCAGAAGGGCTACGAACCCGGCAGCGCGAAGAACACCTACGGGACGGGGTGTTTCCTGCTGTACAACGTCGGCGGGACGCCGGTCATCTCACGGCACGGGCTGCTCGCGACCGTGGCGTACGATTTCGGCACGCCGACCTATGCCCTCGAGGGCAGCATCGCCGTGGCCGGCTCCGGCGTGAAGTTCCTGATGAAGAACTTCGGCTTCGGCGACTCCTCCGAAGCCATCACCGAATTGGCGGGCTCGGTGGAGGACAGCGGCGGGTTGGTCTTCGTCACGGCGTTCAGCGGGCTCTTCGCGCCGTATTGGATCGACGATGCGCAAGGCACCATGTGTGAGTCTCTCCTCTCCCCCTCTCCCCCCTCTCTCCTCTCCCTCTCCGCCGACCTCGACCTCATCCCTGACGTGGAAATCGCCAGTCGGCATCACCCACCACACCTCCCGCGGCCACATCGCGCGCGCCACGCTCGAGGCCGTCTGCTTCCAGACCAAAGCGATCCTGCACGCGATGGAGCAGGACAGCTCGCGGCGGCTGCACGGGCTCACCGTCGACGGGGGGATGGCGCAGTCGGACCTGTGCATGCAGATCCAGGCGGACATCAGCCAGCGGCCGATCGCGCGCCCCAAGATGCTGGAGACCACCGCCCTCGGCGCCGCCATCGCGGCCGGCCTGGCGCTCGGCGTGTGGACCGGCCTGGAGGAACTGAAGGGGGCGAGCGAGGAGGGCGGGACGGTCTTCGAACCTGCCATCGGTCGCGCCGAGAGCGAGAGGTCGTTCGCGAGGTGGGAGCGCGCCGTGCGCATGTGTCGGGGCTGGCTGGAGGACGGGGACGAGGAGAAGGTCGGTGATGTTGATGATGATGAGACTGCTCACGATGGAGTCGAGAAGAAGGACGAGTAGAAGAAACCTGCCCTGCTCTACCTTGGCGTGACGGAATCTCATTCTTTGGCACATGGTCGAGGAGTCCCCCATCGCGGGAGCCTGCATCACGCGATGGTCACCGTCCATATATATATCCTCTCTCTTCTCTCTCCCTCTTTCTATCCTCTCCTCCTGAAAAACCAAAGAACCCAAAATAAAATAAAACCATCGAAGCCTTTCCCCTCCCCAATCACAAGCCCGAAAGAGAAGGAAAAACAGAAGAAGAAAAAGAAAAGAGAATATATCACGATCGAATATCAACATCACCAATTCCGAGGACCGCTACGCCACCCATGTACTGGAGCAGAAAAGGAAGTGAAGTAGAAGAAGGAAAAAAGGACAAAAAGGGGAAAAAATGGAAAGAATAGAGGGGAGGAAACCTCACATGCCACAACATCTGCCATCTGCCATCTCATTTTTGTTTCATCTCGTTTCACTTCGTCTCATTGTCTGCCTGGTGTACCAGCACAAGCACACAAACACCTTTTTATTTCTCTCTCTCTCTCTCTATATGTGTCTCTCTCTCTGACTGCTGCCGCTGGCGCTGATACTGCTGCTGATACTTATACTGATACTCCACCACTTCCACTTCCACCTCCACCACCGCTCCCTCGCGAAACCTGCGTGGGACAGAAAAGAAAAGAAGGAAAAAACAAACCTTGCGTCTGAAGAGTCTTGATCTACTTCTCCCTCTTTTTCTCTCAAGGAACACGCATCTCCGAGTTCGGTCTTCCTTGGTGGTTCTCTGGGACGGTTACAAACACTCACACATACTCACAAACACACACACACACTTTTCAGAGAGACGCACGATCTTCGAGGATGACGATCTTACTCCCTCGTCGACCACCGTCGGCCACAGTGGTGGAAGGCACAGCAGTGGAAGACACGGCAATGGTCTCGATCATACCTTCGATGCCACCACCACCCTCATCATCACAGTCTGTACCTGGACTTGGACCTCTGCCGGGAGAGGCATCGTCAAACTCCATCCCAGGTGAATTCCAACCGAGAAGGTACGCATGAGACATTCTCTCTCCCATCCCTCCAACGGATAGATACATTTTCTCTTCCACATAGCAATCACTGACCTATGCGAAAAATCCACGACAGCCATTTCACCGGCCGAGAAGTCCTCTTCGTTGTCCCGCGCAGACCCGGGATCCGCGGGCCCGTCTCGTTCGTCTGCGATAAGGGCGTCATGGCGTGGTGCTCGTCCATCTTCGACGCCGAGATCACGCGGGCTTGCCAACGTCGTGATGAAGCGGTCGTCGTCGCCAGAGGGCGATTGTCCGGGAGATTCCCACGGGTCGTGCTCGGTCGTGTGGATGATCCAGGGCTCTTCGCACTGTTTCACAGGTTCATCCACACGGGCTCTTTCTCGGGAATGTTGTCGTCATCAAAAGCTTTGAGGATGAAGCAAAACAAGGGGCAAGGGGAGATAACAATACCTAGATGCAAAGGCAGCAGCATCTATGGGAGACAATCCCAGAAAGATACCCTCTCATCGCTCCCCTCGGAGTCCACAAATGAGAAGCAGAAGACCCTCACCCCAACAACCAATCTCCATCCCCCCACGAACCCGACGACGACGACGACGACCGCTCCCACCACCAACCCGGCATCATCACCATCACCATCCACAGACCAGAACCCCCTCTCCTACACCACGATCTTCACCCTCTGGATCTTCGCCGACCACCACGACATCCCCATGCTCCAAAACCGCCTCATGGACCAGCTCCTCGCCCAGATCTGCACGAGCCACACGCTCCCCACCGCGGAGGAAATGACCCCAGTCTTCCTCCAGGGTTTCCCGGGGATCTCCCTCCTCGGGGAATTCCTCTGCGCGCTCGCGATCGAGCTCGCCCATCGTCATCATCATCTCCATCGCCATCGCTCCCGGGAAGAAGTCCGGCGGCCCGGAGGCGACCGCGACAAGCTCACTGCTGCTGCTGCTGCTGAAATGGAGGAAGACGCGTCATCCTGCGCCCTCGCCCGATTAGATGACGTCCTCTACGGCAGCCGCGGGATCCCCTGCTCGGGGGCCGCAATCGATCCGATCGAGGACTCCATCGCGGGGATCTTCCGCCGGGCCGAACATCTCCTCCTCCTCCAACTCCCCCTCCCCCATGATGCGCACGCAGCAACAGCGGATGAGGAGGAGAAGTTGCGTCCACGGGGAGACCACTTAGCGGCAGCCCTCCGCGGCGGAGAGCAATTCCACTTGCCGAGTGGAGAATTCTTACGGCGGGCGAGGCGGTGCGAATGGCACGTCCACGCCGAGGGGGTCTCGTGCCGTGCGTCGCGCTGAGCGGGAACGGTCGCTCTTTTATTTTCCTTTCTTTTCCGTTTCGGACCGGAGACGAGATGTGGAGATGGGAGGGATGGATGAAGTGAAGGGATGGGGCCTTTTTCTTTTTTTTTCTCCCCGGAGCCGAAATGTGTGTGCTGTTGAAGGAGCGTGGCTGCTTTCGAATGCTTTTGTGGTTCTACTTCAGGATGGGGAGAACCCGAGACGGGTGGCAACGCAGAGATTAATCTCTCTCTCTCTCCCCCCCTTTTGTTCCGTTCTCGAAATTGTACAAGGCCCGTACGCAATGCAATGCGTACCTCTCTCCCTCCCTCCCTGTCTCGCTCCCTCTCTATCTCGATCTGATGACATCGCCATCCAACATCGGTAGAGCTGCAAGATCATCGTTTGACATGGGAAGGAGAAGAAGGAGAAGAAAAGAAAAAAAGAAAAGGACTGAACCGCATGATCGCGACGTTACCAAGAAAAGATATCTGTTCTTCAATTCATAGTGAGGGGGTATCCAATTTCCAGGGAAGCGAGAACAACGACAACAGCAGCAGCAGCAGAGCCATGGCCCCGTGGTCCTGACACCGCCAGGAGCCGCGGACCGAGATGAGGCCGCCCGGCGTGTGGGAAAAAAAAGGCCAAGCCAGGTCCTCGGCCGCACATCGAAAACGACAGCGTCCCTCATTCCTTCATGTGGAAAAAGCCCACCCCAATCCCATCCATCCATCCATCCAGTTTCCCCTTGTTCGCGTCCCCCCCGGCCCAGGCGAAGGCGTGCCGCTTCCGGGATTCTGCGCGGCGATGTGGGGCTTCGCGGGAAATTCTCCCACAGATACCTTTGTGACCTTTGTCCGACACGGGGGAAATGCTCATCTAAGAGCTTCTCCGACCGCGAGGCTCGAAGGGGAAGATGGCGGAGACGAGCGCCATGACGGCGAAGAGGGCCGCGCAGACCCAGATAGGGACGGTGGTGGTGGCGCCGTTTTTCTTCGAATAGCTGTTCGCGGGGGAAAGAAATCGAGGTTAGTCGGGACAAGTTCGTATGAAATTTCGTTTTTTTTTGGAAATGGAGCCGAGGGAGGAAACGGAAGGAGAGAGGGAGGAGGCTTACAATCCGACCAATGCGCTCATGATTCCCATGATCCGGTTGCAGGCGATGGCGATTCCGTTGCCGGTGCCGCGGTGTGCGGAGGGCAGGACTTCGGGAGTGTAGGCGTAGAGGGTGCCGTAGTAGATGTTCTATGAGGAGATGTTAGTAGACGCAACTTTTTGGAAAATTCAGGTGCTGGTGATGAATGAGGAGGAGTAGACGTTGTAGGTAGGGAAGAGGTGCGCGTTTCGGAGTTCCATCGTGCAGGTGAGATCTCAGCGTCTCACTGATAATGAGGTGATGGGTTGGCTCGACGATGAGGATTTCGGATTGGTGTTGATGTCGGTAGTGTATTTCCGTCGTGTGGAAACTTCGATCTCCTGAGATGGCAGGACGATGCCGCCGCGTCGGTGTCGTGGTCTCTCGAAGCGAGGTCCAGCAGGCATCTATTTAACTTTGCCCATACGCATGGGCAGGTAAGAAATCGAAAATGCGAGTTTGGACACGAAGTTTGCGGCGAGAGTCCTCGGTTGCAGCTGTTTGCAAAAGCCCGAGAGTGATTCGTCCCATCGAGTCGGTCAGACAAAGCGGACGAACGGAGCAGGAAATCACATGAGCCGCATGCAAGGAGAATACGTGCGTACGACCTGCATGATTTCGGCATGCAGCTCTTCTGGCGTTTCCGATACCGAATCCACGTGGGTGTAACAGTGCAGTTTCACGGCATTTGCCGCATACCATATGCAGGGTGCATCACAGAGGGCGATCCTTGAGTGTCGAAAACGATCATGCGCGAGTCTCGCTGGATTTGTCGTCGAGTTACTGCGCCTGAGCGCAACTTTTGCAATGACAGCGCAGACCGTAGCATCGACGAGGATGCCGCAATAGTAAGTTCACGTAGGGTTTGGGGGTCTCGGTTGTCGTTTTGGCGATGTTTTCTCTCTTACACAATGTTCGGGCATTGCTGACCACGGTTTGAATCGTGGTCAGCGATGCAGTGAATAGGCTCACCACCCCAGACATTGTGTCGCATTCGGCGTTTTGTTGTTACGGAGTTGTAATGGAATCGGCGCAGCTCTTGTACGTATGGGCGCAACGCACAGAAAGAAAAGTGTCATGAGACACTCCCCTCTCATAGCAAAGCGCAGTGATAGGCCCACTACCCAGACATGACTTGAACGCATATTTTTCGTTTGTCGCTTTTGCCGGCTCAGGGCACCGAGTGGTTCGAGACCGCTCAAGGTGCAGTGTTTGAGGGCCACCACCCAGACATTCAATCATCGCTTTTCGATTATGAATTCATTCTCAAACTCGATCCGGGCTTGATAGTCGAAGGGCACCAATAGTCAGGTGCAGTGTCAAGGGCCACCACCCGGACATTTTGGATGTCATCACCTCAAAGCTCAACGGGAAGTGCGCTTGAGACTCGCATTGTTGGATTTTGTGAGGGTGTCGAATGTAGATCGGATTGATATCTTTGAGATATGGAGATAGAGAGGACGGAAGGAAACGATAGGACTTACCAGGCAAAAGGCGATGGCACAGGTGATGCCCAAATTCTGAGCTTGGGTTTCGATCTGAGTGTAGACGAACATGAAAATCATGGTGAGCAGCGAGCCGATGATCTAAGGAATGATTAGCATGATGGACCATGGTCAAAAATTCTTCGTGTGTAAACATACCATAGTTCCACGACGGCCCCAGAACCATTTAGAGTTGCACATGTACGCAGCTAGGATCGGACTCGGGATGGACGCGACATTTCCAATAGCATAATCTCTCCAGCTCTCATTCACGGTTTGCGAGGGAAGTCTGCTCAAGTAATTTGGCAGGAAGACGTAGAAGAGCGGGTATGCGAGACCGATGAGCGCCCAGGAGAACCAGATGAGCGAAGTGCTAAGAGTCATCTTCCTTGTGGCGAAGAGGCCAGTGATGTGCTTGAACTGTGCGGAGCGGCGGCTGCCCGAATGTTGCCGAAGCTGTCCACACTCTTGGAGCTGCTCTACGGTGAGGCTGCATGGGCGATTGTACTTTTGCGCGATGTACTGCAGGCTCTTCACCACTTCAACGTCTTTGCCTTCGCCGACGAGATATTTGGGGGTCTCATTGAGACGGATGACGACGATTCGGAGGATGCTCATGACCAAGACCAGAGCACCGCTGGCGAACCACACGTATCTCCAACCGGCGTTGGTGCGCCAGTTGCAGACGTCGTCGACACCGGCGCAGCTGTATCGGGGAAGGAATGCCCAGGCAAATAGTCCGGTCACCAATTGACCCACACCCCACCAAGAGGCCATAAGGGTGACGAGCCATTGCTTGCTGGAAGGCAGGTACTCCAAGAATACGGCGGTATCCAGGACCAGATTTCCACCGCTGCCGAACGCGGACAGACAAACGAAAAGCCCGAGCACTTCCCAGTTGGGAGCAGAGCCGGCGACGATGCAGAAGATGGCCGAGATGAGTAGGGAGACGTTGAAGGCGTATTTCCGACCGATGATATCAGCAGACAGGCCCCAGAATAGCGCGCCGACCAACATGCCGACATAGACGGCGACGGTCAGACCGGTGGTGAAAGTTGGTTTGAATTCGTAGATGGCAGTCGGGGCAATGACGGACTGGACCAAGAGCATGAGAGAGTCGGCCGCGTAGCCAAACCCGTTCAAGACGAAGAGTTTCGCATGGTATGGAGTCAGACCGATCTCGTCAATGGCGTTGTTGACGAGATGCATCTTCTTGGTCAAGGCAGGATCGGACAACTCGTCGCCGAGGATGTCCACTTTGTTCAGGGACAAGTTGTCCGAAGGAGTTCCGGCCGGTTCAGGGTCGACATCCTTGCCTACGGCGACGGCATACTTTGGGGGCGCAGTATCATCCATGGTGCTTGGCGGCGATAGCCTACAGAGTTTCAATACTCGTAGGGACAGTCCTCAGGTAGGGAACAAACGATATCGAACAGAGGAGGACTAGGAAAGCAAAAAGCGGCGACGAGTCGCAGGATTATAAGATCGACGAAGGCGGAAGATGAAGCACGGTAACGTTACAGCAGGTGGTCGAGAGGACAATGCGCCAGCTCCCCCGGAAAGAGTGGCGGAAAGGGTAACGCACATTCTCGAAAGCTTCTAGTGAGGGAGAATTAGCGTCGCGAATGTGCGAAGTGAGGTTGGTCGCCCGCATGTCGACCGGGATTGAGGGTGCGGTGGTGTGCGCAGGGCCAAAATTCCGCTTGGTTTTTCTTCGCCCGCGCCGCGCCCAGCTCCCTGCGAGTTGCGCGACTAGGGCGTTCGCACGACATTTTTGGTTTGGCGAGGGCGTGTTGCGTGAGTGGTTGTCCTGAGATCCCATCGGGACCGAGCACCCCGCTTGCCTGGAAATGGTGTCGCTTCTTTGGTGGCTGCTGTCAGGCTCTAGACCCTTTCCGTGCAAATGTCGATTTCGTTTCCACGCACGTACGCCACACCAACAATCGCCTTGCGGCGTGGCCGAAGCGTGCGACGTGCATGAGAGGAACTTCCCGGCACGCGAGATCATGCAGCTGCATTGCTCAGATGGAAAGCCCATGTTGGCGGGGTTCCGCCATCCTGGTTGCTTAGTATTATCTTCATGGTTGATGGTTTGTCCCGTGCCAGCCAGCTCATGTGAAATGTCCCGTGAGACATGATCCTTCTCCTAGATCATCTGATCCGCTTCGGCCGGATCTGGTCTGGTTCACTGATGTCTCTTTGTGGATCTCAGGGAACAGATAGCCGAGATGTCAGATATCAGATATCCGCTTCTTTTTTTCCCTGCAGCTGCCGAGCCGTGGCGCGTCAAAATTGTGACACGTGCATCTTTCTGTAGCATCCGTCTCCATGTCGGAGGACGGGGCAGGTGCGTGATGTTGATATCGTACGCCAAAACCAGCCAGCGAGTGTGTACATCGTCGACCGAGTGGAGCATCACTAGAAACCAACGGCCATGGCGTCCACCATTGTCGTTCGAACAAATCGTCAACCCACGTCCTGATGAGCCGTGATGAGATGACGCTCACACACGAGATAGGCGGAAACAGTAGCCGAATTGGTAATGAAGCCAAAGGATGAAATATGGAGGGGACAGTTGACGAAACGTCGAAGAAACAGGACAAGTGCATAGGGCAAGTGTTACCGAGTGAGTGATGACAATGATGATGGGTTGCGATAAACGCACGGAGGTGATGCCATTTCGTCAAGGCCATGAGTAAGCAGAAAGGGCACGCAGTTACGCCCTTCTTGACCAATCTATGTATTCCGACTGCGATGCGACGTTGTGGAAAGCGAAGTCAACGGCAGCGATGAGGTGACGCTCGAGACATGTAGGAGGAGGATGCTGATGCCAATGTGGTGGCGTGAAGAATAGACAAGAGTGGAGTGTGTTTTCAATTGACGTCCTATCGGCCTCTCTCTTGACCCTTCACGCGAGCTCATCTACTACTACTCTACCGACAAAGTTGTACGAAGGTGCTGTAGGCTAACGTGAAATTCCGAGAGCGCGCGCTCTTCGCCTCTCTGGATACAGCGATGTGATAGAAACTGGATGCCACGTATAGCTGCGTGATTCTCATCTGACCTGGTTCTCCTCCTCTTCCTCAAGGCCGCAGTGCCTGACTAAATATTGTTCCTCTCCTCCTCAATTTCCCCTCTTCTTCCTCCTATCTCCTCCTCTCCTCCACTGAATCTCGACGCCGGTGGCAGTCCCGTGTGACCGCGACGATGCCGCCGGAGAAATGCAAATGTTGTGTTGTGGTGAATGCTGATGATGCTGATGATGGTATCGGTGATGCTAATGGGGATGACGGCGATGACTGAATAAAGGAAACAAAGGGGAAAGGGGGAGCAACGTATGGAGGACGAAATAGACAACAGAAAGTGCAACGCAAGAATGTAAAGTTGAAAAAACAGCCGAATCCAAGGACGCAGAAAGAGAAAGAAAGTCAGGAAACGCGAAAAACAACGAGGAAAATCCAAAGCTTGAACGCAGGAAACGCTAAAACGGCAGAAGCAAGGAAAGACCGACGAGAAAGTCGAGGGAGAAATAGCGCGGAATGCCATAGATGGCGCTGGCCGTGTAAATGGCGTTGGGATGTTGACCGCGTTGGGAGAAAGCATCACGATGCACATTCCCAGGGCATTGGAGATATCCGAGGAGCTAAAACTTGGCTCATCGTCATTCCATATCAACATAATCCCAACATCAGTAGCCACGCATAAGCGAAGTACCTAGGTGAGAATAACGCACATCGCTTGCCGGACCATCATGGCATTCGCACTGGTCGCTCCGACTCAAACTCTTCGCTCGCGTCCGCCCTCCACACCACGCGCTCCTCCAACAAGGGAGGAAGACGAGCGAGAAGGCGGCGGCGGCATCGGCGTCGGAGCAGACTGGCTGAGTCGTGAGGCCGGCGGCGGATGATAATACTCCTGATGTCGAGGATCCGGATAATGATCGTCCATGCCGCCGCCGGGCACAGGTTCGTACTCGTCGCCATCGTAATCTTCGTCGTCTTCGTCGTCGTCCAGCTCATCGCCGTCCTCGTCTTCGTCGTCGTAGTATTCCTCACCGGGTTCGAGAGGGTGGAGATTCGGGTCGTAGTCCTGGTGATGAGAGTTGATGTTTCCACCGCCTCCGTCGTCAGGATGTCGACCTCCTGAATTTGGCTGATGAGGGCCTCCGTGAGGACCGACACCGTTTCCTCCGGCGTTGTTGACGCCATTGCTGCCATTCTTGCCGACTTTGCCAGCTGCGCCGCTCTTCTTGTTCTTCCGACCTTTCATCTTCGCCTTTTCCAGCAGTCGTCGTTTCTCCGCCGCCTTCTTTCGCTCCTGGCGATCCTTAATCTCGTACTGTCGGATGAGGGCAAGCGGAGGAACACCATAGATGTCCTCGTATTCGCAGAATTCGCAAATCCACATATCTTCCGGCTTTATTCGACTGTGCCAATTTTGATACTGCTGCTGCTTCTGCCGGTTGAGTGCCTGCAGCGCATACTCCTTCGAGGGATTCCGACGAGGTCGAGGTTTAGGTGCCGGCGCAGGATTGACACCTGAATTCTGTTGATGATTTCCATTCGGGTTGGCGCCTGTCGAAGGTGCCGGTGGTGCCCGATTGTTGTACTGAGGGGTTGGGTTTCGAGAAGACATTGTTTGTGTACCATGCGATTTGTCAACTGGCGGCCCGGTGCGCGTCGGAGTCGGACTGCCAGTAGAGTATGCCGAATTTGATGGATGATGATCAACCAACTTGGTGGCACTGTCGGATTCACAGGTAAAAGTGAACTGTGTCTTCGGTGTGGTGCTGGACCCGGCACTAGCTGCAGACTGCAGAAGACTCATATTTTCTTTACCCTTTCCTACCGGCGTGAGCGGTCCTTGTTCTGCGGCTGTTTTGATGGCTTGTGAGATTATTCCTCCAGTGGTTTCGTAATCACCGTCTGCACGTCACAATGTTAGCACTTGCCGCCCAATAAAATCCCATTGTCTTTTCGGCTTACCCTGACCATGTTTGTCATCGTTCCCTCGCGAGGGAGCTCTTGGGTTGTATCCATTTATCGCATTCATCGTGCTGCTTCCTAGCGGCCGACGAGCGCGAGCCTCCTGTCTTCCATATCTGCCACGACCAGCGCCGCTGATACCAGTACCAGAGCCTGCGCTAATACTTCCTGAAGACGCATGGTTATAATGCTGTGGAGACTGTTGTTCACCCGCGGGAGTGTTGCTGTTGCTCGCATCTGCCGTCTCATCACCATGCCCATTGATGCCCATGTTTGCCATCTCCGCGCTCAATTGACTTTGGTGCAAGTTCGACACGCCCGAGAGTGGAATTTTCCGCTTCTTCTTATTCGATGTATTCTCGAAACTCTCATACCCATCTGCAGATGAAGCGGCGGACCCCGGGGGAGGCGGTTTGGTTGATGACCGCGACGCTGCGAGGAGTCGCTGATGGGGAGACTCGCCTGACTTCGCGGGTACACCATCGCCTTGAGGAAGTGGAGGATATCGAAAGTCGGGGTGATCAAACTCCACCTCTTCGTCACCACTGTCTCCGTGCTCGCCGCAGGTGCAATGACTGTGGACGGTGCGATGCTCGTGATGGTGATGAGGGCTGTGGTAAGAAGCGGCGTCGCCGTTGGTCATGTGAGCAGGCGAGGTGGTCGTGCTACCGTTCTCACGGGCATTGAAATTGAGTGTGAGTGCTCGCGGTGGCGGCTCGAGGGGATAGACGATCGTTGAAACCTGTTCGGGGGACAATTTCGACTTCAATCGACTCCTGGGAAGAGGCCTGATGGCTCGGTCGGGATAGACCAGGGAGGCAGTGTCGGGCGATCGGTTTATGGATGAAGATGGCGAGCTCGCAAAGTAAGCCGCAGCGTGGTCTGCAGATGGAAACAGGTCAGTATATGAGTTTCATGCTTGCTCTAGATGAGTGGGCCCAGCGAGGGATAGGATGTAGATGTCTCGGGATGAGATGATGGCGATGCTCGAATTCGTGAACGCCATCACATCGACAGAAGTCATCCCGAAGCCTGCATCTCGCCCGATGTATCTTCACATTGCGAAGAGCGCCGACCAGAGATGATGCTCGATCCTCCTTGAATGTATTAATCATTCCGCCCGCCTGATCGCACTCTCTCCCGCCCATCACTGATGTCGTCCATGCCATCACTCTCCTTCAGGGAAATGTACCCACCTTGCGCTCCGGCCATGCTCATGCTCTTTATCAACACGCTCCCAGCAGAGAGGATCCCTCCTCAGCAAAGCTGCCCAAGATGTCTCCAACGTTGGTGGATCCCAACTTATTATCCAAAAGTCCAAAACGTCTTCTGCAGGTCTGATAAGAGATGGATTTGTTGTAAATGCTGACGGCTCAGAAGGCGTGAAGCGATATGGAGATATTCAAAGATATCCGACTGTGAATAACGGGTTCATCAGTCAGAGGTCGTTCCACACTCCGGGGATCATGAAAATGGCCAAAGGATTTTCTGTCGTGCCCCATGTTCCCAGCAATCAGCCCGGCGGTCGATGGCGGACAATGACACTCACTTCGCTGCTTCCTTTAATCTGTCTTGATCATCGTCAGCGAAAGCTCAGGGACGATGAATGATGATGATGGAAATAGAGGACATGATGGTCCAATAGTAGAAGGGGCAGGACTTCGGAGCGGTCGGACTCACACACTTGATGATTGTATGTAATAACCCACAGACACAGACATGCACGCACGCACGCACACGCACACCTTTTGCTGTTTCGTGGAGAGAGCCCAAGTCCACCGCCCGCGGGCTTGGGGCCGGGGAGGGAGAGGATTACTAAGGCTAATTCCCCCCGTTCCTCGGTTTGGGCATTTCTGTCAACCCACTTTAGTGGTGATGACCTCAGGCAGCATTGCTAAACACGGCCGGGCTTGGATAAATATCTCTCTGCCCACCTGCCCTGCAGGCGCTGATACATCATTGGCTGACGTCGGAAATTCGTCGGTAGTATTGGCCGTCATTCAATATCTGATGCACATTATCACACGGTGGCATTGACAAAATCATGGGTATTATCATTCCGAATCGGAAATCTTCGGAAATAATGCCTAGGAATACAGAGTATCATTTCCATCTCCACATCATCGTCGAGCGAGCGACCTCCGCTTCCCGACCGTCTCGCCCTGTAGATCCTGCGAGAAAATCGAAAGAACATTGGTCGTGTTCTTGTACCCGACATCACAAGCCGTACTGAAATCTCCGATCGACTGGCCTCTCTCGCCCAGGAACTTCTTCATTCCGGCCGCCGAGCAACTCTCGAGCGGTCCATCGAAACAGTCGGGCAAAGTCTGCGGACTTCGGTTGACCAGCACTCGGTAGAAGGTTGGGTCGGTAGCGTTCTGGAAGCCGTCAGCCGCGGAGCAGTTCATCTTCTCGATGGCGACATTGGTCAAGAACGGGAGGATATATGAGCTGATCCACTGTCGGTGGTAGTTGATTCGGTCTGTCGGCATGGTGGCGTTGATGTTATTGCTGCCGGTCAGCTCGGAGTTGTTGAAGAGGCCAAGGGCCACGAGTACAGTTGGTGGGAGCTCGCGGTGAGTGAATGAAACGTAGAGATCTTGAGTATCATTGCTCGCAGGGGTGTCGAGGAGGTTCAGCGTCGCGTTGACCCATGGGAAGCCGATGGCACCGGAGTAAGGGCTGCCGTAGCCAGTATTGTAGTGGTACATGATATCCTGGCCGTACTCAAATTGCAGCCACTCGTCAGAGCGGAACAGGTCCAGCGAGCAGAATGGCGATTGTCCTCGGACCACAGTCTCGTAGCCACACCATTCGAACATGCCGACCACATCTTCAGACGTCCAGTTGAACGCGGGCGCCATGGATCGTAGGCGTGTCAAGATGGGCGTAGTGTATTTCTTGACATACTGACTGCTTTTCTTCGATCCAGCTGCGCCAGAGTAATTCGGGCATGACTTGTAAGGAGTCAAGCTGTTGGCACCCGTTTCCTTTCCTTCATCGATAGTCACCAGGCTGATTTCATCTTCTTCCATTTCGATGCCACGAATGAAACTTTCAGCACTGACGACCGTCCGCTCGGCACTGCTGGCCCAGACTTTCTTGGGCAGGCGAAGGTCATGGTAGCGATATGAGAGTTGAACACCCAACTGCGCAGCCTCCAGCTTGCCAGTACGTGTCAATTGTTCCTCTTCCTGGAACTTGGGCGCGCTCCACTTGCTCAAGAAAGACAACTGTGGGATCTTACTCCAATCGACAGTGGTATTCTTGAGCTTGCTCGAGAAGGGTTCCAAGTACGACTCGTAGTCGAAATCATTGGCATTGATGGCCGCGTGTCGAACTAGGTAAGCAGCACGGGTAACTTGGCATCCTTGCGGAGGTGAAGGATCGCGAGCTGGATCCGCAGGCTCGAAGTATGGCGCGATACCGGCGAGATGCTCGAGCGGGTTGAAGGTGTAGGTCGAGTAGAGAGGTTGTTGGTACAATGCTTGTGCCAAACCAAGGCTGCCAAGCAACGATAAGCACTTCATACTGGCGGAATATCTGGCACACCACGATGTTCGTGACGTGAATTGATTACCACAAGAAAAGATACGAAAAAAGTAGACACGATGTTCTGGCTATTGTCAAAAGGGAAAGGGAGGACGATTCTATTGTACAAATTGAAGGCAACCGGCTCAAAGTACTGGTTGACGAGACAACAACGAGGAGGAGAAACTCGTCACAATGACAAAACACTAGTACATGTACCTGACAGCAGTTCCCAATGATTGTTAGACTGTCGCGTGCCTAGTCCGGCGAAGTGATGCGTGCAGATCTTGACGTCGTAGGAAAATCTTGGAATGGCGGGAAGAGGCTCTGTGCACGAATGAATTTCTTATGACGCAACTGTTTGGGGAGAGCATTGCTGGCCCGGGCGCGCTGTGAAAGAAATTGGAGATGCAGCTCAACAACGCGAACTTTGCGCACCGCTCCACAACCACGTGATATAGTAGACGGAGCAGAGCAGAACATGAGGCCTCGCAAGCATACTCCTTTTCATCACCACGACAGCACGATTCAATCTACATTCTTCTATTCCATAGACATTACCTGAGAAATAAATACCCAAGTATTGGCTGAGGATGAGTAAGCACGATTCAATTCAACGGGTTTGTCATCAATAGTAATAGCTCTGCGCGCCAGCCGCGGTGTGTCCACACACATCGGGAAAAAGCTCGTGACAGAAACAAAATGTGGTATATACAAAATCAAAAATTTCCTAGCTTTCGTGGACCCCAGGCTCAGGGACAGACGCAATCGTCATCATCATCGATTGACGCCGATATGCGTCTGCGACGGAGTCCTCTCCACCGGCGCCGGCAATTCCACCGGTGCCATTGCCGACTTGCCAGGCAACTCCGCGCCGTGGTGGTGCGAGGACATTTCGTAAAAGGTGTTCAAGTTGGGTGCCTCCGAAGGGAAACGGTGTTGCAAGAGAGAGGATTTGCCGTCCATTTCCACGGAGCCATGTGAGCTGGCCGCGGCGGACACTTGTCGCTGACGGCGGCGTTTGCGGAAGCAGAGGAAGGCACCCAGTGCGATGAGGAGGAGCCCGGCACACACGCCGATGGCGAGCCCGACGATGCCGCCTGTGCTGAGGGCTTTGGTGCTGCTGCCGTCGCTGCTATTCGCAGTGGACGTCGTTCCGTTGTTCAACGAACTCGATGTAGATAGTGGTGTGGGAAGCGGGGCGTCCAATGGCGCGAGCGAGCCTGGTTCGACAGTGTTGGCGCGGAGGCAAGTGGCAACCGCGGTGGATTGAGGGAGGGTGACCGGACGAGCGTAGTCGGCGATGGGCAGGAATAGAGTAAGAATTCCCGTGGTCCACCAAGTGGACAAGGTATAGGTGTCGCTGTCGGCGGCGCCAATCTGCGTCCATATGAGACTGCCGTACTTTGTCTTGCACTGGGATGCCGCGACGAGAGATTTGGGGCCGGTGAGAGCTCCGCCCAGGGCAGGAGGTCCTGCGGAAAGCGATGCTGACCCGTTGAAGTATGGCGCACAAGATGAAGGGAAATTCGAGTTCACAATCGAGGCTATCTTCGCACAGACACTCGGCAATGAGTTTGCAGTAAGATTGGAATCCGGACCAGGAGTCGGGAGACCGACGAGCAGCCGGGCAGCGGCAGTTGCGGCGTTTGACATATCCTTCACACAGTTCGCGTCTAGGGTAGTCAAACAGTCACCTTTGTCTTTCTGCGCTCGTAGGAAGGTGTCGACAGTAAAAGGCAGCATCCAGAAATAGCAGACATCCCATCCGAGGTCGTAGTTGTCGGTGTAGTTAGCTCCATTCGTGTCAAACCAGAGCGAAAGCTCTGTCCGAGACGCATCGCCTGGTTTCGGTCGCGGCTGGTATACCGTCGTTCGCCAGCTGACGGGTGTAAATGAAAGATTGGTCGATTTCCCACCTTCGAGAATGTCGGGCGCGATGGTCTGGGAGCCCGTCTGGTCACGTCTTTGTTAGTCCATCGAAATGGCGATGTGAGAGAGTAGGTCTTTCGTGACACTCACGACATTGGGCGATCCGGCATTCGCCGCACATATCCTCGGAGTTCCGAATGTGCTATTGGAGGTGCCAGGCCCACCGCTGTTGCCGGCGAGGTTGTAGTTGAAATCTGCTGCCGCCACGCGCCCAAGTAATGTGGCAAGGATTGGTAGCAGAACAACTACCATTTTCGCGACACGACAACCTGGTAATTGTCGTGCGCGTGTGGTCAGACAGAGATGACACGCAGAGACGTTGGACTTGTCTACGGAGACCAGATCTCAACCCGAGGGCGGGCAATCGAGTACCAAATAAAAATCCCGACTGGGCGCCGCGCAGAAGGGGCCGAAAGGAAAAAGACTATGCGAAGGCGAACAGTGTAACAAGCGGCGGATTTTTTTCTTGCTGTAGTTGATGCTTACGATGGCGACAGCAAATGATTCGCAGAAAGGACAGTCGGCGACGAGCGGGCACGGCCTCTGATCGCCCTCGGACTACATATGAACGACTGTCCGACATCGAAGGGTGGCCAGATTTGCCGTGAGGAAAGAGAAGTAAGCAAGCCCCGCTTCCTCTCACGTCCAGCATCCATCGTGGCCACCACCGTGACTTTTGATTGTTGATGAGGCTTGAGCGTTGCGTAGCGTTGTGCACGGAAGCAGACTAGTGGACAAGCTGCAGGGAGGAGCACTAGCCTGCGATAAAGGAGCGCAGTCATCTCGCGTTCATCATGTTCTTGATAATTCCGTCGATCGGGGCGCGAGCGCGACGTAGTCCCCAAACGCGACAAGGGACTGCGTATACGAAGATCCTATCGCGAATTTCATTCATCGGAATTGCAATCGTAAGTCGAGATTTTCTCAGTGATCTAAGCGACATGAGAATCCAATGCCAAGTCCCGGGCCTGTGGTGATGTTGAGGTTTAGTCACACATAGTGGTCGACGCTAGCTTGGTCCCCGTAACCGAGAGCGCCAGGTACCAGCAGAGTCATCACATGCATCAACATCAATGTAGACAGAGCTGCCAGAACACCTGTGGACATCGTGCCGTCGTCCATCTCGTCTCCTGAACTGACGTTACCATCATATCTGCGCTGATGGTCAATACCCGTCGTGATTTCCATGTGTATGGACCACAGTTGTACATGTTGAAAAGGGATCCGGCAATGACAGTACGAATGGAGCGTGTTGGGCCCTAATTCGGGTCCGTATTGGCTGCCGACTGTAAATGGGCGTAAACAGGCGTTCAGTCCCCTCACCTATTTTTAGTTGCGTGCAGGAACAGGACATTCAAAGGCACACATTGTAACACAACTTTCGTATTGCTGATGGTATGATACATTTCCATTCTCGGAGTACAGGATCCATTATTCATTGGAAGACTTCGCTTCAGACACGTGGGTGGAAGCTATATGTGTTGCAGGAACGAGACTCTTCTCTCGTTTTCCCAAATGGGTTTCGAAAACGCGACAGGCGCGCGAATCGATCGTTCTCTTCACATCTTCACGCGCAGGAGATACCGGAGGCGGATTTGCGCGACATCGTAGCAGATGTATTCGTTGTACTGCAGGTATGCATTTGGCACATTCGTTGGACCAGGGGCTTTGGTCGTGTCAGGCTATAGCAGTCACGCGTTAGCGATCGAATTGTTCAGGACAAACATGGAGAAAGTGTTGGGACTTACAATCATGACACCAGCAAGATCAGGATGAATCGAAGCCGCGTCCTTCCAACCCAGAGGTGCTGTGGTACCTTTGCCCCATGTGGAGTACATCCCGCCCTGGATGGCGGTTTCGCCGGCGTTGTATGAAGCATTGGTCAGTTCTTGCATTGGAGCACCCAACTCAGCTTCACAGAGGAGGAGGAGCGCATGGCCGCCACTGATATGCGCGTAGCAGTAGTTGGCCGATTTCGATGCCATATCAGCTAAGTAAGTGCCTTTTCCGAACATGTAACCTGATACTGGAGCTTCCGGAGGCGCGATACGAAGTCCTTGACTCAGAATACCACCGTAATTTGTCGATCGCGAGCCGTGCCAGAGAAGTCGTCGGTCGCTTGGGATGGAAGCGAATTTGCTGGCCTTGAAACGATCGTGCTCGCCTTGACGTTCAATACGAAAAACGTCAAGGAGTTCGTAATTGTGTCCGTGAGTGGCGCCGCGGGTCTTGACGAGCAGGTCTTCGATACCCTTGAACTCATCCGAATCGCGCTCCACAGATGCCATGGACTTCATCTTCAAGCCTTCGTAGCGAGCATCCAGAGGATGGACATTGTCCGTAGATTTCTTCTCCATCTTGAGGATGGCATCGGCGTCCTTGAGATCCGTCAAACTTTCAAGCAATTGGACTTCCTTCTTGAGATGATCGATATCACTGATGATCGGTGGACGATTCCTTCCGAAGTCATGCGGGATGTACGAGTAGTACCGGTTGGAAAGATCCTCGCTGACTGTGTGGATGGGAGAGTTGTACTCTGATTGAGCAAGTGACGGGTCGTCCAGCACGGCGGCGAGCTTCTTCAATGCTTCGTAACCACGGGTGATTGTGGCTTTACTCAACTTGCCGAGAGGTAATTTGGCTGCATCATAGTTGAGTGAGGCCATGGTATTTGCGATGTGAGCTTGGTTGAAGATGAGCTCCATCAACGATGCAATGGGTTTCTCGAGTTTGCACTCTGGTGGCTCAACCTTGATCTTCTCGCCGCCATCGCCTTCCGACTTGGGTTTGACATCGGGTTCGTCGTCCGATTCCGGCTCGTAACTGCGCTCGACAAATACATATTTTTTCGGCTTCGGCTCGTCGGTCCGATCAGCCCATTTCAGGCCTGTCTTGTCTTTGAATTTTCTCTCGAAATTATTCATAGCATCGTCGAGCGTTCCGCAGCCAAGCAAGGCGCTTTGCCCGCGTTCACCGACCCTTCCCCATCTCCAGAGGTCATCAGCACATGTATACTAAGTTTGTTCTTGTAGTTGAGAGTCATACCTGCTCCATGTCTTGAATTCACCCTTGCCGTCTGTGAGGATTTGCAGCTTGTAAAATTTGTTGTTGTTGTTGCCGGCATTCGTTTGATTCAATGCCGCGTCGTATATTATACCGTCGTCGGGATTGACATAGACCGAATGGGACGTATTCAATGGGCAAATGTCGTCGACTGGGATCACGAGATTGTCGGAATGGGCAAATTGAGCGGAGGAGGTCTTAGGATCAGCTTCCTTCAACGCGTCGTCGGCTGGGGCATCGTCTGCGGCATCCTCATCTTCATCAACAGGCTCAGCCTTTGTTTTGGCAGCTTTGCCTTTCTTTGCCGCGGATTTTGTTGCTTTGTGATCATCATCAGCCGCTGTTGTTGAAGCTTTGCCCTTCCGGGCCTGCTTTTTGGGCGGGTCGGCCGCTTGCGTGTCCCCGTCGTCTGCCGGAGACGCGGCGCGTTTTCGCTGACGTAAAGCCGGCATATTTGGTCTGAAACAACGAAGTTACGAGGGTGAGGGAAGAAGAGTATGTCTACGTGGAAGAGACCGAATCGAGAGAGGGCAAGAGTTTGTTATATATTTGTGAGCGATGCGTCTGATCGGGTATTGGCATTGGCAATCCTTCCGCCGCCGCAATGATGTAGGTGCAGGTGAGCATTGATGAGACACAGCCCAGGGCCGGCCCAGCACAGTGAAGCGTAGGTGAAAGTGACGGGTCAGCGGAAGAAGCCGAGCACAAGCGCAGGCAGGTACGGCGATGTGACCAATCATTTTGCACCTGATGCCTGGCCTCATCCCCAGCACAATTGGCTGTTATTTATTATGCAGATTTCCATGGAAGGCGAACTTGAAGGCATGTGTCCACGCACATCATTCACAAGACTGCTCGTGACAGTGGGACTTCCTCCATTGAGATGAATCGTGATTGGCGATGTTGCCTGATTCTCTAACATCTTAAGCAGCCCTGTCTTCATCACGTGCTTGTGATATAAAGTCCTCCTCGAAGTCATCTGAGCGGATCTTCCTCGACATCGCGCCTGACGATCATATGTTCAGCTTCACGGACAAGACTCCTCGTTGACATACGGAGACATCCGAAGTCGAATCCAATACTAAATATTGCCATAAGATCGATCCAACATCACCTCGACATTCACTTTCAGTCACCTCTCCAACCCCGAATATCACCACCAGCCGGGTGGAGGCCAGCAACATGTCGCAACCACCACTCATCTTATCGCTTCCCCCAGAGATGATTATACAAGTCTCGAGGCATCTCACCACGGTAGAGCTTGGTCATTTGCGCGGCACGTGCAAACACATCGAACAGATCCTCTTCGACAGCTTCGCAAAGGAGTTCTTCGTCAAGAGGCAATTCATGCTACAGCAACACAGCTTACAAGCACTCCTGGATATCGCCAGCCATCCAACCCTGTCCAGATATCTTAAATATGTCATCGTCAGCGCAGAGAGGGTCAATAAAAGCGACTCGCAGCGAGTCCTCCTTCTGGCGGGCGAGCCCGACGCAGAGACGTTCCTGTGGTCAGGTCAAGCAAGAGACATGCTCGTTGAGGCTTTCACGAAACTGCCCAACCTCATCACGGTAGGTGTCCGAGATTATTCTGGGCCCAATCGATCCCGGGATGGTCCGAAGGCGAGATGGCGTAGCTACGGATGGTCCGTCGGTTTGGATCCATCGTCCCTCCATGAAGAATCGCGATCGCTATCGTTCCACAATACTCCCGATGCAGTGTCAATGACATTCTCCCTGGTTTTGACTGCCCTGGGCATGGCTCGTGTCCACCCTGAAGGGGTCGAGGTATTTATCAACGCCGCACACGGTTTGAAGGAGTCGGCGTTCAATGTAATCAACGGTCGTACGGGCCCTGCCGTGCGGGAGATCGTTGGCACATTGAAAGGGCTATTCCTGAATATCGGTAGCACGTATCTTGTACACATAGATTTGGCACCGATAAAAAGTTTTCTGGTGGCGGCGAAGAAGTTGGAAGCGCTCCGTCTCAACATGGTCAACTGCTCCTCTTCAGACCCTTTGCTGACATGGCTTGCAAAGCCTGCGAGCGAAACCGAAATTTCTACCAGGGACGTCGTGGCTGATCTTGACGACAACACGCTCCGACGGATAGTTGGGGATGAGGAACGGTTTCATGAGATTGATCGGTTGGATCAGTTTGATCAGGTTCATTTCCCGCCGGAATGGCTTCGCCAAAACTATCCTCCATCGCCAGAGTTTGCGAATCTCCAAAAGTTGGACATCGGTTTCGCGCGCCTGGCGAGCAGCACATTGCTGAAGCTTTTGACCAAATGGCGGATTCGAGAGTTTAGTCTGTGGAAGCTATGCGTTCTGCACGAAGATACAGCGCATGCCGGTTTCGAGGTCGTCAAACAGATTTTCCCAACCATTCTCAAACAGTTGGCCAAAGCATTCGCGTCAACCAGCCACGTGCGGACCATCATGATTGGTGATATCGTGGTTGGTCCGATGAGGGAAGATCGGAGTGAACAGAGATTCGTATTTGTTCAGTGTGCACCCGAAAGCGGTCCAACGGACGGTGTCGTGCCTCTGCTCCCGCACAAGTCGAATTTCAAGATCGAGTATCGCATGCGGACAGGTCGGACCGTAAGTGAATGGCTGGAAGATGCGGCGGAGCGCATTGCCCGCGTGGAGCAAATCAAAGTCCACTTGCTCGGACCCGGTCGATATACCGTGGCGCCGGACCGAGAACCTCGGCACACTGAGTCTGACGATGACGATGAAAGCAATTTTGACGGTGTCGATTTGATGGAAGACGACGAGGACATGAGCGACTAGTGAACGAGAAAGATCGAAACCAATCATGCATCTGAGAAGGCTATTCTTCCTCGCACTCGCGAGCCAACTCATAACCCCATGACGACTCTGCCAAGCGACGCCCAGCAGGGTTTTGTGTAGACACAAGAGCCACGGGAAACATCATCGATAAACCAACCCATCGACCGACTCAACAACGATTTGCCCCTTGCGTGTCATTCGACGCCCAAATGCTGCATCGGACACTTTGCATTTGCATAGTTTATGATTCCGCCGATCGTGGCATCGCACTTCAAAACAGTCCACATCGCCCTGCCGGCGAAGATTTTGGCGAAAAAGGGGGCCAGATGAGCTTTCGGCGGACGAGGCCATCCGGCAGGACGAATGTGCCGCTGGCGAGGGTTTCGAATCATACGTTGGATCTCATGGGATCGGAACGATAGGGGTCTGGGCATCGAGCGCGATCAATATGATCGTCTGTCAATTCAGCGAAGAGCATCGCACGACAAACAAGTTGTTACTAAATGATTACGGGAGAGAAAAAACGGAAGCTGATTTGTCCTGTGCGCAATTTGCGTAGAGCAGTAATCGCACTCCTGTTCAGCTATGTATGTGTTTTCGTTCGCCCACAACATGAAAGTCACGAATGATCGCCCTTGGAATACAGGTATCAGTCAAATCGGATGGGCTACTCCGATGACTAACCTAATAATCGGTCTCTGCGATGCCTCATGCAGTCCTGTTGCATCCAGTTCGTGAGTTTGTGAAAGGTAGAGTAGGATATCAACGCGGTTTTCATTCAGCTGTGGGAGTGTGTCTTGGCTTTTCGGTCGTGAACGGGAGCAGTCCGCTTCCAGAAAGTGAGTGATGGTCAGGGAAACGATCCTGAAGCTCGAAGTACGTTTTGCGAGATCCTCTCCATCCCAACGCCGCGAATCCGTAGACTTTCCCGGCCAGCCTCCCGATCGGGAGAAGGGCGCGACCGAGCCGAAGGTCTATCCCTCAAGGTTATCATTGCGAGTCGCGATGATCCCGTGGAGCAGCTCATCGACATACAGATCCACGGGTCCGCCGTTGGGACACTTGGCCTGGATGGTGGCGTTGATACACTGCTGAAAGCCGGAGCGGATGGTCGGGGACGCCGCCAGGCCGCCGGCGACGCTGCCGTTCGAGCGGAAGGTGAAAGTGTCGGTCGCGAAGGAGAAGGGCGGGGTGGCGCCGAGCACGCGGGTCTGTTTGACGGTGACGACGCACGGGACCGCCACGCGGGTCGCGGGCGCCGCGCAGGCGTAGCGGAACGAGCTGAGGAAGCCGCCCAGCCGCGTGTAATTTACGAGGTCGATGGCGTAGTCGAGCACGCCGGTCTTGCCGGCGGGGACCTTGGCGAAGTTCGGGGGCACGGCGGGCCGGATGAGGGGGAGGAGAGGGGCGGAGAGCGCGCCGGAGACGGTCACGAAGTTGGTGAAGTTGATGCGTTGATAACTGCCGACGGGACCGAGGGGCTTATCATCGAACTGTGAAGGGAACCACGAAATCGTTGTGTTAGTCTGGCGAAAATAACGGAGGAGAGCAGAACCGGATCGAGGAGGGGGTTTTCTTACGGTTGCGTTGGCGGGTTGGCATACGAAGGGGGCGCTGCCCCTGAGGAACTCTCTACCACAGACATCGCATAACCATTCCGGGTTTCTGTAAGGAGGATACGGGCTCGCATAGTTACAGTTGTCGGAGAAGTCGTTCGGATCTTGCGAGACTGCTGCACGGATCAGAGCCAGCAACAAGGCTCCGTAGAGCGTTGAGGTCCGCATGTTGTATCCGAATCAAATAGAGGGACAGACCGGGTGTGGCTGCGTAGACTTCGTGGCAAGGCAGGTCCAAGAGGATGGCTCCTTTATCACAAAGTCGTTTGCGGACCGATCTTATATATGAGAACAGACACCCATCATTCTCCAGTCCCATCACACCGTGACATCAGGACGCCTCGCGGGCCTTGCTCGATGGCGCATATGCCCCTCGCGACGATGATGCCCATCTTGCATGCATGAAGGGTGTCGTCTGAATCCGAACTCACGTCGCAGCCAGAGAAGAAGAAGCCAAAATCCACAGCAAACAGGACCGAAACGAATTCGGCAAAGAGTTCCGATGGGACAAAGTGCGGAGAAGAAAGAATTCCGCACGTGGCGGACGTTCTAGGTGATTTGAGTCTCACCTCGGTCCGGATCCACCAATGAACGGGCCCCCGCCGGGTTAAATTACCAGATGGGTGGATGTATGATGTGGTGCCTTGGTCCAATGGTCAGTATGGTGGAACTGCAGCAATCGTGTAGCTTCCTCCCCTCGGCGCCACAGCAGTAGGCCTCAGAAAGCAATTGCGCTTCTGAGAGTCGATTTACCACGTTATTAGAATATACAGTACATCCTTCGTCGCCAGGGCCGGGACAGGTGGATCTAGAAGAAGTCAAAGTAGCTTATCTCCAAGATTGGATGTCCGATATTGCATATAAGCGCTAGAGGCCGAACAGTCGCGTATACTTCGCCCTGGGCAAATTCGCGAACGGTTTCAAAAGAACGGAAAGGACAAGCGAAGCACAGACGAATCCCACTTCGTTCCGTGTGATGGATGATATGGAAAAGACACGTCGATTGATGAAGTCAGGAGCAGAAACCATGAGACCACGAGAGGGGCGAAAAAAGTGAATCATTTGGAGAGGGAAGAAAAAAATCAGATCCCTTCTTTGCCCCTGCCTCCCGCCAAACCATCATCGACACGACGACGGTGAAACACGGAAACATCGATGACGATGATGACGATGGGAGGTATGTATTGCGCCGTACCGTTTTCCCCCAAAATCTTCCCTTCTGTGGAAAATTCCATTTCCCATATTCCGTAGTTCTCGTGAAATGTCATACAAAGGTTTGAAAACGACCGTGAGAGCGAGCGAGAGAGAAAAGCGAAAAGAAAAAAAAGAAGTGCAGCGAAAGTACAAAAAAAGCCGAAAAAGGACGATGCCGGTCCTTTCATCCATCCTTTTCCCTTGTCGTGAAGCGATGAGGGTCAGCACAGCTGAGTCACATTCCACAACACGCATCCTGTCCCTTGTTCATATCAAATGACTATCTAAGCCTTCGCGGCGGCAGCACGCTTGATGTGCGCGAGCGCATGACCATGACCGTGTCTCGCGCCAGCCTCACCACGACGTTCATTGTTCTCGGCGGCGCCGGTCGGAGCGGGCGCATCGCGGGCGTAGACGGTGACCCACTGGGTGGCGGTAACGACAGTCTCCTCCGTGACGGTGACCATGTGGACGCCGGCGTTGTTGTTGTCGTCGGAGCCGTTCTTCTGGACAGGCTGGTAGTCTGCAGCGCCGACAGGCTTGTTGGAATTGTAGCCGGCGGGAGCGGCGGTGGTTGCGGCGGGAGCAGCAGCAGCGGTCGTGCCGGCTGAAGAGTCCTTGTCACTCGAGGAGGCTCCATCGATGAGCTTGGCGCTGAAGACCAACAGGTTGCCGACGCTCTTTCCGGCAGATTTCTTGAGGTAGCAGGCGGCGCCGGACATGCTGACGTCGACACAGCCGGAAGTGGAAGCGCAGGTGGCGATACAAGCAGAGAGGCCGCCGGAGAAGATCAACTTGAAGTCCATGTCACCGCCAGCGTGGTCGTGGGCACAGTCGATCATGAAACTCTTCTTCGATGTGGGGTCAGTGTATGTCTTTCCGTTTTGTTCTGGGCAGAGAGAGACGGAAGAGCCAGAGTCAGGCTTCGTGGAGCCACCATCTGTGTTGCTGCCACCACCGTTGCTGTTGCCGCCATTGCCATATCCGGTGGGCTTAGATTCGGCAGAGGTGGTCTTGGTAGGCTCTGCCTTCTGGGTGCTGAAAGTAGTAGGTGCGTTGTAAGTAGGAGCGGCCTGGGTCGAGGTAGTAGTGGGTTGTGAGGTGCCAGGAGAGGTGTTGCTGCCACTGCTTCCACTACCAGACGAGCCAGAAGATCCCTTCAGCGAGCATTGAGAAGTGGCGACACCGAGTGCGGCGATTTCCATGGCCGGCGCGGGGTTGACAGTCGAGATGGGGTTGCATCCAGGAAGCGAATCTCCTGGAGTGTCGACCTTCTCAGGGAAGCTCATCTTGAGTTTGCAGTTCTTGGTCTTGACGGGAGATTTGTGAAACGCGGGGCAGACTCCAATGTCTTCATTGCCGTAGAAAGGAGTCGGGCAGCCAGGAGAAGTGCCGTTGTTGAGCAAGGTCGAGAGAGTGCCAACCTTCCAGCCGTTGACGAAATCCATGTGCCATCCGAAACCAGTCTTGTCACCTTGAGAGAGAACAAACGTGTCTGGCTTGACCTTGTCAACGACCTTGTGAAGGTCGAATTGGTTCTCGATGAAAATGTGCGGCAGACGCTTCGGGTGACTTGCAGGGCAGGGGCCAAACATCACGTCGCCTTCCGGGTAGCTCACATGGGCACCAGGGTTGGCTTGATCGAAGTCCTTGCCGTTCCAGCAGTGAGGGAATTCGATGGCGCCGTTGAAGCCGGGATAATCGGTGCAGTCCTGAACACCGGTCGGGAAACCACCGTCTTTGCCCTCGTTCCAACCGCCAGGCTTGTGGCAGATCCATTGGGTGATGGCACGGTGCTTAACGTCCTCGTTCGGTGCGCGCAAGGTCTGTTGTCCGGCAATCATGCGGAAGCCTGGGGGAAATTCGAAAGGGTTGACCTTTTGGTCCTGGGCATTACCGACGTCACGGTAGTACAGCTTGTGGCCACTGGTCGGAATGCGAAAGTAACCCGAGCCGTCCTTGGCCTCCATGTAGAGAGAAGGGTGCCAGTAGCTGCTCATATCGTCGGCGTTACCATCGCCCTCGGCGGAACCAACGGTAGTACAATCCGACTCTCGGAGCGAATCGAAGGTCATGCCAGGGCCAGAATTTGAAGCACCAAAGATTTGGTGGACGTGAGCGGCAATGGCATTGGGAGACAGAATTGAGTCCATGCGCTCAACGAGGGTGTCATCTCCGCCTGGAGTGTACTGAACGACCTGAGAAGCCAAGGTGTTCGAGAAGAAGAAAGCTGCCGCCACGGCGACGGTGCGAGTTGAGAAGATCATTTTGGCGGCCAAGGAGTGTAATGTATGATGAAGATACAATTCGCAAAGAATGAATGCTGGCGATATTCTGTGTCTGCCAAAGTCCTCAAGACGTGGAAGCTAGATTCAGGCGCGACAATCAAACCAGTGATTGTCGAATTGTAGCCGAGGACGTTCGCAGAACGTGTGACGTTTGTGTCTGGGGAAGAGAAGATTTGTCGCGGGCCTCAGGAGATCGTGGTGACGATATGTTGATTTGAATGAGCGCGTAGCGAGGAGAAAAAGAGTGACTGTGGTGTCGAGCAACCAGGCGACACGATGAAGCGAAGAAGAGAGCGTGAGTGGGTACGTTAACGACGACGAAAAAAAAACCAGCGACGACTGTTAAAGTAAAAGGAAGAGAGAGAATTGAAGACAAAGAGATTCGGGGAGACAAAGGAATTCGGGGAGAGAGGAAGCGGAGTTGGTGGTGGAAATTGATGGAGGATGAAGCCGGGAATAGTGGGTGTGGTGGAGGCAATGGGGGTGTGTGTTGCAGCTGGAGCTGGTGAATTGAAAGGGAGGCGAGGGAGCATCCGCGCGGGTCTGTATCACACTATCACATAGAAATTTAGTCCTACACACACACATCGACATGGACTTTGTTCGGCCTTTCTTGAACCAGCATCACCCATTCAGCACTGCTTTCATGCATGTATGCATGTCGACGTGTTCATGTGCACCTGGGCAATGATGCGTGTGTGTTGTGTGTTGTGTGTTGTATCACAAACAGAACATGTATGAATTTCCCAAAAGAGGCATTTCAAGGTTGTCATCAATTCCAGGAAGGAGAGATCCGTGCAAGGAGTGAGCAAGCGCCGGCGGGAGGCAGGCAAGTTCGATTCCGATACGACACATCCATACCGCACACACACCCACGGAGAGAACAACACGATATCGTATATACAATGGTGCCCCACAACAGGTACAACACCCACACAATCTACACGGCATATTCATCGTGAGCGGCTTGTTAAACAATGATGCTTGGTGACGACGGTCTTTTCGAGAAGTGATGTCGCTGCTCTTCCATGCCATGTGTCGGACCCGTCGAGCGACCGTTGAGTGGTGATCAATTCTCAACGGTCAAGATGGATGGTCATGTTTCGTGTTCTATTTTCGCACATTCTGAGGCGAAACAGTCCACGAATGACAGGCACTGCTACACAGTCATCAGCAGAGAGAAGAACTACACCTGGGCAATATCCGTTCAGCCGCTTCCCGCTGTCTCCCTTCCTCCTGCATTTCCCATTGTGCTCCCTCCTCAATGAAATTATCAAGGGGCTTGGAAACAAACGCCACCTCGTGTTTCAGGTTCAGATCGTTCGGGCGCGCGCGCGTGGCTGCCGCTGGAGGACCAGAATTCCGGAGTCTCCACGGCATCTCATTGGCCCTCAGCCGGCGCTCACCCCTGGCCTGGCACTCATCATTTTCTTCCCGGCAGAATTCAGCACTGATGAGACTTTCCTGATCTGTACATATGCACCGATGGCTTCTCGCTCGGGACCACAAGGTTTCGTCATCCGAGATGCGTGGTCATCAATCGGATGCGATGTCATTCGCATGTACTTGACTACCAGAGTATTGGATATCATGCACGGCGATGAATGTCTTGGGGCATTATACAGTAGAGTTCCGACTGGCTGGCGATCACGTCCCTCCTGTTCTTTCCCTAGATTCAGGACCGGTGCAGTGACTAGTCAGGCACGATCGCAGGCGGCAAAAAGCTGCAGAACCGTGGAAGCCGCTCCCGCTATGCTTTACCCCTGGTTAGTCGAGAAGGCCCGGTTCGGATCTCCGTCAACGATCGACACGTGTCGCTCGCCAAACGGTCTCGACATCGACCATCAATGCAGCACAATGGATTGAAAGCAGTGAAACGCCTGCTCAGCATTGCACTCCACCCCGTAGCTAGGCCGACAATAGATTACACGTATATTGATATGAGCAGGAGTCATGCATCCAGCTGCGTGCATCAGGCAGGCGAAAGGCCCTACCTCTCGATGCTGTGAAGAGAACTTGATCGGACACGCAAACACAGAAACGTCCCTCGTCGAGAATGCTCTAGGCGCTCACGCAACGACCCTCCATAACCAATTTTCTGTACACAGGATCCGGGCTATCCATCGTTGGGCGGACGGACGGCACTTGAGGATGACTACGCAGACGTTTCGTGCTCACCAGGTCGACTCCGTTCTCGAAGCCGTCGCGAAATCTACCAAAATCTGCTCGCCCTGGTTTGAAGACGACAGGTCCACAGATCTCCTTCTTTCTTCCGGAATCATGAAGGGTTCGACGTGGCGATGACTGTTTCATACTCTCCATCCTCCTCCATGCTCTCGAACGGCGTGTGGCTAAAGGACATTTATCATCGTGGCTAGATTCTCCAGTTTGATGAGTAGGGATGAAACAAAGGCATTATTATTCACCGAAAATGATGAGTAGTATTATTCTTGTACGAAGAAATTCCTACTGGTCAGTCACCAACCGGCGGCCGGGCAGGTTCCCTATGGGTGGGTCTGTATCCAAACTTTCTGTTTTCCTTGAGCCGAGATACTATGCGAGATGCGGGCCATTTGTCTCATCCATTTGACAGCCCATGCCTGGGCTGGGAACCCGCCAGCTCGACCCTAAAAAGCATGAGAAGCCCTAGCCCAACCACGCATGTGTGCGCTGTACGCGCCGGCTTCTCTATCGAGGTGTCCACCATGCACAGCGTAACGCCGGGTTCGAAATCCTCAAAAGTCGCGCGCGCCAAAGGGAAAAGCCATGTCTTTGAAAATCCTCGTCATTCGTCATGACGTTAGAGCAGATTTTGTCGGGTTAGGTTGGGCGAATCTTCCCTGCTGCGCTGGGTCGCAAATGCTTTCCTTGCTGCCTTGGTCGTGACGCTTCGGGCCTACGGTATCACGGTGAACGCGAGTGTTCGAAACGTGAGGGGAACTGCTCTGGCGCCACGGCGGGTAGATATCGGGTATGATCGGCCGATTGATGAAATGGGAGGTCACATCATGAATATCACATCGGACATGGCACCGGAGTGAGAGGGGATACCTCGCAGTGGATCCATCGGTTCCCAGCATAGATACAATGTAAGAGCGATACTGCATTCAATCACAGCGTCAGGGAAGAAGTCAAATCCCTACTTAGCACAGTGGTCTTGAGTGAAGCGCTACAAGTATCCACGGAGGGCCGAAGGCTCGGGGGTCCCTTTTCAGCTCTCGTGACCGGCGTTGTTGAATGCTCAGGCGGGATATCGTTGAGTCGGAATAAGTTTTGTTGAGGATTTGGGATCGTGTGACACACAAAACTCGGCGATGCCCAGGCGATGAGATACGAATGCATGCCTGATAGTGGTTGCGAGGTGCATAGCGATATCCGCAATGGTCAAGAGTCATCCATCTCTCTCCATCGCGTCTTTCTCGAATTTCGATGCCATGCTCCAGGAGAAACCTCAACCGTATCGTCAACAGTACATTATGTCGGCAAACAACCATCATATCCATGTCACGTGTCTGATGGCCGCATTTGTGATAAGCACGATTGTTAAGCACAACTCGGATAATTGAGGCGGCATTGCCGTTCAAGGATCGAACGGATGTCATCCAAAGTGGTTCTCTGAGAGTCCGTTTGAATGGCGTGCAAGCATGAGCCTTTCTGGAGGTCTCGTCGTTCGTACGTGATGAACAGATGCGACGACTGTGAGTGCAGCATATCTGCACAAGTTGCAGGAGGAAAAGCTCTCGAGTCATGTGCCGGCGATTGCCTTGACTTGCCAAGAGAATGAAATGGAGCAGCCGATATTCTTTCATCGACGGGAATCAGTCAGATCGGAAGGGGCAACCTGATAACTAACCTGATATCTATGTCTCCGAAGGCTAATGGCATGATTCGTCTGTCTGCTTAGAAGTCTGATATTGGCCCATTTGTAAGTAGTCGTCGGAGTGCCTCATCCGGTTCGATCGATTTCCTATAGTCACGAATTCCCAGAAAGTCTCTCTGTCTGGGCGAGACTATCATCTGATAGTGCGCGAGTAATATGATCTGATGATCGCGTAATTTGCTACCTTTTGCCGTCGACAGGCCACACACCGCTGCAACGGAAGAAAAGTAGAGACAGAATACGGCAGTTGACTCCCACGTGGCGCCAACGTGGAGGTGCCGAGAGTAACGAAAGACAGTAGGGAACCACCGTCCAGACAAATAAGAGAATATTTCTTACCCTTGCCGTATTAAATTGAGGTTCGGAAGCCACGCAAAGTCTAGAACTTCTGCAGGGCAGCATGTCGTACGTGACGTGCGTGCTCTTTCGAGGTTGCATCGAGGAGCGTAGCATTGTGAGGGACTCTGCCTTTGCTTGGATCGAGCCCTGTCAATTGCATTCCGTCAAAACCTTCGCAGCCATCGAGTAGAAGAGGAATGGGTCTTTCATTCATTCATTCATTCATTCATTGAGCAAACGTCGATGCTCCTCCCCACACGGCTTGCTCTTTGCGTGATCGTCCTCATCCAGGCGATACTTGTCTTGTTCTAGCAAGACTGTCTTGGTTCGCGTGGGATACAGAGGCGCAGAGGCTCGGAGGGAATTTTCCGTGGTCGTAGTCATGGGTTCGCGAGGTCGGACCAGTCACCGCAACGGCACGGCTTCTAGAATAGACTATCGAAGCGAGGCTAGCGAAGTGCCCTAGAAGCCACAGTCGACGTGATCGATCTCGTGGGCCAGTATTGCAAAGCCGCTCCGTACTCATTGCGACGTCTTCCTGCGACGCCAATGAAGTGAAGTTCTGAGGATGCACGAAGTGTGTCGCAATGAGCAAGTTTGAGCACATATACCACTGCACGCCAAGCCGCCAGCGCCAACGCCGAGAACCCTCCGGGCGGGTAGACGGATCACCTACACCAGCCCATCAGCCATCATTATACACCTGGGCAATAATGGTAGACCAGCCAGCAATAAGCATATGTTGTCGCAAGTCAAGGTAGAGTCCTGGCCTCGGCCAGGCGGCCGAATGATCGGCAATGCTTTCCTCTTCGTCAGATTGAACAATGGCCGGACTCCCCATACACCACTGTCTTCTGCCTCATTATGCAGGTGGTTTCTACGCATCCTTCCAGAACATCGTCAAGGACACTGGACATGGATAAAGGCAAGACGCCCGATTATAATTCTATGGCTGCTGTTACTTTAGATGGACTACAGTCGATGTTGTGCTCGTACAGTAGACCTCATCAGGAAAAGGTTCTCCGCCAATACGCCAATCCTTCTTGGCATTCGGGGCCGTGGCCGCGGCGGAACGCCTTTCGACTGCTTCTTTTCTTTTTCGAACCCTCTCCATGTGTCGCCCTGCCGCACTTCTCGACTTGGCGAGTGTGTTTGCGTGGGGATCAATGTATTGATGATGGTAATTCAAGGCTTGATGGTGTCGGTCGTATTTCCCTTTTGCCCTCACGTTGGCCGCGGGCTAGCCAATAGATGGCGGTGTTCATGCTTGCATCTCACGCGGTATCACACTGTTTCGGATGGTCGCAGAAGGTATGCACATTCGACACGCACAGAAAGGATTGCCATGTGCCAAACGAGATGTGGGATGTGGCGTTCTTTTCTTCTTATCAGATTTTCAATCGAGTGAAACATCAAGGTGGTGCCCGTCGACATGTCATATAACGTGCAAGAGAACCTTTGATCAATCACTCCTTCGTTCTTGCTACTACGAAGCTCTCTTCGTGGTCTCACGCGGCAGTTTAAACTTCGGTTCGGCCGTTGACTTTTAACTTACCACGCACGCGCACGTGGCGAAGAGAAGAGACCTGCATTAACACAATTTCCATCGACTCATCGACCTTGTCGGCGACATCGAACATCAATACCGAAATCTCCTTGGTAGAGCAACTTCACCTTCACCACCAAGCGCGGTGCATTGCACCAACCGTACAATCCCGACATCATGGCCTACTCCTTTCTGACCCGGCACCTTCCCCGGCACATTCAGGACCACAACGAGGCCAACACCACGTTGGAACTTCACTGGGCATACCCGGACAGAGTTCTACCATGCACAAAAGACGCTGGCACCTGCGAGTACCTCGCCGCCGTCTACTGGATGCACGATACCTCGATGTTGTACACCTTCATCATGTGGGGAGTGATTCTCGGTGTATTCGCGCTTTGGGGCGGTCTCCGACTCGCCAGGTATACGGAAGATAGAAAGCGCGCGATCACAGGCGCACCCAAGCCGGTATCGACGTCGCCATCGATCCTTGCGCGTTCGAGGGAACTGCGGAGGAGGTTTCTCCTGGTCGAAGCTCCTTTGCCAATGCTGTTCGGTAGGACTTCAAGGCTACAGTTGGCGCTGCTGGCGGTCATTTCGATCTACTTGACCATCTTCACGTGAGTTCCATGTCCATCTCATGAGTTGCATGTTTCGGGCCGCTGACGTGTTTTGATTTCCTTCGACAGATTGGTCGGTATCACATACAAGGAATGGTATACGCCCATCAAGGGAAGCACTCTTACCAACTACCGAAGTGGTCTGGGTGGTTGGTCTGATCGAATAGGTGCTTTGGCCTACGCGTTGACGCCGTTTGCTGTTATGCTGGGAATGCGTGAGAGTGTACTCTCCGTGGTGACCGGAATTCCTCGTAAGTATTGTCAACGAACACTCTTACTGCAGTGCCATATTAGCGCAGTCGACTGACCACGCGGTCCTCAGACCAACATTTTCTCTTCCTCCACCGTTGGCTCGGCCGCATCATCTTCATTCAAGGCTTCCTACATACCCTGGGCTGGACGCTCATCGAGGGATTGTTCTACAAACCTCAGCCGGACATCTTCGCCAAGTTCATGATACAGACCTACGCCATCATGGGTGTCATCGCCATGTTCCTGATCACGCTGATGCTCTTGCTCAGCACCAAGACTGCAATTCGATGGTTCGGTTACGAATTTTTCAAGATCACGCATTGGCTCATTGCATTACTATATCTCGGCGCTTGTTGGGGCCACTGGTACCAATTGGCATGCTGGATGATTCCCGGCATCGCTTTGATGTTCATCGATCAGGGGTTGCGATTCTTGAGTATGGCGATTTTGCACACCTCATCAAAATCTGGCGGTCTTGGTAAGCGCTTCTCACGACGTGTGATGATTAAGCACATATCGCTGACTTTCCATTCACAGCTCCCGCCTTCAAGGCTGCCGATGCCCAGATCACTACCTTTGGCGAAGAGGAGGATGTCATGGTCCGCCTCGACTTCGCCATGAACCACCAGCAAGCGTGGTCTGCTGGTCAACATTTCTTCCTAACCTTCCCCAGCCTCAGTCTGGTGCAGACTCACCCTTTCACTGTCTCTTCATTGGCCTCCGAAAACCCACACAAACCTCATCATCACATGTACTTGCTCCGCGTCCGCAAAGGTCAAACGAAGCAAATCGCCGCCGTTCAGACTCCCACAATCTCTACCATCCTAGCGGGACCCTACGGCACTGCCTTCCCGCACCAGGACACCCGCCACATCCTTGCCGTTGCCGGAGGCAGCGGTGTCTCCTTCACGCTCCCCATTGTTCAAGAATCACTTCTTCGTCCTTCCAGCGGCGTGATCGACTTCGTCTGGATCGTCCGGAACAAGCGTGATCTGCTCTGGATCGCCGACGAGCTCGCACAACTCAAGCGTGCGCTCTCCCGAAACCTCGGTCTGCGCATCGCCATCTATGTCACCCGGGACGTCCTACATAGCGAAAAGCCCGTCGCGCCCGGGAGTGCGGCCGTGCCCGCGGTGATCGAATCGTCATCGTCGGACAGCGACAGCGCAGCGGAGAAGCCTACGCTCACTCCTCGAGTGCAAGAATTGACACCGGCGCAGAGACAACAGCGTCTGGACGAGCTGATCCTCGCGCCTTCGGGACAAAAGGGCGGTGAGGCATCACGATTCAGCATCGACTTTTTGAGCAACCATCATCCCGATCTTTCGGAGATTGTGGCGAAATTCAGAGAACGTGCTGCGGGTGCTGGAGGCATCGAGGACGATGCGGAGATCGTCGGCAGTGGACCTGAGGACATGGGTGCTGATTTACGAAAGGCGGCCGCGGCTGGCAACGGTGTTAGCATCGGAGAGCGATTCCATTGGGATGCGCGAGAGTAGTTTGAAAACTTTGCATATTTTCACGGCGCTCTATGAAATGAATTCGCATTCTACCACGCATCTGCTTTAGTGAAAAAGCATGCAATATCCGTTCGGAAAAGACGAGGTAATTCTCTTACTTCAATAGATGGCAGATCGAAACTTTGAAGTCGCGATGCTCAGCTACTCGATGAGGTTGATTATTCCTTTCTTGCTTATCGTGTCGATCGGCTCGATGCTCATGTCGTATGATAGTCGTCCCATGGATATAAGGCATTGGTGTCAGTACTCAGACTCAGCCTTCGGTCATGAGCACCGCAATCTTCCAGAAGTCCAGCAGACATCAAGTGAATCTCGTTCTTGGCACTTGCGGTTGAATATACTAGCAGCATTGTTCCTGTTGATTCATCCTTGAAAATGACAATGACAGTCTCTTATATTCGGCAGGTCTATTCCAATGCAAGGAAACACGAAAGAGGAAATGTACCTAGGTAGAATCGCAAATCCTGGGTCGTTGGCATAGTATCCTACCTAGGTACCTGGGCGAGCAAATCCCATAACATTGTTCAACCCCAACCCTAAGTAGATCCAACGGGCGGCAGGCGCTTTTGTTCGGAGCCACTCTGATAAATGTCTGATTGAACAGTGCAGGTTTGCTTTGAAAGATACAGGTGCCCAGCGGTAATGCAGTCCTGCACTTTCGTTGGATGCGACTCATTTCGCCGAGTCTGATTCAAGGCGATCTGCAACTCTCGCTGTCATTTAAGGAGATGTTCTCACCCTTTCTGACCCAGCCGTGAGTATTTAGGTAGTTCTTCAACACGCTGGAGTCTATCTAGGCCTTGACCTAAGTGCCCATCCAGTGCCTTTAAATGGCAGATCTTCGGCCGGCTTTTCTTCATGCGCAAGCCGTGTGTGTAGGAGCCTATAGTTGCGACGCAGCCGGACCAGGCATGAATGCAGCCTGTCGACGGCGCTGTCGTCGAGTCCAGACCTGATGCACGGAATTGGCCGCACGCCGTCGTTGTGACGGTGGTGAATTGTACATGTGTGGATACTGTAGATCTGGTTTGTGCGTCATGTCGCGAACAGAGCGGGAGAAACGTAAAGGGCACCAAAATAGTGCTGTGGCTCGTTTCGTACCAGATATCCCGTGCGTGCGTGCACAGCTAAATATGGCTTGCTCCGGGATGATGTATGGGAACATAGGAATGGTCGGTCTCCCATACATGCGTGAGCTTTTATTCGAGGAGATTATCCCAAGGAGAGAGGGAGCGCATTATACTGTCGAAACTTGCGAATCTGTGTCTTCATATCTCTCTCACACATGTACCGGCGAACTGCATGGAGTAGCGCTGTGTGACTGACGACATCTCAACCGCGGACACGGCCTGGGGTTTCCTTCTTCGCCCCAACGCCATCCACCACCACCACTGCCGCCGCACGCGACACACATGCAAACACACCCACGCTCACCCATCACGACTTCCGCATCCGATCATTCCACCACCAGAACAGACTTTCTCTTCGTCACCGTCCGCCGTCCGTGTCGCCTGTCCCAGCACCGCTCATCTCTTCCAGGCTTGTGCGCGTTTGTTCGCCGCTCGGACCGCTTCTACAAACGGCGCTCACCCGACTCGAAACGTCCTCTGTCGCCGAACACAGCATCATAATCATCACGCGCGTCGCCAAACCACGCGCGCGCTGAGATCACTGTCGTCCGATCCGCATCCGACGTGATCCATCCTAGCCGATGCGCTGACTGAGTGCGCGCGCGCCAGCAGTGCCCAGCGTCCTGCCGACCGGGCGACGGCCATGGCAGCGGCGCCGGTAGATGACCGCAAACGCGTCAAGGTGTACGAGCTGCGGCAGACGGACTGGTATGATCGCGGGACGGGTTTCTGTGTCGGCGAGATTGTCGGAGGACCTGACGCCAACCCGGATTGTCCGGACGCGCGCATCGTCGTCCACAGCGAGGAACGCCCCGGCCAGAAAATCCTCGAAACGCGCATCACAAAGGACGACGGCTACCAACAGCAGCAGCAGACCCTCATCGTGTGGACCGAGGCCGATGGCGTGGATATGGCCCTCAGCTTCCAGGAAGCTGAAGGCTGCACCACCATTTGGCAGTTCGTGAGCGAAGTGCAGTCAAAACTCAGCTTGTTTGCGCCCGAGGGAGGTTTATCGGATGATGACATGCTGGATACTCTGCCACTGCCAATAGCTCTACCGAAGCCTCAGCTTGGGCGCTTAGAGGAAGTGGTCGCGACGATACGCAATGTTTCGGGAACCCCATCTGGACGTGAAGCGCTCGTCAAGTTCATCATGAACCCGGACTCGCCGTACATTGATAGACTCGCACCACTTGTCGAGGATGCCGAGGATCTCGAGTCAGTCCATGATCTACACCAGCTTTGCAATATCATGAAGCACCTCATTCTACTCAATGATAATTCCATCATTGAGTATGTGGTAACGGACAACGTGATCATGGGCGTGCTCGGCGCACTGGAGTGTGAGTGGACTATGGCGAGCCTCGAGTACTGCCGCGAACACGGTACTGACACTACAGACAGATGATCCTGACTTCCCCTCACATCGCGCGGCGCATCGCCAGTTCCTCCGAGAAACCTCGAAATTCAAAGAGGTTGTCAAATTTAAGGATCCTGAAATCCGCAACAAAATCCAATACACGCATCGCCTCCTGTATCTCAAAGATGTCGTGCTGGCGCGCATCCTCGACGACCCCACGTTTTCGGTTCTCAACTCGCTCATATTCTTCCATCACGTGGACATCATTCAGTACATCACATCGGATTCCGAGCACTGTGAGAAGCTTTTCGCCATCATAAAGGACGAGGAAGAGTCGGCGGAGAACAAGAAGATTGCCGTGCTCTTCATTCAGAATTGCTGCGCTGTTGCTAAGAACATTCAACCAGCCAATCGCGAAAAGCTTTACACGACATTAATAAGCCATGGGCTATTCTCGGTGGTCAGCTTCGCTCTACGACACCACGATGCGAGCGTGCGAGTCGCGGGAACCGATGTCCTCGTATCACTGATCGATAGCGACCCCAATACGGTACGGAACCACATGATTGAAGAAGGCAATCGCAAGGATGGCTCCTTGATGGACACTTTGATTGAGCTTCTCTTGGTCGAGGTTGACCTGGGCGTGAAAAGCCAGATGGCGGATGCGATCAAAATTCTACTCGACCCGACGCTGACCCACGCAGCCTTGGAGAGCATGCACCGACACCAACCCGAAGGGAACAAGCGCGGAAGCATGGTCAATTGGCAACAGCAACAGCATGCGGAGTTTAACAGGATCCTCAAAATCGTTGTCACCCAATTCTACGCCGACGGGGTGCAGAAATTGTTTCAGCCACTTAATGATCTTGAACATCGCGAGGACATGAACTCGCTCACGGTGCAGGAACTCAATCTCTACACTCACCTTGTGGAGATCCTCTGTTTCTTCGCGCGCCAGCACAACTATGATTTGACTGCATATGTCCGGTCGGAGAACATGCATGCGAAGATTGCGCGTCTTCTCCGTTCTCGCAAGAAGTACATGAGACTCGTGGCGCTGAAATGGTTCCGCACTTGTATTGGCTTGCAAGACGCGACCCACCGAGATGAGATGATGCGGGAGCAGTTGTTCGAGCCGATCCTCGATATTGTCTATGAGACCATGCCGCGGGATAACTTGCTCAATAGCGCTTGCCTGGAAATCTTCGACTTCATTCGGGCACAGAACATTCGACCTCTAGTAAAGCATCTCGGAAGCTTGTATCGGGATCGTCTGCACGCGATCACCTACGTCCCGACATTCCGGGCCTTGCTTGCGCAATATGAGGAGAACGTTCGATCAGCACGGATCCTGGAGGCGGACAACAGTTTCACGACTGAGCCGGATACTCCACCTCTCAACACGATGCTTCCAAGTCTCCCAAGTAGACGTGAAATGTACGAGTCATTAACAGGAAAACCCGCGAATGAGGCGGATTTCCCTGACGATGACGACGACTTTGACGGAGATATGATTGATGATGATGAAAGCGCCTTGCCAACTGCACCGATTCTCAAATCCCACCCACCAAACGGACATGTCAACTCGAAGGGACCTCTGGTGGATTACCCTGACGATGATGACGACGACGACGAAGATGACGACGATCGCGGCCGCTACGTTGACATCCTTGCCAGCTCCCCTGATCCACAGCGCGAGAAGAAGAGCAGCGACGACACCAACACCTCCGATATGTCCAGGTTGGAAGATTCACCCGACAACGACCTTCGCGGCCGGAAACGCTCGGTCACGCCCCGCAGCAGCGACGACTGCGCCCGCCCGAATCGCACTTCTCAAACACCCTCGAAGCGCCGCCGCAGCGACGCCGAAGATGAAGACGACGAACTCGGCAAACTCATGACTCGCGCCAAACGCCGCAACAGCTCCGCTTCAACCACACCCAACACCAGTCAATCTCAACACAACAACCGCTCGCCACCATCTAGACCGGACGGCTCGGATCCCGACCTCCATCGCGAGGATTCCGGAAGTCAATCCCCAACCCTCCCCGCCGATTCGCCCACCCAAGACACAATGCAGCCCAGTCCCGGACACGGCCACACGCTTCGGCGTAAAGGCAGCCTGAAGACGAAAAACGAGACTGCCGCCACGAACGGCAAAATGTCGATCAAATTGAGCCTGGGCGGATCAAAAGGGCATCACAAAAATTCTCATCATAAGAATTCTTCATCAGGAAGGACAACCAGTAATGAGGAGCAGCAAAATTCTGCAGGTGAAGCGGACGGATGACGCGGGCATTGCAATGGAGGCAAAATTAACATGATGATTGATGAATTGGAATTGTTATGGCTTTCGAAAGGGAGAAGGGGGGCATTTATCACAAGAGCGGATTTTGTCTGCCGTTTTACTTCTCCTCCCTCTTTATTACTTCGGGATTCGCTCTGCCGCAACTCATTTCTATCAGGGAAAATTTATACCACTGCTCTATGATTGAGCAGCTTTTTCTTCATTCCTGTCTTCCTCGTTTCGTGCTTGTCACCGTGTTGTTGTGCCCGGATTTGTCGCCTTCCCCTGCGTGAGCGAAATGCACATGAGTGGCCGTGCACGCATGAGCTCCCCCCTTTCCTCTTCCAATCCACCCGTCTCCCTCTCAAAAGGGCCTGTTGCCGAAAAAAACATCCAAGCCCCTTTAAATCAGAGAACGTCCAAGAGTGCAGAGCCCACAGCAAAAGCCACTTTTGTTTTCTAGAACTCGGCTTCACCTCATTCTCCTCCATCCGAGATCCGGAGTGGGTGCTGATTCCATCCCTTTAATTCTCCCGTTCTGACTTTTCCCGAGCGCGTCGAAGAAAAAGCGCCCCATCAATCGTAGGGTAGATTCTCTTTTCCGAAACAGTTCGAACCAAAAGTTCATTGATTCCTCAGTACACGTCTGTTGTGGGAGCGGCTTGATAGGTTACTTGCGTCGTGAAACAGCTCAGATGAGAACTCTCACCCTCCGCACACGGAGGGTTGATGCGTCTGACGTGAAAGTATCTAGTGGAGGTGTCTACACTTCCAAGAAGAAAACCTTTCGTTCTATCTGTGCTCATTAAGGGCAGGGCTCCGCAAAGTCCGTGGCTCTAAGCTATATCGTCATCATCTATGTTTCCAGAGTAAACTTCCTGGCTTTCAAATGCTAGACCTTGGTGTGCGCCGCCTCGCCGTTTCTGAACGACTGCGGGACGAAGAGAAGAGCCATTAGCAGGCCAGCCTGTAAGGAGACCTCCAGAATGGCTTCCACGTATGAAAAAGCGTAGTACGAGTTGTAATAATCAGGGTTTTCATAATAACCACCGCCGAAGAGGTCTTGATAGAATTTCGCTGACCATGAGGTTGAGGTGGTGGCGAGAATAGTGATGAATAGCAGCTGAACCAAGGCGAAACGAAGTGGCCACTGAATATATATTGCGTCAGCATTTCAGTGTAACCGTCAGGTATAAAGCAGGCGGCGGGGATATCGACAATGTCGGAGACCACTCACGTTACGTGACTGTATGCTGACGGCGAGGATCGCCAAGACTGACACAAGGTACAGCGCAAAGAAGGCCACACCGATGTAAATTTTGCGCGGGAGCCAATAAGCCTGGCCCTCTGCACTAGCCTGAAAATCTTCACTGGAATCGGTGCCGCGTAAGGGCGTGATGACATCGACGAAATGGCCTTCGAGGCCGAACGTGGTGACAGTAAGCGCAGCCAGGAGTACAGACACGACGATGAGGAAGATCTTGAGGAAGCGACGACGTCCGGGACTGTCGGCCACGGCGATTGCGAGCAGAGTCACTGCGATCAAGGTCGCGATCCGAAATATGTAATCGAAGCCAACCGCGAAAACTACCAGAATTTGAATCGGTCGATACGTCGCGGTGAAGCCTGCTTCATCATTGTAGAAAACCCGCTGCACCAACGCTTGCCGGGCTTCTAAGCCTATGAAGAGGGCGAAAGATCTGCGTGCGGATGAATCAGTAATTCGTTCTTGTTTTGCATTGCTGACAATGCTATATATCTCGGCGAGAGCGGACTTACGCCAATGTCGTTAAGACGGCCAAATTGTATGCGACCAGTGTAGAACGTCGGATGCCCCTCCACTTTCGGAGAAAACATGATGCCAGTGCGCAACCGAGAATCGCCGGTAGGATAATACAGTGTACGACGAAGAGCGCCTCGTTATAGCTGTCCTAGATGTTTGTCGCAGACCGTTAGCGCGAGAGCTTGCCAGCACGATGGGGTCTGCGATGCCGACAGACAACCTTACCTGGAAATTGAGGCGCATGTTTGCAAAGGATCAGCTGCCTGAGTGTAATGACGCGCGGAACGATACAGTACAATGTCAAGAGACCGAGATATGTAGATCCGAATAGAAACAGAGGATTGGCACCGACCACACCTGCCACCGAGTGGGCATGACCGTCAATATAAGCATTTCTGTATATACATCACCGCTTCAGCAAGCCTGTCTTATCCGAGGCTTGCTCACGGGGTAGGCATATATTTCGTGCATGAAAGCCGCACGCATTCCGACCAAAATGGCTGGGGTGTAGCAGTAATTACAGTACGGCACAGTTATACTTACGACGGACGCACAGCACGGATTGGCCGCTTCATCAGGATCAGGCGAAGTTAGAGGCGCCCGATAATCTCACTCCTGCAAGCCACGCGACTCTTGTGCGACCAACGACGCGATGCTCCGAGGCGTGCAGATGTATGTGTGACTCACTGTGAATGGTGCTAACAATCGAGAAATCCAACATTTGATGAGATCTCTTGGTCGCAGTATGGTGCAGAATTTTTTGATTGTCGGCAATGGCAAGTGATGTTGCCTCATGCTTATATTGTGGTGTGGTGGCACAGGGCCTAATCAAGGACAAAATGCCCCGAAAGCTCAACAGATACGGTAGAAACCCCAGATCTGCAGTGTACATCGAGGTTTTACGTATATGTCCCGTTTCTGACGAGTAATGACTCTCCGTAGCGCATGCGCTAGCTATGGGAAGATCGGCCTCCACATGCTTCGTACATTGATCGCATGCCAATTGTCCTCAAAATGGATCTTTAAAATGAGGAGTGCAGGCGCAGGATGAGCGAGGCAATTTGTGGCCGATAATGTCACGGAAACAAGCAGCAAAGACAGCAGTGCAGTAAGCCGCGCGCCTTTCAAAGGAACAATGAGTATGCAATTCAAAGATTCAGACGCAACACAATACAAGCAACTACATAATCGTCAGAACGTTACTCTTCTCACATTCATTCACACCACTGCTTCCGTCATCAAATCTCAGGACAACTCCGTTTATGCATTCGTGACTTCGTTCTTGGGACGAGTCGTCTGATGACCATTCTGACGCGACTCTGCACCGAAAAACAAAGCCACAAGGGCGCCGGTCTGCAGGATGACCTCCAAGATGATGGCGACAGCGGCGAAACTCTCGAAAGTGTTGTAATCCCGACCCGAATAACGTCCATTGTTGACAGTTTTGATGAGGTTTGTCAAATAGTCCACGAATCCCGAATTAGAGGCGAGTGCGAGAATGGCGAGCATCACCAGCTGGATGGAGGCGGCGACGGCTGGCGACTGTATGTTCGGCGTGGATTAGCTTATGAGCACAAATGGACTTAGTATCGGGGTGTCTTCACTTACGCTGCGGCTAAAAATCGATATGATCGTGACTGCAATCATCGCCAGCAGATAGATCACGTAGAAAGCAGCTCCAGTGCCGAAGGAGCGTAGTAGCCAGTTGTAGTTGTCCAAAAGACCATATGCGGACGATGGATGGAGTGCGAGGTCACTGTAGCGACCGTAGAAGGCGATGTTGAGAATGAGAAGGAGGATCAAGATCGCCACAATCGCGATTCGGAAAAGGTGTAAGAATGAGCGGCGCCCGGAGGATGAGGTGAGCACAAGCGCGATCTGAGTGACGGCGCCGAAAATCGCGATCTTGGAGATGAGATCAAACGCCAGGACAAAGACATCGAAGATGATCAGCGGCCGGAAGTAGTTGGCGAGTCCATTCCTCGAAGCGCGTAAAGGAGCGGCTGCTACACGTCCTTCGTAGGCAATGTAAAAGACTACAGATCTGGTTGGGTGGACTGTCAGCTCCTTGATTCCACCACTGGCACATCGAAGCCATTGTCCACGAAGCAGATTGTTGTACGTACATGAGGAACGTCACAACGGCAAGGTTGTAAGTGACCCGCAAGGAGCGATCAGCGCCCTTCCAGGAGCGAAGCAGACATGAAGCTAGTCCACATCCAATGATAACCGGCAGCACGAGGAAGCGAATGATGAATTCCGCCAGTGCATAATTGGACTGTCGCAAGCAGTCAGATTGTTAGTGTTGATTCGACGAGAAGAGACGCAAAGTCCAGAGACGTACGCCAAAATTCAACCCAGCCATGTTTGCTGATCAGGAATCGAGAAGAGGCTTGGTGAGGTATTCGTTTCCTTGGGGGTATAAAGAGATACTAAGATGAGTGTGCGATGCGACTGGGAAAAAGCAGTTCTTTAGTCGGGCTTCATCGCGAATATATGTATCTTATGCGATACATGGATGAAGCTGCTTTACGCCCATGTGATGTACAGCCACTCTGGTTGTATATCGGCCATGCAGGTGCGGCTTGTCAATTTAACACGGCGACGGAAAACAATACCGAAATGGGCTTGTGATCACCGGTCAGAGAAGGAGGCTGAGGGAAACCATCGAGAGGCCGCCCAAAAACAATACGGGAATTCTGTAAGCACCACACATACTTCTGTTGCGATGACAGCATTTTGCCAAGCGATAATAGATAGGTACAGCCTCATGTATGGGCGGCCCGATGAGAATGCGATGTCGATCTACGTCCCGCGCCTTGCTAAAACCATGATGATCTGCACTGGGGGGACGGGCCACTTGTTGTTGTGTACAGCCCTGTGGAGGAAACTACAAGATAAATTACCACGCCCAGAAAACGCCCAGAGATCACGGGAGCCACAAGAGGAAACCTTTACCGGCATTAAAGTACTGAATGGATAATAAAAATAGCATAAACGTCATATGCACAGGATGCATACAGGACAAGTTGACCTCGAGAAATTTAGCCGCGTGATACTTTCTCCGTTGATCAGCGTTATTGGACCGTTGCGAACCATGAATTTATGAAGTCGGTGGTTTGCCTCCGCATTTTTCATCTGTGGGAGATGCTGGTGGAAGGACAGATCGTTCATCTCTCGAGGCAGTCTCATGACCAAACGATACATGAAATAAAACAAACCAATAACGCATGCCGGCGGACCACGATGCCGCGGAAAAGGAAACATAACGCGATGTCAAAAAAACTGCAGCGAGATGGGCAATAAGCAGCGATCGACGTATGGCCCGTCGCTCGTCGGGAAGGACATTGCAGTAGCGTTTCTAAGACGAGATATGACGTGACGCCATCAGAAACCTCATCAGCGTCGCATGACATGGCTCTGAAAAGCTTCATGCTAATGTTGACCGCGCCTGAACATCGGATTTCATGGCATGTCAACTTTGCTCTCGCCAGTCATACGAGCGGGAATCCACGATCGCGTCATCTCCACCAACGTGTAGAATGCCATCAAGCTTCACGACTACCGCACCATTATCGGACCGAAAACCATTTGAATCATCGCGAGATCCCGCGAATCACTGTCCGTCCTAGAGTGAAAGGCATGTCGATGCGGTACCCTGAGACTTCGGCACGCGACAATCAAAGATGCCACGAGGACTAGTTGAATGTGTCAAAAGATCTTCGTTGAGGAGGTCGCCGTCATGGCTGCGGCGACAAGGATTCATTCCCGTGGAGAACCATGAAAGTAAGTCAGTGCACCAGAAAAAAAAACAAAGTGGTAAATACAAAAAAGAGAGCTCCACGCTTCGTTAGGAAATACTTCTCGAAATGCCACCCACTTATTCGATAGAAAGAACATTGTCATCACGTCGTTATCATTGTCGATGCCACTTCTGATCCGCCTGGAACGGCGGCGACGGATGCGAATGATCATACACGTGAGCAGGCAACTCGACTGGCGCCTGGATCTGCTTGCCACCCAGTTCCGTGATGGGTTCATGTGAGGACATCTCGTAGAATGTGCTGTTTGGTGCCTCGGAGGGGTTTCGAGTATGGAGGAGAGCGGAGTTGCCCTCCGTCATCGCCGAGCCGCTGCGCAGTGCATTTTCCGAGGAGCCCTGGCGTTGTCGCCGCCGACGAAGGAAGAATACCACGAGGAGACCGATGATAATGCAGGCAATAGCGCCGATGACAATGCCGACAATGGCGCCGGCGCTGATGGCGGACTTGCTATCTGAGCTGGAGCTGGCCGGGACAGACGAGGAGTTGGGGTTGGAGTTCGAGGTGGCACCGCTCAAAGGAGTAGCTGTGGGCGCGGCGGATGGACTGTAGGCTCCGGCTGCGACTTTGTCCGCGCGCAAGCAATTGACGACGGTAGTAGAAACTGGCAGGATCGCCGGGCGGCTGGCGTCTGCAATCGGCATGAATGTCGTCAAGAGCGCAGTGACCCACCATGAGGAGAGCGTGTAAGAAAGAACATCTGCAGCGCCGAATTCTGTGAACATGAGGCTGCCATATTTGGTCTGACATTGCGAGTTGGAGACAAGAGATCGCGAGCCAGTGAGTGCTGTATCGTTGAAGAAAGCCACAAAGTCAGAATTTCCATACCAGAACGTAAAGGAATTGTGGGAAGTGGACCTACCTCCACCAATGTACGGCGAGCCTGCAACAAGGCTCCCTGTTCCATTGAAAAATGGCGCGCAAGAGGATGGAAAATTTATGTTCACTATCGAGGCGATCTGATTGCAGACGCCCGGCAATGAAGTCGCGTTCAGATTGCTGTAAGGGCCCGAATTAGGAAGAATGAAGAGCAGCTCATGGGATGCAGATTCTGTAGCCTTTTTGAGGTCGGCAATACAGCTAGCATCTAGCGTCGACGAGCAGTCGCCTGGGTCGTTCTGTCCTCGGAAGAATGTATTTGGCAGGAATGGCAGCATCCAGAAATAACACGCATCCCATCCTAATGCGAAGTTGTTGGTGTAATTCGCACCATGAGTGTCGAACCACAAGGATAATTCCGTGCGAGAGGCTTGTGATGCCGAGACTGGAGGCTGATATACTGTCGCTCGCCATGTCACAGGCGTGAAAGAAAGATTTCCTGCAGCGTTTCCACCCTGAAGGAGAGCGGGCGCGAGAGTGACTTCACCCGACTGAAGCAAAACCGCCGCCGCCGTCAGTAATTTGTTGACCAAATCTGAGGAAAGAACAAGACGTCCTCAAGATTCACTTACAACGTTTGCAGCGCCAGCGGAAGCCTCGCATAATCTTGGAGTTCCAAAAGTCGCGTTCGACGTCCCTGGCTGACCAGCATTGCCATTTAGAACTTGTGCAGTCGCACGCGAGCACAGCAATGTTGCGAGAAGGAGTAGCGTCGCGGAAGTCATGTTGAGTCGATCACTGAAACACCCAGCGAGTGGCCAACGATTGCAGCTTGATGTCAATGGCCGGACACTGTGTCTTGAGATCTAGACGGTAGACTGACGAGGGAAGTACAGTGTACTGAGAAAGACGTGATGGTACGAGTGGAGGCGAAGTTATGTCGGCAACGATGGCGGCAACGACGGACCGAGTGTGACGGATTTCTTCTGGCCTGATGGAAGCACCATCACATCAGCAGCACGACCTTCGCCCCGCGGGTGAAGGCAGAGACAAATGCCAGACTGTTGGTGGATCATTTCGATATGGTTAAACTTTGCGTAAGTGTGCCAGGGCGATCTCGCATTGGAGTAAAGCCGGCGCGTGCTCGCTTTGGCCTTTGTAAGTATACATCGCCGCGATACCAGACATGGGATAGCGTGCTGGCCGATAATCTTACAGCATGAAGTGGCGTGCCCAGGTGGTGCTACAGAGACCACCCGTAACCAGCCCTCTGTGCCTCGTCACAGCGAATGCCCACGCATCGCGCAAGGCCTCTAGGATCAATATAAGACTGGTTCACCGTCTGGCGATGCCTCCGCCGTATTCTTGTATGTAATGAACTCGTCGACCTCTCATATTTGTCCAAGTTGTAGATCACCATGCCGAGGTCCGATCAGGTTTAGGTAGGGCCGTAGCATTGACAGCCGCACTAGCTCGGGGAATCCCTTACCTTCAAAGTTTGAAACTTGATAACTGCTTGGCACGAACACGTGCTGGTGGTTATTCGGATGCATGTAGCCGCCGCGACCATCTCGAGGACTGTCCTGCAAGGTGAGGTTGTTGCTCACGATACGATTCGACTTTTCTTCAAACGATTCCTGTCCGAACCGGCGCGCGTGCTCGTGGACGATACCAACAAGGCCTCCTCCACCGCTAACTGTGGGATTTTCGCTTAGGTGTCAAGGGTCGCGACGTTGAAGCCGGCCCGCCTATTGAAGGGGCGACTCTCATCCCGAATTCGCTAGACTGTGTAAGCCTGTCCTTGGTGCCAACGGTGAGCTTTTTGAGATCTCTGAGTGGTCATTGTTTGGGGGTCCTTGTTCAGCATCCGGGCATCCTGGCACGTCGTTGAATGCCCGAGATCAAGGCAAATGTTGGGTCTGCGATTTTCTTCCCTTTTTGTAGAATGCGGGAGCATTTAACAGTATACTGTACATCGGGAAGTGAATGAGATTCTGGAGACAGATGATGCGCTTGCATGTCACGTGTGATCGCGTTGAAACTGTGCACGTGCCAGAAAGCAGAAGACTGTGCACAGTACTGTGGCACTATTCTTGTTGTAAGTCGTCCGCCTCTCGCAGCTCAATTCTCTGCGATATCCGGGTTGTTCAATACAGTACAGTGTATAATGTACATAGCTTGAAAGAGCGACATGGACCAAAGGACAATCCGTCACCCGTAAGAATATCGTCGTCGTCAAAATGAGAAGAGAACTTTTTGATTAATCGAGTGGCGTGGACTCCAACCTCTGAAACCACCAGGCTCCAGCATGGATCGTAACACGTTAACATTGAAAAAGACGAAACAAGACGCAAATCCCCAACACCATCCTATGCAGTTTCTTTCGATCGGTCCTGGTCTAGCGACTGCGCCAGACACATGGCATAATACCTTCCTCTGAGCGCCTGAAGCTCCTCATGCGTACCGACCTCAGCGATGCGACCGTCCGCCAACACAAAGATAACATCCGCATGGCGAATGGTCGATAGACGATGTGCCACCGCGATTGTGGTTCGGGTGGCGGCTGCTTCGTCCAGCGCTTTCTGGACGATCCGCTCACTCTGGGTGTCGAGCGCGGATGTTGCTTCGTCAAGCAATAGCAAGCGAGGTTTTCGGATGAGAGCGCGTGCTACGGCGATGCGCTGGCGTTGTCCGCCTGAAAATTGAAGCCCCTTCATGCCGCATTGGGTCTCGAGACCTTCGGGTAGCGAAGAAACAAACTCCCAGGCATTTGACTGTCGGCAAGCTTGCTGAATCTCTTCGTCTGTCGGCTCATGATCTAGGCCAAGGGTGATGTTCGCTCGGACCGTATTTTGATAAAGTGGTGGCTCTTGTTGCACGAGGGACATGTGTTGACGGTATAGATGTGGTGAATATTTCTTGATATCGGTGCCATTCAGCAAGATCTCGCCACTCGTGGGATCGTAGAAACGCTCGAGAAGGGCGACCAAAGTGCTCTTGCCGCACCCTGACGGTCCAACGAAGGCGGCGTACGAACCTGCTTTGATCTGTGATGTATTGTCAGCGTGATTAAGCTTGTCAGATCGACAACCCGGCTGCGCTTACCTTCATGTCGATGCCTCGTAGCACCTTGGCCGAATGACGCTGTCTGTATCGAAACTCGACGTTGTCCAAAGAAATAGGACCATCGCCAGACGGTCCATTGCCTTTGTTCTCCGGCGTCTCGCCAATCCTTGGAATAATTGTGCGAAGCCACAGGATATAGTTTGTGGCCGTCTTGGCCTTTGTGATAGAAGTTGTGTGACCAAAGAACTCCCCTGCTGCCTGGCCGCCAAAGATGACAGCGATGAAGATCGTGAAGAACTGGCTCGTCGTGTATGTGCCGTCGATCAGGAGTCGGGAACCGTACCAGAAACCGAGGGCTTGAATACAAAACTCGAGACACTGAGACAAGGCGTATGGGATGAGTGTGAGACTCAGACCTCTGACTGCGTTCGTCAAGATGCCATCGAGCGATTCCGCGTACTCTTTGAGGATCGACTCTTCCAGAGTGAGTGAAGCAACGGTTCGAATTGAAGTAACGGCTTCTGTGGCCAAGCCGGCACTATCTGCGAAGCGCTGGTCGGTCTTCTGCTGCATTTTCTGCTCGAGATGGATACGCAAAAAGCCCGATGCGATAAGAATGGGCATGCCGCCGAAGACGATGACGAGACCCAGTTTCCAGCCATAAGCAATGCCAAGAGTACTGGACGCAATGACGTTCACAACTACCACCATGAGAATGATGGAGTTTCCGGCCAGTATTTCCATTAGTGCAGCAGGCTGTGATGACAGTTTCGATGTGAGTGCTCCAGATGAATTCTCTGGCCGATCGAAGAAGTCCTGATCGAAATCTAGGATTCTTTCGAACATTTCACTCCTGTACCGGCTGGTGACGACTTGACCGACCTCGTTAGACAGGTAGCCAATACCAAAGTAAGCTATGCCGCTGGAAATTGCAAGTACGAAGAACATCAGGGCCCAAAAGTCAGCCGAAGCTCGACCTTCGTCTCCGGCCAGAGTAAAAGTGTTGATGAGGCGGGAAAACAAGACGGCCTGCACCGGAAACTGAGCGCCAGCGAGGAGAGAGGTCAACGCTGCCCCGATATAGTAGGGATACAGCTGCTTTTGTTCGGACAGCATGATGATGATGCATCGCAGAAGCGAATAACCCGCTGACTCACGGGTGAGTTGCTTGATTTCCGCGTCCATAACTGTCGATCCTGTCTCCGTCTGAGTCCGCTGCAAGGTCAGTCGGTCTGGAGCTGTGGAGATTCCCGGCTCATCCTCGGAGTCAGATTCGTAGTCGGACTTGCCCGAATCACCAAGGTCTTGGGACAGGACCATGCTAGCATATTGTCCTCCTTGTGTAATCAACTCTTGGTGTGTACCTTGCTCGACGACTTCGCCGTAAGAGATGACTGCGATGTTATGCGCTTTCTGAATTGTGGCGAGCTTATGCGCGATGATCAAGGTGGTCTTGTTCGCAGAAACCTTGTTCAAGGCGTCTTGGACAACCCTTTCTGCGCGTGGATCCAGCGCACTTGTGGCTTCATCCATCAGCAGGATTTTTGGATCGGATATGATGCTTCGGGCGATGGCAATTCGTTGCTTTTGACCACCGCTGAGCATGGATGCTCTCTCTCCGACTTGGGTATGGTAACCTTCAGGCAGTTCAACGATGAAGTCGTGCGCGTTGGACGATTTGCATGCTTCGATCACTAGTTCCATCTGTTTCTCTGTCGACAAATCCTGTTGACTCCCTACCAAACCTTTGATCACGTTCTGGAACACTGTTCCGCTGAACAGGACGGGTTCCTGCTGCACAAGCCGAATATGACTACGCAACCACTTTGTGTTGTATTGGGAGATGTCGACGCCATCGAGGAGGATCTGTCCTGAGCTGGGCTGGTACCATTTCTCCAATAACCCGACAAGCGTGGATTTTCCGCATCCACTAGCTCCAACCAAAGCGGTCGTCTTGCCGGCGGGAATATGCAGCGAGAGATGCTTGATCACAGGTGCAGAGGGCCGTGACGGGTAAGCGAAGGTGAGATTCTTGATCTCAATCTCGCCGACACAAGACGTTGGCTTTTGACCAGATGGATCAAGGGGATCGAGTTGTGAGTCCTTGTCTATGATTCCAAACAGTTCCGCAGCAGCGGCGGCAGCTGCAGTGATGGCTTGCATTTGAGGGCCGATGAGCTGCATTGATGTCGTGCCGAGGGTCACGGAGAGTACAACGGTCATGACGGTTCCCACTGAGGCGACTTCACCGCTCTGATACATTCGGTAACCCTGCCAGAAGGCCAAGGCCGTCCCTGCTGTCACGATAAAGCTTGACGCTCCGAGCATGGCGCCGATGAATGGGCTCTCCTTATGTCCCAGAGCACGTGCTGCATCTAGCTTCACGTCGTAATCTTTGACGAATTTCTTTTGAGCTGTGAAGGCATGAATTGTGCGGATCGAGCTGATAGCATCCTGAGCAATCACTCCGGCCGCAGAGTGGAGTTTCGTATTTTGAATCTCATATTTGATGATTGCAGAGATGCAAGGTCCAACAGCTATTGCTACAGCTGGGATGACGCTCATGGTGATGAGGGCAAGCTTCCATTGGACGGATAGGGCGACTACGAATGATGAAATGAAAAGTGCAAGCCCCTGAATCAACAAAGCTAGCTTTTCAGCAATGCCCTGGTTGATACGGTTGCCATCTACTCGCCGTCAGTACATGTGAAAGCTGCGTAGCGAGGTTTCGCTTACTGGTTGTAACCTGGGTTGCTGTTGACCCATTTGTCTGCTGGTCAAAATGGCATACTTCCTGTCGCAATGTGTGCTCGAGAAACGCTCCTCGCAGTCGACGGACGGTTCTGATGGCTGCGACGTTGACGGAAAAGGTGCCGATATAGATGATTGCGAAACGTGCAACAGCCAGATACACAAAATAAAGGGCTAGCTGGTTGACTACTGCGGTGAATTGGTCTGGAGTCGCCGCACCTACGGCGTAATCGGTGAACACTGTTGTGAATCGTCCGAAGATCAATGTCATCAGAGGAAGCGAAGCGCCGGTACCGACGGAGCAGATAGCGGCGATGAGGTAGAGAATACGATCCCACCGATCGGTATATCGGAAAATGCGCTGTTTGAATCGCGTCAGATAATGTTGTGCCCTCGGCTCGGTGGCAGCAAGACACCGATTGATCTTTTGAACATACAAAGAAATGACCTAATCCGCCATCCTTCTTTTTCTCGTCATCGTCACTGGGCAAGATTTCTGAAGGCTTTGCGACTTCTGCTTCACGGATGGATTCCTGTCGCGAACCATGACCGGATGGGACTGGCGACGGCGAGCTGTCAACCTCAGCTGCTGGTGCTTTCTCAGTGTGAAAATCGGAGTGATCCTCGTGTGAACCTCGAACGTTCCTGACGACATCAGCCACGGCGTTGTCTTTCTCCGGAAAGCCGCTCATGACGACGAGCTCTGGTCAAAATTGACGATACAATCTAACAGAGTGGTGATATGATTCGAGGGTCAAACAACGACACTCATCGAGGCCTTGATCTGATCATCGTATGTTTATATGTGATTACGCTGCCGTGAGCATGATGTTGGTCCCCGAGCCGCCACGAAATGATGTTGCCTCAATCACTAGTCTCCACACGTGGATCGCTAGGCTGATATATAAAAGATGTGCAACACGGGTACCGCAATGGGAAAGTGCATACCCGTCTGCTATGGTGAGACGACAATACCCGCGCATTTATGACATGCCAAGGCCGTGCATTATATCACTTATTATGATCGCCCATCTGGGCAGTGATTGATGATGAATCATCGTCGCTTCTTTGCTGTAGTGCAGTACGGCTGTTTTTCGCCGTGTCCCTTTTGCAGATTAGGGCTGCCGGCCCGTTCATTTCCCTTCGGCTCATCAGGGACCGTTAAACATAAGAACAATAATACACCATCTGAGCGTGCACAAAATCCGGGCATCTCGGCTTGGTCGACTGTGGCTTCCGAGACCGATTCCGACAGTGATGACTCATCCGATGGTTTCCCTCCCTCCAGCTGGAGTGCCGAGTGAGCTGCGTTCATCTACAGCCCTGGAGTATATTGACTCTCGAAGCCATGGAGAAAGTCGGCTGCCAAGACTAGGCAGCGATGACTTGTTCGGTTGACAGTGCACATACTCACGGTTCTACGCGGATTGTGACCTCGAAGGCATCCATGCGCAGGTGGAATTACACACGACCATGTCACGTGTAAACCGCAACGCAACCTTGGAATGGTCCAATGTTTGTTGCCTCAGGCGTGAAATCTGTGAGCTGGCGCAAGTTGCCCAGCCGACGCCGAACTATTTACTTTGTGACGTAAGCTCACCCAGCCGCCGCAATTGCTCTCCCAGCCACCCCAGATGCATGTCTGCAACAGGGTGACCAGCCTCGTATGGAAGTAGTTCTGTCCACGCGACTATCATTTCACTAAGACATTCACTCAGTAACCTGCATTTACAATCTTCACACAGTTCAACGTCTGCAATTACTGACATTCACAACTGCTACGGAAAGGCCGCCGAACAGCAGCAATGGCGCCTGTTCCGGAGATTCTGACCGTGTTATTCAAGCGCATGGTCACCAATGAAGCTCACAATCGTCATGAAAATTCCATGCCACTGGAAAGGCTGGAAGATGCTGCCTCGAGATCGGTCGAGGATGCCGTCAAACACATTCTGAAAGCACGCGCAGACCCGACGCCGACCCATGTTGGTGGATCCGGATCCGTCTCCCCCGATTCGATCAGCAATCCTGCCATCTTCGCTCTTTTCGCTTTCGTCGGCGTAGGAATGATCGTAGCATCGCTATGGTTCTTCTTCTGGGCCAAGAATGGAGGATTCCAATGGAAACAGAACGACTGGGAGGAGTACAAATCAACTGTCCTCCGACGCAAAGGACCCGACGGAAGGACCCTGAGTAACGCGACCAAGAGCACGAAATTGGGCAACGGAACTATTGTGGGAACTCAGCACTACGCATGGGAGAAAGAGATGGCGCGGTCGGTGGTTGGTCGCGACGAAAAGGGAAGGAAAGGTATATTGGGACGCCGAGGATGGGGTGGAACTCACAGTGTCTTCTACGACGATGGCTACATGACCGAGTCTTTCGCAACACGTACTGTCGTCACCGATGAGATGAGCGAGCTGCGATCTGACGCCGATACCGAAGAGAGAGAAAAGCACACCAAGCGCTACCGTGACCGCGACGTGCAGCAGTACAAGAAGGAACGTCCCGCGCGTGTCGGCGGTCTCAACCGCGTCGCCGATGGTAGCCACTTCGACTACACCAACTCTGAACGCTCCGACATCATGACTGAGACTGTCATCAGCGACAGTTCCACGCATCCCATGCTCGAGAAGCCTTCGGCACAAGAAATACAAGCACGCAAAGACAAAGAGCGTGCCGAGCGCAAGGCCCGCGACGAAGTTGCTCGTATGGAGCGCCGATGGAAACGCGAGGCCGAAGAAGCCGCTGCCATGCTCGCGCGCGAGAACCAACGTCCTGCACCGACTCTCTCGCGGAAGAGCGCTCTACCATCATCGTCCCGGCCGATCTCCAACAAACAACACGGCACCGCCAACTATCGCGAAGCCTCGCCCCGCAAACGCGATTTCTCCTACCAAGACGGGCCGGAGTCGGAGATTCTGAGCACATCATACACCGAATCTGTCACCACCGCGAGCGATCGTGCGCCGCCGAGCTATTACGATCGGTATCGCCCGAACGGGGCCATGGCCGCGGCAGCTGCTGCAGCGACCCGCTACCCGCCTTCCGCCTCCGATCGTTCAGCGAGACACAGCTCCCCTAAGAAGAAGCCCAATGGAGGCGGCGGAGGCTACCGCCGAGGAGGCAATGACAGCGATCTCGACTAGAGAGTCCAAACTGGTGCTTCCAGATCGGACATGGTCTGATACTAGGCAAGGTCTGATGCAGAGAAGCCTATCTCTATAATCTGACTGTCCTCGCCATCTCACAGGTCAAGGGCAGAACAAAACAAACTATCCTCGCCCACGTAACTCACCCACATGACCTTCCAGGCATGCGTGACATCCTTTGCTGCCCAACGGAGGAATTCCTCCTAAAATACTAACACGACAGAGGCGTGGATCGACGACAGAAGCGTTAACTTTATCGCCCGGCCCTCTCACGGCCCTGCACCCCACGCACCATTCAGATCTACCTAGGACCAACGCCTGTTTGGCAAGAAGCCACGCAGGCCGAAGAGAAGTTCAGCTTTGCCCGAGATGCAGGCTTCCTTTCCATCCCACTCACGCGCGAAGATCCCGAATCCGGCCTTGCGCCCAACCACACCAACCACGAAAAGGAAAAAAGGCCTGCCCTCGCTGATGAGGCTGGAAAATAAGTGCAAGACCCCGCCCACCCCTGGAGGATTTCGTATCCCACCAAATACTGCCTGTCTCCCTTGAATCCCTACTTGCTTGCTTGCTCGCATGCATGCAACATGTGCGGCGAGAAAAAGATCCCATCACAATCCTTCGCACTCTCGGGCAGCAATGCGTGCGTGCACAAGGATCTTTTGGGGGGGAAACTTCTTTCTAGCGCTTTCTGTCCCCGTCGATTCGCCATGCGAGTGATGAACACGGACGATTGTGAACAAGGCTTGTTCATGCATGCATACACCGTCGTCTGCATGCGCAATGTACCTTTGCGCAACTTTGCGCGCGCACGACGCGCGCTTCTTGTCGGGGGAAAGTTTCCTTTCCCCAATCGGCCCGAAAGTTATTCGGTCTGGTCTGATGTATCACGAATGAGCGATGATGAAAGGATTTTCGTTAGAGAGGACATGGATAGATATGAATGGACGAACTCAAGGAGAGACGGGACGAATGAGTCTCAGTACAGCATAACAAGAGTGGAAGATAGAGAGGCGAGTCATCATTCGTATTGTATTAGTTTTATCACTCTTGGAGCGCGAAGAAGAATTGAACATCATTGCTATGAGATTAGAAATTCGAGATCGAAAATGAATACCATGTTACAACAATTCTCCACGAGCTTGTTTCCTTGATCTTCGTAGAACCTTGGTAGTAGTCAGCCTTCCTTTTCCTTCAGCCCGCACTGGCAAGATTCTCTTTCACTGCGATGGCCTCGTCTGATGTTTCGAGCTGTGTCCAGAGATGAAATTGAAGGAGGTGTGAATGTATCGCAAGTGATAATTCGTGTTGCGAGAGATCTGTTGAAGACTAAAAGTTGACTGTAAGATCAACGTATTTGTGAAAATTCTCTTGGGAATAGAGAATGGGATCTGAACAAAAACCCGCAGTCGGTCGATATGGATAGATAGATATAGATCTGTACATGACAATTTTTTCTGGCGCTTCCGTACGCTTGGTATATTCATATGGTGACGTTGTTATTCTTCAAGTTTCCCATCTTCACAATTTTCAATTTTCAATTTTCCCACAAGGATTTCTCGATAACAAGAGAACAAAAACAATCTTCCCTCCCTATTCACGTCGTCGAGACTTCCCGTGTAAACTCGGCCTCTCTTTCTTTGTAGATCCTTACAACAGCGTGATAAAAGTGAACAAGGTGGCAGTCTGATCCAGCAGCAGCGATTTTCATTAACAACAGTGGTTTGCGAGTTTGCGGTGTAGGAAAGTCAAACAGGGAATTCGGGTGAGAAGTAAAAGGGTGGAAAACATGGATTTTCGGGGGTATCTCGCAAAGCTCTGAAGAAAAGCGCAGGACGAACACGGAAAGACAGCGAAGAAGTGAAAACGTATTTTTGAGCGGGAAAGGGTGGTGGGGGTGGTATATAATCGTGCAAGATGTAATGTATGCATATCGTGTCGGATGGAAGGTGTCGCTGGGTAGATAGGTATGCTGAGGAAAGAGGGGATTTTTTTTGGTTGCTGGGACCGGAAACCATGTCATTCGGTGGGTTCATTCTCGTGCAAATTCGCGATGGACAGCTTTGGTGTCGACGCCGCGTATTGGATGAGCTACTGCCGGTATCTGTGAACGGCTTTCGAGGTCGGAATGGAGATGTAGGATATAGTGATTCGTTTCTTCGTGTGTGGTGTCATGCGTCTGTATGTCTTCATGCTCATACCGTATGGTCATCATTCATCATTGAAAGGGCTTCGCAGTGCTTCCCTCGCGTTCTCTGGTAGAAGTAAGCGTGGTTCAGATAGCACGCTCGTAGCCACTCGAATCGTAATCGATCTCTTCCTGAGTCGGCCTGCGACTTGCAGAATAATCACTGCTGCCATAATACGACCGGCGATGGCCTCCACTTCTCGAGCTTCGGCTACTGCCGTGGTACCCGCTTTCTTGACCAGAGCTGCTGTTGATGACGGTGCGCATGCCACCTCCCTCGGTCCTCATCACTTCGATGGTCTGACCAGGTGCAACGTGGGCCATAGCGAGACCAGTCTCGGCATCTTTGATGGTGACGTACTCGTTGGACATCGTATGTTGCGAGATGCTTCCAGATCTCCTGCTGTGATGAGTGCGCCCTGATACATGACTGCCACTGCGTCGATTCAGTTGCTGCTGTGAATGCTGCTGCTGGCCCTGATCAGCCTGCTGCTTCATCTGAGCCAGCATTTCAGCAGTCAGATCACTCGACGCAGTGCCATTCGTCGTTTGGTAGCGTTGTGCATTGCGCTCTTTTGCTTCGAGCCTGTCGACCACACGCATTCTTCCAAACTCCTCCTCCAGATGGCCCAGACCTCTTTCGTGACGGTAAGCGTCGATTTCAGTCTGTGTCCAATCTTCACGGCGAGAGACTCTATCTTCGCCGCGCGATTGAAGGGCTCGATAGTCCTGTCCGTTTGGCCCAACAACTTGCTGTCGCCGCGATCCGGAGTTTGCAGTCGAGATGGAAGGACGGCGAGGGCCGTGTGATGATGAAGGCTGGGAGCCCTGTAGCATTGCACGAGCCGCTCGGTCCGAGTCAGTCTCCTGATATTCAACTCCGGTGTCAGATCGCGACATCCGTCGTGAGTCGTACTGACGCATGATACCTCTTGGGATGCTCTGCGCGGACGTGTGGGTCTCATACTGGGGTCGTCGGCTTGGGTGCAGCATGGCGTTGTTCTTCGGATAATGATTGTCGCCGTCAGAGTAAGAGTCTTCGGACGACGAGCTACTATCTCTGTCGGTTATTTGTCTCGTCGTGCGTGGAACAGGCGCAGTAATGCTTCCCCGGCGGGCGGAAAACGACGGTGTGCGCCCGATGGGAATAGGCGGCACTGATGCCACCCGCGGTGGATCAAGAACGCCACCGAAACTGGTCTGAGTCTTGCCGTATCGTGCAGAATAGATGCTTGGCTGAGTCGGAGATGTAGGCGAGGTCGGGGTGTAAGGAGGAACGTTCACCGGCACCCGGTGTGGTTGGGCGGCACCAAAATACTCTCCACTGGGCTTAGACGACACGACCGGACTATATTGCGGACCAGCCATGTAAGCCGAGTTCGATGGTGGCGGTCCTCGGATCGAACCGTCGTAAGAGCTACCATAAATATGCATACTCATCGGACGAGACGTGTTGCTGGAGAGACGACGCGGGCGCGGGCCGGCGGAAAGAGGTACCGGAGGCGGTGGCATTTGTCCGGCATTTGGAATCGGATATGGCTGCGAATACGGCTGCGCCTGGTAGCTCGGGTACTGGGGAGGATACTGTGGGCGTGCTTGTTGCTGTTGTGGAAGAGGCTGTTGATGTAATTGAGGGAAAGGCTGCTGAGGTTGAGAAGCATGATAAGGTGGAGCTGGATACTGAGACTGCGCAGAATGAGACGGTCGTGCCGAGGATGATCGTCGTTCACGATCGGGCAATGTGAATCTTCGCTCGCTGTCGTGAGAGCCTTCGTCGACAGTAGCGACAGTACTCTCAGCACTATGGAGCACTGGCTTGGAAGAACTCCTGCTGGGATTTCCACCGGATGGACGCTGAACCGGCGGCGCGCCAGAACGATTGTTAGCCGGCTCGGCCATGGCTAATTCTTCGTTGGCGAGCGACGAGTTCACAAGTGATGAATAACCCGAGTCGCTGGCTGGACCGGGCTCGCGCGGACGAGCACTCAGATGTTGCAGTTTGGCCGTTTGGTCAACGGCACGAGCACGGCGCGAGGCCTCAACGGCGGTGCCATATACCGCCTCGCCAGTTTCGGGGTCTTCGTCTTCAACCCTTGCAATCAAGGACACAGGTCTTCTAGTTCCCTCCGGCATTACGGTCGTGGTCGACCGGTGATCGGCAATGAAGTGACGTTTGGATAAGATATAGGTGATGTATGTAGCGATATAATCTGGAACCAGCGGTTTGCTGATCCTTGGTCAAGGTGTTAATAAGCCGAGCGACGGAGGCACACCGGTGAGGAACGGTGGGGTCGGGGTGTGGTACGGGAGCGCCCGTGACGGTTGGACACGGGCCTGAAGCTGGCGTACCACAATTCGCGCCTAAAGGGACAGCGACAACTCGTGGTAGATCGATCCGAACGAGAATAAATCGACCACGTCTCTCCCGATGGGTGGTGTCGGTCACCCAGTGGTATGTGCGCGCGCACGTTCGGGGCCCGAGACACTGCAGCAGATGTGGAGAGAACAAGAGAGCCAACAGTCGGATATTGATGCAGGATGAGAAGGAGAAGAGGCCGGCTTAAGGATGATTAATTCATAGTGGTAGTGGTACAGTGGATGGTAGTACAGTGGTGCGCGCGGGTATGACTCCTCCGTCGACACACTGCAGCACTTCTTTTTTTTTTCTCTGCGCTCCAGAGTCTGTCCGCTGGCCGTGGGGACGACGTCAATGGCGATTAGTCGGTGCTGGCCGCTAGGGCTCCTCCCACCGCAGGTACGTGTGGTTTCCGACTGGTTTCCGACTGCACCTGCAGCTGTCGTGGAACGCAAGGACGAGATCCGGGCACTGCTACCATGTGATTATGTGCGTAGTATGCGTTGGTGCGTCAGGTGGTTTGGTGAACAAGGACGGGGGATGTGTTTCAGCCTAGGTCCCGAGGGAATCCTCTGAGTTGCCTGATTCGACGTGGAGGTCGACACGGATGTGCAGGGAGAATTTTGCGACTCTACCTAGGTAGGCAGGGATGAAGGGATCCAAAAGAGGAAAGTACTGCAAGTGAAGCCCAGGTGCTTGCCAGTGGGATGACGGATGATGTGTGTGTATCGTTGTAGTGGGTGGTGAGTCGGATGCGAGATATTCGGTTGGTGTTGTGTCGTTTGACAATCAATGATAGAGATTGGTGATGATGGACGATGCCGGACGGGAGAAGATGGTTTGGGCCGAGCCGACGAGCGATGCTATAGGCGGAAGCATGCACGATGGGCAGCAAGCGGCAAAAGCAGGAGTGAGGGAATGGAAGACGGAGGAAACGATGGTGATGGTGGTGGTGGTGGTGATGAACGACCGAGAGAATGTGAAAAAGGCTATAGCCACGATGACGAAGACAACGTCAATCGCAGTGATGATCAACAACGACAACACGTCGTCGTGGTCGTGACCGCAGTAGATCCTCCACTCCCAACGCGCTCGTCGGCCAACGGCAAACCTCCTCGGGCCAGTACGGTACTCGTGGGCGCGGTTGTACAGTGTGTGATGAGATACAGTCCACGGGTATTGTGGTGCTGGCGTAGTGGTAGTAGTAGTGGTGATAGTGCCCAGGTAGACGAAGATTTTCCCGGCGTTGATGCCCAACTGAAAGCTGGGGAAGAAGTGTGTTCTAAAGATAAAAGCGGATGGAAGTGCAAGTGGAGTGAGATCCGCGGGCGTCGGCGATACTTGAACCCACCGGGGGCACCTGCTGGCTGCTGGCTGCTGGCTGTTGGCTGCTGGACAACGATGACAGTATATCCGCCCAGGTCAACACACACCACAGAACAGATTGGGTCGTCGCCTCCAGTCCTCGAGGGGGACATCCTCAGCACCGCTCGTACACTCCGTACAGTAATGTCTGTTTGTCTGTGTGTGTGTCTGTCTGTCTGTCTCTAGGCAGGCGTGCCCTCCCTCACTCCCTCCCTCACTTCCTCACTTCCTCACTTCCTCCCTGCCTTGCGGACCGTTCCCACGCACCCACACACACACATGCATTGTCCTCAGCCCTAGTCATATCTCATTCTCACTCCTGCTTCAACAGCATCTACAGGAGCATTTCAATCCTCCCCGGCCTGTCATGAATGCGGCTGCTGTGTCTGCCTGTCCTGTCCTGCCTGCCTGCCGGACTATTGAAACAGCGCATCCTCATCACACATACTCCGTTCATTCACGATAGTAGCATCTGGTGTAAGACTGGGTCATCAGTGCGCGTATCTATGAGGTGACGGCAGCGAGAGTCGCGTGTGCGTGTTGCTCACACGCGGGCTTTAACAAGCTGGAGTCTTGAAATCTACCACACTCCATCATCATCATCTCTCCTCATTGCGCCCTCGAGCTCTGCATATGCACGACGGGCGTTGCATACCGGTCTCCATAACGGACGGTCTGCTCTGGTAATGAAATCCCTTACGATCTGTCTCCATCCTTTCCCCATCCTTCAACTTTCCAAGCAGGCAGCATCCGCCATAGCTCCAGCGCAGCACACCACACTTGCCTCCAGGGCTTATCGTCATCACCTCCGCCTGCATGGAATCGTTGATCTCTGAGCAGCCAGCGATAGCCCAGCAGGCTGCAATCCCAATCACAGGCCAACGCTCCACGCGCTATACGTCTGGATGCATCCCATGTGTCTTTGTTCAAATGCCTCTACTGGAATGCCTCTGCGAAACATGGTGATCGCACATGGGTATGGATCTTGGACAGCACATAATTGCCACTCGCACGATCCACGTGTCGATCGTGTCCACGAAGGATTTCCAACCTAGCCGCATCCAAGAGACGCTGTCATCTGGCAAGGCGACATACGTCAATCCATGGATAGTGATAGCAGGACAGGGCATTCCCAGGTTGGTCATGACCCAATTACTCAGCATGATACTAATACCAGGTCTACAACTATATTCACTCCCGCAGCACTCGCCTCTTTGCGCGCATTCATGTCTCAGCATCGGCATGGTCTCTGCATAACGAGTTGGCCTCAATCCGAACCAGCCACGGACCGGAGGTGTTGAGAAGACCATCGTCTTCACGTACGTCGACCACATCTCTTGACCTCGAATCGCTTGTGGCGCCGCGGCCGACATAGGATTTTGAGTGAGGCAGGTGAGGGGCATGCGACAGTCTTCATTTACCGAACCTATCAGGACGATTCGACCACCCCAGCTGCTATGAGGTGAGTGGTCGACAGAGAGCAGCAGCAGACCACCTGCATGCGGTTGAGGGCTGTTGCTGGGTATGTCTGCCATGCTTTCCGGGCATAGGGAAGTCCCAGTCGTCTCGTGCATGAGCTTCTACAGCTTTCTCTCCTCTTCGCCTCAATCAAGAACGACAGGCAATGTGATAAGACGAGAACGGCTTTTGTCGTCCAACACTCTCTATCCCAATGACCACTACTTCGCATGCTCGCATTATCGAAGGAAATCACTGCCGCATTTCCAGAACAGCCTCACCAGCACTAATTTATGACATATGTCGACTCTCTTCGCGACCTCCCCTCTCAAACAGGCAATCTTCCCAACCACCCATTTGCCAGTGGAATGATCGTTGTAATGTTCCCTTTCCAACGCGACCCATGGTCAACCACTGCGTGCCTGGGCATGCAGCAGCACCGGTATCAGTGGTACAGCATTCGTAGTTGCAGGATGCATACCATCATCGCATACATCCCCCTAGAGCCGGCAGTGGAAAGTATAAAGCCAGAAAAGCACGCCTTGAATGACTCACATTAGTGTGTGTGAGCCGAGCGAGCATTCCAATCCAGGGAAAAACGAGGGTTCCCATGGTTCGTAGTGCATCGCTTCCACGGCGTTTGAGCATTCAGTTTTGGTTTGTCTTGACGTCTCAATTCCCATGTGCCCTCTCGCACGCGCGTACGCGTCGCCCACAGGCCGAAGGCACGAGAGACACTGTGATTGTATATTGAAGGTGAGGCTTTCTATAAATTATGGCCATTTTGCCAGAAAACTCTGTATTGATGTCACACCACGACCGCATCCTCAAAACGCTCAGGTCAACGTTTCTCTTATCAATGGTCGCAGGGTGAATCGTTTGTAAACCCAGAGCGACATTGAGTTATCACAGAGGCATTGTAGTAACTAATTCGTTATGGGAATGAAAGATAGAGCAGGGCTACCGAGGGAAGAGAGAGAGGGAGAGCGTATCAATCCCCGGGGAATGCAAGAGACGACTCACCGCCAATTCGCAAAAACGCGAACCAAAGCCATCGCGCATCACAGACACCACCACCATCGTCGCCATGTGCCCATATTCAACCCAGCTTTTCACTGCCAATGTCAAGTAACACAAGACTGACCACCACAGAATGAGAGGAAGACAACTCTGTGCATTTATAACACCATGTCATTCACGGAACGTGACAGACCTGGAGTTTGCCAGACCAACGAGACGACAAACCTCACCACGATCTGATATGTTTCCGCTCACGACAGATCATGCAAGTGACTCCCTCACGAATTCCCTCCCATCCCGATATGCCGTTACGATATGGGAATCATCGCCCACGAGAGAGAAGCACGTCCTTTCCTATGTGTATCTACAGTCCGTCAGCGCAGTGACACATAGGCTGGGTGAATGTGTACAAGGGCGAGGCACGAAAATGCAGTAGGAAGATTCGCTGCATGGTAATGCCTCTCCTGCACAGTATCCACTAGTCGGATCCATTGATCCGATTTTGTGATGGTGGGCGGTGGGTAGTCCACTTCCCTGTCTAATACCAAGCCAATTTCGCTTTGTAGTGGACGTGAGGCATGTTTTGCCGTGAAAGGGAATGGAAATTTGGGAATGAGTCGGCATAAATTTCTGTTATTCATTCATTGCTATGGTCCCCCACCTATGGGTTCCTGGGCCAAGTGTCCACTTCATGTCTTTGACGTGGTTTCATTCCACTCCAACTCCTCCAGCTCCGCTTCCTCGTCTCGAAGTCTTTACAGCCGGAAACTGTTGAAGAAAATCTACATACGCTCCACCGGCGACAAACCCAGCAACTTCATACCGTTGTTCAACACGATCCGAGCAGCCTCGTACATCGCCATGAGGGCGATCTTCTTCTCCGGGCTCTCGGCGTACATGACGCTGAGCGTCTTGGCGTTGCCATTGCTGCGGTCCAGCGCGTCGTAGCATGAACTGAGCAGATGCGTCATCTTGAAAAGGTATACGAGCACAGTAATCGGCTCATTGGTCTTGTAGGTGTTGAGGAAGACGTCAGGCCATTGCGCGAGTGATCGGATTAATTGCACGCCCTCCTTGGCGGTTATCAGGCTGAAGTCTGCAGTGGCGAATGCGCTCTCGGGGACGTCGGCCTTGCGCTTCATCGAGCACAGGCGCGCGTGGGAGTATTGCAAATAGGGGCCTGTGTCGCCCTCGAAGGAGGTCATTTTCTCCATGTCGAAGTTGTAGCCGTTGATCATCTTGCCGCTGTAATCTTGCACCATGATTGAGGAGATGGCGAGAATGTCGGCTGTTCCCTCTGGGTCCGCGACCTGCTCGTACTTTTCCTTGTTCTTACGCATCACGTCGTGCATGAAATCTTTGCAAGAGTCGAGACTGTCGGCGAGTGAGACAACAGTGCCCTTTCGGGTGCTCATGGTTTGTCCTTTGGGGTCCTTGACCATACCAAAGCTGACATGCTGGCATTTGGCAACGACCTCGCTGTAGGGTGAACCCATCAATTCGAGGATCTTGAAGAATTGCTTGACGTGGACATCTTGTTGGTTAGCGATGACGTAGACCATGAGGTCGAATTTATGCTTCTCGTAGCGCTCATAGTTGGCAGCAATGTCGCGAGTGAGGTAAAGCGATGTGCCGTCTCGCTTCTTGACCAGGGTCTTCCCGAGAGTAGGAGCGCCGTGTTTCGCAAGGTCAACGATGATGGCACCCTTACTCTCCTCGCTGATGCCCTTTTCAGAAAGAACAGTCGCAGCCTTCTCCATGTCTTCTTCCTTGACAGTAGATTCACCGCTGTACTCGTCGAAAGTGATGTTGAGACGTGCGTACATTTTGATATAAGCATCAATTGATAGTTGACGGAAACGAGCATAGTTCTTCAGTGCCTCCGGATCGCCATCACTCATTCGCTTGAAAAACCGACGGGCCTTTTCGTCAATGCTCGGGAGGTCGATCAGGCGCTGCTGTTCTGCTTCCAGTTTTGATATGGCTTCCTGTAGCTCTGCCTCTTGTGCATCGGTCCAGGGTGCCGCCGGAGGTGCTTCCGCTTCCTTACCCTTGGCAGGCTTCAGGGGTTTGGGCGGGTTCTTGACTTTTTCAAGCTTGTCCTTTGCTTCTGTCAGCTCCTTGGCAGTTTTCTGTTCTTCTGAATTATCCCGGTTGATCTTGACGTAGACGTCGTTAAGGTGCTTTACAGGGTCATTCTCTAACTCCTGTTCGCTGCCATACTTTTCGAACCCCTCAGACAAGACACCGTACTGCTTTCCCCAGTCTCCGAGGTAATTCATAGAAAGCGTTTCCCAGCCTGCAAGGCGGTACATCTTGATGAGAAACCCACCAATGATCGTGCTTCGCAAATGACCAGTGTGGAATTCTTTGGCAATGTTGGGGCTGGAATATTCGACAATGACCTTCTTCTTCCGACTTTGAGGGTTTGAAGGGTCCTCACGACCGAGATTTGAGTTGAAACCATACCCACTGGTTTGCTTGTGAATGGTGGGGATGACAAAATTGGCCAGAGGCCCGACCTTGAAGAAGAAGCGCACAAAGGTCTTTTCGATCGTCGGGGTCTCAAAAAGTGGCGAATCAAACTTTTCAACAATTTCTTTTGCCAGCTCATCCGGCTTCTTGCCTTTCAGTCGAAGCGCAGGCACGGGTAACATGAGATCGCCATTCTTGAGATCCTGCGTCCATTGAACGGCATTGTTGATGATGGGATGTTCCACACCTGTGATCCTGTGGACATGGTCAATAATCACAGCTCGGTAGATGTCGACGGGGTTGTGTTCAACGTAAAGCGGGACACCTTCAATCTTGGGCAAGTCGGAGATGCCAACATTCTGAAGCTGTGAAGTGATGTGTTCGACGTCCAGCGCAGACGATTGTGATTGTGAGGTCGCCATGTTCGCGATCAAATTACGAGAAGTGATCGTTGTGAATGGAATGAACTGTGACCGATCTCTCTGTGTCGTAGATATTCTTTTATTTGTGCCAGCGTGAGTCAAGCCAGGGTTCGGAGACCTTGAAAAATTCCGAACCTGGCGAGCTCCCAAAGTCCCGACCAGGCTAGTATGACATTTTCGCAATTGACCGAACATACAAATCTGCAGGGGAACGAAGCCCCGATGAAATATATTTGTTGATGATTATGATTTTGACACATCTGATGTTGTGATGGACATCACACGACTTGCCCGCTTCATCGGAACAATCACCGTTCGATGATGACCAGCATCCTACCGTTGGTGCACAGACCATGCCAACGCCCTGCGGTTCCAACAGCAAATGTGTCATGGGCGACGAGAGTAGAAATGATTGATGATGGAAAAGGGCATGTGCTGAGACAAACATGAGCTGTAGATTTCATGGTAAATTTCATCGTCTATGAGGTATCTTGAATATATGGGTAATAAAAGAAATGTTGAGTATAAGCACTTGAAGCATCACGCCTTCTTGCTCGAGCCATTCCGGCAATACTCCACGAGGACTTTGATGAGCTCCTCGCTACTCTCGTGTGTCTTGTAAACATTGGCGTGATCGACGCCTTGCCACCACATAATCTCCAGACCCTTGCCGGTCCACTTCTTGTTCTTCCAGCTGTCCGTACCTCCGCCGGCCGATTGAAGCTCCATGGTTTTGACGCCGGCCTCGTTCTCCACGAGGACGGGATCGGGAATCTTGTTTGCCATGAGGTAGTTTCCGATGCCCTCCGCATCGACGATCAAGTCGTCACTGCCGAGGCTAACTGTGATATTCAGATTGTTCTTCTTGATGAGGTTGAAGATCTCGTCTCGCCACAACACATTTTCATACCAGAAGAAGTTTCTAGAATTCTTGTTAGCTCAAGCTTCGCGAGCACTGTGTAGCAAGATAATACTAACCTTCCGAGAGTGTGAGCGACACCAGGGTCTTTCGATGCAAAGTACCAAAGCTGCCATTCGTTCGCACCAGTAGGCGCTCGCACGGTGAAGTTATAAGCCACATCGGGCATGTGAAGCATGATAGCGACAGGATCGACCAATAGCGACGAAACGACTCTCGATGAGAGCTTGGGATCCCTCAAGATGTATGTGCTGAAAATGCTGCCGTAAGAATGACCAGCCAGGACAAACTTGGAAATTTGGTGATGATCCAGGATTGTGGTAAATTCGCGAAGTAGCACCTCTCGTCGAGGAATTGAGTGATAGGATAGACGAGAAGAAATGTAGGGCAGTTCCATCATGACAATGCCGACTTGGTCGTCTGGTCCATGACCACGGTTGAGAGCTTCATCGAGGCGTTGAATCCATTGTGCATAGGTGATGAGGCCGATACCAATGCCGTGGAAATAAACGATCGGGAGTCGTGTCTTCGAAGTATGCGGGCGGGTAATCCAGTATGAGACCTTCTTTGCTACGGTAGGTCGACTCTGAATGAATGTTCCAATTCTGGGAGGGAAGATAGTACGATTTGTGGCGGTTCCGAAATATTGGTAACCTTTTTGCGAGAAGATGCGGAACATCCAGGTGTCCATGCCCATGATGAGCCCATACCACAAAAGTGTCCTGGTTCATGGTCAGTATTTATGCCTCCCGGATCGATCGCCGATACTCTACTCACCTCGACTCGATCTCAAAGGGATCAATGGACAATCGCAACCCCTTTGCATTGCTGGAACCTTCGCGGAAAGACAGCTCCGGCGACATCTGCTGAACCCGCTCGAAGTATTCCTGCAGTTCGTCTTCGTCCACCTCTTCCACTCTGCCGTCCCAGAATGACCAGATCAGGAATTCTTGAAGCTCTTTCACACCGATATCTCGAATTTCGGCTCCCTTGAACCAGCCGCGTAGGAAGCGGACTGGGTCATGGATCTCACTGAGGAGCTTGTCGAAGAGGGCTTTGCGCTCCTCCTTGGTGCGGCTTAGAGGGTGTATCGCAGGACGCTGAAGGACTCTTCGGTACCAGACGAACCACAACAGGAAGCCAGCTTCCAGCGCGCAGTATGTCCTCCATGGCGTGATATGATCATATAAGTCCGGCCAGAATCGCCAAATGTTCACGACGGTGTACGAAAGGCAGATATGACCCCATGACGAGAAGCCGGTGATAGCAGACCGGATGATCCACCGGTTCTTGGGCGTGTCGACGATCATGGTGCGCCGCGGTGGGGCGAATGGACAAGGCTTGAGATGCCGATGCGTGTACGACGGGACGACGAGCCTCTTTGCGAAACAGCCGCTGCTGCCCGCGAGAGGACGGAGGGGATACATATAGATACGAGACTCATACCACCGATTCCCAGCGCAAAACGCGGCGGCGCTATCGCCATTGAGATCTTGTTAAGACATAGCGTAGGAGGACTATGTTGGAGTGAAGCCACTTTGGTGGGAAACGTTATTGACGTGGGAGCGTAGCTTGATGCAGGGAGTTGGGGAACCGAAATGGCTGGCAGCCGTTTCATATCACGGATCGGGATGACCCCCAACACAACAGGAGTCATATTCGTCTTCATTCGCGAGAGCGTCTCATGTGGCCGCTCTGCGCCGAGGTGATCAGTATTAAAAGTGTAGATTTATTCGACGGCGTGACGTGCGCTCCCCCAGTCTCCGCGTCGATCAATACCTCCACAATTCCCACTGCCGGGCAAAAGCGAAGGAAGGGGTCCGTCAAACTAAAGGCGTTCGCATCAATTCCACCCCCGCTACGTGCGTAAAATCTCCGCTATTCCCTTGTCCGTTGCTCACGGCTTTAAGAGAATGACATACGAGTACGACCTCCTCACTTGGCCCCTCTCCCAAGTCGAAGGCACCAATATTAACTTATCAACCATTGCACAGAGTCGTGAAATTTTGTCATAGACAATAGCATATTTATAGTACGATGCGATCCAGGCAAAGTCACTTGTGAGGACAGTTTAAGACCCACGTCGTGAAACATGTATGGCATACGAGGAACGACCAGCCCTACCGCGAGAATTCATGTCTCGTGTAATGCTTGTGATACAACTTTTCTGAGCCTAGAGCTTGATTATTCGAGACGATTCAGTGTCGCGGGAAACAAAATCACCGTAGCAAGTCTCTCAGCTCCTGCAACACCCTCTGCACCATCTCGGAACTTTTCGCTAGCGGTTTGGTGGCCACGAAGTGCAAACTGCCCGCCACACCAGGTTTGAGCTCTCTCCGGAATTGATCGCTCAAGAACAATAATGTTCCTAGCGCAATGAGTGCACGGCTGAGGATCTCGGCGTCTGCTGCCGCATGAGGGTTCTCACACTCAAGCAAGACCGCGATGTCGGTCAGGAGTGCCTTCGCCTTGATCGTCGCATTCGATGGCTTGGAGTCGGAGATTAACAAGACCGCCAGATTGACGTACAGCGTTGCGAGAGCTTTCGCTTGTGCAGGAGACTCGGGTTCAGTGGCGTAAGGTCGGATGAGAGAGAGGATGTTGTCGAAGGATTCCGCTATTACGTGACGGCCGGGGTCGCTCTTAAAGAGGTTCACCAGAAGACGAATTGCATGGACGACATTATTTGCAGTTTCTTGTCGAGGTGCGAATAGGTTTGCAGAGGAGAGCGTTTCTATGACTGTGCCATTGCTTGCTGTATTGACGAAATCAGGTGACACAGCACACAAGGCGAGAACACCGACAGCGGGCACTCGGCTCTTGGTCGGCCACTGCGTTGCGACTTTGAAAAGTGGTGATGTTTGCGCTGCAGTCGGTTTCGGGTCCGTCTTATTTTGAAGCTGAGTGGACAGAGCCTGCAGCGCCTGTACGTCGTCTGACTGCAGAGATTGCTCGGCTGTGATGTCACCACTGCTTTTGAGTTCGTCGGTCTTTTTGCAGATCAAATTGATTGCGTTGAGGGGGTTGCCTTCTATGATATCAAGATATTTCCGCTGCGGCAAAGAGCCAGATGATGTTGGACCTGCGTCGCCAGGACGGTATCTTTTCTCGGTACCCCATGCATCGTGGCCTTGAGAGGGGGCTTGCTGTGAAGGTGCTGTGTCCCTGCCGAACTTTGCGCCTCTGGTGTTCTCTGTAAGCCAATTGGCAACCTGTTCGTAATATGACAGAGGCAGCTCGTTCCTCTCAAGGAACTTCCTGGCCGCATCCCATGCGTTTTCTGTCAAATTGTATGGTAATTTGAGTGGAGGCTTGCCATCCTCAATGTCGATGTCAAAGACGTAATCATACTCTTTGCCTTCGTAGACTTTCTTCGATGAACCAGAGCCTTCGCCGGACACCACTGTACCGATCTAGGCAAGTGTCAGCTCGTTTTCGGCTTACATTTTGAATAAAGACTTTACTCACCAGATTCCACTGGCTAGTGGAGGCCGACCAAAGATGTGCAGTGACGCTGCCGTCGTTCTCGCGAATAAACAATTGTTGGCCGTCTCGATCCCCAACCTTGCTCTGCAGTTCCTCTGTTCGCAATCATAAGCATCTTATCTCACAGCTGCTTGCAGGTCATTGTACGTACCAGGACCAGGTAGAGTCTCTTTTTCAAAAGGTTGACCCTGCGTCGCTGTCTCTGCTGGAATCGCGTACATTCTATTTCTCTCATCAAATTCCTTGAGCACCTGGGGATCGGCTTGTCGTTCAGGGTCGCGCGAGAACAATCGAACGACATTGTCGCTTGCGCCGCTGACGATATCGCCGGTCTCTGGGCATGCTGCAACGGTCCAGATGCTAATCGCCGGGTGTGATATCGTCTGGATGCATTGCGCATTTCGCCATATCTTCACAGTGCGGTCTTCCGATGAGCTCACAATGTCGCCGTTGGGCAGGATCGCCAGACTATAGATGTACGCATTGTGACCTTCCAACACCGCTGCCTGTTTTCCGTCGAGAGTCCACAACCGTATGACTTCGTCATTACCAGCCGAAGCAATAGCAGCGCCTGATGCATGTCCATCGGGGAGTTTGACGAAGCATCGTACGACATCCGTGTGGCCTTGAAATGCCTGGAGCGATTTGCCGTTGATGTCAAACAGTCGGATGACCTTGTCTGCGCATGCCGTGAGGATGAATCTGGCATCATATACCAAAATACCCCAGACTGGCCCTCCATGTCCTTCGAGCTCAGCGGTCACATTCCCAGCTTCTACATCCCAGACGAACGCCTGGCTGTCCCAGCCTCCGCTGATCACTTTGCTCCCATCCTCGCTGAATGCCACGCAAGTAATGTTGCCGGCATGTCCGATTAGCAACCGGTGGGGGTCCTCCTCCAGTGATTGTCCAACATGCTTGACGAACACAAACGTTTCTTTGCCTCCTGCCGCGATGGCACCGTTTGGATACTGTTTTGATGGTGGCGCGAATGCAATGCCGTTGTACCAATGTGATCCCTGGAGCACGATGCAGTCGTCATATGTTGGAGGCTTTGGTGCGGTCAATTGCCATTGTCGGACTGTGTTATCGCGTGAGGCGGAGAAGAGGGTGTTGCGACTGGGCCAAACGACTGCTCGAACCTTGGGATCTGGTTGTCAGCGATGTCAGATCCTTTGTGTACGAAAAACTTTCTGAAATGCGGCCCAAGCGAGATGGCTTGGATCGGGTTCATGGCGATGCAAAGCTCGTGTGGACTCGCCACTCACATCTTCCTCGTGCCCTTGCAAGGCGGCCGATAATCTGAAATCGCCTGCCATGTTGACTGTGATGGTGGCCCTGCTGGCGAATGGATGCCGGATTTGAAGAACGGATATCGGAGGTAAAAGTGACGATCTCACGCGAGCAATCGCTACACTGGATACTGATATAGCAGCAGTAGCACGATAGCTTATGATAAGTCCGGCATGCGCGATGGTGTCGATGGACAAAGCTTCAGGCACACAAATCGATCTTCGCGGGGTCCAACGCACCCGTGGACGTCATGAATGTCTCGGGAGTTTGGCCCGCGGGGCAGCAAAATAGCCCCAGGAAGAACCCTACTCAGGTACACTTGCATTGATGCGGACATCGCCAAACACTTCTGCTGCTACTGTACATGATGAAATGGTTCATACCAATGTCGACTATAATTACGAGACGTGACCAGAGTGACAGACCTCAATTATGTCATTCCCAGTCGTGTATCAATTGACAGATATGAAGCATGGATTCGAGCGACGTAAGCATGTTGAGACGCGCGTGTGTACGTCCTATCCTGCACGCGAAAACAGCATTTCACCACTCGCAGCTTTCAAGGTTTCGAATTTCTTTTTTCATTTGACAAGCGACTGAAACCCGGTTTGCAGAACCGAGGGTGAAACTAAGAATAATCGTGATCACAATTGCAGCAAATCGCATGATACAAAACACGTACCGCGACAACAAATGCCCTGCCCATGATCCACAATTCATTACCATCGCCCCGGAACTCAGTCGTCTAGCAAAGAAGGCTGACGAGACTGATCAACACTGGATCCGCCGCCGCGCGTGATCTGGAAGGTTTCAACGACTCTCGGCCGACCCCCAAAGCCTTTGCTCGTTGGCGAAATCTCTCGCGAGTGGAAGGCTGGAGCAGACGCTTCCACATCATCGATCTCTACGAGGATCGTCGAGCTTGCATTCGATGAGTTCGTCGATGTCAGCTTCAGGCCTTCGAGATCTTGCCATGATGTGACCGAGCTTTGAGACGGGCGATGGCCGTGGGCGACCGGACGGGGAAGAGGCGATCTGAGGGGAGTCAACTTCGTCGGTGACGGGGTTCTTGATGCCATTTTAATTGCGCCTCGCGGGCATTGCATACATGGTGTCATATCATGCGGACATGGATGACAAGGGCGGCTGCAAATGTGTCCGCAGGTTAGACTGGCTCCGCATGGCTGCTGGCACCCGCCTTGAAGATTATTCCAATCCTCAGCTTCAGCAATAAGTGTCTCAACGTGATGGACTTCACAGAACACTGGAAATGCTTTACCCAGTCGATTCGGGCGGAGCTTCGGCTTTTCGTTGCCCATATGACCGGCGATAATTGACACGATTTGTCTCCATATATCACTAGCATCGAAGAGCAGCCCGCAGTTTCCGAAAAGATAGAATCCGCGGCGGGCTCTGGAAAGTGCTACGCAGACCCTGTTGGCGTTATCTAGGAAACCCACTTGCTTCTTGTTGTTCGAACGGACCAGAGACAGAATGACGATGTCATTCTCCTCGCCCTGATAGCTGTCGACTGTGACCACTTTGGGCATGTAGTCGTGGAGGATCTTGCTGCTCCAAAAGTCTTTCACGAGAGCCTTTCGCTGACCATTGTAAAAGGTCAAGCATGTGATTTGAGTCTCACCATTCAGGAACATGTATTCGACAAAACCTCGAATCATGCTGCTCTCCGATGCATTGAACGACGACATGAGTTCATCTCGAGCCTCTGGCCATTCGTGGCTGAAACAGAAGCTGTTTATACCGCCCATGCCTCGTACTTGCGGGCGGTTTGCAGGCTCTGTGACAGAGACATGATCTCGGATCTTGTTTTCATATATCGGCATCAGCAGGCGTCGGATCTCGGGAATCATGCGGCGCTGCATTTTGAGAGTAGTAAACTCTACCTGGTTGTTGACCAAGCGTTCAAAAAGGGAAATATTTAGGTAGTGTGGCTCATTCTCAAGCTTCCGGTACTGTGTGTGTGGTCGTAGTTGAGCATGATCGCCGACAAGGATCAATTGCTTAAGTGAAGGCACACATGTGACAGCAATGGGCGCCTCCAAAACTTCGGCTGCTTCCTCGCATAGAATTATTCTTGGCTGGAGTGCATTTATCAGGGCCCGATTCTTGCTGAACCCCGTGGTGGTCATACCGATGACCTTCTGCTCCTTGAGAACATTCTCCTGCCGCTCCCAGCGACCAATCTTGCAAAGGCGAGCAAGCTTGTTGTACGTTTGAGCTTTGATCTGGAATTGTTGGAAGACGTGGGCTTTCATTTGCGCTTGCATGTGACGATAAACTGCTGGACGCTGTGCGTCACTGATCTCCCAAAGATCGTCGACCTTCAACAGTTGAGTCGGAGAAGTTCTTCCAGGCACACCAGGAGTCCGAGGACAAGTGAAATTATCATGAACTGGAAGTTCTGGTCCTTCGAGCGTTTCAAATTTGTCGTCTTCATCTATGGCCGCTTCTTTCTCTGCTTCGTTGAGGTAATCAACTTCCAGTTCTGCTTCTTCAAATTCAAACTGTTCAGCAGGCTGCTTTGCGACAGGCTTCAAGGAGTCACCAAGCCAGAGAGCAAATGGTGTAGAATGACCCCAACGAGCAGCGCCAGTGACGAGACTCTCGATTTGATTTTTGGACAAGAGGCTGAGACCCTGTGGTCCAAGTAATTCTAGGTCGAGTGGGAAGGCAGACTGTTGCAGCGGCGAAAGAAGACTGGTGATCTCCTTTTGAAGCGCTTCCATTTTTCGACGAGCCATATTCAGCTGGCAACCAGGCGGATTTCTTCCGTCGTGTTGCTGGCTCACTGCGAACAGTGTACGCTTCTTGACGATTTCGTCCTTGCTTTGACCACCAATGCGGACAAGATCAGGCTCGAATTTAAGGACGTGACGCGCGAGCTGGTCAAGCGCATGATTTGTCTGGGCGAGGATGATGATTGGTGGATCACCAGGACGCCAATTGGCCAACAAGACTTTGAGTGCTTCAACCGAGACATACGTCTTGCCAGTCCCTGGAGGCCCTTGGATGATCGCGAGGCGCTTGGTCACTATGCGGCAGAGGCCAGCTTGCTGAGATCCGTCCATCTCGCATGTGACATTAGTAGGCCAGGTCAACACATGTTGACACTCGTCTCCATAAACTGGAGAGATATCGAGAGCGGAATGCTGGATAGTGTGGACTTGCGTTTGGACACCGATGAGGTGCTCTTGGAAAGGGAATGACTCGCTAGCCATGTGTTGAAGTCCACGGAGAACATGTCGATCGGCCTCGAAGTAGCTTGACCGGGATTCGACCATCAAGTACTCCTTAGCGGGATCAATGTCAAGCTCAAGGCTGTCACAGAACAGGTAAAGTTCCGGCGGATTTTCAATGAGTTTTGAGAGCGGTCGAGCTGCGACGACAGCAACGATAACCTTGTTCAGGTCGTTCTTGGGAAGCAGCGCCACAAGACTGCCGCTTATAAGACGCTTAGATTGCTCCCAGATAATTCTCTTGCCGACGCGGATTAAACTGAAAGTCACACGAAGAGTTATGCCTCTAGTCGGCAACTTAACGGCTAGAACGCGTGTTCTGTCGTAGATACCTACAGCACCTTGAAACGCATCTTCTTTAAGAGTCGGGCGTAACCGAAGGGCTAGGAGAGCGTCTCTCAGAGGACCAACGGCTTGCTCTCGTATAAGACGGTAGTGTGCCGACAGATACTCCTCTAAGCACACGTCAAGAACTGTTAATTACAAGAGAGGACAGTAGAAAGGCTAACCTTTTGACGACCATGCGCCCGTAAGTCGGTTGCAGGGCAGGCCTCTCGGGCCATCGCTCGTCAATTCCGCCGAAGTTGGGACTTCTAGAGCGTTCAACCACTCTTGATCGTGCTTATCAGTTTTGTACTGGTCCTCATATTCCACGATCCTTGGGTTAAGTCGTGGCGGGAGAAATGTGACCTCGACTTGATCGCCGCACACATCGTACTGTTGCTGTTGCTGCTGCTGATGCGGTCGCCTCTTCGACTGGCCTGTAAGCCCACCATCAAATCTTTCTCTCAAGTGTTCATTCATTACGTTATTGCCTCAAACTTCGATCGGCGGACCAGAAGGCGAAGTTCGTCACAAAGAGGTGAAAGGATGGAAAAGGCATAAAGATGAGAAACACATCAAAGCGTTCCAAAGTTGTAAGTGTGATGGGCGTCAACACGTGTGGAAGGTGTAAACAGACCACCACATACAGAAAGATGTGGGAAGGCACGCACGGAAGTGGAGCGGATGAGAAGCACAAGTGAAATGGGCCACTTGCCGTAAACCTGGACGGTGACAATGTATTGCCTATTATAAACAGCGAGCGACACTTGCTTTGACTGTTGACATCGCCCACGAATTTGACTTGCGATTCACGTGTCGTAGCTTGGAAAGTAACCTCACCCTGGTGGTGTCGATTTTTGAGTGTCGGCGGAGCTATTGATGACACCCTGGAATGAACGTGCAGGTACTTTGCAACCTAAAAATGTGTCGGTCGGCCAGGGTTGCAAGTGCCTCTGTGATGGCTCCACTGAGTGTGTGTGTTTGGCATGAGGCAATGAAATCACTATGATGTTGATGATCCTCACGTTAATTGATGATCAAATGAGTTCGCGATAGTCAGAATTGAACATGAGAGATTCTGCACAGGTCAGAATTGCAGGGTGGTGATATCACTCATCAGCCGACAAAGAGAGCGGCACTGTGTGAAGTGAAGTACCTAGGTATATCACACTGGGATGTCGCAAGCCACAAGGAGAGCAATTTCACCTGGTGTGAAAATCTCACAGTATTCTGTTTGCTTTCGAGAGTCCATCATAGTGTTAGTCGTACTCCGGTTCTGCCCTTCGACTTCGTCGCAATAACTCATATGCTAAGCCATTGATCTCCATGATCGACGTCTCGATCTCAGGCTTGTCGAGGAGAGTTGGATGCCACTCAAGCGTGTCTGCTACAGCTTCACGCATGTCCTTGTCTGTTGCGGGAGTCTCCATGAATATTACGTGGATCGCTTCAGCGAGTTCGGGCGCATCCCTGATGATAGCAAAATCAGCATGATCGTTCGTGTTTCCTGAGATCCCACAGTTTCGTTTAGGCAAGTTCACACAGTGGTAAAATCCCTCCGGTCTAACATTGCAATATACACTTACCAATGCCGTGTCAGCTGGATCTTGAACTTATCCAATGCCAATGCCTTTAACCCACCAATCTTGTATCGTTCCGCAGCGGCGTACATCTTCGCGTGCAGCAGTAAGTGCGGCACTTTGCCTGCGAGCGGGGATGCTTCAGGGCCCTTGGCAATTAGCAGACCGCGTGTTGTCTTGTGTCTCCGAGGCCCATGCGATGGCGCGATGGAGACAGGGCCATGCTGAGCAAATGTAGCAAAGTCCGGCGCGCCCGAACTACCGCCACCCGGACCAGGCATCGCGTGAGAAGTCAATGCAGAGTCAGGGCGAGGTCGCAAAAATGCTGCTGTAGAGAAGGGAGAGTGTTGGTTGGAGCTCAGATTGTGAGGACCACCAAAAGCGGCGACTGCGCTGCTGCCATAGACATGGCCGTAGTGGCCGGCCTCAGTTCGGACGCTCATTGTGTCGCTGTCGCGTGAGCTGCGCGCATCATCCGTTACTACACTGGCGGACGAAGTACTCGTGGTTGGAAGCTCGCTGGGCGGCTGCCCGTTGCCGCTCGCATCGTAGTCGAGGAGATAAAAATACTCGACAAGTAATCGAACGATGTCCTGATCATCGGCAAGGTCGAGATGGCCCTCAACATTATCCTAGAAAGACGTTCAGTATCTGTTTGTAGCCATCGCGCGATGGTTATTGCAAGAAGAGATGGACGCACTCTCCACCGCCGGCCCCTCACTGCGTCATCCAGGAACGGAGCTCGCGGACACACAATTGCTCGATGGACAGGATGTCGGGAGCCATCATGTGAGAAAAGCACGAGATCTGACCAGTCGCGCGATTGAAACAGTGCGAATAGGCCGGCAGCCAACTCTAGGCGCGGCTTGTCTCCCATTTTGTGGCAAGATTGAAATCAATGAATGATTATTCTGATCTCATCACGGATCCTCAAAAGGTCTAGAACGTATCCTTATATTGAACTTGCGAGGACGATGGAAGGACAAGATTCGCCCTCGCAAGTGGACATGGGGAGTATCATCTCGAGGCTGTGCAGAAGCTTCGCTGGCAGCACGAAGGATCACTTGGGCGCATCAAGTGCAATCTCCAAGGGCTGTTCAGGCGACAGTGGTTTACCGCCCGTGGGGTTATGCTGCTGGTCTGGACATGATCGTCACGTCACAAATGAGAATGCACGAGCCTACCGTCGGATGAGCTCCGAAACAGGCTAGACGGCGCAAGGCCGCGCTATTTATATCGCCAAGCTCGGTAGATCTGCATATGTGTTTATGCAGGTGCGGTCCTCTGCAAGGCCACTTTGCCCGTCATTTGCGAGCATCCATGATCTTCGCCATGAGCATGCCGCAGCAGCAGCCTCCGAATCGGCGCATAGCGACAAAACGAATCCTCGGAATGGAAGGACGGCGGAGACTTGGACCCCACTCCTTCGCATTCAGGGATGAGATATGATGTTTGGGTAGTTACATTCATTATTCGTCGTGCGCTGCCAATCATTGCGCTACGCCTCATCAAATCTTTAGGAAACGCTTACCTTTGCCCAAACCTTGTAGAAATGTGGCATGCCGGGGTTTGCGACGATGACGCTCAAATGCCTTGAGTATATATACCTAGGGAGGTAACTAGGTAGGAAGGGATTGATCTATAGATTCGAGCCACCCTGACGCATCTCGTTCTAGCCTTCATTCATGCTGTGACGCATGGGGCGGTGCTTTGGCTTGAGGAAGAATTCACTGCCGATGAACAAAGAACTTCATGCAGAAGCCTTTGATCAAGCAGTCATATACCGACTATGTGGAGAAGTCGGGATGGTCTCACTTAACACTGATGAGCCGTACATAGTTTCTATTGCAATGGACACCACTACCAAACGGTGAACAACCTTGGAACGTGTTGTTATACCCAATCCATAACAGCGTCCTTCTCAAGCCATCTTCCATGCTGTAAACATACGCATCAATAGGAAAGCCCTCAAAGGTTTGACCTCTTGTAATCTGGAAGAATTATCGGCCACCATAGTACTGTATGATGATATTTCCCTCAAGGTGGCGGTACTTGCCTGTTGAAGATGTATTCTACTGATATGCTAACCCCTTGACCGCCTGGCCGGGCATTGTGTTGCGTTGATCTGTGACAGACGTCCATAAACAATCAAGTCGTTATCGTAGTCCGGCTGGTTTGCTCAGGTGATTTTCTTACGACCTCACATGCAATGCACTACCATGAGTTGTATTCGACAGTGCTGATACCTAACCCTGGTCCTCTTGAGTGGCCCGCGGAGGCATTCCATCTTCGATGCATTGAAACAAACATCAGCTGGCAAACAATCATGGAAATTCACTTGAAGATGCTTGTTCTCAACTTCGGAAGTTGCAAAATCCAATGTGAAATTAATTGCCAGCTGCAGGTTACAAAGAAATCTTATCATTCCGAACATGCTCATGATTATTACTAGCTACTTTCACTTTGCCAAAATTTATGCGAGGATCTGTGCATGATCCGCACTCTACCTGGCAATCGCGGTTGTTTCACCATCCCATCTCCCAACGAACGCAATCACCAAGTTCTTTGTTGGTAGCCTTTACCTACGATGAGAGTCGCAATTCCAACATGATCTAGAGATGTGAATCGCACTCCTCTCCTGATGGTGTGAACGGCCATATATTAGACTCGTCGAATGCCCTCCTCCCTGCTGCTGTTTGGGACTTCAATCAACCATATCTTCTTCCTGAGTTGCACGCATCTTCAAACGCCATGTGCGGTATCACTGCAGCAATTGCGCTCGATCGCCTCAGCAACCGGCATGTTCGAACAGCGTCGTATCGGCAATCAACTCTGTCGCAACTCAATCACAGCCTCGTGACAATCCGCCATCGCGGACCTGACTCCAGTGGAACCTGGATCAGCGCAGACAATCGTGTCGGTGAGTCACAAACAGATCAAAATGTCGCCGGAGCATTCCAAGTAGCGACTTGCTAATGATGTTGCCAATCAGCTTTGGCACACACTCGGCTCGCCATCAAAGATCTGAGCCCTACCGGTGCTCAGCCTCTTCATGACGCCACAAACACCATCCATGCCATCGTCAATGGTGAGCTCTACGACTACGCCAGCCTGAAGAAGGAGTTGATCGATTGGGGGTACACTTTCCAAGGCGACAGCGACTCAGAGCTGCTCCTGGCACTCTATGCTCGTGATGGCCAGCGATGTTTCGAATCGCTTCGAGGAGAGTTCGCTTTCGTTCTGTACGACTCCGCTCGCCAGCTTGTCATTGCTGCGAGAGATCGCTATGGTGTCAAACCACTGTTTTGGACTATCAGTGAGGGTCGTCTGCTCTTCGCCAGTGAGGCCAAGGCGTTCAAACCATTGGGCTGGAAGGCTGAATGGGATGTTCGAAGCATCACCGAGGATGGCTGGCTACACGACGAGCGGACGCTGTTCAAGAATGTCCGAAAGGTATGGGGCACGCTCTTGCATTGTTGCGAAAGTTTCACCGGGTTGCTGATACTGTAGCCTCAGATTCTCCCTGGAGAGTATATGCTCTGCCACTCCTTCGACTTCATCAAACATCGACGCTACTGGGAGATCAGCTTTCCCGACAAGGTACGTGCCTGCCCATTCTTTGGTACACTGAGCAGTACTGACCCGTATGACCAGCAAATCCGACAGGATCGCTGTGAAGAAGAAATGATCAAGGAACTCGAGGAGCGCTTGGTGGATGCGGTGACCGCCCGTACGCAAGGTGATGTGAAGATGGGAATATACCTGAGTGGGGGTCTTGACTCTGCCGCCGTTGCAGGCATTGCGGTGGACGTGATGAAGAAGAAAATGACCAAACTCATGGAAGGCCAGCCGCTGCAAGAGCAGAGCAAAGCCATCACGAATCTGATGTGCTTCAACGTGGGGTTCGACAGCAGCACTGAATATGATGAGACACGTGAGTATCGACCCTTCGAACAATATTTGCATAGCAGCACTGACCTGTATTTGCTCCGAAGCCATCGCCAAACGCACCGCAGAGTTCCTGGGCCTTCCCTTTGTCTCGACACGCCTGGACGAGGCTGCGTTTGCAGAGAATTTCGAGCAGACCTACCTGCACAGCGAACATCACAATCCGGACCTCAATTCCGTTGCCAAGTTCGTGCTCTCCGGTTTGGCGCGTGAGAATGGCGTAAAAGTCATCCTATCGGGTATCGTTGCACCTCTTTCCAAAGAGGACCTGGCGCGTGTGTACTGATCTTTTCGTTCAGGAGAGGGTTCTGACGAGCATTTCGGCGGCTATGGTCTTTTTCTTGCCGATTTCCTTCGCGACCCAGACACATCGTTCGGCGAAAACGAGATGAGCGAATCCGAGCGCAAAGACGCGATCGAGGAGGCAGAGTCCCAGCAAGGTCAAATCTACAAGGGTGTCGACACCGCATATCTTCCACGAGACTCAGCTCTGGCTCGCAAGTTGACAAACGGTACATCGATCACAAAGTCCATGATTCCAGTCACCTTCGTCCCCTTCGCGAACTGGGCCAAGCGATATTTTGGCAATGCCCTGAGCATCCCAGAGACCCGCGCTACCAATTCTGATGCACGCTCTTTGGCTTTGATGAAGGATGAGTGGCACTCCCTTCACACTTCTCAGTTCATCTGGACAAAGAGCATCTTGCCGAATCTCATTCTCACCTGCATGGGTGACCGAATGGAAATGTCACACTCCGTTGAAGGTCGCCCTGTCTTCCTCGACCATCGTCTGACAGAGTTTGTCAACCACCTACCACCATCGATGAAGATCAAGTACACCCCTGCCGTCGAACAATCCAAAGCTTGCTTTTACTCTGTCGACAGTGGCTACGGAGATGAGACAGAGCCCAGCTCTCCTGTGGACGCCAGCCCTATCGTCCAGGAAAAGTGGATTCTCCGCGAAGCTACCAAGAAGTACATCACGCACGAGATGTACTCCCGCAAAAAGTACCCCTTCACCGCACCATACATGTTTCCTGTCGGTGGGCCCCTGCACAAGCTCATGTTGCGCCTCGTTACTCACAAGAACGTCGCTCACCTCGGATTCGTGGATGTTGACCGTGCTGTGGCGCTTCTCGACAAGGCCTTCGTCTCACCGTCCAAAGCCGGCGATGGATTTGCGCTGAGAATGTTGTTTGTCATCGCACAGTGGGTCGTATTGTCGCAAGCTCTTGACATTGAGACTGCGGTTTCGGGTAACGGCCCTGGAGATGACGGCGGAGATTGGCAGTGCGATGAAATGAGCAAGAATGGGACTGAGTGGGCTTGGTGCTGATGGTTGTCGGCCGCGGAAAAACATTGTTGGCGCTATAGAATTTCTTAGACCTTCTTGTCTGTACATTAGACTTGCTGAATGTCAGTCCACGTCAGCTTCCACAATTTGTATCGCCGCCGAGACTGAGATGCTTCAGTACCATCGGGAACGAGCTGGGCAATGAAAATGGCATCAATAAAATAAAGCTCTCTGCGACAGGAACTTTTCACCGCTGAATAGAAATCGTGCGCCTTGGCTGGTCCTTGGTTTGATATTTGTGACTGAGCATTGATTGTGGATTAGACTCTGCGATTCCGTCGTACCACGTACACATGTTTTTGTCTTCGAGACCATGATATCAACACCCTTATTCCATTTGTACATGTGATGGGAGGCAGCTTTAGCCTCTCCAAATCTTCTGAGCGCCGCTGATAATGCAATGAAACTGTCCTGACTTCTGCTTCGTCCTCCTTGTAGAAACCTAATCAGTCGTCGTATCCTTCGGGAATCTTTCGGGGGCCTTTGGGAACTGCGTAGACTCTTTTAGCGTACGAACATTTGCTTTGCTGGTCGCGAGAGGACACTTACTCGGGTATGTGTGAGGAATATGCGGACGCGGGCCATCGCCAAAGTACTTTCGCACTGGCGGAACAGCGAACTACAAAGTATCCTGTATCAGTACACGCTGTAGAGAGTGAATCATGTAGAGAGAAGACTAACCAGAAACACAGGACCGAAACTGCCGAGCACAAGACTCCAGAAGATAGCGGGTTTCCGACGCGCAGCCCAGTGGATGTAGGCGCCAGGAGCCTCCCAGAATGTGACGGGAGCCATCGTGAAAATGTGTATCCCCTAAGGACGAGTTGTCGAGAACGACGATGTTGACGTGCGTCACAAGTCTGCCTCACCTCCCCAAGCCGTCGTCGGCCAATGCGCAAGAGACCAAGCTCGCGACGATGAAGGACGCGCGGGAGTAGCCGCTCCGACGCTTGGCACAACTTCCAATGCAACGTAGCTCCAAGATTCAGTAGGCTGGCGAAGCGGCTGTTGAGGTCATCGTGGTTTCGCTCACACAATCATAATCATGAGGTTACCGTTAGCAGGCCTCGTTCTGGGCCTCATAACAGTGGTTGCGGCATTATCGGCGACAGGCAACAAGCTGCTCGTCATTGCGGAGGACGCAGCGGACAAGGACAAGTACTCACAGTTCCTTGCTGGTGTCGAAAGTATGGTCAATGATTGAATTGAGCTACGGAGAATGCGAATGACTGACCAAGGAACTAACCAGAGCGCGGTTTCCAAATTTCACATCATACTCCCAAGGATGCATCATTAGCACTCTTCGAGCACGGCGTGCCAGCATACGATCACCTTTTGCTTCTCCCGACTAAGGCAAAGAGTCTCGGTCAGGCATTGACACCGAATTTAATCGTCGACTTCGTGAACGCTGGATCCAATGTCCTTCTCGCACTTTCATCGACAGTAGGCGTTCCAATCGCCGTCAACAACCTTCTTGCGGAGCTGGATGTAACTCTTGCCTCGGAGAAGAACAGCTTGGTCGTCGATCACTTTCAGCATGATGCTCGGAGCGCAGCGGAGGACCACGACGTTCTGGTGTTAAACACTCCCGACTTCACGGGAAAGAATGTGAAAAATTTCTTCGCAGGCAAGTCGGCTTCAGGCGGCTGGATCGCACTTCCGCGGGCTGTCGGACAGGTTCTCGGCAACGAGTCTCCATTGTTGCAATCCATCATTAAAGCACCGTCAACCTCGTACATGCGCAATCCCAAGGAAGAGGCGGATTCCAACGAGGAGCCATTCGCGACTGGTGCTCAGATCAGCCTAGTTACGGCTTTCCAGGCTCGCAACAGCGCGCGCTTCACCATTCTCGGCAGTGCAGAGGCTTTGGAGGACAAATGGCTCGAAGCGAAGCTTGAGGTCCAGCTTCCGGGCAAGGGTCAGAAGAGTGTCATCCCCGAGAACAAGTTGTTTGCGGAACAGGTCTCGGCTTGGACTTTCAAAGAGGCCGGCGTATTGAAAGTCGGTCAAATCCGTCACTACCTCAACGAGGGCGTGCAGAAGGGATTAAAGAACGCTTCCGGAGTGCCTGCATTTGACGTAAACCCGGAGATCTACCGCATCAAGAACGATGTGCATTACGAAATTGAGCTCTCCGAGTGGGTCACCGATCGCTGGGCTCCGTTCGCGGTTCCAGCTGGCGATGCGCTTCAATTGGAGTTCAGCATGCTTTCGCCCTTCCACCGTCTCGATTTAATTAAGCAGGCCGACACTGCATCTTCGACCGTCTACGCCGTCGATTTCAAGCTGCCCGACCAGCACGGCATCTTCAACTTCTTTGTCGAATACCGCAGACCATTTTACACCGTTGTCGAGGAGAAGAACACCGTGTCAGTGCGTCACTTTGCTCACGACGAGTGGCCACGATCGTTCGTCATCAGCGGCGCCTGGCCATGGATTGGTGGCATCTGGGTCACAATCACTGGGTGGATTTTGTTTGTCGCACTATGGCTCTACAGCAAACCTGCTGCTGAGAAGAACCTCAAGCGCTTATGAAGAATATCTCTCGCGGGTAGTGTGCGCGGGCGCTGTGCATGTCGCGTCAGAATGATGTACAACTATCGATAGATGAAAACGATTTCAGAGCCTCCGTCCTGTTGTTCAAATCGTGAGCGATTGCTATGATCAGATTGTGAGAAGTCTGTTCTGTGCACGACCACGATTCCGCGAAAAGTGTGATGATAAACACCACGACTGTCGCAACGCCTCGTCGCCTGCATAAGAACCGAACATTACCTACCTAGGTACCTTGGTAGGTATGTATTATACGAACAACGCTCCGCGTTTCTCCCCGCATTGCAGCCAATCCACCATGTGTGTGTGACGACTCGGAACTCATCAACCACAGTGTCCTGTCGATTTCCTCCCAATTGTATTGACACACTGATCGGCAGTCATGTTGAAAGAGACGTAAGGGGTTGTCATATAGCTCATTCCCGAGCTCATGGAGGTATTGCACATGATGGAACAACGTATCGCATCGCGACAATCGCGGTCGCAACATGTACGATAAGCGTACTCTCACCTCCACACTTTACATACCTTATGCACAGCCAAACGGTGGACATCTCTTAGGGCCAGCCTCGGAGCGACGATTTTGGAAGCTTTTGGCACGTGACCTGCTTTATTCATCGATTATGCTTCGATAACCAATGTTGAATCGGGGAAGTCACTGACGTTTTGGGATCGTGATATGCACCTGTCGTCGTGGGGCATTTTGCATTTATGTCAAGACATCAGCTCGGTTCTCTGAGTGCGCCGCGCATTCGTCATCAACTACAATCCACTTGACAGGTTCCCGCTTCAGTATTTCGACTCGATGACTACTTGATTCCACGCATCACGAGCCCTTCGTGGCATTGGCATCTCGACTAAGAACTACCTCTACGTCCGGACCTCGCAGTCGAACCAGTAAACCTCAGATATGGCGGAAGAGGAGGAATCGTCGCTCCTTCCTCGTGAGCCTTTGGATATCGTGGATCATTCTATGGCCGCCTCACCACAACGGCGAGACACTATTTCAACGATAGCGGGTAGCGAAGCTGGTGTATCTGATACCTGCCGAATCTGCCGGAGTGAAGGGACCATTGAGGAACCTCTATTCTATCCTTGCAAATGCAGCGGCAGTATCAAATTCGTCCACCAGGAATGTCTCATGGAATGGCTCTCCCACTCTCACAAAAAGCACTGCGAGCTATGCAAGACACCATTTCGCTTCACCAAACTTTACGACGCCGATATGCCGCAGGTCCTCCCCTGGACCGTCTTCGTACAGCGAGCATGCCTGCATGTGGCGTTCATGATTTTAAGAGCATGTCGAGCGCTGCTCGTGAGCGCCGTCTGGCTGTTACTGCTACCTTGGTTGATACGCTGGAGCTGGAGGTGGATGTTCTGGGTGGCTGATGTGGGCTGGGCGAGGGAATCGTTTGTCAGGCAGATGCAGATTGAGCGGTTGCTACAATTGCAAAACATCAATTCGACCATGGATCTCCCACAGACGGCTCAGGTGGAATCACTCAAGTACTGGGAGAGCAAATTCGGCAAAATAAAGGGGGATACTGCGCTGAAAGCATCAGCATGGATATTGGCCCAGCTTGGAAAGGATAGCGACGCGCCTATGGACTCTTTGAACTCAACCATCTTCGGACCAGTATCTGTGTCGTGGCCGCAAGCTGACTCTTCGATCCTCTCTGGCTTTTCCTATCTCTCCGAACTCACCAAGAATTCCGGGTTGAACAGGATCATTCTCGATGTCTTTGAAGGTCAGCTCATCACTTGCGTTGTTATTACCGGATTCGTCTTGGTCTTCCTGATCCGAGAATGGGTGGTGCAGCAACAACCTCTGGTCAACTTGGATAACCTTAACATTGAGGTTCAGGCACGTCAGAGGCAGGAACGGAGAGCTCGAGATCGCATGAGGAGACAGTTAGACCTGCTCGATCAGGCAAGAGCGCAAGCGAACGCGCTCGAGAATGAATTGGCTGCTGCGCAAGAATCCATAGCAGCAGCTGAAGCGGCTAGACCTGCCGAGTCTGTAGCTTCGGAGGAGCATGAAACCATCGATCTGGAGAATGTGGAAGATCTGGTGAACGCGGTCAGCGCAAAATATCATGATCTGGATGGTCGTGCAGCATTTGCCGCGGACGCAATCAAATTGATCAGGGACATCCATTTCACTGAAGGTGCAGAGCCAGACGGTCGTCCGTTAGTAGCTGGCCAGAAAGCAATTGACGCTATACTGAAACTTCCCCTCGAGCAAAGACTAGCATGGATCGAGGTCCTTAGTGACGAAGCCGGAAGTGGAATCACGGCTGGATGGTCCAGGATTAGATCACCTCAGGGGGACGAAGATTCCGTCGACGGACAGTCATCTGGAGATTTATCCCCTTCGGAAGAGTCGAGCGGCTCACGGCGTCCACCGATGCCTAGCCGTGACACTTCATCCCGAGCGACACACATACAACGTACACTGGAGGAATTAGAACCTGATGACCAGATACCTGTCTTCAACGGTCGAGCGCTTCCATCTATCGATACAGCCGACCATCATGCTGTTCGGTTTGCCAATCTTCCAGCAACACCACGACCGACTGATTATCTCGATGTGCAAAGTCCTCTCGAGATGCTGAGCCGTACATCAACAGCAACTAGCTGGCAAGAAATAACAATGGCGAATGTGAATGGCAACCGAGCTGAAGGCGCTCCTGTGATTGAGGAGATGCCAGTCACAAATGCAGGACCTGACGCAAAGATCAATATTAAACGGGGTGGCAAGAACAATTGGACATCTATACCAGAGCCCATGGATGAGCCCGCGCTGATAACCGGGTCTGAACTGCGTAGACGACTCGGACAAATCAGCGACGATTCATTTGAGGCCGCAGAGCGGTCCGACGCGAGGCTTGAGGAGGAGTATGGCCCGCACACAAATAACCCCTTTCATCCCGACGGACCAGACCCTGACAATCGTGACCGAGACACCTTCCGTGATCGCGTAGAAAGCGTATTCCGCGAAGAGTTCGGGCTCGACGAAGCGGAGCATCTTCACGAACATGAGCCAGCTGCAGCCGAAGCAGCACCAGCAGACGAAGGAGCCGATGCTGCCAGTGAACACTCGGCTGAGACGACCGTGCCCGTCCCGCAACCGCCGGCTGCACCGCCGAGTTTCTTACAACGCACAGCAAATTGGTTCTGGGGCGATATCCAGTTGCTCGAGCGTGGACCCGATCCCGTACCTGTCCCACAAGAAGAAAGAATTGACCCTGCGGAACCTTTGGTGGAGATCCCTGACGTGCCGGATGCCAATGCCGATATTTTCTTCGGAGGCGGTCAAGCAGCCGCCGCCGCCGCGCCACAACCCCCCGCGCCTGGCGCCGAAGTCCCCGAGCATGATCCAGAAGTCGTAGCTGCCGCGCAGCAGGCTGGTCTGGATCCCGAGGCCATCGAAGATGTCGACGACCTCGAAGGCATCTTTGAGCTTATTGGTCTGCACGGTCCGATCATTGGCTTGTTCCAGACATCTTGCTTTTGCAGCGTTCTTGTCTCGGCTACTATTGCCGGCGCTGTCGGCCTGCCATATCTTTGGGGCAAGGTCGTGCTATCATTCATAGGAAATCCTCTCGGCTTCATTCTTCGCGTTCCGTTGCAAACGGCATCGATCGCGGCCGATTTCCTAATTGATGCCTTTTTGTTCATTGGCGGCTGGTTGGTCGTTCTTGCGACCTTTGTCGCTGGGATCATTCTCTCGCCCATATCTTCTGTGGCCAAGTCCGCTTTCATGGGACGAGTCTCTGATTTCGGCTTGACTACAGCAGAGCACGCCCTAACGCGTGTAGAGAAGCTTTTGTTTGCATCTGAGTCTTCTATTGAGTTAAATTGGAATTCGGCTTTCCTGAAGTGGTCAATCCACGCTCACGACTCGCTCGTCACCATTCAGGATGAAGTCAACTTCGTGCTGAACTACATCGGCAGTGTCATCACCTCTGTTGTCGACACCATCTCCTCCGGCTCAATGGCTCTCGTCTGGCAACGTTCAGTTAACGCCATGGCACATGTTCTGGAATTCCCTGCTCGCCTTCTTGCTGGCGTTGAGGCACTGGAGCAGTACACACGACCATTTTTCGATATCATTCGAAACCTTCGCACGGGTGCGCTCACCTTTCGTGTATCGGAAGTGTCACTGGAACCTACGCTTGTTTACTGGAACTCGACCGATCGCGGGCTCGCTGTCATGACGGGATATGTCGCCCTTGCCGCTCTAGCCGCCATCTATGTTGCGCTTGATACGCCTATCATGCGTACTGAGTCCGGACAGAAGACCGAAAAAATCGTGCGCGACACTCTTCGTCAAGCTGGAGGCGTACTGAAGGTCATCCTCATCATTAGTATTGAGATGCTCGTTTTTCCGCTCTACTGTGGACTACTCCTCGACTTGGCATTTCTGCCATTGTTCCAAGGTGCATCGATGGCGACGCGGTGGGCATTTGCAGTGCGGGCCCCATATACGTTCTGCTTTGTTCATTGGTTCATCGGCACCTGTTACATGTTCCACTTCGCACTTTTCGTGGGCATGTGTCGCAAGATCCTCCGCAAAGGCGTCCTGTGGTTCATCCGCGACCCTGATGACCCTACATTCCATCCTGTCCGAGATGTCCTGGAACGTAATGTCACAACTCAACTGCGCAAAATCGTATTCAGCGCGCTGGTCTATGGAGCTTTGGTCATATTATGTCTCGGAGGAGTCATCTGGTCCATTGGACACATTTTCGAAGGGATCTTCCCCATTCAATGGATCTCGACCGAACCCGTGCTCGAATTTCCGATGGACCTGCTGCTGTACAACTTCCTCACTCCACTACTCATCAAGCTTTTCAAACCTTCTGATGCGGTCCATGCCATGTACGCATGGTGGCTCAGGCGTTGTGCAAGAGCTTTGCGGCTGTCGCATTTCCTATTTGACGATCGCCGGAAAGATGAAGAAGGGCGACATGTCCACAAGTCATGGATCACGCGACTTCTGCTACGAAGAGGCAACGTCGATGCTGCTCTTCCAGAAGATCACCATCTAGATGCCCACGACGAATCGACTCCAGATGTGTACTTCCAACGTGATGGCAAGTACGTCCTCACACCTTGTAGTGACCAATACCGCCCACCCAAGCCCGGCGAAGCGTTCCTATATGCCACGGACAACGATGCATACATTGCAGACAAGGACGGCAATAAGAATGACCACTTCTCTCGCGTGTACATCCCGCCCAGCTTTCAGTTACGGGTAACGTTGTTCATGGTGTGCCTATGGATGTTCTCTGCCTTCACTGGACTGTGTGCCACTTTGGTGCCTCTAGTTTTCGGTCGACATCTTTTCGGACTCTTTGTTCCCGCTGGCGTTCAAGTCAATGACATCTACGCCTACTCCGTCGGTGCATACATCATTTTCGGAGCACTTTATGCGGGATACAAATACAACTCTGCAATCCGGTATCTGCAAGATAACGCCTTTATCGTCGATGTCAAGGCATGGCTCAGCTCAGTTGCCCGGAATGTCACACAAGCTCTGAAATGCTTGTATGTCTATGGCTTCCTGGGCGTGGTTCTTCCCATTGCATTCGCCCTGATCATTCAATTCTACTTGATTCTACCAATTCACACACTTCTGGTAGCTTCCGCATCTACCCTGGCGTCCTCTCAATCAGCCGCGGCGCAATCTCTAGACAACAACAACAGCACACTCTTTTCCTCAGTCGCAACCAATGCCACCGAGCTCCTTGTTCAATATACTTCATCCGCCCTCAACAATACTCTCACCTCCCAACAGACCCCCTCCCACCCCGTCTTCGTCGACCACAGCATGCACGTCCTCGCCGACTACGCACTAGGCCTGCTCTACGTCCGCATCGCAATCCGCTTCATCCTCTCAACTCCGACCTCCCGCGCCGCCGAAGCCTTCCGCCGCATCACCGCGAACGGCTACCTGGACCCGGACGCGCGTCTTGCAACCCGCTTCTTCGTCCTCCCGGCAACAATTCTCGCTCTCGTCGTTCTCGTTGCCCCTTTGACCGTCGCCCACACCCTCATTGTTGTCATCAACCTCTTCCGCCGCAACGCACTCGCCACGCGGACCCAGGCGGTAATCTATCGCTATGCATATCCGCTCATGGCGATCAATATCGTGTTGTGGATCGTCTTGAGAAGTGCAGCAAACGCGACGGCGAGATGGCGCGCGAGGATCCGAGATGAGGTATATCTCGTCGGCGAGCGTCTGCATAATTTCGGAGAGAAGCGACCGCCGGTGGGCAGTCGGAGTGTGGTGAGGAAAGACCGTTGAGTTCAGAGGTTGAATTGAGTCGGGTGGTGGGAAGTTGACACAAGAACACTGATTATCAGCATTTGGGTGTTCGCGGCGTTCGGAAGATTTCCATGGTTGTCTCCATTCATTCTTTGACTCTTGCCATTTCTATGGGAGGGTACACTTTCTCTTTAGCAGTCTTCGGAAAGCATTCCCACGCCAGAATGCTACTCAGTCATTGTTTCTAGCAGATATCCATCATCAAGCTCGTAGCATCCAGGAGTACGATTTTTCTCTTCAGCGTTGTAGAGACACTCTCTTCTTTCTCAGCCCAATGGGTTCTACAAGTGCCATTTCGCAGGTTGAGTAGGTAGGCTGGTAAAATATTCTTGAATGTTATTTTGTACATTGGTTTTATCGTTACAGAGGGAAATATCGAGAGCTTTTCTACACAGCTCTGGACTCTTGTAATCGATCGGACCAGTACGACCCCACGTTCTGCTGTGAACGAGACGTATGAGTTGGCCGTCTCCATTTATCTCCTTCACTTAAGTGATGAGCCTCCCAACAGCACAGACCCCGTCAACACAAGGTCCGATGAGAAATTCCCAAACAAATATGAACTCCCGAGAACGCCGATTCCTCCCATATTTCCACTCCTCTCCTGCACACGATTCCATCTCTTTAGAAACCTGGCGGGTTCACCCTCTGGCTGACCCTCGTCCACTTGGGCAACTTATGCACTCCCTTCCGGAACCCTCGAACTTTCTTGTCGAAAATCGAATATTTGTCCCGCGGCAACATCTCCGCCTCTGACGGCATCTCCGCCTTCCATCGCGTAATCAATTTGATCGTCGAGCTTGCCTGCGCCACGGCAGATAATTTCACCGTTGAAGAGGGCTTGGTCACGCCCTGCGCATCGTGCACGGGGAGCATTTCTCCCGCGCGAGGACCGCGGCCGTGGCGCTGGGATGAGAGGTCGGCGGATTTACTTTGGACGGAGGGTTGGGAGGCGGCAGAGGCAGTGATAAGATCTGGGCCAGTGCTAGAGGAGAGATTCGTGTTGGAAGGTTGTGTGGAGATGGGATCTTCGCTGGCGGAGGTTGTTGGAAGGTTGCGGCTGGCGACGCTGGCGGAGAGACCTTGTCGTTGGAGAGCGGCATCAAGAATGCTGACGATGTTGTCGACGCGCCGGAGACGTTGCCGTTGGCGGAGTTTTTGATTTGAGGAGAGGCGCCATGGGATTTTCCTGGAGGAGTTTATGATCAGCAGGGATCCTGGTTGGGTAGATATGTTCGAGGAGTTTGCTTCGGAGATTCATTCATGCATTGACTTACCAGAGGAGACCTCCAGATAACCGAGCAGTAGGTTTGAACATTGTGATGATGGTTGCGCTCGTGGTTCTTACTTGCAATACACGAGTGTGTCCATTGTTGAGAGCATTGGGATGCACTTCGCCGCGGGAGTGCCAAGATTGACGAGAAGTCCGGTGAGGACCCATGAGAGAGGCGTACCCTAAGGAGCCAACGACCATGCTCGCCATTAGCAGATGGAATTGACATGAAATCATAAGTTTTTATCTCTACTATCGCCGCTCAACTTACTCGTAGACAACGCAAGCTCAAGAGAACAGGCATGTCGTACTACTTTTCGATAATTGGCACGCGCGACAACCCGCTGTTTGAAGCAGACTTTGGCACATCCAAGGTCGGCGGCGACGGCATCGCAAGATTCCGGGATGAAGCCAAGCACATGAATCAATTCATTGTCCATGCCGCGTTAGATCTGGTCGAGGAAGCACAATGGTCAACGAAGGACCTGTAAGTGGATTCTCAGATCACCCCTTCGACATCCTTGGCGTCAATTGTGCTTATGTACCGGTACGATAGATATCTCAAGCGAGTCGACACTTTCCAAAACAACCACATGCATTGTTTCCTTACGGGTGGAAACGTCAAATTCATGTTGTTGATGAATCCGGATCCGGCATCGACACCTTACTCGGCGCATCCGACTGCGCCTCCTTCACGGCCATCGACCGCGCGGCAGAGTATGTTGTTGGCGAGTAATCCAAGCAGTCCCCAAACGGAAGATGCAGTTCGACAATTCATGCTGGAGGTACGTGGGACTTGCACTTTACATGAGGTTGGTCTATCCGAAGGACAAATCTGACATGAGTATCTACACGATAGGTGTATGAAGCCTGGACCAAGTGTATCATGAATCCCTTCTATGATGTGAACCAAACAGTGACTAGCCCGGTCTTTCGCGGACGCGTCTTGACTGCTGCAAAGAAGTACCTATGAAGACAGATAAATCGATCACAAGCAAGAAATATCCATCACATAGCAACAGAACGGTGACGAGCGATCAGTTGGTCAATCCACGATGACTACTACCGATGGACCACGTCAGCATGCTGAGATGCAGAGAACAGCTTTTCCCGATTTCAATTGCCGGACGCAACTTCTGACTTGCACCCCTTACCGGTGCAGACACAAGCAAGGCTCATGCATCACATACGGACACCTGCACCTACACATGACGACAGGATAGTGCAACACACGGAACCACAATCATGTCAGCTGACGTCGCCCATATACAAGGCAATCATGGAGAGTAAAGGAATGAACGGGGTCACCGCATAGAGGGCGCGGATCTTATGATAACCGAGCCGGATCTGCCCGAGTCTGGGGTAAGGCTTGTGACACACTGCATGCTTTGTCACAGTTCCGACCATCCCGAGGGCAAGTCTGCAGATATGCGCATGGTTTGGTGGGTGTGGTGCGAACGAGGACAATCAAGTCCTAATCAAATGGAGTGTGTGTGTGTGGGTGGTCGCGCCCGTGAAGAAGTCACCGCGTAACAATAAGGTGCGGGCCGCGAAGACAGCGATAAAATGAAGGACAACGATTGTGGAGATCGGATGCCTCCCTCCACATGTGTGCACGTGCGTGGACACATGAGCGCCGGGGAGTTTCAATCAAGATATCATCGTTGTCATCACGTGCGCATGCACATGTGTTGCATACGTACCCGTGTCTTTCTCTTCACTTCCAAGATTACTTTTCAAAGCGAAAAGCGCCTGGGTAGTGAACGAGTAAAAACCGAACGGAAAGCACTCTTCCTTCCGCCCAAGACAAACATTGCTGGGCGACTTGGCGTCGTTCGAAGAAGCGACGAAGAACCTTGGTTTCTGGGGAAGAGGCTGGTAATTCATTACTCCAGAGAAACTCGGAGTTTTCACCGCGTGGGGTGGAATGGGTAGGGAGAAACAGAGAAAGAATGGAGATGGCAGCAACCACTACCCAGGAAGGACCGTACATCGTCCGATGTATGCAAAAGATGTATGTATCTGCATCTGCACGCGCGCGCACTGCTGCCCATGTGTCCACTCTGTCTCCCTCCCTCTCCCTCTCTCGTATTGACCAGGGCTCCCTTCGTTTCACCATGCGATGATGCTGGGTCAATACAATGGATGGATGGCAGCTTAAAGGTACTGTCGCCGGGTGGTTTCACGTGTCAGCTCTCTCTACCATCGACTCCTCTGCTGGTCAGGTCACGCGGGACTCTTGTCTCCTCGGAGCAGAGTATGGTTGGTTACCCGGAGGATGATGGGTGTGTTGCTGAGGTCAGTGGTGATGTGCAGAGTAGTGTTGCAGGAGAACACAACGTTTCGTCGTCTCTTCTTTTCTTGGTCCCATTCGCGCGCGCGTCTTTGCATGAGCGCGATCGCGTCGTCGCGGTTTGGAAATTGCGGGGTTGAAGCTGGTGTCGCGCGACCACCCACCTCCCTCCACCACCGCCGCTATCATCGTCACCGCTCGCTGATATCACTTTCTTCTCCATTGTTGGGATACGTTCTGGCGGCGGTAGCGACAGTTTACCAACAAATCGACTGCTTCTGGTCTGGATTTTGACAAAGGAAAAGCATAGAGAATCACGTAGAACAAGCGAACAAAGGAGAGGAGCTGATAATCACACAGCATGATGTGCATGCAGGATGCACATGTGAATAGCTGGCTTTGTCCATCATTCTTCACGGCGATCCCTGTTTGTTGCCAGTGCCCTTGACTTCAAACTCGTTGTTTAGAATCCGAGAGGCAAAGTTTTTTGACTGTGACAGTCGCGGTGTAACCCAGTCTTGCTCCTTTGCTTCACCATCCTGGTCCAGATGCCGCGAGAAGATTGGCGGAATGTGAGGTGTGTGTATGATAAGTCACAGCCTGGGAGAAATGGCGGTAAAGCTGCAGCAAGAGCAACCACTTTATCTCGCACTCTGAGGTGCATACCAACGTGAGTGATGAGCGGTCATCAAGACGATTTCCCGGCCTGAACAAGCCTTCCAGCCATCCATATGCTTCATCGAAGGTAGCCGTGCCAGTGCATGAATGATGGATCACAGTGAGCAATGTGAGCAATTGCTTTCTCAGCTCGCCACGATCCTCTCTCACAACACCACAATTCCGATGCGGGTGTGTCAGCAGGGGAGAATAGTAAGTATAGATACAACACAAGAGTACATGCAACTCTGAAGAGGGATTGAGAATCTGTACACAATTCGAGGAGGGCGGAGGCTGGTGGCTTTTTGGCGGCGTGGAGAGAGGGCGGCGATCGGTCAACAAGATAAGCGGATCGATCGTCACGAGGGCACGTGGAGACCCGATGATGAGTCAGGGAGATGTGCATCGACCGACATAGCGTGGTCCATTCGTTGTCACGGTCTCTGGTCATTATCTTGACAGTGAAGAGTGCTCAATCGTGTCACGATCAATTGGCGATGACTCCATCGTGCAGCTTTGGGACAGCGCCAACATGTCGTGCAGATAAACGCTAGGTCGCGAAAATGTGTATATGCACGTGGAGACGGTGCTGCTGCTGCTGCTAGCCGGGGATGACGACCTATGGTGCTACTTGCGATTTCCACTTCCCTCGTATTTGCATGATGACTAGGAGTAGGTACGGATCAGGTGGGAAGGCATATGGCGAAAATGGCGATTTCCAGTCGAACCAGCACTACGTATTGGGCCGCTATATCAGAACGGAGACACTGCATCGTGCTCATCTATCCTCGGAGATATTCGCGAGAGAGGCGCACGGCAGAAGTTTTGGTGGAGAGAGATGTGCATGGATGACCAGCTACGCCCAGGTACAGTACAGTAGTCGCCATGTCTCGGAACTTTGCGAGTGACTGGCAGGACCGGGGGGTTGGCCAACCTCACCTCTCCCCAACTCTTCATCATCCTTACACCGCCATTCTGCTGGAGGTTCTTTCGGCACATGAATTCGGGTCTTTTCTGGCACACAGGTGTATTCGGGTGGTTTCGCCAATAATACCAACAAGCATCATCATCGCCCAGGTGGCTTTTGGTTGCCCCTTTGCTCGCACACCTCCTGATGTAAAGATCACCACATCCGGCCAACGGGCAGAATGACAGCCAGCCAGCCACCTTACCTCTGCATACATGCCCACCGATTGCAATGCCGAAATGGGCCGATACAGAGCTGCAGATGTTCGACGATGGAGACCCTACAATGCTGCACACATGCAATGTAACACAACACAGGGGAGAGGAAGAAAGTGCGGTGAGTGAAGAAAGAATCCGGGACTTGAGAGGACCCGAGACATCGAATCCAACTCACCAACCCCCCTTTTGTATTCTCCCTACATACAAATCTCCTGCAGGACATGCTTTGCATGCATGGTAGACGTAATAAAAACGGCGGCAATGCAGAGGAGCCCATTGAAGGGCAAGTAAAGTCGATACGAGCGAGAGAGAGAGAGAGAGAGAGAGAGAGAGGTCGGCCATTGGAGATCATCAATCGAAAGAAGAAATGGTCCTCAAAAGATCAGAACTTCGTAAAATGCTGTATTATTATCCAATGAACAAAAATCAATTCCAGAAATCGAAAAACGGTAGATATGTCATAATGTTTGAAAAAAACGCCAATTTCCATTTGTGTCATGCTGCTTTAACCAAAAGACCATGATGATTCGCCCCTCAAAACGCCGTGGAAGCAGCCCGCTGTGGGAAAACCCCAGAGAGTGCTCTTTCCTGTATATATTTCGTACAACAGTTCCTTCTGGAAAGTGAGTAGGACCAAAGAAAAAAGCGAGTAAAACAAAACAACGACGAAGAAGACAAAAAAGACCCAGACGAATGCATCGCAACTGCCCTAAATGCGGGAGGCGGGAGAAAACAGACTGAATCGAGGAAGATGAAGAACGCCGGAAGATAGGAATACTGAAAGGTTTTTTCGTGAACAAGATGTAGCAATGCGCAGATTGTTCGTTCGTTCAAGGTTCGTTTGTTGATGGCGTCGAATTTTGGTTTTTCCAATTCTGGACGAGGTCGTGGGTTGGTCGGAGTGGAGGCGAGGCGAGGTTGATGTGAGTAGTGATGATGATCTTGTCAATGATGTTATTGGTCGACGATGAGGTGGTGATAGTGTGGTGTGATGATGAATAATGGTGGGTTGGTTGGTAGGCTGGCAGGCTGAGAGCAATCAGGTGTTGCATGCAGATCGATCATGCTACTGTAGAAAGTGCATGCGTCGCAGGTGAGGAGAGAAGATGGATACATCATACCGAAGCTACGAAAGCTTCGAGGGTGTGCAGTCCAACAAAGGTGGTGATGTTCGTTGGAGTTGCGGTAGATGATCGGGTATGGGTCTCCTCCGGGAGCGTCCGGGCGAGCTGGAGGTGCTCGTCATGGTGCATATGCGCAGGTGGTGTTGCTACGGTGGGTGGCAGGCTTTGCGCAGCTGCTTCATAGTAGCTGCACATGCGGTACTGCGTGTGTGCAAAACACGTCTTTGCCTGTCGCTGCTGCGGCATTTGGTTTCGGATATTGCTGTTGCTGCCTAAAGGATGGAGTGGTAGGAATGACGAATCGACTCGGAAGTTGCTGCTTCATTCCGCCGCGGCCTCTGCCTCGCGATCTTCACCCAATGGGTAGATGTGCACGCTCGGACGACGCCAGGCATGGACTTTGCCGGACATGGTGCGGTTGTAGCGGAGACCTGGACGTTGAAGCTTTCGGTACTGCAGGCGGCGTTCGCGCGCACGAGCGATCAGAGCGGCGACTGGAACATCGGCTTCGCTGTCAGAGGAGGAAGATGAGCATGCATTCTCGTCGTCGTCGTACTGGGAGCTGTTGTCGTGCGAGTCGTAGGCATCGTCGAGATCTGAAGAGGTCTTGATGGCTGGTGGGAGTTGAAGGTGAAGGTAGTCGGGCACGCGAGGACGAAGTGAGTTCCGGCCGCGGTGGGCATTGTCCATCTCGAAGTCGTCGCGGAGGTTGGGTGAATGATCGGGAGTGAGTTGCGGAACATCATTCATGAGAGGGGTCCATCGTCGTTGGCTGGCGTCGGCAGGTGATCCTGATCGGTTCCGCTCGACAGCACGTTGAAGTGCAGACGCCTGGCTCTCGAGAAGGGATTGCCATTTGCCAGGGACATGTTGTTGATGTTCGGAAGCATTGCGTCGATCGCGGTCGAAGAGGGCAAAGTCGGTGATGCCAGCGTTCCAAGCGACCTCCTCATTGTCGCTCTCATCCTCGCTGTCATCGGCCCAGTCCTCGTACTCGTACAGCTGCATTGGTGATAAGAAGTGGGTGTCAGGGCTTTCGTTTAGTTCATCCTCATAAGGGTCGTGACGGGACTGTTGAAAGTCGTCTATGCTAGAGGCCATGGAAGGAGAGGAGGATGTTTGAGGTTTAAGTAGCCTGCGCGGGTAGAACGGCGGCCAAGTTTGAGTTCGAGCAGGCTCGATCCTAGCAGCAGCAGTGAAGGGCACGGGCGACGGCGGCATGATGAAGGAAAAAGCACGGATGCCTTGTTCACACGCGTGGGCGATTACGCAGTCGCACCGACCAACCGACCAAGGCGGGAAGGAAAGCAGTAGTTGGGCACACGAGCAGTTCCTGCTTGGAGAGTTGGGGAACAATAATGCGAGAGGGAGGGTACTGCAGCCGCGAGGATGGGGGTGGGTGTGCAGCTGTGGTTAGCCCAATTGATGGAAATGGATGGGCGGTTGCAGGCTACTGCAGGCTGCGAGTCGCAAAAGCGTGGGTAGGTGGTGATAATCTGAGAATTGGTGGTGGTGGATGATGATCTGTGCGCCCGCATATGCGTTTTGTGGTGGTGATGAGCGGAGGAATGATCAATCGACCGTCAATCGTCCAGAATCGGTGGGGCCCGGGTTGACATGCAGCAACGAAACGAGAAACAGGGTACACTCCGTACCGTCCAAGTGCTGCACTGCAACGGTCGGCAATAATACCCAGGTGTTCGCTGATGAATTGGGCGGACGGGCGGGCTGGCGGGCGGGCTGATCGGGGTGAATGTGACCTGATTTCTCTTCCTGCGGCCGGTTTCTGCCAGGCTGCCCAAGGTGGAAATAATTTCCAGGTCGACGGCTCCAGCTAGAACTTCCAGTGCTGACTGATGACCAAACAATAAACAGCCGTGATACTTTTGCTGTCACAACCCTTTCTTTGCCGCAACGCTTTCGCCGTCGTCGTCGTTGGATGATGGATCTCCCGCGGGAGTGGCTGTGATCGCTGTTGCGATTACGTGGACGACCAACAACGCCGTGGTCGTGATAGTGGTAGTAGTGTAGATCGCAGAGGATGCGTAATGTGGGTAAGGGCACACGCGACAGTTTTTTTCTCTGTTCCTCTGTGTCGGCGAATGATGATTGACCGATTCCGTCTGGGCGCAGGGCCGGGCAGCGATGCAGACCGTGAGAACAGGAGACGAGGGAAATATGCACGTCCGTTGTGCTGTTGCGCTGGTTGGTTGGTTGGCTGGTGGAGATGTGATGCTCACGTAGCAAAGCCAGCGCTGGCCTGCGCGGTGCTGCAAACGAAAGACAATTTGGGGCCAAAGTGGTCAATTCAGGCAGCCCGATTCGGGACGTGCAGCTCGATGGTCCGGGTGAGTCTGCGTCAAATCGGATGCGAGTACAACAGCGTGGGGCCAACGGGCAGGAAAATCTGCAAGACTTCGAAGGGACACTTGCGTCTCGAGTAGTAATGACGATGCTGTCGGCGATGATGCTTTCTTTTGCTGGTGACGGTGCTGGCACGGGTGGCTCGAGTAGCGAAGGATGTACGTAGGAATGGGACTTCTGCAGGCGACGACGAACGATGTGTATGCAACAACAACGACAACGAGCGACAGGCAAAAGGAGAGGATCACGGAAAGCTTTCTCTCTCACTCGTTTAGTCCAAAGACACTTTTCCTGTCCTTCTTTTCGATTTACTGCTTTCCTTTGCAGAATGGAATGGTTGACGGAAGAGGTAACCGAGAAAGGAGTCGGCGGTGGCATCCACTGGCCTTTTGTTTCCTCTGCGACCTCCGATTATTACTACCACTGACCAGCACGCAACATCATTTTAGGCGGATGACTAGACATTCACCATATTCCGGAAACAGTCACGGTACACTGCCGCCTTGTCATCAGCCTAGCCAGAAGCCTCATGTGCCCGCCTAGAATGATTCGTAGATACACTCCATCACACACACTCACGCACACACAGACAAATACCGGGCAGAGTGGCGGTGCGTGAGGGCGAGAGGAGGGAGAGAAGGTGTGCGAAAGAGTGGTCGAAGTGGGTTGTCTGCGTCAGGTCGTCAGGGCGGTCGGGACGTGGACCACTGCTGGTGTCCTGCTGAGACATCATTCTTCCCTCTTTTCCCTTCTCTGCCCAGAGGTATTATTATAGAGCAGGAATCAGTGTGTGTAGCGCAAGTACCCTGTACATACGTACCACCTGGGCACTTCTCTACCGTCTACACACCGACCGTGGATTCCCAGCGAATAACGGAAACAAATGGCGCCGCCGGACGCCGATGTTACAGGAAATAATGTGTAGCGTAGCGAAATCCTCGAACCAGATGAAAGCGCTCCTAGTTCTTCCGAATCACGAGTCCGCATCACGACTGTGATATGCGAATCGGACAAAAGCTTTGTACTCGCCCTTGATCGACATGGCAATCGGGAATAATCAGAATAGACCTAAAACAAAAGCATGTGGTGACTGTATGAGGTGAGACGAGATGCAAGACATGATGGGAGCACGAGCTGCGATCCCGAATCTTAGCGCGTGTGTCTCCTCAAAAAGCCATGTGCACAGTAGAGGGAAGAGGAACGAAAGATGTGGCGATTGAACAATGGATACTACGTCTTGTCACTGTGTGTGTCGTTACGTGGAGGAGAAGATCATTCGATTCACCGGGGGCCTGGCCATCATCCTATCAACCTGCATTTCCTACATGAGTACACACAATACAGTCACAGTACTTGCCTCGTCGATTCGCAGGTGACCTGTTGGTTATGAGTAATATCACCAGAGGAGCGTCGTAACATCACCGTTCAGGTCCACGAATCCGACTGCCTGGACGACATGGGATGATGCTGACGTGAGCCTGCCCAGGTGGACCAGAATAATAATACGATATCGTGCATATCTTGGAAATAACCATCACATTATTATTACCAAGCAATTATCGGCGAAGTCAATATTGGACACGCGAGTGAAGTACAAGTACATCTCGTTACCCGGAGGTCCAAGCACCTGGGCATCCCGCGGGAGTCTCACCCTCAGATGATACACTTTTCGAGTTGTCAGTCTCCACCTCAAACTGCCCTACGTACCGTTTCGTCACCAGAACATAGATGAGATGACCGATCCCATACTTGCTATCCGAAAAGAGTTGGATGAGTGTCAAACACGTCCACAATAGACAGGATCACGGTAGCGAAAAGGATAAAATTCATGAAATGGAAGACACAAAAGAAAATCCATCCCACAAGATTCAACGGCTGCAGGTACAACGGAAACGGTGCAGCATAAAGAGGCCCCGCTCGCCAACGAGCGTGCAGGGAAATCTAAATGCTGTACAAAAAATGCCATGGGCAAGGGAGTGATGATGGCGTTTCGCATAATAACCTACCGGAAGAGGGTCGGTACATTATACGTTGCGTGCATGATTAGCGTGGAGAGTTGATACAGTAGGCACAGCGTAGGCGCAGTGTCTTCCAACCGTCTGTTTGGATTGTCCTCTTCCGTCTCTCGCGCGACACAGAAACGTGAAGAAAAAGACAGGAACCGAGAGCAACCATGCATCACATTGCATGATTACTGCACATAGCGACCCTACTTGCGTCAATCTACATATCTGTGTGAATTCTGCATCTTGCGTGCAAACGATCTGCTGGTTAACCGTGGGTCCATGGCGTCAAGGGACATGACATGTCCGATTTCTTTGGAGATCCCGGTTTCGCTCACGAGATGGGGATACGGGACGATTCCATGGTTGACGTGATAGATCTGCCCGCCCGCGCCCGCGAAAGTAGAGTACCATGGACATGACGGTTCGAAGAGGCAAGGTCACGTTGGGAGTTGTGTCTGAGTGTCCACTAAGATGTGATGGACATTTCGAAGATTGGTCATCAGACACAGAGTCGTCGTCGAACATCGACAACAAAAAACTGTGCATATACGACCACATCTCATCGCAGATCGATCAAACAGGCCGGGAGATCGGGTATCCCCCCACGATGATGGGTGCACACAGTGCATAGGTACTACTGTACGTAATATTCGTGGTTTCATCCATGGTCGTGATGCTCCTGATCGTTTCGATATTGTGCATTTCTCTTTCTTGTATCATTATCACGGTGTGATTCATAACTTCTCTCGTGATATTGGCCAAACTTCCCACAAACAGGTGGACTGTGTCTGTGTGCACCGCAACATAGCCCAACAGCGCCCGCCCGTTTTGCCCCTCAATTGCACCAGCAAAATCTCCGAACAGGTCTAGAGGCGAAAGAGGAGGAAGAGGAGTCGAGAGTCTAGCGGAAAATAGCTTCGAATTCTGCCGATGATGATGATATTTGGCAATGAAGATGTTGTCCATTTGACGTTGGGATTTCGTTCAACCAAACCCCCCGCTCGCCGACACGGACCGACGAGAGACGATGGCGGCGACGGGAGCGGGCGTTCTGCGCGCGCCGTTCGCATTTCGTTCGTTCGTTGGTTTCGTGTCTGGATCTCGTGTCTGTGCTCTGTTCCGGGAACGATGGCGCAAACACCACCCCCCACGCTAATCGATTCACCTTGTCCGAAAGAGACAAAGCGAATCCTCTATTCTCGTGATCTTTGATTTTGGTCACTCACGTTGAGCGAGGGCCGAATGTTGGTCAGCATCCAGGCTGGTAAGGCCCGTCATTATCATCATCATCATTATCGTCGTCGCCGTCGTCATGGTCGTCGTCATGGTCGTCCACCATCGCGCTGAAACACGAGAGCTGCGGCTTCCACCAGCGAGTGCCCATAATGACAGGTATACCATGCATCGACAGACGAGCAATCTGACAATGAAATGAGCACACGACAATGCCATATCCCGCAGGATGATGACGGACGGATTGCGAGTCGAGAACGACATAGGGCTTGCTTGCTGGGACCATCGAAACCCTGTTGTGCCCGGGTTCTCCCATCGTGTTCCCCTAATCACATCACCGCCATCATTTGGCGATCAGCCCTACGAGAGTGAAACCATGCCTCCCACTCATTTCAACGGGCCTGAACCACCTCCTCTCTTCTCCTGCTCGTGTGCGTGTCTTACAAATGTGCTCGCCGGGACTGTGTGCGTGGACAGGATGTACATGCGCGGTGTCAAACACGAGAAAAAGTTGGTCGGGATCCGCATTGTCCATTTGCCCTCGTCCTCATGATTTGTCTCTGCGCTCGGGCGACGCCTGCGAGACATGAGAAAGAAGGGGGACGGGAAGAATCGCGTCGATCGCAAGTTGGCCATTGTCTGTCCAATCCGTGTAGCACCGCGATAGGGACGTCGTCGATTTTCTTTGTCTCAATGCCCATACACACCCACCCACGCTACAAAGCCACTTGGCGCACACAGTACGGAGCACACATCGATGACCACGGAAGGAGATCCGTATCCGGGCACGAATCGTAGAGGTGGTAATCCGATCATCATTGCTAATAACTGAACAAGGCCCTTTATCCTGCGCTCTACTGCAATACACTACTAGTGGCGGAGTCAATCCTTCGCTCACCGGACAAGGGAAGGAAATGTTCCTCCTTGCCCAAAGTACGTTACCCTATACTCAGCAACATGATGATGCATTCTCGCCACCGGATGAAGGACGTTATTGGGGGTGTCCTGCACAAAGGATCAACGTCTGCCTGAGCCAGCGGCACTCCCAACTGCGCAAAACCATGGATCTCTGTCTGGCCTGAGACAGGCAGGGACACAATTTCGCGGTGTGTTCTAGAAGGACTACGGATCAGAAGGGCGGTGGTCGATTCGATGGAATTCGCTGCGGAACCGATGATGCCCTTCGAGAAGCGATGGAACGTCTCTCGGGGTTTTAGGAGTAGGAAATGTTTTGTGGCCACGGTTCGAGTGCTGAGACCGACGCAAGTCCAAGGCAGAGACACGTCTGCGTAGGAAAAGGTTCTCGCCTGAGGGCTCCGCGAGTCGAAAGCTACTGGCTCTTGTAGACGTCATTTTCTCTGATCCATTCTGGATAATGGAACCAGGTTGTACGCGCGCAATTTGAGGCTCAGCACAAGCCGCCAAGTGGCAGAATTTACCTTGGAAAATACTTCCATCAAGGTCGACGTATCGGTCATACAATACCTCCTCATCGAGTGTGGGATGAATTGGTGAGGATGGTCAGCACTCGAGACATGTTTAGAGGAGGGAAAGGCAAAGGTACGTCAACGCCGACAACAAAAGAAATGCGCGTTCATTCCTACCGCTTGCCAAAATATCAGCAGAGCAACTTTGTTAAACGGGTATACAAGTACAGTACAATACAGTAGGTATACTTTTGATGCTCCTCACCCCACGCGTGTTCCATGGGAACGCCCTTCGCGAGAGACGAAATCCCATGCGAAAGTGAGGAAACCGTTGGTCATCGTTATGTGACGCGGGGTGGCCGGACGGAGTCGCGGGCCTGTTCTCCGTGAGAAGACGCGTTGAAACGCACAGTAAAACGTTAGCCCTGCCAGCCCCAGCTGGCCTGCATGAACTCTGTTGGTTATCCCTCACCAGCGAAATTGCCCTGCAGCAATGCTGTGCTGGCAGGCTGAAAGGCATTGGCCTTGCTGATCTTGCCAATACAGTTGCGTTCTGCTACTCTTGCCGATGGAATAATGGATGGCTTAATGGATGGCTAAGCCAGCTGCTGCTGCGCTCCTGCAGCATTCAACGCCAGCGCTTCCAAATTGCTGATCGTGTGTTCGTCAGGCGAAACCTCAAAGGCTGGCATCTCGTCTGGCTTCAAGTGGTCACCAAGCACAGTGCGACACGTCAAGGCGAATCGTAAATAGCCCTCCGACTGCACCTTGTGTTCGAAATATTGCTGGATCTGACGACCTTCCATCAGGACCATGTCTCCATGATTCAGAGTAAGGACGACGAGATCGCCGCCCGCTCGGACTTTGTTGCGATCTTGGTACATCCCAAGTTCGTGCGGAATCTCTTTCTGTCGTCGGATGTATTGCGCACGATCGCTCTCGCGGAGTTGTTCCAATGCATGCCAGGCTTCGAGACGCTGATGATATGCTGCATCGCCACCCTTGCATCCAGGGATAGGCTTGTCGCTGGTGAAGATCCCGGTCTTGGAACAACCAACGAAATGTTTGTGCTTCATCCTCAGATGCATCCTGGCTGATGCGCCTAGTGATAAGGTTGCAATGCGTGGCCCGAGACCCTTCTCGCCATCGTCATGATATTCAAGCTTCTGCTTTTCAAGGTAGGCAAAGATGAGTTGCTCGTTGAAATCTATATGGCCCTCTTGACCCAAGATATTTTGCGACGCCCAGTTGAGATCAGCTCGAGCAGATCTTACTGGCCATGGGGCCTTTTCGAAAGGCAGACTGGAGCCGCTCGCGATGAACTTGTATGGCATGCCGTAATTGATCGAGTATGAGCTCATGAAATCTCCCTCTTGGAGATGGTCCCGCCTGGAATTATTGTCGGGATAGACACAAACTGCTCGACTTTCATTGAGAATCGGGCACTCCTCAGGCCTCAATCGAGCTGCCTCGGAAGTGACGTCGGTCTTGGGTGCATCGGTCTTTTTGACGCCTGTGCCAGCGAAAATTCGCCGCTCCAAAGGCAGCTCCAATTCGGGATCATCTTGCTGTTGTAACGCTGCCAGCATGTCATTCGGTCCGTTCGCGGCCGCGTTGAGCCTGGCGTTCGACGTGATATGCGTTAGACTGCCCTCAACTCCATTGAATGTATATCGGTATATTTTCATGCCGTGGTAGTGCTCAATTGCAAGCTTGACGTTGGCCTCGTCGAAGGTGTTGCGGCCAAGAGATGGACCATCTCCAAAGGTATCCCATGGACTATGTAATTGGGCAGGCCGGACTGGGAAATGTTTTGGAAATCTCTCCCAATCGCACTCACGGTTTTCACACTTCCAGCCCTTGAAATATCGACGAGAATTACATTTGCCACATTTGGGACAGCAGATGCCGCGTGTGTTGATATATGAAAGGTTGTCGCCAATATAATTTCCCACGTCCGGTATAGGCACACGAACATCATATGGTTCTTGCTCATCTGACCATGGAGTACGTTGCAAGAGGTAAGCTGGATTGTATTCGAGTCGACCATATGCTGCATCGCGCTTACCATCCACCTTCCAAAGGGACTCGCAATCATAAGTCAAGCACATCCAGCCTTCAAGGTACATTTGCGGATGCTGCTTTCGACATCGGGCGCACGAGGCGTACGTCAATGGCCCAGCCAGCTGATAATATTCTCCAGTCAATGAAACTCCTTCCTTGGGAGCAAACCAAGCATCCTTCGATCCCAATCGCTCGAATCGGTATTTGATTGTTCGAAATGCTCGGCCTCCTTTGCCTAGAGTCTTCTCCGTCCAGACAGCGATCGGCTTGTACCAGCCAAGCACACAAAACTTGTGGGGCATTCTGCATATTGCGCCTTCATTCCTGTCACCGCAGATGATGACGATCGGATTCTCATGTCTGATGTTGTTCAGCACGGCCTCTACCTGACTTTTCGATTGCTTGCTCTTGCCCTGGTACTCGTGATCACGGCTCTGGAGGAGATTCCGGTCTTTATCCATTTCCATGCCTCCACCAGAACGTGCTATAATTACATCCGTGTCCATATACTCGCGGCAGTGACCTACGCTGTCGAAATAGAAGGCGTATACGTGGCCATCGTTCTGATGACATCCTCCTTGTGGCGTCTTGAAATACGGCACCGTCTCGCACAGAGCTTGGCGCCCATCTGCCCAGACAGAGGGTCGACCGATAGGTCCAGCCTTTTCTGTAATTGGCAGGCGCGCTGTAAGCTTCCGTGACAAGGCCACAAGTTCTGGATCGACGGGCGGCTGAGTGACAGGCACATTGAATAGCAGGTTCCTGAGACGAGCGGATTCTACGTTCAGCTTCACTGCTCGCCGAGCCGCTGTTTCTGAAGGTGACTTCTGGGGGCTTGTTTTTTGTCTCCGCGGTAGAACTAAATCCGGTCCCGACGGTCTACGCTTCCTCTTCTGGCTTATTCTGGGCACTCGACTCTTTGGCACCTCAGGGCTGCTTTCCGGCGAAGGAAGTCGAGGCAACAGTTGAAGCAATTGCGTTCTCGGCTGCTTTTTAACCCTCGGTATCGATCGCCTGGCGGATGTTTTGCGTGTTGTCTGCTTGCGGACGCAGCACTTCTGCCGTTGGATGGGACTTGCTGTTGGGGTAGGCAGCATGTCATCTGGCTCCATGCTTGCCATAGACGATAATGATGAGGTGGATGGACTCTTGGTGAGAGCGTGCGGCGATCCGTATATCTCGCCCTTGACATCACTTTCGGGACCCTCTTGTCCTTTCGCTTGCTGCTTCACGGATTCCGGATCTGGTGTAGGTATTGCACTGCTTCCAGAGCCCCTTTCCGATTTGCCCGTCTCCAATGCCAGCAATCTACTCGATCGCCGATCGACATTTCGCAAAATGTTCGGAAATGCGGCTCTTGCTGTGGCATCTTTCTTCTTACTATGAGTCATCATGCGCTCTGGTGATGACTCGGGTTCTTTCCTGTCGAGTAGTGGTCGTCGACCTTCAGAGCGATGACACAGAGGTGTATCGATTAGGGTTGTTCGACCCTAATCGTTTGTCGGTCGTCCTTGTCGGTAATGCAGGTGGCGTGGCGCAACAATGTCTAACAGACGGCATTGACAACGGCGGTGTCCTGATGAGGTCTTGTGAGTCAATCATTCGGGGGCGAAGTGGATGTACGGCGGCTTCAAATGATGTGTGACCAGCTCTGGAGGCTTGTAGATTAACCAATTTCAGGCGGCAAGGACTTGCTGTCTCGACGGCGACCTCTAGACCAGTGTTCTGTAGACTTTGGTTGCAAAATGATTGTTCGAGGTTACTAACACAAGCAGCATCATTGTGCGCAAATGACCCAGATATGTATGCCCTTTCCAAGGTTGGCAACTTTTCCCGATGTTTCACATGGTCATCGTTGCTTGGGTAGGGTTCAGCATGTGAAAGAACAGGATCGCGGTTGGACTTGAGTGGTCGTCTCCTGCTGGTAAGTTTGACTGCTCCGACACTTCCCACAACGCATGAAGTTACCAGGCCTCCTCACAGACATCCATATCGTACTGTACATAACCGCAAGGAGTTATTTGTGTTCCGACATGGAAGCCATTGTTCTCGTGTTGTACATAATTATCTAATACCTAGGTAGGCACACCTGTCCGTTGTGATCTGTCCTCCAGAATTGACCAGACTCGTAGCGAGGCCGGACTGATATGAGTTCTCCTCGGCCCTACAGTCACAGGTACAATCCGAGTGAAACAGCACTTGGAACTGTGAATCAACGAATCTCAGGCAAGCAGCAATACTTTCGATGGCCCGGATGGATTCTCCTCAGCACTGTTCCCTCACCGTGCTGTGAAACGTTCGTCCCAGCAAGATTTGCCATGCCTCTGGCTAACAGAGCAATGGACACCAGGTCCCGCTGGTCTGATTCGTGCCGCGGCCTCAAAGGCTCTCATTTTCATCTCACTTCTGTTTAATCGATTGTTTCATGTCTTTCTTTGCATGGCATCACCTCGCGACGCGTAGTAGTATTTTTGCCGAGGCGATGCATTTTTCGAATCTGCACGCTCTGGAGAGAGATCTTGCGAGCGATAAAGGGGGCAGCACTCAATTTTATCATGAGCATGGAAGAGTCTGCAATGTGATGTACCATCCCGTTCAGACAAGATGTAGAGTTTTGGTGGGATCGGCAACGAAATCACGACGGTACTGAGCGATACGTTCAGCAATGGCTCCGACATCCTGCTTACCCAGGTTTGTCATTTTCAGCTCCTTGATAAGCTCTCCGAGGCCAGCTTTCCACCTCTTGTCTTCCTCGGGCGAAGTTGCGGGTGAATGATGAGTACTAAGCGACCGAAGCAGGACATTGTCTGTGAATTAGTACGTTGGCGTTAGTATGAGTACACGATCAGCACTAAATTTGTGAGGACGCCAAGAAAGGGATCTCAGAAGTGACACGAACCAGTGAGCGCCATATTCTTAAAGTGCTGATATGGGCATTGTGGATCGTTGCAGACACCAGCAGTCTCGAATGGGCAAAGGGGTGTGTTCGGATCAATCTGATGGCTGTAAGTCAAGGATTTGTACCCGCCGGGAACGGAGTTGAGGAATTCCGGATGAAATCGAAAATCTCTGAATCGAGACAAGGGACTTTCGTAGGGCTTGAAATGTATAGATGTTGCGGCAGGCTGTAAAGGAGTCAACTAGTGATACCGTTTTTCAGAAAAGACAAGCTCACATCTTGTTTCTGTGCGTCTTGCTGTTGTGCAGCTGGTTGCGCGTTAGCATTTCCGATTTGTGACGTTGGTGAGGCGACATTGTTCTCATTTGACAACGCATTACTGTTTTCAAGAGCGACCTCGACGTCACCATGAGAATGTTGAGGTAAGCCATCCAGCATCGACTCTGCAGCCGAGTCTGATTCCAACTCTGGTTCGTACTCGTCGTTGACAGACTCGGAAGAGACAGTTGTGGCATCGTCAGACGTGTCCATTGCGTCGTCGTCTTCGTCGTCAGAATCCTCACGTGCGTTCGTGTCTTCGTCGTCGGCGACATGAGGACTAGGCGATGGATCTGATCCCTGCACGATGGATTCTTCGGGTTCAGCGAGTGGCGTTGTCTCAGTTTCGCTTGCTTGTTGAGGCACGGAAACAAGCGCAGGGTTCGCATTATCTGGGGAACAGATCGTATTGTCCAAAGCTGGTGCAATCGCAACCGATGCACCATCCGGCTTGCTGACATTCTTGGCTTGTTTCCGAAGTTCTATCTCTGCCAGACGCCGCTTCAATTCTTCTAGCTCCTGAAGTTTCTTGTTGTATGCATCATTTTTGGGAGTGTTTGGAGTAGATGTGACCGCAGACGAGGATGTGTTAGATCTGTGCAAATTGGGGCGCGCAGGATTGGCCGGCAGCGCAGTAACTATGGAATATGTAGCGCGTTTCTGCTCCCATGAGTCCTGCTCACGGTCGCTGCTGCTAATGTCCATAATATCATCGTCGTCCTCATCATCGCTAACTTGTATGATCATGGGCTCATCGACAGGATTCCGACTGCCGAAATGGACACTTGGAATAGCTACGGGCGCAGTAGGCGATTGATTTGTGAGATGTGCTCCATTTTGGGAAGGCATCGTCAAAGGAGACTCGTTAGGGAGGGTCTCCTTTGGCACCTGTGCAACAACTGGAACACTTGGCTCCTGCCCGTGGTTTGCGGCAGGTATCATGATGCTGTTTCCTGCCGGAGATGTGTTCCTTGGAACATGTTGATTGCCAGCATCAGCCTGTGGAGACTTTTGAACCTGATGAGCTTGGGTGAGGAATAGACCGGGAAGACCACTGAAAACCGGATAGACAGGATTTGAGTCGCGACTCGGTTTCGTGGACGACGGTGTGGGTTTCGATACGACTGTGCCGAATGCAGGAGAATTCAATTTTGCAGGTGCTTTCGCCGCAGGTAAGTTGCCGAACGCCGGGACCACGATGTTGTCGGGCAGCGGCTCTTGGGCCAGCAAATTATACTCCGCAGCCTTGCCAATGTCGCTAACTGCAGATATTATTGATCTAGCATATTCGTCCGCGTTTGGTGCTGCAGAATAGGTAGACGGGCCGATCTTTTGGGGCAGCGACGCTGGCAAACTCGGCCGCGTTGTGGCCTTTGCAGCCCTAATGGCTTCGAGTCGCTGGCGCAGCAATTCGTCTCTGGCTGCCTTTGCGCCAGGCAAACTCTTTGGACTATTGGCTGCTACTACAGTGGACCTTTGAGGAGCGCCCACTTTTGCGCTCTCAGCTGGTTGAATAGCCTTTGTAGCCTCGCTGTATTGGATCGGTGGTTTGATAACAGAAGATTTGGATACAGCATCAGCCTTTTTGTTCTTGGCGGCCTGTAATTTCGCGAGATATGCGCTGCGGTCTAATGTAGTGGGTTTTGTTTGAACTGCTTTCTTCACCGAGTTGGGCTTCATAGCTAACGGCTTATCATGCCCATTAGTTACCTCCCCAATACTATCCACAGATGAGGGAGATTTCTGTGCTGGAGGCGATGCAAAGTGCTGAAACCCGAATGCGGCGGTTACCTGGCGCAATGCATCTGGATTGCTGACTTGACTTGCAAGCTGTTCGTGTGAGAAACCTGCATTGAACATGGCATGAAGGAACTCGCCTATTCTCTGGCGTTGTGCATTTTTCGAGGCATGCTGACGATGTGCTTGTCCGTAACGCTGCTTTCGATCTATTGGCGTCATAGATTGTACCGCTGTTCCGTGCTTACCAAATGCGCCATGACTAGAACTGTGGTCGCTGGGAACGGTCTTCTGCTGTGCATGCACCACGGCGACCGGTTTTTGGTATTCATGAGTAGTGTGTATGACTGCATCTGCTCGGGCAGTCTTGCAACGCTGTGTCATGGATGTGTTACGTGGGCCTGTAGGTGGCGGATGCAAAAATTCATGGCCCCGGTTGTTCTCATGGCTCTCTACTTCATCAGCCACTTCTCCCTCTTCGCGATCCACGTCTTCAAAAGCAACAGCACCATTCACTATTGCGGGCTTTGTCGTGTTTGGGTTTGTGGAAGCAGGCGTCTGATTGCCGCTCTGCCCCAGCGGAGGTAAAGGCAGGGCGCCAGTCTGCATAGCACGAGCAATAATTGCTAACTGCTCTGGAGTAACTCCGGCCAAGGCGGACAACTCAAGTGCCGACATTTGAGCATTTTGGGAAGTTGCCATCTTTAGGATTTTGAATCGGGAGTCGTATATATCGACAACTAAATTGGGTCGAACAAGTACGCGGCGATGATGCGATAGCGGAAAGTGATAGATCTGAGTTGCCAGTCTTTGTCACGCCTCAACATGATCAGACGGACATGCTCAAAGCCGCTGAGACACGACAATTCCGGTCTGCACAGGTCAGTTCAGTGCAGCGCGTTTCTGCTGTCCTCATGCAGTCCCGATTGCGCTCGGAGGGAGTGATACCGAACAAATCTTAGATTTCAGTCTCATGTGCAAACGATCAAGGATGCTTTGTCGCGATATTGCAGGACGCGGAGTGGTGAATATTGATGTGTCTCGGTTGGGCCTGAAGGAGAAGATCTCCGCATTGTCGGCATACCTTCCTTGATATTCTTCCTATCCCATATTTCGTCTCAAGCCGTGTCTGCACACTGACGAAGCTAACCATATTAGGCGAAAATGTAAACAATACCGTCCCGCTTGCTGGCATAAATGACAACATACAGTGAAAGGAAATGTGAGCGCTTCACGAGCCAGGGAATAACTCCATCACTGCTTCTGCCGTTCTTTTCCTGCGGGTCGACCCAATGCGTCGCGAAAACAACACCTTCAGGGCACACGAATGATACGACCACTGGTAGCAAGACTTCGTTTCATCGCATGTTTTATTCTTGAAACGAGATGAGTTTGCAGGCGGGTAACGGGCAGCGCTGGCGCAACAGTCCAATCAGCAAAGCGACAGAAGGTTCCTCTCCAGGACCTCCACCTGGACATGCGCGGTCGAGGTCCAATGTAATACCAGCCGTATTCTCGACACCCTCTAATAATGGCCACTCACGGAATCACTCGGATTTCAATCTCCTCGGCCTAGGCAGATCGGATTCCAGGCGCCTCAAAGGCACCCCAGGAAGAAACGTAGCATCTGCTGGAACATTTGCACCTCAATTCATCAACAACCAACTCGATGGCGCAACAGACCAAGTTCGCGGTATCGAAGGCGAGAATGATTTTTCCGGCAAGAGATATGTCTGGCTCAAGGATACACAAGCGGCCTTCGTGCGTGGATGGGTAGTAGAGGAGATGCCGGGCCAGCTGCTCAAGGTGCAGTGTGAAGATGGCACACAAAGAGATGTACCAGAAGAAAGTGTTGACAAGGTCAACCCAGCCAAATTCGACAAGGCCGACGATATGGCCGAGCTAACACATCTGAATGAGCCGAGCGTTGTGCACAACTTGCACCAAAGATACATGGCAGATCTCATTTACACCTATTCTGGATTGTTCTTGGTCACAGTCAATCCATACGCCTCGCTGCCAATCTATGGTCGAGACTACATCAACATGTACAAAGGTCAGAGTAGGGAAGACACAAGACCGCATATTTTTGCGATGGCCGACGAGGCTTTCAGAAATCTTGTTGAGGAAGGCGAAAACCAGTCGATTCTAGTGACTGGTGAATCTGGAGCTGGCAAGACTGAGAATACCAAGAAAGTCATTCAATACTTGGCAGCAGTCGCGACTACGGATGATGCGCGACTGAAGTCTGACGGACGACAGCTCTCCAACCTTTCCGAACAGATTCTTCGCGCCAACCCTATCTTGGAAGCATTTGGCAATGCTCAGACTGTGCGAAATAACAATTCCTCTCGGTTCGGCAAATTCATCAGAATACAGTTTACACGCTCAGGGCATATCGCGGGAGCCTTCATTGACTGGTATCTTCTTGAGAAAAGCCGCGTTGTCCATGTCAATTCTCAGGAGCGTAACTATCATGTTTTCTACCAACTGCTGCGTGGCGCAGACACAGCCATGCGACGCGAATTCATGCTGGGAGACAGCGACGTAGACGCCTTTGAATATACACGACACGGCAATGACACAATTTCTGGAGTTTCTGATAAGAACGAATGGAAAGCGCTGCTGGAGGCGTTCCAGGTCATGGGCTTTTCCGAACAGGATCAGAAGGCGATCTTGATGACAGTCGCCAGCGTGCTTCATCTTGGAAATGTTGCCGTGATAAAAGAGAGCCTGCGAGGAGATCAAGCAGCACTGGCATCGGGCGCAGATATATTCATCACAAGAGCCTGCGCCCTGCTCGGGGTCGACCGGGCCGCATTCACACAAGCCCTGCTCCACCCTCGAGTACGGGCTGGACATGAGTGGGTGGAGAAAGTTCAGACACCTGAGCAGGTGCGCCTGTCCATCGATGCTTTGGCGAAGGGTATATATGAGCGTGGATTTGGCAATCTAGTCGATCGAATCAATTCTCAACTCGATCGATCCTCCTCTGGCGTGTACTCCGATGATACCCCATTCATCGGCGTTCTCGATATTGCTGGTTTCGAAATTTTCGAGGAGAACAGCTTCGAGCAGTTGTGCATCAATTACACAAACGAGAAATTGCAGCAGTTCTTCAACCACCACATGTTTGTGCTGGAGCAAGAAGAATACGCACGCGAGCAGATTGAGTGGAAATTCATCGACTTTGGAAAGGATCTTCAACCAACTATCGAATTGATTGAATTGCCAAATCCGATTGGTATCTTTTCGTGCTTGGATGAGGATTCAGTGATGCCTAAAGCGACGGACCGAAGTTTCACGGAAAAGCTACATTCTCTTTGGGACCGAAAAACAACCAAGTACAAGAGATCAATGTTGAAGCAAGGTTTTACCATCACTCATTACGCCGCCGAAGTGGAGTACTCGACTGAAGGCTGGCTGGAGAAGAACAAAGATCCGCTCAATGACAACATCACTCGATTGCTGGCAAAGTCAACCAACAAACATGTCGCTCACATTTTCGCGGACTGTGCGGACGTGGAAGATGCAGAAGTGGCCACCAGAAATCGTGTGAAGCGAGGTCTGTTCCGTACGGTGGCTCAGAGGCATAAAGAGCAGCTTTCGACACTCATGAGTCAACTGCACTCGACCAGCCCTCATTTCGTGCGATGTATTCTTCCTAACCACAAGAAGAAGCCCAAGCAATTCAGTGCGCCACTTGTACTTGATCAACTTCGCTGCAATGGTGTTTTGGAGGGTATTCGCATTGCTCGCACAGGATTCCCAAATCGATTACCATTCGCCGAGTTCCGTGCGCGTTACGAGGTGTTGTGCCAGGACATGCCGAAAGGATACATCGAAGGACAGGCTGCATGCAAGATCATGCTCGACAAGCTCAATCTCGATCGGAGCTGGTATCGTGTCGGTCTAACAAAGGTTTTCTTTCGTGCTGGAGTGCTAGCAGATCTCGAAGACAAGCGGGACTCACTCATTCAGGAGATCGTCGTACGTTTTCAATCAGTGGCGAGAATGTACGTCCAGAGACGGCTGTTCCGGAAACAGCAATATCGCGCCGAAGCGGCCCAAGTCATTCAGCGCAATTTCCAAGTGTATCTCCAATTGCAACAAAGCCCCTGGTGGCAGCTCTTTGTGCGTATGCGGCCATTACTTGGTGCCACGCGCCAATCCAACGAGGTGAAGAAGCGAGAAGAAGAAATCAAGCTACTTCAGAAGAAAATGCTGGAGGAGGAGGCACATCGCACAAAGGTTGAAGAGGAGCGCAGAAGAGCAGAAGGTGAAATATTGAAGATTCAACATACCCTTGAAAGTGAACGTGCCTTGGCTCTCGACAAGGAGGAAATCTTCCGGCGTCTCCAGAACCGAGAAGCTGAATTAGCTGAAAAACTCCAAGGCGCTTTGGATGACCAGGACGCGCTGGAAGATCAAATTGATGGCTTGGTTGCGGCGCGTCGTTCTGCCGAAGAACAAGCAACTGAACGTCGAGTCCAGCTCGAACAAGCTGGTCAGATAATCTCCAAGCTTGAGGAGGAGAGAAATGCGCTTTCAGGACGCATCGCCGAGCTGGACGCCAACCTTCAGGAGGTAGAGAACACGCGATCGTTGCGGAGCGAGCAAGAGGAAGCTCTCCAGCAGGAAGTTCGCATGCTGCAAAGTCAATTGAGCTTGAAGGATCGCAAGCTGCAAGATCTCGAGGCAAAGTTGCTGAAGAACGATCAGGACTTGGACATTAAACTCGCTGCGACGAACAAAGATCTCGCTGGCACGAAGAAGCAAATTCGAGACCTGATTGACGAGAACAGGTCCATTCGTCAGCAAATGTCAGAGCTTTCATCAACCTCTACAAGCTTCGAAGACCTCATCAGGCGCAAAGACAGCGAGCTTTCAGTTATGAGAAGCGACCTCAAGCAATTCCAAGACGATCGAAAGCGATTCGAGTCCGAGAAGCTTGGACTAACGACAAGGCATGATGGGATTCAAAACCAACTCCGGCAAGTCCAAGCGGAAATGGATGCCATGCGTGCTCAATATTCCCAACTTGAACGCGAGGCTGCTGATGCTCGCAAAGCTCTAGAGGAACAGACTTCGGTCAATGACCAGGTCGAGATTCTGCAAGCTCAGATACACGACATCAAGGGCGAGCTATTCCAAACACAGACCGATCTGAGCCGGGAACGACAATCACGAGACGACGTGAAGCGTATTGCCACAGCCGAGTACGAAGATCTCAAGCGTAATTACGACGCGTTAAACGATACCAAAGTGACCATTGAGAAGGAAATGTATGCACAGTCTGATCTTACTCGCAAGGCTGCAGCTGCCAAAGAGGCTGCCGAGAAGGAGAGGAAGAACCATCAGCTGGCGCTCCAAAGTCTGCGGGCACAATTCATAGAATTACAAGAGGCAAAGATTGAGACCGAAGCAACCGTCACTCGTAATATTACCTTGCAGGCCAACGAAAAACACGCTGAACTTCGTCGGGAATTGGATGCCAAATCGCAGCACATACAGGAACTCGATGGTGATCGCAATCAGCTGGCCAGCGATGTACAAAGATTGAAGCAGCTCATCGCCGATTCAGAAAACTTCAAACTCCATCACGATCAAGACAAACAGCGCCTTGAACGAGAATTGGTCACTGTCAAAGGTCGACTGACGGCATCCGAGAATGACAATCGGGCGTTGCTGAACAAGGTCCAACAGAAGAATCTAGACATCGCTCGATCCAACTCAAAAGCCAATGACACTCATCGAACTAAAGTTGCTCAGCTCCAGGCAGAAAAGACAAAGGCCGACGCTGATATATCCAACTTGCAGCGGCAGCTGAACGACGCCTCTCTCCAGATCACTTCTCTCCAGAAGCAGAAAGAAAAATTGTCCCTGAGCATCGAGGATCTGAATCACCAGGTCGAACGAGAACACAAGAACACTCGCAATGCCGAACAGCAGTCGTCTGCTTCTACTCTGCAACTGGCGGAGGCTAATCGCAAGCTCGAGACGGAGCGCCAATTAAGATCCCAGGCTCAGCAGAACACCAAGACAGTACAGACTGCATTAGATAACGTCAATCGCGAGCTGTCTGAGGCCCACGAACATCTTACTCTTCTGCAGAAGATCTTTGATCCCGAAACCGGAAAGCTGCCTTCCAATCTAGACGGAGCAAAGCCTGACATGAAGCATACCATCGACCTCGCCAAGAAGCTAGAGGCATCCGAACAAGCTCTTCGTCTGGCTTCTGATCGTTTCGCGCGCGCAGAGGCCAAGCTTGAGAGCATGCGTTCGCAGCACCAAGAAGACATGCAAGAAAATGACACACGACACCAGAACTCGAAGCGAGCTTTGTTAGAAGAGATGAACGCCAGTCAGGTTAATTCCCGGTCGTCGCCGACAAATCTTCGTCGTGAATGGGAGAATCGCAAGTTGTTCCAGCCGTCAGCTGCGAGCACACCTACCAGCCAGCGACATCTGAGCAGGGCGAGTCACGACTCCACCCGGTCCGACAGGACCGTGGATACAGTGGCTTACAACAACAAGATGGATGTCGCAGCAGAGCTGGAGGCTCTCCAGAACCAATTACAGATGTCTGAGATACAAAATCGACACCTGCAAGCTCAGCTTGAACGCAGCCCAGGGAAACACAATTGGCAGGAAGAGAGTCCTTCTCTACGTCGGGTGCAGAAGTTGGAGCGCGAAAACTTCCGCCTGCACGACATGCTAGATGACTCTGCGAAGAAGGTCACCGTGCTCGAGCAGAGCATCCGAACTGGACAGCTTTCTCTCAAGGAGGTGCAAACCAAGAGCCACGAGGAACTATACGACCTGATCAACTCGCAGGAGCAGACCCGCCGAACACTGCTCACATCCCACAACGCAGCCGTTTCTGAATTGGCAGATGCCAAGATGTCTTTCGACGAGATCAAGCACAGCAAAGCATCTACGGAAGTCGAGCTTCGCGATGCAAGGTCTGAGCTTGAAGAGCTCACGTACATGCGTGAACAAGAAGCTGCAAACCACACTCAATTGCTTCAAGAGTTCTCTGACCTACAGATGCGTCTTGATGCTGAAACATCGCGCGTCGATGACGTGACCTCCGCAATGAATCTGTACAAGGTCCGCGCTGATGAGTACTTCGAGAAATTGGAGCAGGCCGAGATTGCTGTCCTACGAGCGTCCCGAGCGGAGCAGTTTGCAAAGGCGCAAGCAAAGGAGACCGAGGAGACTTGCGCTAATATCATGTCAGAACGCCAGCAGATGGATGCTTTGGTGGAAGATCTCCAACGCCAGACTCAGAAATACGAAGAGCGGCTCGAGGATATTTCGACTGACCTCGAGACCACATTGCAAGCAAAGAAGCGTCTGCAGAACGAGCTTGAAGACTACCGCTCTCAGCGTGCTACTGATCTAGAGGACAAGGAAGCGCTCATGGAACAGACTCGCAAGAAGTACCAAGGGGAGCTGACCTCGCTCACCAACGAGCTTGAGATCGAACGTGATCATGTCTTGCACGCCAGAGGCGAGAATGGTCGTCTCCGGGACGAGTTGGAAGAGCTTCGCAGCAAATGGGACGACGAAGTTCTCAACAGCTCAACCTGGGCGAAGGAGAAGTCTCGTCTTGAGGTTGCACTTCAAGGCCTTTCGACCTCTCGCGATGAAGCCGTTGACGCTCACAACGATGCCCAGAGCAAGATTGTGGAACTTCTCGGACAGGTTCGTGGCTTGCGGACGAACGTCGATGACGTTGCAGCAGAGCGTGATCTACTCGTGAAGGAAAAGAAGGGCCTCGAGACACGGTTGGCTGAAGCTGTAGAGCGACTCGATAACTTGTCCAAGGATGGCTCACCGTCCAAACGCGATGTCGCCTCTGCCGACCGAGAGGTGTTGGATCTCAAATCCAAGCTTGCTCACCAGGAAGACATCGCCACCGCCGCTGTTGGAAAGATGCGGCGCGCTGAAGCTCTGGCACAGGAAGCGCAAAAGGATATTGCCATCGAACGAGATACGAGTGTGCAACTTCACAAGGAGAAGGCGTCCCTCGAGAAGAGCCTCAAAGAGCTCCAGCTTCGCTGCATCGACTTCGAGACCAAGAGTTACTCTAGCGGTAGCCAGGACGTGCGATTCTTGCACGGTAGGATTCAGGAGGTAAGCACATTTCATCCACGCTGCATGTGTGAAAATACCAAGGCTAACAAATCCCGATTGCAGCTCGAAACCCAACTCGAAAGCCTCGAAAAGACCCGTAGCACCGAAGCCCGCTCCGTCCGCACCGTCGATCGCACCGTCAAGGACCTGCAAGCGCAGCTCGACCGCAAGGACAAGACCGCGCAGATGCTCACCGACGACGTGTCCAAATCCCGCGACAAAATCGAGCGTCTCCTGCAGACCATCGACGAGCTCCAATCCACCGACTCCGCGAGCCAGATGGCCGTGAAACGCAGCGAACGGGAACTGCGCGAGGAGCGCGAGAAGAACCTCCGGCTCGAGCGCGAGCTGGAACGGATGGGCGCGATGAGCCGCGCGGGGAGCAGCGAGGGGACCATGAGACGACCCACGGGCCTCGCGGCGTACAGCAGCGATGTGGGCAGTCGCAGGTCGAGCACCATTGTGCCAGGGGATGTGAAGATTCAGGTCCCCGTAAGGACGAGCAGCTTGACCAAGGGTTTTTTGTAGAGGCGAACGGAGTAAGCGGCGTTGATCGGTGGTTCGGACGGGCTCTGAAGTCGGAGGCGTTTTTGTGATGGGACGGTTTCCGGATATTTTTTTACAGGAGGGGATCGGATCGGAGAGGGCGGATTTTTGTGACTTCGACAGCAATGATTGCGTTCAGGAATTTCCGCGATTTGCGGCTCGTAATATTTCTACATGATATTTCTGATGATCTTCACTTGGAGCTACATGCACATGCACACCGACCTGTAAACTCGTGTCATGAGACGCAGTACCTGATTGACATGCGGTCTACGTTTGATCATTGTAAAGCATACCCCAAAGCCAGTCCACCAACGATCACCGCCAACGCCGATGCTATCAGGATGATTTGTCCTTGGCTTGTGAATCCGAGATACGCGCCTGCCCCGACCACGAGCTCGAGGGTCCTGGCAGTCTGTCGCCGCTCCTTCCAGTCCGACCGTATGCCAAAGGGTGACTCAGACGGGAACTCGTGATCCTCCAATGCTTTTCGTGGTATTGAGCAGATGAGTGCGACGGGTCTGTGATCGCTCGTCGGCTGGACAGCCAATGCAGCATATGTGTGAGTTTTCACGGGTGCCGTGGATAGATAAAGAACGCGGTCACACCATGAAGGCAAACGGTGCTTGGCGAAGATGTTGACCTTTTCTGTGCTTTCTGCCTTGACTAAATGTTCGTCGGGGATTGTACATGATTGTGCACCATTGCTGGTTGAGCGCAGGGCCACGGATTTCGCATAGTCTGCGGCCAGCTTTTGAGCATGTGAGGTGTATTTGTATGTTGGTGGAAACTTGATAGGCGCCTCTGCGAGATGGTGCAGTGTCCGCCGGGCCTCTCTTTCTCGTGTCAGTTGATCATTCGCATACAGAGACGGGCCATATGAGCCTAATTGAGGCTGAACAGCCGAGCCATCCAGTACAGGAGGGATGTCGGATGTGCGGTAGTTGAGGTCGCCGGCAATGAAAATGTATGACGGTACAGCGAATAGATCTCGTCCGGAGGAAGCTTTCCCAGCGGGCGAGGGCACCGTATCCTGCAGCAATGGCTCTTCCTCCTCGCCGTCTTGTCTTTTTGAAGAGTCGAGTGATTGCTGCGTGTGCGTACCACGAGTCGAAGGTGTGAAAACCAGATTCTCGCAGATAGATTTCCAGTCCGCATTCCTTCGCTGCCAAGCGTCCTCGTGAGGTGCCAGATGTGCGGCGATGAATGTGACCACTGTCTCCTCATCTCCAAAACCGATCCGTACTGCGACTGCGCCCTTGTTCCCCATCTCTTGCACACCTACGCCAGTGCCCGCTTCTTCAACCCATCGGATCTCCTCCTTGACGCTCCTCCGTGCGAAAACCATGATGGCAGTCATGCCCAAGTTGTTCGCGGACACATCTTCCCAATCTGCATCTGCATCGAAGCGCCATGATAGCGCGCGTAAGACGGCGGTTCTAAGCGTCGCGAAATAGATGTTCAAGAACGAGCCTCCTAGGAAGCTGAGTCCGAGAGGCGCAAGCTCCTGCAACGACAGGACGATGAAGTCAGGCGCTTCAGCATGCGACTTGAGACTTGAGTAGAGCGAGGACGCAAAGTAATCGATGTCGACAAGCTCGCGCCCACAGTTGTACGTTAGCACATGGCAATTGAGTTCCGACATTCTTTTTCGAAATGATATTATAAATGCGCCGCGTGCGCAAGTCGCAGAAATGAGTACTGTACCTAGGTATGCTTCATGGGGAAGTGTGACGTCACAGCGCGCGATCTGCACGAGAGCACCTGCGAGTCGAGCACGGCACTACTGTATATTACCTAGGTAGGTAGATACATACCTAGGTGGTTCATAGGCAGGCCGCAGATGTTGGACTCCAGGACGTTAACGCATCTGTTATATCTATGCCTGCAGGTGATGACAGGATCGCTGTGGAAGAATGATTCTTTCAATAGATGCAGGTGTGATTCAAATCGACCTCGGTCCATCTGCTGCACCACATAGGTGCATATCAGTAAGCACGCAAGACCGACAAAATGTAGGAATGGCACAGATGAGTTGTACGTGCAAACAAACATGAAACGTGAAGATGCGGAGGACATAATGCGTGCACTCGGGATGTGATACACATTCGGACAGCTCGGAATGGGAGAGAGCAACGCCCGGAGATGATCAACAAGCTGCAGATACCAGTGCAGCTCGCGTTGATCAGGCAGGCTTTCAGGTCGGTCAGTCAGGCATTCACGTGATACCTGAGCCAATACTGGAAGATCTGATGGCGTGTTTCCCATGTGCAAGGATTTTCCCGGATCGCTAGAATTTGGTAAACGAGATCAAGTTTTGGTGGACACCCGCGCTGGTCTTATTACAATTGTATCCGTGTAAGTACAGTAGTAGTAGTGATGATGGGGCAGTCCTGTACGCAGCCAAGCCAAATGACGACACAGTTGGACCACGACAACATCGCCCCTTTCTCCATCCTGCCTCTGGTGCTGTGGATGAAATCATTTCCAAGACTTACTTCATGGCAAGTCAAACTTCCTAGTTCTCCATCCTATCTGCTGCACCGAATAATCGACAACAGACAACAGCAGGCCGCGCGCTGGAGACTCATTCAGGACGAGTAGAGACGATAAGGTAATCGGGCGCTTGTTTCGCTCTTGTTCGCAAACATCTCCATCTCTCCGCACGCAGCCACGAGAGGAGACTAGATACGAGTCGCGTGCGCGCTCGAGCCAACACCCTCCTCCACGGATCAAATCTACTGCAGCACATGCTTTTTTCGCGGTGGGCGGCAGTGACGTGATCCCTCGGTCCGCAAACAACAAAGCATCCAACCTAACAAACACAACAATAAACTTGACCGAGACAGTCCTTCGCGGAGACTATCATCTATCCTGTTGGGAAGAATATTCATCAACAATAGTTTAACCCTGATTGAGTCTTGTTACTTATTACTGGGCGACTTCATCGCCCGTAAACCACCCGATCGCTCGATCTCATCCACAAATGCTGGGTGCGAGCTAGGGGCATAAATCCGCCCGTTGACACTAGGCTGCCTGTCGGCCATCTGAGCTCCCAAATTTCCATACATATCATCACTGACGCCCACGCTCATGCTGGTGGATCCTCTCATCAACAACGACATCGAGAGCTCGTCTGACCGGCACGTCACCATGGACAGCCATCCTAATGGTCATCTCAAAGCCTCACCGGTTGTCCGATCATCTCGCTACCGGCCCGAGAAGAAAAGCACCCTTATCGGCTGGACGATCAACAAATCCGCCAAACTCGCCGTCTGGGCGACTCTCTTCACCGTCGCCTTCCGCTGTCCCTCATCACCGGCTGAGCTTACAGGATCAAAGCAAGACGTATATGTCTGCAAGCCTTACTTCCAGCTAAAGGACGTCGTCACTCCGTATGCGCAGCCTTACTACGACCAATATCTGTCTAAGCACCTCGACACCGCGCGACCGTACGTCGAACAGGTCAACAAACACGTCTACCAACCCGGACAGGCTGCGTTTCAAAGATATGCCGCTCCTCAACTCACGAACGCTCAAAAGTACGGACAACAGCAATGGGACAAGGCGGTCAAGCCTCAATTGGATATCTTATCGGCCGAGGCGGGCAAACAATACGAGGCGAATCTTGCACCTCACGTGAGAAAGGCGCAAGACGTGGTGCAGCCCTACTATGATACTGTACAATCGCAAGCTGCCGATATCTGGCAATCGCAGATTCACCCTGTCTATCAAAAGGCTGCCCCCATCGCTCAGGACTTCGCAAGCCGCGGCCAGCAATTCGCCGTCGAGACTGCGCTCCCTCAGGCACAAGTTGTTGGCGGTCACGCTCTCGACTTCTGGAGCCGTCGCATCTATCCTCAATTACGTATTCTCTACGGCGAGAACGTCGAGCCCCAGCTGCTCCGCATTAGCGAGCGTCTGGGTCGCTACCACGATGGGAAGAAACTTCAGGCTGATATCAAGAGCATCGAGACCTCATCGAAGGTGGCGGAAGCTTCTTCGAGTGCTGTCTCGCTTGCGTCATCGCTGTCATCTGCTATCAGTTCCGCAACTGCTTCGCCATCTTCCGCCATCTCCGAGGCTGTGTCGGCTGCGCCAAAGGCTACTGTAGAGCCAAAGGTCCAATTCCAGCAGGACCTCCAGAAATGGAAGACTCTTGCCGACACTGCTGTTGAGGAAGGCGTAGAGGATCTCAAAGAACGCGTCAAGGATCTCACCGCGCACCAGATCAGCAGCCAAGCCGAAAGCGTGGGTAGCGCATTGGTCGTGCAGCTTGAGGAGACAGTTGAGCAGGTCAAGAGCAGCATCAAGAAGCACGCTGTGAAGCTGACCCGTGATCTGTCCGAAGACCCCACCGATGAAGAGCTGGAGGCTGCACAGGAAAACATTGTTCAGACCATCCGCACCGCAGGCCACACCATCAAGCACAAGGCACAGGCTGTCCGGGACTGGCGTTCGGGTTACGATTCTCAGACCAACCACTTGGTCGAGAAGGCCCTTCAATCTACTCTCGAGACCATTGACAACATTCGCGAACTGAGGTTGACCGATATTGGACGCAAGTATGCTTCCTCGTCGCTACCACACAAGGAGTGGTCCAAGTACAACGACTTGAAGAATGCTGCCCAAGACTGGCGCCAGGACGTCACGAAGTCTGCTCACGAGCACCCAGGATTCGCGGCCGCTAAGCAAGCTGGCGAGGATGTCGAACACACCGCCATGGCTGTTGCTGAGGATGCCGTTGTTGAATTGACCCGCCTCCGCGATGTTTCGAAATGGAAGATTGATGCTCAGGATGACAACGACGACTTCAGCACCAAGTACGTCCCGCCTGTTGCTAAGCGCATTCAGAAGAAACTCGCTGCTCAGGCTGCTGCGGCTGCCGAAGCTCTCCGACTTAAAGCAGAGGAAGAAAGCAGCAAGGCCGCTCTCGAGAGTGCCACCTCTAAGCTTGCCGAGCAGGCTGCGGCTGCGGCTGCTAGCGCCTCCTCGGCCGTCTTTGGCACCGAGTCGAAGCTTTCCGATACCGCAACCGATATCGTTTCTTCCATCTCCTCGGCCGTTTTGGGAACTCCGTCCGGACTCTCGGATAGCGTCAGAGATGCTGCTTCGGCGGTATCTGCTGCCGTCATTGGCACCCCATCTGGTCTGTCTGACAGTCTGACTGATGCAGTATCATCGGCTTCCGCTGCCATCATCGGAACCCCTTCAGGCGTTCTAGATAGTGCCACTGATGCTGCATCCAAAGCCACCGAGGCCGTAGCATCCTCGATCTCATCCGTGTCCTCCAAGATTGCAGCAGTGTCAAGCGAAACGGTTGGTCCCAAGCTGGCTAGCATTCTGTCTAACCAGAAGGTCGTTGCTGAAGCCGCTAGCAAGAGCGCTGAGGACATCATCAGCGTCGTCTCAAAGAGCGCGTCTTCTGTCATGGTTGGCACTCCTGAGCCTGTTGCGTCTCAAATCTCGTCGAGCGCTTCTTCTGCAGCTTCGGTGGCCGCTGAGAGCGTGGAAAGCGCTGGCCAGAAGGTGAGGAGCAAGATGTTCGCTGGCGCTATGGCTGAAGTCATTGTTGAAGCCCGTGAGCCTATCATCGATTATGCGGATGACACTCCCAGTGGATCTGTTCTGGACGAAGCTGCCGCCGCTGCAAGCTCGTACTACGAGACCGCTGTCAAAGAGGCAGCCAGACATTATTCCCAGGCCCGCGCTGCCGTTTCGGCTCAAGTCTCTGGCACTCCCGCTCCGATCCACGAGCAGATGTACGCCTCTGTAGAATCCGCATATGCTGGCGCCAGGTCTGCTGCTGCCGAAAGGCTTCAAAAGGCTTTTGGAACCAGCTCGCAAGGCACATACGAGAGCATCACCTCCGCAGTCGCGGCTGCTTTTGCTCGCCCCACCCAGAACGCTTTGTCAAGCGTGTCATCGGTCGCCTCATCTCGCCTCGCTGAAGGACTCAGCCTGGCCTCTGCGCAATACCAGAGTGCTAAGATTGCTGTCGGTGCCGAGCCAACACCTGCTCACCAACAGTACCTGGCTTCTGCTCAGCGCGCCTACTACGAGGGCATCGGTCTCGCTCACGACCGCTACTCGCAATTCCTGGCTGCCGCATCAAGCGCCGTCGGTGCCACTCCCACCGCTGGCTTTGCTGGTTTCGTCGCTGCGGCTCAGGCCACATACAACGCTGCCGTCGCGAACGCAGCTGCTGCTCTTTCCAGCGCATCCGATGCCGCGGCTTCTGTGGTCGGTGCCAAGTCCACACCGGCAGCCGGAATCCTTGACAGCCTTCAGTCTCAATACGACGCCGCTGTAGCTGCCGCCTCTACCAACCTCGCAGCCGCTTCCAGTCAAGCTAGTGCTGCATACTATGGCACTCAGACCGGAGTCGTCGAGTCTGCCGGGTCTGCCATCAGCTCTGCTGTCTACGGCAAGGAGACTTCGTGGACTGAATCTGTCGCTGCACAGGCTGCTGCCAACTGGGAAGCTCTGATCGCTAGTGCAAGTGAGCAAGTCTATGGAGCCCCGGCTCCGTTCACCGCATCTGTCTAGTAAGTTCCCCATACCGATATTGAGTGATCTCACGTGTGCGTTTTGCTAACTTCCATATAGTAGCCAAGTCACAGCTTATGCATCGCAAGCCACCGATGCCGCCGCTGCCCAATACGCTGCTGTTCAATCGCTTTTTGCCGAGCTCGTCAGCGGCAAGGAGCCCGCCTTCACCGACAGCGTCTACAGTCGCCTCAACTCCGCCTACTCCACTGGCGCTCCAGCCATCGTCGCCGATGCATCAAGCTACGCCAGCGCTGTCTACGAGTCCGCCTCATCAGTATTGTCCTCCGTCTTCTCCCCGCCCACCGCTGCTCCAAGCATCCTCGACCACTTCAGCGTCCAACTCAACGCTGCTGTGGAAGCCGCCAGCTCCCAACTTTACGCTGCGACCACTGCCAAGGGCGTCTACGCCCAAGCCACCGACGCAGCCGCTTCAGCTTACACTGACGCCTCCTCCGCAGCCAGTGCCGCCGTATACGGAACTCCCACCGGCTACGCCGAAGCCGCCCAAAGCAGCCTCAACGCCGCCGGCGCCGACGCTCTGGCCGCTCTGTCCGCCGCAATCTACGGTGCTCCCACCCCGACCGATACCTACGGCTCAGCTACCAGCGTCGCCTCGAGCGTATACTCCGCCGCCGCCGATGCCGCAACCGCCGCCCACGCCGCGCTTTTCGGCGGCAAAGATACCGCCTACCTCTCCGACATCCAGAAGCAAGTCGAGGAGGCCATCGCCGGTGCCAACAGCCGCATTGCAGAACTTGCGACACAGGCTAGTGCGGCGGCGGGCGGGGCAGCGCAGTCGGTCAGCAGTGTGGTTGAGGAGGCGACGAGGAGGGTCAAGGATGAGCTTTGAGCTTTGGGCCAGGAAACGAACGAGTGGATATATTTGCGCGGTTTGAATCTTTCTGGCGGCCGTGATTGTCCATTTTCCGTGTGGAGACCTTCAATCGCGTTCGTCGATACCAAGCTGGTTGCAAGGTCGGGGACGGTTGTGCAGGGGGGAATGATGACACCTTTTTCGACGAGACGATGACGGGATTTGATGGATCGGATTTTTGATGAAGCTTTGATGTTGCTTGTTATCTCTTGTTGTCGTTTACGCGCGCGCACAACTTTAATGCAGGTATAATGATATCCCACTTCTGAATCTTTTCAAACGCAAACCAAAACACGATCCAATTTCTTCTTCTTCTTCTTCTTCTTCTTCTTCTCCAACCCAACACGGAGCATCCCAATCGTGGAATCCATCTGGCCCACACGCCCATAACTCTTCCGTCCTCTCCCTCTGCGTCTTCCCTCCTGGTCGGCCCCCCATCGACACAAAACCTTCCAATCTCACAATTCCCCATGGCTATTCGGGACCCGTGGCCGCTGGCGCAAATATCTTCCCATATTTCCACCCCAGCGCGAGGAACGTGACGTATTCATCGGGCAAGTAACCCTGGGCGGAGAATTCTACCGGAGCGAAACGGTCAATAAAAGTCGAGAGAGTCTGTCTGGAGAATCGAAGAGTTCATCACGATGCGAAGAGGCGCGTTGAAGAGGGAAAGGGTATATACAGTCTCGATCTGGAAGTTGCATGGAGATCGGCGGAGCAGAGGGGAGTGGAGGGAGGTGGAAAAGGTGTCGTTTGGACGTCATTGCCTTTTCTCGCCTCTTTTCCTTGCAGATGGATTCTTTTCTATTTCTCGGATCAAGGTGCGTCGGTAGCCTTTCTCTTTCTTTCTGTTTCCCGTTTCCCTGCTCTGGTCTATGCTTGCTTGAGACCCAGGCGTTGGCTCCAGTGGAGACCCATAGCCCAGTGGAACAACCTTACAGAAGCAATTAGCTTTCTCCTTGTCCTAGAATGTTTCGCAGGGGGATGTTCACTTACCTCGCATCGACAATTTTGCCCTCTTCCTTCGAAAACGCTGTAATGATTTCAGGATGCTGTTGGCTATTTCCGTGGCTTGGGAAGCCTTTCTCTTTCTTCGCAGGAACCGGGATGTATGGGCAATTCAAGATGTGTGCGGATCGGTGGAGAAATGAAGGAAATGGGACGAACCTTGCAATTTCTCGTAGAGCTGGTCGAGAGGCACGACGACGCGTTCGATGTGTTCGCCTTCGTCGAGGTGTTGCTCGGGTTCTTCGTCGCCTTCTTTGAGGTTGACTTCGATGGTGACCATCTGCGTGATTTGAACAAAGCGAGGGAGGAGACGGAGAGGTTAGCTGATTGTGATACGACCGGAAAGTCGATCTTGACCCGTAAAGCGACGGCTGAGATCGTGAGACGGAGAGTCCGATGAGAGACATACCTGCATGTTCGCGTTGGTCAACCCCGGATCCGCTACGATCGTCGGGCTGCAATCAAGTACCTGCATTGTCGCGTTGGTCATTCCTGGCTGACAGCTCAACAGCGGACTAGTCCCACACACCTTGCCCTCGTAGCCTGTCTCCTCCTTGAGTTCGCGGATAGCGGCCTGTTCGGGCGTCTCGCCTTCGTCGATCAGACCGGCGGGAAATTCGACGCAGATGGCATCGACGGGCGGTCGGTACTGTGTGAGAGGCTTAGATTTGGTTTGATGGGAGGAACGGGACGTAGAAAATCAAAATATACCTGCAAAATCACCATTGTCGACACGGGCCGATTGGGGTGTCGGATTATGGGACCGATGGCGACGGCATCGACGCCGGATTCCTTACGGGTCTTGCGGGCAGCGGCTTCCCAGACACGATCTCTACCGGTTTGATCCGTCCACTATCGAGAACAAAAGTTATGGGTCAACAACAGAGTCCATGAAGCAGTTGTGACTCGAAGAGAAGTCCTTCACTTGGGCAAGTAGTAGAAGAACGAACTTCAATCTTCTGGAGGGTGGTCCATTTCGCTTCGTCCTCTGACAAGGGACTGATGCGGCGGATCTTGGGCTCTTGGGTCTTGGTTGACATGGTGAATGTTCTGTATGGGGAGAGTACTCGTATGATGCTCCTACTCTGCCGAGATGCTATGTTCATTGAGTCGAGGGCTGTCTATGTATGTCTATCCAGGTAGTCGTGGGCGATTGATCTATAGCTGTCGGAGTGACGTATCCAAGCAATGCTGGAGAACACCACCTGCACTGAGCGCTGGGCTCGGTCCAGGCTAGGGTCCCACCCCACAACCAACCCCAACCCTAAAGACATGATCATCCATGGATAAAAGGGTCATGGAATTGATGATGGGCATGCGACACTTCGAACTAATAATGAGATCGTCTGGGTGTTGACACGAAGGACTCATCGAAGTGTTTTCATCGTATTCCGAGGCCTTCTCGAACGTCTGAACTGATCTTCTTCGAGATTGCTTAATGGTCTCGCGAATCGCTGATATGTATGTGCACGACATATTCTGGTGTCAAGTGACCCATGCCCGTAGTCTACAGTGTTCTACTAGCACACGCAAAGTATAGATCACCATCTCATATGGCGTTCAGCCTTGTTGGAGCTCAATGGGTAAGGCTCGTCTCTGCCCGTAGGCTTGCCTGACCATCGAGCACGCGTCTTTGAACGGCGGCGAAAGAAGCGTACCAGAGACGGGATTGGGAGCTGCAACAGACGGTTGACATCCCCGAAACCGACCATGCCCGGAGACAGCGCCGGACCGAACAAACCACCTGCGGCAGAAGCACCAGTGAGGCACCGCTCTACAATAAACGACCGGAAAGAGGGTCAAGATGTGAAGACCGAGACGCCTGTTACGTGCGAGAAAGGTACGGAATCAGTAAGGCGGTCAGTCCTTGCTCATGCTGTGATCGCCGCTATGGACAGACATCCTTCCGGAAAGATCCTTGGAAGCCCACTGACTGCATCGTGACTAAGAAGACAAGCTGCAATGCAAGCCTCTAGCGGCGAGGAGGCAGATCCTTGCAGCTTGGCCCGATGGACGTCTCTGTTCATGAGGGCAGGACATGTCGACTTCGAATGCCGACAAGACCGTATAAATCGCTAGCGAACGGAGATACTGCTCGATCGACAAGGACTGCTGTCTCCAGGCTGATGGCGTGCGCGACGTCAAAAATGTCGCGTGAGCAGCAGATCTGTGCTGTGCATTGGTGTCTCCCAGGGAGATACTGCTACAGTAAACCATAGAAATGCTCCAAGCAGGGGCCAAAAGATCAGACGACCTCGGAACTTCACCTCCAGAGACCTAACTAGACCATCCGGCCTTGCAGCCCACTAGCTTTCCAACAAAGTCCCCAACGCATACGATACGGTCGATACCCATCCGATTGGTGACCGTAATGGTTCCTCGGACGATATCGTGGAGTAATCGCGAACTCCACTGTACGTATCATGCGTGGACGAACATTCCGTCGCCCGGCACCTCGACCTCCCGTTCCCTTCCACCGCCGAAGACCCGTGAGGTAAAAAGCGCTTGCGGCCGTTTTTGGTGCCCTCTAGATACTTTTGGTCCATTCCTACGGTAGTCCACAGTCTATGATGACGATCGGCGAACGTAGATGGAAACAAGCATTGGAGCCGCGTGTAATGCTTCTGGGCTGAGATGCTCACTACGATGGTCTACTGCAGTCCACTGATCAATTAGGACGACATCGCCGTCAGGAAATCGCAGGCAAGCGCATCCGTAGAGATTTAACGCACAGAGGATTTTCGACAAGATTGAATAAGGTACAGATGGTGGCGTTTGCAAGGGCCTCGCCGCCGTTTGCGAAAAGTTTTGGGGGTGCAAGACGCGAGAGAGTTTTCTTTCGGGTCAGACCGGGGGGAATTGGGAGAAGAAAAAGGGCGGAACGCGGCGTCCGCGGCAGGCACGGATTCGCTTTCCCTCACACGTCAATGACACAGACTGACGACGACGGCGACCAATGCCGTGAAGGACTAATAAATAAAATAGACTCGCTCTTTACAATTGGGAGTCCTGTAGAGTATCACTGCGTACGTACCACCGTCCAAGGCCAACGAAAGGTCGAGACTTCACACGTCCTCCCTTCCCTCCTTCCTTACTTCCGCGTCACACCGAATGGAATCTTTGTACTTCGTATCGTAACAAACCCATAAACCACCGAAACCTAAAGAAAGCACGTTTGACCCCAATACCGACCCTTTGCATTCATTAATACTATGCGTACTCGTAACCGCAACCTCTCTTCGCCTACGCCATCTCGTCTGTCCTGCGCCAATTGCCTGCCCAGTGACATCGTCTACCTGGAACTTCAAGATCTGCAAGAATTTTGCCTACAAGAGAACCCATAGAAAGAATCCAAACCCCAGCAAGTTCTGCAAAGCTCTTGTTCAGGAACGAAACAAATCCTTCTCCAATCATGAATTGCCCATCTCGAACCGAACCCGAGATCGATCCCAGCTGGAATCAGAATCCCAACTCCATGGCCTCCGACCTCACCACCCGGAGCGATTTGGGAAAAATGGCCAGCGCCCGCCGTCGACAAGATCACAAATTAGACAAAGTCGACCAGACCAAAATCGAATTGATTCCCATCTCCGACCACGACGGCCACGCCTCTTCCAGCTCCTGCGATGGACCCAAGAGCTCCATCGCCAAACCGGGGGTCCGCGAAGGAGGAAACGGCACCAGCATCATCACCGCCACCGACATGCTGGCGCAAACGCTGCAATACAGCAACAGCAATAGCCACACGAGCAGCACACTGCACTCGTCGTCCGGCCGTCGCCACGACGACGATGCCAATTCCTCCACCTTCGACCCCAACCTCCCCGCGTGGCAGCGGCCCTTCCGATGGATCTGGAAGTGTCTCTCCTTCGTGGGTCCCGGGTTCATGATCGCCGTCGCCTATATCGACCCGGGCAACTACGCGACGGACGCAGCAGCCGGCGCTTCGTACCAGTACAAGCTCCTGTTCATGATCCTGCTGTCCAATATCTTCGCCATCTTCCTGCAGTCCCTGTGCATCAAGCTGAGCAGTGTCACCGGCCTGAACCTGGCGGAGATGAACAAGGCCCATACGCCCCGCTGGCTGAATTATGTGCTGTGGCTGTTTGGCGAGGCGGCTGTCATTGCGACGGACATCGCCGAGGTGATTGGATTCGCCATTGCGTTGAATTTGTTGGCGCCGGCCGTGCCTCTTGTGGTAGGATGTGCGATCTCGATTTTGGATGTCATGTTCATTTTGATGTTTTATCGACCTGATGGTGGGATGAAGATGTTAAGGGTGTTTGAGGGATTCATTATGGTCTTGGTCATGGGAGTGGCGGTGTGCTTCTGTTATCAGCTCTCGTTGATTCATGTCGACGAAGTGTCAGAAGTGTTCCGCGGGTTTCTGCCTTCGAGCGCGTTGATTCAGAGTCAAGGGTAAGCTCTCCTTGTTCCTCATCTTTTTTTCGGTGCGAACAACTGACCGCTGTATAGTCTCTATCAAGCATGCGGCATTCTCGGTGCTACTGTCATGCCTCATTCTCTCTACCTCGGCAGCGGCCTCAACCAACCACGCCTCAGGGAGTACGACATCCGCCACCACCACTATCCGAATCCCGCCAACATTTCCCACGACGAAGATGATTCTATCCACCTCGAGAAATACCGCCCCTCCCTCTCCGCCATCCAACACTGCATGAAGATGTCCATCTGGGAGCTCGGCATCTCCCTCTTCACCTTCGCGCTGTTCATCAACAGCGCCATCCTGATCGTCTGCGGCGCCTCCCTCTATAGCGTGGACGGCGCCGACGCCGCCGACCTCTTCCAAATCTACGACCTCCTCCAACAACAAGTCGCCCCCGCCGCCGGCACCGTCTTCGCCGTCGCACTCCTGCTCTCCGGCTGTTCCGCCGGTATCGTCTGCACCATGGCCGGCCAGATGATCTCCGAGGGCCAGCTCGAATGGAAATGCAAACCCTGGCTCACCCGCCTCATCACCCGGAGCATTTCCATCCTGCCCGCGATCCTCGTCGCGGGACTCCTGGGGAGGGATGGCCTCAGCGAGGCCCTGGTCGCGTCGCAGGTGGCGCTGAGCGCGATCCTGCCGTTCGTTTCCGCCCCGGTGATTTACTACACCTGTCGGAATAAATACATGACCGTCACCACCACGAGACGCGTCCTCGCCCCTGCTGCTCCCACCCCCGCGGAAACTGCCGGACAGCAGCAGCAGCGACATCAGGATGTCGGCGGGGCGACGGCGGAGACTGGCTCGACGACCACGACGACCACGACGGAGGTGCACAAAGTGCTCATGAGGAATTCGTGGATCACGGCGGGGTTCGCGGTGGCGATCTGGTCGGTGATCGTGATCATGAACGTGGCCAATTTGGTCCTGGTGGGATTGGGCGTGAATTAGAAGAAGAAGATGGACTGTCGGCGAACATGCATATAATCTTAACACGACCAAGAGAGAATCAAAAAGCAATCACGAACTGATTCATTTCTGAAGCATATGATATATTACATGAATCCTCCTCTTCTCTATCCAGTTGGGAAATGTACAGGAGGAAGAGGGACATCGTTTTCCCACCCCTCTCTCTCTCTCTCCATCGAACAGGCAGATGAGTGGAGTGACGAATCTGATGCAGAAGGAGGACCTGCCCGTGTCCGGACCGTAGGAGCCGGTGTTCCGCGCGCGGTCCCCGCTGCATCTTCCAGTCCGACCTAGGGATACATTCGACCCGAAACTTAGCAAAACCTTGTGTTGTGCGTTCGTGAATCCGATGATTATCCAGACTCGGTTTGAAGGACGTGCTGCATGGGACCCCCCTGTCGAGGTTCACTAGGTAACGGTACAAATTGAGATTTTCTTGCTTCTCGTTTTACAAATTTTCGGTCCTTTAGTTTCTTTCATACATGTATCGCCTCCAATTTTCTATCCGTCATCAATCCACTCCGAAAAAAAAAACAAATTCCACAGTGTCTTCCCTTTTCCATTTATCTTATTACTCAAATTTGGGTATCGGGCCGCTTCCGTATATTTATCCCTCTCCCTCGCAAAAGTTTCTTCTCTTCATCATTATTGTTCGTCAGTTTTTTTCTTTCCAGATCTGTGTCTCTCATCGTGTGTCCTCGATATCGCAAAATCGTCCGCTGACCCAATGACCATCGCTCGTCAATGAGTTCGTCAACGACTTCTTCAAAGCACAGCCATTCCGCCCATAGCCATCGCTGCAGCGGCGGCGGCGAGAATCATCCCTGTCGGTTTGGCTTGTGCCGCGGCGCCGATCAATGCTGGCGTGTTCGATGATGCCGATGGGCTCGTCGTTGGACGGGTGGTGGCCGTCGCGCTGGTTCCGGTTGTGACGAAGACGACGCTGGTGATGGTGGAGTTCAGATCGGTCGTGGATGTGGTGGAGGTGGTGCTCGTGGTGGTCGGGCGGGTGGAGGTGGAGCTGGTGGTCGTTGTGGTGCGGGTGCTGGAGGTGGTGGATGAAGTTGTTGGTGTGCTGCTGGTGGTGCGGGTGCTGGTTGTAGTTGGAGAGCTCGTGGTGGTGGTGGTGGGAGTCGATGTGGTTGTTGGGGAGGTGGTGGTGGGCGATGTCGTCGTTGTCGTCGGCAACGTCGGAGGGTCGGCGGCGGTGGTTGTTGGACCGGCGGTGGTGGTGGTCGTTGATGGATCGGCGCTGGTCAATGTGCTCGTGACAGTGATTATGGGTGTCGAGGTCACTACGTTCGTGACTGTGGTGACTGGCGGTGTATCGTCACGCGAAATGACATTGCTGGATCCGCCACTGCTACTGGCATTGCTGACGCAAAGGATACTTGTCACGTTGGTGACGAAGCTGGACGATGTCGCATCGAATGTCGGTCCCGCGCTCGTCGCGCCACTGCTACCGGATTGCGCAATGTAAGGAGTACAGCTGACGAGGTTGACGTCCACGCCCTCAGCACTGATGATTGAGAGACTGGTGACAGACTTCAGGGCAGTGGAGTCGGAATATGAACGATCCAGAGGGACGGAGATGAATGATGTGATGTTATTGCCTGTTCCTAGTTCTGTCAGCGATGTGTTCCTGCCATTGGCGTTGCAGCTCGCAAGTCCTTCCGAGAGCCAGCGTACCGTCCGGATTTGCCTGAAGGGCAATGTTGACCGTCTGCGCGGCGGCGCTGGCCAGCACGACCGAAGTGATCGCCAACTGTCTCCAGACCATGATGTTCTTCTTTCTATGATATTATTGTAATGATATGACGTGTGTCGCAAAGCTGACGCTCGATTCGCAGCCTCGGTGTGTGTATCCCTGTATTCGTCAGGCGCGTCGAATGGGTATCAACAAGTATGGTCTCCAGCAATATTAGCGAGGTCGTAAAAGCACGCAAATGTCGCAGGAAATGAGGATGTCCAATGAGCCGAAAGGGGACCAAGATGAGATGAAGGCGTCGCGAAGTGTCAGACGATATGTTCCTAGATGTTACTGTAAAAGCAGAGGAAGACGAGTTGAGGCGATGGCATTATAGCTCTTACTACGTAGGTGGGTCTGTTAAGCAGGACTACTTGCAGGTGGGCAATTATTAGTGACATTCTTGAGGATTTAGTTCTGTCAGTAGCTCGAGAGATTACGAGGCGTCGCGTCCAAACAGCGCCGATCGCGTGGCTAAGCACAACACGCACACAGCACCACACACCAACTAACTCCCGTCATTAATGATGAGAGTGAGGATGCCGTAGTGGTTTGGCGTCTCTCTTCCGTCAGGAACAGAACAGACGGACATGGCACCAAATGAGTGGGTGACAGGGAGAGGATGGTCTCTTCCTCCTCCTCCTCCTCCTCCTCCGCCGTCCTGTCCTGTCCTGTCCTGTGCAGTATATCTTGTGTGCACGATACTGAAACGACAACAAGCGAGACTCTCGGCGTTGTATACCCATCGTGGGAGAGAGAACGTGCGCGGCGCTTCTGACTCGCTCGCGCAGTCTCTCATCATCCATCACCACTCGTTTCGCACTGAAACACATCTAAGCCTTGTCCAGGGCTACCTAGGTACACATGCATGTGCCGACGTTGGAATTGCGACACACGTCCAACCTGCATTACATGCATACCAAGGTATCCTGCACCTCTGCTACACACTAATAATAATCACACACACATCGAGTTCGATGGCCGACGACATAACCAACTGCATATATGACGAAATGAGAGCGATCTGACCGCTCGCCTGACGTGCACTGTTACATCGTGGGACACTCGTATCGGGACAACACACCGATCAGCATCCAGAAGGAAGACTTCAGCCAAGGAAGCCGACATTCCCGATCGCTCTCCTCCCCCGACGCACCTGCGTCATCTGGAAGTCTCGAAGGTCGATGGCTGCGGGCGGCGAGGAGCGAGCGGCGAAGGCGGCGGTGGTGACGGTCTTTCAGGGCTCAGTTTTGCTTCCTCGACTAAAAATAGCATCCTTCACGAATATCAATTGGCATCGAGGTATGCCGAGTATCACGTATGTAATTATGTACAATCATAACGGCACACACGATAATAACATTGTGATGAACTGCAATGGAATCAATTCACATGTGTTGATGCTTATGATCATAGCGGCTTTGGATGTAATTGTACTGTACAAAATCGTTGTGACATCCGCACCTGTTGGGAACTTATTCACCGAAAAGCAAGGGCCTCAAGAGCAGCAAGCATGCGCCAGTAGATCTACAAGATCCAACGGCAGTGATGAGTAGATGCCTTTGGAGATCTCCAGTCATGAGATGAATTCGGGGACAGAAACCTTGCCAAGCGATGGAGACCGAGAACACAGTCATGCCTTTCACTCTCCCTGATTCAACCCAGTTCCACTCACCGCGGCTTGACATATCTGCCCAACTTCATCTCCTCCTTCAAGCTATCCTGCTGACTCGGCAATGGCGCTCGTCTCCGTTTGTTATCAAATCCTCCATCGAAATCTCCCGCGGGCATGATCGGCAAAGCGGCGCCCGGGAACAGTGACGAAGGCGGTGGGAATCCCGGCGGCGGGACGAACCCTGCTGGAAGCGCCGGGAAGCCCGCAGGCGGAAGAGGGAAGGGCGGCATCCCGCCGTTCGCGCCGCCACCAATGCCGGGAGGTGGTGGGAGTTGTCCGCCGAATGCCTGGCGGAGGGCCTCGAGGTCCATGCCGGGAGGCAGCGGCGGCATACCACCGGGGAAAGGCGGCGGAGGAGCAGGGAAATTTCCGCCAAAGTTTTGTGCACCGCTGAGGTCTGGCAGAGACACGGGCGGGGCTGGGTGGCCGGGTGCGGCCAGGCCTGGGAGACCTGGGAGACCTGGGAGAAAGTTGCCTCGGCTGGGCATTTTCTGATCCTCGATCCCGTCGGCCTCGTCTTCGACGTCGGCTTCTTCTTCCTCCCGAGCACGTTGAGCTTCGGACTTTCTCCACGTGCCCTTTTCTTCGGCGGCGGCCTGGCCGATGTGCCATTTGTCGTTGATGTACGTGTCCTCGCCTGGCCGTGGTCGCGTCCAGAATCGAGTCGCGCGGTCGTTAGACCCCGAGGCGAGAATGTGGCCAAGTGGATGCCAGTCCATGCACCAGACGTTATATTCGTGTGCGAAAGGGATCTTGTGTGCGGGAAAGATGGTTTGTGCTAAAGCTTCAGCGGGACTGGCCGCGTCGTATGGTGATGTGGTTAATGGTGTGCCTGGAGGCGCATTCTGCTCATCGAGTAAATAGTGGAACATTGCACCATCGGCACCACCAGTCGTCAAAAATGAGGAATGTATCGGATGCCAAATGATGGAGCTGATCTCCTTTTCGTGACCTTTCAGGAGAAAGACGTCGCGCATCATTCGGATATCGAAAACGCGAACCGTCTGATCTCGGGCACAGGAAGCTAGTAACACGCCCTTGGAGGGCTCAAACTTGGTCATGTTGACAGTGTTCTTGTGCCCGTGCAGTGTGGTCAGACATCGACCCGTGCGCGGATCCCATAACTTGACCTGATGATCTTTGGATCCTGAGACGATTAGACCTTTGGTAGGATGCCAATCTACGCATTTCGCATCCCATTGATGTCCTGATAGTGTAGCCTCTTCCATGCCACCGGCGAAATCGAAGATCTTAAGGGAGGCGTCATCGGATGCAGTGACAAATTTAGCGTCTGTAGGTGCGAAGGAAAGATCGCGCACAGGATCCGCATGTGCCTGAATCTCTTTGACGTTGTTGAAATTCGTTTGCCAGTACTTCACCACTCCTTCTTGATCAGCCGAGATGAGCCATTCATTGTTATGCGCATATGTGACTGCTCGAACTGCGGTATCATGAGCTTGCATGATAGTTTCGAAATTGAACCCAGTTCCATTCCAGAGGGTGAATTCGCCACTCGTACTTCCTGTTAATAGCCGGCGACCTTCGGGAGTCCACTTTACCACATTGACAGGATGTCGTACTTTGTTGTAGCTGGTGTGTAGATGTTTCGCCGGGATGGTATCTTGAGCACGACCTTTCCGAGCCGCCGGTGGTAGGATGTTGAACACGTAGCTTAGTGTCTGTCGCTCAGCTTCATGGGATCGGATTCTTGACGTTCTTGAGAGCCGGTTGTGCATCCAATGGACGTATGTGCTTCCGATATCAGTGGCATTTCCTATGTATGAATATATATTAGATTTGCTGGATTCACAGGTTGCGCAGTCCTCGCGGCACGCATTCAATGGATATCATACGTCGATTGGGCCTGCCACGCCGCCCGGTATGTTCGAACCCGCCGTTTTCGCCTTGACCGTCGCGGTCCATTGCGGAGAGTTCTGTGTTTAAAATCTCATGTGTTGGAAATCTGATCACTACCAGAATGAAACGACTATCTTGAGGATTCACGCAAGATACTCCACTTTGTCCCAACTTCTGAGTTTTTATACGTTCCGATGAACAGGTTGTAGCATTTGTCTGTTCCTGATTAGAATATTGATGAGTGTCAAAGAACAGACTGCTGTTGCGCCCAGCCAAATTCAAGATACGAGGCTCGTCGCGTCTCCATGGCTTGTGATCCTCAGGCAAGAAATCGCAGTGACACCAAAACAGACTAGCACCATGTCCCAATTCGACCTCATTACTGTTCACTCTTGGCCTGCAGACGCGAACATCAAGATAGTCACTATCGTACAATTAGACCAATCTGCATCATGGTATACCTATGTATGGTTTGAAAATCAGCTTGAAATCACGAGATGAAGACAGTGTCTTCGTGTTGAAATTGAGGCCGTCGCCATATACCGCGACAGGCCTTGAGCGACGAGACTAACACAGACAGAAAGTTCAATGCTTACAAAATGACTTAACATTTCTGAGTGAGACATCTTCAAGATGAAGGCCATATGGTGAGATCCTTGGACACATCAGTCAGATCATTATGCCAAGAAAAAGCAACGCCCATCCTTGCCAGACGACGACGATGCACACCCTACTGGAAACAATGAAAATAGAGGGAGATCGACTCGGTCAAGTCTCGGCACATTTTTAAGCGACCGAGCTTCACGAAGGCTTACAATCAGGTACATTATGTCCAATAGTGGTCAAGAGCTCGTGGAACCTCAGGAACGCTTGTCCACCTGCTTGAAATGGCTACTCATCTGAGATCAGGGGCAAGAACATCGCCGAGCGCTCTTGATCTCCGAGTCAATGATCCTTGACCTTACTCAATGACCCCAAAGCGGTCAGAGCGATTACAAGCAAGTGTTCATCCTGCTGATGAGCCTCGGGACGACTTTGATGCCGACGAATGTGGCCGAGCTGGGTATGGGAATGGTTGTTGAGAGCGACAACTCGACGCGAGTGTACCTCTGCTCAATTTCGACTGCAGTCGTATTCCACTCGTCGCAATCTGACACACACCGACAAGAAGACCCTACATTTCAGATCAGTTTCACTGGACGCAGGGACCGCTGGATGTGTCTGCACGAATCATGCGGTCGCATGAAGCCGGTCACTACACGCACATTTTCCGGCTGCAACCAAGATAATTGGCGCATTGATGCATCTCTTGAGTCCTCACTTCGCGACAGTGAACCCACCGTACTAACATCATCCAGATGTAGCCTGCCATGTATGACATTATTGGCTGCGACGTCCAACGAGGATACCGGTAAGACTGCGCCTTATCGCAAAAGCCTCTTGGTATCAAAGCGTGACGGTGACGACGACGATCAGGAGATGTTGAGAGATTCCCAACGGCGACATGCAGCCTATGAGAGACGTAGAGTGCCTGGCAGCAGACCCAAGACTTTCAAGCACCGAGGACAAGCCTCATCCCAGACCAGATCAGCCGTATCAGCCTGCAGGATCATTTGAGGATGACCTTCTCGAAGGCGTCCCGGGCTGCACACAATCGTCGATCACACCGCTTGCGCACGATTTGCTCGGGCGCAACGCTCGCAACACACAACGACGCCTCGTGGGACGCCACAAATAAATCCACAAGGCGCATTGCCCTTCGACGCTGCGGCACCTCGCTCTTATTACTTCTCATTCGGTGGATCGACCGCCCAAATTCTCCGAGGATTAAGAAACTTGTCAAAAAGGAAATTCCGAAATGTCCCCACATTCAACATCTCACACAAGCAACTCACAGCTTCGGAGCACGGAGGCGTACCCCCAGGGCACCGTGAGTGGCTGCATTTGTGTATTCCACCGTTGAGAGCGATAGGATACACTCGGTGTAGCACTACCACCCACGGCATCTGTCCGTACTGTGGCTGTTACTACCGCCACCGAGAACGACCGCTCCGGTCAGCGAGTCAAAAAGCACTCTTATTCGAGAAACCTCCTGGAAAGTTTCGAAACCACTCCTACCCAAGGAAGCCGAAACGTGGGCATGAAAACACATGCACTTCCTTATCAGAGTTTTCCCATCACATTGGGACGGTGGGAAGGGAGGGAGCGCCAACGAAAACCAGCCAGCGCTTTGTTTAGGCGACCGTCGTGTTGGAGAGCGATAATACCGCCATGTGCAGGGACGGCTCTGCCCAGGCACGGTTCCTCCGCGTGGGTGGGCAAGGGCTTAACTCTGTCCCCTTTTGGGGCTGGACAACTCGCCAAAAAGTTTAAATGCGGCGAGGTCTTCTAGTGTTCCCACGAAGGGATATAATGTGGATGTGTCAATGTGTTGGTGTGTAAGTGCGTTGTAAACGGCATGTGTGTGGACGCCCCAATGTGATATGGAGAGGTCCACCAAAAAGCCAATAGGCCCGAAGTGGAGAGAAATAGATGTTGAGAAGTGCTCACGAGAGAAAGGGAGGAAGGTCTCATCAAAAGACCGATCTGCTTCTGTAACACGGCTATGTGATTTTTTAGGCCATGTGCAAACGCCTCCACTGCCGGGTCAATTACGTCGGCGCCGCCACAATCGCTATCCCACTTGCACTCCCCGCTTGTTGATCATTTCGTGTATGTGAGGGAGACTTCACTTCACCCGGTTTCGATGGCATCCTTTGTATTCGAGAAGAGCGGGGGGACGTCGGAAAATGAGCCTTGTGGAAGTGGCGGCGATCTGAAATGTTTCGAAGGAGAGGAGTAAATGGAGCTTATGGGTGTCTGTATGACTACACGTGCGACTTGGGATGGAGATAGAAAAATCGCTCAGCATCAGGCTTCGTTTCTCGCTCGCATACGCTAGACAGTACGATAGATAGATTGATTCTGTGGAAGCAATGGAAGCATCGATAATCCCGCGTGGATTATCATCACCCACGTGTATCGATTACAGTTTCCACTAAACAGTGCGCTGAAGATAGAGACGGGCGAAGGAAAATTCATGAACGTTGCTGGACGATGAACGTGTCAAGGGCAGACTTTTTCCACCTGGGAACCGCGGGAGAGTTGGCGATAAAGGTCCGTTGAAAAGTCAAATTTCTCGTCGCCGCTAACCTTGCCCGGCGTTCTTGTGACGGAGGTGGATGTAAGCTACATGCACTCCGGATGTCGCGGACTGAACCTACTGCTGGCGGTGATTGTTCTCTAGTGACCAGCACCGCGACATTGACGAATGAAGCAAGTACACGACACGGCGGCATCTCCAAAGAACGGGTTCTAGCAATCAGAGTTTCGAACTACATCGTGAAGAAGTTGATCGTCGCGTCATCATCCTAGCCCTTGGGTTTCTAAGTTCATACTACCATCCCGCACTGCGTGAGATGGGCACGACACGGAAAGACAACGTGGGTGATGACCCAGGCGCGACTTTTATCGCAAAACACTGGGAGGTATCTTCCTTACCTCTCATCATTCCTAATGTAGAGAAAGAAGCCGCTGTAGACTATGTGTGCGCCGGATCGGAAATGAATCTCGCCACTTGACGAGCGGTGAAGAGATTCAATGTCTCCACCCCTCGTCTGATCTTGTATCTTCGGCCACATATTGCGAATAAGAAGGGAAATCGCAAGAGATGATGCCCAGTACCTTCCAAAAAATGTCTCGTATTGGAGAGGAGAACACACAGTAGGCAGAAGAAAAGAGGCGTATACGGCGAATCGCAATGCGGTCGACAAAAATACGCCTGCCGAGGCATGCATAAAACAAAAATAATAATGCTGGACATTTGAGGGAAATAATTTCTATGCCAGATGGAAGCATGTGCATGTACAGCATGATGTACCATTGTATGCAGGATCACAACGCCTCGACCCAGGATCGTTCTATAGGCCTGACTGACGGGTACCTGATGATGAGGAGCGAAAGAGAGAGAAAGGTCGCAACAAGTCAAGAAACACACGATCGCCCGGATCCTCCCCGCTGTAGAGAGTGTGTATGGGAAGAACGCCGGCGGTCAGGAAGGAAGGTGGAGATCTCCATCCGGCGGGCGCGCGAAGCAAGCAAAAGCGGGCTGCATCGGTTTCGTTTTCACACTGTAGGGCAGCAGCTCCGCGACAGTATGCACATGATGATGCAGCGCAGTCTCCACCCCGCGACGTTTGCATATTTGTGCATCATATGTAAAGAATGTCAAAGGGAAAGAGGGAGAGGAGAAGAGAAGAGAAGAGAAGAGAGGTATTGTATGTGCCGAATGGCCTGGCAGAGGTGTCGCGGTTGCAATGCAGGATCTAACACAAGAGACGAGAGCCCTGAGGAGTTCGTATGCTCCCTTGTAGCAGATCATTCGATCAAGCAGAACCGTCTCGCCTGACTACTGTCGATTTGAAAAGGTTCAATAATTCTATCGTAACTAGCAGGGGACAGGTAGGGAGAGGGACAACGCTTGCTGAATTGGTAGAATGCGTGATGGAGGAACAGAAACCTAGACTTTGGCGCGCCATGTGTGTCTTTTATCTTATTAGATGCGGACAAGGTATGTATCTCTCTGGATCCACCAGTAGTCCTTGTGTCTCTCGTAGAGATGCGCTGATGGGGAATGAATAATATATCCCTGTCCATAGCGAGCGTGACTATGGGAGAGCCCACAACGCCCGCGATGATGGAGAGATAGCCAACAGCTCCCATCAGGACATCCATGCTGTCAAATAGTAATTGACAGGGACAGGTCAAACGAGATGCTTGGCACCTACTGAATACGGGAGAACGAGTTGGGCCGAGAAAGGTCTGCTGTCTCGGTGAGGCCGCCGCCCGCAGCAGACTCTCATCATCAACATCACGACGGACGTGTCGGGACAGGGATCAATGGACGCCCATTGCGGAGAGCAGGCGCCGTGAGATGCATCGCACTGTGGCAGCAGGAAGCCAGACGATAGAGCGGTCTCGAACGGCTTCTTTCGCTGTTCTCCCTTCGCGGCACACACCCGCGCACCCACATACACACCATCACCACCCGTGTGCAGTGGGCTGACACAAGCAGTCTCTACATTCCTCCCGTGCGGCACGGTGAAGCCTGCCGCCGCCCAGCCAAGCGTCGACATGTCCTGAGCTGATGTGTTGTTCCAGGCAGGTACAGAATAGTACCGTACGGTACGGGATGCACAGTATTCCCCTTCTTCTGTGGTAAAAGCCATGTGCGCTCAGGATCAGGTCCAGAATGGTTGCCGAGGTGGCAAATGAGATACCAGAAGCGCGGCAGTCGAATGATGGATCATGGGATTCTACGTGATGGTGAATTTGTGGTTTGGTATCACGATACAATACCAAGGAGCTTAATTATCTCACTACTGTAGAAGTGGTTTTTTTGGAAGCGAGATGGGAAGAAACGCGTACCAGACCCGTTGGGAATTTGAAGGACTAAAGATCGGTGCAGCTTCGGATCCATCTCCCATGGCACTCCAGTGGACGACAGGCTGCCTCGTTCTCATCGCTCACAACGAGGCTCCGCATTTTTCGGAAATCGTATTCTGCACACCCGTCTAACAACCGATATGTAGGACTATCTGAGATGAGCGAGTAATGCCAAGATGGATACTGTGACGACCCTCGCCAGTGGAGCATTTATGCAAGCCGCTGGGGGCTCAATGACGTGTGACCGTGCGGCTATGATGGGCAGTCGGCGTCGTCGCCCCATCAGGATGGTAAATCGCTCGGAGCTGCTGTGGAGGAAACTTTGATGAGAAGCTCTCGTGGCTCCGAACCCACTACCGATGAACGAGAAAGTTTTCGAGGCATGGGAGGTTCGCGTGGCCGTCCGCTTCACCATGATGAATTCTCAACGGGAATAACACACGTGGTGCCGCCGAGGCTAGCCCGGAATCTTCTTCTTTTCTTCTGCGGCCCACGAGAAATACACTCCAACGCTCAACAGCCCGTTACACCTGCATTGTGATGTGATGGAAAAAAGTAAGATAGATAGGCCACCCGCGCTACGAGGGCACATTCTGAGAGAGGAAGACCGCCGAGACGGACATGATTGGGTTCTCTCATCATGCGACTCTAGGCGCGCCGGGAGAGCAGGAGAGGGAGGAAAAGATTGTGCGAGATGAGGCTTTTGCGGCTTGCAGGACGGGCGTTGCGCTTGTTAGCGAAACTGGCAAGTCCGCCGCCGCGACCGCCCGCTGTAAGCAAGAAAGCAGAGGTATTACGGAGAGCCTGGAGTATAACGTTCTCTGTTTTTGTCGTCGGCTTCTGGTACACACGCCTTGAAAACCAGCACAAAATATGGTCTTCAGGGTTCAAACTGATGGCCACTACGGTTGATCGTGTCATCTCGTGTCATCTGCAACCGGAAGAACACACCCACGCACACACACACACACACGCCAACCCGCCAGATCACGAACAACCACACGGTGTCAATTGGTACGGTGACCGGACTCGCCGGGGTTAAACTTCAGATGGGCGTTTCGCTGTGTTCTTCTAAGGCGATCATCGCGCCTCGAGGGCGTTGTCGTGGCCGCTGCCCGCCAGCCAACGTAATGGTGGTGCCGATGGAGGGCACCGGTGGGAAGGTGAGTAGCCCTCCAACTATGACAAACACCGAAACCTCCGAGATCTTGCGTATCGCGATAACTGTGATGAGCATCAGCGTCTAGAAGAAGACGGTATCCGTCCCTCGGAGGTATGTGTGTGTGTGTGTGGGCTGCATGTGCATGGACTGTGGATGTCTAGGGGGAGTGTCATGAAGCAGAACGAGTGAGTGTGTGTGTGTATGCCCAAAGGCATGTGTGTTGTCTTCCACGATGATCAACTCGTATCAGCACGTGGGGAGGAGCAGCAGCAGCGGCAGCCGCAACAGCAGCGAGCATTTACGAGGCAGAGGGAGCGATGGGGAGAGAACTCAACGGAGGTGCTGAGCCCCGTGAGTGCGTGTACTGATGATTATTATTACACAGTAGCGTAGCCTCCCACGGGTTATTTTTACAGCGCACATCTGGCTTTAGACGGCAACGACAGCACCATCAGATAGACAAACCGCGCTACATGGGGCAACCAAAAGGGACACAACTCAAATCGGTCCTAGAACAATATCACCGCAGGAGGGTCGTCCCGGCACTAGCCTAATGCTTATTTCGGATTTCGTAGGGCCAATAACGATCCCTGCTCGAAATCCGATAATGGACCTGTCTGTCCACCACACCTACCTTTTCCACCTCCCTCCACTGCCTAGTCTTACTACCCAAAACGGACCATGATATGGGTGCTGGGTGAGCCGAAGAGTGAGATTGCTGATCCCAAGCAGAGAAAAAAAGAATCTCCCTTTCTCACTGTGGTTCAGCCGCCGCCGCCGCCGTCGCTATCTCCATAACGGCGATTTCTTCCGACTGGCTCGCTTCGACTTCCTTTCGGTCGTCTGTCAAGCGGCATGTTGCTCTCACCACCACCACTAGCTGCAACGAACGCTCCCATGCGCTCGCGAGTCGTGAGAGGTAAGCATGGACGGCGCTCTGCATCGGAGCGTATAGTCCAAACATCCACACATCCACACCCATCGTTCCTTGCATCCATAATACTTACGCCTCACGACGCTTGGTCGCGCGTGGGCGTCCAACGGGCGGAGCATGTCCGGCTAGAAGATCGTCAAGCCCGATCTGCTGAGCGATGAATGGAGCGCCCGGCCAATACCTCCTAGGCGCAAGCCACCAACTGTCGGTGCCCTCATACACACATGCCATGGCGTGCATGGCCCTGTCCATCCGAGGCGAACTAGAACTCTGGTCAATGTGTCTCCGTATCGTGTCGTGTGTGTGTGTGAGTCCACACCTCTCGCTCGCCAAAATCATCCCACAGCGTGCATGGTGCTAGGTCTGGAGCGGTAATGCGAGTCTGGATTAGCCTTTCACGCATGATGTTATCCTGCTCATCATATCCGCTCGCTAAGGAGCTTGTTGAGATAATAGTCTTATCCTGGTCGTTCCGCGTCTGTTGACAATCTTTGAATCTAGCGACTTTTTTCTACTCTCAGCATTCACGAACACGATAAAGCGTTCGGCACTCGTCTCTCACAACTAGATTGTGACTGAGATCATACGGGACTGTACAGAACATCGCAATCCGTGCAACCACCGCCACTGCCGCTACCATGGTTTTCTTCTCGCGCTCCAAGAGTTTGTCAAGAAAGGATTCCAAAAAAGTCAACGTTACTGCCGAAAGCAAGTCAGAGCCAGTGCCTTCAATGCCAGGACAGGTGACAGCTGCTCAGCAGCTAATCGGTCACGCTGTGGCCACCAGCACAACTAGCAATGCAACTTCTCGATATAGCATACCATTGCCCAGGCGGGCTAATGGAGCCACATACTTCTCCAAGAACATGAAGGTCAACGAGGTCCCCGTGACTCTCGTGCACAGCGACTTCAAGCCGGCTCACAGTTCTTCCGACTCTGGCTATGGTTCCGTAGTACCCTCGCGAGCGGCAAGCGAGCGCAACGCCAACATTGACGACTCTGGATCCAACGACGGCTCACACGTCTCCACGAACTCTGCTGAGCCCGCCGATGCCAGTGCTGTCCGGCGATCGTGGTCAGAAAAGCTGCAAAATCGCCAATCCGGATCAGATATTGCCAGCGTAGCTTCAAATATACCTCCCATCTCCATCCTCGAGGGCTACAAAATCAACAAGAAAGGCCTCATTCTCGACGAGGAACGCGAGGTGATTGGCAAGCTGGTCGATGGCGACATCATGGATTGCGTGCGCCAGAGGGTCAATGCATACGGCGAGGTCGTCGATGAGTATGGCACGGTCATCGGAGCAGTTCGCGCAGTTGACAACAAAGCGGTTGCAGCGCGCGGTCGTCGAGTCTCTCGTTCACCAGATGGCGCGCCCGTCATCGCTGCCCCAACGCCTCTGCGCTACTCACAGATTCAGCTCGATTCACCTGCATTGACAGAATCTGCCGCGGCGGTGAAGGAGAGCGAAGAGCTCGCTTCGGCCGTCATTGAACCTCACCAGATCACTGTCCCCGCGTCTATCGAGCAAAACGAGATCATCCTTCCTACCGTGAGCTCCGACAACACCGCTCGTCGCTCGCCTGATGCGCTTGACCAGCAGGACGCAAACCGTGCCTTCACTCCCACCCAATACTTTCCCACGCAACGAGAACAATCATTCCGTCGATCATCACGATCAGCCAGCGAGCGAAGTCTGTCAGATCTTTCGAAGCCGTTTGCCCGACCAGCCATGAACCCTGTTCCCGAAGACATCGTTGCCGACGAAGACACCATCATGCCCTGCAACGGCAGCGCATTCCAGTACAAAGGCGCCATCCCTCTCCGCGATGTCCCAAAACAAGCATATTTCCAAAAGTCGTCCACAGCGGCCGGCAAGCGACCTGCAAACCTCGCACGCCACGTCTCAACAGGATCTATCCCAGGAACGCCCGTGTCGCGCCCAAGCATGCCACAGCGACACTCTTCCAGCTCCATCCGACGCGGTCCTAATTTCAGCTTAGGTGAGTTTGCTTCCGTTTGGCTTTCCATAAATTCATCGCAAAAATCTCTTACTAATACAACTCTATCAGACTCTACCGTCAGTGATTACGATGCATACACTGCCGAGGCTGCCGAATCAGAGGAACAGCCCAGATACACGCCCTACAGCCACTCCCGCGCACCTTCCATCATGACAAACTACACCACTTCCTCGGCCAAAACGCGCACCTACTTCACTCACGCCGGCAGAATCACTGTGTCGGACGACTCACCCGTCCCGACCGTGCCTACAGGATACGATGTCGATGTTGCTGCGAGGGCCGCTGATGCCAAGCAAAATGAGGTGGAGAAACAAAAGAAGAAAAAGAAGACATTCTCCATCAGCAGCAAAGTCCGTCAGGTGGTCGCTGCGTATTGATCGGGGAGAGAACATTCGTCTCCACTTTGTTCTGGTCTCCAAACTTCTTTTAGGCGGTTTGATTTGGGAGGCGGCTTGTTTCTTCTATGCGATTAGGGGTTCTTGGGAGCAATGAAACGACAAAGTGCTTGACTTGTATGAAAAGGTTTTTCATACGGAAGCACTATTATTTCGGGTCTTGGATTTTGGGAACTGGGATTGGGTTTCTTTTGTTATGCACTCACGCTTACGAAACGGCGTTTTCACGGTAGTTGTCGGGGTGGATACCCTGAGCCATCTCTCTCTCTCTCTGAATAGCATCCGATCTGTACACATTCTACGAATTCACATCACGATTCACTTGACTTCAACGCGACTTTGGGGCATTCCTTAGCATTCTACCGCGTTTTTGACATGAAAAATCATCACCATTCTGCGTTCACTCACACCGGTCTCGCGTATGTAAGAGTTATGTTGTGGTTGTATTCCGCCACCTGTATACCAACAATGCCCAATGCCTCTTGCAAATTTGTTGAGCCCTGAAATTTAGAGAAGCTCCTCTAGAGCTCTTCGTGAAAATATCAGGGCGGCGGGAGGATTGAGCTGTTTTACCCTGGGAAGAGGGAGACTCCTCCCGCAATCCTCAGGGTCCATCTGCCACAGGATGCCAGCAAATGCGAGGCGACAGCACACAGCACATGTACACTATACAATGCAATATCCTGATTGTGTACATGATTCGGAATTGGCTGATCTGTCCGTCCACAGTATCGTTATGTCTAGCTTCCGAGTATGGAAGGAGGACATAATCTCTGGACCGCTTACTGGTCCATCAGCACACACACGCGACACACGATAGATACGCTCACCACAAAGACTTCACCGACAGCCACCGCCGCCTCGTCCAACGCCTCGTCTCGCGTATCTCACGCCATGATCGGGGTCGACTGCCTCCGTCTTCCTCCACATTTCCCTCGCTCCTCATGTTACAGAAACGGTCCAAGGTAGAGGCGACCCTGTAAATCCGTTGTCTCGGCAAATGAAGTGGTGCCACGGTTCCTTTGCTGCCTAGGAACTCCCACTCGACCAGGGTCCGTATCTAGACCCTCATCACGAAGTCTACTTGTTCCCTAACCTAAGGAGATGTTCGATGGTGCGATCCCGGCGCGCGTGGCATTTCGCATAAGAAGGCGCGCGCTGGACCGGGCCAGGACAGCCAGCCACCTCCCCAGTTCGCGTTACACATGTCGTGCTGCCCACTGGCATAGAATCGTTCATGTGTTCTGCCCTCCGTCCCCGCCAAAAGGCGTTTGCGGAAGTGCCGTCAAGCCTTGTGGTCGGTCAGCATCGACCCCTGGGAGATCCCTCGAGAACGCCCCAGTCGTTTCGAAGAGAGGTAGATGCAGAATCGCAAATACTCTCCAACAGCTCGCCTGATTCGCGCAAAAACTCACCGCAGCACTATGCTTTTTCTACCCTATGGCTCTCTCGCTTGCGTGTTTCAGGGCGAGAGCAGCAGACTACTAGCCGAGCCTCTTCGGCATTGTATAAGTGATCACCAGTCTGGGCAGACGAACCCTCCCTTTGCTCTTTTAGCGTCGCGACGTGCGCGAACATGCGACACATGCATTGATCAATAGCCTACTGCCCACTGTATCTCTTCATGGACACGAGCGGCATCGCACTTGTGCAGTTGTGAACGGCAAAATCGCGCGACCGGCATCGAATGATATTTCGCGACATTCCTCTTCACCAACGGCTCGCTTACAGCACTAGCATTTTATCGGCCCGTCGCTTCGGCATCCGAGGACCCTTCCAGAACGTCTGCACCGACCTCTTGTTCGGCGGAGGAAGTTGCAGGCGAGCGAGCAGGGATATCACGTGAATATCACGTGCCGCTGAGATTCCCATTGGAACCAGTCCACGGGTTGATTCTATGTCAGCATGTTGATGACTAATCCAATCTCCGTCTCATGCGATGACTAACCCTTTCCGAGCCATTCCAGGTTTTACATCATGAAAACGAGGAATGAGGATCCATGCTCGTTTTTATTCAGCTATCGGAGTGTCTCGTCCGATTTGAATGGTATCCATAGCGAGCCGAGGCCCCACGCGTAAGAGCCCCACGAGCACTCGACTCGCTCCAGCTTCTCTTTTGTTGTCGATTTCCCACGTGGGTCCTGGCCACCAGCCCTGCATGTGTACAATAGAAACTTGTTGGTGACATGTGTGTGGGGCGAATGCTCTGCCATTTGCGACTCTAGACGGAAGAAGATGCTCGATTGACTATAGTTGCTTCTTGCGGCTCTGCGTAGGAAGCTCTCCAAGACAATCTCTTCTCGTCAGAGTTTTTTCCGCTGTGCGCAGAAGAAATTCGTCATTCTTATTGTACAACAATTTTACATTGTGTCATATCCCACCGGTCTTGAAACATTCCGGGCAGCAGCAGACTGCTAGGAATCGAACCCTGATCTGTTTAAGATCCTGTCATAAGTACAAGTGGATTCAGACCTTGGTTTTTGAAGCGACGCGTGGCCGTGGCTTGAAGACGCAACGCGGCCGAAGATCTGAAACACGTTCAAGTCTGCAGAAGGAAACAAGCCATCTCCGTCCATCCAAATCGCGCATGGTAGATCATCATGTCGGACAAAGCGACTCCAGCCCAAAACGTGAGCCCGATCGAGCAGGTCGCCGTGCAACCCAAGGGCTCCACGTCAGCACCCTTAGATGAAACACGACCTGCATCTTCAGCTCATCAATCATCCGGTCTCCATGGAGTCGTACATCTCATCGGCGCCGATCCCTCCGAGCAAGCGCCCATCCAAACTACCGTAGCGGAGCTTGAACAGCAACACGGAGGCAAATTCAGCTACTTCAAGCGACCGCAATTTTGGATCGTATTGATCCTCTCGCAGTTGTTGGCTCTGACGAACACGGGCACGAGCACTATCTCTACACTACTGTTCAATGGAGGCTGGGCGAATGCGTCATTCCAAAGCTTGCTGGTGTACATTCTGCTCAATCTAATCTACACCAGCATCACCATCTACAAATACGGCATCAAGGGCTGGTTCCAGGTCATCGTCAAGGATGGCTGGAAGTATTTCATCCTGGCATTTTTTGATGTAGAAGGAAACTATTTTATGTAGGCCAGACCTACCATCGCGTGTTGCAATTTTGAAGCTGACGAACAAAATTAGCGTTTCGGCGTTTCAGTACACCAACCTGCTTTCGACCCAGCTGATCGGTTTCTGGGCCATCGCCACCGTCATGATAGTATCCTTCTTCTTCCTCAAGGTTCGCTACCATATTGCGCAGATCGTCGGAATCCTCATCTGCTGCGGCGGCCTCGGCGTGCTCATCGCCTCGGATCGTATTCGCGGTGCCAGCCCCTCTGAAGCCGCGAACCCGCTCAAGGGCGACCTCTTCGCTTTGGTTAGCGCGACGGCGTACGGTCTGTCCAACGTTGGTCAAGAATTCCTTGTCTCCAAGAGACCAATGTACGAAGTCATCGGCCAGCTGGGGTTCTGGGGACAATTCATCATCGCGGTACAAGGTGCCATATTCAACCGCGATGACTATGCAAATTCCATCTGGACCCCGCAGGTTGGCGGGTACCTCATCGGATACACGCTGCTCTTGACGTGGTTCTATACCGGCGCTCCAATTGTGTTTCGCATGGCGTCGGCCGCGTTTTTCAACATCGGTCTGCTCACGGCGAACTTCTGGGGGTTGATCGTTGCAACTGCCGTGTTTGGATACACCGTGCATTTCCTCTATCCAGTGGCGTTTGTCTTGATTATGATCGGACATTTCGTGTACTATGGTACTGAGGGTGTCCTTGGTGAGGCGAAGAAGCCTTGGTTGGGTGAGAACCAGGAGGGTGGCGATGATGGCATTGGTACCGCGAGACGGAAGCTGCAGAACCCCAATGTCACGGTTTGAGAGTCGGTTCTAAATTTTTTAGGTCTTGCATAGATAATTGGCGTTGGTTGATGTTCTGTCATGACGTACAGAATTTGAATATGTTTCTCTTCCACCATTTGCCGTGCTGGTATCCTCTCTGGCGTGTTTGTTGTTGGAGTAGAGCAGCCCCGTGATCAAGATGATGAAAAGCCTCGGACGCGAAATTTCGGAAAATATGTTGGTTGCGCTCGCTCTGTTTCACGACTCATAACCCTCCTTGCATTGCAAACGAAGATATGATCAATACGAGAGCATTGGCCACGCCCCATGAGAATGGGATCCAGGTCGACATCTTGAAATATCCCGCCGTGTAGACCGCGCTCAGTCTGCCATCGGGGGGTATCAGCATCACACTCCATCGTCCAGAACCAGAGCTCAAGACAACGAACAGACGACAAGAAAAGCCAAAACTTACAGGCCCCCTACTATGCTGCCGGCAATGACCGCCTGAATTCCTCCGACAATTCCGAAAATAATCAGGGCGACCCAGATGACCTTCCAATTACGATACTGGACCAGACACGCGTAACCCGCCGCGACAAGATGCACACCGACCACGCAGATCAAAGTCCAGTAGAGCGTAAAGAGGAAGATGTCGTATGGGTCGTAGAGGTAGTTTGTTTGAACACCGCGAAAAGGAAAGGGCCAATAGAGGGATGGGAAGGGCGGCGCGACGTAGGAGAGGGGACGCTTGTCGACGACGACTTTGTAGAAGTCGTTGCTGGGACCTATCGTTAGGATTTGGTGGTGATGCAGAGCGATGAAATTACCTGGACATTTTCTGAGGTTTTGATGTGCGTGCCTCTTGATGGAATTGTTCTTTTTGGCCAGGGGCTGTTTCTTGATTAAGATGGTGTTATGCGATTTTTTTACTTAAAACAGCTACCATTTGCAGCATCTGTCATATGCTTCAACAGTGAGCTATCTGTAACATAAATTATGTTGCCATGTTTGATCACACAGCAGAGATCTGTTGTATGAGACGCCGGCCACATGCTTTGACTTGAAGCCAGACGTTGGTGGTCGTAAGGCTGCTAGGGCAGAAGGGGGTGATTCAGCCAATCAGCGAACGCCAAATTTGAACCGAGGGTCTTCACAATGACATCTCCGCGACGATGATGATGAAGACTCCATATACTACCTGACACATATTTAGTGAAACAATAAGTATTATTTTGGATACGCGACGCGTCAAAATTTGCGAAACACACCACGATGCCGGCCGATCGTGTTCTCGGCGTTCTTTTGCGCTCGCTACAGACCTCAGCGAGCCAACAAGAGACACCAAGGTAAGGCGCATGTCGTCATGTTGTTCGCGACGACGTCGACTGATGGAAACACCACAGGCTCCTGGGAACAGCAGCCTCGCTTTTGACGACTTTGAACAATCCTCTCAATGTGACATTATTGACATCTCAATTGTTGTCAGCACCGGCAATATGGACATGGCCGGAAGGTCTCCGAACCTCGATGCAATGTCTAAGCGTCTTTCATTCCGCAGCGCAAGCCATAGTCCGACAGGAGAAGGCGCTCGAGTCCAACTCATCCAAGAAAGATTATGGCAAGCTTCAAGCTGAGCGGACTATGCCCAAGTATCGGTGGATCAAATCTGCTATCAGTGGTGCTGACGAGCACTCGCCACGGTGGCGGCACATTCTCGTGATTGGTGGTCTTCTGCTCGGTTTCGGCCCAGCGGAGGAAGAGAACATCTCACGAACCATGAGGAAGATGCTTGAGAGTGCGCTCGTCACTGCTGTCAACCTGTCCCTGCGGAAGACTCGCCAGGAGGATGAACTCGGTCTGGAAACCATCACTCAGGTCCTCAATCACTGCTTCCCGCATCTCTCAGAGGAAGAACGGGAGAACCTCAATTATCAGTTTCTTCTACCCGTGCTGATGCACACCACCTTCCATGCCTCAGAAGGACTTCGCTCGGGCGACTTCTTGAGTACACTTGACTTGGACGTCAAACCAATCTCAGAGGTACAGCTACAATGGAGCGATCGCTCGACATCCTTTCGTCAGGTCAAAGAGATTCAAGCCAGTCCTCTAGTGGCTTCGTTAGGCCCCCTTTCTCGTCTGATTGCACACGCCGTCGAGCAAGTCTCCGAACCAGAGCGAGTGACCGACACAATCGACGATCTGGAGGTATTTGTAAAGACTCTGCATTCACAGTGGCGTGCTGGCAAACTGTCTAGCATCGATGTCACAGATCAGTATCCATATCTGGATCAAAAGACATTAAACGTCACACTACCAGCACTGTTCAAACTTTTGCAGTCAGTGTTGTTCGCTAGCGTCATCATTCTGAGAAGTGCAATTGGTAGAGTCCTCTCTGATGGCGCCCTCGCCAGGAACAAAGGTTTGAAAGAGGAGCCTTTTCTGTTGAGATTATTTTACTTACTTCGCTTAGTTGCTCCGGGTGTCGCGCAGCAAGTGCTACACGTCCTTCGTGGACTTTATTTCATCATCACCCGACAGGGATCTGCATCATTCTCTCAGTACAATTTTGTCTATTACACAGCGCTCGATATCCTTGGACAATATCGTCAGGATGTCGAATCATTCCTGCGAGAAATCATGCCCGTCAAGCCTGGTACGGTGCCAGATAGCCCGCTCGAACGGAACCTGGATCTGTTTTTCCTCAACACCGCAGAGCACTTTACACTCGTGCTAAGTCCGCAAGTCAGCAATGAGCTTCTTCTACCGGTTATCAATTCATACCTTGCCACAGGAAGCAGTCATCAGCTCTTAGCCAATTTTGAAGCGGCACACAGCGTCACACTAGCTGTATTCTCTTCACCGCAGCACTCGGAAGCGACCGTCAAATTCTTACCCATTTATGTCAATTCACTATTTAGAGCATTTCCGAAGCACTTATCATCTCGGCAATTTCGGCTCGCATTCAAGACATTACTGAAGCTCACATCGCCTCCTTCCAAACTCGCTGTGAGCCAACCCATGATGCCTGCAATTCTCCTCGAGGTCCTCCATCATCAATCGCACGGCGCTGGCACCACACCACTTCCACCAGTGGGAGCTCCCACGGAGGCCGACGAGTCTATTCCGCCGCTCTCCGAGCGTGCAGTCATCGTCCTCACTGTCTTGGATTCACTTTCACAAATACCGCTCGACCTACTCGACGAATGGCTGCCGTTGACGGCTGGCATGGTCAACGATATCGATGACGACGAAATGCGCGAGTATTGTAAACACCACTTCTGGCAGATCCTTGTCAATGGAGAGCTAGATCCCGAGCGAAGCCGTGTTTGTCATGCGTGGTGGAGCACACGTGGTGGGAAGGAGATCGTTTTATATGGGCGCGTGTCTCAGGAGGATGACCAGGCTCTGATGAGTGGTGCTTTGCCCGAGACTTTTGAGAGTAAATTATGAAGAGCTTGATTCATTGTATTATAATTGGTTTTATGTATCTCGGGAAAGGGCAAACTACATGCTGTATACCTTGTCGCATCTGCAACGGTACGTCAGAAGCCCGCTCGTCTGGGGCTTTTTGAAATTCGCCTGGAGGCAAAGTTTAAAGATTTCCTGGTGAGACGCAGACGCATTCTGATATGATTAGCTCTGCCTGATGCGATGATGTGCAATCTCTTCATTTCTTTGTTACAAGGTTCAGCACCGGAGAACCCTAGACTTCCAGAATCTCCAGGTGCCCAGGTGTTCTGAGCTTGAAAAGCCCGTGCGAGCATGCTTCACGACCATGGATCAGAAAACAGACGTGAGCGTGGAAGAGACTGGATATGAAACTCCGTAGGTCGTCTTGAACTGATTACTGGCATGGCGAACATGTAAATCAGAGCTTAGCTTGCTCTCAGAACTGCTTGAGCGACAGGTTCGAACCGTCACGGCTTTGGAGGGTCATACAGGACACTCACATTGAGTTCATTGGACAATCCGTGCTTTGTGGGCCGTGGCAGAGCGAAGGTCTCTTGGCCAGAGTAGTTTCGTCGTTCATATGGCGGTTAACATCCAGCAGGGAAACTTTCAGCAGAATGAAGCGGCCTTTTCCTGCGACGATATCATGGCCAAAGAAGTATGTCTTACGGTGCCTGGACCTTGCCACGACGTGGTGGCGCAGCGCCATTTGTGCCCGAATCTCAGCTTGCAGGACGTCTGCAGCGTCGTACGGGAAGGTCAGACCAGCCTCGCATCTTTTCGAAAGATACCATCACGATCTGTGAAATTGTGTGCTCGACTTGCTGAGCCCTTTCAGAATCCTTGGCGACGATTCATATCCAATATTAAAGGCTATGACTACAGGTCTGGCTGCTTGAAATCACAGGTTGCAAATCGTCTTGAGTGTCTTCCGGTGCTGACCGGTCAAGTCTCATTCACACGAAGAACTATTCGCTTTACCAAATATCGACTACGTGACAATGAGCTCGGCAGGGATTGAGGCAACATACGACGACCTCGTTCCCCGAGGCTTACAGCTATGGGGTGGCGGGCAAGAAGACAGGGAGTTCCGCCCTGATACGCTTTGCATGGTCGAGTAAGCTTGATGGGTGGATCTGATAAACAAGAAGATAGCTTACATCTTCAAAAGCATCATTCTAGTGTCTGGATTAGCATCACATCCACTGTATACTTGGTGGCGCCCGAAACAAGTCACGAGGCAACGTACACAGGTATTCGACTTTTTCCTCGATTCCTGGGGATCACATCCTGATCCACGAAGCGCGCTGGACAACCTGGGCATAATCCAACCAAAACAACTTGACAACACCTACCCACCAACGTCAGTCACACCAGATCATGGACCGCATGGATGTTTCTGGCCGAGAGATCTGCTCCCACACCATTTCCCCCAGGCCCGAGTTTGCACTTACGCGTACGAGAGTCGATGGACCTCTACTGAATACTCGACGACAATCGAAGAATGTACTCGAGAAATGTTGCGTCAGCTCATGGAATTTCGAACGTCGGAAAGCGTACGCGAAGAAGCGAATTTCTGTGTCACTGTATGTGAGGCTGATGCACAGAGGACTAGGCACGGATCAGACCCATCATATTTATTGGACATAGTTTCGGAGGTCTAGTAATACAGTCGGTGAGCCAAAAATCAAGACCTCTGTGTTTCCGTAGTTAATGGATCTTTCAGGTCATGAACGCGGCCAAGGCCGATTCTAAGTATCGCTCAATCGCTGATTGCTGCCGGGGCATCATATTCCTCGGAACGCCCTTCAAAGGAACCGGCTTCGCGAGGATCGCAGGTCTGCTGAATACACTGACTAGTAACAACCAGCCTATCATACAAGCGCTCAGGCCGCAAGATGAAAAGTTACAAGTGTTGCAGAGGGAGTTTGTCGAGAATTTCAGTCACGATCCGCCATCGATTGTGTGCTTTTACGAGACCATCAAGACGAGAAGCGCCGGAACCTACGTGAGTTGTCTCTCTGTGCGCTGAAGAAAACTTCATGCATTGCCCTAATCATGTCCAGATCGTTTCGCAAGATTCTGCTTGTTTAGAGTTTCCCGGAGTCAAACACATTCCTATGTTTGCCACGCATTCGGGAATGAACAAATTCATCGACGAAAATGACGGAAAATACCAGCTGCTAAGCCGTGAACTTCACAAAATGTACCGAGATGTTCTCAAAGCTGGTACAAGCCCAAGAGTTCCGGATGATCGTGCAGCTCAGCATACAGCATCGGATCAGCTACCGATTTTGAGACGAGCGACCACGCTTGGCGGTGTGCCACGGAAAGCGGTCCCGGGCTCAAATGTGCAGAGAGTACACCCAAAACCGGTATCAACGTCTCAGCCTCATCGACCTCGCACATCTGAGACCTCTTCGCGAAGCATGATGCGGCGAGATCTATCGACAGATGTAATACATGGTGAGCCACCAAGCGATTTCCGGCCCACCACAAGCGTAGCTCCAATCGGCCCTGAACGCCTGGTGGACATGCCCGACGATCTGAAAGCGTCATGGGAGGCGCAACAGAAGAGGAAAAGAAACGAGGCTTTGGGGATCACTGATGAAGTAGAGGATCGATCAACCAGTCCTGGAATCGAAGCTTCGGAAGTGGGATCACTCCATAGCACGGCCCAATCGCCCAAGCCTGCATCCTTCAAGCCTGCAAAGGACCGCAGTCTCGATGTGACACGCTATCCCAAAGCTTCCAAGCCCAGGACCTTGCCGACAGCTGGGAGTGAGGTAGCCTTTTGGCAATATGACCCACCAGTAATACGTCCGGACACATCACAAGAGACTCACATTGGAGGCAGCGAGAAAGGTATTAGGGGCCTTTCTAAAAGCCCGCTCACTACTTCGCGCGTCAGCGCCACAACATACTGTTCGCTAGTTGAGGAGAAACTTGCAACTATAGCTACAAGGATGTCAGACGGCCATGTCGATAATGCAATTATAATCATTGCAGGGTTCTCCAACACAGGGTAAGAATGGGTGTCCAGCTCAGCCCCAGCACAGAAAGATAACGATGATGGCAGGAAATCACATTCGGCAAAATTGTTCTTGCATAAAATTCATGCCATTGCGCCCGCTTTCAGAATTCTAAAGGTAAATTTTGCGAACCCCATGCAGCCAACGATATCATACAGCAATGTCGACATCTTGCGCTGGCACCAAGGCTGGAGCGCCCTTCGAAGGGATGTCGATGCGTCTCGCAAGATGTGTGATCGACCGTGGGTAGTTCTGTTTGACAATATCACAGACCAGCGCAGTTTCGAAGACGTCTTCGAATGGTGCGAAAGCAACAATCGAGGAGACTCATGCTATATCGTCACGACCCGGATAGATCCTGCGCCAACATACTCGCATAGTATGGCGCTGAAGTTGGTCACAGATCGAATGACTCTTAATGCTGCACAAGCCTTGCTCGATCCAAAAAGGATCAATTACCGGGGTTCCCACGACCTGAGTTGGGCATTGTCATTGTTTCCCGGCTCAATTATCAACGCGAGTCAATTCATCCACAACACATCCATCCAGCCGAATGAATACCGCGATTGCGTACAAGAGCTACTTTCACCCCTGCATGAAGCGACGAGTAGTACTCTGTGGATCGTTTTCAGAGCTGCAGGCCACGCCATCGCAGAAATGAGATACCCTGAATTGGCGACGAGCTCATCGGGGCCAGAGGGAGCGTTAGTGGGAAGACTGCTTCCGGTGCTGATGAATTGTATTCAGGACTTCCACCTCGACCAATTCCACGAGCTGCGAAACAAAAATCGAGACGCGATGGACCTCCTCAGAGCTCTCGCGTTACGTGGCGCATGTCACGTCACACATGATTTCATCCAATACAGGTTGGCCTACTCTGCCTCAACAGACTTAGAATCAGGCATTATGGGGTTGCGGCGGCATTTCATTTTGATGGCGGACGAGTCACGCAGCAATGAACGTACTTATACTTGTTTCCCAGCGGTCTTACTTGCGGTCAGAGTCTGGCTTGTATCTTTCGGATGAGATCTGCAGTGCTGTCAGCAAGTGTTGACAGGGAGAGTACAAACGTGCTGAAAGACCTCGCTGTTGACGTATTACTTATTCAATCTCTGCTCCTACTTGAATATACTAACCGCCTGGGCAACTACCTTCGCCTTATTTCTTCCGCGAAAGCTGACAACAGCTTCTTCCGTTCTCAAGATTTCAAGCCAATTCGTCATCTCGAAAATGCCACTCCGATGTTCTACAGAAGTTTCGGGATTGAAAGGGGTGACAATGAGGTAGTGTCCTACTAGGACAACTAGGTCGCCAACTACCAACTCGTCATCACGCGGAATGAGCAGGCTGGGTCTCAGCGTTGCAACTACCAGCTTGATCGGGATCGTGTCAAGGGTAACCTCCGCCTGTGTGTCGTCTGCCATCCACTTGACACTGCGCACAGTATCCCGCTGCGCAGTGACGTGCAAACGTCCGATGCCGATACCGTTGCCGTAATTCCCTCGTCCCGCCGGCCCCGCAGCAGATGGCTGGTGGAAAGAGTTGGTTCGAGGTCCCGAGTGCGCAAAAGGACCCTCAGACAGGTATTCGCTGGTGTACTTGAACCATTTCCGCTCTGAGTCGGCCATACCCTCGCCGTAATTGAGCAATGCCTTATATGTCGGCTTATCCGGTGCTTTACGTGTTGAATTTTCACGTGCTATGATGCGTTCGTGGTCCGCTATGAGTTGCGTGATATTTCTGTAATTCGCGTTGCTCTTGTTGTAAACCCCATCACTGTGGTTGAGAACATATTCAAGGAGCTTCGAAATCCTTTGCGTCGGACGACGCATGTGCCACACCATGTTGTGACGTGCAACGAATTTGCCGTCGCGCTTCCACGCGACAGCGATCATGGTTCCTTTTCCATCCTCCTCCAACCACGCCTCGTGCCGAGTGATTATAGGCATAGCTTCCACTTCTTGTGATAGAATTTCCGAGTCCATTCTATTTGTTGCTCGCCTCATTTTTGTCAGCTTCTTCCGAGAACCACTGTTGGGCTGTTTTCTATTGTAGTCCTGTAACAGTCTGTTGACTATATCGATCGCTGTGTTGATGGAGGTGCAGAGGAACTCGGATTTGATGTCAAGGACCATTGTGCTACTATCCTCACCACTGCGTGTCACACTGTAACGACCGGTCTCGAGAGTTGAAATGGGCATGTAGTCAACTGCTTTGATAGTAAATGGCTGCCCCCAGAAGTAGTTCAAGAATACAGTCATCTCCTCGTCTTCGTCTGGGTCGTGGCCCATATTCATGGGGTAAAGCTGGTTGAATCCAAGGTTGGAGTCGCCGTGATATTGAATCCGAGAGAAGACCTCGCTCGATCGATAGCCAGTTTCCGACCATTTCTTGACCCAGCTGTGATCAGAATGGCCCAGTTCGTCCACCGTTGCGGGCAGCAAGTATCCCAATCTCGCGAGTTCAACAAGTACCGTCCTCCAGGAGATGGCCGGATCGGGTGCTGGGAACGGAATGGCATAACCTGTCACGGCGGGGTAGAGGGAGGCCATGAACACTTCAGAGTTGATCGATTCGAGCGGGATCGTTTTGAGAATGGTGACTTGTAAGTGCGGGCGTGTGATGTTCAGACTGTAGGTCGCCTTCAAGAAATTCTGCAGTTCGTTGAGGTCCTGTGGTGCAAGTAGTGAAAGAAGTAACAACAAGACCTGTAGGAAATGTGTCCGGACCTCCTCCATGTCCGCTGCGTTCAAAGAGTTGTAAAAGCTCGCAGTTGCGCTGATGATTCGCTGGATACCAACACTGTTGGACATACACATGAATTTGGTGTCGTCGTCGTTTATACCATATCGAATATCAGCAGCGTAGTCAATCTTCAGGCGAGTCGTCATTCTGAAGAGGATTGGCGACCTCGCGAAGAAAGTCCGAGATTTCTCCATTATTTCTTCGAGCTGAGCCCGAAGTACTACAGACTTCTGCATATTTGAGTTCTGAAGTAGGACACTGAACCGCTGGATCAGATCCATCAAGGAGCTCGCATCGACTTCGATAAGGGTCGCGTGCAGATGGTATCGATTATCAAGCTTCAAATGTGTATCTCCAACATCGTTGGTGGCAAACCGGACATCACTCACAATGCTGACTTTATCGCTATCGATTGTGACGCGGGTCATTTGTTCTGGCGACCAGCACTTCCCGTTGTTTTCTTCTTGGTATCGATCATATACACAAATCGTGCGATCCTCGGCGACGAAAGTCAATTTATCGTTGACCGCGAAACTCGTGAGCAGGGCACCTGCTGTATTCACCCTCCAAATCGCGAGTCGCTGAGGTGGCTTTCTGGCAACCATGTCTGTCTCCTCAGCGCGGCAAACGCTGGGTTTGTCCGCTCCAGCCAAGAGGACCAAAGCTACGTTGGGCGACAAAGCTTCAGAATCAAAGCGGACGTAATTGCCTTTCATGAACGTCTGTTGTACGCGCTTATCTTCGCCCTTGATCACCCTAGCCAGCCAGGACGCAACATCATCAAGAACTGCGCTCTTTTCATGCATCTGGTCGAACATTCTCGTTGGATCGGAGAGCGAAGTGTTGAATGTAGCAAGTCTCCAATCGGCTAGTCCTGCTTCGTCTTGCTCGTCATGTTCGCTTCTCTGTGTGCTCTCACGCACGGAGCCGCCCTGAGACTGACGATCGAAATCTCGCAAGCTACTGACAGAGGACATTGTAGTCTGCGAAGGGGTTCGGCGGTGTGAATTTACCAGATGGCAGATGTTGAATATCGAGATACAGAAAGCAAACAACGCACGAGATTGCGCAAGTAGCGGGTAATCTTCAACAGAACAGGAAGGGCTAGAGACGCAACAGGAAGGCTCTACCCGTTTGACGACAAAGATGGGCAAATGGCGATGCGCCTCTTCGTCATGTCCACATTTGCGTTTCAAGGCAAAATCGGGCCATCCTTATCGTCCTCCGCCGACGAGCGATTGGGCTGGCATCAGAGCGAGAGGGCGGCCTCTTGGGTGCCCAGACCGGTGTGCTGGAGCGGTCTGCATGCCGTAGTCAAGCCACCTCTCCTGACTGCGGCAGAGCGATAGGCAGCCACATCACCATGGCTGAGGAAAATTTGTGCTTGCATGATTGATGGCAGTAGATATATTGAGCGTCTCCGGCATAGCGATGTTTGCAAATCGATTCCGCGCTCAAGTGGCAGGACTTTCCCTCTACCTCCTCAAGAAGTACTCGGGTCAGGGGACCAGCTTGTGTTGACATTGTTGTTTTTCAGCGGAGCGGGGTCCGATGAAGAATGTCGGGCGCAATTTGTGGCTCGCAGCTTCGTTGTGCCGCCCAGCATTAAGCTCCCTGGAGTCCCAAACACTGACGGAGCGAGCTGTTGGTCCAGATTGTGTCGTACCTTGCGGCTTCTACAAGCAACTGTGCTGTGCCGCCAATCAAGTCTGCTACACTGATGTCAATCGTCAGGCGCAGTGCAGCAGTACCGCGGTGACGACGCTCACAGCCCTGGTCATCATCTCAACAAGGTCAACTTTAGCGACGACCGTGACGACCTACACGGCGCAAACAGATACAATTACCTCTGGCGACCTGAACACCCCGACATCAACCGCTATTGTCATCGCAACAACAACAATAACGACAGCAGGGCCTGAGAGCTCTGCAGAACCATCACAGGACAGGAGCGCCGAATGGCCTCCATGGAAGATCGGTTCAGTAGCGACAGGGGGGATCGTGGGTCTTGCGCTTGCTGTTCTAGTGTGTGCATGCCTGTGTTGTGGACTGGGGAAGAACTGCTTTAGACGTCGCAGAGTGGACACTGAGGTCCCTGTACAAACCAGCGAATACCCTGCCACCTTGGACAGCGAGAGAGCACGAGAAGATCAGAGACAACGCCGGAGTGCCCTTATACAAGAAAATAACGTATTCGTGGCAAGGCAAGATGAAAATCCCGTCGTGGCCCACATACAAGCCCGACAGGCTACTTCGTCCGATCTTGGTAAGCGACCATGACACCAACCTGCCCAGGTGTCTCCCGATGTCCTCGAACCTTGGCTAAAATAGTGCATACTGACTTGATGAACGGCAGGAAGTTACGGTTCGGGCCACCGGCCGCCCATCAACAATGTGCCGATGCCACCTCCGTCCGCGTTTTCAACGCGAAATGATGGTCCGCTCCGGCGATCCGCTGGAGCCGCCTCAGCGTATGGTGTGCCCCTGGACCGTCCGCCACAATACTCAGGCCCGCTTTGACAAACGTTTTACGCCAATTCTTCCAGCACCACCACCTTCTAATGTTGACACTCCACGTCAAATCGCTGCTCCGCAATAGGACGACACAAGGTCTTGCTGCATTTTAATCTTCATCATGGCACCCGGCCAGATTGTGCCTGTGGCATATCGCTGAGGGCCATGTATATGGCGTATCAGGCTGTTCGCAAGGCTGGGAATTGATACTGAGATACTTCTCACCTTGCGACACTGTCAGGCAGGCGGCGAGGCTGGATTGCGAAGGGGTGAACAACGTCCTTGCGAATACTCTGGGATTGAGACATCTCGTCGGACCGACTCCTTCTGAATATGCACATGTTGATTACTTAATACCGTACTTGCTCCACCTTCACATTTGATGGTCTTTAGTCGCGCGTCGAACAACAATAAAGGAACGCAAAGACAAGCCGGCCTCGTTCCGCAAGTCAAGCGGTACGATGGCCTTCCGCTCGACTGGCACATACTCCGTCTTTGATGGTAAGACTTTATGATTACGACAGTCTTGCAGAGGATAATTCTGGGCAGTAGATTTCGTGAATGGCACATTGATAGACCTTTTTGTGGACGAGGCGCGGTGCGAAGAGTCGAGACGTTCTCATTTGTCAGGCCAACGCAGGAAGTTCGGCATCCACTCCAACTGCTGAAGCATAGTCATATCAGCATTTTGCGTCTCATCTAAGGTGTGCGAGGTGATAGAGCGAAGATTTCCATCGTAGCATGTATTGTGAATGGATGATACTGAAAGCACGAAATAGCCGACAACCAGCAATCCTGCTCCATGTTCCGCAAGAACCTGCAATCAACATTGGGCATTTTTTGATCTTGACACGTGCTAGGGCTGATCGCCGACGTGGCCGGTGCGGCGCAGTTCATCGGATTCGGGGGCCCAATTTTACCCTGCTGCTGCCCGCTTGTTCCTCCACTTTTAGGCAGACCACGGGCTCTTGATGGAAGCCCCGCCGTCCAAACCGGCGACGCGTTTTTGTTGTGGCGCCTTGCAGCTTTCTGTTGCTGGCTCTGACTGCGCCATTGAGGTTTTAGAAGCTTCCCTGGTCGAGTCGGCCTTTCTTTTTACTGTGCTCTTGATCACTTATCGCATTGTCTTTGGCGTGTTCCGAGATTTACATCGCCGGCGCATCGGTTTTTTGCTTGCGCCCCTCATCAATTTAGGATCCACCAGTAAATTGTCGCAAGCATGAAGAAGATTCAACGATTTGGAGGAAAGTTTGGGAAGCGATCGGCTGACGAGGCAAGTGTCGGGTCCATCATTGCAGATCTCAAAGCGATGGACGAAATGCTCGACAAGGTGTGCTATCTTCAGACCACTGCCCTTGCACGTACGAGTGACTGATCTCCCAGATCAGATGATGATCGATGTGAAGCAATGGCGCAATAGCTGGGAAGATATCTTGAAACTTCAGTACGATGCGGTCGAAGCCTTCGCCAACCTCTACAACCATATCGAGCCAATCACACATCCCGAGATGCGCCATGTGCCGCAAGAGACGCCTCGAAGCTTCTTGCAAAAATGCACCTCACTACAAACGATGTACTTCGACACGAAGGGAGATCTCAAGCAAGAGACGGATTTGATTACCCACAAAGTTGTTCGACCGATTGAGGAATCCAAACGATGCGCCAAATCCATGCAAAAGACCATGAAGCACCGTGAGAATATGAAGTTGGACTACGAACGATACCTGGGTAAAGTGGAACATGCTCGGAAACGGACAAACCCATCACAGAAAGAAGTGACAGCGCTAGACCGGCTTGAAAGTGATCTGGCTCAGCAACAGATATCATATCAAACGGCGGATTCTCAGATCATCGAGACTTTTCCGCCATTCACAGAGGCTGTTATGACACTCCTCCCGTTGCTATTGACGGTAGTAATCGAGTTGCAAACGACTTTGGTTGGGACACTGTACACCAACCTCGACTTATACTGTCGAAAGCATAATCTGCCATCACCAGCTCCAAGCGACAGTGAAATTATCAGCAAATGGGACTCGGAATTTGCATCACTCAGGTATGAGTTGGAGCAAAACTTCACATTGCTGAAGGGTGGAAAGGCTATACATCAAAGTATGACCATGCCTGTTGGAAGCAACGATGGCATTCGAGGCAGAATTGCAGGCATGTCATTAGGTCGAAAGACCAACGATAATCCGCCTACAGCACAATTGAGGATTACGGACAGCTCCAGCCAAAACGCCTCAAGATACGAGGAGGAGGAAGAAGCACCCCCTCCACGACCTCCTCGCCCTGGCGCGTCTCGAACACCTTCAGTCGCCTCATTTGGATCATCAGCCCCGCCTGTTCCCGGCGGCAAACCACCACCGAGCATCTCCCGAACATCTTCTTCGTCACATTTAGCGCCCCATGACGCACCCTACGACCAAAGAGCCGTCGCTCGCATTCCCAGCTTCTCAAATGTATCTCGACCGATGTTTGGCAACGAATACCAAGCAGACCACTTGACTCCTCCATCGCGGTACGCCACACCACCAGAAAGCTACGGCGGCGCATCATCAAATCACCTATCTCCAAACTACACCACGTCCAATTCCGCCGATTATTTCGATGGCAATCGAAACGCCAGACGCGTCTCCACCAATACAGTCGGCTCCACAGGCTCCGCCGGCACCTCCGGACAATACACGCCCGCCTTAAACGAAATCCTTGCCGCCAAAGCAAAGAAGAAGCCTCCGCCACCAATCCCCAGCAAGCCGAAACCCAAAATGCCGCTGGCGCAATATGTGATTGCGTTGTATGATTTTGAGGGGCAGACGACGGAGGATCTGCCATTTAGGGAAGGCGATCGGATCCGTGTGGTGAAGAAGACGGATAGTACGGACGATTGGTGGGATGGAGAGTTGAACGGGAGGACGGGGTCGTTTCCGGCGAATTATGTGCAGTGATAAACTACTAGGCATTGCCGGGAGGTCGAAACATGAATTGCATTCACGTGCAGAAAAAGCATCAAATAATTCCACGATTGAAAAGTTTAGACTAGTTGGACGCTTTCTGTCCTCTTTCCCCGTATCTGTCCATTTTTCAAGACGTGACGTTTGGATGCAGTACTGCCGTCGCCGTCCTTTCTACAAGGTCTTTTGGCATCATGCTCACTAGATTCATGCGAACCGGGTTGTGATATCAAGTCTACTCCTTGCCAAACAGCTGAAATCGGACAACGTGGATGTGATCGCTTATCAAATGTTCAGATCCACTTCTGCGAATTCGTCAATATCGTAGTGACTTATCCACCTCCAGCAAATGTGATCATTCATCGTTGCACGATAAAGTGCGGCAATTGATGTCTGTCGTGGTCGGTCATGCGCTGAGTTGCTTGGGTTAGGTACAGTATGTCGGTGTGAGCCACATTGCCAATCCTCTAAGCTGAACCTGGTTCTAACGTATAAGGTGTAAATTTGCATCATCAGTCGTAGGACGTAAGGTATAAGATGTGATGCGCAAGTGAAACGAGAGAGGCAATACAGAAGTTGGATCAAAGAACATGTCAGAATTCAAGTGTACGTATGTAGTTATATATGATACCTGCAGGCTTACAGCCTGTTTGCCTCACACTCAGGAGACAAGGATGCTCATCAAGCCACCACGACAGAAGCTCAGAGTTTTGATGGATGACTTGAGCCATCTCGAGACTACACAATCAATGCTGTCACGGCCGACGATCAAATTGCCTCGAGGCAAGTTTACAAACACACAAAGTCATCAGCGATGACAACTGAAGATGAAGAGAGAATCCCCTGAACCACCGCCTGGCGCTCCGTAATCTCCACGGAATGCCCAAACCCACCACGATGCTGTGTCCGAATTCTCCACGGTAAATTCTCAGGACGATCGACTGGATTGCCAGCTAGGCGACGAGGTAATTGCGCTCGATCTTGGTGGATTGGTGGAAAAGTCATCCTAGAAGAAAGTTTCAGCAAAGGATCAAGGTTGAAAAAGACAACAAGGGAGAGGGGGAAAAGAGTGACTTGCGACAGCCCACCTCACACCTCACCCGTCTCACCACTGAGCTCATGTCCCTTATCAACTCTGGTGACAGTATTTTGAATTTGTTATTCTTGCTGCTGCTGCTGTGGTCGTGGTCGTGGCGGCAGCGGCGGTGGTGGCTCAATAGCCATTTCAGTGACGAGCGATGCCAACAAAGGAGTGAGATGAACAGGAGACTCACATGTTACTTGGGATCTTAAAAGGTGGGGAAATGTTGCCTCCCGAGGTCTGCTGAGTCCGTACTGGTGACAGGCCCACATGGTGAACAAACCGATGCAACCGCAGACGACAGGGCAGGTCGTGTATGCAAACGGGCATCGTGTGAGATGTGAGATGTGCTCGCAATGAGATTTGGAGGATGTGTACCTAGTAGGAAGGAAGGAAAGGGAACCTCAAGTGGGAGAGGTAAATACTTATATCAATTCATTGTGCGCCCGCGATGCTAAGCTTTTAAGGTTGGCTCGCTTTTCCACAAAGTGTTCAAGAGCGCTCGCCCAACTTCATACTTGCAAGGTCTCGAGTGACGAGCCCAGAAGTTTGGGGACCTCGGGAGGGAAGCATCGATTCCTGACACCACCTGTCGCCCTACAAAGGTTCATGGCCCGCGGGTCGACGAAGAAGCTTGCCACCTCAGTAGTATTATTACCTACCTAGTATGTCCAAGGTTCTTTCGAGGTCTTTGGATCAATCGCTCGAAACCCCATGGTTCTCTAATGATGGCAATCATAGCTCACGATTCCAGTAAGGAGTTACGTCTCGTTTTGGCCGTTTCACTTCCAAGGTTGCCATGACACAGCAAATGCCATGTCCAAAAACTACCCAACATGAACCTTGGAGGAGATGACTGCAATCGATATAGCAGATGTCATAACTTTGGTCGTGCGCAGAAACCGCTGGCAATTCCCGGACAGGGAGTGGTGACTTCCGTCTTCGAGCAACTTGGTTACCGGGCTTTCCCTGCGGTTTTCTCATCCTCCGTCTCCAAGGCTTGTGTCGTCGACCATGCTCAACAACCACTCATTGATCAGGACCAATGCATCGCTTCGCTCTGGCAAGTCAACTTTAATCAACGAATCAGCACGACTGGACCAGCTCCATTCAAAGCACCGCACCTGCCATGTTCACCTCCTACCCACCACAACGTCCTGATTCCCACCAATCGATATTCACCCTTGCACGTCTCACCTGATCTATGAATCCTCACCTTTGTAAACCTATAGCAATATATGCCATCGAGCACTTACGACGCCGCCTTGATTCAGCTCTACCCCAAAATCAACGAGCACATGCACGCAAACATGGGGGACATGACTGAGGGGCTTTTTCCCATGACTGTTCTGTGACTACCAAACCATCTTATTTGTCGACCTGTGATGTCTGAAAGACAATTTGAAGACGTCTGCGATGCAGTCTCGCCTTATCCTTGCCTTATGTTTGATGCAATGCCGACGGGCTTGGGGATGACATAAGAATCAATGCTGCAATGTGATGATTGAGCAGCGTGTTGCAGTGAACAAGTTCTCGTTTGATTTCTGAAGCCTACCTAGGTATATTCAATCGGGAGCATGGACTGGGTCATTCTGCGATTGCAATCTAGGGGAGATATCGTAGGATGCATGTGGATTTGATATGAGGTGATGTTGGTCCCATTCATATGCACGATGAGACAATTGGACGATTTTGTTCATGGTATTTCACCGTTGTTCTTAGCTCTCCCGTGACCGCCGCTTTATTATTACATGGGCCAAAGACGACCCCAAACCCAGAAAAGTTGGGCCCAAAGCTGCAACGGAAGCTCTTTGGTGACGCCGCTACTGCACAGCCAATTCCCTGCTATGGCATAGCACTGCTGCTCTCGCTAATAAACCTCATCATCATCATCCCGTGCTCCAGAAACCACCCGCCAACCCAGTCGGCACCCGGATGTCCATTCCACCATTGTGCAATCTTCAATCTAATTCCATGTAACATAAGCAACACATTCGCATTGTGTTGCTCACAGCGCTCCCTTCTCCTACAGCACGCGCTGTCTTGTCTACTGGCGTCCGGCATTAAATCCCATTGCATCATCGCAACATGGCGTCGTCCTCTGCTCAAGGCGCGTCTGAATCCTCACCACTCCTACCTACAGAGACTGCACCGCGGCCTGTAGTTGCATCCAAACCCAGCCGGAGTGTCACATTCAATCCACAGATTTCTACAGCAAGTCCGCCGCGTCGAAGGCCGGCGTTTCCACAACAGCAGCCCACTGCGACTGGAGGGAGCAGTACTATCGCTCCGATCGCGTCAGGAGTCCAAAATACTCCACAATCAACTCTTTCCGCACCATTGTCCGCTTTGAACAACAAACTAAGACGACGGAACAGCTCGGGCGCAGCACTACAACTCCCTCCCAGTCTCCCTAATTCGAAAATTGGACCACAACGAACGACGAGAACGGCACAGAAATTAAAACTCCTACCCACTCCTGAACATGGAGATGAAGGGCCAGACGAAGAGAGCGGACGTGATGTGTACAGTCAATTCACCAGGATAAAAGATCCTACTGCGCGGCGAGATGCAGCTCGACTCGGCAAAGAAGACCGAGCAAGGATACCTCGCGTCACGGCTCACTGCACCGCTAGCTCATACCGGATAGACGACCTCATGCGATTTCTGAAAGGTCGTACAAAGACGAAGAGCACCAATCCGAAACTCTTCGACGAATGCATATATACACCATATACATACCGCAAAGAGATGTCGGCATCTACGGGTGGCCGGAGGGGAAATAGTCGGAGTGACCGGGACTTTCAAGACGGAGATGCGTCAGAAGTGCTTTCGCGGAGACAGCGTCGATTCTCAGACAGTGCGATCGAGGTCAACGAGAACAATGAGCGAAGACGAGAGGATCTGATCGACCTCAACACTGAAGCTGGTGATACCACATTGGGCACTGGCGAACCGAGCCAGCCGATCAACACATCAGCCGAAGATAGTATTGCCCAGCAAAGGAGCGACTCTCCGGATCTCGACACAACAGTGCACATTCCTGAGGTCTTCCTCTTCGAATATGGAGTAGTTGTCATCTGGGGTATGACAGTAAAGGAAGAGCAACGCTTCCTCAAGGAGATAGCCAAGTTCGAGCAGGAGAAATTGGGCAAAGACGACGTGCAGACGGAAGAGTTCAATTTCTACTACACCCGAGAATACCAAGCGCGCATCTACAACGACTTTATCTCATTGCGTGACAAGAGGAATTACATGACCAAGTTGGCGATCAGTCACGCTCTCGCTCAAAGCACAAAGGTATCTCCGCCGTCCTCATACACCTTCGCACTGATCGATCACTGACACAATCACTCCTAGACCTCTCTCTACGAAGATCTCGTCGATGCGACCATCACAACGACGCAAGGTATCCCTGCGACAATTGCACGAACAGGCCGCATCAACCTGACACGCCGCGAAATCAACATGCAAATCGGCGAGCTATTCATCCTGCGCATCAACATCCACTTACAAGGCAGCGTGCTCGACGCTCCCGAGCTGATGTGGGCAGAGCCACAGCTGGGACCAGTCTATCAGGCGGTCAGGAGCTATCTGGAGATGGACCAGCGAGTGGCGTTGCTTCAGGAGAGAGTTAGTGTCATTGCGGATCTGCTAGCAGTGCTGAAGGACCAGCTAAGTCATACGCATGGTAAGTGCTTTTCCATATCACGGATATTCCTCCGGACGGGCTTGCTAATCCAATGGTTCTAGGTGAATATCTGGAATGGATCGTCATCATCCTCATTGCCGCCGAGATTTTCGTCGCAGCGATCAATATCGTCGTGGATCTGTATGCGGGAGAGTAAGAGGCTCCCTCTCGCCGCGGGGCGAGTTGCCCCCTTTGATATATATCTCTGTTGTCGTTTGAGCGAAAGAAGTACAAAAGTTCCCTGTTTTTGTGTTAGAGGGAGCGCATGGAAGCGATTTCTGTGCATGGCGTTTTCCCCAAAATACTATCAGTAATAATTACGGAAAAGGCGAGATTTCTGGCGTGTGCAAGGCCAGCTTCCTGACAGTTGTTGACCGTTTCGATGACGGATCTCGGTGCTCGGCGCGTTTCTAACGGATTTGTCCGTCGATAACTCATCACCATTGAAGGCATTTCTCTTCCAATGGCACAGGAAGCCTACGTGCAGGTGCCGATCTTTCTGCAGGGCAATGCGCTTCCCTCTCCATCGACCCTGGCGTGGTCGAGCTCACTCATTATCGACCTGCCCAACAAAAGTTATTTTGTCCTTGTGACGTATGTATGAAGCAGCGTAAACCCCCCTCCAAACCATTTTCCATCGTTGGTGATCATGGGCATTAACGGGCACTGGCCGTACTCCAGATACGTGGTTAGGACGTAAGGCAGTTTTGATGACGTTCAATCAACAGTTTCGATTGGCTCGACGAGTGATCAATAAATGTCTGTGATGTACCGTCAGGTGTACTGTCAACACACGATGATTGTCCAGACGCAACAGGAACAGCAGATGTGCTATCAATTTCAACAGCCTCCAGGAGTACAGTACTACCTAGGTACAGTATACAGACATGCGGCATGCACAGGCGCAGAGCTTCTAGATTTCAACGCCAAGTCTTTGCCACATCGCATCCCGAAGACCACTTTCGTGTTTCTCGATGTTGCTGTCCCTGCCCAGGTGCGTTCCAATTCGCCCCGTTGGTGATCATGAACCGCTTATGTTTCGCATTTGCCCTACCAGCGAGCTGCGACAATCGTGGGTATGAATATTCACTGCTATTGTCCTCCGGCAATTCAGGTGTCCTTGAGTCAGCCCGAATGCATTCGGGGTTTTTTTGATATTTCGTACATTTTCAACTTGTAGCAATTGACGAACATGACGTGATATACTGATGCTCCACTGACTGCCATTTGGACACTACGGTACTGCTTATCACTATTTGTTACTGCTAGGTGTCAAACATCCAGGGCTGTTTCCCGCTCACATCATTTATTCTGCGTCAACGCCTCTCGGGGCTCGCCTTATACACCGGCCACTCATTCTCAACGCGGGCGTTCGGGATCTCCATTGTACATACTATTGTACTACCTGCACACTCGGGAGATAATTGAATATTTCAGAGTGGGACATACATCATTGTCCTCTTATTATCACAAGCCAGGCACATTCGTAATTCGCCATTTCCATGTGTACAGTGTTCCTCGACATCGCTGCTCCACTCTCCACTGTACTCAGCACAAGTTGGTCCACCTCAACCCTATGGCACAAAGACGACGTTCGTGCTCACATGATGGCTCCGAAATCCGGTCACCAGCATCTCGGGCAGCCTCACATTATCGATCTTCAAGCTTCGATCGCATCTATTTGACAGAGTCGTTTACTCGCCTCTGCATCCAACCTGATCACTCTCGTCGCTCGTTGTCGCCGCAACAGAACATATCCATCGAGAGCTCAGAACTCTCCGATGATCTCATCCGCGACGGCGATCACCGAGCGCAGGATGGGCCCAACTTGAACTTGGGACCCGACCTTGAAGACACCTCGCAAGTGGGTCTCTCTACGACAGAGTATCCCGACGGGGAAAATTCGCCTGTTGAATTGAAGCAACCCTTCCGTTTGATGGATCTACCCACAGAAATCCGGCTGGAAATCTATCGAGCATGCTTGACCCGTCCGTATAAGATATTGTTAGCCAAGCAGGAGACGAATTTAACACCAGCACAATCCGAGAATTGTAATTCAGATCTCGCTGACGACCTGCAATCGCCGCGAGAACGGTTGAACAGAATAGAAATCAGGGATGGGAGTATCCCTTCGATTGGCTCTGCTGATCGACCAAGTATTCAACGCCGATCGCGGGCGGGTCAAATCAATTCAAACGACCCCATTTCAGTCACTTCAGGGCACAACTTGTTCGCCGAGAGTGCATCAGTCCAGTACCCACATGATTATATAACCCTCCCAACGACCCGAGAGCGACGAATTGGTGCTATAGTGCGACGTCAGGAACTTCGAGAGCGGGCATTGCGCGTGACTCCAGTAAAGCCGACGTGCAGCTCCCGAAAACGACCGCACGATGATGACCCGTTACTCGTCAATCTACTGCGGACATGTTCATCAATCTACAAGGAGGCACGGGCAGTACTATATGGCGAGAACGTTTTCTTACTGGAACTCGACTCGGCAATGGAAACTCTCGCTTGCCTTCACCAGCGATCGCGACGTCAGATCCGTTACGTTGAGCTCGAGATCCCGACTTTCAACGAGATCCTTGACCGTTTCCAAGAGACTGTGCGCTTATCGCTTCGATATTGCTCGGGGTTGAAAAGATTCGAGGTCAACATGCCTTTTGTTCTACCGGGAGCTGATGGCAGTGGTACCACTGGCAATACGTCTGTCTATGCCAACGGTTTCGACATCTTACGCTGGCTGCCTCAAGATTGCGATGTTGTGGTTCATGGTAAGGCATGCACCGAAGTCGATGATGTGGTCAGCAAGCACCTGCTGTTGGCTAGGACTTTGAATAAGGTGAGTTCGGCAACGATGTCCCGAGGTCGCTCATGCTTCGTCCTCTTTCATTCTGCGAATATCATGAAATGAGTGCTGACCATTGAGTTGTTAGCTTGCGTATGCTCGTCGCCAGCTCATTGCAACCGACACCACAAGCGGTGACAAAGTCTGAGTAATGACCTCGGAACTCACACTGTCTGTCCGGAATAGTGATGCCTATGACCATCAACGCTGTCGGCCCCCATTCTCACTGACATGCATGCTGTGATGATTTCCATGGGTTATACTCGGTCAGTTTTGGCGTCCATCAGTGTGAGGAATGAAGTTGTGAGATGATGGGGCAGTGGTCCGGCTATATTGAGGTCAACGTGGATTTGGATACAATCCGCGAGGAACATAAGTAGTAATAACAATTGCAGTCTATGCTCGAACTTGTGTCCCCTATTCAATTCGATCCTTGTCTCGAATAGAACAGTCAATTTTTTGTACATCAGGTCAGCCCCAGTGAAATCAAAGCCCCAACACCACGCTTAAAAAACTGTCGAGATAAATCAAACTAAACACTCCAAAAAACGAACATGAATCATCGCTTGGAGTAATCCTTGAGGATGCCAGTCATGTGATGATTCGTGGTCTTGCCCCCGCGTCGTGCTGCACGCTTTCGGTCCTTCTTCATGTTCATCATCTTCACCTCCTTGACCTGACTGGTAGATGTGAGGCCCGCATTCTCCAGCTCGCTTCGGATCTCAGCCTCCGTCGAAGGCAACTTGGTCTTGTTCCAGAAATCCGCGAAATCCGAATCGATTTTGACATGGAACGTCGGCGAATCGAACCAGACCATTTTGGGCGTGTTATCCTTCTTGTTGCGAATGACCAGCACGTGTCCCTCCTTCTCTAATGCATCAATGGCAGATATGCAGTCCGGCCACCCATCTTTCAATTCCTTCACCGAGATTCCCTGAGACGTCGGTTGCCGTGCGAGATAGATCTTCAGCTCATCGCCATCGGTTACCGGGTGTGGTGGCCTGTACTTGAAACTGTCCTTGCCATTTTCGCTTTGAGACTTTGGGATGAATGTGACGCGCTCGTTGGCCGCGAGAGCCTTCTGAATGTTAGGTATAAAGTTCTTGCGGGCGTCCACCGGTAATGAGAGGTAGTTCGTGATGTCATCGAAGGGTACCAACGATCCCGTCTTCGTCTTTATATAGTCGATGGCGTAGATCACTTGCGTGAGCAGTTCACTGTGGCCTCCAGGCGCGACGGCCGGCGCAGTTGCTGCGGCGGCGGCGGGTGTCGCGGTCGTGCTTTGACTGCTCGAGAAGGCGGCACCATGAGCGCGCTTTGGTGGGTTGGCTGCAGCTGCCTGGGGACGAGTGAAGGCGGAATTGCGAGCTGCGGTATCAGCGAGCTCACGCTTGTAGTCACCCAGCTGCTTCTGAAGCGACATCTTGCTCAGACCGGGAATGTCACGCCTGAGATGAGACGGAGAATCCTCGCGAACTCGAACGTCTGATCACATGCGAGGGCGGAGATTGTCGGACGAGTACATTACATGTGGGAGAAGCCACAGTGCCCTAACGGAGCAAGAGGTTTAAGGCATTGAACAGCCTTACGACATGCGCCAATCATCAACTCATCCGAGAAAGCACGTGCGGTTCTTCCAACATGCGCACGTCTTGTCCCAAACAGAGAAAATCAGGTCGAGTCGTCTAGATCTCGCGACACTGCCGAAGCATGTCATCAATATCTCAATTCAATACCACCTGGAGTGTGATAAAGTAGACCCGTCAGACACCACTTGAAGGGAGATGCACAGAAACCCTGGTTCCTAGGGCACGATCATGACAGGCGTTCAACAAGGTTCTCCATGTGTGCACTAATCAGGCAGCTTCCCGTCATCCCGTCATCCGTCTTCCGCGTCCTGCGCGGTCACTTGTAGAAAGCGCGTTCCATTGCAAACAACGCCAAGAGCTTCAACTTGCAGATAGCCTGTGTCGGATCGTCACTTTCAACAACCATCAGCTGGCTCAACCAAGCCCTGTGTTCTTGCGAAGGGCTGTATCAAACACCCCTGAGCCAGACAATTTGGCTACTCGCCCGTCCGCATTGCCTGTACTGGACAGCAAAATTGTCGACCGATCTTACACTCGATGCGACGATCATGACGAGACTCGACTGAAAGAGCAACGATACACATGTCCACCATGCGCACTCGCGCGAAAGCCGTCGGCGACGGCGTTTTCGATATCGCATACCTGGCCAACACCTTCGGCATCACGGAGCAGGATGTGCAATCTTTACTAGAAGCACCCACGATCGAATTGGTTCGAAGCCTGTTTGAGGCCTTGACAGAAAAAGGTCAAGAATTCGAACACCTCAAGACCGAGAAGCTCAAGGTAGATGTCGAGCTTGAGAACACGGTGCGCACCGCGGAAGCCAAAGTCAAGGCACACAAATCCGCAGCTTCCAAGAATGCGAAAGAGATCGAGGAAGTTCGGAATCAGCTCAATGAATCCGAAGCTGCACGTGAAGCGCTTGCCGCGGAGCTTGCAAATCTCCAATCATCCGCGACAGGATCTTCCGCTGAGACTTCTGCTCTGAGACAGCGCATTGAGACCCTCGAGGCCTCCAACCGCGATGCGCTAGCCTTGGTTGAGAGCAAGTCAATTGAAAAGGACCAAATCGCTACTGAACTTGCCGAGCAGCATGGCAAGCTTCTAGCTCTGCGACGAGAGATTGGAGATCTCCAAGATCAGACACAAGCTTTAGAGAATGCCGCCTCATCTCAAAAATTCCGCGAGCAGTCACTCCATCAAGAGATCGAACAATTGAAACGCAACCTCGAGTGGCACACCACTGAGCTTCAGACTCGTAACGTAGAGCACGGGAAATTCAGAAAAGAGCGCAATGCTCGTGTTGCGACGCTCCAACGGGAGTTGGAGGATACTGTCTTGAACGTGGAGACGATGAAACGCACCGAGTCTCAGCTGCGGCAGCGCCTGGAAGAGCTGCAAAGCAAGACTGACGATGCATTCACAAGGATAGCCAACCTGGAGGAGGAGGAAATCCGCAAGCAACAAGATTTCAAGACTGAACTCGATAGCAGCAGACGATTGGCTGAACTACAAGCGCAAAGTGCTACCACTCACAAGGAACGACTACATGAGATTCAACAGCAGGCCGACCAGATGAAAGAAGATGCAGCGGAAGAGATTGGGAGACTGCAAGCTGAGGTGGAAACGGAGCGTTCTGACAAGGAAGAAGCTGAGCACAAGGTTGCGGAGCTTGAAATGGCTGTCGAACGTTTAGAACAACAAGGTGGTCGCAACACACGACCAGGAACGCCGCTCCGCAACGGACACGGCGATCCACAAACCCCTCGTCGTATTGGCTCTGGCAACGACTCTCCTATCGCGGTGCCAACCTCCCTCAGGAAAAGCGCCGGCGGCCTCACGTTCTCACAACTTTACACAAAGTTTTCGGAAACGCAAGAAGAGCTTGAGAATGAGCGCCGTCGTACTGACAAGCTGTCTGTGGCCATGGACGAACTGATCAATGAAATGGAGTCTCGCAAACCTGAGATCGAGGAGCTGCGTAGCGAACAGGAGCGACTTGAAAGTCAAGTTCTCGACTTTTCGAGACTCCTGGACGAAGCTACTGAGCTACGCGACGCCTCGGTCAGAAATGCTGACATTTGGCAAGGCGAGGCTGCAGCGGCTGCACGCGAGGGCGAAATCCTTCGACAGCAGCTGCGCGACCTTTCGGCTCAAGTCAAGATCTTGCTTGTTGAGCTGTCAAGTCGTGACCAGGGTCTGGGCGAGATGTCGGCTGACGAGCGATTTGAGCTTGAACGCGCTGCTCGCGGAGAAGTTGACGAGGAGAGTCTTGAGGCCATGACCAACACAGGGAGACTGATCTCCGAGCGCTTGGTGCTCTTCCGAGACGCCTCCGAGCTCGTTGAGCGAAACGAGCAATTGCTCCGTCTCACCCGTGAGATGGGCGACAAGATGGAGGGTGAGGAAGCCCGTGAGAAAGCTCGTCAGTCTGCAGCAGATGCTGCGGAGGTGGACGAGCTTCGCCGACAGGTCGAACGCTACAGGGATGAAATTCAAAGCACTGCACTTCAGATTGATTCATACATGAAGGAGCGTGATCTCTTCCGACGTATGCTTCAACATCGTGGTCAGCTACCACCCGATGCAGACGTGCAAGCCATGTTTGGCCAAAGCGTTGTTCCTGCCACTCCGATTAGAGGGGCATTGGAACCCCCAGCGACTCCAAGGTCGAAGGAGGTGGATGAGATGAACAAGTTGCTGAAGGAACAGCAAATCTTTTTCGACCAATTCCGGAACGAGTCCACCTCGGACCGTCGCGTTCTCAAAGATCAACTCGACGCTCTAGGACGTGAGAAGAGTGCCGTTCAAGCAGACCTGGCGCGTGCGCAATCCCAATTGAGCATTGCATCCAGTCGATTTGAAACCTTGCAATCGAATTACACGTCGCTGCAAAACGAGAACCAACAGCACCAGAAACGTTCGCAACAGATGGCCGAGAACTCAATGGAGCAAGACCGCCGAGTGGCTCAATTTGCGGAGGACCTCGTGGAGGCTAAGTCAAACGAAGCTGCGCTCCGTCACGAGACTGCTAATGCCAAAGCTGAAAGAGACATCTTCAAGCGGTCTGAAGCTCGTCTCAATGAGGATATCGAAAGACTTCGCGAAGACAGGGCGAGGCTCAACAAACTTGTCACAGACCTGCAAAACTTGCAGAACGAGAAAGAACTTACCGAGTCCGAAGCTCGACGGCGTCTTCAGAACCGGGTCGATGCACTGGAGGCAGAGCTCGCAGACAATCAGAAGAAGCTGCAATTTGAGATCGACGAGCATAAGAAGGCTACGCTGCGACGCGAGTACGAAGACAATCACAATCGCACACGCATCGATGACCTGGTTCAGAGTCTGAGCAATGTTCGTGAAGAATTGATCGCTGCAAAGACCGCCCGTGATCAACTCCAAGTAAGGGTTGAGGAGCTCAAGATTGATCTTCACACGGCAGAGGAGAAGGTCAATGTTCTGCAACCCCGGCCAACGCCTCGGGTTGAAGTCCAACAGGTAGCACAGCAAGAAAATGGCGATGGCTCCGAATTACCAGTCGAGCAGCGCCTAGCGCTCGAAATTTCGGAACTCAAGCGCGACCTTGAGTACGCCAAGACCGACCTCGAGAACACCAAACAACAAGTGCAAGTCTACCGTAGCATCTCCCAAGCTTCGGAAGAGGAGCTCGCCAGCTTCTCGGCCACAGCTGATCAATACAAAGAAGAGACAGAGGCCATCGTCGCACAAAAAGACGCCAGGATCAAGGAACTTGAGCAGCGCATTGAGGACTTGACCTCCGAATTGACTACTACAAATAGCGAGCTTTCCGAACTTCGCACCAATGCTGAGAGCATCACAAGCCTTCTCGCGGAACAAAAGGCGATCTTTGAATCAGACCTGACTCGCCTTCGCGACGACGCAGATCGCCATGCAGAGGAGAAGAAAATGTTTCAAGAAGACCTCAAGGCTCAAGCAGCCATCGCACAGCAGGCACAGCAGAGTTACGAAGACGAATTGGTCAAGCATGCAGATGCTGCAAGGTCTTTGCAACTCGTACGCAAGGACTTCAATGATGCCCGTACAAGCATCAGCTCGGCGATGGCCGAAGCGGAAGCGGCGAAGATTAGTTTGGAGCGCGGCGAAGAAAGCTGGAAGGACCAACGAGAGCGCTTTGAGGCTGACATTGAGGAGCTCAAGCTTCGCCGCCACGATGTTGACGAGCAGAACAAGCTGCTGCATAAACAAATGGAAGCCTTTTCGAACGAACTTGCGTCTCTGCGTCAAGGAAGAAGCGCAGCTAGTGCGTCATCTGAAAGCAATGCGGGTGAAAATGTACCTGCAGACGCCACTGGTAACTACCAGGAAGTCATCAAGTACCTCCGACGCGAAAAGGAAATAGTCGACGTTCAGCATGAACTCTCGGTACAAGAATGCAAGCGCCTTCAGCAGCAGCTTGATTACGCCGAGGGACAACTACAAGAGACCAAGCAGAAGCTGTCCGATGAGCGTCGCCAGGCCGCTGAGAAAGCGTCAGAAGAGGGCAGCACTACCAGACTGATGCAAACGATCAATGAATTGAACCTGTATCGAGAATCTTCAATCACACTGCGCAATGAAGCCAAGCTCGCCCGCGAGAAACTGGAAGAGAAGAGCAAGGATGCAGAACGCCTCCTTAGCGAGATCGAGCCTCTTCAGGGTCGTGTCAATGTCCTCGAAGCGGACATTGAAAGCAAGGAAGGCGAACTCAAACTTCTCCAAGCCGACCGGGATCATTGGCGAGAACGCACCCAGAACATCATCAGCAAGTACGATCGTGTTGATCCCGCCGAGCTCGAAGAGATGAAAACCCAACTCGCGACAGCCAAGACGGAGAAAGAAAGCCTTGAGGCTGCGCAGAACACCCTGAATGAGGAGATCTCTGCCCTCAAGAACCGTCTCGAGAATGAGCAATCTGCAGCTACACAATCCTTTTCCGAGCGTCTGGACAAGTTCAAGGGCCAGGCCAAGGAGCAGGACAGGAAGCGTCAGGCTCAAATCCGCGACCTGACAGCAGAAAAGGACTCGCTCACGGCTGAGCTGGAGAGGTCAAAGTCCGATCTCATCGCTGTCAACAGCGAACTGGAGCAGGGCAAAATTCAACTCGGCGAAGCTCTTACACGTGCTGAGAATGCAGAAGCAAGCAAAGATGCGGAGGACGGTCAGATTGAGGAAGGTGAAGTCAATGCCGAACCAAACGCGCAACCGGCGCTGCCCGCTAGTGCGGGTACAGTAACTTCTGCAGATCATGAAGAACGTGTGGCCACTCTCACCGCCGAAGCTGAAGGTCTGCGGCAACGTGTAGCCGACCTTGAAAGTCAGATACAGGAGCTTCAGCAACAATTACAAGCGGCACCGACGAGTGGAAGCGACAATCGCGCGTCTCTTTCTGGGGACGACCTTGACACGTTGAATCAGCTCAAGGAGGATTTGGCACGCGCACAGAAAGAAGTTGAAGTGCTAAGGACCAACAATGTAGCATCGGCTCCGGCCTCCGGTGCGACTGGAGAAGTTGCAGGTTCCACTCAACCAGCTTCGGTTGAGGCTCCCTCTCAGGAAGTTGCAGCGGCAGTTCTGAAGCTCAAGCAAGAAATGGAAGCACAGCATGCGCTTGCTTTACAACAAATGGAGACGCAGGTCCAAGCTAGAATTGAGAAGCTGAAGGAAAATCTGAAGAAGCAATTGCGCGACGAGCGCCAAGCCAGAGCCAACGAACATTCGGTCGAGATCAAGAAGATACAAGATGAGCACGAGGTGGCAATGCACGATCTCAAGGAGGCTCACCGGATCGAAATTGAGCGGCTTCTCAAAGAAGGCAGCGTTGCTGTTGCCAAAGCAGAAGGCTCTGAGCAAGCCACCACCGAAGCTGCACCATCAGCTGAGGATGCCAAGATACCTGTTTTGACTGATGCACAGGTTAAAGACCTGATCAAAACGAACGCTTCAGTGAAAGCGATCTTCGCTGCCAATCTTAGAGCGCACGTTGCAAAGCAGACGGAGCCTTTGAATACTCTCATTGCCACTAAGGATCAGGAAATTGCGCAACTCAAGGTCCAGCTAGACAAACTGCCGAATGAGCCCTCTGCGACCAGTGCAGATACTGTGTCTCGTGCTGAACTGGAGAAGCAACTCGACGTGGTTCGCGAGGAGAGGGATGCAGCTGTTCGTCAGGCGACTGAGAATGCTGAGAAAAAGGCCAAGGTGCAGGTGTCACAACGTGACATGGCCCAGGCGAAGCTGGCTGTCGTTAAGAAAGCAGCTACCGAGACACCAGACAAGCCTGTCAAGGAGGTTTGGGAGATCGCCGACAAAGCCCGTCCAGCCGCAAAGCCTTCGACTGGTTCAGCGCCGTCTACGGCGTCCCCGGCTGCACCGAAGCCAATCCCGCAAGCGCAGAATGCCAACACGCCATCGACGAATCCTCCCGCTGGCTCGTTCGGTCGACCTAGTGGTCCGGGAGGCGTACCAGGCACACCACCGAATCCGCAAGCCGTTGAATTCAAACCCACTGCCGCTGCGCCTGCTACCATTGTGCCAGCCTCTGGTTTACCAACAGCCCGTACAGGAATTCCTCAGCCTGGCCGTGGGGGTGCGCAAGCCAGTGGATTGCCACGCAGTATTCCTGCTCGTCCTCCAAGTGCCACGGGCATGCATATCCAAGGCGCCGCGCAAGCTGGACGTGGCGGACTTGCTGCGTCTGGGCTCCCTCGTGGTGGAGCGGCTGGACGCGGAGTTGCACGAGGTGGAAGGGGTGGAGGTAATGCCGGACAGAAGCGTCAGCATGATGGCGGTGATCGTAATGATGATGGCAAACGTCAACGAAGTGTCGGAGGAGCGGAAGGCGGCGGCGCTTGAAATCTTCTGTTAACGATTAAATAGCTCTGAATTGTCGCCGTGGCAGTGTCGGCGTCATGAGGTCAGCCGCAAGAGATGGATTTTTTTTCCTAGCATGTATAACAGTGACATTTTATAGTTCCAAGTCTCAAGCGCGAGCAAGAGCGAATTTCATCTAGATGTAACGTGTTTTCACACAGACCACTTTGTTCTCGTTGGGACCCAAAGTATCAGATTGTCATAATAGACATAATAAATATTAAGTATACATAAGGCCTCTCCGTCTCATCTGAGCAATAGAACGAAACCGGAAGCAATCAAAAGAGGCATCTACACATCACGCTTTATTGGCGGTAGCATCATCGTCAACCGACCCAATTGAAATGTTCGAACCCGAAATGTTCAGCGAACCACTCATAGACGTCGTCCTTTCCTGTTTCCACCCCTTTTTGGTCGAATATAGCATGTGTATCGGTGGCCGTCTCCTTCATGAATTCGCCAGCCTCGATGACGGGTCGTTCTGATGTCGGCCTGCGCGTGGAACTCGTGGTCGGTGTTGGTGGCGCTATGCGTTTGGAGGCTCCGGCAGCCGGGCCAGCAGGTTCGTCGCTTGCTTTGCGCTTGCCACTCTTGGGCTTCGCACCGGGCGAGGCTTGTTCTACAGAATCGCTGGTGTTTACGAACAGGGATGGACATTTGGTAGGCTCTGCGTTGCTCAAAGTTGTCAAAGATGTGGGCACGGATGAGTCTTCGGAGCATATGTCTCGAGAATGGCTCGGGTCGGATCCTCGGTCCAGAACTTTGCCGTTATTCCCGGGCTCGAGCATCTGCATCTTGCAGACCGCCGTCCGAGTATAGGCGCCAGGATTGCACTCCTGCCTTGATCCGTTTGACTTGGGAAAGCCCGCGTCAAGCTTTGCGGGTCCCACGATATCCACAATGTCCGGAAGATCAGCGTTATCGAGCAGCTCGGACCCATAATCGCCCTCCGGAAGATTGTTCACGACTTCAAACGAATCGTATGTTAAGAGATTTGCAGAGACCTCTTGATGGTCTGTACGACGATCAAAAGATTCGAGCCTAGGCTCCAAGTAGGTATCAAAAGCGACACCGGGCTCGGAGAGGTCCACGGCGTCTGCGACTGTGGCTCTTCCTGGAGTGACAGCCTTCCCTATCACGCGAGAGTCATGATTCTTGTGCGATGGCTTTCTTGCTTTCGAGACCGGAATGGTGAGCTGGCTTTGTCTCAAATCTCCGGAGTTCGGTTCTTGTCTGACCGACTTTTGCTTGGGCATTTTTGGAGGCTTGTCCAGACCGTCCCGGCAGCAGAGATGCTTGCATCTGGATTTGTCTTTGCATGCGTGATTACACGCCCAACGGCCATTTTGCAATTGCCGTGCTTCGCTGCGATTTGCTACGCCTTTGGTGTCGGCAAGATTGTGCTCGTCAGCTGATTCGTACGAATCGATGTGTGTAAAACCTTTCGACTCGGCTAGCACGAGATCGGCATCGTCGATGCTATCATCACCGAAGTGATCGTCTTTGTCGTGGGACCCGGCAGTTTCGCTCGGGAATACGTTGCGTCGCTTTGTGCCGCTCTGCTCTAGATGTGACTTGTTACTATGGTGTTCAGCAGGAGCCTCCTGTAACTTCGGCACAGGAAACATGAAGTTCGGTATCTCGAGTTTGAGGAAAACGGATTGCTGAGTTCCCGCGATATCATCGCACATGACGTGACCACGAATTGCTTGTGTGAGCTTGGTCAAATCCGCAGTGAAGAGCAGGTCTTGGCCACCATCCAACTTTTTCGCGCTCATTCTAGCAAAATGGATTAAGCTACCGTCGGATGTTTCGACGATCAGGCAAACAAAGACAGGTCTTCGGTTGAACGTCTCGGGAAGCTTCTCATTCGTGAAGCCTATCTCAGCCCTGAGCATGATGGCGACATGGACGCCTTTCTTCACTTGAGGCTCGCCCACGACTTTCAAAGATATTCGCGGATTCGGAAAGCTTCGGGCTCGTTCTTGGAGTTGTGTGCCGAATGGTGTGTTGCGGGAAGTGGCAAGTTCAATTTTGTGCGGCTCGATCTGGCAGAGATCCTCAATCGAATTAATATTCGCTGCGACGAGTTTGCGTACGAGAACGGCACCGATGGACTCAAGTTGTCTCATGTGGAGAGGTGAATCGTCCCAAATTTGTGCGCCGAAGCTACGAGCAAGCATCAGGGCGTTGCGGACTCCGACAGAGTCCCGAAGAAGCAGCTTACAATCCACGATACAACGAATCAGCCTTGTGGCATGCAGGAAGATGACTGATTTGCATGAAACAAATTCTTGACGATGTTTGTTGTCTTCAACATCAAGTTCAATAGATCCAAGTACGCATTGAATGATGAGCAAGATCTTGTGGACTGGGATATCGATATTGACAGGGATGGGAAACTTGATAGCGGCATTCTTGTTCATGGTCTTGTAGATAGGTTTCTCGCCTGCACGGAACCTGATGTCTCTGAATTCACTCGCATTTGCAATGGCAGACAAAATCTCTGAGATTTTTGCCTTGTTTGGCAGGCTTAAAAAGACCTTCATGGTCTCGAATTTGAGCGAGTAGCGGGCCATGGCCTCGCCAAATTCTGTACATTCAAGGTTTGCGGTCTTCTTGACGAGATCTGTTTCTTGCAATTGCGTCACATATTTGGTACAAATTCTTTCCAGGCGATCCTCGAGGTTTCGGCCTGGCTCATCGCCATCGATCAGGTAATGATCGGGGTTGGCCTTGAGGCGTACGAAGAGGAAGGTGCTTGTCAGCCATTGTTTCGCAGTGGCAATGCTAGTCACGGTGCCCAAGCCGATCTCTGCGTTCAGATGATCTATGAGATTTCGGTGAAGACTATTTGCGTTAGTCAACCGTCACCACGTGTCTGACCAGGGTTCTCACCAGCTCTCCAAGATTTCCTGTCCGCTGATCATCTTTTCATAGAATTCCACGCGATGGAGACGGGTCATGATGACAGCGATGGCGCTGGCGTCAAACTGAGGCCGGCCGGCACGACCCAGCATCTGCATGGTCTCTAGATCGGAGTACTCTTTGCAAGCGGAAGTAGCTGCGCCACCGGTGTACATGACCGTGCCCTTGATGATGACCATATGACAAGGTAAGTTCACGCCGACAGCAAGCGTCGAGGTACAGCAAATAACACCGATGTGGCCGTCGAGATAAGCCTTCTCAACAGTGTTTCGATCTTGAAGGCTCAGTCCCGCATGATGAAAAGCGACACCAGCTGGCATAGTCTCTACACATGATCAGCGCTTCGAAAGGAACGACGACGAGCAAAACGTACCTCGCAGGTCTTTGGAATCCAGTGCAAACTTCCGTGCTGGCATTGGCCAAAGTCGATCCGGGTGGGTCATGTCCAGCGACCATGTCGCGAGAATCTTCGCCGTTTCCACACACCCATTGCGCGTGAAGCAGAAAATCATTAGCGGCTTACCTTGAGACCATTTCATTATCACTTCTGTGAGCTGACTATTGAGTGTTTTCTGAAAGGCGAAGTCGTTCAGCGCAGACTTGTAGCCGCAAACATGCTTTTGAAGAGGAACCGGGCGAAATTCTTCACCAAACCTCTCAAGCGCCGCTGGAACATTTGGACCTGAGGAATTCTTACTCAACCATGTCGCGATGTCATGAGAGTTCGGGACCGTGGCGCTCAACGCCACGAAACGAACTTCGGTCCCCATAGTCTTCATGCGAGACACAACTGCTTCCAGAGTCGCCCCTCGATCTTCCTTGAGAATATGCACTTCGTCGATCAGAAACAGTCTCACCATCTGCATAAGTTTCTGATGATCCTTCCATTTTCTGGTTATACTGTCCCACTTCTCTGGAGTAGTGACGATGATGCTGGCATGTTGCACATTGCGAATTTGATATGAGTCTGTATCACCGGTCAATTCCGCAACTTGCAGGTCCAGGGGACCAAATTTTGCTTGCCAATCTCGTTGACGTTCGGCACAGAGCGATTTCGTCGGGGCTTGGTAAACGATTTTAAAAGTACCGTTGGCCAGTTTGTTGACAATTCGACAGATTGCAAGCTCCATCGCTGCCGTCTTGCCACTGCCCGTCGGCGCTGAGAGAACGAAATTGTCATCGGTTTTGTATATGGTATCGAAGCTCTTCGACTGAACAGCATTGAGAAGCGGAAAGGGAAATATGGCCCTAAAACGGTCTGGGAGCTGATGGGTAGGGAGGAGCTTGATTCCTTGCACTACAGGAAGCGCGGCGTGAGAGCCCTTTACGCCACGATCGGGAGCGGATTGAGGTGTGATCGCTGGATTTTTGTGCTGCCTTCGATCGCATTCGTCCTCCCAATAGTCGTCTTCCTTCTGTGTCGCTAAGCTTGTCTCGAATGGTCTTTCTGGAAGTATAATGTGCATACGCTCGTGGTCTCGCCCAGGGTATCTCGAATCCTCACACGGGCCAGAGCCTCGCGGATTCGAGGATCGAGCCTTGGTGTGATCAGGTCTGCTTTCACTGCGATAGTCAGACGATCTGTCGATTTGCGTCAACGGCTCCGAAGGATAGGCGTACTGAGAGAATTGGCGACGCGAGGCAAGGTCAGGAACCGTCTCCAGGTCGTCGTAGTCGGTGGTGACCCACTTGCTTGCTTGCTCGTGCAAACTATCATGATGATCAAGAAAGTCAACATCATCCGCCCGAGCTCGATCATGTATAGGATAAAGCTCCCGCGCCCCACGCTCGAGGTCATCTATCTGCTCGAACATGCGATGTGGCATTGTTCAGAAGATGGCGATGAAGAGCATATCGCGACTCGTAGCTGTTCGGCTTGACCGGATGCTCTAAACCATGTGCAGCGTGAAGCTTCAGCTTGATGACACCCGTAGACTGTGTAAGTTTGCTGGCGGAAAGTCGTGGAACACTACCGCGATGCGAAAGCTTCGTCAGAGAACGTCACAAGCAATATGTCAAGCCTGAACAATTTCTATAAGCCATTCACCAGAGTCTGAAATCACCATCATTTCAGAATTCAAGGTCATCACCCGCTCTGACCAGAAGTGTAATACTGCATCAATTCTTTTCCAATCAAAGGCCGCCGCTGCTTTTATTGCTCGCGCTTCAAGAGCCTCTCGACACTCTTGGATCTAGGTTTTCTCCTCTCGCTAAACGGCGAACTGGACCTACTTGTGGAGACGCCTTTGTCGCCAACATCGAGAAGAGGAGACGTTCCTGACGCTGCGCCTGCCACACCATATAAATGAGTCCTGAAATCACTTTTCTCGTGATGCGTGACATTGATGGAAGGCGGTCGCGCATCTATCATGGTTGAGGTATAACCGTAGGTCAATGCTCCTCCCGAGGAGCTGACAATACCTAAAAGTGCCTGCTAAACTTCAATAAAAGATCCTCGAGATCATGAAACCTGAACTTACCAAGAGAGTGACACTGAGGTCGAGGAAAAATACACCTGCGAGCACGACAATAAGTGTCGATGGCAGCATGGCCAAGCACTTCAGGCCTGCACTTGCTTGAGCCAGGCTCGAAGCCACGAGGATTCCACCAACGGCCTGAAACAAGATTAAAATCAAAACAGTAGAGTCATAACCAGCGAAAAAGCCGGTCTTTGCGATGTGTTCGCCGTCGAGGAATAGGACGCCGAGGAAAAGTGCGGGCCAGATGGCATAGAATGTGAGCTGAACATTCCGAATCCAGATGGATTTGCTGTGCTCACCCTTGACCTTCAGCAACTTCTCGAAATAGACGCTTGCTACTCCAGACAGCAGGCAAGCTGCCAATGCAGCCGCCAGACCGGTAACAATATCTGGTTGAGGATAAGCAGCTTCGAAATCAGAGTGTATACCTTCGTAAGTTGCCGAACGTTTGCTGAGATGGTCCGCAGCTGCCCTTACAATATCCCGGAGGCCCCAAGTATCTTCTGGAAAATAGGCAGACCTCGCAACATGGACACTCTTCCCAGATCCTGATTTTCCAGCACGAGCTAAAGCTGACAGATCGACAACGCCCACCCCTGCGCCCACAGCGGCCAGGCTGAGCCATTGTTTGAGGCTGTGAACCCGCCCATTTAGGATGCCATTGAACACAGCAGTTGATACGAGTTTAAGCTGACAAGTGACCGCAAAGACCACGAGATCAAGATTGCTAGCAGCAACATATTGAAGGCTATTCTGGACCACATAGAGTGAAGCGGGTATTGCCAATTTCCAGCTGTCCCCGGTGAATACTGCTCTTGAAATCGCTCGCGCCAGCTCGCCGATCGTTGGTGTTTCTGACCTCTGCAAGCTCGTTGCTATTTCATAGAGCGCCATTGTGGCAGCGAATGCCAGTTTAATAATCTCAGCAAGGAGGATTGCTGTGGACGCATAAAACCGTTGCCCTCGGACGGTTGGCATGGTGCAGGAGTGGTGGAGAAGCAGCACTGTTGCAGCATTCTGAATAACGAGCTGTACCTAGTCAATACCAAATAATTTCGTTGGTGCTATAAAACTGACCGCGATCAATGTCCAATATTTGGCATCGATGCCTACGAAGGAGCCATTCTTGCCAGGGGAATAAGATGTTGCCATTGCGGTAGCGGGATGCAGAACCTTTCACCTGCTGTTGCTTACTGGCACAGTGCGCTTGAATCACAAGAAGAGGTCAAAACGAGCTTTCGCAAAGATCCACATCGCCGAAGATGTCGCGTGACCGTGTCTCACCCGGCGGTTGCAATTGACAAAATGTCGGTATGTGTGACAGCATCTCAGGGACTGAACCGAACCACTACATACTGTACTGTGGTACTGCCGGCAGCTCATGATTGGTATTGGCTGGCGGACGCTCCCACAACATACACACGTGGTACTTTGCTTCGTGCCATGCATGCTGTACAAAGATACAGCAGACGATGTACTTGGATCACGGTCGGTGTGCAATCCAGCAATTTCCAATGTATCGAATAAGCGCTCCGCGTTCTCGATGAATGTACGAAATGTCAATGCATCGGATGTCAACAGGTGTGGGCTAGCTTTATGGTGAGGCCCAAGGAGTCGGTATGGAACGGGAACAAACGGCACGAACAAGCGCTGCGTGGGGACGGTGGCATGTTCATCGCGACGTCCCTCCCTCGTGGTAACTCCCCTCAAAGTGGTCGAATGCTTCAGGGCTCCGACCATACGAGTTTATGAAACGAACCCTAGAGTGCGATCACCTTCTGTGCCAATCCTCGGTCTCTTGATGTGCAGTGCGCGAAAGTCGCCTGGATCTGACCGAATGCCGGGGTCTGATGGACCAGGCCAAAAATACTCAATCCGTCTGTGGTGATACGGCCTCCGTCAGCAATCTTATCATTCTGCTGACGACAGGACACTGTAGGGATGGGGTCCATTTCCCTGTGGTTATAACACTATCTAACTTTCAATACTTCCTATTTACAATCTCAGGTCCCTGCAGTTGGGAAAGAAGGCTTACGCTGCCTAGAAATACATGTGCAGGGATGCAATCGTTGGCGTCGGAAGTGCTGACTGTACTAAACCTACCTAGGTGCCGTAATATTTATCTGACCTTGATGAGGTTCCCCGTTTGCGAGACTTACGTGGATAGTTGTACGCGCTGTTCGATGTTTCACCCACGTGTGAGGCTCTGATGAGTTGCGCTCGAAAAAGCATTGAGCACCATAGAGGCGCGGGATCCCGCAATGTCTGCGTCACTGCCTCGATCCCGCCAGCTCAAGAACGGGCCCGGCACAGAAGAAGCATGTGTACGCGTTGTGCCCAACCACTCGAGCAGCTAGCGAACCGTATCCCAATCCTTCTCAAATACTAGTAATTGCCCAGGTGGTGCTCTATGGGAGCTCCCCCGACGTGGCATAGCAACAGCGTGGCACGAACTCAAGGATCTTGTAGGGCAGGCTTCACCATGCCTGTCCCGTTCCTGATGTCCTTAGCGTCCATCGCAGGATCCTGGTTGCGGCTGATGATTGCAACACTGAAGGATCACTGTACGACGACCTTGCCTCCTGCATCCCGCGAGATGTTGAGCATAGAGGAAGCTCCTATGCTAAGGCATGTAAGGAATTAGCTATGTTGTCCAGCTTGATACAGGTAACTACCCAGGTACCTAAAATAGTATGCATCCTGCAGCTCACATATATAATAGAGCAGGGAGGGCCTTCTCCCGTCTATACTTCTTGCTCCATCATCATCTTCGTCTTCGTTCAGCCCACCATGTCTTTGAAAGAGGCACTGCAGGGCATGTCTATTGACACCAAGACTCGACGCTTCTCGACGAGCAAGCCCCCGGCGGATCAAGGTATGTCCACGAGCAGGAGTCGATCATTCCTTGCAAGGTCGATCTAATGAACAGGCAGAACTCAACTCTGCAATCCATTTGCAGTTCCGTCAAGCTCACGAAGGACACAAACCCCATGCTGGTCTCGACGCCTCACAAGCATCCACAGGTGTAGTCTGGACTTCTGAACAGGCGTGAGCAATTATACCTCCCATAGTCGCATCGAGCCAGCCTGCTCACAGGTTTCACGCAGTTACAAGCACGGCTACCTCGATGCACCGCACGAGTGGGCTAATCTCGGACAAGGAGCTCCTGAGGTCGAAGATGGTGTGTAGCTCTGCATTCACCAAGCTCTGAACTCCATAGAATGATGACTGACCCAAGGATCAGACATTGAGGGTTGTTTCGAGCGACCTCACACGATCGATGTGTCGATGACTGGCCGTGAATATGGCCCGACCGCAGGCATCAAGCCCCTTCGTGAGGTATGTACTGCTGAATAGTGAACTCATCTCATCTTTCAGCCGATCCAAAGCAGAGTACTGCTGCGTATCTTACTTCTTACAGGAAGTGTCCCGACAGAAACGAGCTGACTCTTGTCTCGCACCCATAGGCAGTCGCCAACCTCTACAACGAGCACCACCGAAAGTACAAACGAAGCAAGTACACCTGGGAGAATGTCTGTATCGTCCCAGGTGGACGCGCAGGTCTCATCCGTATCGCTGCTGTCCTCGGCAACGCTTATCTCGGCTTTTTGTAGGTTTCCGAACGTTGTTCTTCCACTCCGTTACTAATTCCAGATCAGCATCCCGGACTACACTGCATACTCGCAGTTGCTCTCATTGTTCAAGAATTTTGCAGCCATTCCCATCCCACTGGCTCAAAGCGATAACTACCACTTCCACAGTGAAAAAATCGAGGAAGAAATTGCTCGTGGTACTTCGGTCATCCTGACCTCCAACCCTCGTAACCCGACGGGTAAGATGGTCAGCAACCCCGACCTGGCCCACATTCAAGACATCTGCCGAGACCGAGCAACCCTGATTATGGACGAGTTTTACGGCGGATACAACTACACAACAGACTGCGATGGCACTGTCATCAGCGCGGCCGACAACATTGAGGATGTAGACGAGGACGACGTCCTCATAATCGACGGTCTTACCAAGCGATTCCGTCTCCCTGGGTGGCGAGTTGCGTGGGTCGTCGGACCAAAGGAGTTCGTCAAGGCTCTCGGATCATGTGGTTCCTACCTTGACGGTGGCACCAACGTTCCCTTCCAGGTGAGTTGATCTCGTTGAGATATGTAGAATGTGTACGTGCGAACCTCATACTGACAAAATCGTCATTTCAGGAGGCTGCTATTCCAATGTTGGAGCCGACACGTGTCCGAAATGAGATGAAAGCCTTGCAAACACATTTCAAGATGAAGCGTGATTACGTCCTAGACCGCCTGGAGGGAATGGGCTTCAAGCTGCAATTCCGCCCCGATTCTACCTTCTACGTCTGGGTCGATCTCGAACCTCTCCCCAAGGAGATCAACGATGGTCTCAACTTCTTCCAAGCTTGCCTCAAGGAGAAGGTCATCGTCGTTCCTGGTATCTTCTTCGACCTAAACCCAAGCCACCGGCGCGACCTGTTTGACAGTCCTTGTCATCACTTCATCCGTTTGTCGTACGGTCCCAAGCTGGAGGTGTTGAAGCAGGGTCTCGACGGCTTCGAGCGTGTCCTCAAAAAGTAAGTCGATCACTTCCCGCAAACGAACCATGAATACTGATCAGCTTCCAGATACAACTATACACCCAAGAAGTGATCTGCAAATGAGTGGCCAGGGATATGCGCTAGAACGTTGAACCGCTCGGAATACCAATGTGTTTCGATAGTCTCTGAAACAGTGATCGAAGTCTGATTTACTCCAGATCTGTGGCGTGATGTCCACTCGTGATCATGCAGTGCTATAGGCGAGTGGAGTGATGATATGCACCTGAGCAGTGTGACTTTGTTCAGTACCGCGCTTCAGAGGTCTCGGGCTGTACGAAAATTGGAAAAAAACAAGCTTGTTGGGGGTTTGGCAAAGTTGTTGTTGGCACCTTATTGAAGGAATTTGAAGTTCCCATGTTGTCGTGCAGGCCCCCATTCGAGTCATTCCTGTACTAAGACCGCTGAGTCCTTCCTCTCATGTTTCCGAGCCATATCGGGATATTGGGAATGTTCTCCAGTAAGATGTCATTATTTATTCAACAAGCGAGTCTTGGGATGGTATCCGGCCAGAACAGGAATGTGTGCAGAAATGCATGCGATGAGGAAGTCCAGCCGACGCGTCGCGTCTTGCCCAAAGAAGTGCTCGGTGGGCGTGTCCAAGTGTTACGTCATGCGTGGAGTGTGGTGGGGTAAGAGCAACAATCTATCGTCCACTCGTCGTCAGCTGAGCGCGTCGCATATTGTCGCGCCTCCAGCGGCTGTCGAAACAAACCTGAGGCTGATAAATTAACAAGATCTACTGCAAGCTGAGGTGTAAGAAGGAGCCGTCATCATCTTCCTGTGGAGTCTCATCGCTGGATTATTTCAACCGCAAGCCGCCAGTCCAGTCGAGATCTAAGATGTCGCTCAAGTGTGTCGCATTTCCAGCTACGTTATCTGTGCAGAAAGGCTGACCATGGCCTAGTTGGGTGATGCTCTCGGCCTCGTCCACTCTTCCCTTCACGCCTCTGCCTGACGAACAAAATCTCTACACATCACCTCTCCGCATCGGACTTTCAATATCGATACCTTCGCACTATCCGGCCAAGCAGCAACATCCCTTTTCTTTGACACATCCGAGTGGCCGGCTTTTCTTGACAAATCGGCGGCTCATCTACCTGCCTGACAAACCGACGGAACGACTTCAGAGTTTTGCTGCACCAATCTTGAGCTTGCACGACTCCCATGTCACTGCACCTTTCTTCGGTCCAAACGCGTGGCTGGCTCTTTTACAGCCTGTGGCAGATGGAGGCATCCCGATGCCTAGTGGAGGCGTGGTCGAGCTGAAATTCACCTTCAAAGACGGGGGCGCATTTGACTTTCATAGTAGCTATGATCGTGTGCGGGAACGACTGCAACAAGTTGTTGGCAACCTTGGTGCCGATGGCGGCAACGGAAACGACTCACGTGCCGCTCTGAATAATGTCAATCTATCCGCCGTGAATCTGGACGACCTTCCGGCCTACCAGGAGGAGAGCAGCGGACCGCTCTTATCGCCTGTATTGGCTGCGACCCAGACATCTATGCCAGCACCAGGCGAGACTGAAACACAAAATCTTGGACCATCTGGTCAAGCATTCAGGCCCCCAGTCGAGCCGCCGCCTGCTTACGAGGAGGCACGACGCTGAGAAGTCTGGAGCAACATCGCACTTTGCACCAGACACAGGCAAATGGTGGCGTCTTACGACCGCTTAATAATTCAGCAAGAAGCTCCACGGTGAGCACGGCGGGCACGGCGGGCAATATAACGAAGAAGCAGCAAATAGGCATCTTGTTGCTTACATAAGTGCTAGTGATGCCTGCGAGGAGGCAAAGCCATGTGTGGTGGACGCTTTTCCGATGCAAGACCAATGTAGAACAAAGAATCAAATCCAAGGAAATCACGCGCGAACGTCTTTGCTGAGAATCTAGCACGGATGTGTCTTGCATGATTGCCCCTCTCCAGTTGACGTGATCGAAGCACAGCGAGCGGTGGCGTACATGCATCTTGCTCTCTTCCTCCGCATGCACAGCGCTTCATTCCATGAGTTACTCACTGCAAGGGTCAGCCCTGCTGCTGGTCCGTCACGTTGTTGCCCGGGTACTGAAGTAGTTCTCGGGTTGTCGTCTGTGTCACATGGCATATAGCGCTAACCGGTGCTTCCGGTGTATTCGCAGCACACATTGCTGCGTACAATGGAAACAACCTCGGAACCTTCCGAGGTTATAAGCTGGAGTCAGTAGGATATTGATGGCCACCTGCAAGTATCGACAGTTGTGAGGGCTGCCCAGAGATGACCTTCTACAGCCCATGATGCAGTTGCGCTGCGGCGCCGCCCTTCGACCTTGCAAGACGAATCAAACCTCCACTTCCCCCCACGGCGGTGCAGATTATGCCCAAGGAGAAAGCGGAGGGGCTTCGCCGTGCGGCGATTTGTGATCCTTGTATGTACTGTAGCCACTGTGTCCTTTGCTGAAAGGGAGCCTCTGAAGCGAGTAAAATGGGCATGACAATTTGCATCTGCGAACAACATAGACCACCTGGGCATAGGTGGACCTTGTATGACAGATTTGTACATGACAGCACATTGGAGAGATCTCTTGTAATCGCGTTCCGGTCGGAGCCATTGCTTACCTACGCAGGCACGATTTAACGTCAAACACCAGAGCGCGGTCCACCCCACGGCGTGGTCCACGAATTACGTGTCCATAACAACAACAACTTCAACACGCGATGGCACCATCAAAACGCGTCCAAAAGAGCTCAAACGAAGGGAGTGTACTGCTTGCAATATCAGCTTTCAGATCAGGTGACATAGGATCTGTAAATGCTGCTGCAAAAACCTACGGTGTCTCAAAATCAACGCTGCTTCGGAGATTGAAAGGAAGTCCTGCTCGAGAGGACTATATGCCACAGAATAGCAATCTCACTCCAATCGAGGAGGAGATC